TTAGGCAGCCAATCAGGATAATTGGGACATGTCGTACGATTGCAGCACTGACCAGTAGGATAGCGTGTGACTCGCTTAGGTAGTACTGTATAGTAGCCAGACAATCATGTATATAAGGACCAGCGAGACGAGGAGGAGACCTCAGTCTTATTCTCCTTCGTCCACCACTACCATTACAGAGGGGTCTTACCAGACACTCTCAGTGTGCTATATATCTAGTATCATCCTCTTCATTGTGATAGCGCCCCTCACCTCGCCAGTAAGTCTTACTTCACAACTAGCAACTCGGCCTCGTCAGTGGGCATGTCGTATCACCACAGCTCGTCGCTGTAGGCTCTCAGCCAGGAGAGCCTCAAGGGGACTCTTTATTTGGTTGTCTATCTTTGTCATCGGCGTGCCATGACATTAGAATAAGACTGACCTTTCACGCCCCTACCAAGTGTCTAACACTGGTAGCTGTGCATTTTCGCCCAGAGACACATCCGCCCAGGGCAGGGCTTTTTCCACACCACTTCCCTCATATCATTCCACCTCGCCTCTACCACCTAAGCCGCTTCCTTCCTTCAAAAGGAACAGCGCTGCACTGACCAGTAAGGCACCTCAAGTACATAACGGTATCGTTCCGCCCAACAGACGCTACCATCCGTACTAACCTCATCCCAACCGCACTCGTCGTCTAACGGCGAGCAACCTACTTCGGGCCAAGCCCAACGACACTCGCTCAGACCTACAGAAGCTACGCTCTAAGGTCAGCTTGTGGGCCGAAGCTGTTTCAAGAAATGCATCTGACTCATCCGTCCCCATTTACAAACCTCATTGGTGGTCTAACGATGATGCTACCGCCATCCTCGCATTTGCCCTCTCAAAGGACTATCATCCTCGTGGGATCCACAAAAATCCCAAAGGCACCCTCCTCGAGAACATCGCGCTGACTGTACATGCTACTATTCAGCAGTACAAAGTCTTGCAGCAGCCCCATATCACTGCCAAGTTCACGGAAGCACAAATCCAGTGTCGCGATCACATTCTGCGACACCTAGGAGCTTTGAACGAGAGGATTGGACGAGGCGACGACTTTACATTCGTCGATAGACGCATCGCAGTCAAGCTTTGCATAGGACTAGGAAAGATATCTTTGAGGAACATCAAGAAGGAGCAGGAGCGCGTAGGGAGAGACATTGTGAGGTTCGAGAAGGAGTTGTGCTACTGGCCTTACTAGGACCAGTAATAATTTTGTACTACTGCATCAGCAATTTCATGCCTCAGTACCAACTCAGTTTCATATTCAGAAACTACGTGGTCGAGCATTATATAACTGACCTTTATCACCATCTTGTGTGTACGGGCTACTTCATCTATCAACCCCTACTATCAGAGCGTTCTATCCCACTTTACCACTATCCGGTTGACATCGAACACCGAGTTACCTTACACACACCCTTTCGACTCATTGTCACAGACATCGAGATCATCGATCCAGCTCGCGAGTGGATAGAAAATCGTTACTAGGAACGACTTGCCTGGTTATATCAGGAAGACGAAGAACTCTTCTGGATAAACTGGTACAAAGATTTTCCCGAACAAAGACACCCCCACCCAGCAAGACTCGAAGAAGCCGCAGCATGAAGGAACCGTGTCATCGAACTAGCATACTTGCTGGGAGCCAATAATCAACTCCAGTAAAGTGCATCATTTCGAACCCACAGTCCGCTTCATCTTTCCCACTATCTTCAACATCAATCCCCATGTCTCAATACAACCTTGGCAGTGTTGCGTTCCCAGAAGGACACATTGCGGAGGAACCCCACACTAGCAGCACACCCAAAGTGTCAGGGGTAGTCAGAAACCCGTCGCCCACAACCCTGCCAGAATTCACCACACCCCAGACTTGGGAATGGCAGGGGGTCTCTTACGACACAATCAAGGAAGCTGCCAATGTCGCCACACCCAACACCATCCCAAGAGATGTAAAGGAATGGACAATGAACGTGGTGCGAGCGTTCATAATGAGAGATGTCATCAGCTTCTATGAAGCGCTACATCAGAAGATGGATGAACGTCATGAGCGCACAGTGGCCTCATTGGAAGAAGAGATCCTGGCTCGCATCCACGTCGAAATAATGGCGGTGGAAATAAAAGAACAGCTGAAAGTCGCAAGAACCCAGATTGGCACCCTCTCTGCCGACAACGAACGGCTCATCAAGTCAAATAACAGTCTGACGCTCGAAGCCCAAGCAATCTGCAAGGACTTCGAAGACTACAAGGATGAAGTAAAGGGTCAGATGGACGCCCTTTACAGCAACATGGTCGCCCTGAAGGAGGCTCAGGAAAAGACCACTACTTATGTACATCGTTGGCTTAGAGTCGTGACTCAACAATGCCATCATCAATGTGCCCTCCCAAGGTATCCAACAACCGGCCGGCCAATCCAGCCAATTGCCCCGCCGAATCAAGCTCTCAGATCCTCCCAAATACTTGGGAAGAAAATCGTCGTAAAACTTCGAGACCTGGTTCACCAACCTTCTAATATGGCTCAATTACAATCACTTCACCGACGACAAGGACAAAATTCAGCAGGCCAACGCACATTTGGAAGGCGGAGCTGCTCTGTACATGAAAGAGTACGCAATCAAGCTCACCTCCGGACAAGACGTTGGGACATGGGCAGAATACACCAGGAAACTGGAAATGGCATACAAGACGCTTGATCTCAAGTGCACAGCACAATCTTTGCTAGATGCACACTGTGCAATCTGCCACAAGATGATGATTGCCTTCGCAGAGAATTTCAGGGCCTATGCCCCTGAATCAGGGTACTCTGACGAAGATCTAATCGTCAAAATTAGGGAACAACGGTCAACCCACATCCAAACAGTCATGTCGGTAACAGAGACTCTGGACCCCTCGAAGATTCCAACCACTTGGATGGACTATCTAAAGTTCTGCTTGGAGATTGAAATCAAACATCTTCAGCAAGTTTCAGGGAACAAGTTGACAGGACAGACCATGGCAACCAAGGTGGCCGCCCCCAACAACCCTAATGCGATAGACACCAGCGCACGAATCGCACACAAACTTTCTCCGGAACAGGACAGGTGGCTGGCAAATAAACTATGTTTGTTTTGCGAAAAGCATGCCTATGAACGAGGAAAGCAGTGCCCTTCCCCAAAGCTGGAATATAAAGGAAAGCGGTTTCAAACCTGATCTACCCCATGGCAGGACAAGGGAAAGGGCAAAGCAACTAAGGTGCGACAGGTGGAAGAAGAAGGTAGCTCAGATACATCACCTCAAATTGCGGCATTGGAGCAAGCAATTGCTGCACTTCGTGGGATGAGCACCACTTCGACTACTCCACTGTCCAGCAAAGGCAAGGGCAAGGCAAAGGCACACAGCGCAGGCACGGAATCTACCATATCGACATCTACGGTTAAGGACACCAATGCAAGAATCATTGAGCTGGATGAATTCTCGGAGGATTTTCAATACGAAGTGTAGACGAGTCTGGTACTACACTTCGGGACAATTGTATTAGTACTGTGAGAACGAATGTACCTAGCGACCATTTATATATTGCATCCGCGGGTTTTTCTAAACATTCGATCGAATTGCCGATAAAATTCATATCACGGGAAATCTAGACAACGGCATTACTGGATTCTTGAGCATTCTCTTGCTATATCGATCAGAGATTCGCTGAGAAGCACAGGTTTAAGATGATACCTCTAAACCACGAAATCAGAATCCTCAACACAGACGCCAGTCCCAACAAGGGTGGTGCAATTACTCATCATGTAGTCACAAGCATCTTAATCGGGGGGCACCGATCAACCGAGAGTTTGCTCGTCACAAACCTCGGACGCATATCAATGATCCTTGGCATGAAGTTCTTACAAGAACATAATCCCCGAGTTGACTGGGAACATAGAGAGGTCACATTCTCAAGATGCAGGCACATGAGGAAGCAACAAGTCAGAGTAAGCGAAGAAGAAGTCAACCTTCTATCGCAACCTCGACTTGAAGATGAAGCAATTCTTCCCCACGTACATCAGGATGACGGGTGGGATCAGGAAGACAGGTTCATCAACTGGATAGCCTTGCAAGACCAGGATCTTCATAACATGGTGCACGACATCCTAGGCATAAGCAAGAAGGTAAAGGAGCATTTGGTAGAACAGCCGGCAGAAGAGACACAGGACAAAGAATATTGGTCCAAATTCATCCCTTCAGAATTTCATCAATTCGGAGATGTGTTCTCGAAGAAGAGCTCAGAAAGAATGCTGACGCGTAAGCCCTATGATCACGCAATTGATCTTGTCCCAGACACGGCAACCCCGAGACTGGCAAAAGTATACCCTATGTCTTTACGAGAGAAGAACTCGCTCGACGAATGGATTGACGGTGAACAAGCCAAAGGCTACATTCGACCGTCTAAATCCCCTTATGCCACTCCGGTATTTTTCGTCAAAAAGAAGGATGGCTCTTTTAGACTTGTCCAAGACTACAGGGCTCTAAATAGCATCACGAAAAAGAACAAATTCCCACTCCCGCGAATCAACGATCTCATTGATGGATTCTCAAGGGCTAGCATATTCACTACACTAGATCTGAGATGAGGGTACAACAATGTACGCCTTTACAAGGGAGATGAGGAAAAAGCAGCATTCATTACCCACAGAGGACTATTTGGATTTACTGTGATGTACTTCAGATTCTGTAATGCCCCTAGCACTTTCCAGGCCATGATGAACGACGTCTTAGGTGATCTCATTCACACTGGAAAGGTGGCAGTTTATATAGATGACATCATCATCTTTATGGATAACCAGGAAGAACACAACCGTCTAACCAAAGAAGTCCTACAATGACTCAGAGATAACGACCTGTTCATGAAACCAGAAAAGTGTCACTTTGCAACCACTTTTGTCAAGTTTCTCGGACTTATAATCTCAAAAGGGTCAATACAGATGGACTCAGAGAAGGTCGATGGTGTGCTCAAATGGCCGGTGCCCACCAAGGTAAAGCAAGTACAAGCATTCCTTGGTTTGGCAAATTTCTATCGACGATTCATCAAGAACTTCAGCTCGATGACCCGACCCTTGACTCTACTAACACGTAAAGATGCTCAATGGAAATAGGAAGAACCTCAACAAAAGGCGTTTGAGGCCCTCAAGACTGCGTTCACTTCTGCCCCGATTCTAGCACTCCCCAACGTGATTCGTCCCTTTAGACTAGAGACAGACACCTCGGACTTTGCCACAGGTGCAGTCCTTGAATAGTTGGGAGAAGATGAACTTTGGCATCCTGTTGCTTATTACTCCAAGTCACTCAATGAACACGAGTGAAACTACAAGATTTACGACAAGGAGATGCTTGCTATCATTCGGGCATTGGAAGAATACTGGCAGTACTTCGAAGGACATCCTCACCTGGTTGGATATGGTCAGATCACCTCAATCTTACCTATTTCTGACAAGCTCAGACATTGACCAGACGACAAGCTTGATGGTCACTTTACCTTACACGTTTCAACTTTATTCTCCATCACCATCTCGGAAAGATGATGATGCGTGCCGATCCTCTGTCCAGGAGGCCAGATCATGAGAAGGGGGTGAGCAATGACAATTCAGGGCAAACTTTACTTCGGCCTGAATATTTTGCCATCCATGCAATCTCAGCCACTCATTCCTCCGAAGTTGACAATGCAAAACTTCTAGAAAGAGTGAAATCGGCACTACAAGACGATGAAATGATCAAAGGTTACCAGCACCTACTAAAAACTGGCAAGCGAGAGTTCAGAAAAGACCTCCAAGAGTGGAACTTTGAGCATGGATTGCTGCTTAGAAGAGGAAAGGTCTATGTTCTAAAGAACTCTATGCTGCGGAATGAGCTGATCAAGTTGCACCATGACATCTCCACGATCGGACACCCCAGATGATGGAAGACTCAAGAACTGATCAGCAGGAATTACTGGTGGCCAGGGCTCACCATTGATGTTAAGAAGTACGTCCAAGGCTGCGTAACCTGTCAGAGAAACAAGACAAGCAAGCAAAAGCCTTACGGACTGTTACAACCTAACCCAGTACCAGAAGGGCCTTGGGAAATGGTGACCTGTGACCTGATTACACAGTTACCGCCAAGCCCAGACCATAGGGGAGAAAAGAAGACTGCCATTCTGGTAGTCGTCGACAGGTTCACCAAACATGCACACTTCTACCCAGTAGACGACATGGTGACAGCATCTCAAGTAGCGTCGATTTTCTACACTGAAGTATTCAAACTCCATGGGATTCCACGGCAAATCATATCTGATCGAGGCACACAGTTCTCAGCCAAATTATTCCAGGAGTTCTGTCAGAAACTTCATATCAAATCTACGATGTCTACAGCTTATCACCCTGAAATGGACGGACAGACTGAATGTGTCAATCAAATTCTGAAGCAATATCTACGCATGTACTGCAACTACTGACAAACTGACTGGGCCACACTACTGCCCACAGCAGAATTTGCATACAACAACCAAGCATCAGAATCGACAGGTCTATTCCCGTTTTTCATTGAGCATGGTCAACACCCCCACATGGCACCAGATGTACTGGAAGGGATACAGCATCCATCCCTGGAACACCTATTCCATAACCGCAATCAAGCACAGGAACAAGCTCATGCCACTCTGTCATTAGCAGCAGAAAGAATGAAGTGGTATTTCAATCTCAAGAAGCAGGACATCCCTTTCAAAGTAGGAGATGAAGTGCTCATTCGAGGAAAAGATCTTCATGTAAAGGTCAAAAGCCAGAAGCTTGTGACTCAGAACTATGGACCTTTCAAAATCCTCGAGAAAATTGGAACTGTATCATTCAAACTGCAACTACCAGCGGACATGAAGCTACATCCAGTGTTTCACGCTTCTAAGCTTATGATGTTTTATCAGGACTCTATCCCCGGATGAGTACCTCCCCCTAACCCCCCAGTCATCATAGACGGAGAGGAAGAATGGGACGTGGAGGACATCCTGGACTCTAGAGTCAGGTACAACAAAACCCAGTATCTGGTCAAATGGTCAGACTATGACCACAGCGATAATACTTGGAAACCCCTGGAAAACCTCACGAATGTCAAAGACAAAGTAGAGGAATTCCATAAAACACACCCAGACGCTCCAAGAGCCACGCCGCGAACACGCAAAGGACACAAAATTGCCCTAGCCGACCACCCTGACGAATTCATGGTCTTTTTCCGTACTCATCTGAATGTCCAAGCACCCTACAAGGGATCTGCAGAAGCTGTAGGGTGGGATGTCAAGTCCATACAAGACATAGACATTCCTCCACATTCCAGAATGCTCATTGGCACTGGACTTGCAGTGGAACCCCCAAAGTGGACATACATTCGAGTGGCCCCCCGAAGCGGGCTAACCCTCAAAGGAATTGATGTCGCAGCAGGGGGTAATTGACCCAAATTACACAGGGAAAATAAAGGTGCTACTTGTCAACACGACCAGCACATCATTCGAGGTCAGGACAGGCGATCGTGTCGCCCAACTCATATGTGAACGCTACACCCCAGGAGTCATTTCAGAGACAGACAGTTCACTCGCAAAGTGAACCATACGAGGCACCAAAGGCTTTGGCTCATCGGGACGATGAACCTTGAGAAGGGGGTGATGTCACGGTTTTTACCTGACAAGTCATTATAGGAACAAATGCTATTAAGAAGCATATCATTTTTCATCATTTCTCAATCGCACAAGAAGTCACGTGACCTAATGAGATAAGATAACGAGGCATCTAGTCACATGACCTCAGATCTCCCTCAGCATTGTCACGTGACACCGAACTCCTCGGCATGGCGTCATATGTCACAATTGCCATGACGCCATATTGCATGCTCAAGAGGAGCTCCGTCTCTGTGAGTTATTATTAGGCAGCCAATCATAATAATTGGAACATGTCGTATGATTGTAGCACTAACCAGTAGAATAGCGTGTGACTCACTTATATAGTACTGTACAGTAGCCAGACAATCATGTATATAAGGACCAGTGAGACGAGGAGGAGACCTCAGTCTTATTCTCCTTCGTCCTCCACTACCATCACAGAGGGGTCTTACCAGACACTCTCAGCATGCTATATATCTAGTATTATCCTCTTCATTGTGATAGCGTCCCTCGCCTCACCAGTAAGTCTTACTTTGTGATTAGTGACTCGGCCTCGTCAGTGGGCACGTCGTATCGCCACAGCTCGTCGCTGTAGGCTCTCAGCCAGAAGACCCTCAAGGGGACTCTTTATTTGGTTGTCTATCTTTGTCATCAGCATGCCGTGACAATTGGTAGCCTAATGCAGATACAGAAGCATGAAAAATCATAGATTGTGAGGTTTCAGTTTCACACCCACATAAAATTCAATGAGATTGGAAGCTGGTGAACCCACTACTCAGCACATTCCCCTCATTTTTGGTGTAGAGTAGCATGGATGGCATATTGACATTACTGCCAAAGCAGAGGGCAGATGGAGACAATTTGGGGGAGCTAGTCAACTTTGTCTCATTGCTCGGTAACTTTAAGCCACAGACCAGATATGTACAAGCAGAACCAAAAAGGTGGGCCGCCGAAAGGCCGGTCAAAAGTCGCTGGTCAAAAGTCCAGACAGAAACTCAAAGGTCCTGGCAGGCTCCTCCACAGCCTTTCTTCGGGCATTAAGGGGGGCCTTAATACTAAGGGTGGGATTTTGTGCCACGTTTCGATCACTACCATGTGTTTGATCATGATGCGATCACACAGTTTTGAAACTCCACAATCTTAACTGTCCCCAACACCCTACGATGGCTGCAAGAAAACATCTGTAAATAACGGAGTGATCGCATCATATTCCTCCATATAGTAGTGGCACTTGCCGGAGATTGTAGAATTAGATTAGGATTAATGTGGCAAATATGTTTTGTTCAGGTGCTGAAGTGCCTTATTCTGATTCTATGATCACCACATCTCCACAATATGCTGCACTGCTGCCCCCAGAAGAGATCAGGAAGAAGATCTTCAGCAGGCTCAGTGACAATCCATGCCTCTGGTAAGCGCAAGTAGCATGGAAATTACTGAAGGGCAAGAAGGATGTCATTGCCATGGCTCTGACTGCTTCAGGCAAGTCACTGACATCTGGATGGCATTGCTGTTCCCAGAAGATGGAGTACAGATACAGATGTATGATTTTGGTGAAACACATGCAATAATAAGATGGTGGGGCCATGAGCATCACCACAGCATAACATATTCAAAGAAAATACGAGACAGGGCGCTTATATAATAATAGATGGGACTGCCTGATTGGGGAAACTCACTCCCGGGCTCCGCTGTTTACAGATGTTTTCTTGCAGCCGTCGTAGGGAGTGGGGGGCGATTAAAATTGTGGAGTTCGAATTGATTCGGAGTATGAAAATGTGGCTGAGGTGTGGCGGCAGATGTGGCACAAAATCCCACCCTTAGTATGAAGGCCCCCCTTAACTCCCGAAGAAAGGCTGTGGAGGAGCCTGGGGTCCCGGAGGCTGGACAGCTATCCGGACACAAACTCCGGAAAAGCTGTCCGGACAGGAAGTCCAAAAATCAGTGATCTTTTGGACCGGCCTCCCATAGGGATTTTCGGGGGTCCTACCATACCTCCCACCTCTCAGATCTCATCGATCGCCGTCTGAATTTATTCCTCGGGAACCAATTTGAAAGAAAGCAAACACTCCAGCATGTCGCGTTTCAAGCTTCCGTCACCTGCCCATATGCATCGCAAGGCCAATCATCCCAAAAGAACTAAGCTTCTAGCCTATCAGGGCGCCCTACTACTACAGCTACTACTGGACCGCTATGGAAGCTTTCGGCCAGACCGAGCTCTCTGGAGTCTGGATCCCGCACGGTTGCACGACGATGACAGAATGGATTTTAAATGCATTGCCGTAGCGAACGTCATGACACATGCGGAACAATGCACGGTGAATGTTCCTGTTCATGATCAGACATGCTTCAAGCTCGAGTCACAGCTATGATTGGAAACTCAGCTCCCGGGTGAACGCCCGACGCATGCTCGGTGTGTAACCGTCTCACGATCCTTCGGCCCAGAAAACTTTTACTACGGTTCTTCGGCTAAATACCCGCCAATTATGTGGCCACGCAGCTGAGCTTCGTGCACATCAACACCGATATCTTCCCGCTGCGGGTGCCGTTACGCCACAGACGCGTCAGTCACATGGTCGCGAAACTCACCTGCAGTACACGGATGAAAAGCTGTCAGTTCAGGTGTCCGTTAATTCCCGCCTTCTTCGCGGAGCTAATGGAGCTGGGACTAGCTGTGCAATCTCAGATTACAACGTAAAGAGTGCAAGGTACTGCAGGCGGTTGCTTCTCTATCCTTGTATAATCGCTCCGATCAGCTCCCTTCCTCCCGATTCCCAATCATCCCAGCACTGCGCGAAAGACGTGGTATGTCTGCCATAACTCTCAATATTTCCGTTCCTCTCCACTGCTTCGCCTTCTTCATTCATCTCCTTGACATTGGGTAGCACAGCCATCCATCGAAGCAAGCCCTCCTCCTTAAACCCCATCCGCCTCGCAAGCGCTATCGACGGTTTATTCTTCGGGTGTGCCGCCCAATATATGCGGAGGAAGCCTATACCGGGTGGAGACGCAATGGGTGTCTGCAAGCAGTAGCGGAGGAGCAGGCCGACCGCCGTGCGTGCGACATGTGTGCGCTGGAATGCGGGGAACACCACGACATAACCTATCTCCGTCCACAAGTGGGCAGCAGACGTCCTGACGAGTGCCATGAAACCAGCCAGAACGCCATCGCCGTCGGTCTGCCATGCCTCTTCCTTCGTAGGAGATTTTGTCCTGTCGATCACGGCGAAGCCGCACCATTCTGGCTCGCTCCGGATCGTCTCGATCAAGGCTAGGAACTCTGGGAAGGTCCCGGGCATCGAGGCGTAGTATTTGAAGAGCTCGTAAGACTGTGGGCCGATGTGGTCCCACAGCGTCTTGGCATGCGCGGCGGGAATGAAAGGCGTCAAGCGGACAGTGGGGCTTGACAGTGTATCAAGGTGCAGCGGGAGAGCATAGTTGATATCATAGGGCTCCGTGGAGGACAGAACCTGCTCAGGGTCAGGTAGCGCCACTGGAGGCGGTGCGACGTAGTTGTTCACGAATGAATCCAACATGATCGTCCCGGGGGTGGGGGGGGACAGTTGGGATGTGCAATGCTTGCAGCGAGTGCGACAGTGTTGATTCTGATGCTAATGTGTTTATGTATATCACCGATCCATGACTCGAATGATTGTCGGAGAGACAATGCACGATGCTGACTCACAACAGCGGCTCGCAACTTCCGATCACATCGTCGCGCCTGCGCAACTTCAACTTCTGCGCCCCTCAAGCTTAGTGCTCAAGCGCTCAAACTCAAGCTCAAGCCTCAAAGCTTCCGAAGAAATCTGCAAGGAATTAGTTCAAGCACCCACCAAGTCGCAAGTCCCGTGCACCGTCATCGTCGCGCTCAGTGCCCCGAAACCATGTAATACGTTTGCTGGACCGGAATACGTCCCGTTTCGCATTTCGTCTGATATGCACCGCGTTTTTCCATCTAATCCGAATAATGTGCCAGCGCGAGATCGACCAAGTGTTCCGTAGCTACTTGATCTCGGTATCGCACATTAGACGACCAATTATGATCATAATGCCGACACTATGCAGATGTAGATCCGTGACCTCGTCCATGTGCGGAGTGGATGCAAAGGAATTCGTCTGATTTTCTGAGATTTGCGGTTCTCCTCGAAAAGCTTCACATCGTTCGCCCGGACGCTAAGGCTTTACAGTCGATAAACTCGCTCTATCATTGCTTCGGCTCAAGCATCTAGATGAGCTTTCGCTGTATGAGCACGAGATCCCACAGCACGGCAGGCTCAACGAAATCTGTAGCACCGATTGCTAGACCAATGCATCAAAGAAAAGCACAAGCGACCGCAAAAATCGCCCTCCGCGAGGAGCTAAAGACATCTTCTAGCTGAGAACGTCGGGTCGACCGGGTCGACCCAACATACTCCTTGAAAGCAAGCTGAAATTCTGGCCAAAGTGAATTGGTCAACATGGCGAAGGATAAGAAGTCGACATACAAGTCTATGGGCGTTTGGCTGACATCGATAACCGCGGGCGAAACAATGCATGACACGAGCTTGGCGCATGGAGGACCTTCATCATGGGGTCGTAATCGATTGCTGTGGATGAAATTTTGAAAGCTTGTGTGCAGGTTCTTCGCACAAGCCTTGCAGGAAGAGTCCATCGATTTCTAGGCGAGACAGATGCTAAAGCTCCGACAACACGAGCGCCAGGGGCTGCAGAGAACATAAATCACCTCGTGCATGTGTTCGAAGTCCATGCGATCACCGGCCGAGTCATACTCGAGGCTGCGGAGCTTGCTCCAGGTTGGTCGAGCCATTATTTTCGAGAATCGTACTCGTAGTTCCGATGCGAGGAGGTTCCACACCGAAATGCTGCTGCGCGACGGTGATAGTGCCATGACAGCAGCGACAATTCGAGTCCTGGGCGTCCACGGCGGCACCCTTGTTGCCAATCTCTCAACTCACTTCCAGCCGTGCGAGCTGGATGCAGAGGAATTTCACACGTTCGACTTCGATGTCATCGGAGGACCTCAACAACGTCAATTGGTATATGATCTAGAAAGCTTTGCTAATGGGCGGCCCCGGTCATCTGCGGCGGGTAGATATACCGACCTTCCATTCACGATTTATACTCGGGTGTAGGTATATTCATCCGCAGCGCAGCTCGAATGCCTAACGTACACACCGAGCCCTCGAGGGACCTACGATCCATCGCTCGCGCACGTCCACAACGAAGAAAGCTGACCGAGTCACTGGGGTAGAAGCAAAAGCGATGTATTTGGCGGTACATACATACAGGGGCTACTAGCCTTGCTACCAAGTCCGGCCACAGCCTTCTGCTCGAAGCACGTTGATAACCCAATTCGTTGCGAAAAGTGATCTGCACTCGATAACGGGCCATTCGCCATGCGTTTTCAGTTGCGGATCCCTGGTCCAACCTTGAACCTTTGCAACGTGGAACAAGACACACTGCTTCCACAGCTTGCCAGCTTCTGTCCGAACATTTGCCTCAGCGCGCCTTCATATTCTTACTTGACGCTTCAGACAATTGCTGAGGCTTGAAATGGCCAAATATACAGTCGCCTAGAATGTATACTCATCCAGACGCGAACATCAATCGAGAATTGCTTGTCCTGGTTGTCCGTCAGTACGAGAACGAAGGGTGAAAAGTTACCAGACGCCCGAAGGCTGTGCACAATGGCAGAAACGAATTCCATTACGGGCAAACCTGCCATTGATCGCTGAATGCGGACCACAAGTTCCGAAGGACAAAGGCGAACCAAGTCCCGCACATTCACGGATGCGACTTGTGCGCACTTGCGACTTGCAACTATTTTCACAGTAGGCGAAGGAAGACGAGAACAAGCGGTAATACAGAATATTCGAGGCGATACCAAAGCAAACTTGACATGTTGTGTTTCTTTTCTGTGCTATTGGGAACGAGGAACGCATGTTCAGAGGAAAGCAATACTTGAGTAAATTGAGGCAATTGCAGGACCTTGCGCGAGAACACCATCACGTTGCGCTTCACAATGGTTGAAACTTCCTGCCTTCACCCTTAGCCCGCACGTTGGCCGCCTTCTCCAAGAATCAAACCACTTCGTGTCTGAATGTGCGAGCCTTCGCCCATCGCTCACCAACGGCCACCTTCACCGTTCGAAGGAGGCAGCGCGCTAGCAGAGGGAGCATCATACTCCCTACGTGTCGGACTACTTCCTCTGGGAGGGCTCCTGGAGTAGCTCCTGCGCCTTCTGTAATCCGGAGAGAAGCGGCCGCGCGGAGGAGGGCTCCGACGATCGCGCCAGTCCCTGTCCCTTCCATAGTTGTCGCGGTCCCTGTCGTCCCTGCGGTAAGGGTCCCTGTCGCGGCGTTCACGGTACGAGTCACGGTACGAGTCGCGATAGTCGTCGATTTTGTCGTCACGGTGACCGGTGTAGGTGTCGCGTCCACGACGACGGCGGTGGCCCATGTATTCACCGGGAGTCGGAGCATGAGGCCGGTCGGTCACCGAGTAGTCGACACGGATGCGACGGCCATTGAGGTCCTGGCCGGAGTGTGAGCAGTTGATGACACATCATCCGAAAAATCGACGTACGACACCGTTCAACTCTTTGATGCATCGAGTAGCTTCTTCAACTGTGGACATAGTGATAAATCCAAACCCACGGGAGCGGTCGGACTGCTAGTGAAATTTAGACAGACTCCCAGTATGCCGAAGAAGACTAACCCTTTGATCGTACACGATGACCACCTTGTCGACGCGGCCAAATCGACTGAATTCGTCATCGAGGTCGCGCTCCGTAGTCCTGATGCTCAGTCCAAACACTCCCAACACGTTGGAAGGGTTGGGCGCCTGCTTCGCCAGATAAGCACAGCCACAGAAAAGAAAAAGAAAAAGGACGAACAATGGGAGCATGAGGGGGGCGGCGGGGAGGAGGAGACCTGCGGTACGTTGAGCCCCTTGCTGGGCTGCGAGAACGAGAGCGGCCTCGCGGAGGAGGCATGTCGCGGTCCCGCGAGTCGACCGGCGGCCCAGGGGCAGGCGGAGGAGCCTCATTGTAAGCGTCGGTGTAGGGATCGACAGGCGGCGCCGCGGAATCTCCGTACTGCATGACGAGAGTTGCAGGGATGCGAATGGACTTGCTGTCAGTCTTGACCTTGACGATGAAGGGCGGAGACAACAAGAACGCACCATGGTGGTTGCAAATTGAACGATGTTTGGCGCTGTTTGGCGGTGGCGTGACCAAGTAATTAAATCTCCGCGAGAGGTTTCAAACCTTATCGGCAGAGTTATACAGTTCTTCAGCAGCCGCGACTCGTGTTCGTCCAATACCGCGAAGCCCCATCGCCGCAAGAGCAAGAGCAAGATGGTGAGTCCGAATGGCTACCCGGCCACAGCACGAATGTCTCTCACCTCTCTCACGATGCACCTCGGATGTTAGGGTATCGACATCCAGAAGCATCACGTCAAGAAGGGCCAGCGTACGGCTCCAAAGAGCGAGGACCCGTACTTGCTCTTGCTGGTCAAGGTACGTACACACTGGACGTTCTAAGAGGTCGTAATGTGCTAATCTAGAATTGAAGCTATACCGTTTCCTTGCACGGCGCACAGATTCTGACTTCAACAAGGTCTTGTTCTTGTGTAAAAGTGCACTTGCGAAGTATTGACATACCGCCCCGATCAGGTCATCCTCCACCGTCTATTCCTTTCCAAGATCAACCGTCCTCCTTTGTCACTCTCTCGCATTATTAAAGAGACCTCTGCTGCGCCAGACCGTGATTCCAAGATCATCGTCACCGTCGGTACGGTGACTGACGACGTCCGCCTGATCGAGGTGCCCAAGCTCTCGATTGCAGCACTCCGTTTCACCGCCGCGGCTAAGGAGCGAATTCTCAAGGCCGGCGGTGAGGTTCTCACGTTCGACCAGCTCGCGCTTCGTGCGCCCACTGGCTCGAATACCATTTTACTCCGGGGCAAACGCAACACCCGGGAAGCGGTCAAGCACTTCGGTATGGGCCCGCACAAGCACAAGAAGCCCCACACTATTTCCAAGGGCCGCAAAGTATGTTCTCCTAATCTCCCCTCACGGTGGTCTCCATCTAATTTCTGCCGATCCAGTTCGAGCGCGCGCGTGGTCGCCGAAAGTCGCGTGGTTTCAAGGTCTAAGCGTGCGCTGCTGGAAAATCGACGTGCAGTCGCTCACGGCGGATATGCGGCGGATGCGGTGTGCTGTGGTACCGGGCCTGTCAGAGACGTGTATTCCTATATGCACTACATGCAGAAGAGTGATCCTCCACGCCACGATTCTTATGTCTATGTCTGCATCGCCAAGCATGTATTGCTTTCTCCTCACTCTGCTTTATCGCCGAACTGGTCTTGTTCATTAGGATGCTCGCGTTAGCGATGCCAGATCGTGGTGTCATCTCGATTCGAAGTTCTTGCTGTAGAAGAGGTGGTCGGAAGGTGTGTCGCTTGATATTGCATGCCACACAAAAATGCTGCCTAGTGTGCTGCCTGCGAAATTGCGTTAAGTATCGCGCATGTCGTACCGTCGCAGCAGTATCATCTAGAATGCACAATGCCTGGTTAAGGCGGCGAGACGCTGCGAGACAGCGATATACACGGCAGACATGACGCGATTTATAAATGTGGAAAATCGTGTGGGAATGTCGGCTGATGTCTTACATTTGTGGCAAAGCTTTGCCAATTTAGCATTTAAATGGCAAATAGTGCACATTCACAGCCAAAGTGAAACATGAAATGCCATGGTTGCAAATATTTGTCACATGTGTAAGACATCAGCCGACATTCCCACACTATTTTCCACATTGATAAATCGCATCATGTCTGCCGTGTGATACTTCCATTACTCACCCCACACGCTCAATAAGGGTCATCGATCAGGTTCCACCGAGAATTCACAGCCTGCACAGATTTATTTTTCCACGGGAAACCTGATGGAAAAATGGTGAAAATATTTTAAGTCTGGATATGGAAATAGTTTGGAAATCGGGTGGAGACAATTGAATTATGTTACAATTGCTTCACCGAAGCATATCAGTATCACATATTTTTGGACTGAAATATCTTCCTTTGGGAAATAGTTTCACTATTGCTGATATGTTTCAGTAAAACAATCGTAACATAATTTAATTGTCTCCGCCCAATTTCCAAACTATTTCCATATCCAGACATAAGATATTTTCACCATTTTTGCATCAGGTTTCCCGTGGAAAAATAAAGCTATGCAGACTGTGATTGTCGTCCAAGTGTCCACAGATCTGAGATCTGAAATTGTGCACGTGACTAATCGTATCTACCACGTGATTTAATGCAACGCGTCGTCCTCGATCGAGGACATCCCAATTGGAAAACTCCCAGCGCCGGGCGCCTGCGTCACTACGATGATGTTTACCCCCCCAGTGCCCACCCAATGTTCTCCCTAATCGTACAACAACGACGTCCGTGACAGAACCGCAGTCCCAATATCTGCTCTCATTATTTGCTACTGGCGATACTGCGACGTTCCTGCTGGACTTGTACTATCCCTAGGTTCCCAGCTTCCGCGAGCCATCCATCGGGCAACGCAAACACTGCACTCGCTGCATATATTCGAATTTTTCTCTCCGAAATATCTAGTTACTCTAACACTGCAATGAAAGTGTGACAAATTCATGACGGGCTCTGAACATGCATGAAGCCGCGTGATGGAGGTGGGAAGCCCGTAACGGTGAGTCCTTAGGCCTATTCGCTTGGAGGAAACACTGTGTCAACTCTGACAAATATAACCCAGAAGCGTGAATGGCGTATAGCCTAACGGTTGGTGTTTTTGGCGTTGGGACTCCAATATCACGAAATTTCTGCCATTCTTGAGTACATACATCGAAAGTCGAGCAATAGAACGATAAAAGAACACGTAACTTCACTTTGAGGGAGTAATCAAGATGGATGATGGTGATAAAGTGACAGACCTACAAGACTTCATCGACTTCAATATACTTGTATGCTCAAACCAAGAACGTGCCCGCTATAACTTCCTGCCAGTCAAGACCACGTGTGACGGTTAACGAATTCGGCTATACTCAATCGCTGTAACAGCTACCTGCATATTATGCACTGTTATAGCCGAGAGCAACAAATTTTCATTGCGTGACTCGAGCAACTTCACCAACCGCCGGAACCCGCATGGCGAAACTTCTGACGACTCAAGGTTCTGCATGGTATGAGCCAATTTCGCATAGAATATGCAATTGGAAGCGACGGCACACGTCGAGCACGATTGTCTCATGAAGGCGGAAGATGGGACTGGATTTTTTACTCGGACGTACACTTGAAAAGGTAACATGACAGCATGTACGACGTCAACACAGCAAGTACGGCAAAAAGAAGATTACAGTATGCAAGAGCAAACGCAAGTAGATGCAGATGATATGGTGCACGACAAACTCGAAGGAGTATGCACTATGTGACGCGTTGCAGGATAAAGAAGATGTTATGCGTAGGAAACGTTGTGGACGACCACTTTGCGGGAGGAATTCTCAAGACTCATCGGTTTCAAGGCGTCACAATGAAGCAAACACGACTGCAGGAACACGCAAATTTCCAGCCGTACTTTGTACGACACGCTCACCGGGAAAGAACATCCATCCAGCGCTTCAGCCAGTGCAGAACGGTGCGTGCGGTCTGAGACGTGCGCTCAACTACCAGAGCGACGCACTACGACAAAGATGCGTCGGCCAAAATACAAAAGAGAACGAGCAAACTCACAGCACCAAATGCGGAGACTTTGAAGGGCAGGAGGAGGTTGAACATCGGCTCATCCGGTCGCCTTTTGATCTCAAGTTCGTTAGAGGCCGACGTGTCCAGGCTGAAGGACGGAACATCGTCATCGGAGCCATCCTCAGCACTACGGACAGGGCGCTTGCAAGCCGTCGCAAGAAAGATCGAGTCTCTGACGAAACGATAGGAACAAGATGAACTCACCAGCACTGCCGCCGGGGGCATCGCCAATGCCTCTTCAACCCCTCGCAGGATATTCTCTTGAACCTGGACGCGGCGTCGAACCGCCGCTAATGAATCCGAAAACAGATGAACTCACCCTCTGTAGGCATGGACGTTTCATCGTTGCGTACGGGTGGTATCTGCGCCCGTAGGTTGAACGGTATCCAGGAAGTCGTAGATAGTAGTGGCTCTGAGAAGACAACATTCTCGAGCACGCAAAGCGAGCAGAAACACGGCTTGGTGTATTCAACGGAGGAAGCCCGTACAAAATGCGCTTTTGCGGTACGAGTGCGCTTAGTCGCGGCGCTCGATATCGGGGCTCCAATAGCTAGCAGTAGTGTAGTGGGGAAAAGGAGGGACGAGGGCATCATAAGCCAGCCAAGGTTCATTTAATCGTGCGAGCGCAATTCGTTGCAGAAGGTCTCATAAGAAGGGACTTCTCTGCCTGCACTGGGTGAGAGACCGCCCGCTACAGCGAGATGACTGGATCAGTGGGTGAGCCGCGGCGCAGCTCTTGATTTGCTTCCGCGACCCTCCGAATCTGCTTCCGCGAAAATACATAGCGGCCCTCTCTCACTATACCTCCCTGCAAAACGAATAAACAGCAAGGAAAGTAAGTAGACCAGTCACATGTAAGCGCATAGGAAGGGAAGTTGTCCACGAAATGCAGGAGGGTGACCCTGCGATCGTCGCCTCGCACTGTCGGTGTCGTCAGCTCTTCGGTCACACCCCACAACGTCCCAAGAAACCATTCAATCTGCAAATGTAGTTCACAATTAAAATATGCTCAGTTCTGACGAACAAGGCAGTTGAATTCAAATCCACATTCTCTCTGGATTGGTGGACGACACATCAACCCACAGAACCACGCGATCCTCTGCGGCATAATCCTGCGGCGAAATTACGACAAGAGACATACCAAAGACATTGTAAGCTCTTATTTCGCTTCTATCATTAACAATTCTGCCTTGTAGGCACTCGTCCACTGATCCTGCTGCCCGCGCGAGCGCACGGTCACTGTTATTGTGACATTAGATGTGACAACGTCACGTCACAGAGCGCCAGATAGGCGCGCGAGAGGTGAGTTGGCCACTTCCGCAGCGGAGAGCGATTGAGTATTTGACGTGGACGTATATACGACTTGATGTTTGGGTGGATATCTTCAGAGTCCCAACATTATCGAAGGAAGTCCCGATGAAAACACGTCGCGTCCAAGAGAACATGGCCCTCAAGGCCGTCAATCAACCAATTCATCGGCCGGGAGAGCTTTGTTGGATACAACAGGTGGAACCACAGCATACAGATTTCCCGGGGAAATCTGCCTACGGCCCATCGCAGCCGCCGGTCACACGTCTAAATGCATTGTATGATGCACGCCCGTATCATGTTCGCTCTGCAAAAGAGACATCCTTGAGAGCCTCAGAGAAGGAGAAGATGCATGGCGAAGACTCTTCTCAGTCCTGCAATTCATCACAAGCAGAGAACAGCAATAGGATAACGACCCATCTGCTACACGTCCAAATACGCTGGTGAAGCATGGCCGCATCGCATTTGCTTTTCCGGACGACAGCAGCGTCATGCAGCAAACCTTTCATGAAGGAAGACAGACAAGATGCAGGACGGGGACTCACCTCAGCCGGAACCAAATTGCACAGAAGACATTTCTGTCGATCGATATGTGACTCTGGAGAAGCGCAGGGCACGGTATGCGCTTGAACGCGGGCGTCTATGACCTCGTAGCAGCCAGCAGATGTCGCTGCTCCGCATAGCGTGGACTGTTGCGACATACGCTGCAATCGCAGCCATTTTGGCCGTTTCCCCAGGCCGAACCGACCATGGCTCGTAGCGGCGTCGTCGATCGTCCATCAGGGGTCTTGTCTACAACACATCTGAGAATCCCATGGACATTCTGCAGAGACTAGAAGGAGGTTCCGACTGCCAGGTCCGATAGCATAACGCGACGAGCACAACTTCGACAGAAATCGGCCGGGAAGATTGATGGCCATGCAACTGGTGTTCAGCAAATCCAGTTGACGTGCACGAGCAACACGACCAGAATCGCCGTAGAAGATCAGAGCCGTGCAGTGGATTCGGATATCGAGCGACACAGAGAGCACGGCAGAAACTGCCGGACTGAGATGCCAGACAATCGAAGAGATGACTATAACGTAACGTATGGTCATCGTTTCGTCGGGAAATGTGGCAAGAACCGAGAAGCGCGAGGAGGAGGCATCGCGTCAGATCGCGTCGAGCATTGCTCGCGTGCGCCGCGGTGTGGCCACTTTCAACATTACCTTCTCTGTTCTTTGCATTCACTGCGCGACCATTTCTAGTCTAGAACATCGATCATCCGACTGCAAATTCACACTCGCTGTCGTGACGACGTCTCTATTCAACGTGCAACATGGACTCTCGGCTCGCTTGGCCCCATGTCACAATTATAATGCACCGGACATCGACTACGACCTACTCTTGCCTTGTAATATGATTCATCTAATACTCTCCGACTCTCCGTTGTGATTGTATAGTGTATGGATGTCACGCTTATACGTCTCGAACAAGTCATAGCGGCCGTCTGGTGTCTCGCAGCCGCTTGGGCTGATCTCGCCTTCGGTGACAAGTCAACCCTTCAGCCCTTTGTATCCTCGTCTCTTAACGAAATCCTCATACCACAACCAGCCAGCCGATCATGCTTCATAACGATTTTTACGGAGCGATACCTCAGACACGGTCCGAGCTCACAAGTCGAGGATCCGGACTCTGTCTCATGGACAATGGGTGGGAGCAGATGGTATCCCCCATTTCCACAATCCAGCAACGCTGGTGAGTACTCACTACGCCAGATAGTCGTTGTACGATAAATAATGCATTTGTTGGCTCTATTCGTGTAGCTACTACTCTAATGAAGCCATCACCAGCGTCACTTCAAGGGCCGCACCCCTCAGCCTTTGCGCAATCTATACTCTCATCGCCTAACGTGATGACCTTTTGCCACGCATAGTCACACCGAAGTCGAGACCGTTACCTCATGACACCGCGAACTCCTGCAGGATATCGTGGGGGAGGGATATGGAACGATAGAGGAAGGAAAGGAAGGGCCCCGTCCTGCCGGACGGAAGACGGTAACCACCTCCTTCGCGTCAAGTCCGCCTTTAACCAACCCGCTAATGACTCTCTCCCCTGAAGAATGTACAAGACGGCACAAGACAGAAGGAAACTACTACTTGGATCCGGTGTTTATTCCTCGGACGACGGTAAGTGCACCCCTAAAGACCAGGCCGAACTTTGCGACCTCTGACGGGGCTTTCTTGTGCAGCACGTGGACCGGCAAGACGGCGAAGAAAGGGAGCATGAAGGAAAGGAAGGGAACTGTATAATGAAGAAAAGAGGAAATAAACGTCACATTCCACGATTTGAGTCTGCACTGAATGACTTGAGGTTCGCCAACATCTTCGCGACTGGCCTCCTTGAAAGCGTCTGCCAACGGCCCTGGAATGACTGGCGCCGTAACAGTCCTGGACTGTGTTTCGTGAAAAGCGCGGAGAAGCGCTCGACATCATCGAACCCTCGCATTATGCCCCATCAAGTTGTCACGAAGCCTCTCAAGTTGTAAGTAATCCTGAGCAATGGACCGTCGTCAAGCTATTCAGTGTATGTTAAATTGGTTGGAGCGCAAAAGAGGCTCAAATGTCTACAATAGCATGCATGGTCCCAATGAAATAATTTGGTGTATATGTAAGGCTGTAGGTGTAATTATATAGTAGACATTAGTAGCCCTGTTCAAACCATGCTGCACACATCTCAGGCTTTAGGATTTGAGCTCAAGGCTTGTATCGGGCTGTTACCATTACAAGCAACATCCTATAGATGTATACCTGCAAGAAGCAAGCTAGCTCAAGTAATGTCGAGTTCAGAAGAGCATCAAACCATCAGTTAACGTGGGTAACCACGTGGCGGCGTTGCACCAATCTGAGATTTGCCGCGCTGCTCGTGACTATCATGGAAGATCACGTGACTAATACGACGCGTCGTGCGCGATTCCAGCGGCGAGCGTCTGCGTACTGCCGTGCCTCCCGTGTTTCATCACCTCCACCATCTCCCCCACCACAACGATGGCTGTTCGCAATCTGCAGTCATGAAAAGCTTCGTCCTTCTGGCTTGACAACCCTCAATGCTGCAACATATAAGCGGGACTGTAGTGACTCATCCTAGTATCGCTGGGTTCCTAGCTTTCCGAGCCACCCCGTCGGACACCCCGGATACTGAAGTAGCAGCATGATACTCCGATTTATCTTGCTGACTTCCTCGATTAATTCGAATGTTTAGCAACTCTATGGTGACTTATGAACATGTGCAGGACCGCGTGATAGAGGTGGGAAGATTGCGCTGTGAGTCCGTAGGCCTACTCGCTTGAAGGGAATTCCGTACTAACTTTCACAAGTAGTGCGCATCAATATGAACATCGGAGACAAATGACGGGTCGTGTGTTATCAGGGGCACTCTAACGTCATGGGTTCTCGCCAATGTTGAGTACATACTGAAAGTCGGGCAATAGAACAAGAAAAGGACGCATTGTTTCATTCTAAAAGAGCGACGATGATGCGAGATGCTGCGCAAATGTAACATTTACAAGATTTTATCAAGTTCAGCGTGACTGTGCACTCGAAGAAAAGAACATTTCGCGACAATCAACCGGTCGACGCCATGGATGACGGCTATGTTCCACCGTATCAATCGCTGCAACGTCTGCTTAGAGCTATGAAATGCGATATTCGACGAATGAAACAAGAAGTGAAGTTTGAATCGAGTGACTCAAGCAATTCCACAAGTATGAAACCCACGCAACGAAACGCCTGACGACTTCGTTCGAGGCCCTGCAGGGTATCGGCGCGGATGAATTCCAGCTTCCAAGAATTCCGCTAGCTTAACGTGCAGTACGCAATTCGAAGTGACGACACCCGGAGCAGCACTACCGTCACACGAAGGCAGAAGACGGATGCTATTTTTCTAGAACATACACTCAGAAGGCAACACGATAGCGTGGACAACCTGGACACAGCAAGTACGACAAACAAGAATATTTATGATGTTTAAGAGCGGACGCAACTAGATATAAATGTTATGGAGTACCGAAAGCTCAAAGGGAAGTACAACCTGGGATATGCCGCCAGACAACGGGAAGATTATACGTAGATCAAGACGTGAAGAAGCACTTTTCGGGAGGAATAGCGATGTCAAGCGCAGAGCTTTTAGAGAAGCAAATACGGCAACATAGACGCGAGCGTTTTGGCCATACTCGGCACCGAGGGCGACACGCTCACTGGGAGAGAGCATCCATCGCGTACCGAACCCAGCCCGTAATGAGGCGCGTCATCCGAGATGTTCGTTCAATTGCGATTACGACATACTGTAGCGAAGACGCGTCGGCCAACGACATAAAGAAACAACGAGCAGACTCACCGCCAAAATTGTGGCGACTTTTGAAGGAAGTGGCAGGGTGAACGCCTCTTGTCGTCTTTTGATGTCCAGCCCAACAGAAGCCGACGCGTCCAAATCCAAACACGAAACGTCATCATCGGAGTCGTCTTCAGCACTGCGAACAGGGCCCTTTTCAACCCGCGAAAGAAAAGATCAAGTATCCGACAAAACAGCGACAACAAGATGAACTCACCAGCGTTGCCACCGGGGTTATCTCCCATGTCTCCTCATCTGCTCGCAGGGCGTCGTCTTGAGCCTGTACGCGGCGTTCAACCTCCGTCAGTCAAATGGAAGTGGAGGAGCCCACCCTCAGTAGGCGCGGTCGTTTCGTCATCGGGTATGGGTGGTACCTGAGGCAGTAGCTTGAGCGGTATCCAGGGAGTCGCAGAGAGTGGAGACTTTGAGGGGACGTCATTTTCCAGGTTTCAAAAAAGGGCAGAGGTACGGCTCGGTATATTGAACCAGAGGAAGCTCGTCCAAAACGACAATTTTGCACTACGAGCACGCCGAATCGCGGCGGTCGATCGCAGTGTTCTTGTAGCTAGTAGGTAGTATCGCGGGTAAAAGGAGAGGAGAGGGCGTCGTGAGCCAGCCAGGGTCCATTTTGTCGTGAAATGCCGCAGAAGATCTCATAGAAGCGGGATTCTCTGCCTATGTTGGGTGAGAGACCGCCTGCTAGAGTAAGGCGACTAGACCACGGGCGTGCGCCGCGACGCGGTTCTCGATTTGCTCCCGCGAACCGCCGAATCTGCCTCCGCGAGCGACACTAGCGGACCCACCTTACTTGCCATTGGGTCCCTACGAAATCGGCAAACGATAAGGTAGGTAAGCAGGTAGTTCTGTCGCATCACAGAGCATAAGAATACAAGTTGTCCGCAAAATTCAAGAGGGCGGCCATGCGAATTTGCGTCGCGCTGTCGCTCTCGCTGTTGAGAGCCCTACGGCCGCCTCTCATCAGATCCCCAAAAAGCACTCAATCTACAGCAATACATCCTAGTTGAAACGTGTTGAAAGCTGACGAAAAAAAAAAGCAGCGGACCTCAGATACGCGATCATCTGGGGAGTATGGACAACGTATCAATCCACAGAACCACATCATCGTCCATGGTACATCCACGGTGAATTTGCACCAAAATTACGGCAGAAAATACGTGAGCTCTCATTTCGCTTTATGAGCTAACGTCTCTGCTTTGTAGGCCCTTGCTCGCCCTTCATCGGTGTCGCCGCTGCCACGGCGATGAGTGCAAGCGCACGGTGACCGTAATGTGACTATCAAGCGTGACAACGCGTCACGTAACAAGGCCAGATAGGCGCTCAGTGGCGAGTGGCTCCTTTCATCTATATGATGGGGGAAAAGAGCAACTGACGTTTGATGTGGACGTATATGACTTTACATTTGGGTGCATATTGCAGTGAAGCGATATTGTAGAAGAATACCGTGAGCGAACACGATGCCTCAAGAGAAAATGACATCCAAGGCGGCCATCCAGCATAGCAAGTCCTCGATCAGAGGAACCAAGGCCCATCGGCCAAGCCTCTGAATGCAGTACGCGAAGCACACCCGCATTCTGTTGACTTCTCCGAACGAAATGCATCTCCCTCGGAAAGAAAGATAGGAAAGAGACACGACGGAAACTCACCTTAGCTGGCCTAAGATTGTGCGGATGACGTCGTCGCCAATCCGAATGCGACTCTACAGGAGCGCAGAGCACGATACGTCCTACAGAAGTGGACCTTCTCAATTGGGTGACGTTCGACAGCGATATTCGCGAGCCGCATAGCGTGAACGGTTGCGGCACAGGTTGTGAACACAATCACCAAGTTGTCTTCTTCGGTCCCCACCAATAGATGCGCTATCGTCGACCATCCCACTAGGATCCTTATGCATCCAGAATACATCGCAGAAGCCGCCGCTAGCTTCGAGCAGAGACTCCAGGAGGCTCGAACCCAAAAGCCCAATAGTAGAGTCCGACAAGTGCAACACCGACGAAAATGCCGACATATTCTGGTCGGCATTCGCATGCAACATGAGAGACCGCCGAAGATCAAATCCTATACGGTCGACGAGCCTATGCAATGCAGACAGTACGACTCAAGATTGCGAAAGTGGCAGGAAGCGAGAGGCGCGAGGAGAGACGAGGAAGCACGGTGTCGGTAATCGCTCAATTGCGTGTTGGCCACCGGCACACGCGTCCTCTCGTCATGTTCACGCAGCAGTGCTGCTACTCTCGCGCCCATTTTGCCTGTTTTCCCAGCCTTGGCGTCATGGACCTTTCATTCTGTCTAAAATACGACCTATTGCGACGCGCCGACTCACTTTGACCAACCGTCTGATCAACGTGCGATGCGCACCCTTACCCCGCCCGACGCCTCAGAGCTGCAGCGCACCAAAGATCGAGCCCATTCCACTTTGACGCTACTACATGGCTCCCATATATCCTCCTCGGCGCCTTGATACTCCGATAACGCGTTCGGATATCCCAGCAGGAGTGCCTTCGGCCTCCTGGATCATAGAGACCTACCGGTGTTTCGTAGCCCCGCAGGCTCCATTGATCTCGTCAAGCTTGAATGACAGCCTGAGGGACTCCGTCCTGGTGCACTCACTCTGATAACGACGCGTACGCAGCTGCTTGGCGAGATCACTTCACTCGAGATGAAAAGTGCGTCGTTCAGCTCTTGTACATCTGCTCTCGTCAAAGCTTCCATTGCGCGATTTGTCCATGGTCGACCAGCAAGCCACTCCATAGAGCGTTGCCGCAGTGGGGCACTCAGACACTGCCGGAGGGAGCGCAAAAGTCGAGAGCGTGGACTCTGTCGCGATCAAAATGTGATGAGGAATGTGGACCTTCCATACCTACCACTCCGCAATGCCTGTAAGTACTCACTATGCCAAGTACTCGCAATGCGATCGGCCACTGAGACAACCTCCTTCACTCGCATTCTCACCATGCACGACACCCACACTTACTGATCGCCTCGCACGAGACGCATCTGAAGGTCTGTACCTGTACGCTTCGTCCTCTACGCGACTCACAGTCTCATCAACTAATTTACTATTCCCTACATAGACCATCGCTTCAAGACATCCACAAACATTCGCAGGAGATCGGAGGGAAAGGATACAAAGCAACGCTATAACCAAAAAACGGTGAGCACCCACCCCAAACGGACTATTACACCCCTTCGTCCCATCTAACCACTCGTCCTCTCCATGATAGAATCCAACGAAGGACCCCGCGATAGCATAACCGCCGACGGTACCCACCCTCCATCATACCAGACCCACCCGAGCCAACCCACTAACTCACCTCCCCAACAGGACGCGCAAGACGACATCAGGACGGAAGGTGGAACCACGGGTTCCGGCGATGTTGCCCTCGACAATGGTAAGTGGCTCATCACGAACGACTTTGCATCGTCATTCTGATTGATGGTGTCTCCACAGGATGCGGCCGACGAGACGGGCATAATTTGAAGGAGGAAGGAGACGCAAAGGAAACCTCACAGTGTAGAGGCGGAAATAAACGTCATATAAAACAACTAGCGTGTGTGGCTTCAAGGCTCGCTTGTCAACAGCCTCAGCCTTGAGCTTAAGCTTCCACTTGGGACGCCTTGAATGCACGAATGACTGCGTGGACATGCATACACGCGTCTCGCGCGATGGCGACACCAGCCTGTATTCTCCCCAAACCTCTCACTACGCACATAGCACACAAAGACAAAGTGTGTTGCAGAGGGGCGAGCGACATTGTAAAGCTACATATACTGTAAACGTAAACCGGCCCTGGGCCGCTACTCCACTCAACTACCAAACATAATCCTACGATGTAAACTACTCGGCACCGTCAACGCAGTTGGAACGAACAAACGAATCAACTGTCCTTCATTCCCCACCCGCGTGCCCATCTCAGCGCTCCTCATCACTAGAGATCGATGACTGACACCAGCGAGAGCACCGCGCCGCTGTGCCTTTTCCGTGTGCATGCATCAACGGTAGAGCCGCGCCGGGCGTACCAAGAACAAAATCCAAGACATCCACACCATCGACGCACGCATATTACGACCGTGGCGCGACGGGCGCCTAGTACCCATAACCTCTCCCATTGCTACCCACGATCGCCGCGGCGTTCTTGCCTCCAGGCGGCATGCTCACGCTCACGCTCACCGGCGGGCCGCCCTGCACCGGGACGCCGTTCACGCCGTTCACGACGACGCCGGGCAAGACGCTGCCCCCGACGGTCGCAGCGCCCACAAGCGCCGACAGCCGCGAGATCTCCTCGCGCGAGGCAACCAGCGCGCTCGTCAGCCGCTCGTTCTCGTTCGAGAGGTACTCGACCTTGGCCTGTAGCTGCGCGAGCCACGCCTTCTTGCGCTGGCGACACTTCAGAGCGGCTGCACATTCCGAGTGTCAGCACGATGCTACATGAGAAGGCGAGCGCGTACCTTGTCTGTTCCGCTCGAGAAAGTTCCTCCGCTTTTCTTCCTCGGTCTCGGGCTTCTTCTGCTGGTTCGGCTTCTTGTTCGCCTGCGGAGTCTGCTGCCGTTGCAGGTCGTGCTCGTCTTCCTCCTCCTCCTCCTCATCGCCCTCAAAGTCCAGGCTCTGCACGCTGCCTCTGCGCGCGCTTGTCGCGGACCGCGTGCGCTTGCCAATGCCGAGCTCCTGCGCCTGCTCCTGCGAATAGGTGGGCGTCGCCTTGCGCTTGGTTCCGCGCTTGACGTTGCCGGCAGAGAGGACAGGCGAGGTGCCGTTGCTGGTGGGAGAGGCAGCGGCGTTGGCGGCGGCCTGGGCCTGGGCCTCTGCTTCACGCTTTGTCAGCTCCTGATGAGCCTGGGAGAGCAGGAAAAGGCCGTTGGCGGCAGTGTTGGCGGCAGGGTTGTTCGCGTAGCCGTTGGCCTCTCGCGCAGCTTGAGCCTGTGACTGGTACTGGTGTGACATGGACAAGGGCGAGGGGGTGGTCGTCGCATGCGAGTGCCCGTGATGAGCGTGGTGGGTCGGGTGGTGCGCAGTGGAGAGGACGCCGGTTATGGCAGAGAGGGTGTTGGGAGTGATGGTGCCGGCGACGCTGGACAAGCTCGGGGTCGCGTTGGCTGCGCTGCCCTGCATCATCGCGAGGAAGGCTGCGGTATTCGGCGAGGGCGGAGGGAAGGAGACGGGCCCGCCGATGAGGGGCGTGAGGCCGGTGCCTGGGGTGAGTCCGGTGCGCGGAGTGAGCCCGGTTCGGAAGGAGGAGGGGTCGAAGGCGGGAAGGGGCTGATCGTTGTTCGAATTGGGCTGGGGGCCGGCGAGCATGGCGGGGGAGAGGGGACCGGAGCGGAGCGAGTTGGAGAGGGACGAGGAGGAGAAGGCCCATGTGTACGACGGGTCGGAGGGGGAGGAGATGCTGGCGAGCGGGGGGAGGACGGGCTTGGGATCCGGGGAGGACGACGAGTGGTTGCGGTCTAGCTTTGAGTTCGAGGAGGAAGAGGGACGGGAGTCGTCGGAGTGGGAGGAGGGGGCCGCGGGGGCGCGGGTGCGGACGGAGGAGTCATTGGAGGGGCGGGCGAAGGACTGCTCGAAGGGATTGGGCTCGAGGTCAAAGGTGGTCCTGCGGCGGGAGGGGTTGTCGTCGGCAGCCTGGGAAGAAAGGCGGTCGTGGTCGGGAATGCTGGGCGGTGCTTGTACTTTAGTGGCCATGCTGATGACGCAGAGAAAGCGATGATGTCGATGGCTAGCAGGCAAGGATGTCGTCGAAGATGATCACCTCCATGACGAACGCTGACGTCGTTATGTATTTCCCCTACCAGGCGGAGTTCAAACGTCTCGCTCACGGACCCCGGCCACCGCCAAAGCACCTCCACCAGGGGTCTTACGTTGCAGGTGGAGAGAGTTGCCTCGCTGCGGTCCATTTCCCACACATTCCCGCCGTCGAGCACAGGGGCGCCCGCCGCAAGACAGGAGCCCGTTTCCTCCATATGATCCACCGTCCGCCCTCGCGCACGCCGCCTTCGCCCGGCCCCCTTCCCACCCGCCGCAATATCATCCTCCGCGCCCTCACTCCCTAGCGTTTTCTTTCCCACTTCTCGCCTGTGCGCACCGCTCTGCCTGCACGGGCGTGTTCGAACAGAAGCCGCCCATGGAATCTTATGCACGCCGCATGATCACGATCGGCCCCCATGAGTTAATGCTATCAAACCCCAAATACCAGCTGGGGCTCCGGCGACGCGGCCACCACTCGCGCTTTCCTGCCCCTTTGCTTTGCTTGTCTATTAATTCAACGGTTCGGACCGTTCCCATCCACCCTTATCGCGCCGCCGCTCACACCCATCTTCGCCCGGCGCCCTGGCCCATGGGCTCAATCAGCACAGAGTACTGATCATGATTAATGATTGACAAGGGCCATGAAACGGCATGCACATCATCTGTCCAAGCACGTTCACCCAAGCCCCTGCCTAGTCCGCGTCTCTCCTTCCTTTCCTCCACCCCCATCTCTCCTTCTCTCTTCGGAATCTAGGCCAGCGGAGCACCGAGCAGCGCACCCCCCAACCAAACTCCACGCTGCGTCCAATTCGCGCGTTCACATTCGAACCCGCGCCTGCTCCATCGTGCGTGCGTGCGTGCACGCACTGAATCTCCGGCGTTCTGGCGTCCCTGGGCGAGCCCGCTTCTAGGTGGGTGGATGACCAAACGAAGCGACACGACGCTTCTCCCGCTGGCCCTTCCTTCTGATTCTCGCCTTCTGAGATCTCCTGCGCTCACTGCAGCAACTCAATCCTCTCGCGTTCTCATGACCGCCCGCCCCCTCGGAGCGGGAGCCGGAGTCTATAGAGCTTCTGGTCCGCCTTGAGCTCGCACGGAGATGGGACGTGGCCTGGCTCGAGGATCACCTGCTGCTGCGAGGCAGCGTGTGCGGCGCACTGGAAACGGCTGGGTACTGTTGCTGCTGACTATGATCAGGGCTGCAATCAGTCACGTCTAGTGCGGCAACTGTCGGCGTGCACGTCCATCTTCAGCCTTCACCTAATGTAATTCCTGCTGAGTGCTGGAGGTTGGACCCTTCGCAGCTGTTTCAGCTGTTTCACGTACGGTCACATTCTATTTCGAGCTGTGGCGTTCGCGCCTTCCAGCCCGCCGGGAGGGAATATCACCTCCATCTCGCGGCCACGATCTCGATCGTACATCATCCGTACATAACCAATGCACTTCATCTGCGCCGTCTCATGAAGCAAAGCATCTACAGCCCCCGACGCCTGCGCGGTATCTGTTCCTTTCATGCCGCAGTGTCCGGAGGCCCTCCGTGTGCGCGCTTCCGGGTTCGCGCGAGCGCGACGTTGCCGATCGCGATCGGCGCGGGCGCATTGCCAATTTCGGCTCCGGGGCGGTATAGACGGTGGACCACGTTCGAGGTTCGGCGCGCTTGGTAAGCGCATGAGCGCCGGGTGCCGGCTGGCTCGGGCAGATACGCTGTGCGTTGTGGCTCCGTGGAGGAATGGTAATCCGGAAGCTTTTGGTGTTGCACAGCACAGAAAAAAGGGAGGAAAAGAAGAAAAAAAGTGATAGTAAAAATTGCAAGGTCGAGGCCCTTGTGAAGCACGACGAAGCGGTACGTCGACGCTGGAGAACAGGGAAGATATCAACTATCGATCAAAGGCACCATGCATGGAGGCTGTACGCGTACGTACGTACGTGCATTAATCGACGCCGAGCGGGAGAAGATCCAGCGCCCGTACCAGGGGTGCGTCGCGATCTCGCTGGCAGTAGAGGAGGGTCTTGGATCCACGATCGGTGCCTGCGGTTGGTACGACGCCGCGGGCTTCTTGCTTCTCCGTAATTGCACTGCAGCACACTCCTTGGGGGGGCACCTGCTGCCTCCCGCGGCAAAGCAGAGACAGATTTGCGTTTCCGATTGGCTCCGCGGTATCTGGACCTGGCTATCGCAGCGGACGGGCAGGTATTGCGTCCGAGCTTATTTTCGTCGCCGTGTACGATTGGTCTGCGAGAGTCCAGGTCGGGCGGCGCTGTTGGTGGCGACGACGTGGGAGACGATCCTGGAGGGACCATCAACGACCTCCGCCCATCGCGTCGCAGAGACTATTCGCAAGCTGCCCACCGTCAGCACTCGACCCCGGAGCACGTAGCGCTGACTCACCCGCCTCACCCAATCGCCAACGCGAGCACACAAGATCCGAATACGCGAGAACGCTGCTGAGTCTCCCGGATCTACGATCGCATCCGTCGTGGGCATCTGCCCAGAGCACGTATGGCGAAAGCGGCCCAGCAAACGTCTTTGGCTTCATGCGCGCCATGACGATGCTGGCAGCTTGAGCATGAAGATCCGATCGTGCAGGTGCGCTTGCCATCGGGACCTGCATGGGCGGAGTGACTCGACGGGCCCTGTTGACGAACGCTGCGTCGAGCTCGATCGCTGTGATCGCCATGTACATCTGGTACCGAGGAGCTGTGGACTTGGATGGGAGGCGTACCTGCTTGCGGACTGCGAGTGCTGTGGATCCCTGTTGGCGGCCTGTGGCCTCCTCGGAGTCGTTAACCCCCGTGACTGCCGCGCTTGCCCGGATCCTGTATTGCTTCAAGCTTCAAGAGTGTTGGAAGGAACCGCGGCTTTGCACTAGGCCTGTTGCATAGTTGACCCTGCAGTCCTAGAACTTCATGTCCGAACGACCCTGTATTCGCGCAATCGCGCAGGACGGATGTGCCATACCGACCTGCACCTCCCTGGCAGCACGCAGCACTACAACATGCGGCCCGAGCACTCGATCACCCATTCATTCACTCGCTTCTCAGGCCCCTAGCACCCGAGGCCCGAAGGTTCCGAGCACGCCTAATCTCCTGACGCCCATATAATTAGAGGGTGACCACACCCCATCGCCTTCGCGCCTACCCCCTTCCCCTCGAGGCTCGCGTGCCCTGCGTTTCATATCTCTAATCGGCACATCCATCGCAGGATCGCTCTCAGGCGCCGTGGGCGACGAGACGCGTGTAATCAGCAGACAGCCCTGTTGGCTGATGTCTGATATTGTTCGGGTGTGTGACGCTGTGATCGGACAGTGGGCTCGCGTCGTGGATCATCAGGTCCTTGTCCGTGCGCCTTCGAATGATTGCTCCATTCAAAACGCATGTTTGCTCCGGCTTGGCTTTAGGAGGCCTTCGAATTCTGTGCGGTTCTATCGTGCGCTTCGTATGCTGCAGCAACCCTGGAGACCTACGGTCCAACACGTTTCTGTGAAAGAAAGTGGGCTGCAAGCGATAGAAGCCATTGCTTCGCAATTCAACTCAATTAGTCAGAAACTCTATCATTGTGCATTGTATTGTCCTATGCATTGTATTGGCGTGCCGTCGCGGAGGCCGGTGTGCGGAAATAAGGAGGGAACGCTTGTATCGTCCAATCAACCGCGGAAGTATGAAACGGGCTGCCTGCGTTTCTTCGTGTGGAAGTCATGTTCATGCCGCAGTCCGGAAATGGAGGCCCGGTATGCGCGCGCTCGCGCTTGAGCCAGTCAACGGTGCCTCGTACGTGGGCCGATATGGAAGGGTACATGAGAAGATGAGATGAAGCATGCACGTTGACACCGCCCCTCGGAAGCAATATTGCCAGGGGGTTCACCGCCTGACACTGAATTGAGAAGCACAACGAAATAAGGGGTCATCATGATGTGCGTTTGATAACCATAACCATCCACCATCCAGACGCTAGAACGACAAAATGCAGACTCTTCTTGGTGGCAGGAGAGCGCTCGAGAAGGTGGCACAAGTCTGGACTCACGGGCTTGATTATGAGCCGACCTTTGCAGCCCAAGCGAGAGAAGCGGTTGTGGCCTGGGGGAGAAGATCGATGTCTGTTGAACATGATTAAGCTTGCCACGTGTTGGTCAGCTGCATCCTCACCTGCTTAAGACTCTCGTTATATTCCCGTGTTGTCCGGTCAGTCGTGCGTATCGTAGGGGGTTCCATGTTCAGATTTCAAGACAAGTTTCTCCATCCGGTCGCGCTGAATTTGTTAGAATGCCGCAGCACGGCTCTTGAATTACCTTGCTTGCTCATTGTTCACGCCAAGTAATGAAGGGCTGACGTGAATTTCAGGTGCTATCTGCCGAGACCCTGTTTTCAGGGTGTGATCATCCCTGTTCATTGTTGCTGCAAGCACAGACGTGAAGGAAATTTCAGGAGAGCGCAGACTTAAGGCAGGCGCACCATCCGATGCGTCGAGGGTAAATTGACTGACCAAAGGGGGAAAATCCGTCCAGAGAATAGCATGTTTCTTCTCGGAACGCAAGCTCAGTGCGAAAATCAAACCCTAATGCAGTGATCCGCTGGCACCATCTCCGGTTCCTGACATCCGTGCGTGCATTCATTCATCGTCTCTTGCCAGCTTTCCCCCCGACACCTCGTTTCCCACTCTCATAGCGTGCCGTGCTTATTAACTTGCCAGAAGGAGGTGATCCGCGAAGCCAGAGTGCGTGTGCGATAAGTAAATGGCGTGCATCGGAAGGTAGGAATCGGCTGATCAGCGGAGGGAGATCGAGGCGTCTGTACGTACAACACTCATGTTGTCCACGTCCTGTGATTTCCCTGCTCGTGGGTAGATATGGAAGCGCGCATCGACCTAGTATGGAGAGCGGCTTGTCGCGTGGGAGGAGGCATGGGTATGTCTAGATTGCCGTCGTTGAGGGCGGCAGAGACTGAGGACAAGAATCCGTGGATGAAGGTGCTCTAGAAGCATGAACGCATTGACTTCAACATGCTCAACGGTTTATGCGCGCAATCACAAGGAGAGTGAGAGTTTCATCATCATTCATGGGAAGACGCTCCCACCTAATTCTAATACACGCGCTGATCGTCATTTCGCGCGCGTAGAGGCTGCAACCGTCCATGTAAATTTTCAGAGCTCATGGCTAATTTCGCGCATCAAATGGGTCAGCCAGAGACGGTGATCGGAGAGCCTGCATTCAGGTAGACCGGTGATTCAATGGGTGGAACCCGCACGGGTGGTCCACAGTGATGAGCAGATGCGAGCACCCAGAGCGAAAAGTGGAGTGAGCGAAAAGTCGAGTTGGCAAATGCCTGCGCTGCGGACGTCGATTAGTGTGTTGACCCTCCTGACGGCTGGTAACCAGCTCACCACCCGTAACCGTGCATCGTTGGTATCATCGAGCTGCATATGTGCACTTGAGACTGACGTCGGAAGGCAGCGGCACGCCAGTCGCAGCGGCAATCACAGATGATGGCAACATCGCGGGTTGCGCGAGGGATCATAAACGGGTGGTAGGCGGTCCCGATGGATTGATGCGATCGACCACAATGCGTCCCGGCTACGTCCAGACAAGTGGCAGGAGAACGCAGATAGAGTGTGCGATCACATGTTACACTAGGTCATTAAACAGGACTCATTGTCGTGCATTCAAGCATGCACGTACATGGGACTTTGCGCCTGACAATAGCCATCTGTCCGCTTGAGACACGTAGCGCAACATGATACTCCATCATACGTGAGCCACGATGAGCGGCTAAGCCGATCTATCGCTGAGGAATGCTGCAAGCAGGACTTGATTCACCCTATGAGTCTCTGGTGTGCAGATCGGCTTAGCCGTGAGTTGCACGTACCACGTCGGGATTGCTCATACACAGAGACATCGAAGTTCCAGTGGCAATCAGATGGCACACGTTACAGATCCCGTTCCATGCCTTGTTCTGGGCTGCACTGTCTGTGTTGGAGGCTGCTCAGCGAGAAAGAGTATCAATACGCCGTCGCCTCAGGCATGTATCGAGAGCTGGTTGTATATTATAGCCAGAGACAGTGGGAGTACGTAAAATTCAAGGGCATCGACGATGATGCATTGATGCAGATGGGCGGTAGTGCAAGCAACGTTCATGAAACGGGTCGCACCTGGGAAATCGTGACGAGAGTCACGTGGTCGCGTATGGCTTCATATGCTCTCAAGACGTCTCATTCTCCGACCGCTACATATACGTGGCCATCAATCAAAATGCTATCTGCATCTCCGTCCTTCCTACCACCATCTTCCCCATGGATACCGGTCTATATCGTTTGACTTTGGACGATGGAGGTTGGCCACTTCACACTGTACATCTCCTTGTTCTCATGGCATTGAGCCTGACAGGATCCCATCATTCATCATCGACTTATCAGTCGCAATTGGTAGAAGCCGCGCGCAAAAGAATTGACGATGAAATAGCACAGCTGAAACAGACCATCCATATTCTGAGCCGTCGGCGCAATGGATTGGCACCTGCAAACGGCTTGCCCGCCGAACTACTTGCAGATATATTTACGAGAAACGCATCCGCATATGATGCGCGGTTAGGCGAACAGGATGACCTTTCATGGGCGAGAGTGTCTCATGTTTGCCGATATTGGCGCAATGCAGCGTTGGAGACTCCGCGTATGTGGACACGGATCACGGTCAAGAGCGAGCCGTGGACACGCTTGCTCCTCGAGCGCACGAAGAATCTCCCCCTTGTGGCTCATTTTGATGTCCCGGTAGACTCCTCCCATCCACGAATGAGCGGATTCAGGCTATTAGCCATGAACTCACCCCGCCTTCGAGAGCTTACCATCTCATTTTCCAATGCGCGCACGACTCTCGGCACGAAGTATATGGTTTGGGACGCACTTGCACATCCGGCTCCTCTCCTCGAGTCTTTTGTCATTCAGACGCCTTTCCTAGACAACGTCAACGGTGTGCTGAACAACGTCCCTGCGCATGCACCGGCTGGAGTTTTCGATGGCCAGTTCCATTCGTTGTGGCGTGTAGAATTACATCAGTGCTCGTGGTGTTGGTCCACGTCCCTCTTCTGCAATACAGTCACTCACCTCGTACTCGACGGCCGTTGCGTCTCCTCGCAAACGCCTATACATCAGATCTTCTCCGCTCTAGACTGCATGCCTATGCTTGAAGAATTGGAGCTCATCCACGTCACACCTCCGGTGCCTTGGGACTTCGATCCTCGTACCATCAATGAGCCTCTCGTTTATCTTTCACGCCTCAGCTGCCTCCGCATCGACGAGCTGACACTCAACTGTGCAGCGATTCTTTTTACCATCTCCATACCTGCTGACACGAAGCTGGTGTTGTTCTGCCAGCCTTTCATGCGCTGTGACGAGATACGCGCCATTGGGGCGGCGCTCACGGCCAAGTTCGACCCTCAATCTACCGCGGAACATCGCATGCTACAGAGCTTATCGATCGAAACCAACGCGACAGACACACTGCAGCTGAACTTCTGGACGGATGTTCTCTCCCTGGATGAGCTTCGCGAAGCATCCGTCGGGGAAGCACTGCTGCAGCTTAACGTGGAGTGGGAGGGAATGGTGGTGAACACCTTGCTGACCACCTTGATGGATGCGTGCAACACACTGCCGCTCTCGACCGTGCGCGCGATGTACATCTCAGATTCATTCCCACTGTCAGTGACGGCGTGGCTCGATATGTTTGGATGCCCTCTGCGAGGCCTTACGGAGCTGTGGGTGACCGGGCATTCGGCGACGCATCTACCGCAGGCGCTGTTGAAGTACGCGTGTCTGCGGTGCCACTTCGACGAAGTGCATGGTAGTACACCGGAGCAGGAAGCTATGCCACATGGGAAGCAACCAGTGCTGTTTCCTGCCTTAGATGTGCTGACGCTCGAGGAGGTGGACTTTTCTGTCGACGTGCAGCCAGGGACGAACAAGACGTTGTGGCACCTTTTCGAGGAAGTGTTGAATCTTCGACAAGAGGCTGGGGGCTGCCGACGGTTATCATTCATCAAGTGTAGAAATTTGGTCGGCGACCAGATCTACGACTTGTCGGGACGCGCGGAAGTGACGTGGGATGGAGAATACCTTGATTTTGATCTGGATGAATACTATACTTCGAGCTCGGAAGAGGATTACGAGGAATTTTATGAGCGTGAGAAAGATAAGGAAGGACCTGACAAGGAACACGGAGGAGGTGAAAAAGACGATGATTAGGTATGTGCATGCTCGAATGCTTCTCATGTCATTTCTTTTTCAGACTGAAAATGAGCATAGACAGGCGGAAAGTCTCACGATGCTAAGGATAGGATAACGCATGCTGTCTGCAATACTAGTGTATAAGACTGTCAATTGATATCAGTGAGTCATGCCCTTCTTGCCGCACCACCCGCTAGCCTGCTAGGACAATCTGTAGCCGGGGTCATTCAAAATACGCTAAGCTGGAGCACTAGTCGACATCTATATTCTATCGATTGCTCTGAAGATACATCCTCGCGTTGCGTGCTGCAGATGCAATGTGACCTGATTGAGATCTCTCAGTCAGCAGGCGGATTGAATGCATCTGAGCTTGTTCAAGTCGATCGATCACAAGTAGTTCGACGTCATTTGCAAGCCGGACATGTTCATGTTCAACTCGGCCAGTATCCAGTGTCAGCCTCCCCACAGGTGCATAAATACGCCTATGGTCTGCGAAAGCCTCTTGACTTTCTACCCTGATCATCTCGACGAGACTCTTCTGCTGGGTCGTTGCGACCAGTGCACTAGGCTACCATATCCTGGCTTCTTTCTACTGCCTCAAATTTGGGACTGGTGTTGTCACTGCTGGGTGACTTTGGCGGCTAGCCATACTGGTTGCAGGTGGATATCAGCAATGGCGACACCAACCTGGATGAGAGCGCGAGGCAACAGTCTGGATTCAGCTGCTTCGCGCTGGCGATACCCTGAACTGGGACTAACGGGCTTTGTTGACGTGAGGTAGGCTCGCTCGGATCGTAGAGCATAGGTGATCAAGTAGGTTGCGATAGCTTAGAATTCAAGATGCTACGGAGGCAACACTATGGCAGCAGACTGGCGACACACTGGCGGCTCTTTGTTTAACACTCTGCCTATAACACATGTCTTGGCGACCTTTTGCCTCTACGTACCACTGGTAAAGCATGGTGGGCTCTATTAACCGTAGATAGTCATCCACACTTGAGGTGACTGCCTCTTTTGGCCCCCCATGCCGGCTGGGTAGGTGAGCAATTGGAGTCCGCGTCCGTTGCTCATCTGCCTTCTCGCCATGGAGGGCCCGGGGAATAGGACCTCTCGTGTATTTCCCGGGCATGTATCAACATTTTGACCTCAATTGAGGTTGAGGTGGATACGTGCCCCGGATGCCTGCTAGCAGTAGTACTGCCCATAGTAGTGCATGCCATGTAGTTCAAGTCAATTCTAACGATTAATGCGGTGTCCCTGTCGGCTGCGATGCTGCCTGCAACGAACTAGGAGAGTCATCGTTGCATAATGAGTATTGGCCGCCAACTGTCTTGCAAGTCAGTTTATTGTTGAGTCGAAAATGTAAATGTCAATGCCTGCACAGTGAACATTGCTAGTGGCTGGATCAACGAAGCATCCATTCCGCAAGTTTATTTCCCAATACAAAAATCACGGAACAAAGCGTCCAACACGTCTTCGACATCAATCAGCCCTGATATTTTGCCCACCGCCTGCGCCGCATACCGGAGCTCCTCCGCCGAAAAAACCACATCGTTTGGCTCTATCGACACATAGTTCAGCATCTGCTCGAGAAGAACATATCGGATGAAGCGAGAAACTCACGATAACTGAGAAAAGCATTCAGGAACTGCAACGCGTTCTCGAGATGTACACGTTGCCTTGCATGAGTGACAAGCGGTTCGTTTTGATTGGTGCCACCTTCTTGCATCAAATCATATCTGCACATATGCCAATCAATCTATGTGTAGAAAATGAGATGACAACTCGGCAGACCGTTTTAAAAGTGCTCCGGCGAAACCATCCAGAAAACCTTGCGTCCCCTTGTTCGTAGTAAGACTAACTGCCCAAGCCTTCGCGGCTCCAGCAGCATCTCGGATACAGTTAATGCGCTCGGGGGTAACATCGACCATATCGGTCTTGTTTAACAACAAGTACGTCTCGGAAGTAATCAGCGGTGCGACAGATTGTGGTATTCTGACGCTCGACTGAGACTCATTGTCGCCTACGATATCCGGAAGCGATAGCACACATAGAGCAACGTCTGCTGACTTTACCCTGTTCTGTCCATCAGTATTGACATACTCCACAATATGATGGAAGGCACCGACAGCTGCCTCGCGCGCTCAACTCCGATTTGTTCGATGAGATCAACTGTTTTCCGGATGCCAGCAGTGTCCGCTATGATAACTGGCAAGCCACCGATGTCAAGCGAGAGTTCGAGGATATCACGCGTCGTTCCAGGTATAGATGTCACGATTGCTGCTTCTCGTTGAGCTGAATTTGTTATATAGCGTGAGAGGATGCAGAGCTGTCCATGTTGTGTGCTGACTTACCAAGAAAGTTCAGTAAGCTGCTCTTGCCGGCATTCGGTGGTCCGAAGATAGCTAGTCGTATGCCGGAACGCATGATCTCACCTCTCCGACTATCAGCAAGGTGCGTTTCTATAATATGAATGAGCTTGAGGACTCGTTCTCTAGCTGCATAAAGGTTCGATGATGAGCAGGCTAGACATGAGATCCGCAGGACCACACGTGCCTTGTTCGTATACACCCTCTTCGATGTCTTCATCTTCGCCGAAATCGATAAGAGCCTCTACAAAAGCAAGACAGTGGATAATCTCCGTCCTGAGCTCTTCAAATCGATTCCTTGTGACACCCTGCGCGATGAATTGAATACGTATGGACGTGTTATAATGGGCGGTGGATCCTCTCACCCACCCCGGCCGCCATCAGCGCAGCCCTCCGCTGGCTCTCGGTTTCCGCGTCTATAAGGTCCTTGAGGCCCTCCACCTGAGTGAGGTCCAGACGTTCGCCTTCAAACGCGCGACGGGTAAATTCTCCGGGTTCTGCAGGGCGACAGAAGGGAAAGAGCGATAGAGCATGGAGAACTGAAGATATGACGGCACGGCCGGAGTGGATATGCAACTCGAGAACATTCTCAGTAGTGAACGACTTCGGCGCTGGGAGTAAGGTCAAAAACATACATGCGTGTTAAGATATGTTCGTAAGACTCACCTTTGAAGAATACTACGAGACCATCGTCTAAGAGGTTACCCGAAATGGGATCGACAACCCTGCATCGGTGCATCTTCCAGGACTCAGGTTCCTGCTCACGCTGCTTGCCCTTCTTTGCGCCACCTGCCGTCGTCCTCACCATCCCTTTCCACACTTTCAGGACATCGGGTCCGGATATCCTGATAACTGCAACGCCAGCCCTTCCCGGCGGAGTAGACAATGCATATATGGTCATCTTCTGCGTGTCCGACAGTGGCAGCCGTTCTAAAGTATCAGTGGACGCGTTTCGCACTTGATTCCTGGCGTCTGCTGCAATTGAGTCAACACTCCGTCGGCCATTCGAGTTAGCGAAGTCGCTTTTCCATCTTCCAGATGTGATCAAAGGGTTCACAACACTGTGCACGTCAAGTGGCCAGTATTTCCTGCTTGATACGAGTAGAGATATCCTAGGATTTGGCAGTGCAGTACAATCGTGAGGGCACAGTTGATATCTGCTCGTTGCACGCCTGCATCGCAACATCCGAGATGGCTGTCCTCAACCTGTGCGCCCACGCTGAGCTCGAAAACGCATAAGCGCCCTATGAGCGCCCAAAATCAGGGACAAGCGCCCAGTTTCACACGCTGTCTTTGGAACATTGCCGCGCCTTCTGTGCGGCGGCACGCTCACCTCTTATTCCCCCGCTATCGCTGTCTCGTTCATCTCACCGTCAACCTCGGTCTGCAAGCAGCCTGTAGCTACTGAGGTCACTTGTGCAACAATTATCTCCGCGTTTGAGCAAAGATGGGGCAATCACGTTCGCTACTCTTCCCGAAGTGGCAGCAGTGCTGGTGTATTGACTGTCGGCGTGTTATGCTTCACTGCAGCTTCCCAATTCATGGAGGACATGCAGCGGCGGTCCAATTGTGTGTGGTTTTCTTGCTCGCTATGCTTTACATACTGAGTGCCATGTGGCGTGCGTGCAGTCAATGCGAACGAGCTCGAACGACTGAAGAAGCGATTCATGAAGCTCGACAGGTGAGCCCACTCAAGAACGATCAGCGTGTATTTCAATCGTGATATGACTATTAATGTGCACAGTGATGGTTCCGGCTCGATAGACCGGGAAGAGTTCCTTCAAATACCACAAATTGCCAACAACCCGCTTGCGTCACGATTGATCGCTATATTCGATGAGGAGTTAGTCTTCCTGTTATGTCCGCTTTGTTGAACTGACATTCTGACCCAATGGCTCTGACAGTGGAGGTGGTACAGTTGACTTTCAGGAGTTCGTTGGCGGGCTGAGTGCATTCAGCAGCAGAGGGGGACGGGAAGAGAAGCTAAGATGTCTGTCTTGTCCGATTTGCCCATCGTTTGTGACGCTGACTGTTGCCGCCCGAACCTTTTCTATGCAGTCGCGTTCAAGGTTTATGATATGGATCGAGACGGTTATATCTCGAATGGAGAGTTGTTCCTCGTGCTGAAGATGATGGTGGGCAATAACCTGAAAGATGGCCAGCTGCAGCAGATTGTGGACAAGACCATCATGGAAGCGGATAAGGACGGAGACGGCCGATTAAGCTTCGAAGAGTTTGTGCAGATGGTGTCGAATACAGTGCGTCTTGCCCTTGCCCTCGCAAGTTGCGTGCAGTGCCAGCATGCTGACACGCGCGGCTCCGCAGGACATTGTAAAGCAAATGACACTAGAAGATCTCTTCTGATTCCCTCTCTCCTCGTGTGTTTATGCGTTCTCTCTGTGTTCCCGCGAATATCCCGGATTCTCTCTCAGCATCACCACAGTCGTCTACGTTATCGCTCCCTCGTTGCGCGCAAATGCCTGTCAGCTCCACCCTGCCTATTCATACGCCCGCATGCATGTCCACGCCCGCTCTTACTCTCCTCACGTTTTCCATACGATATAGTCTGTAGCCTCGTAGTCTATTCAACGAACCCTCTGGCATTAGTGAAATAGCGAATGTTCAACGTAACGATCGTCTGATGCGCGGATCTTGCTGCCGCTGATCCCGCATCTTCACCGCCAATGTGGTATCTCACTTTCATCGATACAGCACGACTCTCGGACTCCTCGACTAGGATGCAGCGATCAACCGCCTCCAAGATCTACTTGCATAAGGCAGACATGAAGTGACTAAAGGATCGAGAGGTTGCCAAACTTCTCCTTATAGCCTGATGATAGCCACGATGTCACTATCAGGCCACGTTGGAAGTGATGTTGCAAACACACCTGGTACGACCCACTTGCCCTTCTTGATCATGTTTTCCACCGTTTCGCGTATACGGGGGTGGGCATCGCTAACCTCCTCCGCCTTCATAGAAGATCCGGATTGAGTGAGACGGGGTTATAAACACCGACTCAACAAAGTTACGTACGGTAAGATCCTCGAAGGGCCGTGCGTCTTCGATGTTGGCAAGGGTCGCTTGGAGATCCTTAAGCTCAACGTCAATTTTCTCCGCGGTTTCCTTAGCCGTCGCAACCTATGTGTCGCGTCCCCACAAACATCATCCCAAGCCCACCATCATCGTCAGACACGGAATTTCCAACAATACAACACTTAGTTGCCTGCAGGACATTAGGGAAATTATGGAGAACGTACCGCCTTTGCTTCGAACGTCTCAATCGCCTTGATCTGCGTGCTCACATCGTACGTGATCGGCTTGAAGTCGCGAAGAATCTTCTCTGTCTCATCAATGACAGCAGTGTTCTTGAGCACGGAACGATACTGCGCGAAGTCAACCGTCGTGGGCTGCGAAGCGTACTGCGCGTGAACACGCTGGGCGTCCGCGTGCCGCTTGCGGAAGGCCTGAAGAGCCGCGATGGTCTCTACAAACATTGCGAGCGTATAGCGCGAGACGCGATTCAAAGATAGCCGAACTCACCCTTAGAGAGACCGAGCGTAGAGTAGATTCGGGTGAAGTCCTGGCCAGAGCACGTCATAAATTCCGGAAAGTTTGTGTCTCATCGTTCGCGCTCACCACCGCCGCGGCTGCTGCTTTGGAGGCCATTGCGAGCTGGTTCTGTTGTCTCAGATGTTGTGAATATTACACGGCAGACGCGATGGACGTACGAGAAAACGGATCTGCTGTGGAGGTGGAGTTGGTGTCTGCCGGATGGTACCGGGAATGGCCGATGCCAGCGCTTGTGTGCACGGGCGAGCGGGGCGTATTTACAGGCCTCGTTGTATCTCTCTCGCTCAGCGTGTACTTTCACAATCTCTATAGCTTCACAACTACGGGATCTACAGCATCATGTTGGGGATACAGTACGGTGGTAATCGTCTTTGCAAAGGAACATGCTCTGCTTTATTGTGACCGTCGTAGTCCATGAGGCGGGATGTCGGACGTGGATAGCGAAGAGGAAGCTGGATGTTCATCATCGCAATGGGGTATCTGCAGTTTTTCGAGTAGGTATATTCTCTTTTCTTGGGAGTCGGACGCCTCAGCATATTCGCAGATACCCACGGTGATTTTACATTAATGTCGCATGAATTAAGTACTCAGCACTTAATAAGAAATTGTAACGTATCGGTCCAGACCAGTATCGCATTAAGGACAGGCGTACTCCGTCTGCCAAGTCCTGGTCGGTGGCCCCCGCAGACTAAGGTAAACCTTCACCTTGTGCTCAGGCTCCCTTCCTAAGCACACTTCAGCCCGGCGCGAACGTCTGCAAGGTGGTACGCGTCCGAATCCAAACCTAACACAGATAGCAGCGCCGAGCATGTGCTACAACGAGCTGGGCGACTGCGGGGATGACAGTCGTGTGGCCTGGACGCGGCGGATCTTGACGCACGCCGTGGTGTCTCCGGAGAATAAGACCGAGAGCGAAGGAGACAACACAGGTCTCACCCTAGAGCGTGGTACGCAGGTGAGGAGACGTTGATACTGGCCCGAGCAGGACGGCTGGACGCGCGAGGGAAGCGTGGGCGCAGTAGTGAAGCAGGCGAGCGATTAATGAGCAGCGATCGGCCCCCATCCGGGCAGCGCACGTGATCAATGTCCTATGTCATAAGGGAGGGGGCGTTCAAACCATTCATGCGCACTGCACTCACTCTCAGCACATCCTCCCATCTCGCTTGCCATATCACTCTACCCCCCGACCCTCATACCCATGTTCAAAACCACCACAGTGTACGGCACATCCCTTGATACCGAGCGCCAGGTCTTTGATGACCTTGAACGTCAGTTCACGCTCGACCATGACGCGCTCGTTAAGATTACCCAGCAATTCCTCGATGACATCCGACTCGGGCTGGGAGAGTACAATCATCCAATGGCTATGATGTATGTCGCGCATTTCAGCTCGCGTGAGTTGCACTGCTCATGCCTTTCTCAAGCCCCACATTTGTGACCGGCGTACCAGACGGTTCCGAGACTGGGTGAGTTGCATTCCGCTTCGCCTTCCTTACACACCGAATTATGGCGCGTGCGTCACTTCATCATTAAATGCGACGCACCTCAACTGTTATGGGGCGCCTTCGGCTCCGTTTACGACGCAGAAGAGCGGTGTGGATGTGCCCGGTCTATGTCCGGCATTGGCGCTCCCTACCATAGCAAATTGTCTTTCTCTTCCTCCGGTGCTTCGTTCGGTGTCTGTGGAGCCAGGCACACTAGTGCCTTCTTCGGTGAACTGAGGATTCGTCTCACATGCACCTCGGTGCGATCACCGCACGTGAGCGGTCTTCGCGCTGGCATCATGCACGCGACTGTTTCACTTGCTATAGATGTCAATGTTTATCTCAAATCGGTGAAAGGCGAACATTCGCTGATGAGCATTCCATGCTAGCACATTTCTCGCTCTTGACCTAGGCGGTACCAATCTGTACGTACCATCGATCGCGAGAACAAACAGAGCTACAGCGACATTTGCTTACAGGCGGGTTTGTGAAGTCACGTTGCTCGGAAATCACCAATTCCGTATCCGACAACAGAAGTACAGGGTGTCAGAAGCTCTAAAGACTGGCGAAGCAAGCGCACTATTTGGTCAGTCACCTCTTGCCCAGATGCGACTGTTACTCAACAATATATAGACTACCTCGCCGACTCCGTCGACGCCTTCCTCACCGAGTTCTCCAGTGCCGTCTCTTCTCCCACCACGGCCGACATTACAAATCCTTTCGAGCCTTCCACTCCACTTTCCGTTCCACTAGGCTTGACATTTAGTTTTCCTGTGGAACAGACGGCGATAAATGAAGGGAAGATTCTGACGTGGACGAAAGGCTTCTCGGCAAAAAACGCAGTTGGTAAAGACGTTGTGCGCCTGCTCCAGGATGCGTTCGACAGGAAGCACCTGCATGTGCGCTGCGTTGCGCTTGTGAATGACGTACGATGCTTTAATTATGTTGTGCGAGTATCTATCCTGATATGACATATATCGCAGACAGTAGGGACCCTTCTGTCGCGTGCGTACGCTGCTGGGTCATGCTTACTCGGTGTGTGCTTTGCGCTCATAACAGTTCGCATCATCCGCTCATGTCTGATGATCATGTAGGCGCAATTTTTGGCACTGGAACCAACGGTGCATATGTCGAGAATGTCGAAAACATCACCAAGCTTGGTAACTCTCCAGCACGCCAAAAGGGTGGGCTTATGATCATCAATGCGGAATGGGGCGCGTTCAACAACACTGTAGGAAGGCGTTTGATCTACTTGTCTCAAAACGCTAATGATGTCGTTCTAGCGTTCAAGACTCCCCACGACTTCCTATGATAACAAACTTGATCGAGAGTCGATAAACCCGCGCAAACAGGCCTTCGAAAAGTTCATTTCGGGAATGTACCTCGGCGAGATCACTCGGAATATCCTGCTTTCCTTTATCGATGCCGCGCCGAAGCCACTTCTTTTCAATGGGAATTCGAGCGAGCCGCTAAACACACACTATGGACTCGACACGGCGGTAATGAGCGAGGTTGAGAGCGCGTGGGAGCTGGGCCGCACCGACGCCGCCAAGGTGAACGGCGCCAACGGACACGTACCGAATTGGCAAAGCGTCCACTTCACGGACGTAAAGGCACTAGGCAAGGACGACATTGCGCGGCTAGAGCGTATCCGGGAGATCCTGATCCAGAGGCTGCTGCTCGTCCCGGAGAACGTGTCCTTGCGCGATGCGGCGATTGTGCGGTGGACGGTGTCCCTTGTGGCGAACCGGGCGGCGAGGCTCAGCGGGACCGCTGTCGCTGCGGTTCTCGTGCAAACGGGCAATGCGAAGCTCGGAGGGGGAGCGCCGGCACCGAAGGAGAATCTCATCATTGGTGTCGATGGCAGGTAGGCTATGTGAAATGAAGTTTTCAGGAGCGAAGGCTGACGGTGATTCGCAGTTTGATTCAGCACTATCCGAACTTTGAGGCTCGGCTGCGCTCTTCTCTCCGGTCCTTGGTGGGAGAGGCGGTGGAGAAGTGCGTCGAGATCGACTTGGCAAAAGACGGAAGTGGTGCAGGAGGTAAGTGTTTGTTCGTTTTAACCGTAGCATGTCAACTGAGTGTTCATCGCAGCCGCGCTTTGTGCTCTGCAAGCCATTAAACAGGGTTTATAACCAACTTTCCTCTAGCCAGCATCACAAGGATCATTCCAATACATACATCTAGTTTCCACCAGCATTGTTGAATACGCTATTCCTCAGATTATCGACTTAGAGGAACATCCAGGGCAGTTGCCTTATTTCCCGCTGTTGTTTTAGCTGTCTGTCCTAGCCGACCGCTTGCAGTAGTACAGTATACCGGGTCTATAGACGCGTTACAGGTAGACCGGACGGACATATGATCACGTTCAAGTGTATGTACATTACTTTCTTCTGTTCGTAATAGCGTGAATTGTTTCTTTGGCAATCACATTTGTAGTCAATGGATTAAGTCGGAAGCGGGATCATTATTGGTGGCCACCGCGCTGCCCATGGGCGCTAAGTATTATCTACAATGGCCTCGAGCGCGAGGACGTGTCTTGCGCGAGATTGACCTCATCCATCGGTCGGCACACTGCATTTGTTTTGCGAGAAATCTCGGTCAATCGTCAGCGAGGTCTCACACTTGACTGAAGCTATTGCACCTGCAGCGGCCTACCTACAGTGACTCTACCGCGTGATCAGTCTCAGGTCTGCTCACTGCCGTCAACTGCAGAGGATATCCAATGGCTATAGATGGTCTCATCATACTGGATTCCATCGGGTGAGCATTCAATGATGCTTGAGACGGCGAGACTGAAGGGTCGAGGCTGACGAGAGCAGCCATCCAGTCGTACAGTCGGGCTTCCGTTCATCGGTTGCAGCATACCCTATTCTACATATTGACGCGGTGAACAATGCCCTTGCCAATGCTTCACGCCCAGACGACGTCGATCCTGTGCTATATGTGCCAAGTTTGACTCTGGACGCACCGACGGCGTGCTGTCATGCGAAGGTCGGTGACATGAGGTTCTTGTGTCCCATTAGTGGTGACGGTGCGTCCGAGCCGCATGAATCCCGTTGTGCAGAATGAAGAGACTCACTGTGTGTGTAGTGGATCCCCTATATGCGTTCGCCTTTATGCAGACGTTTGCCGACATCCTACGGGAATACTTCGGCCACATTTCTGCGGAAACGCTGAAGGAGAACTTCGACGTCGTGTACCAGGTGCGTATCTTCCGTCGGCCTGCAGAATCTCTTATTCTTACATCTCAACGAGCAGCTACTCGAAGAGACTCTAGACTCAGGCGGCCATCCCCTCACCACCTCATCGAATGCACTGCGGGACATCGTTCTCCCTCCTTCCCTGCTCAACAAGGTTCTTTCCGTGGCTGGCGTCTCAGGTCTTGCGACGTCATCAGCCAACTCTCATCCTTTCGCGTCGCCTATACCCTGGAGAAAAGTAGGCGTGAGGTACAACAACAATGAGATTTACTTCGACGTGGTTGAGACGTTGGAAGCGATCATCAACAAGTACGTAAGGAGATAAGCTTGTTCGAGTTCAATTGTCATGATGGGACTCATCAAGAGCTTGCCTCTCCTTTGCGCATGCGTAGGAATGGCACGCCCGCCGTGAGCAACGTATGGGGCAAAGTGCTATCAAATTGTAAACTCTCAGGTGGCTACGACTCCGCTGTGCATCGAAGTTCGCATGCTGAATATGCCCAGGCACGCCTGACCTGCTGTTGACCCTCTCAAACTCACAATCCCTCACCGACTGTTCATTCCATCCATGCGTCCGGTAGGTCTGCATTGGTTCGCGTCTTTGCCTTCGCAGAATAGCTATCTAACATCTGACGGCAATGCAGACTGCAGCGGTGGGCGCGCGACAAAACGCTGTCTTTCGTTCCACCAGACGGCCGTTTCAAGCTCATGGAGTATCGCTACGCACCCGTCTCAGTATCGACCGTGCACCAAGTGGCGGTACCATTTGCACTGCGGAGTGCAATAAATGTCGAGGAGAATGGCGGTGAGCAATGGAGCGCCGTGTATACTGACATGCCTGAACTCGCGTGCGCGTAGGCTCATTTGACCTCACGCTGGGTTCACGGCTAACGACACGCGCTCTCGATAATGTCATGGTCGAATTGTTCCTGGGGGAGGGTGCATCGGGAGCAAATTGTGTAGCATCGCACAACGCCTCGTGGAGCTTTGATCCAAAGAGCCTGGTATGATTTATACATGCAACACAATGGCCCGCTGAAACGTTCTGACGGCATTCATCCAGAACCTTCGCTGGGAGTTGCAAAATGTCCCGGCATCGTCGAGCTACACCTTGCGTGGCACGTTCAGCTCCAGGTATGTGCCTTCATTTGCTGACAGCCAGTCTCGGCCACAATTCTTTGATAAACTTGTAGTGCAAAGATTCCTCGTCCATCGCGTGCGTTCCGGATCCATTTCGACATCACGCAGCATAGCTTCTCTGCCTTAAAGATTGAGCAGTTAAAGCTTACCGGCGAGATGTACAAGCCATACAAGGGCATGCGGGGGAAATCCGCAGGCGATATCGAGTGGCGATGGTAGGCCATCATCGAAGTACAGATCAGCGAGAGAGAACGGAGAAGAGCTTTAAGCGCGCATCTAGAGCATTAGTGTGTACTTTTGCGAATGAGTGCCGTCAACACGAAGATAACAGTACGTTACAACGATGATACACTTCATCCAGCGCGTGCCAGCATCGGACCCTCATAGCATATACCGCCCATCCATTTGCCACTTTTCATACCGATCTCTTACCGCTTTCCAGTCCAATACTGACCAGAATCGCTTCATATACTCTTCCTTGCCCCAGACACCGTACCCAGCGCTGACCCACGCATGTTCGTGTACGGACACGCAGAACAACGGGAAGAGCCGTTCGCCGAGTGTTGACGAGTCTACGTCGGAGAATCCACTCGTGCCATCGTACAGGCTTCCTGCCCGTTTGCTGTAGATGTTGGACATCGCATAGGAGCGAGTTTGTGTCGGTGGATGCAGTGGCGGCCCTGCATGCGAGATGCCGGACACGGGCGAGGAGGGTGTCGGTTCTGGCGACGGTGGGAGCGGTGGTGATGGGATGCTACTGGGAGCAGGCGACGCATCATCGGGTGCGCTCCGCCGCGCGTTGGATTCCAGCTCGCCCACGATGAGCTCATGCTGCTGGTACACCTGGGATTTCCGCGAGCGGATGAGCAGCGTGCCGGTGCCGAAGGTAGGATAGATGCTCAGTGCGCCGGTGTTGTCGCAGACAAGCCACATCCAGCCTGAGGAGAACATGCCGAGGACGCCGGCGCTGAATTCGGACTTGAGCTGATCGAGGCTCGAGTAGTCTGTCCGAATGCGGTGGTGGACCGCGGAATTGACGAGCTCGCCTTCATGTGAACTTGCATCGGCAGGAGGGGGTTTCTGCACGACGTAAATCGCTTGTGTTTGAGAAACATGGCATGAGAAGGATGCAGAGAATCACAGACCATAGATTGGAGGAAATACGAGTTGTTTAATGCTTCGCTAGCATAGTTGAAAGCCAAAATTTGACTTGGGTCTTGAGCAGCTTCTATGACAGTCTGCACCACGCTTTTATTTTCCAACACGGTACCTGCAGCGTCGTTTACGATCATGCAAATGTTTTAGGTGTAGATGCATGACGCTACTCACCCTTGACAGAGTCGTTCAGCCTGTCCAGCAATCCTTGCTGATAGTCCTCAGCAATCATCCTCAACGATGTCGGCGGCAGGAACTCTCCTAGGCCCTCATTAATTGGATAAGGCAGTGTCGTACGCTGGTGGTTATGCCTTGCCCGCAATTGCCGACCACGCGTCCATGCATGCGAGAGACGCGTCGCCCGCGCGCTGCCAGCTGCAAGCCGAAGACCAAGAGTCGTCATGCGCGAAATGGATAGTAAGTCGTTATGCAAAGCAAGCCAGCAAAGAGAATGTACCGGCGAGCAAGCCACCGGGCAAGTCGCCGCGCAGAGTTTTTGGATACGGCCAAACGCGCGCTCGTGACTGCCCGTTATGGAAGGCCTCTCGATTTGACTACGTTGCCTCCGCCTACTGCGGCCATTGCATTCGTGAACCTCTACTCACTTGTACTGAGCCGCGACAATCATGGCACCACCAAAATCTACGGCAGCGAAACCAACGTCTTCCAATGCTTTGGGCTCGTTGCTCAATGCGTACATCGACACGACGCCCTCTCGGCTTAAGCTGATCGACGCGCTCCTGCTGTTCCTGATGCTCACTGGCATCATACAATTTGCCTACTGTGTTATCGTCACAAACTTCCCTTTCAACGCATTTTTGGCTGGGTATGCAGCTGCATTGTATGCCATGCGTATTCATTGGCTCAACACAAGGTTTCAGATTCGGCAGTTGCGTAGGACAGTTCGTCCTGACGGCGTCATTGCGATCTCAAGTCAACCCAGCGAACAGAGGCGAGTTCAAAGAGGTGTCTCCTGAACGGTACGTGTCGGTCTGCAAACGCGCAATGTTCTTCATATCAACGCATCTTTCAGAGCATTCGCAGACTTCGCTCTTGGTTCTTTAGTACTGCATTTCTTTGTATACAACTTCCTTGGATGAGCGTGCTCGGCTTCCATCGCGGAGTGACCCCTCCGACCAGAACGAAAGCTTATATGAGTGCTCATTCGCGACGATCGTACATACGGTTTACATATATACCCTTGCCCACGTTCTAAGGATACCGGAAGGAATGGTGTGAAGTAATATTACAGTGAGAGAAAGCAAACTCATCCGGCGTTACAGCAAGCGAACAGAGCAGACAGTGATGCTGTTTGCAATGATGCAATGAGGTCTTTAATCACGTCTCCTCTCAAAGGATGACGATCGCTGCGGCAGAGCATAAGCCTCGTGAGCAACGCGTGGGCAATTGAGCGAGACATACCCCGAAGACTACCACTGCAAAGTCAAATATGTACTCCCCTGACAGAGAATTCATCCATGACTGTGAGAACTGCATGCATCGCAAGTTCACATACCGAACTCGAGGTAAGACCGCAACAGTTCTGGCGATCGATGAGCCTCAGTATGATCTCTTGTGAACGACGATGCACACACGACACTCACGCCTGATATCCTTGTTGGGCACGTCGGATAGCTTGGGCCTACCGTGCGCGATAAATCAATTGGTGTATCGCTCATCGACCGGTGACCTGGACATACGTTAGGCCCGTCGTCCGCCTAATCCCCGCCAAGAAGGCACTTAGGAGGAGCGCGTCGAAGCCGAGGTGGATCAGAGTCCCAAACATTGCACTTTATGTCAGATGAATCCTCGGCGTGTTGTTATCAAGTATACTGAGCGTTGGAACTAGCGACGGGCAAGGTTATGGAGGGACTGTGAGACAGTGGCACGCAAGGGCACGCATGAGCGCTCGGATGCTCGTGTTCATCGTGCCACGTGGGCCACGTGGCTAGATCGATCTGCAGCTGCATTTAGTACCGGGCCTTTGGTCCAACTTGAATTGACCGTGCTTCGCTTTCTTTGAGCTCATCTTCATATCTCAGTCTCAGGAGAGTGCAGCCGGAATTTTACCCTGCTTTTCCAAATCGTTTCTGCAAATGCCGCCGACGTGGAGATCCACAGGTTCGGGACCTGCTGGGTCGTCCTCAACTCCCTCTCGAACATTGTCACGAAAGGCCAAAAGACCAGAGCGTGTATACACGGACGTTGTACTCACAATACAGCCGAAATACGCCATCCTCATTGCCCAGCGGGAGAAGAACCACGAGTTCAGGTCGTACCAGCGACGAGCCGATGTGAAGCGGCTATGGCTCTATGAGTCTGCACCAACCTGTGCTATTACGTATGTGGCCTCGCTGTGTGTGTTGAGACAATGTAGTCATCGAGTATTGGTGAAGATGTGTAGTCGAGACATCCGCTCCCAAGACCCCGGGCCAGCTACGCGATTCGGCTGGTGTAGGGAACGATGCGTTTAATGCACATGAAAAGACTTCATATGCGTACCCTATACGTTCTCTTTACATAGTTTCTCCACTAATTACACGCAATGTATGTGGATGCGGTACGGGATGTTTTCTCCTGTGGGTTTTTGCTACGCTAGTCGGCAACTCATTGAAGAGTATCCGTTGGAGAGCATGGTGCGTCTGTTCTGATGGCTTAGAATTCGCTGCAGGGCATTGCTGTGTTACGGTTGTCGATAGGACACTTTAGTAACCCCATGTCTCACTTCATTCAGACTTGTACAAAAGTAACGAAGAACCGCCCCGATCCTCAATGTACCTTTTGTCGTACTATCGCCGCAGAGGCTGTTGCGGAGCAGAAGGCAGTCGGGCAAGGTGCTCGGACGTCGGAGCGCCATCATTGTGGCCGCACTCTCACTGTGCAATGCACTCGCTCGCCTCGCAGATTGGCGCACTCTCGAGTTAGGCATAAGGCCGCCCTTGTCTAAATTAAACGGTCGCCATTCATTGCACTGACAGGATGTGCGCACGGGCAGTGCGTCCCGACTTTGATGGTTGCCGAGCGATGAGCGATCGGGATATGCCGCAGCGCAAACTTGCCTATTTGTTCGTCGTTGGACTCGCTGTCTCCTTCGGCTTGCCCTCATCCTCCTCCATCTGTACATCCGGCCGCTGCGCCCTTCGGTCCTGTCTTTCTTTACCTCTACGTTCTTTAAGAACAGCCACTCTTTTCTGTAGCAATAACGCTCAATACTATGGACCATTCCGCAGCAACCGACGCAGCCTCGGAGGAGGCCATCCTCGCCGACAAGATCAGGGTATGCAACTCGCGTTCTGCTTCATCTGCATTTCTAACAAGCTACGGCAGCTGGATTCGTTCAGACTAGGCAGAGCCCCACCATCCTCGAACATGTCAAACGGTCCGAACCCGCGCCACGCGCGTTCTCATTCTCGAAACGGTTCTGTATCTGTGCCTCTCGCCTTCCCTACGCCATCGGCGACGGCCATCGACGAGTCGTCTGCACACACCCCGCGCAGTTCGATCTCCAAGCGCAACTCGCACCACCGTCGTCGCTCCTCCGTCTCTACCCGCCGCGAATCCGCAGATATGATGGGGGTTGCTCTCCCCAGTCTCACGCCCTCCACGTCCGAAGACAATATAAGCCTCGGCGACAAGGACTCTATCCGTCGCCGTGCGCTCTGGGCGCTCGAGGGGAAGACCGATGTTGGTACCTTCTCCAAGGTAGAGATACCCGAGTTCGATACAGCAGAGACCGCAAAGCGATCATTCGAGTTTCGTGAGTGGACTTTCTGTCCAGTCACAGATCGTACGCTGATCATGTGTAGCGACGAAACCCTCTTTCCCTCCCGGCATTGGCAGCAAGCGCGACTCGCTCGGCAAATTCATGTCGTCCTCATCGACGAAGGAGCAGTTGCACACTCTCGTGGAAGAGGAGGAGGAAGAGGAAGAAGTCGTCGCTAGCCCCGACGGAAGCGCATCTTCTCAAGTCACAGTGGCATCGCCCGCTCCGACTGCAGCGCCCTTCCGCCATCGTCCAGCGAGTCTGAACCTGCGGCCGCTGTCGCTTCCGCAAATGACGGACGACGGCCTTCCTACGCCTGGACGCACGCCGAGTCCAAACGCCGGCATACGCTCCGGCCTCCGATCGCTCACATTGCCCGCCAGGCGACACTCGCTCATCGCAACGCAGTCTCCCTCGCCAATGTCCGGCACGTTCGCACGCCGGCCGTCGCTGAACATGCCCGCACCCGGCCAGAGCCAGTCCTTTCCGCAGCCCGGGCGGCGGAGCAGCATCGCCTACGTATGCTCGGCGGGCACCCCACCGCAGTCCGTGACGGGCCTGCCGACTCCCGAGATGACGCCCACAAGCACGGGCACGAGCGTGAGCGAGGACTTGGAGGCGTTTATTGCGAGCCGTCCGTCGCGCCCGCTGTCGACGAGCGAGCAGCACTTTCTGTTCCAGGCACACACGACGCTCGTCCGGCGGATCACCGACCTCGAGCGCGCGCTGTCATCGCGGGCTAGCCGGCCATGGTCGCGGCCGGAGTCGTGCGCGTCTGAGTCGTCCGTCGTGTCAGGCGTGAGCGAGCCGAGCGACGAGATGCTGCAGCTGATCGCGGACCTCAAGGCGGAGCGCGACGAGCTGAAGAAGGACGCCGATGGTTGGCGCGTGCGTGTGGCCGACCTTGAGCGTCAGGCAGGCAGGTATGCGCAGCTAGTGGAAGCGGAGCGACAGGCTGTGTGGGCGGTCCAGGAGCGGGCGGGGCTGCTCGAGGTTGAGAAGCGCACTTTGGAGGAGGCCCTTGATGCGAGAGCCACCGAGCTGAAGGAAGCAAAGCAGCAGCTCAATCAAGCTAAGGCTGACGCTAAGGGCACCAAACAGGAGTGCGAGAGGCTGAGAGGAGAGGTCGAGCGCCTTCAAGATGTCGAGGCGGAAGTCATCAAGTTTCGGGATGCTTTCGAGTCGGAGAAGAAGAGGAGGGAGGAGATCGAGAAGGACCTTGAGCACGCCGGGCTACTGGCCACGCCACGTGCGTTTGAGACGACAACGTCGCAGTTCTCTGCGTCGATCTCGCGCAGCTTGATGTACACGAAACGAGGTCTTGGGTTCCAGTCGATCGACTCGGAAAGTTCATTCACCGACGTGGATTCTCTAGACAGCCCGCACGACAAGCAGGAGTTTGGGCTGAACGCTGTGCAGGAGGAAGACGAGGAGACGCTCTCGAACTTTTCGGAAGAGGATGAGCTCGCGCGATTCGAGGACGAAGAAGAGGGTGACGCGGAGGCGTTCCCAATGTCATTGTCTACCTCATCCTTCGACTCAGGAGAGGACGAGACGCACACTTCGCCAAAAATCAACGTCGTCGAAGTCTCGCCTCCATTGATACGCCAGGCCACGCAGGAACCATCGCCGGTTCCGACTCCAGTCGCACAAAGCCATGCGCGGCATGCCTCTCTGCAGAAGGCGTGGACATTCCCGGCCGGCTGTGCACCCTCACCCTGGGCTGGCGGTCCCGAGGAGATCGACCGTTTCTTCGGCTGCCTGGAGGACGTGGATAACTCACCGCCGATGGACTCTCGCCTGCACTCGTTCGAGAGCAGTAAGAGGCTGTTCGCGCAGGCGCTGGCTGAGGCGGACGACGAGCTTCCGCCGTTTGTGCTGCCCTCGCACGTGGGTGTGGAGGTGTCGTCACCCGAGATAGAAGAGCAGAGGCACACGCTGGACGTCGTCATCGAGGTGGAAGAGGAAGAGGACATGCCGAAGAGCCCGGAGGATGAGTTTGTAGGTGAGGTTGACGAGGGTGGGATCAAGTTCACGTTCATGATCCCGCCTGAGTACCAGGAGAGTCTCGTAGAGGAATCGCAATCTGACACTACGTCGGCGACTTTTGAGACTGATTCATCAATAACTGTAGTCGCTTCGGTAGGTGAGGGCGAAGATAAGACGCTCATGCTCCCTCAAACTCATCAAGATCAGATCGCTGCCTTGCCTTCGTCCATCCCTCGTCCGACGCCTATCAGGGCATCCTCGATACCCGTGCCAATTGGTGCTTCCTCTCCGCACCGGTCTCCTTCCGCTTTCGCCTCCCGCAACTGCAACATTCCCGCCACTTTCGCTTCACCTACCACGAAACGCGGAGGGAGTCCGCCTACGTCCATTCCGCAGCCGCGGTTCAAGAGCTCCTCACCTTCCAGCTCCAAGGTGGCTTCGTTCATTCCGCAGCCCAAACGAACCCCATCGCTAGCGTCCTCCAGGCCATCTACATTCCCGCTCATGAGTCCTCCCAGTACGCCCCTCTCCAAGCCTTTCCCTTCAGTGTGTGTCTGATCCTTCTCCTTGTGCGCCTTTAGCCAAGATATCGACTCCGTCGCCTAAACCCCCTCGAACAATCACGTCGAGTCTTCCTTCCGCCTCCCCGACAATGAAGTGTAATGTTTCCCTTAGCTCAGACCATTCTTCCGGCTCGCCTCCCGCTGAGTCTTCCGCGCAGTCCCCGGTTTCTCCTTCGTCGCTCATGTCCCTCTCCCCTACGCTTGCTGCACGATTGTCTTTTCAGACGTTGACGAACTACATTTCCATGCCCTCACTCCCTTGGTCGCCTCGCTCTTACAAGTCGTCCGCCGCCGCCGCCGCACTGTGCTTGAGCCCTGAGAGATCAAGCATCTCGAGCTCGTCAAGTAATGAGTCTCTGAATCATCACAAACAGACGACATTCTCCGAAAGTATCGGTGTCAGGTCCGTGAGCGCTCGGCCGAAGGAGTCCCCGTACGTACAGAGGGAGAAGCAATTGGAAAAGTTGAGGCTCCGTATTGAAGATGAGCGTCGCCTGCAGCGTAGGGATGTTCCCAACGTCAACTCTGGGAGAGCCTTGGAGGGGCTGCCGAGTACATGAGGTGTGCATACTCATTCGCAATGTGTGGCATTTATTGACTGCCGTGATCAGCTCTTTGATCGTCTCCTTCACGGACCCTTTGCTATTGTTATCTCTATCGTGTCACAACATCATGGCCCTTTGTTATCTACGCACCCGCATCGCATACACAAACCGTTTCTCAACTTCGCATATGGCCGCCATTTCTTTTTTTCTTTCTGCATTTTCTCCACCTCTGTTGTCATTGATTGTCTCCTTAACATATGAGAGCTTGACGCTCGATCGGCGGCATGCACGCTGTTCAGACTTTATGGACCCCTGTGTGTTGTGTGATGTGCGGCCTTGTGCCCTGTAGTTCTACGTTCTTCGACGTCACACCGTCCCCGCAATAAACATGCCTTGAATATGTTTGATGAAATAGTTGGCATAACTGCGCGCGCTTGGCGTTGAATTTGATTATTGTGCGTTGCCCGCACTCTGATCGATGATCAGTGATCTGGCCCGATCAACGATAGACGCCCCATTACCACCAAAATCCAGCCGTCGCACAAAGTCAACATCCGACCGGAGCAGTTGTCACTGGGCCTCGTTTCACAGCCAAGTTGCACCATGCCGATTTACTCAGCGATAGCAATAGTGACTGCAATTATCACAGGAGTAAAAAAATTGTCCCTGCAGTAGAGTCGGTAGCATCCTCCCCGCATTCCAACGACATCAACTACGAGTACGTGTGGTCACTGCGGCAATTGCCAATCAGCGAGAGCAATACTATCGTTGTTGGAGAAAGAACTCACGTATATGCAAAGCCAACAACTTCATTGTCCGTGTCAAAGATCTGAAATCGCGAGCCACCATTAGAGACCGCCACTCACTCGAACAGCTACGTCGCCCCACTCACCGCATAGTACCTCTCCATGAACTTCTGCCCAATGATAAAGTCCAGACCTTCACCACTGGGAGAGCCGATCGGGCCGATATATCCATACTGCAACCCGGGCTCCGCGCCCCATGCGACGTTCTGGTCGCGCGGGAGCAGCTGCGCCTCGGCGTCCAGCGTGAAGGTCGTCCCACCGATCTCAAAGTCGAAGTCCTGCATGCTCGCGACCGATGACTCCGGGATGACGATCAGGCCCGTGTTGTCGTCATAGTACGCGCCAGGAATCGCGTTCTGGTAGGTGGAGTAGAAATCGTCGGCGATGTAGATTACTGCACACAGCGATTACCTTCAGAAAGGGCAGTTGAAGAGATGACATTGGCACATACATGTTGTGCCCGTGTCGACGATGCCTGCGTCTGAATACGGAATGACCGCAGCGTCTCCATACGTGGCGCGCGTGACATTAATGCCCCAGTAGTAGTTCGACGGGTACGTTGTCGTGACGGGAGTATAGGTGATCTTTCCAGTATACTGGGAAAGCCATCAGCATGCGTGCAGTTAGCATTGAATGTGACGTGTCGTACCAGAGACGAATCAATACCACCAAATGTCAATGCTCCGTCTGTCCGCAGCATATTAACATCAACCGCCGCATCTGAGCGCAAAACGTACTGGTGTCGCTGTAGCTGTCCGCCGGTGCAAATGACACGCCGAGGATCTGCTTCGAGATGAGCCCTTGCTCGTATGCATTGTTCATCACCGTCAGAATCTCCGCGTTGACATCAGGGTAGAGAGTATCTAGAGTGAGATCCACAGGGCCGACCCCAATGATCCCATCTACACCTCTATCATACAAAACTCATGAGTCTATCACCGCTGAGGTCGCCAAGCATACTCACTCGAAATCAGCGTACTCAAGCGCGTCACCAATGGACTGGTTCTTGATGACGAATCCAAGGGCGATCGTCACCTGGTCAAGATCTATGAGATACGGTTAAGTGACCGTTAGCATTTGGAAGCGCCACAGTGAGGCAACCGAGCATACATACATTCGTATCCCGAGAAGAAACCCGAGCCGTACGTGACATTCACTTCCTGTCCAGTGGGGATACTCGTGCTCGTGCGGACGTACGTCTTCCCGGTCCTATAGGCTATTGACACATGTGTCCTGTGGCACACGACAGCAGCACTCACCCTACGAACGTATTCGAGCTGCCTGTGTCAACGACGAGATTGTAGTACGTCGGAGGGCTGCCGACACCAATCAACGCCGTGTACTGCACGTACGCAAGGTTCGTCGCCGGAATGGTCGCCGCCTCACCCTTGGCTCTGCTCTTCATGAGCGCCGCGCGCGCACGCTCCGCATCGGGCGCGCCATGCATGTACGCGCCCGTCCTGTTCTTGACGGGCTCGAGCGAGACCTTGGTGAATGCGCCCACGAAGGACGCGGACACGACGGCGAGGACAACGGACGCTGCGAGCGACTTGAACATCGTGAGCTAGCTATGCGAGGAAGTCTGCGGGCGAAGCCTTGACTGCCCCCGTGAAGTCATCACTGGCATATATATAATCCCTCCGGGCGAAATGGCAGTGGATGGGAAAGCAAGCAACACCCGATATCGCACCGCATGGCGCGTGAGCTACCCAGCCGAGGTGCGGAGGCCGTGGGGCGATTCGTTGTGGTGCAGAAGCAGGGACGAGCATGCTATTTTCAGCGGGAAATCTCGCGCGCGTGATGGACAGGGACGGCCCATTCAGCGGCCATGCGTGCTGAAGGTGGTGGAGATAGCACCTCGAGGAAGCATATCCGGAGTCTGCGCCATATAATGGTTTGAAAGGATTGTCTGGTCTGACCACGGGAGGCTACCCGAGGAACACAGTATAGCTTGCGGTCCGGAAATCGTGAAGCGAGGGCGCTGATTCCATCATGCATCAGACCGTGCAGCATTGAGGATGCAGAGAACCGAACCGAATCTGGTAGCGAACCGCAAACCACTCTAATCAAGCCACGTGATGGACGCGTCGCGGTCACGATTCGACGAACGACGACGAGCGCTCGATGCGAGTGCCACCCAAGATCGAGAATCGACTACGACGTGTTTCCTGATCATACTTTATTGCATAACTCATCAAAGACTTTTTTGACTCTACGACTCTCCTCATTATTAGAATACTATTGTTATGGCAGCGAGCAATACTATAGACTCCTTTCGGCATAGCATCTCTTCTATATTCCACCAGGCGCAATTCTCTATGGCAAATCATCACAAGAACTGCATTTCCCTCTATAAACTCCACATGCGCACTGTCGGCCTCTGCAATGCTGCTACCTCGAAGACAGCTCGGATGTATAAGGAGGCCTTCGATGATGTGTTCATTGACATGATCTCCCGGGTCTTACCCGTGAAAAGCGGCTCTCCTACTGCTGAACGCGTCATCAAGTTTATACGCTCGTATGTCAGGCTACTTCTGGAGAAAGGTACGTGCAATGAATTGCTCGATACCGCAATCTCTTGTGCCATATGAATATTCTCAACTCATCATAAAGGGAGATTTGTCTGGATCATATGGTTCTCGCTCATCTTTTCGGATATGAGTTGTATCGTGGACCTTGCTCACTGTTCCTTATCCAGACGAGGGCGAAGGCGAAACATTCTCGGCGAACTTCATGTTGCGTCTGATCCGCTGGCTCCTCGAGGGATTCTCAGCCAAGGATACGACAGTCCGCTACAGAGCGGTCAGCCTTGTTCAGATACTGGTGATACACCTCAAGGGACTTGAGTCGGTCTTCTGCGTTCTTACGATATGCTGTGTACTCACTCAGTCTGTTCATAGTGAGGATACATACAACATCCTGTGTCAAAGCATGATCGAACGTTCACGAGACAAGGAAAGCAACATACGAGTATCGGCAATCGCAGCGTTATCGAAGCTCGTGATTGGCGAGGAGCCTGTTCATATACCAGAAGACCAGCCGAGCATTATGGAGATCATGCTAGAAAGCTTGTGTTACGATCCTTCTCCGTAGGTCATCTTCCTACATTGGTGACCAGCACGCGCTACAACTCCTTCATGTTCAGTGAAGTGCGACATGCCACTCTCCAGCACATCCCAGTGATAGCTCGCACGCTGCCCGTAATCCTCACTCGCAGCCGGGACGTCGACCCATCGGTTCGAAAACTCCTGTTCTCTGCAATCCTCTCTTCTGCTATTGGAAGAAGCAAATATAGCACTCCAGATCCGACCGCAGACTTTCTATTATATCCACAGCAGCTGACCCTCGCACAGCGGGAAAAGGTTGTACGTGAAGGATTGGACGACAAAGATGCATCGGTGCAGGTCGCAGCGGCCCAGATGCTCGCTGAATGGTTCGACAATCTGCGACAGGATGGTGACAACGTGTCTGTTACGGACAAGCTACTGGAGTTTGCGAGACTTTTTGATGTCGCTGCGCCGGAGGGTATCGATATTGTGGACCGTGGAATGCGCTCGCTGTTTGATACTAATCCTGACATCCTTCGTGAAGTTCACTTTGACGGTGAGCTTCCCCAGACCAGTGCACCATTCACACTGACAATGACACTCGATCGACATGCAAGCTAAGTATTGGAATATGCTGACTCCGGAGTCCGCCTTCCTTACACGCGTCTTCCTCACTCACTGCCGTGAGAATAACAAGGATGCTCTCCTCGACTCGGCTGGCTTCCCTGACGTGACTACTCTGGCATACTACTTGCAAGATTCCTTCAACGCCCTTCTGGACGCGATGGAAGAGATCGAGGATGCGCGTCTCACTGTAGCATCGGGTCGCGTCGACGGCGATGATGACGGCGACGAGGAGCTCGACAGGAAGGAAGATGCTGTACTGGAACGTACCGTCGTCGCCGGAGAACTGCTTAGAACGATGGAGGGGTGTGACTTTGCGGATGAGACCGGGCGGCGGAAGGTGTTTGCAGTCGTCAGTAAGTACTTCCCGAAGACCGTCATCGTCGACTGAAGTTTTGCATCTTCAGGAGAGATGCTCGCACACGACTCATTTCCTGAGGGCCTCATGGACCCATGTATGGACGTACTCAAAGCGACAGCCCCGAGCGAGCGAGAGCTCATACGCATTGTGGTCGAGATCGTCACCGAGCTGCGAGATCCCGTGGATGACTACTTGAATGACGGCGCGGTAAGTCAAACGATCTACGAACACTATTCCCTCACCGAGAAAACTCGCTATACAGAGTACCTTCAGGGATCGAAGGGCCTCCCTCGCGTCCACGTCATCCAGCCAGAGCAGCGTCAAGAGCTTGCCGCTGCGCCCTCCCAAGTCTCGCTCTGAGATGACAGCGAAAGAACGCACCAAGGCGGATGCGACCGACATGCGCTGCCTCGCTCTGTGTAACGCCATGCTCAGCCGCATGAACGGGGTGCGTGCATTTGAGTCGCCATCATGCTGTGCGATGCAGACTGGACATAATGCTACAGACCTTCGACGAGAACTCTACCTTAGGTGGAGTCCTAGCTGATCTCATTCTTCCGTCGGTGAATAGCACGGAGCTGCATGTGCGTGAACGGGGGGTGATTACGCTCGGGTTATGTGGCCTCATAGCGAAGGTGAGTGTCGGCCACCGTACATAGGTATGCTGATTCTTGACCCGCCACTCCAGGAATTGGCCATGAGCTCCTTCCAGCTGCTCCTCAACGAAGCAAAGAAATCTCCAGAAAGTCTTAAGATCAAAATTCTGCACGTCATCTTTGACTTCCTATCAGTGCATGACCAGGAGCTCCTGTTTGGCTCCAAGGAGAAAGTGGGTGCACGCATTATATGTAGTCAGTTGTTCAAATTGCAATCACTTTGTGACAGGTGGAGAAGGTCATCTGTTTCCTGCTGCAAACCCTTGAAAATGAGGAATCTTCAGCAGTACAGGCCGTGGCATGTCTCGGGATATCGAAACTTATGCTCTCAAAGCGCATCACTGATGAGCGCGTTAGTGGCTTCGACTGGATAATGTGAAAATCGCTAACATTTTCGTGATAGGTTTTGACGAGTCTGTTGCTAGCATTCATCTCACCGATGTCCGCCGCCAATCCAACACTCAAACAATGTCTTGAATATTTCCTCCCAGCTTATTGCTACTCGTCTCGTGAGAATCAGTCTCGAATGCAGACTGTACGTGATGAAAGGTGCATGAGACGGCGTGATGCTGACATTTGCGCCCGTAGGTTGCTATGGCGGCATACGACCAGGCCAGGCGAATCTATGAGGTAGTTGAAGAGGACGACGACGTGATCACCCCATACCAGTTTGGCCTGTGCCTCGTAGAATGGACCGATCCGCGCCAGCTTAATGGAGCGTAAGTCATCGATCTGTCGAGTGACTGATGATCCGCATCTGTGCTCAGATCTATCGTCAAGCAGGGATGAACAAGGCATTGGAGAGGACGACACACATTTGCATCTAGCGGTGGACTTCCTGCAAGGTCTTTACGAGACCGAACGGACAGGTATGAAAGGCCGTTCTGACTGTGGTGGCTGGCCTCACGAAGCTCGCAGATGAGGATCGCAAGACGATATGTCAACTGCTCGAGAACCTCTACCTCCCAAATGAACCGGCCGAACTCCCCCTGCTTCTGCTGAATGTACTGTTGCAGGACATAGAGGTGCATAGAGTCTACTCTGCCTGTCTTATACACAGACTCATCCTCGGACTGGTCGTAGCGTGACGCAATCCGCGAGGCAACGACAAAGAAGTTGGTCGATCAATTCAGATCCCGTTTTATGAAAAGATACCGCAAGCGAGTGGAACAACTCGACCCTACACAATATCAAGACAACGCGACATTCCGCAAGATGTGCACCCATATCAAGCGGCATCTTAAACAAGTAATTTCACCTATCACGGGCAATCCGTGCGTACTTCCATGCATTACTTTCGTTAGCGTGGCGGCTCGATTTACCATCACTTCAACAGTGACGACGACAAGGAGAACGACGATGCTACCCCCTGTGCTGTGACGCCGCCTCGCAAGCATCCGCGCGCGGCAAAGTACGTTTTCGAACCATGCAATTGTGTTCCTGCTCATGAATCTGTAAAAGACGAAACATCAGCCCGACCTTGCCGTTGCCGTCCCCAGCACGCAAAAGGGCCGCCCGCCATCAAGAGTAGAGTGCGATCAATTGATATCAGCTCTTACGTGCGTGGCCGCGTAATGTCTCGGATCGGTATTGCGTAGGGCCGAGGGTTTTCTTCCAGGGGGTTACAGTTTTCACAATCCAGGTTTTAACGGACGTGTCTTTTTCCTACAGCAACCAGCCTTCAAGCTGTTCTTTTTCTGCTCGGCTATCATTATTCTCTATTTGCAACTTACCACAACATCCTCGGTATAATTACATTGGGTCATAGGCTACATCATGTAATGGGCCCTACACTATAATCAATCGGGTAGTCCGTGCCAATGATACAAGACAGCACCCTACAGGAATAGTCAATCGTTGAGCGTCACCCCGGTAGAAAACCTCGTACCGAGCTGTTGTCCTTCTGCACGATCTTTCTGTTGGCCAAGGCAATGAGACACTTGTTGACACGAGCCTGATTGAGATCTGGAGATCTGGTGGCTTGACCAGTTCGAGAACTAGCAATACAATAAAATCACTCCCGCATCTAATATAGAAGGAAGAGCAAAGCATGCACAAGCAACACCCCTCCCTGGCCTGTCCAAGAAACCCTCAATGACCGTCTCGACGTTCCGCCTCAGGTTTGGATCGTTCCCGCGGAACTCGAGCGGCAGAGCCGAAACGACCCGATCAGTCAACATGCTGCGCTGTTTCCGCTCCTTCGCAGTAAGCTTCGGCTTGCCCTTCTTCACGGGGCCTTTTGCGCTCGGGCCGGAGGATGTCGCAGTCAGGGCGAAGGTGGTGCTCCATGCCCACATGGAGCTATGCATTATGAGCAGGTGTACTGTAACCAGTGACCAACTGTACAATTGAAACAGACTAGCAACCTGATTAGTCAACTAACATACAACTTTGAACAATTCGCAAAAGGGGACGAGGCGCAGAGAGAGAGAAAGGCGAAACAGACCGTCGATGGGGCCTTCGCGCCTGTATACATCGTCGTTAGAAGCGATGCCATATTGCCGATCGGCCGCTGGTAAATAAGGTGGTTGTGATGGAAATTACGTAGATAGTACCGAGTGAGAGCCCATTGAACTATGAGCCGTTCGCTGCACAACTAGCAGAACATGAAGGTCGGACTGCTACGGAAGCTGAACAGGTTGACTAGGCATAATCAAAGAGACGGCGACGTCGATAGTGTGCTGACAAGCCTGAAAGGATCTCTTGCCGTCGGATAGATTGGGTGATTGCCTCACCGCATCGACAGCAGAGATGCCTAGAAATTGCAAGCGGACAGAGTGAGAAATTGGACCACCGAAGAGAGAACTGCAGTTACGTATTGCAGCCAGGAGACATGCATTACAGGACAGTCAATTAGCTGTCAGGGGCTGGGAAGTACCGTTCCTCGACGCACCGTCATATGGTTGCACCCATCAATTTTCTCCGCAGGCGTTTGGCATTATGAAAGGTGTGAAGCATCTGTATAGCGAAATAATAGAAGGTAGATGATACCTGGACAATCTTTCCATCCCTTTTGGTCCATCAGATGCTTCAACTCTGAGGAACCGTCACACGAACGTTGAGGGCCGCCGATCTCGATCTTCTGAGAGCACGCCTTGCACCAAGCATAGTTGCAGCTTGTAAAGGACATACGACGATTATAGCGGCCTCATACTCTTGTTCATCAACGAAAACTGAATTCTCGCATCTAATCAAACAGATTGGTGTGCCGCGACCGAGGACGATGAATCATAGACGTATTTGCGGCAATGCAGGATAATCGAGAACGCGGCCATCTGCATCTCGACGAAAATTGCACATTGCTTCTCGGACAAACCGAGCTGCTGGATTAAGAAGTCATCTACGACTAACTTAGATGGGGTGCAGCTCTATCTACCTCTATACCTCGCTATGCGTCACCTATCCCCGGGGTCCTTCCGCGCCTTGTCACCCATACAAAGTGGACAAGGGATGGGATAACGGTGGCCCTTCACTTCACTGACGGCATAATTTTTGGCGCACTCCCTGCAGAAGCGATGTCCGCATGGCTCGACCTCCGCGACCACATCCCCGTTTAATTGATCGAAACAGATGCCGCATTCGAACATGTCAGGAGCAGTATACTTGAGATCATGCATCTGACGCTTCAATTGATGATCCTCTTCATCAAACTTGCGTTGCTGCTCTGCCGCGCACATTGCGTCGGCATCGTTCAGAAAATGGATCAGGGATGGGATGCGGCTGTTGGCAACGTGTGCAGTGTGACTGGCAGACCTGTGAGCGAGTCGAACCTTAGTGCGCATTCCTTTCGGTGCGTGACGGACTGCACTAATACTTCTCCAGCTGGCTTCCCCTGATACTTACACGCCGCGTATCGCTGATACTAGGTTCCATCGTGACTGATGCGCCACGGGGTCGTCGGCAAGAGCCGATAGAGGCGCGCAATCAGCCTCCCCTCTAACAGGCAATCTGAGGTTCCTGATCGCGGGAAATTTCAGGGTGTGCACTGAGCTTGAGGGGAATCCTGTATCTCAAGCGCGGGCAGCGTTCATCCCCTTTACACTGGCAGGACGGAAATCGATACTCGCTTGCTTGGAGATCGCGATCTCAACCGTCTCGGAGGGAGATTTGTTGTTAGACATTCACATGAGCTGATAACAATCAGAGTTACGCGTTACACGGTCGGCACACCATGAGGATAAAAGCAGAGGTCCCCCCAACTCTGATCCCTCAGCCATAGGTTGTTCTCCCAGGTTGAGCGAGCATCCAGTGGCGCCCCAGTTCACAAGCTTGTTAGCGAGCATCTTACTTTCCCGCTTCCATCGCTGTGTGTGCCTTCGAACATGACCGGCGCGACTCGAACAGAACACACGCAGATCTGCGATCGGGCGAAACACCGGCACCGGCCGCGAATGATCTGGCTCCGTGCCTGAACTATTCAAGAAAATCCAGATCGGGAGCCAAGGGGACGTTTGGAGATCACGGGCCAAGCGCCATCGAGCGTCGGGGATGCCTTTTTTGTCGGACATCAAACCAAGTCGCCAAAAAAAATAACTGGGCGCCTGTATGCGATGCCGCGTACGTACAGACGGGCGGGCGCTGCGAGATACGACGCGGGGGCACATGTGTCTATTGATAAGCACCACTCCTTATTTCTTGTCTGCTTCTTCTCAGGCGTCCTTGTCCAACCAACCCCCGTCTCGCGTACACTCATGTTCAACACCAACTCAGATACATCGGAGAAGCATTCCGTCAGCACTGCTGATATGAAGGATGTAGAGAATTTGTCAGTTTTTTTTTTTCAAGCACTGTATCAGCTCACGCGACTCATCTTTCCCTATTATCAGCGTCGAGCCCGTTTTACAGCTCGACGACCACGTTCCCCGAACTCGCTTCGGGGCGCTTTGGGCTATCGTCGAGAAGCTCGACAAGTATGGTGTCGAAGCGCAGGGCATCGAGCGCATTCCCCCGGATCAGCGGCCCCAGAAATGTATATCGCATGCTTACATCAGAAACCGCTTGTCTGACAAGGAGTCCTGTTAGCGGTTTTGGCACCGTTCTGGTTGTGGTTCGCTGCGAACATGACCGTAAGCAGCACGCCTTCGCCTGTCAACCGTGCTCGGTGCGATGCTCGCCGCAGACATCAACGTTCTCGATCGGATGTCTGGGACAGTCTATATTTTCCCTAGGGCTCCGGGATGCAGCTTTGACCATTATATTTTTTAACTTGCTATGTAACATCCCCGTCGCCTATTTCTCGACATGGGGTCCAAAACTTGGCCTGAGGCAATTGACTTTGTCGAGGTTCTCGTTCGGATACTGGACGGTGAGTCGATAGCGGCCTTTACAAACGTGTCATCGAGACTTACGTTTCCTCGCAGTCACTGATACCCATCGTTTTAAACTGCATAGCCTGTGTCGGCTGGTCTGTTGTTAACTCTATCGTTGGGGCTCAAACATTGCGAGCAGTCAGCACCTCGCACCAGATTCCAACTGCTGCGGCCATCATCGTCATCGCTATAGGCACCATAGCTGTCTGTTTCATGGGATATCGCGTGGTACATCTGTATGAGCAATATTCTTGGATACCCGTGAGTTGTCACAGGACGTAAGGTCTGTGTTACGTGCATGGCTGATACTGTTCATCGCGCAGGTAGTGGTCATCTTCATCATCTATCTCGGCCAGATTGCTCGTTTCTGTGACAGCGGACCATGGGGCGGCACCGGCCCGACCGAAGCTGCAAACGTTCTCTCTTTCGGCGCTGCAGTTGGTACATTTCAATGAAACCGCCTGCACTGCAGATCATTATTGATAGTCGACCTTAGCGGGTTTCTCTCTCGGATGGGCCTCACTTGCCGCCGATTATACCGTCCGCATGCCTGAAAATATATCCTCATACAAAGTCTTCTTCTGGACGTACCTCGGTCTCAACATCCCCCTTATCTTGGTCGAGACCCTTGGCGCCGCTGCGATGACCACCTTCGGCGCCAAATCCACATGGGAGGACGCATATAACGAGAACTCCGTCGGAGGGCTGATCGGCGCAGGCTTGACGGGGCCCATGCACGGGTTCGGCAGCTTCCTGCTTGTAGTCATCTCGCTCTCGATCATCTCGATCAACATCCCGAACATCTACTCGCTCGCGCTCACGTTCCAGAACATCCATCCATATGCGCAGGCGATTCCGCGTGTCTTCATCGTGCTCATTGGGAGCGCAGTCTACATTGTGCTCGCAATCGTCGGCGCGTCCCACTTCGAGAACTGGCTCGACACGCTGCTCACCATCCTCTCGTACTGGCTCGCCATCTTCAGCACGATCCTTATCGAGGAGCACCTTATCTTCCGCAAGGGCCGCTGGTCCAATTATGAGCCGGATGATTATAATAACTTTAGAAAGCTCCCGTTGGGCATTGCATCGTTCATCGCATTGGGTTGCGGAGTCGGTGGCGCTGTTCTCGGTATGGCGCAGACGTGGTATATCGGCCGGATTTCACGACATATCGGCGACCCATTGTATGGTGAGTGATACTCCAGTGTATGCACCTCGAGGCTCGCGATGTTGACTGGCTACATTGTAGGTGGCGATATCGGCTTCGAACTTAGTTTCGCATTCACCGCCGTCGTGTTCCCTCCATTACGATATTTTGAGAAGAAGTACTGGGGTTACTGAAGAGTTAAACACCGAGATATATATAGAATGAAATCCTCTGTGCTTGACGTGTAGTCCTGACAACATAGTATGCCTCTTTACGTGCCTAATGTTGTTCATGACCCTTTATAACACTGCACGGTATGCATTTCTTTGCTGCCGGTCGATCATGCGGGGTCCGCCACGCAAGTACACTGGACCTGAACACCCGGCAAATTTCACTGAGATATATTTGTTGCTTTGGAAGAGTTGGAAGAATGTATGCCCCGTATCTGTCCCAGCAAAGGTGATCTTTAAAGAGCTCTGGCCCAATCCCTGAAGACGGACGGCTGCTCGTCCTCAACGCATTCCAGACACTGAAAGAAGACGGCTCATGGCCCGGTATCTGGAATGGGGACATGAACCATGGGATTCGGCAATCAGACAATCATGCAGCTTGCAAAGTTTCAAACAATAGGCTCGAACGACAGCGGGAGGAACACTCAATGGGATTGGGTAGAGACTGGAAGAGGCACCGGTGCACCTAGCGACCTGGCTACATCGTCCACTCGCCGTCTGAACGCCTTCCACTTCGCACCTCCAGCCGTGAGCATCGCGGCGTGGTCGTTCACGCTCTCGAGCGGGGTGTTGAGCTTCAAGAATGGGTTCGCAACAGAGAGGCGGTACGCCGTGTGCAGGGCTTTAAATATCTGTGACGGCGCGACATGCAATTGGTCTCTCGAACGTTCAGCCGTGGAGCACAGGGCAAAGACACGCACCGAGATGGCGGCTCGGTTTACCATCACTCCAACAGTGACGGTGCAACATCCCTTGCGATGACGCCGCCTCGCAAGCACTGTCACCCGCGCGTGGCAAAGTACGTTTTTGTCACCATGCAATTGTGTTCCTGCTCATGAATCTTTCAAAGACGAAACATCAGCCCGAAATTGCCGTTGCCGTCCCCAGCACGTAAAAGGGCCGTCCACCATCAAGAGTAGAGTGCGATCAATTGATATGAGGCCTTGTGTGCGCCGCCGCGTAATGCCTCGGATCGGTATTGCGTCGCGCCGCGGATTTTCTTCCAAGGGATTACAGTTTTCACAATCCAGGGTTCGACGAACGTGTCTTTTAACTACAGCAACCAGCCTTCAAGCTGTTCTTTTTCTGTTCGGCTATCATGATTCTTTGTTTCCAACTTACCAAAACATCCTTGATATAATTACATCGGGTCATAGGCTACATCATGTAATGGGTACAGTGTGTTCAATCGGGTAGTCCGTGCCAATGATACAAGACAGCACCCTACAGGAATAGTCAGTCGTTGAGCGTCACCCCAATAGAAAACCTCGCACCGAGCTGTTGTCCTTCTGCACGATCTTTCTGTTGACCAAGGCAATGAGACACTTGTTGACACGAGCCTGATTGAGATCTGGCGGCTTGACCAATTCGAGGACTGGCGACATGATAAAATCACTATCACATTTAAAATAGAAGGAACAGCAAATCACGCACGAGCAACACCTCTCTCTGGCCTGTCTAAGAATCCCTCAATCACCGTCTCGACGTTCCGCCTCAGGTTCGGATCGTTCCCGCGGAACTCGAGCGGCAGAGCTGAAACGACCCGATCAATCAACATGCTGCGCTGTTTCCGCTCCTTCGCAGTAAGCTTCGGCTTGCCCTTCTTTTTCACGGGGCCTTTCGCGCTCGAGCCAGAGGACGTCGCAGTCGTGTTTGGCACGGCAAAGGTGGTGTCGTTGCTCGGTTCGGTCGCGTCTGCGGCGTAGGCCGTCTTGTCGTGTGTGGAGACGTTCGGAGACGGTGGTCTCGGAGGAGAGGCTTGGGCAGCTTGCATGGCTTGAAGTGCAGCCAGGGCAGCGGCAGCGTCTTCATCTGCGTATATGTATGTCCATCATTACTGTACAAGGAGGGAGGACCGGCGCGCTCACCAGCCCTCCGCGCAGCAAGTGCAAACGAGGCCTCCGTCGGCGCCTGCACACGCCTGCCTCAGTCAATCCGTTGCACTGTCAAATCGTCCACACAACCCGCGCGGGCATACCTGTGGCCAGTCCACCGTGAGCGCGTTCATGTTCATGATATAGAGCCAGCTCGCGAAGCTCTCATTGAACGTGCCAAGCGCGTCGCCTAGCGCACGAAGGCCCTGTATGTTGTTGTTTAGTGCCTCCATCTCGTCGACGAGCTCCGAGAGCGCAGGCTCGAGAAAGCCGAGCCCGTATGGCGCGTCGGGGTACGCGCCCGAGCGCGCAAGGCGGGAGAGCGAGCCTTGCGAAATGCGTCTTAGAGGCGTGCGTTGGGTGGAGGTGCTCGGCCGCATAGACATCGCTGCGGGGTGAGAGTTGGCAATGTGCGCGAGAGTTGTGGCTTGTGTCGGCGCTAGTATAGTACTCGACTTCGCAACTTCGCGTTCCACGATCCTTGCTCCGCGCGGGGTAATTCTCACTGCAAACATGACCGAAATCTGTATCGTGCAGTCTCTCTTTCATTATGACGTCGCGCGTATAAGCAGTGACCAACTGTACAATTGCAACAAACGAGCAACCTGAGTAGTCGACTATTATACAAGGGAACAATTCGCAAAAGCCTGGAGTGAAATGATGCGAGCCGGAGAGAGAAAAAAGCAAAATAGATTGTCACCGATGGGGCTTCGCACCTGTATATATCGTCGTTAGAAGCGATGCCATATTCCCGATCGGCCGCTAGTAAATATGGCGGTTATGATGGAATTTACGTAGATAGTGCAGAATGATAGCTCATCCAACTATGAGCCGTTCACCGCACAACTCGCAGAACATGAATGCCGGACTGCTACGAAAGCTGAACGAGTCGACTAGGTATAATCAAAGAGGCGGCAGCGTCGATAGTGTGCTGACAAGTCTGAATGTATCTCTTGCCGTCGGATAGATTGGGTGATTGCCTCACCGCATCCATAGCAGAAATGCCTAGAAAATGCAAGTGGACAGAGTAAGTGGTTGGACCACCGGAGAGGGAATTTAACTTACGTATTGCAGCCGGGAGACATGCACTAGAGAGCAGTCAGTTAACTATCCGGAGCTGAGAAGTACCGTTCCTCGACGCACCGTCATATGGTTACACCCATCAATTTTCTCCGCAGGCGTTTGGCATCCTGAAAGGTATGAAGCATTTGTGTAGCGAGATAATAGAAGGTAGGTGATACCTGGACAATATTTCCATCCCTTTTGGTCCATCAGATGCTTCAACTCTGCGGAACCGTCACAGGAATGTTGAGGGCCGCCGATCTCGATCTTCTGAGAGCACGCCTTGCACCAAGCATAGTTGCAGCCTTGTAAAGGACATACGAGGATTTTAGCAGCCTCATACTCTTGTTTATCAACGAACACTGAGTTCTCGCATCTAATGAAACGGATTGGTGTGCTGCGACCGAGGAAGATGAATCATGGACGTACTTGCGGCAATGCAGGATAATCGAGAACGCGGCCATCTGCATCTCGACAAAAATTGCATATTGCTTCTCGGACAAACCAAGCTGCTGGATTAAGGAGTCATCTATGGCTAACTCAAAGGCATTAGCTGGGGTGCACCTGTATACCTCGCTATGCGTCACCTACCCCCGGGGTCCTTCCGCGCCTTGTCACCCATGCAGAGTGGACAAGGGATTGGATAACGGTGGCCCTCCACTTTACTGACGGCATAATTTCTGGCACACTCCCTGCAGAAGCGATGTCCGCATGGCTCTACCTCCGCGACCACATCCCTGTTGAATTGATCGAAACAGATGCCGCATTCGAACACGTCAAGAGCAGTATACTTGAGATCATGCATCTGACGCTTCAAATAATGATCCTCTTCGTCGAACTTGCGTTGCTGCTCTGCCGCGTACATTGCGTCGGCATCCTTCAGCTGGTCGGCTTGCGTCAGCAGAATAGCTGCAACGGTGAAGTCGTCCATATCCATGGGCTCATCAGAGCTTGAACAGTTCAAGCCTGTACGAGAGGATGCTTGACGACTGCCGCCATTCCACGGTTTTGCAGATCGATCATTCAGTCCGTAAGATCTCGGAGATGATTGTGAGGCCCGTTCCGTAGGGATGGCGGGCATCTTGCCTCTTACTTTCTCCGAGATTGACGAGAGGTTGTTAGTGCAATGAGCAGCAGGTGGTATCAATTCTCCGTTGGCTGCGCCTTCTGATTTGCGTAGGCGGGAGTCGTTCCGGAGGTTTTTTGCTTTGAGTTCCATGATATCGTCTTCCAAACGAGTAACATCTTCGGATAGTTGTGTGTTCTCCACTTCAAGGTCTCCGGCGTGGCTCTCCAATTCCAAAACCCTCGCTCTCAGATTCAGCACTTCGAGGCTAGCCTCAAGCACAGCTTCAGCCAATTCGGCAGTGGTCCCCATTGTATCGCGAGCAGTGAAAATGTGGGCAGAGAAATGCGCCAGAAGCTGAGCTTGCCATTGGACACTGCTGTCCATGAGCAGACGATCGTCGTAGCTGAAAAGCTCGGCTAGGTAACTCGCAGCTGCTACCACCGATGGCTGAAAGATGAAAGCAGCTCCATTTGGGTGCTTCTGAGGGCGAGGATGAGAATCGAAGATGACGAACACATCGGATTTATTCGTGGCGAGCTTCACACATGCGACAATTTCCGGGGGACGAGTGATGATAGCGCACGTTGAAGACCGCGTATCCCGCGTATGGTTTGAAAGGTGGCTTACAAGTCGGAGATAAGCATATAGAGGACTGATATACACACAAAGTACGTACGAGAGAATCTGCGTAAATTCCCCCAGCCCTGAATGCTCATAAGCAAACATGACCAGCTTCAAAGACTTGTTGAACACAGGAGCTTTGTATATCTCTTCGACATCGAGATGCGCCGGGCGTGACCACGACAAACAAGGTCTGAGTACTTCCTGCGAACTAAGGTCAACATCAGAACAAACGGTGAACTAGCTCAGCAGATACGCATTCACCTCAAGAGTTTCCCGCTTCATAATCTCGCGTATGATGTTCTCATTCCTCAAACCTGTCCGTTCCATGTCCAGGATGACGCGCGCGCAATTAAGGGCCGCTAGACCACAGGCAGATACGCCGCCGCCGATACGGCTATACTGGCTCCTCCCAGCATGAGAGACTACAACTTCTCCCATGCTACCCGCCATAATCATCTCCGGTACATCCGGCGTTTTAACAACATCACCTCTGGCCATTGAGAATCAACTAGAAGATCTGAGGCTAGGAGCACAGAAAGAATGGCGGACGGTCAGGGATGGGTGGTGCGGCTATCGGCGACGTGTGCAGTGTGACTGGCAGACCTGTGTGCGAGGCGAACTTAGTGCGCATTCTTCTCGGTACGAGACGGACTGCACTAATACTTCTCGCTGGCTTCCCCTGATACACGCCGCGTATCGCTGATACCGCGAGGTTCCATCGTGGCTGATGTGCCACGGGGTCGTCGGCAAGAGCCTATAGAGGCGCGCAACCAGCCCTAACCAGCCTCCTCTAACAGGCATCTGAGGTTCCTGATCGCGGGAAATTTCAGGGTATGCACTGAGCTTGAGGGAATTCTATATCTCAAGCGCGGGCAGCGTTCATCCCCTTTACAGGACGGAAATCGATACTTGCTCACTTCGAGATCGCGATCTCAATCGTCTCTGAGGGAGATTTATTGTTAGACATTTACATGAGATAACAATCAGAGTTACGCGTTACACGGTTGGCACGCCATGAGGATAAAAGCAGAGACCCTCCAACTCTGATCCCTCAGCCGTAGGTTGTTCTCCCAGGTTGAGCGAGCATCCAGTGGCGCCCCAGCTCACAAGCTTGTCATCGAGCATCTTACTTTCCCGCTTCCATCGCTGTGTGTGCCTTCGAACATGAGCGAGGTTCCTTCCGACGCCGCAACCGGCGAGCTAGAGCGCGACGTTGGTAACGTCGCCGGCATGAGTATGTCATTCACCATTCATTTTGCGACTAAAGATTGTCATCCTCTTGATATTACATAGGCAACATCGATCCTGCACCGCAGCCAGCGGAAATCGGCGTCGCCACCACGGTACATCAAGATGTGAGTGCATTTTCTCAATAGTCGCGCTCACGGGCCGTTGACTCTCGTGCATTAGATTCTACGTTCTGACACTGACAGTACACACGATGCAGATGATACACACGATGCAGACGGTGCACACGATGCAGAAGATACACACGATGCAGACGGTGCACACGATGCAGATGGTACACACGATGTAGAAACGTGTGACGCCTCTGGACAAGGAACGACCCGCGAAGATCCGGATACCGACGAAAAGCATCAGAATGCCACTATCCTGGGAGATCATTCCGGATCAGACCAAAACAATACCTCCGGAACAACCATGTCGGAGGAGCCACTGCGGACCGCTACAGACGAAGGAGTGCTCGTCGACGACAAGGAACCATCGGAATTAGATCTCGTGAGCTCTATCCGGGGGATGTACAGGATCCTTGACCTCATCACCGAGCAAGGGAGCGGTGGACTCGGTAATCGCTATAATTTCCCATGTTAAAAACGTCGCTCATCACCATTTTCGCTAGTGGACAAGGTTATCATTGATCAGCAGTCGCTTGGGCGGCTCATCAATGATCTTCAAGCAGGGGCGTATGCTTCGTTGACGAAAGTTGACTTCGCGGCGCTGGACAACTTGGTCTTGAAGCCCATCGGTTTGTATGGAAGCAAACACGAGATTGTTCGTTTCCTGAAAGACAGGGATGTCGTCAATGAGCGGACGTACGTATGCGTGCTTGCATTACAACAACGGCTCTGAGTAGGTGTATTCAGGGCTGATCTGCTGCGGCTCCCGAGTCCTGCTGCTGGAGAACCATTGCGCCCTCACCTTCGTTCTGGTCTCTACATATTGCGCGAATTCGCTTGTGGCCAGGATCCCGATATCATTTATGCAATCTTCTGGCCTCAAGATACGACTTGGGACACGAACGCAATTTCTTCGATCCGTCGCAATCGCGTTACATTCATGAGGTACACTTGTGCCGTTCATAGCGCAAGCAGTAGGGGCAGGATCTAACAATAGAAATCACTAGGTATTTGACGAAAGTTGCAGATCAGATTCTGGCTTTGGTATCAGACGACGATGCCACCAAAATCATGTGGAAGGAGGAGCTGGACGATATTAAGCCGGATCCGGAGGAAGAAGAGGATGACCGAGTCATTGATTTTGAAGTCGCTCAAACCCTCGAACAGGAGGAGAACGTCATGGCAAGGCCTGGGTTTACGGTCAGCTCTGCTGGTTCCTGTGCCATCTTTCATCACTTATGACCCTTGCTATGCGATAGATGAACCTCCCTGCACCTCAGATTGTTGAAGCTAGTTACACACCGTGGACCGATGTGGTTAGGTTGGCGCCGAAGTTGATCCCAGGTGAACTGAGGCAAGGCATTCTGCAAGTCACATATGTCCCCTCTGAGCAGTATGAAAGCCCGTTGTCGGAATCAGTGAAAACCATTCGTCTCAAAAATTACATGTATGGCCCGATCTTCTCTATTCCGTTGGTTTGCTGATGCGAGTCGTTCATAGAGAGAGGGGCTCTCTGCGGTTGAACGAGGGCCTCTCGCACGAAGCTATAGAAGTACTGCTTAATCATGGGTTGCACCAACGTGCCAGGGATGCATGTTCAATATACCAAGAGAGTCTTCGCACTGCGGATCGTGCCGCAGAGGACTTTGTGCAAAATAAAGTTGACGAGATGCAGCAACGGCTCAATGCCGAAGCTTTGCCACTACAGCGGGCAATTCGTCGCTTTGTTGTCAGTAGCATTCGCAGGAACTTCTCGTAAATTGCATGTTTTCATGGCAAACTCTACTCTAACGTGATATATGAAGGCTGTTCGATGAACCCTCCATCACTATTGCAGAGGGCGACACGGAAGAAGAGAATGATCGCAATCAAGCTGTGCTACCGAGCCAGAAGCAAGATCATGGAGAGAAGCAGGATGACATGGAAGCTCTGCAAGAGAAAGGGGGGGTCAACGGCATGCAGGATCAGAAGCAGGATCACAAGGAGGGAACATGTGAAGGCGGGTTAGCTCCGTACGAGGGCAAGGGGGAAGACCTTGCGCCAGAAGATCAAAGCGGCGAAAGAGTTAGACAGTGTGACGAAGATGAGGAAGCAGACAGTAAGCTCTGTGTTGACTTTGCCTGCACAGCCCCATCACGCGTTCTAACGCCTGTTGTAGGCATGCTCCTGCAGCACCTCGCCGGTCTCTACCCTGAGATTCAGCCTATACTCGATAAACTCAAAGACCCTGCGACTATCAATTATAAGGCGAACAGCTTCCAGGTACAGAAGGAGAGGATCATTATCTTGGATGCCATTCTTGGCGGTCGTGACGACATCGACAAGTCCCGGGCAGAAGAACTGGTCATTTCAGTTATGTCCATGAGCAACACAAAAAAGACTGGCGACTTGCTGAAGGTGTTCGACCATCAGCCGAGGAATTCATGGATCCCGGCAGTCATCGTCAATTTCTTCTCTTCGGGAGGATCCTCTCGTCAGCAACTGGCTGAGGCTGAGAAGCGTGCAGCCAAGATCAGTGACGCGGACTTCCTGTCCTCATTGGCTACCATTGTAGATCACAACGCCCTCCTTACCCGTGCCTGTGCTGATATCAAGGCAATCGCGATCGAATCGTTAAATCGTATGATAGTCAAAGCAGTCAAGGCCGCAGTTCATCATATTCGGAGCATTCAAGAGAAGACTTGCAAGGCCCAAATCAAAAGGGAAGCCGATGCACAGAAGCAGATGGACTTTGGGGAAGCTCGTTCGACGCTGCTGAATACACTGAAGGATCAGCTTCTGGTGAATAATACCAGGTAAGTATATGTGTGCTACTTCTGAGTTAGTGCTCAATCCGTCCATAGCGATACCCTATTCATCGCAAATGTTGAGAAGCAGACGAACTGTACGTATGGTCACACCTCGTAAGCTATTGATATTATTACTAACAGTTTTGTTCACTAGCTCCTTGGCGGCATGAGTCATATCGCCTTGTAGGCTCGCGAGAAATACGGACAGATGCTTGCTTGCGCTACACGATCAATCCATTCTTCTTCACGGAGGATGATCGGCAGCAATTGCAGCTTGACAAATTCTTCGTCCCCACTCCGAAGGTCCACTCCAACTCATCATCATCGTTCGAATTACCGACGGAACACCAAGTCAAGTAGGTCTTACAATGCCTGGACCCTTTTGATCAGCCGCTCATGAACGAACATTGTCCAGACACATACAATTACTGCATAACGGCAAATGTCTCCTCATAGTGGATGACAGTCGTAGCATGATCAAGATCTTTCTGGAGACGCCTGATACTCTGAATGGCGCTCTGAACCGCTCCGCCTGTAAGAGAAAGCTGCACCGTGAGAAGATTGGCGGCAGCTGCCTATTTGCTTTTGACGAGACAAAACGTATGCTGGCTATATTGAGCGCTGATATTTCGGAGGTATTGATGATGTTGTATCATTCTAATCGTCTATACCACACTAATGGTGCTGTCAGATTCCTCAGCGTGCTCAGCTGCACTTTTATGTATTCGACGAGAATTTTGTTTACCTACAAAGTATGGGTAGCCCTGTTGACCTTCGTTCATGGTACGACGGGCCTGTTCTAATCTCCAATATGGCCTTTATCTGCGGAAATGAAGACCTCGTCCTTGTAGACCACACGTCCCGAGCGCGGATATTCTCATTTGTGACTCAACAATTCCGGTATCATTACCATCCTAACTATTCTACTGCAGTACGAATCTCATGCTTGATTTAGGCCGGCCTTTCTGCAGTTGCAGAATCCTCCGAACACAGTCCTCTCTTCTCCAGACGGAGCTTGTCTCATGACGATCAGCGATACGCACGACGGACTCTCGATGCGCGCTTATCACTGGTCAACCTTTGGGTCGACGGAAGGTATCTCTATTCCACTTCCTGACATTGATCCGACTGGGATTGTTGTTACGTCTTTCGGGAAGCGATCCCACGTCCATCTTGTCGGCATGAAACATGATGCCTGCCTTTGTCGTTCAATCGTCCTGGACATCACCCGCAAAGCAACAGAATTCACCTTCCAAGAAACGGGCCAGAGTGGGTCCCGCGCCGCAAAGTCTCAAAAAAATGTCATCCAGAATGTATTCATTGATTGTCACGCCGATGTTTGGACAAGGTTCCCAGTGCTTCCCGCGATCCAGAGGCGGACCATCACATCGTTAGCCCAGAGGTATCCTCGTTCCTTATGTTTTGTTGCTCGCGACAATCATGACAACTACATGGCCTACTTCGCCGATCTTGTGAAAACCTTCGAAAGGACCGTTCGCAAACCGACTGGAAATCAACTCAGTGAGACTATTGTCAGAGCCGTTGGTTACGAAGCATTCATGAAAAGTGGTGTTCAAGACATATCTGTGTTCAAAGTAGGAGAGTGGCTCGCGGATCTGCTTTGTTTGATCCCTATCCATCTGGCGATCACGCGAGACAATCGCTTTATTCCTCTCAAGGATGGGGTGTTTTCCTCGGAACTAGAGCGATCCCTCCTTGGGGCAGATGTCGCCACCATCGTCGACAACTTATCTTTCGGTTGGTACGAGTCTTTATTCCAGTCTTACTTGGCTTCAAAGGTATGTGCTCTGGTGCGCATAAAGGATCAAATTAACTTTCTAATACTGTCAATTCGCAGCCGGTGAAGGTTGTGTCATCGATGGGTGCGCATTCTATATAGAATATTCATCGTTGACTGACGAGTCGTGATATGTAAGGCGAACAATCAGTAGGCAAGAGCTTCGCCTTGAACCATCTGGTGGATACTTCATTTGCTGGCTCGGCGATGCGAACGACAGAAGGCGTCTGGATGTCTGTTGCACCTCTTGATGATATGATCATTGTGGCTCTTGATTTTGAGGGTATCATGCACTTCTCTTAGCCTGCACCGGTCCCTTTTGCTCATCATGCATCGTAGGTGTCCATAGCATTGAGCGTTCGGTGCAAGAAGATACGTTGCTTGTGTTATTCAACACTGCGATATCAAATTTAGTAGGCATCGTCAAACATTGCCTCTTCGCTTCATATGCACCCAGCTATTTTTCATTTGATAGGTATTGTTCAGGAACAACTTTGCTTTGTCGCGAGATATCACTGGACTCTTCAAATCGTTTCAATCATCATCTTCCGTTCTCGATCCTGCTGCAAACCCGAATTTGTTCCAATCGACGCTCGTGATTATTATCAAGGTGAGAGACTGATAACGTGCGAATACAAAGCGTCCGATTTGATCACCTCATGGAAACATAGGATGTCGTCGACTCAGACAAAACTGAGATTGTTAAGGAGTATGTTGCATGTGTTGCAAAAGAGTCGATATCATGTTTTGACTAATTTCACCTATTTTACAGATTCAGCCTGAAATTCCAGCATATTGTACAGCTCGAACAGGCTTCAAACTTCATCAGCCGATTACATGGCGGAAGATTGGCAATTATACCATGGCCCGTTATCGAATCTCGGCAGTTCTATCTGCTCTTCAATGGCCTGAAGCGGCGCTTGGATCAACAACGACCAACTCATACAGGAGGCAGCATTTTCTTGCAAACGTTGAAAACCCTCATGACGAAATTGAAGGTAAATCCATGACCCTGCTATGATGTCTTATTCCCCTTAATGTGTCTGAAAATTGAAACACAGGCTAATGACTGGGGTGCAATGTCCCGTGCGTAATAGTAAAATTGAATCTCTCTAAGTGATGACTCAAGCAATCGCATCGATCTAGAGAATATGGCTGCCCACCGTGCGAAACTGCTCCTGACATTGTTGCCTGTTGCACTCTCATCCGGTGTAGCAGAGCTTAATTCGGACGTCGAGCCTCTCAAGGTATAGTGTTGCGCCTCTATCAATATCATTATTGATATACACCTTCACGCGTGCTCGGCAGGATTTTGATACAGGCGCCGTGATTGAAACGCGCGATACAAACGCAAGGTTCTTCTGTTCCGAACTCGGTGTTGCAGAACCCTCCCCTGGCCGTGATGCTATGCTCCAACAACTCATCGGGTTGTGGGATGACCTTCATACTCGCGGGACTATTGCTGACGATGAATGGATGGCTGGCCTCATCGAGCATCTGAATGACCTGGTCCAGCGGCGAATCGATCATGTGAATGAATGGCTGAATTTGAACATGGCAAAATTCCCTTCTACGCATGCGGACATACAGATGCTGCGTCGTTTGGCTAATAACATGATGATTGATGTCAAGGCCAATGTTCAGATATGCTCTCTTCAATGCGCCAAGTGCCATCTATTATGTGCACTTTGTCGCCACCACGATGGACGACACGATTGTCAAACATCTCATGCTTGCACTCGTTCTTGCGAATATGAAGACTACGAAGCCAAGGGATGTGGATTATCGTGCGTATATACGTCATTCAGTCATAGCCAGGCCTCACGTTGACTGTATATTGGGGTGTTCAAGGGCTGGACATCCGGGACGGCATGTGTAAGCTGCGACATTGATTATATTGTGAAACTGCCTATATGGATACGCGGCTGCGTCCCAGATGTGACATCACAGTTCACTTGTGCGGGTATCCATGTGCTCTGGAAGATAAGCGTGGATGCTTGGGTGAATGCACGAAAGTGAGTGCGTATCGCTGCATACGAACGGGAATCGTGATGGTTTTGCTCAGGTGGTCAATCACGACGATGCTGAGCACATGTGTTCAGCGACAGTTCACGAATGCAGCGAGGTGTGCCCACATGATTGTACACAAATGGATCAGGTTCAATGACACTTCAACTCCCCCAGCCTTGCCGTCTGGTAAATATCCCACTGCCTGATGGCGGGATTTATTCTTGCCCGGAGTTCTGTTCGATTGCAAGGTAATCGCTCGAGTCATTATGAAGAACTGTGGTTTAACAGGCTGTAGTCATGAACCGCATCTAGAACACGTTTGTGCAAACCGACAATGTCCCATGCAATGTCAACTATGCGCGAGACTGTGCTCTAAACAGAGTCACTTGCATGGGTTGTACCAAGGCGAAGTGCACCTTTGCGGGTTCGATATACTCTTCCTCCTACTGCGTGATCGAGTCTGATAAGTCTTCTACAGGACAGAGCACCCGTGTCCTGCCCTCTGTTCGGCTGATGGAATCTGTCAGATAGACACTGCCCCACAATCAATTGAAGCGACATTCACGGGAAGGCATGAAACTTTCCAGTATACAAAGGTTTGTGAACATATCATGCATGCTACTGGCGAGTATATGCTCATATTGCTGCAGTTTATTCAGGGTGAGATTGCAAATGACGCATTTAAGTAAGAAGCTCATGTCAAGATATATCCTCGAAGTGTCGAAACGTTTGACTTGTGCTATCCCGATTGCTCCGGGTCGCGTGGACCACAATGATGTCGGTCCGCATCGACATACTACGGACAAGGATTCGTTCCATTCCTGCAAGGCGAGGTATACATTCGCACAACTCATATTTACTCTAGCTGATTCGATTCTGCTCATATTAGATGCGAGAACTGCGGCTATTACTGCACTTTACGACTCGGTGGGTTGTTTGTTTACCTATTTATCTGCTTAGTGAAGCCAATGATTGATTAGGACATCCGCAAAAGGAACACGAGACAAGCCATGGGTCCATGTCGAGGACGCAATGGGCTATTGACGGACCTGATGGTACCACGCTGGAGCTCGACGGGCGAAAGTTCGGTTCTCGTGACGAAGGCACACCTATGTTTTGCTCTATGGTTTGTCGATCACTAGGCAGGCACGTGCACGTCGACTACTGCAGAGCAGGCCAAAGGGAGGTCTGCGGAGGTCCTGAGTACGAGCACATATCTGCTCGCATGCAACCATATCCGGACCGGCCGAAGGACTGGGTTACTCATCGGCTCTTCTGGAGGCGAACAGGTTTGGCATCTCACTTAAACGATCCATATCATATCTGCTCAACGTTAACGTCTCGACTACAGGCTTCAAAGGTATACCAATATTTACTGCGTACCTGACATTTACTCAACATCATGATGTCTTAGATCCATACCCCAATGAGGACCAGAACAATTTCACTTTGTGGTTCGTCGTTATAGCGTCGCAATGCAGATGTGTTTATTGATGACTCTCCTTCCAGCGATGCAATGTGTCCAGGTACGCCGTGCAAGTCGTCAATGGATCTGCTAGATCGTCTGAGCTCAACGGTCTTAAATTGTAGGACCTGAGCATGCTGCATCTCCCAGCGGTGTATCACGGCCTTCTTACTGCACGCTGCCCATTCTTCATCCTCATTACGCACTGGATCAGCCCGTGTCGGGAAATGGCCTTGGTTATATTTCGAACGACGGACATGCATTCCTCTGCCGTAATCCCGCAGTCATGCAGCAAGCATTCCATGTGTATGTGCAGTCACTCGATATACCTCGTCAGACTCCTGTTCAGGATGCTCACTGTGTTGCTGTTTGCAGGATCTTTGTCATTGACAGGTGAGCTTCTACTGAATTTACGAAGGTATAAATATGATTGATTGCGATATAGGTCAGCATCAATGAGCTACACCGATCATCGCCCACGAGGCGATACTCCCTCGACTGCCTTGATTACTCGTAATCATAATAATAGGCTCGGTGCGGTCTACTCGTCGTTGCATGCATTCTGGCAGGCTCGGCATCACGTTACGAACGCCGGAGGACAAGGCGCTATTGCTCTGCGTGATGCGTATACCGTCCTGCTATTTGATCGCACTGTCTCAGAATGCGTCGCGAACGACTTCATCAGTACACATGATGAGTTGCTGAGCGCGGTACTGCGCTACTCAACCGGTCGTGGCACAAACTTCTTTGCTGCGATACAGGCCGCGAAAGCAGCTATGGAACAACATTGGAATACTGATAGGTAAGAGGATGAGCTGAGCCCTCCAGTAAAGTTGCTAAAAAGTTGGATGCAGATCGCCCGTCGTGATCTTCCTCTCTGACGGTGAAGGTAAATTACCAGACATGGCCATGCAGGACCTGTGCCTCAGGTCTTCCGCTCTTGGGCAAGCTCGGACATCTGATTCTCTACAGAATAATTGCTAAGCTTGATGGTCAACAGGAAACCGCTTTCATTCCATTCCGTGTCCTTTGGGCGTGACGCTAAGAGCTCCAGCCTCCGGCGCATGGCTCAAATCGCGAAGGACGTGCAGGACCGCTCACCTCATGATCCTATGCATCCGACCCCGCCATCGTCATATGCAGAAGCCCTTGATAGTGTGAGTCTCCCCGTTGTTCATAGTAGGCAGCATTGCATTACTACATGAATATCAAAACTAGGTGCAACTGGCTGAGACATTCCTTGGCATCGCGGAATCGTTGAGGAAAACAAGAGGCGCATTGCTCCATAGCTTGTAGGCTCCCAGGTATGACTTGGAGGTGTCGCTGCATCCGCACGCCCGGTCCGAATGACCATGAGCATGTTTCGACAGGGGAGAATGAATGAGTTCGATTTTACTAGTACGAAAGATACATAGAGCGGGATGACGGAGTGGTATACATTTACATACCAGTCGATGTACAGTGGCTGGCAAGGAGTAATAAGGAAGTGTCATCGATTAGAACGAGAATAGGAAGATTTAAATATGGACATTGTCAGCGATGTCAAACCCTTCTTTGATTGGCGGTCCAGGTCCTTCAATAAGTTTAGTGACGGTGAGGAGTTCCAGCTGGGCACGCCAGAATTTACATCCGCCGTCGTATACAGGATCACCACCCCCGTCGCATTTGAAGCGAGTGATGGAGCACTCGAGCATAACAAGGTCGTTCTCATTAATGCAGGACGCGGGATAACATTCCATGTCCGCCCGACTCCCGAGGGCCGAGTGTTATGCGTCCGTCAAAGCAACCCTTGAATTCAACGGCGTGGAGATGTGATTAGGTTTGAATAGTGAGAGGGCGCTGGAGATGGAATTACCGTGGCCTTTTGGTCTCCCTAAACTTATGGCCTTGGTAGTGGTTCGCCCATAAACGGTGTCGTCGTCTGCCGACAATCTCATGAACAACTGCGAGTCATAGCAGCTGATCCAATAACAAAAAAGCAGTCAAAGACGATACAGGAGCATAGACCGCAAACTCATCCGACGCAAAATACGTGCGCGACGCAGCAGACCACTTCAAGGAACAGACGAAACGGATCAACTCACATTGCGACGGGGCGCAAGCGATCACTACTAGAAACGAACGCTAAATTTCACGCGGACTTATAACTTCCGAGGAACATGGTCGATGATATCGTTGCCTCTGCAGACAGCAAACTCATACACAGAAGGTGGGCAGGAATCATCGCAAGTATGTCGAAGAAGCGCGAGCGTGATAGCATCCAATGCACGATCGCCAACCTCACACTCATGCCATGCTGACGCACCAAAGGCAACAAGGAGCGGTAGGGCAGACGAGCAGCAATGAACAACAGAGGAAGCTGCCAATGAAACCGACCCAGTGTAAATTGTAAAGAGGCACTAAGTTCAAACATGAAGCACCCACAGTATAATAAGCAACCATCATGGGCAACGCCATAGTGAATTGACGGTAGTTCCGATGCAGCAAATATGTTAGATCGAACCGCACCCTTGGACAGACGAGGGGTCCAAACTCGACAGACACGCAAGCGAGACGACAGTAATCCGCATAGACAGCAACACGCAGGCGGGACAAACGGCCAAGCGGGAGACAGCGTGACGATAACAATAAGCAGCGGAGAGGGAGAGAACAGAGCGGATGGACGAAAAGGGTGACGATGGCCACAGATGCGCCAATCAGCACCAGCCACCCGGCAACGGACAACGAGTGACATAATTATGCAACCGTCTGCGTGCACTTGCTCTCTTTAAATTACCGAATGAAGGGTCATTCGGAACTGTTGTCTTACAATTCGTGCCAGAATCCGTGCCTAGTGTAATTATTCCGGACATACGCGGGAAAGGTCATCCTCTTTGTCATAAAGCGCCTGTTCAAATCATTTCACATTGGCACCGGTGTCCTTAGGTGGTTCGGTGGATGCATGGCTTGTATAGCTTGTCTCGAGCTCTATCCCTCTTTGTCAATTCTCCAGTTCCTGATCATATGGAGATTGCTCAGCTACTACGGGCCGGTGCTTCTCTCATTGGTTCTTCTCCAAGTGAAGCAACGTCTGATATCAGGGAGGTCTTGCAGCGCAGACTCACCCGTTACTACTCCACCATCGGGAAGGACGATTACAATACGGATGGTCCGCTCGAGGACCTCCAATTGAAAACTGCTAGTGAAGCGCTAAATGTCGCGGAACGTGTACACATTGCCTGGAAGCGAGATGCGCTCTCTGCCGTGTCTGAGGCCCAACAGCAGCCAAATGTGCCAGGAGCCGCCATCGGCACGCGAGACTTGGCTCAGATTCACACCTTACTTTCCATCGTGTTCAAGTGGTCTCTCGAGCCAATGCTTGCTCACGTCGTGAACGCAATTCCAGCCAAGTCGGTCTCGCACGCGCACGTCCACGGCGGAGCAAAGATCATCGACCTCACAGGAGTGCCCAGCGATTATGCTCAGCTGTCTGCGTTCACCTCTCGGTTGCTGCGTCTCGTCTTGCCGGATAGCCAACGATCTCAAGCACTGCATACAGTCATCTCATCAACACTGCTGAACAGGCACCTCACGGATCTGCTGAGACCATGCATGGTCCTGGGATGGCTCCCGAGGAATCTTGCCACTGAATCGGTGCGTCCTGTGGATGAGATACGGCCGTTGGTCATGCAGCTGCTGTCCAGGTCAGTAACAACTGTCGCCTGAACTACGTCGATGCGCTGATGTACAGTTCTAGTCTACCTGCCTCACAGACAATCGCCGCTCTGGGTGCCATACTGTCGGACGACTCTGTCACCCTCCCATACGTTCGCAAGTGCTGCGGATTTCTCCTCAGTCGACAGCTGCTGCGCCCTGAGGGAATCTACGGGCTGCTCACGACTATGTTTGGAGAGGAAGATATCTCTGGAGAAGACGCGCCGTTGGAGAAACTAGAGCATGTCGGTCGACTACTCGCTACTTCGCCTGCGAGCATGAAGCCGGAGGTGAGTCTTCTCCGTTAGATCGATACTCGCTTCTTACTGTACATGCAGGACTACTATGCGATGATCGTCCCCAGACTCGTCGCTATCCTCTCTGCCGACCCGACCAAGGTACCACCGGCACACCGGCGCGCAGTCGCATTCTCACTATCTCGTATGCTAGCATCGGACGACACCGAAAATCAAGACGTCGTTACAGCAGTGCTACTCCCAATCCTACACAGGCCTTTCCTCCAGATACCTGAGACTGCTCCTCCGCTCGTCGAGCAGAGCGATTCATCAAAAACAAATCAGAAGATGCTGCCATCTGCAGCACTCTTGATCCTGCAGACACTATTGACAAACGCTGACCCGTCGCCGACGTTCATCACCACTCTGCTGACGCCCATCGTGCCGCCTCTGTTCGCCATCCTGTCGCATCTGGAGGCGACGAGGACTTCTGACCCGGCGCTGAAGGAGTCTGTCAGAGGTTTCTTGGTCACTTGGGGTAGAGTTGTTGGTACACCTGAAGGCATCGAAGCGCTCTGGCGCATTGTCCTCGACGAAGGCGGAGAGTGGAAGACAGATGTCGCTGGTAATCTATCGAGGATAGAAGTGTACGTCCTCGATGTGCTACCATTCTCGTACATTGGACTAAAAGTGACCTTATCCTTAGAGCTGAGAATGCGCCGGCGCTCTCACTGTTCACTCCTGAAAACCTCCGGAGGGCAGAGGACGCGGGAGAGCTAGACGTCGATGCCAACGTGTTCGGTCTCAGTCCAGACCCTGCACGTTTCGTGCGATTCCTGAAGGCCATCGAGCGATCAGACATTTCGTCGGAGTTGTTTGTGAGGCTGCTGGAAGCGTATCGGGAGAGCAAAGCTGATATGGAAGCTGACCCCCTGCAGTGAGTGATGCATGCGCCGAAGTTCACAGCAGTTTCTCATACGCTTGCGCCAGGACGTTACTATTCTTGCAGCTCATTTTACAGATGCAGCACCAGCTTGTGGACGAGAAATCGACATCCAACGTGCTTAACAAACCTGACCACATTTTGTCGTTCATCAAACATGCGCTTGAGTCCACCGAAAAGGCAGCACCCGAGCCCACACGCAAGCAGCAGGAGCCTCGCAAAGAAGGTTTACGTATGGAAGATCTGCGTATCGTGGAAGATCAAGAAGAGGAACTCGAAGAGGGAGACAGTGACGATGAGGTAGCAGAGGAGACTGCTGGAGGGACGAGTGATGACGAGATGACCGTGACTGCTATCAATTTATTGCTATCGATTATGGAAGGTATGCGAGGAAGTTCTGTAGGCGAAAGATTGAACTGATGCAGTTTCCAGTGCATCCCGATCTCTCTGCCAGAACCGCGCCCATTCTCAATGACATCTTCTCCCTGCTGGAGCCTCTTTCCAAGACCTCAGCCGAGACTATCCGGCCGCTGGCGCGCGAGGCGCGCATGGTCATGACAGCGCGGCTTGCTTCTACCTCAGCGCCGCCACCAAAAAGCATGTCCAAAACTCTGGAAGACGACGAGGAGAGCCCAGCCGAAACGTACCAGAAAGCGCTTAAGCTGCTCCAGGACCCGCTCCTCCCCGTTCGGGCCCATGGACTACTCCTCCTCCGGCAGCTCGTTTCGTTACGCAAGCGCACGACGGCCGATGGGAAGCTCATACTAGAGGAGCCTGTGATCGATAGCGCTCTGGTACCGGCGATCCTGTCCATCTTTTTGCAGTCGGTGCAGGACGATGACTCGTATATGTTCTTGAATGCGGTGCAGGGCTTGTCGGCGATGGTCGACGGGTTCGGAAAGGAGGTGTTGAGGGGCCTTGTGGGGACATATTCGGAGGGGATGGAGGGGCTGGGTGGGACGGCGATGACGCAGCATGATGTAGATGTGAGGACGAGGGTGGGAGAGGCTTTGGGCCAAGTTATCAGGCGGTGTGGGGATGCGCTACCGGCTTATGGTTTGTGTCTTCCGCGTCGGTGTTACGCTCGCTCTCTGACCTTATTGCCCTGTAGTGAACATCCTCGTCCCGCCACTGTTTCGCGTGGTGAGGACTTCGCATTTCCCGACAACTCTGCGTACCTCGGCGATATCGCTGCTCGCTCAATGTGCTAAGACAAACTCGCTAGCGCTGCTTCCGTATGCTGCGGATCTATCGGAAGCTATGGTGGACCTCCTCCAAGTGGAGACCGTATCAGCGGCCGAACGATCCAAGAAAAACCAAGAAGAGAAACCCAAAGCGGACATGCCAGTATCGGAGGAGGCAAAAGAACAGGCACGCGCACCAGATAAGGGTGACAAGATAGAGGAGTTGGAAGCCCCGGTGCCTGCGACAATGGATGCACAGCCAACGTCAACAAACTCGAGATTCCCACCACTGCGGCGTGCCGCGCTGCACTTTCTCTCGCTGCTTATCCAGGCATGCATCTCACGCGTCTATGAATACGGCGACGGCGATCAACTGGCGTTTCCACCGCACCTGGTTAAGCGGGCGAAGAACACGCTGGGATACGTCGCAGCGACGGACGACGATGCGGTCGTGCGGGTGATGGCACGGGAGGCATTGGAAGGGCTGGACCAGCTGGCGGAGGCAGCGTTGGGCTTCTAGTGCGGCGTAGCTCTTGTCATGAGTGCCTTGCAGCGGTTTACATGTCGCGCCACGGCGGGTCATGTAACGTGGAGATAAGGATGGCAGCACTGCAAAGCGTGTGCTTAGCGACGTCGCCGTGGTGCTTCCCACCGGGCCCACTTTCCCTGCCGACTGCATCAATGTGTTACGTCGATGTCTTTGCATTGTCGCGGCCACCACCTCGAGCTGCAAGAGACGGCGCGACTCGAACAGAATGCGAGTAGATCTGCGATCGGGCGAAACACCGGCACCGGCCGCGAATTTGATCTGGCTGCGTGCCTGAACTGTTCAAGAAAATCCAGATCAGGTGCGAGCCAATGGAGGTGCTTGAAGATTACGCGCCAAGCGCCACCGAGCGGGCGGGGATGCCTTATTTGTCCGGCATCAAATCAAGTCCGCAAAAAAAAGTGGGCGCCTGTTTGCGATACCGCGTACAGATGGGCGGGCGCTGGGGAGATACGATGCGAATGCACATGGGTCTACTGATAAGCCCCGCTCCTTATTTCCTGCCTGCTTCTTCGCAGGTGTCCTTCTCCACCCTGCCTCTACCAACCCCCATCTCGCATTGCACTCATGTTCAACACCGACTCTAGCGCATCGGAGAAACATTCCGTCAGCACTGCTGATACGAAGGATGTCGAGAATTTGTCAGTTTTTTTGGCAGCGCTGTATCAGCTCACGCGACTCATTCTGCCCCGTCCTCAGCGTCGAGCCCGTTATCCAGCTCGATGACCACGTCCCCCGAACTCACTTTAGAGCGCTTTGGGCTATCGTCGAGAAACTCGACAAGTATGGTGTCGAAGCGCAGGGCATCGAGCGCATCCCGCCGGACCAGCGGCCCCAGAAATGTATGTCGCATGCTCAACATCAGAAACTGCACGTCTGACAAGGAGTCCTTTTATCAGCGGTTTTGGCACCGTTCTGGATGTGGCTCGCCGCGAACATGACCGTAAGCAGCACACCTTCGCCTGTCAACCATGCTCGGTGCGATGATCGCCGCAGACATCAACGTTCTCGCTCGGGTGTCTGGGACAGTCCATATTTTACCTGGGGCTCCGGGATGCTACTTTGACCATTATATTTTTTAACTTGCTTTGTACCCTCCCCGTCGCCTATTTCTCGACATGGGGTCCAAAACTTGGCCTGAGGCAATTGACTTTGTCGAGGTTCTCGTTCGGATACTGGACGGTGAGTCGATAGCGGCCTTTACAAACGTGTCATCGAGACTTACGTTTCCTCGCAGTCACTGATACCCATCGTTTTAAACTGCATAGCCTGTGTCGGCTGGTCTGTTGTTAACTCTATCGTTGGTGCTCAAGCATTACGAGCAGTCAGCACCTCGCACCAGATTCCAACTGCTGCGGCCATCATCGTCATCGCTATAGGCACAATAGCTGTCAGTTTCATGGGATATCGCGTAGTGCATCTGTATGAACAATATTCTTGGATACCCGTGAGTTGTCACAAGACATAACATCTGCGTTACGTGCATAGCTGATACCATTCATCGCGCAGGTAGCCGTCATTTTCATCATCTATCTCGGCCAGATTGCTCGCTTCTGTGACAGCGGACCATGGGGCGGCACCGGCCCGACCGAAGCTGCGAACGTTCTCTCCTTCGGCGCTGCAGTTGGTACGTTTCAATGAAATGCCTTCACAGCAGATCGTTATTGATAGTCGACCCTAGCTGGGTTTTCTCTCGGATGGACGTCACTTGCCGCCGACTATACCGTCCGCATGCCTGAGAATATATCCTCATACAAAGTCTTCTTCTGGACATACCTCGGTCTCAACATCCCCCTCATCTTAGTCGAGACGCTTGGCGCGGCTGCGATGACCACCCTCGCTGCCAAATCCACCTGGGAGGACGCATATAACGAGAACTCCGTCGGAGGGCTGATCGGCGCGGGCCTGACGGGGCCCATGCACGGGTTCGGCGGCTTCCTGCTTGTAATCATCTCGCTCTCGATCATCGCGAACAACATTCCGAACATCTACTCGCTCGCGCTCACGTTCCAGAACATCCACCCATACGCGCAGGCGATTCCGCGCGTGTTCATCGTGCTCATCGGAAGCGCAGTCTACATCGTGCTCGCGATCGTCGGCGCGTCCCACTTCGAGAGCTGGCTCGACACGCTGCTCACCATCCTCTCGTACTGGCTCGCCATCTTCAGCACGATCCTTATCGAGGAGCACCTTATCTTCCGCAAGGGCCGCTGGTCTAATTACGAGCCGGATGATTATAATAACTTTAGAAAGCTCCCGTTGGGCATTGCATCGTTCATCTCATTGGGTTGCGGAGTCGGTGGCGCTGTTCTCGGCATGGCGCAGACGTGGTATGTCGGCCAGATTTCACGACATATCGGAGACCCACAGTATGGTGAGTGACACTCCAATGTATGTACCTCGAGGCTCGCGATGTTGACTGGCTGCGTTGCAGGTGGCGATATTGGCTTCGAACTTAGCTTCGCATTCACCGCCGTCGTGTTTCCTCCATTACGATATATTGAGAAGAAGTACTGGGGTTACTGAAGAAGTTAATAGTACCGGGACATATATAGATTGAAATAGTCTGTGCTTGACGTGTAGTCCCATAATGTACCTAACAACACAGTATGTCTCTTTACGTGCCTAATGTTATTCATGACCCATTTTCAATACTGCACGGCATGCACCTGAACACCCGGCATATTTCACTGAGATATATTTGTTGCTTTGGAAGAGTTGGAAGAATGTATGCCCCGTATCTGTCCCAGCAAAGGTGTTCTTTAAAGAGCTGAGTCAATTGAAAGGCACTGTTGATCTAGGTTCATAGCTCTGGCCCAGTCCCTGAAGACGGACGGCTGCTCGTCCTCAACGCATTCCAGACACTGAAAGAATATGGCTCAGGGCCCGGCATCTGGAATGGGAACATGAACCATGGGATTCAACAATCAGACAATCATGCAGCTTGCAAAGGTTCAAAACGCTAGGCTCGAACGACAGCGGGAGGAGCACTCAATGGGATTGGGTAGAGACTGGAAGAGGCACAGGTGCACCTAGCGACCTGGCTACATCGTCCACTCGCCGCCTGAACGCCTTCCACTTCGCACCTCCAGCTGTGAGCATCGTGGCGTGGTCGTTCACGCCCTCGAGCGGGGTGTTGAGCTTCAAGAATGGGTTCGCAACAGAGAGACGGTACGCCGTGTGCAGGGCTTTAAATATCTGTGACGGTTCGGCATACCATTGGTCTCTCAAACGTTCGGCCGTGGAGCACAGGACAAAGACACGTACCGAGATGACGTCCACGTCCCGGATGACAGAGTCGGTCATCGCAAGTGCCACGATGATCTTCACCCGCAGGGGCGTTACGTAGCCGTACACGGCGACATCCTCGAGCGTGTAAAGCAGGTTGAGGTAGCACTCGGTCGACTTGGCCGCCTGGGCGGCGGCGACTGCGGTGAAACGCGCTCCGGGTCAGGCAACAGCGCGACGGCATCAAGCAACGGTATGGGCGCACTGCGTTCCTCGATCACGTCCAGGCTGGTGTGCGCGATGTAGTGGTACTTGAGCTCATCCTGCCGCGGCTGCGCGAAGGTGCGGATGAGGATGGGGTGGTTCTGCGGGGAGACGAACGCGACGGCGTTGAGACGAAGCTGCGGCGGCATGTCGGCGTCTATTCGCACGGGTTGCACGAGCTGCTCCTGCAAGTTCTGACCATGATGACCGATTGACCGGACAAAGGCGTTGGTTCGCACGGACATGCCTTCGAGTTCTATCTATCTCATCAACTTCCGCATCACCAGGGCGAAATGAACAGCTGATCCTCTACGAGCATAAGCATATGTTCGTCACTGCTTCGCGTGAGGGAGCCAAACTGCATGCAGCAGCTCGCCGATACGCGTAAACTGAAACGAGAACGGGACCTGGTGCCTCTGACGTGTCAGCACATAGCAGGCTCAGAGCACTAACGCCGATTTGGGAGTCTTCAAGCCGCATTGCTAGCATGGGTATCCCAGTCCAAGATGCATAGATAACATGGAGCAATTCTACCGGTGTATGACAACAAAGCGCGATAACCAGAACAGCATTTTACACAGAGCCGCTCGAATAGTATCGCCATGCGAAGTAGGCACCCAGCATCGCGAGCGGAACAAAGTACATCAGACTACGAAAGCAAGACAGGTGTGAGATAGAGTGGTAAGAACAGCTATAGCTCGACGTACTTCGACCCTTGTTGAACCGCACTGTTGACAGCGTGGCTTGTTGAAGAATTGTCGTAGGCAGGCTTGGCCTTCAGAACCTAATTTATCGCAGGATATGGATTAGCACGGTAATGAGCTGATCTAGGGAAGGGTTGGCGTACGCCGTCCTTCTCGAAGTCGCCGACGTAGAGGTCCTTGAGGATGGAACGAGCTTCATCCGAGTGGCCGACGTCCTCGAACGCCTCGGTAGCGTCCTTGCCTGTCTCGCAAGAATGTTTAGATACTGCGACTCATGGAATGGAAGGACTCACCGGTCTCCGCTAGAATCACTTCGTCTCCTCCGGGGTGCTGCGCGTCCCGCTAAGGGCCTCGTCACGCAAGTTGGTACGGCGCTGCGCTTACCTCGTCAATGAACTTTGCCACATCGTAAACTGTTGCATTTCAGGAGCCTGATCATCGCTCGATTAGGACTACAGTACACATACCCTTCTGATGAATGAGTATGTACAGGCTCTCTTTCGAGTTGTGGGCCTTGAGCTCCTCGTAGGTAATGATTTTTGTTTCGGCCATGACGATGAAGGAGGAAGGTAGTCTGGCTGGGGTGACGAGTTGCAATCGTGCGATGATAATTGGGCGTTTTATCCCATCGGCTGAGGCCGATCTGCCCATTCACACGTGGTAAGTCAGAATGACACGAGCGGGGGCGTTTGATCCATGGAATTAATGTTTAACGGAAGTAACGAAATGGCGATCACGAAATGAAGACGGCGTTCTGAATTCGTATGTACAGGACTGCATTGATCATGCAGAACACGCAACAGCTGCTTGCAGTACGAAGGATATCGACCAACGGGCAGGCTGTGGGAACACGGCGGCCTCAGCCCCGGCGGCACTGGAACGAGCCCAGCTCGAGACAACAAGTGGCCTGATCCGGCAAGCACAAGTTGCCCAGGCGCGATTGGGGAGGAGTTGCTACCATAATAGTGATGAATACGCAAGCTGTTGCTCGGGGATATCAACGACAAAACGGCGCGATTCAAAAAGCGGTGCAGTGTGCACGATCCCAGTGCGCAGCCTCCTCATCTCGCAGAACTTTCAAAATTAATGACAACGTCACGATCAAGCGAGGTGCGATGAAGAGGAAAAGTACTCGAAGTGGCCGCAAGGAGACGCGGTGTGGCGGATGAGCACCATTTCGAACTCCGCCGAACGCGTCAAACAAGATGCCACGCGTGTTGGCCCGCGTTCAATCTCATCTCTCCCCGCTTCCACCTCGACGCCGCGCCAACGCCCCGCCTCGCCCTCCCGGCCCCTGCCCCTCACCATGTCGGAAGAATTCACCGACATTTTGGGTGGAAAGCTCAACATAGCACCAGAGCTCCCTTCCTCGTGGAGTCGCCGATTTCTCACGGTCTTCTTGCTACCCCTGCTTTTCATCCTGTTCATCTGGCTCATTGCGCTCCCATACTATCGTGATTGGAAGGAGGAACATCACCGAAAGTAAGCTTGCATGCAGCAGCATCTTTTCATAGCTAACAGGTTATTCTGAAGGGCTGTCCGTCGGAGATTCGGTATTCCAGATCACGATACTCGCGCATTCGTTGTGGCCCATGCTGCTGTTAAGGCCGCTAAGGAAGAAAAACTCAAAGCTGAACGACGAGAAAAAGAAGCTCAGGCCAACGGAAATGAGGAAAAGAAGCAACGCGAAGCGACGGGGTCCATGATTGCATCGCAAGCTGGCGATCACGCGCCCCAACAAAGTGAAGGTACGACTCTATCGTTCTCTACTAAATCTGTCTAACTTTCAAGGTTCCCGTTACTGCAGATGTTCGCGGAACATCTAGAATAGCTCGTGCTGCCGCGACCCCACCACCTGCAAGGCCTAAAGGCATCCTAATGTAATGTCTATTAACTTTAGTCTTGCTCTGTCTCATCGAATTGATGTTCACATTACTAGTACCCCTCCATCTCCGGGCGTGACGCACTTTCCTGGCGATTTTGATGGGCCTTCAAGTCAACCTGCTGATGTATCCCCCGAGCCAAGCGTGCGCATTCATCGTCCTGGCCAGATACCCCCAAAAAGCCCATTCCCACCAGCTTTGAAGCGACCGCGCGACGAGAACGGACAGAACGATACCGATAGGGGAACGAAGAAAGGCCGCGCAAATGGTAAACGCCGTGTCTCCTTCGAGGATGAGATGCAAATCGTGGAAATCTCGTTGCAAAAGCGAGGTTCAAAGAGAGTCGCTGACGCTGAGGACGATGCGAGCATCGAGGCTACCCGAGCGAGTGATAGGGACAAGAGAGCTCGTAAGGGCTCCTTAGAGGTTGTTATCGAGCAGTCAGATGAAGAAATGGACATAGAAGAGGATAGAGACACGAATCTCTCTCGTCAAGCGCAACCAGCCAGCAGAGGGAAGAAGCGAGACCGGTCAGAAGCAGGTTCCACGCTTGATCGCGAGGGATCCTTCGGAGACGATGAAGATGATGGCGAGCAGAAGGTCAGACGTCACAGGAAAAAACGAGCAACAGCGCAGAAAGAGCCAGGTAGTCGTGGACAAAAACGAGGACGCGAGGCTGAAGAATCAGAGAGCGAAGAGGAATCGGACAGTCCTAAGCGCCGAGACACGCGTAAGAAGCGCGGCAAGACCGACTTCGAGGACGAGATATCCAGTGATCCTCTTTGCAAGGGCAGACGGATTGGTGAGGAATGGGACGCGAACGGTGTTCGTTACAAGGTTGGTCCGAATGGACAGCGTCTCCGTCAAGCGCTCCTGAAGCGTTCTCGTTCGAGATTCCCTATGGTGAGTGGTGTTGTATTTATGGTCATTGATAGCTTGTCGACCTGTCCCTTTCAGCCGAAGGATTCTCAACATCCGGATCGTGCAGCCAACGTGGACATTCTCGTGGAAAAGTGGCTCTCTGAAGAAGAGTATCAGGCTGCAAAAGAGAGGCGCGAACTTGCATGGCAGGAAGAGGATGTTCATGGTGATGTAGAAGTGAGAGCAGCTTGGCTTTCTGTTTCTGCGATCAATTGACACTAATTGATTCATACCCTCACTAGGACTTCATGAAAGCGGGTAAAACCATACTCTACGCTCCCGCTGCGGCGCACGGTGCTGCATCAATCGTCGCCGGTCTTGGAATTCACGTGAACCCCTTCCAGCGGTCGCAGTTCGGTGTCACGCGTCGTGTAGCTCCCATAGTAAACCCGGCCCTTCCGGCTGCACCGGACGCTCCCAAGCCTCGCCCCGTTCGGTCGTACTCTAAATGGGAGAAACAGGATCTAGAGGCTGCTGCAATGTCCAGGATTAGAGAGAAGGCGGCTGCAGCGGAGGAGGCAAGGAAGGCAGCAGCAACCCGGTCATCTCAAGCATCCATTGTTACCACCGTTTCATTCGCTCCAGCAGCGACCCAGCCGAGCAATAACGTGCCTGCCACATCCAACATGTTCTCTACTCCCCCAACGAGTGGACCTAGCACAACGACATCGAACGTACTAAGTGCCTCGTCGGTCGCGGCGCCTGCGGCTACGAAACCTGCTTCTCCTGCCCCTTCGGCTCCCACGCTTGCTTTTTCTTTCCCTTCCTCTATTCCTACAACTTCCCAGATGGGCCCTCCCTCCCTGATCCCCACTCGCTCGTCAGGAAGTGTCGAGAGTCAGCCAGCTGCCTCGGCGTCCACTGGGACTGCGCAAGGAGCACAGCCCTCTGCTCAAATGCAAACCAGTGGCACGGCGCCCGCACCGACATTTTCATGGACCAAACCCCAAGGTGCTACCACTCTTGCTCCACCTGCTGTCTTCCAGCAACCTGCTAGCTCTGCCTCCAGCTTCAATGCACAACAGGCTGGGATGAATGCTGAGCCTGCTGCTCCTAGTGGCACTCCTTCTCTACTGAGCCGTCTCGGGCCTCAGGTTTCATCAGCCCCAGCTCAGCCTGCCGGTCCTTCAAGCGGCATGCCGACATTCACGTTCACGCCGCCGTCGGCACCCCCGTCGAGCAGTACCGCCAATACCAGCTCATTCCAGACTGCACCGTTTTCGGCCACGAACACGAGCAGTGCTGCCGCTCCTGCACCAGCGACCGCTGCACAGGCTCCATCGTTCTCCTTCAATTTCCCACAGCCATCGCATGCTGCTACTCCTGCCATCACGATGTCAAGGGCGACTCCCCCGGATGATGTGATGAATGTTGAACCGGCGAAGCCAGCAGATTCGATGTTTGTATTCGGGGCGCCTACTCAGACTGCACCTAACCCGCCTTCCACGTTCACCTTTGCTCCTTCGACGCCAGTAAAGCCCTCATCGGTTTCGTTCGCGAATGTGAGCACCCCGCAGTCCTCAACTACCCCGACCTCGAACCCATTCTCCACAACACCGAAGGTCCCGCCCCCGCAGTCTGTGTACGGCGGCTTTGGTTCAGGCGGACGTGCATTGACTGCAGCGCCATCTGGCAATGCTGTACCATCTTCGCAGCCAATGGTTCAGCAGAACGTCCCTCAGTTCGCGTTCTCACAACCAGCCCCACAGCCCACGTTCTCACAACCAGCCCCACAGTCCACGTTGGGAGGGAATGCGTCGGCTCCAGCTGCTCAACAGGGCACTGTGAGCTTCAACTTTGGACCAACTTCTGTTCCGGGTGCAGGATCCAGCATGGAGGGTCAGCAGAGCACCTCCCAGTTCACCTTCGGGTCCGGGAAGGGCACGACGACCCCAGTCCCTAGCGCGCCCTCGCAGAGTCAACAGCCGCTGTTCCATTTCGGAGCGTCTGCACCTAGTGCGAACGCTACAGTGAAACCGGGGTTTGGCACTCAGCAACCGGCGTCGACAAATGCATTTGGTGGCCAGCCTGCTGCCTTCAGTTCAGGCTTTAGTGCTCAGCCGAATGCTCCAACTCCCGTTGCCAACCAAGCCGCTGGCGGGTTCGGGAGTCAGCCATTGTTCGGCGGGCAGGCCACGAATCCCAACCCTCAGCCTGCTCCGAGTGCTCCCATGACAGCTAACACAAATGCCAGCACGCACCAATTCGGGGCCGCAGCACCTCCGATTTTCATATTTGGGAAGCAGAATTAAAAGAAGAGGATGGGGTGAGGATCAGTTTTGGATCTGTACGCGAGCGTTTTGGGATAGTGTAGCGTTGACGTACGATACGCATTGGCAATGGCAATGGCATGTACTACTTAGCCGGCTCCCCTGCCCTGCGCATGTAAATTATCTGGAATTGTCCGAACAGCTTTCGCGATGATGTATGTCTCGGCGCGTGATATTCAGGAGGTTGGATCTTGAAATGGGCTGACCAGCACAATCGATCCCCCTATACATGCCCCTGCTCACATCCTACTCAACATCTAGTCTCTATAGCTCATTCTCCGTTGTCGTGCGGGACCTTGGATCAAACCGCCCTATATATTGCACTCCGGGATTTCGTTCGATTGAGCAGCCTCAGCCAACCTATACGCTACGCCGCACATAGGTGCATTACTCCTCAACCTACTCGCTACTTAGGGGCCACACGCAACCATGATGAACGACAATGCTTCAGCGACACCGCGCCCGTGTCCGCCAGCCAAGGCACGCAGACTACCTTCTATGCAGTTTCCCAAGTTTCCGCCACCACCATACGCTCTTTCACTCGATCAGGTCATAGTGGATCATGCCGACCAAGGCAAGCACGCAGTCGATGGCCTACCGCTGCCCGTCCCCACTCCAGATGCAGAGGACTGGCTGAACGAGCGATCCAGGGAGGAGCTATCCGAGCTGCTGCTGAAAGCGGACCAGCTCATCAAATCCCGTGAATCAGGTGGGTTTCCATCAGTTCCGCGGGCTGACCCGGGTATGTGCGGCGAGAGCTAACACTTATGAAGAGCTCGGTCTGACATCTGCGCTGTGCAAGACGCTCTACGAAGACAATGTCGCACTCAAGACCAAGCATGAAACACTCCTGGCGCGCCTCCCCACGTCCCCAGCGCCTAGCACCCCTACCTCCCCTCTGTTGAGGCCGCATTCTCCCCATCAGCCGAGCGATGTGAACTACTCCCGATCACCCACATACAGCGAGGCCTCCCTAGCTCCCCCTAGTCACCGGCACGCGCGCCGGGTCTCCATCACGCAGGGCGAGCTCGCGCGCCTTGCCGACCAGAATGCCGAGCTGCTGGACAAGCTCGAGAAGCTCGAGACAGAGTCGTTGCAGGCTGATCAGGCGGGAAAGCGGAAGCTGCGGAAGCTCGAGCGCGAGATCCAGGGGCTCCGGGAGGAGCTGGAGAGGACTCAGGCGAAGGAGGCTGAGCTGGAGCGGCAGGCACTTGCGGTGCCGCCCCTGAGCGAAGAGGAGGCGCAGCGGCGGAAGGAGGAGCGAGAAGAGCGTGTGCGGGTGCTGCGGGCGAAGAGTGGATCGATGTCGGAGTCGGAGGGCAGCATTGACGAGGGCGTCAAGGACTTTGCACCTCCGTCGGAGCTGCTTGGATCGAGCAGTACCAGAATAACTCCAACGGCTGCCTCGTTTCCGTCGCCGAAAACACCTCCCGGAAACTATCTTACCCAGCCCACGTTGCCAGCCTCAGGTCCACTAGAGGAAGAGCTCGAGTCCGTCTGGGCGCAATCCCGTCCGACGAGCATGTATTCACTGTCCGGCGCAGAGTCCGTCATCGTCTCCCAGCTGCTGCTCAAGGTCCGCGAGCTCGAGGAGACGAACGCGCAAATCAAGAGGCAGCAAGAGCAGACTGACGAGCGGCTTCGGTCTGCGCGGGTAGATGCTGAGAGCATGAAGCGGATGTACGAGTGCCTTGACGGCGAGGATGGCCTGGAGTTGGTGCTAGACACGGAGGACGAGATGGATGACAGCCCGACGAAGGGCAAACGGATAGCGTCTGGCGGTATGGTTACGTTCAGCAGCCTGCGGCGGTCGATCCATCGGGATATGAGCAAGCTCCTCGAGCCGCAGGAGCAAGACGGATTCACTATTGGGATTACTGCGAACATGCAAAGTACTACGCGGGGCAGTGTTGCACGCAACCTGCAACATCCAGCTGGCAGGCCGCGCAAGACTGTTATGGGCCTCTTTGCTGATACTGGGGCTGGAGATGCGCTTCAGGCTGCATCCGGCAGTCCTGGTATCCTACCCTTCCGTGAGTCGGAGCTCGGAGATTTCACCACCTGGTCTACTGCTGCGACAGACGGGATACCTCTTCCTTTTGGGACAGCTCGCAGTGTACAGACGCCAACAGAAAGATCGGGCCTACGATATGGGCGCACGCTAGGCAGCGAGCTCGGCAGTGACCTCGGAGATGACTGGGGTGCCACTGCAGGCAATGATCATCTGCGCACCACGAGCCTGTATGAGATCGCCGGAATGGACATTTCACAAGAATCGTTCAGGTCGCCTAGCCCGGGCGAGCGGCCCACGCTCGGTTTTCCTACGTCGAGTAATGCAGAATCCCCTGGCGGCCCTATCCTGGGGCAGGAAGGCTGTGGCGCAGACCCGGGACCCTCGACGCCCCCGCGCATATCTGGCTTGCAGCTCAACGTGCAGCCTCCGACGCCATCGCCAGATCAGCTGAAGGCGTACGAGAGGCAGTTCCGCCTGTCGCAGACCGTGCGCTCCCGCACGCACCGGTGGGTCGAGGGACGGTTTTCGCCGCCGGCTCTTCCGGAAGACGACTCTGTGCGGCGGTACCCTGGGACGAGCCCTAGGATGCGTTCTGGGCTGGACAGTGTCATGATAGGCGCGCTCAACGAGGAGGTACCCGAGATAAAGAAGGCCAATAGAAAGGACAACATGCGCTCTTCTACGAACGCAAGTCGCGGCTCTGAGTCTATTGCTCAGGGACCCGCAGATGCGGATGCAGGTGCGGGTAGCGATCGTGCCACGGTCCAGCTACGTGCGGACTCGTCAGCGATCCTGGGCGCTGCGGGTACGCGGAACGAGGGATTCACAGGGTACATCCTGGAAGTATGGCTTTGGCTGCAGTTTGTGATCGTCATACTTGTGTTTTTGTGGGCGATGGCGAAGAGAGGGCCGAAGAGTGTGCTGGAAGAGGCGGAGCAGCGGCGGCGGGCACCTGGGGGTGGTGCTTTGCCATCCTAGAGCTGCTGCCTGGGATTTTGGTTTATGTAGGGATCTCACTGACGATATGCGTCATAATCTGTATCCACATTCATTGTATATCACATATCTATCAGCCCTATAATTTTTTGGGAGACTGTCGAGGGTCCCCGAGGATGTCGCGCGGATGCGGAGTGGTTTGGGAAGCGGGCGCTGGTGCACGATGAGGCGGAATATCCGACTATATTTAGGACGATATGGGTGTTCGCGTGTATGGATGATGCATCGGCATTGCGAGGAGGAAGCCGGGGAACGTCGAGGACGCGTCAAGGGAAGACGCGGTCACGTGTGCGCGTCTGCGTGCCGGGAGGAACCGTGAGACGTCGGGAGGCTGCCGTTCACCGAAGGTGCCCGTGCGATATGTTGCGAACAAGGCCCTCTTCTCCAGTGGACGTCATGGCACGCAACGGAACAGCGTTCAATGCAACGTGTTCTATAAAGTCGTCGCTCCTCCCTTCCGCTCGCATCCTTCCTCGACTGTCTCATACCCATACACGCCTAGACTAAAAACACGCCATGAAGGTGCATTTTCTCTCGTGCTCGAGCGAGACTTGGTGCGGGATTGGAAAACTCATCTTTCATGCAGATTATTACAAAAGAAGAGTCTGACACGCAGATGCGCGCGACCGCCGTCGGCGGCGCCAAGGGCTTCGCGGGCGGCCTTGCTGTCGCGCTCCCCATGTCGTACCTGCTCAACAAGCGGTGGGGATACTACCGCGCACTGCCACCGTCTCTCAAGGCATTCGGCGTTATCATCGTCGCCGTCCCCGCCTTTGTGATCAACGCAGAGCATTCAGGGCTGCGATACGAAAAGGAGCGCCGGTGAGTGGCCAGTCTATGTCACCATCTTCGGCCGTCGCCGATGGCCGGTGCCGTTCTGCAGGACCGACTTTGGAAAGCTGGAGATGGACGCGAAGGAGGCGGTGCGGCAGGCAAAGTGGGATCGCATGACCGTCACCCAGAAGTTTCAGGATGTCGCCGCGCGGCATGAGTACGGCTTCATTGGTGGCGCGTGGGCAACGAGTATGATTGGTGCATTTGGGTACATCATGCGGAACCCGTGCGTTTTCATACGTCCACCTTATCCCAGGCTCCGAGCTGACATGCATTCAATTTAAACTAATTCAGATACGAGACTTTGCCACAAAAGGTTGGTGAACTGCAAATACCAATATCAGAACAGGAAGCTGATGAATATGAACGCACAGCTTGTGCAGGCGCGTATGTGGGCACAAGGACTCACGATTGGTGTGCTCATCGCCGCGGCTGTGCTTACACACTCACGGAAGATGAAGTCGATGGATGAGTATGGACACCGGCTGGTCGTGAGTCTAGATCCTCATCGCCTTGAACGCGACGGGAAGCACTGATGTGACTGTACTGCAGGAGCCCGATCACTCGTGGCGAGATATCATCGAACAGGAGGAACGTAACGCGCATGCCAAGCCTGGGAGCGAACGCTGAGGCTGACGACTCGTTGACCAGTCGGAATGGATGCACAAAGTGAAAACGCACGAGGCCCATCGTGTGACCCTTGTATTGCATGTATCAACTTTATTCTAGTGCTACCCGGCCTGCCATGCATATACCCAGATAAATGTTCATTCCAGCTGCTGTCCTTCCATTCCAAACCCCGGCATGTGAGGACTGCTGGCTTCCACAACAGTAGGCATACTTTCCCACCGAGGACGCGTAATGCCTCGGCCATCCACTTTGAGTTCTGTCCCATGCCCATGCGGCCCCGGAGCACGCTGCTTATCAGATACGCGGGTCAGCTTGCAGACTAATCTCACCTCAGATGGCACGCTTTTTGCTCACTAATAACGCAGATGACCAATGCGTGAGTGGTCATTGCACTGTATCAAACATAAGACGTGTATGAGAATAAGATGGTCGCGTTCTGACGGTCGCCAACACCTGTCAAGCCAATGATTAAGCAGCCAGCAAAGGATGGTGCCAAGTAATGTAGCGGGTGAACTCCCAATCAGGTTCCAGGCCTCGGCGAGATGGTGTGGTGTGGGTACGGGTACATTGATGCAAAGAACTGGACCATAGGGATAATGCGCCAGGGCCATAAGAGAGGAACATCAGAGCCGAAGCCGTAAGCAGGATGAGGTAGTTGTGCATAGAGTTCGAAGGAAACATGGCAAGGATATGATGGAGTCTGCGTTGTAATCCCGGCGTCGGAGTTGTGCAGTCCGACTGGTCCGACACTCTTGGCGTTGCCTCAACAGTCGTACGAGCTCAGTGCGCTCCTATCGCGATGCACACTCGCGGCCGTCGCTTGAGCGAGCTGAGATGTAACGTCCGAGACCGAAAAGCATGTCGGCAAGGGAGGAAATGGGCGCGGTGTGGCAAGGGATGAATTGAGTCGGAGCACAGATAGCCGCGGGCCGAGGACGGTGCCGAAGGGGACGGGCGGATTGGCGCGCATTTCTTAGCCACGAGTGTCTCGTTCTCCTTTTTGCCTCGGCTCCGTCCCAGGTCCCCTCCTGTTTCCTTGCCATCTTCGCCGTTCCTCTTGCCCTTCCCGCTCACGTCGCTGCCCTCGCCGCCGACGTGCACGCCCGCCGCACGCACGAAGCTTTCGCAAATCCGATCCTCGGGTATCACGCCGGCATGACGCGCCATTTAGACAGGTCAGTCGCACGCCTCTTTCCCATTGTCACGCAGCTTCCTCGTCCGCAGGCGACCCCTCGTCCCCTGAACCAATCGCGCGACTCATCTCTATATTTACCACCTCTGCCCCTCCTTTCTGTCCTTTTTCTGCCACTTATTCGTCGCTGCTGCTGCTCCTCTCGTTCGCAGCAACGTGCTGACCCATCCATGGTCCAAACACTTAGGTCCGTGTCCGTCGCCGCCTCGTTCGCCGGCGCCGTCTTCAACCTCGTCGTCGCTGTCCGCCTCCTCGCGCTCTGGCGCTCGCTAGGATGGGAGTCAGAGTCAGAATGGGAGGCCTCTGGCGATGTTTGGAGAATCGATGGCGTCAAGATCGTCTGGGGGCTGCTGTCGACCTACTTCGCGGCAGCCGCACTGGCATGCTTTGTTGGATTTGTCGGCCTCACGAAGGTGCGTCGTGTCGGCTCTCGCCCCTGTATCCGCCGCTGACTGTGGCGCTCTCCTTCTGCCAGTCCATACCCTCCTTTGTGCGCTTCTACCGCGACTATTCCATCGCGGATTTCGCGTTCGTTACCGCCAGCACACTACTCGTCTCCTACAAGGCGTTTAGCGCGCCTTATGTCCGTACCGGTGTGTGTGAGGAGCTCTCGCGCCACCCTGACCTGATGCGCGACATGGTCGAGATGGGACTCAGTCAAGAGAATTGCGAGCTCTGGTTCGAGCGCGCTGTTGTTGCTCTGCTGGGGATTACGTTTATTCTCATGGTGATCAGAGTGAGTCACCGCAGCGCATTTTGTCAGCTTGATTTCTCACCGGGCCCGTCGTAGCTGCACACGCTTCTTGCACTGTCGAAGTACTACCGCCACGTTTCACGCGACGCGTTCAACGGCAGCAAGTCGCACGCAGGCCTTCGCTCGGCGAGCCCCGATTCGTTGCAGCGCATCTACCTTCTTCCGACGCCGACTTCTCCCGTGTCGTCTTCGATGCCTTTCAACCACCACTTTGGTTCCGCTGCACATTCGCGATCAAACTCTGATGCCATCATCGTCTACGCTCCGGTGCCTGTTGGCGGTGTCTCGGAGCAAGAGGCTCGCAAGATGAACGCAACAGAGGCATGGATCCCGTCTCGCGCGTCCGCGGATGTCGCACCTGGCACAGGCAACTCTGCGCGCATGCACCGGCATACGCGATCTGCGTCATGCCATTCGCATCGCTACCATGGCGTCACTCGCCAGCCCGGCGTGCGAAGGGAGGGCGTATGTACGCCGGTGGATGAGAAGGCAGAGACGGGCCCGCTGTTCTGACAAGAGACGGTATGCCCGCAATGCCGTTGTGTTTAGTGTATCCCTAGCGCCCGCCTCGTTTAGCCTTACCTCATCCCGCCACATCATGGGTGGTTGGTTCCAGATGTCGCTTGTGGTTGTTGCATGCTCACTGTCTCCTTCCATTGGTTCCAGACTGGTCTGCAATATTTATGCCTGGCTGCCTCAGATGCCTCAATTGCGACCTTCATTTGTCTCGTGTAGCATGTGCTGCGGGTTTTTGTATGTTTGTGTTGCAGTCTCACTGGTCTCGCCCATGCACCCGTTGGGTGCGTGTGCTGGAGCTTGTGTGGGTATATAGTGTACGAATACTCGTACGGATACCAATAGAGTATGCTCGGTGTAATACCAGATAGGGACCCACCGGCCCTCGCTCGAGAGCTCGCAGATCGAATCTGAGACGAGAGGACGAGATGGACGGCTCATCTGATGGCCATATCGGCGGTCTGGGCAGGAGAGATTGCTCGGAGATTAGAGTTGCAAGGCTGGCCGTGTCGGTAGCTGGCCACGAAGTATTCACCTCATGACTGGTGATCCGCTTCCCCATGTTGCACAGGCCTGTGAACGCATCCATGCATCCTGTCCCAGGCCCGCGGTGGAAGATGGACGGAGGGATGCCGACGCAGGTGTGGCCTACAAATTACGGCTGGAAATAAATGCTTCGAGGTCGAGACATATGGAAGATGAAGAGATCTGGGCGCCTAGGGAGGATGCGAGCAGTAAAATTGGGAGGAATGCACGAGCCTAGCGTTCCCGTCTCGTCTGGCCGAGACTCTCCCGCAATCACTTATACTCCTCTGGTTCTTTTCCCTTTTGCTCCTGCAAATACCCCAGCTGCCTGCTTCCGAGGGTACATCCAGCGACTATCCTCGTCCACCTGACCAAGTCGAAGCGTCCTCCAGCCTACAAGACATCATGGCGCGCACCCATGAACGTCCACAGAGCCCCGAGCCGCTCTCCGATCCCGAGGCGGAACCCTCCCTCCTAAAACGCATGAAAGTGAGCCACATATCCAACCCGGACGCGTTCGCGGAGCACTTTGCCACCGATCTCTTCGCCCCGAGCAACATTCACCGCCTGCACTCCGAGTACGACCAATCGACACCGTACAAGCACGCCGTCGTCGAGAAGCTCGTCCAGGACGACCTTCTCCAGCGCGTCAAGGACGAGGCACTCGAGCAGCTCAGCTTCTCCGAGAAGGAGACAGACATCTACAAGGTACGTTGCCTGCGCACCGCCCGCATGCGATTGGCTGCTCAAAGCCCGCGGCGCGACAGGTCAAGCAGACCGGCGACCTCGCCTCCCTCTCCTTCCTCACCGACGACCAGCGCGCCCTCCTCCCCAACCTCCTCACCTTCCGCGATGCCCTCTACTCGCCAAAATTCCGCGCCTTCGTGCGCGCCGTCACAGGCTGCGGGCCCCTCTCGGGCACCAAGCAGGACATGTCCGTCGTCTCGTACTCTAAATCGTGTCACCTCCTCAATCATGACGACGTGATCGGCACCCGCCGCATCTCGTACATCCTCTATATGCCTCTCCCGCATTACATGGGCTGGCAGCCCGAGTGGGGCGGTGCGCTGGAGCTGTATCCCACGAAGCTTGGCCCGGACGGTGTCCTGGAGCCCGAGTCGGTCCCTAGCAAAAGCATTCCTCCGAGCTGGAACCAGTTTATCTTCTTTGAGGTGAAACCCGGCAGTACCTTTCACTCTGTCGAGGAGGTCGTCGTCGGCGAGCGGGAAGACGGCCGTGAGCGCTTGAGCATATCTGGTTGGTTCCATTCACCGCAGCCGGGCGAGGAGGGCTACCAGCCAGAGAGCAATCCGCCTGAACTCAAGAGCTCGCGAGAGCAACTTGTGAGTCGGCTTGTTTCTATTGTCAGACGACGTAGTACTGACAGTACTTTTTCTTGTAGGCATTTTCCTCTACTGAATTCAAATCGTATCCAGAGTCGTTGGAGCCACCACTACCTGACGAGCCGCTTTCAGAGACCGATAAATCTTTCTTGGAAGAGTATCTCAATCCCGTCTATCTACAAGCACGAACGATGAAGGCCCTCGCTTCTCGTTTCGTCGAAGAGTCCTCCCTCGAGCTTCACGAACTCCTCTGCACCCCGCTCGCATCTAAGCTCGAGACGGGCCTTCGAAATGAAGACGCTGCCGACGGGCTCGGCTTGGAGCGGCCTCATCCCATCCCGCCTCACACCGTGGGCACCGCGGGCGCGTGGACAATCAAGGGGCCACCGCACAAGTGGAGGTATTGCACGCTTGGGCACGAACGGAACGGTGCGATCAGCAGAGCTGACCCGCGATGGGCACAGAGCTCGCCGGACGAGATCGTGCGCGCGCTGCAAGACGAGCTGTTCCCGAGCCCGTCGTTCCGCCGGTGGCTCGCGATCATCTCACGTTTGCTGCCGTTGCGGTACGCGGTGGAGGCGCGCCGCTTTAGGCCCGGCCTTGACTACACGCTCGCCACGGGAGAGACGAAGGACGCGAGGCTGGACGTCGTGATCGGGCTCACGCCGCAGGTGAAGGGTGAGAAGGTACAAGATGAAGAGGAGGACGAGGAGGACGAACTGCCCGGGTGGCAGAGTGGCGAATGGGGTGGCTGGGAGGTGAGCACACGTGCGTTGTGTTACGTTCTGGACGTGTGTTGACTGGCCGCTATTGGTAGTGCTACATGGCTCCGCATGAAGGGGAGGGTGACCCGGCTGTGTACGGATCCAGTTCAGGTGCGACCAACGCGAAGGCGAGCGAGGTTGGCTCGAGTAGGAAGCAGTCGCCCATGGGCGAGGGATCGAGCCCGATGCTGGAAGACGCAGATGAGGATGACGAAGATAATGGAACTCTTCTTACGGTGCAGCCCGGATTTAACCGGTTGCTGCTCGTGCTACGGGACGAGGGCGTGATGCACTTTGTCAAGTATGTATCTGCGGCGGCGCAGGGTTCGCGGTGGGATGTATGCGGGGAGTTCGAGATCGGGATGATCGAAGAGGAGACGGATGACTAACTTATTCGCGCTTGCATATACCAACATGAGCTATGTTTTCCGAGCATCTTCGCGACCGATTATTTGCTTTACACACCTGATGACTTTCTCCACGTCCGACCACACTAGGTCCGTGCTCCTGTATCCGTTAACTTGTATGCGTAAGTAATCGTATAGTGCTACATAACCCGAGCATGCTATAATCTGCATATATCCACCATGTACTAGAAGATAATCTTCTGTCCTTGACTGGGAACGATCGCTACCGGAGCGCGTTTCGCGTGGGCTAGAGCAGCCCCAGGCTTCGCTCTCGCCCGCATTGAATTCCCGCCCTTGTATCCCTTCCCATTGGTGTCTTCGTCGTTCCATATACGTCGCCGCTTTGGCGGCGTACCTTCTATCTTCTCATCGGCAATTGTGTCTTGGGTTCCCGCGCTGCGTTTGGTGGGCCTATCTACACGGTCGACAGGTGTTTTCCTCGGTCGCATGTCTTCCGAGCTTGTCTTCGGGCCTTTGTATTTGTTGTCCTTCGCGTAGGCAAGGCCACCGCCCCGGCGGACGGCGTCTGGAGAAGCGTACTCGACCACGAGCTTCCGACCGTCCAATAGGTGGTTCTTCGGGTTGGTCAATGCGGACGTTGCATGCTCGGTGCTCGTAAAGTCCACAAAAGCCCATCTGTCACGAGGGGGTAACGATCAGCAACGCCATTCATGACCTGTAACCGACGTCACTACAAATGTCATGTAACGGCCCGCCAGTCCAGACTGCCGCGCCGCTATCGTCGCTGCCCGAGGTCTAGCGAGAACGCAGCAGGCCAGGTCACAAGGCCGCGAGAGAGGGGTGGGAGGGAAGGGGAAGTCATAGAGTCTGAGAAGCAGCAGCACGCACCCTTTGCACTTGCCGCTGTCCTCGAACGTGCCGAGCCGCACCTTCCGTATCCAGGGATCTGCTGCTTCGGCGCCGGCGTCCTCGCCGGTGGCAGGCCCGCCCGCCCGCCGGTGCGAGTCGAACAGCGCGCGGATGGACTCTTGTGTGGCCTCGAAACCGAGGTTTCCGAGGAAGAGCGTGGGCCCTGCGGGTTGTTTCTGTGCGCGGAGGATTTTCTGTGCGGTCTTGGTGTGTCCGGTCAGGTTGGCGTTCGAGCCTGGCTCAGCGCCTGCATCTGCCGAGCTGAAAGGCGTCGGCCGTCCGTTGAAGTCATCGCCTGGATATGTGCAGTTAGTGCCGGCGTTTTATGCCAAGCTGGATTTGCACTGACCATCTTTGATGAGAAGCCGCCTCCCGTCTAAAGGGTTTTCTGATAGGGCGATGGCAGCTGTCTTGGAATCTTCTGTGGCAAAGTCCACGTAAGCAAAGCTAGGGGATAGATTGAATGAGTCTAGCTAGGACACGTCCGTTAGCACGAGTATGAACGAACCCACGGTTCTCCTTCCTAGTGCCTCCGCCCCCAGGCCCGCCGCTAGCTAGCTTCATGGGCATATGTATGCGGGTGATCTCGCCCACGTCGGCGAAGAGACGGCGGAGAGCCTCCGGAGTCGTCTTGAAGGACAGGTTCCCGACCCACACAGAGTTCTGGCGCTTTGGAAGCTTGGAGGGCGCGAGCTCGGCACTGTTCTGGATCGGCTTCTGCTGGTCAGATTCTGGATCCTGTGTTTCCGGATTCTTGGATTGTTTCTTCTTCTGCCTTCGTTGTTCAGCATGAGATAGAACTGGACCGTCTTCAGAGAGCGTGGCGGGCTCGTCGTCGCCGCTCGATGTCTGATCCTCTTGTTCAACGGCGGAGTCCCCGACAGAAAGGTTGCGCTCGTCCTCTGTGTCAGACGACGAAGACGAGCTCGAGGATGACGAGCTGGAAGAGGAAGCCATGGAGAGGGTATAGCAGCGGGGATTGGGAGAAGAGAGAAATGCAGCGAATCCCGATCCGCGAGTATTGATTGATCGACGCCAGTGCGCTGGGCCGGTCCTTCCCATATTGTTCGGCGCTTAGGACCACTCAAGCCAACCCATATGTCCATCCAGATGAGATGGCTCGAGATTTTCAAATTCGAATACCCTATCGTTTTCGTTGCATTGTTTGCATGCACGGCCCTTATCGCGCGAATTCTAGGAAATGCTGGTGCGACTCCGGTGTTAGCCGGCTGTCACCTTCACCATCTCATGGGCGCAAGGGAGTGAGAGGCCGGTTAGGGCCACAAAAGACTGGGGAATACAGGTGCGTACTTATATGATTCCGCCCTTCTGTACTCACCCGCTCCGTTTCCAGGTACAGCCCGGCGACGCGTTTCGGTCATCGCTTGGCGCTCGTCCCTCCCGACGCATTGGAGCACGTTCCACCAGAAGTGTCGTCGGTCGGCCACTTCCGCTAAATACTCGAAAGCGGACGGTCAAGGTGCTTCATAAGCACGTGACTGTTGCATTTAATCTTTTGAGGACGTTCTAGAATCTTGCTCTATTCACGCCGCAGTGCGATTTTCATGAAATAGTACGTAGGTCACTGCAACCTCCTGCGGACACTTTTATTTACTCGGTGTTTGTGTTGGTAATGGACTGAGATTAGTTCAAACGACTGGACAGTGTCTGATGCACGGGTCCTATTCTCCTCATAGCATCATCTCACTTCAATTTACCCATGTACATCAAGTCAATGACCGTTCTGCGGTGATGCGCTCTCAAGGCCTACATCGCCGACGATCTGCACGAAGAAAATTTCGTCCTCATCATGGTAGATGAGGGTCCGGGCTTTCTATCGCGTGATGATTTTATGAATGAGGCCAGCTCTGTTAGATTGGCCGTCTGTATCTGTGATGTCGACAAGGGCCATAATCGAGACATGATCATTCTATCAAAGGCAGAAATAACGCCCTGCAGTCAAGGCAGAACATCAGAAAACTTCGATCGCCCTGGGCATGTGCGTGATGCTCATAGACAGGCCGCCCGATATATGATTGCAAGGTAGTGAGCATTTCCACAGAGCCCTATTTATTTTGTGTCCATTGACGAACTCACCGTGATCGGAGTTTTCACCAGTCCCGACTGAAGATGTCGACTCTGACTACCGATAGACCGGCCACAGCGCAGACTGCAACAAGAAGTCATCACTTAACCATGATTGTCACGCCCTGGTTCCATCAAATGTCAAAGATGCCCGTTTCCACGCAGTTGAGATCATCAGAGGCGGCTCACAGGTTTAAACGCTAGAGAAGAAGACACTGAAATCGCGCGGTGGGGGGACAATCAGAATCTGGAAAGGCGATCCAGAAGAGAGTCTATCCATTGAGGAATGATATGCATGCCTCAGAACGGCCGTCGGAACATGTAAAGAGACAATAGTGACTTTCTTACAATTGCGAACGCCTCTCAGCACGGCCATCGTTCGGTGGTTAGAAATGCACGTACCATGCATCAAATAATATTATATAGGCTCTGGAGTAGAATACGATAACGTTGATAGCACTGTACAATGGATCAATACGAAGTGATGCTTCGACTACCGTCTTATCGCTGAGGGAACTCCCAGTTCCTGAAGTTCCTGTTGTCCGCGGCCGCACCGGCATCCTGTGACCTCCTGAGGCTTTCCAAAGTCGTCGACAACCCTTTGTATAACCTGTCTTTCCATCCATACGATGCCTGCAGAAGTGCATCCCAGACGTCACTCTGGACATCGGTGATCGGCTTCAGCTGCGCTGGCGAGAGACCTGCGCACCAGATGTCGTATGCTCTGAATCTAGCGCCTCCTTGCGTAATCTCTGTCCTCCTGATGGAGAGAGCGGGCTTAGCTGACGCCAAAGCAAACACGATGCGTATGACAGGCCACTTCTGCATCTGCTCGCTCGCTTTAACGGTAGAGACGCGGTCCTTGTCCAATCCTGCTTTCCAAATGTTGAGCTTGAATGGATCCATGACTCTGAAGAGGTCATCGTCCCTTTGATCGGTGTAAGACGCATCGTTCTTGACCTGCCACATGATGAATCCCAACGTCTCCCTCGTCGCCCTGATGTTCTCTACATGCTCAGAAGGTCTGCCGTGAACCATCATGGCCACCCCATCGATCGCACGTTGGTTATTGGCGCACAACACAGCTCCCCCACGGGAGAAAATCGCAAGCAGATAGTCTGCATCCAAGACCCCATAGTCATGGACTTTGATGAAATGATTGAAGTAGACGTAACTGTTCTGGAAGTCCTTCTGGAAGTCATTCGGGCTGGTGGTATTCCAATCCCACGGTCCGCGGTCGTGACCGGCGCGTTCGAGATTGGCGTTCTTCCCGAAGCCACCGAACAGCTCCTCGAAGAAGCTCACAACGCTGACGTAGCGCACGCCTGACTCGGGCTTGCCCGCTGCGTTCGCCTTACCGACGGCAGCGTCTCGAGCAAGGGTCATCAGCAACATCGCAAGCAATTCCCCACGGTCCCCTTTATTCACCGCAAAGCCTTCCAAAACCTTCTTGAGAGCATTCGGCACGTCAAACGAGTCATGTTGCATGACTGCATAAGCCGCTTCTGCTAGGATGGGCTCCGATCCGGACACCGACACCATGCTCTCGAAAGTCTCATCAAGCTTGAGACAAACACGCATGTGGCCCTCTACCTGCAGCTTCTCTTTGCCTTGTTCCAGATAGTTTGTGGAATTGAACTCAAGCGCCAAGCGCTGAGAAAGGCATGCAAGCTTCTGATCGTCGTTCAAGTCGCGCTCGAAGTCAGAAGTGGCGAGAAGCTTTGCCATAGCGAACTGCACGATATCCTCCCGGATCGATGAATCTTCGTCTGCAGCATCATATCGGCTCCCAAAACTGACATCAGACGTTATCAGTGATACCGCCAGGATCTCAATGAGATTTGGCATTCACAGAGGGCGCCCCAAATGACACATGAATTCGTCCGTAGTGACATGAGCGAGCGTAAACCCATCCTCACCCTTGATGCGCTCGGCAAGGAAGTCGAACCCAAGGTCCGTGAATGGACTGATCAGCGTCAGCTGCCTTGTCACTAGTCGCATCGAAAACTCTTGATCTCGTGGGGAAAGAAACTGGGATATTCTACCCGTGGTGGATAGGAACAATGAGAACACACCGTAGCTCATGAGTGATCGCAGGGCGGCGCGGAGCTCATAGAAGGCTGACCATGCCTCGCCTGTTGGACTGGTTACCTGAGTTGTCATTGCATGAGCTTCGTCAAATGCCAGTATCAAGTAGGGCGCCCCGCATCGCTCCTCTTTTTTTTTTCTCTCGTCCGCTTGTTTGAGAACGTTCATCAGACGGAGACATGCATCGCCCGGCCTGAAAACAGCCCGAGAGGGGTCTTTTGGACCCGGCGGAGTGGGGGGTTCTCGTATGGTCTGGGACTCATTTGCTGTCGTAGCGTAATGTTCCTAATTGCTCGAACATGAGTGTAAGGACATTGAAGAGTACTAAAGTGGTTTCTACTGCATATATCTCATGAGCCCTTTGATCCACCTCGCTGAAAAAATCATGACGGTAAGCGCCGTGCTTCTGGAAGGTCATTCCATCATTCATGCGCATTCTAAAATCTGAGGCGAGGACATGTAGGCGTTCCTTCTTATCCTTCAATCTATCTTCTGTGACCTTAAAGAGCGCCTCAAGGAATGCAAGGATCTTATTGTTGACAAATGCCCGATCCCGAGTATCAAATACCAGATGGCTCCGAACCAGAGAGTCGGGAGGAGGGTAACCTAGAAAATGTGACAATTAGCTTCATGGCAGCAGCACAAGAGTGATGTCACACCTGTCGCCTTCGCGTAATTCAAGTTCATGTGGATCGTCAAGTGGCTTCGTGCAAGTTCATCTATGGCCCTTGACTTTCCCATGCCAGAAGATTGGACAATAGCAGCATAATGTGCGTAGACCTTGAAGCGCTTTGCCTCAGGATCACAATGACGGTTCAAGTGTTCCCACAACGCCTGAGGCACCTCTCCGATGTAAGTTGCTTTCCATGAATCGACAACGGCTGTGAAGTAGCATGATTAGCCGGCCGTAGTGCCTTCCTATAGGTTACTTAGTCCGATTACCTTTCTGTTGTTTGTCATCCAGGGCAACAATGTTACCTAGCGAGCACTCATTAGCATACAAAGTGTTTCCTTCATTTAAAAAAACCTAACCGCGGTTTGTAGGGGTTTCTGGCAAGTAGACAAAAGCTGCATTGCACGTCATGGATGAGTTCATTGAGGTTAGGATGCATGAGGGAGGGATGCGCACGTGCGTTGATGAATTCCTGCCAATTATCGCGCTGGAGAGCATCCAAGAAAATTCTGTGCCACTCGGCTACATCCTCCTCTGTCAGCTCCTTCCCCAAACGTCGGGAATTTTTCAGTGAACTCCATTCTGTATTGACATGGCTCCGAACCCGATCCGCCCAGTCGTCCACCAACAGAACCCTGGAGAGATGCCTTAATGCCTCAGCGAGGACTTCACGCGGCTGCCGATTAAGATTGATGGTAGTTGCTACGTCGCGATAGTCGTCGATAAAGTCTTCCAGCATGTCTTGCGGTAGCCATCGAGCTAAACCTGTCTCTATTCCTTGGCTTGCCATGATGGGGTAGATCAGGATGAACGGATGGGGCAGACACTTAGTAGTACAACACGAGAATACGAGAGTGAGAGATGCAGAAGGCGCCACAGAGGTAGGTATGTTGGAGTTGGTGGAGACGTATTGAGCCACTGGACACGTATATATATCTGCAGATGAACATCACCTGACCTCACGTTGATGAATGCGTCGGAGCTTGGAGGGTCATCGGAGAACAACAACAGGGCCATGTCATCGTGATAGAGAAGAAAGAAACAAGGCAACCATTTTGATCGTGCCTAAGAATTGAAATGGCTTCTCTGACTTTAGTGTGACAACCACTGATGAAGACATGTTTCTTGTCTCAGTTGAACATCATGTTGGTGATGCCTTGTGAAGCAGTCGACTCAACGTGGTGAGCTTGGAGACTAGTAGATCAAACACATGTTATTCAATCAAATGATGAGGACAGCATCAGCGCCACCTGTTCTGCACCCAGCACCCATTTCTTTCATCCCAATGACTTTAACATCGACACATGCACAAAAGCTTCCCATGCTGCCGTAGGTTTGACTGTGGCGAGCTTGATAAACACATATATGTCACAACGGAATGCACTCTTCTCCGAGCCGTAGCACTTTGGCCAAACCTGATCATCATAATGCCGAGTGCATGTATCATGTACAACATTAGAAAGTATCACAACGACAACCGATGACTCGAACCTGAGACATATCACTGGATAAATCGGTTCCTTGATGGGACTGGCTGGAATGGGAATCATGCATTCTGTTCCATCTTTCGGTTATGATGAGAAACCTAGTAGTGTTGACAGTTCGCACCGGCTGTAGGGTAAAGCACGTATACTGAGGGACAAACTGATGCCCCAGCTGTTATTATATCTGCCTATATATACAGTGAAACACTACGCACGCAGACCATCCGGCACACCCTATTTCACCCAACCCGCAGGCTAATATCCCCTGTGGTGTGACGCAGCTCACCAGAATCCAACACCTAGCTAGGCTGTCTCTGAAGCGTGATGTACAATGTAACGCACAGGGTGCGGACCATAGACCGTCAGAGCCTATCCCGTTGGAATGCTGGCGCGACGCGCCTCAAACTGGACTTGGCGTCGTGGGCCCTCGTGGCTCGTAGAGTGTCACTCACGTGATCGCGCGTTATGCTTCTTTCGCGGCCTTCCACTGAGTTCCTTCAATGTCCAAGAATTGCCAGCGATACAATGCAGGTTTAGACGACAGATAGCCACACCGTTGCTCGCAGACGACTGCCAAGCTAGCCCGAAGCAGCATAGACAGATGTTCCTTGCGACTCAATCGCGCATGCTCAAAAATGAGGAGTTCAAATAAATTTAATAAACTGCTGGCGCCTGTAAAGTAAGACATCAGAAAGTTACAAGACTCCGACGCTAGCATCCGCCATTTTCAACGTAGGTCCCTTACAGAACCTTGAGCGCTTGTACCGAGCGCTCGGCCCTTCGCCCAACGGACTCTGCACGTGTGGTTTGCAAGCGAACGATTGTCACTCATTCGACCGGAGACGGTGGGCTATGAACACGCGCGGTGCCTGATATCCTGTAGGCGCCGGCACGCAGAGCGATCGTCTTTTCTGGTCAGCAGGGAAAGGTGGCCTTCCACTGTGCTCACACGCGCGGAAGGGGACCAGAACGTAGCTATGCTTACTACGAAGACGATCAAAGGGGTGAGTGTGCAGTAAATCAATCGGTGCACTAGCCATCACTTCCGAGCGTGGGGCCTTGCCAAGCTTCGGACAACTGAGTGAGTAGTCTGCGGTCCGACGACATATTGTAGCTCACCGGGATGCGACGAGCTTGCGCTGCGCGCAGAGCTCTGCATAAAAGCGCACGATTCACAGCTTCCATCAGCTCACAGGTCCAAGCCATCTGATTTGAGACTCAACTCGTTTGACACTTCCAACACATGAAACGACTCACCGGGAGGCGAATGGCTCGCGCTATCGTTCAGCCGCGACGCCACCCTGGTTCTGAACGACCTCATCTGAGGGTCGCCCAAAGGCGTCGCCGGCGTCTGTGAGAGACATCAGCATCAAACAATAAAACGCAAGGACAGCGGCGTGCCCGTCTAGAAAATGCCTCTCGTCCTGCGCAATGGGCCGTCCTTTACAATGCTGTTCCTCGCGCGGATCGGTTTTCGATATCAGCGGCGCCGTCGGACTCGGTCCGCTTGCATTCGCGTTTCTTTGCCCTATTCAGAAGGTGCTGCACGAGCTGCCGAGATTCCTTCAGTGCGTCGCTGAAGAACTTGGGCTTAGTGTCAAACGCACTGCGCAGCTCGTTGCTTGCCCTGTCGTGGCCTGCGCCTGGGAGACAAGCGCTACGTTCTGCGCTTGCAGGTTCTCGATCTCCCTGTCCTTCCTGGTGACGTCCTCTTCATGCTTCTCCGCGTCCTTCCGCGCTTAAGTGAGCTCCTTGTTTGCGGCCTGCTAACTCCTCGTATGCTTCTCAACAATGTTATGTTCCAGCATGAGCTTACTGTATTGCTCGGCGAGAAAGCCTTGGCCTTGCGCAGCGCTGAAATGATGTTGTCCGCTTTCAGCACCACAGCCGTAAGCTTATTGACGGTCTTGCGCAAAGCCCTCTAGCACTTTCTAAGAAGCCGCAGCCCATCTTGCATCCTCGAGACCCGCCGAGGCAGCCTGTCTCGCAGCGTGTTCTTGAGCGAACGCCTCCCGTAGATTAGCAACCATCGATCGCAGCGCCTCTAGCTCCTGGTCGCGATGGGCGAGTGCAAAATACTTATCCACGCCATCAGCCTTGCAGGATCCCAGCCTCGCCGAAAGACCCCAATCCCCTTGCACAATATCGGTGAGCTTGAGTTTGAGCCTTCGCTGCCTCGACGATACAAACCGTCTCGAATGTGCGATACCCGCCTCCGCGGTTGAAAGATCGAAGGAAGCAGACCGTTCGCACTCGACAGCAAGAGCGCCGTGCACATCGTTCAGAGCAGAAGACATAATCGAGCATCGCGCGTCAGCCTCTTCAACGCAGGACTGATAGTGAGATACAGCTGTCTTCCCATCCTTTGACATGTCACTTCACGAACAGGCTGCATCATTTAGAGAGCCTTTGAAGGCATTCGACAGGGCTGTCGCGTAGGATTGCTTCTCGCCTTGCAGCGCTGCCTCCAAGTCGGTCACGCGGTTCTCGAGCTCAACCTCCTAGTGGTAGCCGGATCCAACAGCGAAGAAAAGGCATCATTTAAGGCCTTCATATCGACGATGAAAGCCACCAAGTTAGCATGATTCCTTTGCGCCTCGGGAGCAGAGGCCTTCCCAGACACATCGGCGTTTGCGTCAGCCAGAGCGTCCCTGTCAGCCTCGCAGCCGGGCAACTGATCGCCCAGAGCATCTTCCTGAACGTGCGCTTCTCGATACGCACCTGGACAGCGACGCACTCCTCCTGCATGTATCTCGATCTCGGCCCGTCGCACGCAGAAGTCGGCCGTCTCTCCGGCGAGCTTGATCTTCGAGACGAGCAAGCTAGTGATGGAGTTGCGATGGTGCTCTTCGAGCGCTGCGATGTACTTTTGTCTGTTTGCTTCATGCGGGAGAGCGTGGGAATGCGCTTGAACCTTCTGAATGTCTGGGGACGAGTGATGTACGAGCGCATATTTCTTCGATTCCATGAGGGCGCAGGACGATCTGAAGGCCATAGCTTGAGGCGCATCAGACGCACAGACAATTGTAGTGTAGACATCCTGAGTAATGAGTAAGGATAGATGATGAACGTAGAAAAAAGCGGAACGGCAGCTGACTTGTCTCGAGATTGGAGACCAGCGATCCCTATATAAATAGAGGTATGTCTGGCGCACGACCTGCTAATTCAAGTACGTGAGCATAAATTTCGGAAGGAATGAGCACTTCTTCGCTTTCGAGGACGAAAAGCACGTGGTTTGCAATTAATTCACTGGAGCTGTGATCATCGTTCAGCTCGTCGACGATAAGTCTCGAGTGTATGCAGTCAACTCCTGGTTGAAGGAGAGAGAGAGGATCTAACGCAGATGTCGTACGCCGGCAGGAAACTTGAGCAAATGCTCGACGCAGTGACAATCGTGCTCTGGCCACGCGCTACTGTTGCGTTTTGTGGGTTTTCTCTTCCAGCGCGTCTGTGTTTTCTAAAATCCTTCGCGCGTGCGCATGACAATATCTAGAGGAGAGAAATATGTCTCTCTCACTTTCTCGGCCTGTCATGGCGAAGTGCGGAAGTATGTTAAGAAAAAAGAACAGGTCAAATGTGGTGGCAAATGCCAGTGCGAGATTCGGCGCCATACCTTTGATCGAGAAAGCGTTGAATCGCCACAACCCAATGTTGTCTCGACGTCGCATCTGAACCTGGAGTTATTGTCGAAGCAACTGGCACCGGGCGACGATCACTTAATGTTTCGTCTACACATGAACAAAATGTGAACTGACTGTCCTTGCATAGAACCACGTTATACATGAGGGGTAATAAGTAATCCAAGACGGTGTAAGTGCAATCTGAACCCGGCGACCGTCACCCACCAACTCTACCGGAAGCAAACCGATTACTGTACAGGGCTAGAATAATAAAAGGGAAAATATCATGACAGGACGTGGCGGGCAATGGGCGGGCAAGTGAGAGACGCAAAACACTCTCATGACGATGGGTGTGCCGCCGCGGCCGCGGGGAGCACGTGTGAGATTTTGGCTTGTGATGACAATTGCTCCTCCTTCTGGTACTCCTCCACCATGTTCTTCCATGTGTGGTCATCTTCACGCTAATTAAATCAAAGTCAGACCGCGCTGAGAGGGCCACGATGGAGAGGTACGTACGTGCTTGTGAGCCTCCTTCCGACTAGCCTGTGTCAAGATACCAGCGGCGATGAGGACGCCAATTGTGAGGCCCTGGGCCCACATACGAGCCTGTACGATTTTCTGTGGTGCTGTTTGATGCCTATATGCGGATGGGTCAGCCTCAATCGAAGCGCCTGATGAACAGAAGACGTACTTGTTACGCATGACGACAACAGTGGCTATAGCCATACTCGTCGCCCAACTGCCTACGATGATCTTGTACTGGTTGCTGATAGCCCATTCCTTCAGCTTCGCTTGAGTGTCCAGCCGGTTCCAGCGGGAGGCCTTCGCGGCCCTTGAGCGCTCAAGCTCACGCTTCCCTGCGCCTGTCCATGTGGACTCGTCGAACTCAATACCGCGCCGCTCGGCTTGAATGGCGTATAGGGGTGCGACGACGAAGATGACGCCCAACACCTTGAGCTGAATAGGGAGCGCACGGTATGCCGGCCAGCGGCGGTGCATCCAGAGGGATGCGGGTACGGAGATGGCGAAGCCAGCGAAGGCACCTTCGATTGCTCCGCGAACCGTTGCGGCATGGTGGCCAGCAAGCTCTTCCTCAGTAGCGATCTGTGATGCAGCCAATCATGAGTCGCAAATAATGGTGAGCTCAACGACGGCCACTGACCTTCATAGTATCAGAGATCTAGTATAAACAAAGTCTTGAGGGTGCTAGGATGGGAGATGATGGACGTAGACTGTCAAGTCTATGGTGATGGGCGGGTTGCTTTTATAAAGAGGCATTGCTGGTCCACCTGGACTGCCATTATCGGAATTAGCGGGCAGGCTCGGAGCGGTACCGCGGGCGCTTACGAAGCATCTCCGAATGGGCTTGTTTTGCTCCAGGCACGTGACTCCGCCGAACCAAGCCGCTCGTGCTCATCCAATGCTCATCCTTAGCCAGTTCCCTTTCCGAGCCTTCACGCTCTCGTGCATTCCGCTCTGCTCCTAGTCCCTCCGCATAGCCAACAATGCTCGCAATAGACCTCGCAGCAAGCAAGTCCAAGTCCAGACACGCCTCTCGCTTTTCCTCGTCGAGCGTCAACTCCGTCAGCGCGGAGTATGCTAGCCCCGCCCTCACGCGCACCGCAGTATCACTCGAGTATGCCGCACTTCGACATGCGGGCCACTGCCCACTAGGCATGTATGTCACCCCGTCTCCCGCCGACCTGCTCGTTTGGGACGCTGTATTCTTCGTCCACCAAGGTCCGTCCCGTACTTCTGGCGCTCGTTCAGCACGCGGTCGGGGGATTGAATTTGCGATCAAGGATACTACACGGATGCCATTTTAAAGTTCCGCCTCATATTTCCGCAGAATTACCCGGAGCGCCCGCCTACCGTCCAGTTCCTCACGGACGTGTTTCACCCACTCATCTCGCAGAAGGATGGCGTCTTCAACTTGGCACCGCGCTTCCGTCAGTGGAGGTAAGAACATCCCGCGGAAAAATAGATTGATGTCCTCAAGTCTGCCTAGGCCCAAGGAGCATCATGTATTCCACGTGCTGCATTGGATCAAGGCTGCATTCAAGAAACATGCGTTAGATGAGATCAAGGAGGCAGACTGTCTGAACAAGGAGGCATACCGGTGCGTGATGACATTTTGCGCTACGTGCAAATCATTATTCAATTAAAATCTAGATTGTGAGGCTGTTACCCCGCATTGCCGTGCAGAATGTCTGACGTGGCACCCCGCAGATACCATGATACAACCTCATCCTTTGCAGCACTTGCTACGCAATCATCACAGCTCTCACAATCTGCCTCAGCGCTATTTGACCGCGACCATCCCTCTATGGCAGGGAAGGGTAGCCATGGTATGCATTTCCGCGAGCTCGAGCCCGAGCAGCTCGACGAACTTCGTGCCAAGTATGTCCTCCAGGACTGGGGTGCGATCGACCTACCCTGACGCGCCTCAGTCCTTGCGGCGTCTATGATGGTGTGCGTGCGATATTATGATATATATGACTACGATACAGTCAGCCTCTATGCTCTACATCGATATCCTGAATGTAAGATACCCATATCCAGAAGATTATCCTCCTTGAGGAGAGAATTAATCTATACCTGCGTCAATCCATGGCCACCAGTGCACAGTAGACGCGAGAAGTAAGGGCCAAGGCATGCCAGCTGTCCAGAGCTGGAAGAGATCGACGAGTGCACAGTCGGCCACGTGGCGAACGACGACGGCGGCGACCGCGGTAAGGGTACCGTGGCGGCCTGCAGTAATTGCTAAGGGTCGTCCTGCGGGATCTGGTATGCGGCCGGAGCGCTTAACGCATCGATGGTCTCGAATGGCTCGTCTGGATCCGTATCATCGTTCTATATCCGAATGCACCTTTCAATCAGTCGCGTGCGCAGCACAAAGAGCGCAGACTCACGTCTATCACTCTTCCAAAGTGCTTCGACAGCTTCTCGATGACGAGGCTGTAGGGCAAGTGTTGGGTCAGCTTCCTGCATGGACGGAATGTATTGTTAGCCACGGGCACGCGTGGGGAACTAGGGAGGGCACGGACCTGCGAGGCTGCACGTTTAGCGCGTGACGCGCGTCGAGCGCCGAGTCGAGGACATTTGACGAATGGGCGCCCTCGCTCAGCGAGAGACGGATAGAATACTCCTTGTCAGACTTGCCACGGCCATGATTTCGCTCGTACAGCTCAAAACTACACATAAGTAAATTATAATGACTCGAATGCTGAGGCAAGGAGCAGCATACGTAATGTGGGACTGCCCGGAGTAATCATCAGCGTCAAAGAATCACAACGTTCGAAGAACTAGACACGTACACAGTAGTCCAGCTCCGGGATCCGCCGGTTCGCGATTGGAAGGCCTGACAGAAGGACGAGGTTCACCAGTGTGTGAATGTGACTCTCTTTAGTGAAGTACAGCGTGAGAGAGCATTCTTCATTATTCCGCGCATTCTCCAAGTCCTCCACGACGTGGCGCAACAGCGGCAAAGACGTAAGCACACCAATCTCCTCCCTGGCGATGAGGATGAAGTCGAATCAGTCAAGGCTCAAACCACAGGGTCTACGGCATATGGTAGGGAGACATACTTCTCCTCCGGCTCAATGCCGTACTCTTGCGGCGCAACGAGGTCGAATAGCGCCTTCGCACGCCCGTACAGCTCATGCAACTGGCGATCATGTGGTTGTGAGCTTGGCTGGCCGTTCTCGCTGAAGATAGAGAAGAGGAACGTCCGATGATGCAGCGCACAATACTTGATAGTATCGTAAAGCTCTGACACTCGCGAGGGATCGAACTTCTCCTGCTTAACGTCACAGAAGTCTTCGAACAACTTCTCCCACCGCTCCCGAAACAACCACGGTTCGTCACCACAACACCTGTAAAATCGAACTCAGCAACCGCTGTCGTGGTTCGCAACGGAAAGTGCTGACCATCTCTCTTGGATCTTATCGACGTCCAGAGTCTCCCAATTTCTGTGCATGACGTCTCGGAAATGTCTCAAGAGATCGATTACTTCCTGTAGGACGCAGGTCACTCAGCGTTGACATAGCATACATTCTACCAGCTTACCTTCACCACTTCGACAGGCTCCTTCTTCATGCTTTTTGGCCACGTGAGTTCGGGGCGCTTCTCAGGTTCTCCAGGACGTAAAAGAATCTTCAAGCGTTTCTTGACGTCGTCCATCAAGTCCTTCGCGGCGTTCGAGTCATCCAGCAGGTCCTTGCGCACGATGAGCTTTGGCATCTTTGGGAAGACCGGCTGCGACGTGTCGCGTCTGGGCGTCGACGGACGGAAGCTGCCGCCACCGGCGTTTTCTTTGCCGTCTTGAGAGGAGCGCGTAGAGCTTGCGCTGTTAGGAGGCCCGGGCGATGTCGTAGGATACGTCTCTCGGCTGGGCTCAAAGAGAGCTGCTGCGAAGATATCTGCCGAGGCCACAACTCGCCTCTCGGAGGAGGTGTAGATCTGCGACGTGCCACAGTCAACGTCCAAGTCGCTAGTCTCTCCCACAGGTCTGGGCAGCTCACCTTGACATTCTTGAGCACATCCTTATCTAAAGTGCATTATAATAAGCTATCGTGTCTGAGGGAGCGCCGTAATGGATGCGAGTACGCACTCATGATAGATATGTCCTTCTTCATATTCTCACCAAGGTCACGCGATTGATACCTCGCTGAGTGAGTGAACTAGCCTTTGATCAGCAATCACCTGAGAACAGGCTCGACACGCGTCCTACCTCGCCACCCCATTTGAACACGAGTGTCAACTTTGTCAACTTCCTCGTCTGCCCTGCCTGCTTCTTGGAGTACACTGGCTTCAGTTGCGCCTTCGTGCCAGGCAAATCAATCTTGCTGATCAGCGCATTGCTAAGCTGAGTGAGCTTGGCGAGGTCCTCGCTGTTTGCTCCCAGACCCTTGGCCTCTTCGACTGCCGTTTGTACGTGATTCAGCTGTGAACGTTCACGAAGGATGATCTCCTCCTTCTCGCCGTTCAAGAGCCGCACGAAAGGCTGCGTCCACGACTCGCCAATCGGGAAACTGAATTTCAGCTTCTGCTTGGGCGTGCGGTCAGCATGCCGGAAGACTGTCACGTTCGCTTTCAACAGCCAAGTCGGAGACTCTTCTGCCTTGGCCTCCCCTGCGACTAGTGGACGTTCCACAGAAGCAGTGGCTTGAGCACAAATCGCCGCTAGCATTTCGGCGGCCTTGTCTGCCAAGTGTCAGACGAAGCATTAGCAACGAATCCCGTGCTTCAAGATGCAAGGCATGCACCGTAGTAAGACTCGTTGCCCTTGACAAAGCTCCAGCCATTGACATCGATCACTTGACTCGTCTTGCCGTTGTCGCATCTGAGCATGTCGAAGCCGCATACCGTCTGTCCAAATCCTTCACTGATACATGCAGCCCACTTCTTCTCTTCTTCATTCAGATGAGTAATGAACCTGTAGAAGGGGTTTTATCAGCGCCCAAGGAGCATGTTACATCAACGGTAAAATATATGCACCTGATCTCCTTCCCATCTGTGTTTCGCCTGACAACACCATCGACAAACGGGGACTTGCGAGTCTCAGCGTGAGTATAGTCCTTTCCTACGGTATAGACCTTGATGTCCTCTGAGTTGTCCACATCGATGAATTTCTCGTAGATGTATGAGCCATCCGTGCGGGGATAGTTCAGATTGGGGTCAAGCTCGCTGGATTTGTTACCGACCTGACACGTCGATGGATGGGGTTAATGCGTGACGGGAACGGTAAATTGCCGAGCAACACACTTTACGGAACAAACGACGTCCTCCCCCCCCACGGAAGTAGATGTACACGTTGTGATCCTCGCCGCTAACGGGCTTTTCCACGAACGGCTTTTCCATGACCTGACCATCGATGATTAATGCATTGCCATCCTCACTCAGCGCGACTTCCGGCGTCACTCGAAACCCTCCTAATTCGATACCGATCTTTTTCTTCATTAATTCCTTGAGCTCGTCGTCCACCTTGGGTCCCCCGTCTCGGGAGACCTCAAGGCGTCGAGGAGTAGGCACTTTAAGATGATCCAGCACCGAGCCCACTAAGCGACGATCCCAAAGAAGAGCTTGAGGAGGTAAGTCGTTGATACAGAAAGGTTTGCGAAGTTTGACATAGGAAATTGCTTTGTCAAGCGGGAAGTCTGTAGAGAAGAAGGAAATAAGAACATCGCATCGAGGCCAGTTCTCCACATCTAACCGGTGGGAACAATGAAAATGATTGGTTAGACAGATAATGCGCGTGCAAGTAAGCTGAGCCCTCGCCTTCATCTAGTATGACTTTGTCACCAAACACCTTGACTTCGATGGCGCCCCTCGCTCGCTCAACCAGTCGGGTGATGATTTCCCGCATGGCCTTCGACCTCGCCTTGATGTCCATGGCACAAATGCCAAGTATTATGGGCCTTCCGTGTTCGGTCACGGCGGAAATATCTGAATGAGAGCCATTCGGGGATGGTGTGGAGGATCTGTTGGTCAGGACAGAGCGAGAACGAGGAGAGGTTCGCTCCGGCGAATAAAATGGGGTTTTGCGGGACTCGCGGTCCCGCGGAGGTGCAACGTCTGTCATTCTGAAGCGCAAGAGACGCTCCGGTTACTTAAAGAAAGATGACAGCACAACTAGGGGAACCAGGACATGAGGACTCAGCATTCGCCCATCGCGCGACCTGCAAGTGGCATTCTGCAGGAAACCCAGTAGCCACAACGAGGACCCGAGTCATTGTACGGGACCGCGAGACAGCAGTGTCCAGGGGTGGGGCGTGTACGTGCGATCTAAGATCACCTGACGCAGATCTCAATGAGCGATTATTGCAGCCGATTACGAGACGATTGCTGAATCTGGCGAGGCATTTTTGCGTGTGACCTAGCGTCTATTGGTGTGTGAGGCATTTTGTGGAGGTCGCCTAAAGGATGCTTATAACGAGGCTGGAATCTCGCATATGTTGCTTCGTCCATCACATCAATTCTCATCTGCAGAAAAATGAGGTCACCTATATATTCTCGCCGGTCCCCTGCGCGACCTTTCCCCATGCTTCATATTGATTCCCCTACAAATCTCGACGCGACCTGCAGCGGTTCCGGTACGATGATGACAACCATCTTCGTGTCGAATTTACACTGTAGCAGGTAGGCAGTACACGCCCGTTGGTAAGCTCAGCTAACGACTGTCGGTACAGCTGTGTTCGTACCATTGAGGACGCGTTATCATCTCTATCCCCAGCCCCGAACAGTGTCGACGTCTCAGTTGTCACCCAGACCATCACCGTTCGGCATTCCACGGAGTTATCTCCGCCGGCCATCAGAACGGCCATCGACCAGGCTGGGTTCGACATCGTCGGCACTCCTACCGATTCCAGCGAGCGTCCTTCACTTTCGTTTTCCCATAGCATCGCTCAACTTCCCGCCCTCATCACGAGCAAATCCAAGAAGCACTTTGACCAATGCGTGCTTTGTCAGGCTGAGTACCGAGCCTCGGTGGAAGCAGGATCCTCCCGACCCGAACGCGAGAAGTTCGGCGAAGATACTATCTTTTCATACCTGGACGATAAGGAAGTCATCTCTGGAAGCCAAGCTGAGAAACGTCAGGCCATCTCTCCAGTCAGGGACGACGCCCGACATGTCATATTGTCTATAGGGGGGATGACCTGTGTGTCTTGTTCCAGTGCTGTGACACATGCACTTGAGGAACTGCCTGGTGTTTCCGACGTCACGGTAAATCTGCTTGGCAATTCGGCCACACTCGTCATTGCACGTGAAGACCTCATTCCAACGATCACCGAGACCATTGCGGACATTGGATATGAGGCTGAAGTCGTCAATACCGAGCCACTGCACCCTCCTTCCGTTCCTCGACATGTGCCTCGTGTGGGAAGCGACGGGCCTCAACGCCTTACATTATCGGTGGGTGGCATGACATGCGCCTCATGCTCCAACACCATCACGGACATTATGTCTGCGATTCCTGGCATCTCGGATGTGGTGGTCAACTTGCTAGGCGGCTCGGCTACTGCCGTCGTAGAGCGCAAGGATCTTGTGTCACAGGTCGTCGAGGCAATTGAAGACGCTGGGTATGAGGCAGAATTGATGAGTACGGAATCTATGCACACATCCGCTCAGGACGAAGACCACGAGACTGGTCCACGCACCGTCGCTCTGAAGGTTGACGGGATGTTTTGCTCGTACGTGTATCATTATATATCACGTAAAATCGCACTAATGGAAAATCTGTAGGCATTGTCCCGAGAAGGTCATGACAATGCTGTCAACCTTCGGAAACCGTATCACCATCGTCAAACCACTCACGAGCCAGACCGACCCCATCCTTCGCATATCCTACGTACCATCTCCACCGTCTTTTACACTCCGGCATATTATACGCACTGTAGCGTCCGCAGCCGCACCGGCCAAGCAATTCACTGTATCCGTTTACCACCCTCCCTCACTAGAGGACCGTGTGAGGCACATGCAGAAGCGCGAGCAGCGCGACCTTCTCTTCCGTCTCCTATTCGCGATCATCGCTGCGATCCCGACTTTTATCATCGGGATTGTCTTCGTGGACCTACTGCCTTCCGACAATTCCAAACGAATGTGGTTCGAGAGTGCGATGTGGAGGGGAGAAGCTTCGAGATCATCATGGGCAATGTTCTTCCTGGCGACACCGGTAATGTTCTACAGTGCCGGCACGTTCCACAGAAGGAGCTTAAAGGAAATACGGGCACTCTGGAGACCGGGCAGCAGAACGCCTATATGGCGACGGTTTGTCAGGTTCGGCAGCATGAATCTATTGGTATGACCCCTTGGTCCATAATATGGGCAACGACTGACGTTCCACGATAGGTCTCTACCGGTGTTACAGTGGCGTACTTCTCGTCGATTGCGCTGCTTGCGTTGTCAGCATTGAAGTCTGCGCCTGCCTCCAAGATTGGGCTGACCACTACCTACTTTGACTCTGTTGTGTTCCTGACTATGTTTTTGCTGATCGGTGAGTCCCTCTGCTTCAATTACTGAAACTTCTTTCTCAATAAGAAGGGTACGTAGGTCGTTTCCTGGAAGCATATAGTAAGGGACGCACTGCGGATGCCATAACCGCTCTCGGGATGCTCCGACCCTCGACAGCTGTATTGATTGTACCGTTATCTGAGGCGAACAGCATCCATTCTTCATCCTCCGGCGCAGCTTCCAGTGATGTTGACCCGGAGAAGGGTGACGCCACTCGAGAAGATATCGAACTCTCCACAAAGACTGGCAAGACCGCTATGAGAATAGACACCGAACTCCTGGAGGTAGGGGACATTGTCCGTGTCCAGCATGGCGCAAGCCCTCCGGCGGATGGCACAGTGATCTCCGGCGATAGCGGTGCATTCGACGAGAGCTCCTTGACTGGCGAGTCCAGACTGGTGAAGAAACAAGCCGGAGATCAGGTTTTTGTTGGTACGATCAACAAGGGTGGCGTGGTTGACATCAGGGTAGACGCAATCGGCGGCGAGACAATGTTAGATCGTGTCGTCAAGGTGGTGCGCGAGGGACAGACCCGCAGGGCTCCCATTGAACGCGTGGCGGATCTGCTCACTGGATACTTTGTTCCGGTCGTCACCCTCATTGCCGTCGTCACTTGGGTAATCTGGCTCGGCCTTGGTTTGGGTGGGGCTCTGCCTAGAAGCTATCTGAACATCGATGTCGGCGGATGGGGTGCGTACTCTACATGCGTATTTATCGACATGTTTGACTGACTTAAGTTTACCACAGTGGTCTGGTCACTGGAGTTTGCTATATCGGTATTTGTGGTAGCGTGCCCGTGCGGAATCGGTCTTGCTGCTCCTACTGCACTACTCGTGGGCTCTGGACTCGCCGCGAAGCATGGTATCCTTGCTCGAGGAGGCGGAGAGGCCTTCCAAGAAGCAGCACAGCTCGACATTATCGTCTTCGATAAGACCGGGACGCTGACGGAGGGCGGTGATCCTCGCGTAACTGATGCTGAGATCGTGACTCAAGGCGGCGACTCACTTCAGACAAGGGAAGTCATCCTCGGCATCGCAGCTGAGTTGGAGTCGGCCAGTTCCCACCCTTTGGCAACTGCTCTCCGCCAGTATTGTGCTGAGAACGCGGCCGCGGCTCAAACTGCTTCTGGATTCGAAGAGACCCCAGGACGCGGCGTAAAGGCGCGATTCGACGAGCTGCGCTACACGGCGATCATCGGTAACGAGGCATGGATGCAGGCCAACAACTGTCCGATCGACGGGAGACTAGTCGATACGCTGAACACGTGGAAAGCACAGGGAAAGAGCGTGGTCCTCCTGGCGCTTCGCGACGAACCGCCTGACGCCCAGCCCGGAGCATTTCTCGTCGTTGCAATCTTCGCGGTTGCAGACCCTCTGAGACCGGAGGCTCAGACTGTCATCGAGAAGTTGCACGAGCAAGGCCTTGGCACATGGATGATCTCCGGAGACAATGAGATCACTGCCAAGGCAGTTGCCCGGATGGTCGGCATACCGGAGACGAATGTGATCGCCGGAGTCTTGCCTCATGAAAAGGTCCGTGCGTTGTTGAGTTCATGACGTTTGCGATTTTGCTGACATGCTCTGCAGGCGGACAGGATTCGGTGGCTGCAACAGGTCGGTATGAAGAGGCAGCAGAAATCATGGAGACGTTTCTTCGGAAAGAGCAATCTGAACGAACGCTGCATCGTGGCTATGGTCGGCGACGGTATCAATGACGCTCCGGTGGGTAGTCATATCGCTGCATACCGTATGATGTGTCCCTTGACTGACGAGTCCTTCCAGGCTTTGACAGCCGCAGATGTCGGAATCGCTATTGGGTCAGGGAGTGAGTGGCCTTTCATCTCATTCAGCATTCAGTATCGTTGATGTAGATATCAGGCGACGTCGCCATCTCAAGTGCAGCTTTCATTCTCGTCTCAGCGAACCTCAACACGCTACTTACCTTGACCGACCTCTCACGAGTCGTCTTCAATCGGGTCAAATTCAACTTCGTGAGTAACTGTCCGTGGTACAAAGAATAGGAACGACTGACGTTTCGTCTGACACACAGTTCTGGGCGACGTGTTACAACCTTGTCGCTGTGCCCATCGCAGCTGGCGTCATTTACCCCGCCGGTAACGCAAGATTGTCGCCAGTATGGGCTTCTTTGGCTATGGCATGGTCGTACGTAATCGGCCCGCCATGAATTATCAGTAACTGACGTATTTTGCTCGTTCACAGGTCTGTGTCGGTCGTCTGCAGTTCTCTGATGCTGAAAATGTATAAAGCACCGCTCACTGAGCGGACATGAGTGTTTCTGTCCAGATTTGTATTAGAGTTTCGCATCATATGACCACACATGTCACTATACGCACTGTAATCTATTTCTGTAGCACCATACACTGGCCAACCTGTACATTATCATCTCGTTCTAGATAATTGGGTATACCACTTGCGCATCATATCTCCTCTGAGAGTTCGTAAGGTCGAGCGAGAGCATACGAAAAGAGCATGGTAGACGACACGATTCAAGATCTGGATAGCTGATCTTTCTTCACTTTGTAGAAGTCGGAGAAAGACAATCGGATAGCGAGGAAACGGCAGTCGAGATCGGCGTGACTTTGCAAAGCTTGAACCACCGACTGCACGCGCTCTGAGAAGGACGACCCGTACTCTCTGACCCGGCTTATAATGTCGTACACGGCATCCGGGTTGTACCTTGTGTCTGCTCCAGATGATGTATACACTCCCTATGTTTCACATTTCATTAGCATGAAGTCACGACTTGTCAACTGGGTGCTCACCCTATCTGCGTCCCGTTCCGAATCCCTCCTCGCAGACTCTGACAAACAATAGTTATAGAAATCGTCCTGAGGCACATAATGAGTCAGCTGTGCACGGTCGAACTCTTAACAAGATGACATACAGTAGCCTCCCGGAACTGCAAGATGGTCGCAAACACATCCAGGACTTGCTTCAGGAGGCTCTCCTCCCGTCCTGGCTTTGTATTAAGAAGGAGCACCTTCTTCGCCACCCGCTCGAGGTACGCGTGGTGCGCCTCGATGAGCGCGTCCAGGTCGCCCTCGCCCCTCTGCACGAACTCGTGGAGGACCTTCCACGAGCACTCGATCACCTCGAGCTGGCAGTAGGTCTCTATCTGGCGGATAAAGTGGATCATCTCCGCCATGACCAATTGGATCTGGTGCCAATCAAAATCGAGTTCTGTGAAGACGTCATTAGTAATGGACGAAATCAGAAAGACATTAAAGAAGGTAGACGCACCCGGCACCCGAAGGAATGTCCTCGCCCCGCCCGCAACGCGCATCCACATCGTGCTCAGCGTGCTCTCGATGCGCTTGATTTTCCACAGGTGGACGAACAGTTTCCGATACGTCATCATCGAATCGGGATCGAGCACCGTGTCGATTGGCGCGTCGACCTTGTACTCGAGCGTGAACACGTCCCAGCCGATCTCGCCGTGCGAGTATTCGAGCATCCGCACGTCGAGCCGGCGCAGCACATCGGGCGGGTCGTTCTGCGCGTTCGAGAAGCGCATTGCGGTCTCGAGCGTCGTGGTGAGGTTATGTCGGTAAAGCGTGTTGGCAGGCCGGGCGAGGCTCGGGCTGAGACATGATGAGCATTTCCTGGCTTCTACATATGCCGAAAGAGAGATACGTACGAGATGGTCTCCATGAGCTGTTCGATAAAGTCCCCATGGCCAAGCAAGAGGTAATGCTTCAGAGCAAGAAGGTGGTCGAGAAGCTTGTACTTCTCAAAGAACACCTCAAAGAGGCGTTGACTGGCAATCTGGTATGCAGTGTCGATCGAACGCTCTAAGCCGGCAATGTCGCTGTATTGAAGGGCTACACACTGTCAAGGACGACACTGGGATTGCGACGGGATCACATGCTTACTTCCACCAGTGTTGCTGAGCTTCTGCCTTGTCGCCACCCAGTCACTATCATGGCACATATACCGTATGAAGTTCAGGCTCTTGCCGGTCGAGAATATCTATGCCACGTCCAATCATCCCTCGTTATGACTGTATCAGCGGTCAACCGAGAATGACTTACCTTCCTCCCAAAAACCTCCCCCACAAATGCCGGCAACATATCTTTCTGAAACCGATACTTCGATTCCCACAACTTCAACCCGCCCTCGCGCTCGCCGCCCAGCTCCTCTTCCTCATGCGCCGCACCGCCGCCGAGTCCAAACCCGCTGTCGCTCGCGAGCGGGCCGACGCCCTCGGGCTGCGCGTACTGCACATGCGCGAGCTCAGGGTCGACCGCGACGAAGAACTCAGCGAATGGGTCGACGAGCTCGCCAGAGAAGAGCCACTTGTGCAGCGTCGCGAAGAAGGGCTTGGACACTTCCTCAAGGAGCTGGGCAGTGAAATTGCGCACGAAGGGATCGCCGTTGTCTGCGTAGCCGTGGATGAGGTTGACGAGGGCGCCTCCATGTGCGCCTGGCACCCAAAGCACTATGGTCAAGAAGAGGTGAAGAGAAGAGGTACGGGAACGTACCTCGCGCGCCTTCGACGCATACACTCATCATCCGCATCCGCAACCTCCACTCCTCAATCCACACATCCAACCTCTTCAGCGTCAGTCCGCTTTCCTCCTCCCGCGCACTCGTCGCCCCGTCCCCACCATCCGCTGCACCGCCGCCATCTGCGTTCCCCACCGCCATCTGCGACTCCAGCACCGCGATGAGCCGGTAGTACTCCGTCAGTTGCGTCTGCAAGTGGTGGCAGAGACTCTGCTCGATCATCCCCACGCTGCCGTGGCCCTCGCGCTCCTGCACGAACGCGTCGACGCGCATGTAGAGGTGGCCGACTTCGGCGAGGCGGTGCACGAGAGACCTGGTCGGAGTGGAGATAATGTATTTCTTAATATATGTACAGGATAAGCATAGTAAATTTGGGCAGTGAATGATAGCATGTTACTCACCGGATCGTCGGTGAATACAAGCTCGTGGTTTCCGTCGTCCGTCGCACTCGGCGAGAAATGGACATACTTACCGGAGATCCCTTGTAGCAGGTATAGCGTATCTCGGAGGATGAGGTGTTCAAGTAGATGGGGCCGACCTTATGGCCCATCAGCTCAGAAGATGGCATCCGCAGCAAACCTATGGATGTCGAGCTCACCGATTTTCGCGCGGTATTCCCTCAGGATCTCTGCCTTCGACTTGCCCTTTGGTAGTCGCGCCTGTGCGGTTGAATCAACTGAAGTGCTCGGTTTTGAGGATGGTCTAGACGAAGGCGGAGGAGCGAGCGAAGGGAGGTATGCGGGGGAAAGGGCAGTCGGTTTCGAGGATAGAGCGAGAGAGTGCAGGAATTGAAGTGTCGCATGCTTTCGTGTGAGAATTGACTGGTGGTGCCGTTCAGCGGTCTCTTATAAACCTATTCCTTGAGAATATCACCTGGTCTAGCAATCGAGATAGCAGGTTCGTGAATCGCAATGTCGAGGTGCCATCAGGGGAGGACTGCAGCACTGTAAGCTATGAATTCGGTTTCGCGTTTCACATGCAAATGTCTCTTCTCACAGTGGCGCTTGATTATGTCTCCTAAGTAGCCAATATCTGTATCGACGGCCTGCCCTATTCGACTTTACCCAGTCAACTTTTGAGAGGATCGATGCGAGATGATCGCGGGAGAGCAACAGCCATCGTACCTGCTTAGAATTTCTTGACAGTGAGCGACGAGATCTTGTCTGAGGCCAGAATCGTGTCTCGCTTTGGGGACGAGGGAGCAGACAAGTTCCTCGAGAGGTTGGGCCATGGGATCCTGAGACAGCACGCGTCGCGTCTCTCTCGATCGCGTCCGAGTCGTTGATGCGAGTTAGACGCCCAATCAACTGCCAGCGGCTCGCTGCTACGCCCGTCGACTGGGAGCACTTTAACCGACCCGCACAATGGCGAGGATTGATCAAGATATTCAAGACATGCTGTTTTAGAAGAGCATGCTCGACACTCTCATGACACTGGAGGGATCCGTTGTATACGCGCGAATGGTGAAGATGCGGCCCAGGGTCGGGGGATCCCTGAGGTTCCATGAGGCTAAACTTATATATGCACCATTTAGACAGTACGACGGTGATCCTGTGCTCATCCACGCGTACGGCACACGTTATGAATGTATGAAGTGACAACCATGTAGAAAGAATTCAACACCTGTAGCTAGAGCCATGATGTCAGGAGCCGGAAGCATTTTTTTGGTGCCAGAAAGCACCAATTTCGTGCTATGTTCTTGGGTGCTACTATATCTGCACACTTTGCCGCTCGTTTATATGAAAGCAATCCTGTCGTTCTTGCTACGGCCTGTTCGCATAGATTTATGGAGGACATAGTATGTCTGAAACATCAGACGAGAGACTCGTGATTCTGGATCTCATCCTCCGACCTGCAGCCACCACCATCACAGATTCACAGATTCTCGGCGCAACATTCATTTCAGTCTGCGTGTTTCATGTCCAGCATGACTTCGCTCAGAGTGATGGCATGGGCGAGCGGGTCTGAGGCAAGACGGGCCGTCCAAATGGGGCGCTGTCACGGAAATGGAACCTATTTCCTATGAACCAATACCTAATGGACGAGTAACCACTTCGCCAAAAGGCTGGCAATGATAAGCTTGGCTTATCACTTGGTTCCGACTATATATGCAGATCTATTGCAGGTTTTACATGTCACGTGTGGTTTATTCTGTGACAGGCGCCTGACCGCGTGGGCAGAGCGCGTTTCCCAAATGGGGCGGAGTCCTCCTTCATGCTGAGCCATCCTTCTCGCGACTGCTCGGCGGCCTCCAACAGTTTGCCTGTCTTTTCGTTCTACTATACTCCCCCTGTCGTCTCTCATATATCACGACCTAACGATTGACACGATTCTGACATGACAATGGAGCGTCCCGACTCGCTCTCCTCCACGAGCTCGAAGCCGAGCCACAACGCTGCCGCCGCCGGTCCATTCGCGTACCAAACACGCTTGCTTGAGCGCACTGCATCGCGCAGCGGGAATGGATCTCTATCGCGCGCAGCCACGGTGAGGAATGGTATACCTAGCACTCCGCCCAGCAACGTCACACCTCAGGCGACGAGGCGATGGGCGCCCACCCATCGCGTCGCAAACAGCTTGGATACCGTCCGAGGAAAGTGGGAGGAACGCTCCAGGGCAGACACCCCCATAGAAAGCTCGCTACCCAATGCACACGCGGACGAACACCCGCGTGCAGGGAGCAGCAGTCCTGTCCCGCCTGCTACCCCATCTCCGGAGCTCACGTCGAGGGTGCGCCCAATTGACCGTCTCACATCGATCTCTTCCTCTCCTGTCACATCGAGGGTGGGCAGCATACGAGACTCTCCAAATACCACCGCTCATTTCAGCAAGCGATATTCGATGCCTGCACATATCGTCGCCTCTGCCTTATCGCCAAACTCCACTGGCGTTACCGTCGAAGGACCTGACACTCCACTCACGGACCCGTTGCTATCAACCCCGGCTCCTCATCGCATTCATTTGCCTGTATCTTCGCCACTGCAGTCATCCTCGATACCGGCGGTCAAGGAGTTGGGCGACTATGCAGCAGCAGCGTCGTCCTCAGATGCTTCAAACTACGACATTCCCGCAAGAATGCACCGCGCCAATACCGTTTCAGCTGTTCAACCAGATACGACAGGATCATCCGAGTCGTCCGAGCCATCCTCCACTACGTCTGGGTCAACGCGCCGTCCGCGTGCTTGGCCTCCCGAGCCACCATCACGCGCAAACCTTCACCGAAGGCCTGCTTCTCTATATGCAGGAGCATACCGTTTCCCTCCTCCGATGGAGAGTTACAGTCCTAGCACGAGCTCAAGCACAACGGTCTCCTGTGCCTCATCTGTCTCGCCAGACAAATCCTCCATGAGCTCATTCGGACATTCACCTGCATCCTCTACGTCCTCCGTAATGTCCCCACCGCCGTACAGGAGCTCATACATGTCTAACAAGCGGGCGTCCTTGTACGGCGACGAGTTCATCACTGGCCGCAGGATCGGTCAGCACCTACCGCGCATCGCCAGCGGGGACGGCCCTGAAGACTGCTTCGACGAGCCGAAGGTTGAGATTGAGCCGCAGGTGGAGGACCGAAGGCGGCGTAGGGAGGAACGCATCATGCATGCGCGTGACTGGGAGCCGCCGACGCCGGAGAAGCCTCGCGAACCAGATCTGGTCGTCCCCGGTATCACGGATGGAGATGACGTTGCGGGCATCCCCGGCAGGCTGCGCCTGTCGAAAGACAGAGTGCCGAATGCACCGGCATCTCCGCTGCCGTCTGCGCGCCTCACGCGAGGGCTGTGGGCGGACGTGCAGAGGCATCTCCTCCAGGCGTACGAATATCTGTGTCATGTAGGAGAGGCGCAGCAGTGGATCGAAGGATGTCTTGGCGAGGATCTGGGTTTCGGGGTGGTCGAGATGGAGGAGGAGATGAGGAATGGTGTCGTACTCGCGAAGTTGGTGCGAGTATTTAAGGGTGATGCAGCAGTGCGGAGGATCTACGAGGTATTTACCCGCCCGTCAGCAGTGTGGCTTACTGAATCGAACCATCGTTCTGTCAGGCACCGAAATTGGACTTCCGGCATTCGGACAATATCAATCACTTCTTCAGATTCGTCCGAGATGTGGGTCTTCCGGAAGTACGTGTGCGCGTTTCGCTGTTCGGCTCCGTTAGTTGACCCGCTCTCTTTGGCAGGGCTTTGTCTTCGAGCTCACGGACCTCTATGAGAAGAAGAACTTCCCGAAGGTCATCTACTGCATCCATGCACTCAGGTTGGTCCATGGTCTGCTTCGCTCCGTGTACCCACAAACTGATTTTTGCGGCCAGCCACCTGCTGGCACGGCGTGGCCTGGCGAAACGGATCGGTAATCTGGTTGGCCACCTGCAATTCACCGACGATCAATTGCAGAAGACGCACAAGGGCCTCAAGGACTCCGGTGTTGCCTTGCCAAATTTTGGTAACGTAGGAAGGGAACTGGCTAAGGAGATCAATGAGGAGCCAGAGGAGGAGGTTGAGACAGAAGACGAACGTGGGTGGCTTGTGGATCTGGATCGATGTTCTTCTGAAGGTTCCACTTATAGGGCGAGATAGACTTTTACTTGAATGCGAGGACTCTATTGTCGCCGTGCAGGCGGCTTCCCGCGCGTTCCTCGTCCGCAAGGCCCAAGCGATGCGACGAGGTCGCATACAGCTTGCGGAGCGTTATGTGCCCAAGATTCAAGCTCAGTGCAGAGCTGTCCTCATTCGCAGGCGCATGCAGAGCGAGCGGGATAAGCGCGCTGATCTCACCCCTTGGGCCACCGCAGTCCAAAGTCAACTAAGGGGAGTGATTGTTCGAGCAAAATGGCAAATCCATTTGAATGCGATCGATGCCTCTGCTCCGTACGTCGTCAAGACGCAGGCACAGGCGCGGGGCGTCCTCCAGCGCCGAAGATTCAACAAGTTGAAGACTGCTCTGCGAAATGCGAAGGTTTCTGTCGTAAAGCTCCAGACTATGGCTCGTGCCCAGATCGCTCAGAGGAGCCACAAGGAGCTTGCAAAGACGTTCTCAATTCCAATTATCATGGAGAATGTAATCAGCGTGCAAGCACATGCCAGGGGTGTATTGACGCGGTCACATCTCGCCCGCCAGCGACATATGCTGGAGCGATGCGAACCCGCCGTGATCTGTCTGCAAGCTCATGTTCGTGGAGTTTTGATGCGCCGACGTGTTCGCAACCAGCTGGCGAAGCTCGAGGATGTGGAAGATGTCGTTGTCAGGATCCAAGCCGCCGTTCGCACTTATCTTGCGCGGAGACGGCTGTTGGGCCTGATCCGAGGACTTCGCCAGGCGATCCCCGCCGTTGTTGTCCTGCAGGCAAGAGCGCGGGCAAACCTTGCTCAACACCGCCACAAGTCGATGCATAAAGCTCTGTCCAAAGTCGAGGTCATTTCATCTATTGGTACCCTTCAAGCCTTCGCACGTGCAGCATTGACTCGTAATCGGCACCAGGAGCAGACGAAGCGTCTGGACTTCGTTGAGCCTGACATTGTGGGCTTCCAAGCTTCCGCTCGGGCCGCTCTCGTCCGTTATGAATATCAAGCATGGAGGGACTATCTAAGGGGAAGCCATCCGCAAGCGACTATCTTGCAGGCCCTACTCCGGGGCGCTCTTCAACGATGCAAATTCCGTGCAAAAATGCAATATTATCGTGATAACCTGGACAAAATCGTTCAGATCCAATCGCTGTTCCGTGCGAAGGAGACCCGTGAGCAGTATCGCCAGCTCACGGTGGGAACTAACGTCAGCGTGGGCACCATCAAGAACTTCGTCCATCTGCTGGATGACTCGGAAGCGGACTTCCAGGAAGAGATCAAGGTCGAGCGCATGAGACAATCCGTGGTCAAGCGCATCAGAGACAATCAGGCGCTCGAGAATGACGTCAATGAGCTTGACGTTAAGATCGCTCTAGTAGTCCAGAATGTTAAGAGCTTTGAGGAGCTGACTAAGGTTAAGCGTAAACTTGGTGCAGATAGCGCAGCTGCGCATGCAGCGAGAGCGTCGGTGCTCGCGGCGCATGGCGATCCGTTCGCAGGCCCGAGCGCCCTCGATGCTGCATCCAAGCGCAAGCTCGAGCTGTACCAGCAGCTGTTTTATCTCTTGCAAACGAAGGGTGGATATCTGACGAGATTGTTTGCGCGCATGGCGATGGAGAAGGACGCGGATAAGCAGCGCCGGCTCACCGAACGAGTTGTCTTGACATTGTTTGGATACGGCCAGGATCGTCGTGAGGAGTATCTGCTTCTGAAATTCCTCCAGGTCCGTTGCGTAGGTTCTGGTCCGACAATTGTTGACTGAACAACATTTAGACCGCAATCCGTGAAGAGGCTGCGGCTGCACTCACCATCCAGGATATTGCTAGGGGGCACCCTATGTTCATCAATGTTGCTGTCCATTATCTACGCCCGAAGCAAACTTCGTACATCCGCGAGACACTGCAGCGCGTTATACGTGGAGTGATTGATTCGGATGACCTGGACCTTGAGCCGGATCCTTCCAAGGTAATTGTAGAGTATCGTGCCGATCGTCAGCTCATAATGTGTACATCTTCTAGCTGTACCGTGCAAGGTTAGACCTGGAAGAGATGCGTTCAGGCGTCGCCAGCACAACGCCTAAGGATGTGCCATTCCACGTCGCTCTCAATGATCCGGAAACGAGAGGGGAATATATTCGACGTCTGTCTTTAATATTGACTCGCGTTGCCTCTTAAACTGAGAATCCTGATGTAGACCTCCAAAAGCTTCAGCGGTGGACAGAGGAGTTCGTCAAAGCGATCACGCAGTCAATCCATCGGATGCCATATGGCATGCGATACATTACTCGGGAGACTCTGAGTGCAGTGCGAGTGAGTCTGTATGACAATCGCGCCTTATTTCATCTGACATCACGTCGTAGAACAAGTTCCCTGATGCACCGCTGGAGGCTTGTGCTGCCTGCGTCGCCAGTCTGGTGTATTACCGATATATCAATCCTGCGATCATGTACGACCAATTCTCTAGTACTATAACCTGTCTCTAATCCGCGTTCACAGCACTCCAGAGACCTACGATATGGTATCTAGCACAGTCGACATCGCTTCACGCAAGAACCTCTCCCAGATCTCAAGAATGCTCACGCAGATTACGACTGGCGTTGAGTTCGATGAAGATACACCTATATATGTGCCTGTGAATGACTACGTTCGGAAGGCTATCAAACAGGTCACCTCATGGCTTATCGCAGGTAGGCTTGCGCAGAATGTAGTGCCTACGCATTGCCAGCTCATACCCATGGCTAGTTGCGGATGTTCCGGATGCAGAGACGCAATACCACGCTCACGAGTTCTTGGACGCAACGGTGCCGCCTAAGTCCATATTTATCTCGCCAAACGAAGTGTATGCCATGCATGCTTTACTATCGCAGCATATGGACGATCTCGTGAGTTGGCATATTGCACAGCTACGCGCGCTGCTAAATGCGAAGCAGGCTGCGGCTCGTGACGATACCCTGAGAGTCATCATTACAGAACTGGACGGCGTACCTCATCTTGGCAACGATGAGTTGAACGATGCTCGAGATTCTCCCATCGAGCTTCAGCTGACGAACCGCTTCGCTCAAGTAAAAGGTTTGATGACTCATAAGTCGACTCAGTATTGCTTCTGACGTTCGTTGCCGTCCCAGATCCTGCTGCAGATGAGAAGGCGTTGTGGGTACAGGCAAAGCGCGCGGTTCTGGCCATCTTGAGGGTACAGCCTGCGAAGGACCTCGTCGAGTCCCTGATGCAACCAGTCACAGAAGAGCACGAGACGATTTGGGAGAGCATCATAGAAGACATGCAAAGAGACCCAATGCGTCGTCAGAGGCGCATGCCTTCAGCGACGGCAGTTGAGTCAGCATATCGTCTTGAAGATATCCGATCGTAAGTGATTAGTTTTGTCTTCTCCTTCCGTTTTAAATATTAACATTCTTCGCGTTAGGATGGCGTTCAGAGAGGTCAAAGCGCATGCGATCTTCTTCTTGCTTGAGCTGGAGAAGCGGGGCAAGATTTCCCGTCAGGATGGCTATCAAGGGATTCTCAACGCAATTGCGGGCGATGTGCGCAGCAAGAATCGTCGCAGAGTGCAGCGTCAGCATGAGAAAGAGAGCATGGAAGAGGCTCTTAAGTATCTGGTTGAGCGTAAGAAGTACTTCGAGGAACAACTAGACAGCTATCATAGCTATGTCGAAGCCGCTATGATTACGATGCAGCGAGGGAAAGGGTGAGTTTTTTTGTTATAGTTGAAGAAGTATATGCGCTTATCCGTATCTTAGGAAGAGACGGTTTGTCATGCCGTTTACTCAACAGTACTTCCATTTGCGGGAATTGCAGAAGGCAGGAAAATCACCTCAGTTTGGCTCCTTCAAGTACAGTGCATCTTCTTGGTACAAGAAGGGCATTCTCTTGTCCATCGACCAATATTCCCCACGTCAGTTTGACAAGATTGACATCGTCCTGTCTTCCAATGCCGTCGGCGTCTTCACCATTGAAGTGTTCAACCACGCACTTGGCATCACCAACCGCGTCGCTTTTGAAGATGTGAAGATGGAGGACCTTCTCCAAGCGCAATTTGAGAATCGTCCATCGTACTCGATGTTCAATGGTCTCGCCAAGTTCAATCTCAATCTACTTCTATGGCAGATCAATAAAAAGTGTGTTTGTTCTCAGGTTATGTGGTCAGGCGTCGGCTAATGCTTGTTCTAGATTCTATGTATAACCTCTTATCGTTATCCTTCAATTCCAGTCGTTTCTGTTGCGCGCAAAGGCTGTGTCACATTGATAATATATTATTTACCCCGCATCATTGTCGCATTGCTCACATGTACTGGTATTTTTAGCCATGACTCGGACTGTAGCGCCTTTGCTTTACTTCTCTCATCCATACAATCGTCAAGTCTGCACACTGGCCTGTACGTTTTTTTTTGCTTCAATGCCCATTGCGATATATGTTTCCGTGGTTGCACGTAGTCCAGCCACAGGAAAAGATAATCATTAAAGCGTCTAAATATTCAACGCGTTGAGCCGATCAAAGCGTCCTCGACATCCGGAAAGCTTGAGGATGCTCTTTCCGATTGTTTTTTGCGAGAAGGTAGATGGCATCACTGGGATGACTCCATATGATTGCTTCTTAATTGTTTCTCTTTCAGTGCCATCAAGCTGGTCAGTAATCTGTTGACCGAAAGACGCCGCGGCAGCGCAGTCCAGTAGTGTCGCTTGTGAGTGGATTGACAAACTCGCTTCTGTTGGTCATTGACAGTCGTCCTTGCGCTGCGCGAGCAGCCTTCATCGATTTATTCAATAGGCCATGCAAAACGATTGCGCTCTTGAATACGCTGCAAGGTCGAGGTGGAGGCGCAACAATCGGCATGCAAATTTTAATTTTACGATGAAGAAGCCTACTCCCAGTGGACACGATCGAGACACTGTGAAAAACTGCTCCTAAGGATAAGGAGGACTTCCAGAGGCTCTGTATCCCGTCGAGCGTTACCCATCAATATGGCAGAGCGGTGGCGTGACCGCATCCGCATGATCGCGTGAGGTAATCCTTTGTTACGGGATAGTGACTCATGGAGATCATTGGAATGAAATTGCGCACCTCGTCAAGTCATTGACGGCACAGGGGATATGTTGGCCATTGCGCGCTAAACCGTGCAGATGATCTACCAATTTTAAGGCAAGCATTTACCAGGCTGGTAAACTAACTTGAAACCAAGGAGCTGCATCTAAGTGGCTACGAAACCTCAGTGCCTATAAACATTAGGTCGTGGTGCGTCTGATCTCGCCAACGCATAGGGACTACAATGTGCTCGTGAACACTCCGACTCGATCATAAGCCTTGCGAAGGGAGTAGTGATCGCAGGTCTTCTCTCTCGGGTGAGCACTATCTATCGTCCTTTCCGTTAAAGAGCGCCACTCTGACAATCTTCCAAATATGCAGATTCTTCTCCTGGGCTGCCGTAACTTTAGGCTTTCCAGTATCCAAGTAATTTGCGGCTCCGCCGTGCGGTAGTTGACGTCTGCGAGACAGCAGACCCGTGTCGATTCACTTTTCTCACTTGCCTCATTTCCTTCCCATGTCATTTGTTATCGTATCCCTTCCTACCTTTTTCCGTTCCTCGGTCATATGCTTTCCTAAGCTATGCGGGCTGCTGTGCTCGAACCCTCCAGTGAATGTATGAGAGTGTCCCCGCTGCTAACTGCTGCTGTTTTAGCTCGAGTACAGCAGCAGCATGAGAGACGCGTGTGTTATGTGGAAGCAAGCGTTAGGTCCATTGCAACAGCTGCGACCGCCCCTCTGTAAAGCATCACAGAAGAAACGGTTTCCACATACTAGTGAGATTCCTAGCCTGTGCTGTTACGCAGTTCCCACAGCTAACCGTGGGTGTGGGTTGCTAAGCATCACAGGATCACAGGTCGCTGAGGCGCGGCTGTAGCGATTGCTACGCGTCACGGTCGTCTTCCATGTTTCCATACACACGCATACTACAGGGTGTAATGCGTGACACCTTGAAGTACATCTCGTGAACCGTTGCTCGTGAGTCTCTTCATGTAGTTCGCGCGGTATCCGGCGACCTCTTACCATTAACCCGTCCCGCTAGAATTCACCTGCGGTTCCCTACATCTGCATGAGCATATGGCCCGTGCTTTTCTTCGGCCCTCAGAACCGGTCGCATGATCTAGTCAATTCCGAGCGGTGACTATAAGAATCGCAAGCAGCGTGCTCTGCGCCTCTGCGCCTCTGCGCCTCGAGCTGAACGACATCCCACACCAGTTCTTCATCATGTATCATCTCCTGGTTTTGTCTATCATAGCTACCGTGCTATGTGGATATACCGCATCCAAGAGTGTGATTGTGCCAGGCGCGTTATGGTATGATAGTGACGGCAATGAAATTCAAGCCCACGGCGCGGGAATTTTCAGGGTATGGATATACACATCAGGATACATTCATCGCATCCTTATCATTCTCAGGTTGGTGATACGTTCTATTGGGTCGGCGAGGACAAGGCGGATAATAACTACCTCTTCTCCGCGGTGGCCTGCTACAGTGTGAGCTAGAACGATAGTTGCATCTGATCCTCAACGTCCTCATGTGGACAATCCAGTCGACGGATCTGGTAAACTGGGAACGCCATAACGATGCATTAACCCCCATCTCCGGCACCAATATATCCTCTTCGAACGTGGTCGAGCGGCCCAAAGGTACGAACTCTATGCAAAGGTTTAGACACTTTTGAACACGTTGAACGATGTTTGATCATCGGGCAGTCATATACAACGAAAAGGTATGTCAGTTCATTCAATACACTGCTTCCAGGCTAAATCACGCTGTATTTATCAGAATACCGAATATGTTATGTGGTTTCATTCGGACAATTCAGAGTGCGTCTGAGCTATTCTTCATGAGTAAGACTGCAATTCACGTGCAAGCAGCTATGGCGCGGCCATGGTCGGCGTGGCCACCGCAGACACACCATGCGGTCCTTACAGTTACAGGGGCAGTTTCAATCCGCTTGGGGCCCAATCAAGAGATGAGAGCCTATATCAGGACGGTGAATTACCATTTTCTCAATCAGAACCAAGGATGATCTGACTGCAATCGGATCGCAGATGATGGTATGTGCCTTTCGAGAACGTTTTGCGGCTATGGACCAATACATCTGTAGCGGATCAGACAGCGTATTTGCTCTATGCTAGTGACGACAATCAAGACTTCAAGATTGCGAAACTTGATTCAGATTATTACAATGTGACGGAGGTCGTGGCGGAGATGGTCGGTGAGTATTGGTCTGGTATGTGTGAATTCAAAGGTACTGACCTGGACATTCTCCAACACGTATAGATGCGACCTTGGAAGCCCCTGGGATGCTCAAAAGAGATAGTGTAAGCTCTGCTCTATTCAACTCAACGCGTAAGTTCATGATTCCGCGCTGGCAGGTTTATTGGCTTTTTGCATCTCACACGAGTGGGTGGGCCCCGAATCCGAACAAGTACTTTTACGCCACTGTCAGCGTATTCGCGTTCATTGGAAGAGTTTCTACTAACCTGCAGGGAAGAACATCTCTGGGACCTGGTCAAGCCAAGCCGATATCGCTCCGGAAGACACGAACACGTATTGCTCGCAAAATGCCTTTGAAGTTGCGTTGGGATCAAACGCCATCTACATGGGAGATCGCTGGGACGAGGATGAGCTGGGCAACAGTCGATACATGTGGTACCCGCTTAGCTGGGCCTCTGGTGATCCTCAAATTGTCTATGCGGATTTATGGATGGTCGATTACGATGAAGGTGAGCTGCCCACTCTCAGGACGACGGGAGCTAATTCTAGTCTCGTTGGCAGGCGTCTATTATGTGCTGAATGGAACGGTGTACGCAGCAGCTGATGGCACGCTCGGCGGAAGCGCAGTATTGCTTGGCTCTGACTCCACGTACAACGGTCACGAAGGAGTAGGCTATCTCGGTAAGCCTCGTCATGTCATCGTTTTTGGTGAACCTGCCACGAATCGCTTGCCAGGCAACGGTGGTACTCTCAGTATCAACGTCACAGGCATCGGGGCCAGCCAATGGGTCGCGTTGTACTATGCGAACGGAGACTCGTCATGGAGGTGCGTCCATCGCTGCTACCGCAATCACACTTGGTTGAATCCCACTTTATACAGAAACACCACAGTGAGGTCAGCGGTTGCAGATGATGCTTGTTGATCCCTGCGGCACAATGACTGACTTAATTGTTTATCAAGTGTCAACGGTGGCTCAAGCGTAGTGGTCGATCAGCCTGAAACCGGCGGGGGCAACGTCATCTTCAGTATACCTGTCGAGCTGTACCTCGAGGAAGGGACAAATACCATTCTCATCGGCGCCGGTCAATCCAGTTCGTTTTGATCATTGAGGTTCATGGGTGTTCACTGGCTGACGTGCTCGTGCTATAGATTATGCAGGGGATATGTACGAGATTGTAGTGTACACGCAGACGTAAAACTTAGGCTTGATACTCGGTAACTTTTGTCGGATATGATCATTCGGTGGCTATATGCATGCATATAAATGACAAATGGTAGAATGGCCACCTGTTTACCACGAGTGTTCGAGAAATGCACACGCACATGCGGGATTCAACGAAAGCATGACGGTCAAGATTTCCTCGGATTTTCCATTCAGGTACGAATCTGCGGTACAAACATGCGATTACAACTACAACAATTCCGGCTAACGTGGTGGACACTTTTTTCTACAACATTAACAACACAGCACCGTGCATGCATCGAGGCAGTTCCTCGTAAAATGACAATCACAGTGTGAAGCGGAAGTCGGGATGACGGTCCCCGATCGGAGCCCTCGTCTTCCCAGAATCCCACAGCTCCTGGTACTTCGCGATATTGTCCTGGCGAAGGCCAGCCGCTCGAGCCCTGTTCTCCCACATGCAATAAAGCCTGTGCGACATGCAATTAAGTTTCATCTGTGTCTCATTTACTGAGCCACGAATCGAATGAAACTCACACGTTCGCGAGCATGGCGAACCATGCCATAATAACGAACCCCAGGGAAATGCTATGGCCCTTGACATATTTCGGCTGCTGCTCGTCAGTGTAGGTGAATGTAGCGACGAAGCCTCTGCGAGCGGACACCGTCACTGAGCTACCATCCATACGGATGCAATGTTCACAAGTGCTCACCCGGTATTAGCGACGGCGAGCTGCAATGCCACGGTTGTTGCTTTCTTGTAATGACCGGCGCTGTTGTTGGGAAGGATTGACAGGATGCAAGGCCCGCACGGATAGCTTGATATCAACGATCTCTTGATTAGCATATCATGAAGTCCAGATAAGATAAACCGGCACACACATGCCAGCTGCCATCAAAAACACTTGACAAGAGAACGTCATGAGCAATAACACGTTCTACAAACAAGATGGCTTTCTACCTGCTACATATCGCTGCGTATCATTCTGAACATAAACGATGTGAGTGCGTTGGATATTTCCTACTGTAGCCATAACGTGCTAACCTTAGCCGCAATCGCGAGAATGTAACCTGATAAAGACGTGCGTGAAAACCGCTGTATCGGACAACATCGCACGATAAACACTCACCAGCCATGGATATGGGCAGGAACATCAGGATGAATGGGCCTCGCATTTTCAGCTTGTCGCTGAGTACCGCAACCACTACGGTCAGGGCCACAGCCGGTACATAGGGTGGGACCGTATGCAGTTGCGCCGCGCCACCGGAGTATCCAAGGCCTGATATGATAGTAGGTCTGATGGTAGAGAGTCAGGTCTTCACGAAATGTATTACGCAAGAGATCATGACCCACAGGAACAGCGAAAAGGAATCCACGCTGACAGCGATGCCTAAGTATGACATTGACGACATCCACACCTGTGGCTCCTTAACACCTGCAGTGTTCAGCTGATCAGTTTAGTTCTTTCTCTGCAAACTCAAAAATCGCCCACCTCGGATGACTTCGTACCACTCAAACGTCTCATCCTCCTGGAACACGGCGGGCGCCGTGCTCTCCACAGTAGTCGTCGCCACCTGTACGTCGGTTCCCTTCTCGGGTTCCGCGATGTCATTGATGCGCTGAGACGGTTCCGACTGTGGTGCACTGCTGGTCATGGCGTGTGACTTGCGGAAGCGGTGTACTGTATGTATAGCAAGTGTCAGCTTAGATGCCACATGTCTCTGATTAGGAACTATCGCGACATACAAGCAAACACTGTCTCCTCCTCCGTGAAGAATTTGACCGAGCTCAAATCAGCGGGCAGGAAGATGATCGATCCGAGTGCCAAACAAATCGTGACAAGACCCTCGATAATGAAGATCCACCGCCAACCGGCCAGGTTACCAATTCCGTCCATCTTCTCAATACCCAATGCCAGAAGACCTGATCCATTCGTCAGCGACCAGCTTCAAGTGGTCAATGACACAAGAATTGGAAATACGAACCTCCAAAAGCGCCAGCCAAGGAGCTAGATGCATAGAAGATGCCAACCCTTCAAGAATTCGGGAAGTCCACGATAAGGTCAAAATAGAGCATATATTCAACAAGGCGCACCGCTGTTGGAGTTCATGCCGTTTGTATAATGTGCTCAGGTAGAGCATCTATGCAAGTGAATTAATCCGTTGGCGTGGACACCCTTATATCGGAAATACGCACGATACCGGGCAGCAAGCCACCCTCACACATCCCGAGGAAAAATCGGATTGCGACAAGACCACGGAAATTCTGGACCAGTCCGCTCAGCGTTGTTACCATACCCCAGACAGTGACGAGGATAGGCAGCCAACGGCTGGGCTTCATCTTCTTGAGGATCCAGTTGGACGCTGAAAGGGGGAAGTCAGCATCGTGTCATTCTGTCAGGAGAGGGGGGATACCGACGCAATCCAACCAGGATGTATCTTGACGTGAATGAAATGGGCATTTGTGGGATAAAAAGTCCATCCAATGACTCACGAAACATAGAAGACTGAACAGGTGAGTAGAAGTCAGTTAATACCATTGGGTGCGGAATGAATAATAGCTGACCTGCGAGTGCCGTATTGAATTGAGTGCCCTGAAGGTGAAGGTCTGTCGAGAGACCTGCAATTCTAGCGCAAAGTGAGAGTTGGTGTTGTGGATAGATGACTATGAATCTACCTCGCATTCCCTACATTCGTTCGGTCGACGAAATTTGCAAGCCATAGCTATTCGCGCATCAGTTGGGACGCTATCAAATGTGGAACATGACCAATTACAAGTGTCAACGGAGGGAGGACATGAAGATCTAGCTTCCAGAGCACCCTGCGCGTCATGCGCCAATTTTCACCCTCGAGACTTTCAGTGGAGACCACGACCTCATGGACAGGTTTCTCCTCTATCGGGACCATGATATTGGAGGGAGAGGACAGGTAGAGAAGGGGAAGGTGGGAAGGGAGACAGTCGTGAAAAGAAGAACTCTGACCACACGTCCAACTGCTGCCAGTGCTTGCTCGCAAGAGATGCGGTGAGCGTATGCGGTGTTTCTGCAATACGAATACTATTATGACCAAATGTCCCTGGCTTCTCTGCCCCATGATCTGCTACGTATTCGTCACTTGTATGCCGCAGAGGGTGAGAGAAGGATAATGCACTCACACAGGCTGACCGCTATTGGCTAAGGGGAGCCTGGAGATATCTGCGTGACTGATGAATCATCGTCGAGTGGCGATACGTATCCGGATTCAAAATGGACATGCACTCGGTATAGTCCAATAATCGCATGCACGGAATGTGCTCGCAAGAAGAATGGTTGCCCATGAGGGCCTGTCCGCTTGTGCATTCGCAGTATCATCAGTGCCTTCTTGACCTTTACCACAATGATCATTTGCAGTACGCCTTGAGGTATCCATTGGAGTCAATCTGCCAGGACTGTTTTACTTATGTCGGAGAAGGGACAAATACCAATCTCATCGGCGTCGATCAATCCAGTCAGTTTCATCGTGGAGAGCCCATCGACTGACACGCTCGTGCTAGTATAGACTATGCAGAGGATATGTACGAGATTGTAGTGTATACACAAATTGAGGCATCCGAATAGTTCGCTGGGTCATTTCGCGATCGGTGCCCATTTTCATTTGCCTCTGTTTGTCTCCCTAGCCACCCTACCTCCCCACTGTCCTTCTTTTTGTCTGGACCCGGATGGGCTTATCTCCTTATCGTCCTTCCTGCTCTTTGTCGCGCTCATCTTCGTCTCTGCCAACAAGTGATCACCACTGTTTAATAATCATCTGCCCACATTACTGTATGCTTTGGCCTCCGCTTCATGCTCCTCTTTCTTTCTGCCTTTCAGCTTGGGCCGTTTCCTGTGATCTTATGCTTCATCAATCAGGCATGCATCTAAAACTGCCAGTGTCAGGACTCAGGATACGGCATCACTCGCATGCTATTACTTTGAGGCAACAGCAATGTTTACATGATAGATCACTTAGTCAAAATTTAAGTCGATCTATTTATAGCGTCTTACACCTTCTCCTGCCGGAGCGAAGCGATGGCGTCCCTTGTTACAACTACAACAATCCAGCTAACATGCTTGGCACTTCTTCCTACATCATTAATGATACAGCATAGTGCAGGGTTCAAAGGCATCGAGGCAGTTCCTCGTAAAATGACAATCACAGTGTGAAGCGGAAGTCGGGATGACGGTCCCCGATCGGAGCCCTCGTCTTCCCAGAATCCCACAGCTCCTGGTACTTCGCGATATTGTCCTGGCGAAGGCCAGCCGCTCGAGCCCTGTTCTCCCACATGCAATAAAGCCTGTGCGACATGCAATTAAGTTTCATCTGTGTCTCATTTACTGAGCCACGAATCGAATGAAACTCACACGTTCGCGAGCATGGCGAACCATGCCATAATAACGAACCCCAGTGTAATGCTATGACCCTTGACATATTTCGGCTGCTGCTCGTCAGTGTAGGTGAATGTAGCGATGAAGCCTCTGCGAGCGGACACCGTCACTGAGCTCCCATTCATACGGATGTAATGTTCACAAGTGCTCACCCGGTATTAGCAAGGGCGAGCTGCAACGCCACGGTTGTTGCTTTCTTGTAATGACCGGCGCTGTTGTTGGGAAGGATTGACAGGATGCAAGGCCCGCACGGATAGCTTGATATCAACGATCTCTTGATTAGCATATCATGAAGTCCAGATAAGATGGACCGGCACACACATGCCAGCTGCCATCAAAAACACTTGACAAGAGAACGTCATGAGCATAACATGTTCTTCAAACAAGATGGCGTTCTACCTGCTGCATACCGCTGCGTATCATTCTGAACATAAAACGATGTGAACACGTTGAATATTTCCACTGTCGCCATAACGTGCTGACCTTAGCCGCAATCGCGAGAACGTAACCTGATGTGGACATGCGTGAAGACCACTGGACAACATCGCACGAAAAACACTAACCAGCCATAGATACGGGCAGGAACATCAGGATGAATGGGCCTCGCATTTTCAGCTTGTCGCTGAGTACCGCAACCACTACGGTCAGGGCCACAGCCGGTACATAGGGTGGGACCGTATGCAGTTGCGCCGCGCCACCGGAGTATCCAAGGCCTGATATGATAGTAGGTCTGATGGTAGAGAGTCAGGTCTTCACGAAATGTATTACGCAAGAGATCATGACCCACAGGAACAGCGAAAAGGAATCCACGCTGACAGCGATGCCTAAGTATGACATTGACGACATCCACACCTGTGGCTCCTTAACACCTGCAGTGTTCAGCTGATCAGTTTAGTTCTTTCTCTGCAAACTCAAAAATCGCCCACCTCGGATGACTTCGTACCACTCAAACGTCTCATCCTCCTGGAACACGGCGGGCGCCGTGCTCTCCACAGTAGTCGTCGCCACCTGTACGTCGGTTCCCTTCTCGGGTTCCGCGATGTCATTGATGCGCTGAGACGGTTCCGACTGTGGTGCACTGCTGGTCATGGCGTGTGACTTGCGGAAGCGGTGTACTGTATGTATAGCAAGTGTCAGCTTAGATGCCACATGTCTCTGATTAGGAACTATCGCGACATACAAGCAAACACTGTCTCCTCCTCCGTGAAGAATTTGACCGAGCTCAAATCAGCGGGCAGGAAGATGATCGATCCGAGTGCCAAACAAATCGTGACAAGACCCTCGATAATGAAGATCCACCGCCAACCGGCCAGGTTACCAATTCCGTCCATCTTCTCAATACCCAATGCCAGAAGACCTGATCCATTCGTCAGCGACCAGCTTCAAGTGGTCAATGACACAAGAATTGGAAATACGAACCTCCAAAAGCGCCAGCCAAGGAGCTAGATGCATAGAAGATGCCAACCCTGCAGGAATTCAGCAAGTTCACGATAAGGTCGAAAATAGAGCATATATTCAGAAAGGCGCACCGCTGTTGAAGTTCATGCCGTTTGTACAATGTGCTCAGGTAGAGCATCTATGCAAGTGAATTAATCCGTTGGCGTGGACACCCTTATATCGGAAATACGCACGATACCGGGCAGCAAGCCACCCTCACACATCCCGAGGAAAAATCGGATTGCGACAAGACCACGGAAACTCTGGACCAGTCCGCTCAGCGTTGTAACCATACCCCAGACAGTGACGAGGATAGGCAGCCAACGGCTGGGCTTCATCTTCTTGAGGACCCAGTTGGACGCTGTAAGGGAGTCAGCATTGTGACATTCTGCCAGGAGAGGAGATGCTGACGCAATTCAACCAGGATGTATCTTGACGTGAATGCAATCAGCATTTGTAGGCTGAAAGCTCCCACAACTCACGAAACATAGAAGACTGAGCAGCAGTCAGTGAACGTCAATGGCTTGGAATGAAATGAACAATAGCTGACCTGCGAGTGCCGTGTTGAATTGAATCCCTTGAAGATGAAGGTCTGTCGCGAGACCTGCAATTCTATCGCAAAGTGAGAATTGGTGTTGTGGATAGATGACGATGAATTTACCTCGCGTTCCCTACATTCGTTCTGTCGACAAAATTTGCAAGCCATAGCTGTTCGCGCATTGATTGAGACGCTATGAAGGGGGAGAATGACCACATACAAGGGCCAATGGAGGGAGGACGTGAAGATCTAGCTTCCAGAGCACCCTGTGCGTCATGCGCCGATCTTCACTCTCGAGGCTCTCCGTCAAAACCACGACCTCTTCAACAGGTTTCTCCTCTACGGGAATCATGATGCTGGTGGGAGAGGACAGGTAGAAAAGGGGAAGGTGGAAGGGAGACAGTCGTGAAAAGAAGAGCCCCGATCACACGTCCAACTGCTGCTTGTCCGTCCCTCTATATATCAGAGACACGGTGAGCCTATACGGTGTTGCCGTCGTAAGCGCGGGTATCAAGTATGGCGGCAGCTCCTGAATACTGACACGCCGCGGACGAGCAATCAACCACGTCGGGCGGTCACAGGTGTGGATTGAGTCTGCGATACAAATAAATGTTCCTGGCTTCTCTGCCCCATGATCTGCTACGTATTCGTCAATTATATGCCGCGAAGGGCGAGAAAGCGATTACACACTCAGACAGGCGGGCTGTTATTGGCTGAGGGGCATGAGGGGGCCTGCAGATATCCGTGTGACTGATGATTTATCGTAGAATGGCAAGATGTATCTGGATGAAATATGGACACGCACTCGGTATAGCCCAATAATCGCACGCACGGGATGTGCTCGCAAGAAGAATGATTGCCGATGAGGGTCTACCAGCTTGTGCATTCGCAGTGCCTTCGGGGCCTATGCCGCAATGATCATTTGCGGACACCTTGATGTATCCACTGGAGTCAATCCGGGGCGGTTTTAATCGTGCGTTGCAAAGTCATCGGCACCCCGTGGGCCTTTGCTCGGCAGGAATATAAGTAATCCTTCCTGTCGCAAGCTAATCAATTACCACAGTCAGGCGAGCAAGGTCAAGATGTCTTAGGTGTCGCTCAACGTGACCAAGTCCACGAACAAGCCCATCTTCGAGACTACGATTCACGTATCGTGACCGTTTCGTGAGACCGCCTGATGCAGCGCCCCGTGGGGAGCGGATGGTTGAATGGTGTATGCGAGCGTGAGTACAAATTCGAGATCAGGGGATTTGAGCGTCTATCGATTAAGCAATGCGGCGTGCGCTCGCCTTGAATCCGTTCAAATTGGATGTCAACAGACTGTGATTGATAACACACAAATGGATACGAGATACGATTACATGCACAGGGTGAAACAGGTCAAAGTTTTCATCAGGCATTCTTAGTCCGTAGCGTGCGCACTTCTTTCTCAACCCATCTCGACTTCATCGCCACTTCGAACAGTCCCACTGATGTCGCTGGCCTCCTCCATCCATCTGGGAGCTTCTCTTCCTGGAACCATTGTTCGATAAATGTCTTTGGAACTCCTTGTTCGTCCGTAACCATGTGGTGCACGACATCTGCGGCATGTTTGTGCGAAATATGCTGGCCCAAAACCTCCATCGTGAGAACCGCTTCTCCCCTCGCAATCTCCGCGTGCAATGCATCGAGAGGAGTCTGCATCTGCTGATCTCGTTCCGCGCGTGCCTTGGCAAAGTCGGAAAGTGTCAGCCACTCGCAGGGCGAGACCGATAGCAGCTGGTGCACAAGCTTGCTGTCCACTTCGATCGGGGCGAACGTGCTTCCGCGGGGAGTGTCATCGTGTGTCAGGGACCCATCATGCTCAATTGCGTTATGCTTGGCGAGATCGTGAAGATCGATGTGCCACCAGCCTCCGCACTTGAAAACGCCGACCACGGCGAGGATGATCGCAAGCGGGAAGGAAAGGCTGTAGACACTAGTAAGGGCACGGACCAATTGAGGGATGCTGATTCTGCGACCGTCATGTGGTCTACGGCAAGGTTTTAATGTTAGACCAAAAAGCGTTGCAAGGAAGCGGAAGAGAGCTCACAAGTAATTGTGGTTCGCCAACGCATTCAATGCCGGGCAGGGCGAACGGCTAGCTCCCGGAGGAGGGCAAACGTAGTCATGGTCAATATGCATATTTGAGACTGAGGCAGGAGATGTATTTGACGAAGGAAGAGAGGCGTGAATGTGGTTGGTTTGCATATTGTGGTCCAGGCGAGGTGTTATTTTGATGGAGGACTGCACCAGCATCGGCTAGTGTTTATATACTTATCCGAATGAGAAACTGGGACGCTGGGCGCAGCGTGATACAAATAAGCACGAGTCAAGCACAGCCCCTGCGGAACCGCAATGTGTTCCATAATCCGAGTCGGGGCAGGGGGTAAGGGAGGCGGGGGCGGATCCGGAACTTTGACCGCGTATGAACCCGGCAGCAACGTTACCAGCGAGCAGCATAGGCGTCTGGCAAAATGAGAGCCACTAGCCATATTTGTCTTCGGGATGTCAAGGTCGTGGGGATTGCGGTCTGAGCAGTCGGTACGGTTCGTGGCTCGGAATACGCATGCCGCTCGGAACTAGTCCTTCTCTATCAAAGGAGCACAGGAATATATCGTGGCGGAAGTGCTCGGAAAGGGCCAGCATCTATGAGACTACAATGAGGGAGCCACGTTCATGGATTCCCAGCGGAGATGACGGGAAGCTGTGTACCACAGTCACTGGTTCAATATTAGGTCAAGTGCAACGGCAATGACTTCACGCTCAGGAACCCCGCTTTGTCGGGCTCGGATATGAGGCAGTTCGATACGAGATCCCGGTGGCACGAATCTGAACCGCTGTCACAGCTAGGTTTCATTGTCCGCGTCGACTGACGGGAGTGTCAGCAAATGATGCAACAGGCAGACGGTGAAGATAGACTGTAGCCGCTAGTTGGGATTGGTGGCAAGTGTCAGCTGTCAGATTTGGCTAATGTGATACCGTCGATCATTTCCTTTGATCAGCGCCCGCTCGCCGGAATCAAAGTTCATGCGTTCGTCCCGCTCTGGAACTTGAAGACGGTCATCTTCGTGCTGGGGGACAGGGGACAAGCACATTTCAAAGGGCAGTCGTGTCACTTACGAAGGAACATAATACTGATGGGAACTGCGACTCAACTGAGACGAGTAACACTGTGCGTCGCGCGAGGAAACAAACTAACGGCTGGCTCCACTCCAGTCACTGGTTTCATCTCCAATATGCCGGCCGGATGTTCTGACCAGAGTCTGACACAGCCTGACATCCGATGATTCCATAATAGTGATTCAGCTGTCGTAATGAGTCGGCCTGGGGCACATACAGCTAATAAGGCCAGAGTCCAACTATGAAACGTGAACTGATAGCTTCGGCGGCGGCAGCTGTGCCAGATAATCCTATGTCAATGAATCAGCATAAACCTAAGTGCAGCTTATAGAACCTGGGCAGCAGTGCTCACCCGCAGCCACCGTTCCCGCTCCTCTGGGATGTGGTCAAAAATCAAATACCGCTTGTCATTCTGTTGGCAACCATCATCATCGTAAGTTCACGCCTCCGCATGCTTCTGCGGTGCCATCCACATCCGTGTTCCGTGAGCACACAACACTCACCTTTAGCACCTTCACTATCTCGTTCAGATCTACGTTTTTCGCGAGAGCCTTCATGTCCACCTGCTCCTCTTCCGCGTTGTCGCCGAGGTCATCCGCCTTAATACCCTCGTCCACACCCTTGCCGCCAATTTTGCCGAGCCGGCCCCAGAACTCGATAAATGCATTCTCGCTGAGCATCTGATCAAATGCAAGTCGCGCCTCGTGCGTCCGCTGCCGCTGCCACTTATCGTATTCCTGCTCGATTTGTTCGACGTCAAAGCCGAGCTTTGTGGCAGGCTGCGAAGCGACAAGGGAAGAGACGGGGAGATCCGTGAAGGGCGATGCGAGTGAAGGAGAATGCGATGCGAATAAGGCGTGCAGGCTGTCCAGGTACTTGGATCGCAATGCCGCAACGTGAGCGTGGAATATATGAATTTGCTGGTTCAGCGGTAGAGGTGAAAGTGTGAAACGAGGATCGGTCCTAAGTTGTGGGAGCGCGGCATCCCAGGTCATCTACAAAAGCGAATACACGAGACATGCATGGTTAATGATCAGTTTCAACCCCAATACGATTCGTACCTGTGGGTCTCTGATTGCATCGACAAGCATTGTCCTGCAAAATTGAACACGTCTCTGGTGAGTGGCGCCTAGCAACTGCGCAGAGAACTCGCAAGACACGCGGCGCACCTGAACTCCAGCTCGCCTTCCTCTTTGTTCAAACCCATCCTTGAGCGATCAATGTCGGCTTCCACCTTGCTGCGCTCCGCCCTGACCCTCTGTTCTCGATCCTGCACAGCACGTTCTTTCCTCTCGCGTTTCTTTCGTTCACGCTCTGCGTCTTCTTCTTCTGGCATATGACTATCTTGGGACAGATTGTGGACCGACTCGTCAGCTTCCTTGTTTGGAATTGGCTCTGGCGTTGCATCTGCGCCGTGAGCTTTCAAGTACGTGTTGAAGAGCTCCTCGCGCAATGACGAGGAACCAACAGCACCATACCGCACGTCTTCAACAATCTTTCGTTTCACCTGTGTATCTTCGACATGAGATTTGCAGAAGAGAATTGTAAATGACCGTCCTACTTCTTTCCACGCTGCGCCCAGTTTCGCGATACCAGTCTCTCTGATAAGAGCGAAGAATTCCGCCTCCGCATTCTGAGCAGCAGCGCGCTTCTCTGTAAAATGATTAGCGTTCGCATTCAGACTCGGACATTCCTCGCTTACTTTCTCCTAGCTCTTTCAGATATTCCCTGAAGCGTTTCTCCCGCTCTCTGTCATCCCGCCCCCACCCATAGAACCGCCTGTCCTTCTTCCATTGCCTTCGCCACTCTGTCCAGCTCATGCGTGTGCTTTTCACCTCGTCTCTCAAAAGGCGCTCGAACTCCTCCTTGGGATTTGCGACCTCCTTCTCTTTCTTCACGTTGGACTGTCGGAGCTCGCGCGCGCGATCGCGGCAGTATTCATCAAAAGCCTCCTTCCTCGCCGACACCGAAGGCAGGAGGACATAGCGCGGATCGGATATGAATAGCGGGAGAGAAGTGTCCCATGGGTGAAGAGGGTTGATGTCCTTCTCCCGCAGGAGGGTCTGTGAGGCGCTGATATCAGTATCCATTCCACCGAACGCTGGGTGTGCTCACTTTGAACAGAGCCTTAGCTTCGTCAAGAGACAGGTCAACCCGTTCGGGCATTTTGATCTGCGGTTGTCCCTTAGCCTTTTCGGCTTCCTTCATTTTCTTTGCTTCCTCCTCCTCGTGCTCCTCCTGCCACTTCTTCGCTTCCTCCTGCTTCTTCTTCTCCTCCTCTGCCTCCGCAGCGAGTTGTGCAGCGGCTTCTCGCTGCCACTCTTCTTCTTCTTCCTCTTCGCTCTCTTCCTCTTCTTCTTCTTCCTCATCCGCTCCTTCCATCTTTGTCTTCTTCGTGATCACCACTTCGTTGAGCGGGACCGCTTCTTCCGCCTTCCGCTTCCCAACCATCTCCTCCACCTCTGACTTTATCCTCTCGACCTCTCTCAATTGTTCTTCCTGCGCACTCCTGGCCTTCTTCTCCACCTTCTCCTTCGCTTCCTGCTCTTCTCTGATGCGTCGTTCAGCCTCCTCACGTTCCAACGCCTGGACGGCCTCGCGGATCTCATCCGGCACTGTCCACACACTCCTCTTCTCGACCTTGTGCGTATAGAACACGTTTCCCTCTGTGGTCACGACGCGTAACCAATCCGTATTCGGGATGGGTGTCTTGATGAGAGGCTTCTCTTTCTTCTTCTTGGCCGGAACAGCCGGAGCTGCCATTGCAGTTTGAGGGAGGATGGGGAATGTTGGCATAGGACGAACATATGTCGACTCTTGGGTCACGGAGTTGTAGTAGTAGGGCTGCCCTGTAGGACCTATGCCAAGGAGTGACAGAATCAACGACTACCCGACGCGCACACTATGATCTGCTTACCGATGTGTTCAGTCCAATTGGGCGGCAAGGGAGGCGGGACCATAGGTATGAATGGCGCAGACATCGTTCTTGAATGAGAGAATAGGCTGAACGAGGCGGACTCGAAATAGTGTCCGGTATATAGACACGTTAGACGCGAGCGCTTGTTTTAGCTTTACATCACCGGCGTCATTGAATTCCTTCAACCCCGAGGATGCGAGTGCAATTTGCCAGCTTTTATGTAAAGCAATAATTCCCATACATTTCGGATAACACAAACAACAACGATACAAACGGGAACACTAGTAGCACGATCACCACTCAAAGCTCGTCATGCTTAGAACTCTGCACCGGATTTCCCTCCTCATCAACCTCCTCCACTTCCCAGAACGCCTGAGGAACGTCCTCAGGCTGCTGATTCCTAAACTGCCCAGGGACGTAATCAGGCCACTCTACAGATTGAGGATCCTGGATGTTCAACGGCTCGTGGTCTATTGGAGGAGCCGGCTTCACGGTGGTATCCGTGGGCGCAGTCTCAGATACGCCGAGAGATCGGCGCAGTATTCGGTCGACGCGCGTGAAGAACCTAGGCCTCCCGTCAGAGAAGATATGGCCATCAAGTGAGTAGATGAAGCTCACTCGTTCGAGTCTGGGACGCTGAACCCAGAGCGGACTAGCGCGCCGTCGATCAGCACAGAGGCCACTTCCTTCAGCTCTTCCTCCTCCTCCAGATCCCTGCCCTCCTCCTCAGCCGGCAATTGCTCCACTCGCCGCAGAAGGCCCTGGATGAGCGGTGAGCGAGGGTTGATCTCGAGCAGCTTCTGCTTCTTAGCAAACGCATGCATCGGGTTCTTGGATCCGCTCTGAGACGAACCTAACAGACAGCTCGATTAATCAATTGCTCGTGAACTGATATTGATGACACGTACTCATCATCTTCTCGACGTTCGCGGTGTAACCCATCGTGTCTGCGACAACGGCACACGAACTTGTCACCAGCCGATTGGAAATCACGACTACAAGCACCGTTAGCTTAATGTGTAGTTCTCGAGAATTTGGCTCGCACCATCGCGGACAACATCCTGAGCCTCCTTCTTGAGCCACTCCAGAAGAGGCTTGTACTCCTCAGTCAAGACCTTCTGCTCCTCCTTCTCTTCTTCGGCGGTTATCTCTACATCTGAAGGTCAGCACTTGATTTCTTAATAGCTAAAAGAAAACTGTCCAACCTTCGTCACCGAACCTAAGGCCAGCTTTCGCAACGTCCTGGAACGGCACCGTCCTGTCGCATCGTAAGTCATGTCACCTGGAAGCAATCTAACACAACTGTTACTTACATCCACAGTCGAAGATTCTGCACGAATATTTCGTCCAGAGGATCTGTCAGAAGCAAGACCTCATATCCACGAGCATGGAGCTTCTCGATGAAGACACTCTTGGCGAGGTGTTCCGGAGTGCTGCCCATGTCGGCGAGATAGAAGATTTGCTTCTGTCCCTGCTTCTTGTTCTCCAGGTACTGATAATCCCATCAGTGTTAAATACCACCAGGGGATATTAATATACACTACCTCATCTAGGGACGTGCTGTCTCGCTGATTCGTGGTGAATCTCACGAGCTCTACGAGCTTGTTCCGATTCTTCGCGTCCTCCACTGCACCGAGCTTGAACACGTTCCCGTATGCCTTCTGCACTTCCGCCCACTTCTCGGGATCTTCTCGCTCGATGCGGACCAAGATCTGCAGAAGGTGCTTCAAGATGATCGACCGGAGCTGCTTCAGGAATCGCGTCGATTGGAGCATCTCACGGGAAACGTTCAAGGGCAGGTCCTCAGCTGCGGGCGAGAACGGACGTCAGACGTTGATCCATGCCTCAGTAAGGAAGAGGCTGACCATCAACAACGACTTTCACCCAGTTGGCCCACTTTGGCAAGGTATCCTCGCCCATATCAGAGGTGATGAATACGCGCTTGACCATCAGCCGGAAGTCCCTGCTACTGGTCAAGAGTGGGTTTTGCCAGTACTCATCAGGTCTGAAGGATTGTTATCAATGGATTTCCTACAAACCATAACGGAATGTACGCACACATGCGAAGGCAAGTAGATGATAGCTTTGAAAGATATGCCGGAGCCGGAGTCTCCGGAGAAGTGGTCCCAAGCGAGAGGTTTCTCGTAGTCCTTGAACGTAGCCTGATAGAACTCCTCATACTCCTCGTCTGAGACGGTCTTTGGCGCGCTGTGCAGAAGTAGTTGATGTCTTGAGAGAAGAGCATATTTACAGGAAAATGAAACATACCGCATCCAAATTGGAGGCTGCGAGTTCATATGGATCCATTCCTCCTTCGTGACCGACTTTGTCTTGGGCGTCTCATCCTCCTCCGTTTCCTTTTCTGTAACGTCCTCTACGATAGCTTCGTCTTCATCGACATCTTCCTTCTCCGATTCCGACTCAGCGGGATTTGTCTCCGACCCTTCTTCTTCGATAGCTACCTCTTCCACCCGTTCTGTATACAGGTAGATGGGGAACGTCGAGGAGAACGATGAATGCTTGTCCCTATGTCAACAGCTCAGCAGAGACCCGGATTGCTGTGGAAACGCGACATACACAAGTTCGGCAATCCTGTGCGGGTCTGTGTACTCAAGTGCGTCGTTCTTCAGAACCAGAGTGATCTCCGTTCCACGTCCGAGAGTGTTACCGTGTGGGTCCGGATAGGTCTCAAACGAGCTTTCGTCGGCACCGGAGCTGAAGACGTATTGGATGGGGTTGGGGTTTGAGGATGACTTCGCCGCTAGGGAGGCTACATAGACACGGTCTGCCACAAGGAAACTTGGCATGGTCAGAACGAACCTCTGCTGAAGTTCGAATATATGTTACCTGCTGTAAAAGCCCAAACCAAATGCGCCGATCAAGTTGCCAGTGCCGGTGGCATCCGTGCTTTCTGCGCGGGCCAAGAATTCTGAAGTGCCAGATTTTGCCAACGTGCCCTTCATTCAAACTTGTGAGGAGGATTTTTTCCAAAAAAATACTATATGAGACCCACAAGATTCGTCGTCAGTTCCTCGGGAGTCATACCGATGCCTGTGTCTATATTCACGACAATTAGCCTATGTTCACGCACTGAACCGTCATACGTACCAGTGATAACAATTTGTCCATGCCCTGTCTCATCTTTGAAAGCCTTTATGGTAATGTTCAGGTCTTCTGCGCCGGAAAGGACTTCTTTCTCAGTGAGCGAGGTCAAGCGGAGCTTTTCCAATGCATCGTTCGCATTGGAGATGAGCTCTCGAAGGAATATGTCTCTAAACGAGTTGAAAAGAATCAGCTGCATGTTTAAAGCGTTGCATGTGAAGAAATACGGACCTGTGTGAGTAAAGACTGATGGGGGCATTCATAGATCAATGCATTGATCGTGAACTTGGTCCGCTGAGCATACCTATTGATCACAATTTTCCGGAGGCGGGAGACATCGCTCTGCAGACATAAATTGTAAATTTATGTGCGCCACGACGCGCTTTATTCACTGCGCACCTGATAGTCATGCTTCTCTTTTGGCACGTTCGATGCATCCTGGGCAAGGACTGTCGATGCTAGAACGGTGAGCGCGAGCAGCAGCGGACGGAATATCCGCATGGCTGTCAGGCGTGGGACGTGAGTCTGCGGGCAAGCGAACCTGGCAGAGACGTGGCACAAGACGTATAAGTGTAGCGTTTCGCTCGAAGGGTTGTCTGAGAACGTGTCCGTGGATCCCGACTGACGTGTCACTTGCGGCGTTACGCGGTCACGAGACCGCGTTTCACGTGAGACACGCGTGGCACACTGTGGCGCTCGACGCCCGCTGTCGTCGAATGATCTTGTTCTCTTTTACGCTGCGCTAACCAGCCGTGCAATGAGTTGTTTCGATAGGCAATTATACGATCTATCACGAGTGACTGCGGCCCAGGGTCTGTTCATCGCGAGAGGTTTCGGGTCGAATTTTTAATGTAGCCTTGCGCCTTCCACAAGTCGCAAACACGTCTGCTTTGCTGGTGACACATAGGTTGGCGAGCAGCGCGTGCAGCTACCATCTGATACTGGCATGGTTTGCATGGGTTAGGTGAATATTCCCCGAGTCGCTGACCGCATTTCCTAAGGCTTGTTCTATCTGCAACAGCCCCAGCCTCCTTTTCTGGGATGCGTGCTTGCATCTCGACATCAAGTGTTGGATCCCGGCTTGGAATTTGAATATTTGAAGAACAAAGAAATGGGCACCCGCGCTCTAATTTAATGGGTTTTGATTCGAGTCGGTTGCCATACTCGGCAGTCGAGGGAGCAGCGAAGTGGTTGGCCAATCGTTGGCTGTGGCAACGCGCGCCTACGTCTGCGACCTGGCCACTGGCCACCGCGTGCTCTCTCTGTCCGCAAGATCACCCGAATACTCAGCCTCATTCTCTTTCTGCAGGCCTTGTCGGGCCTTCTACTCAGTGCGGAACTGGTTTTCCGACGGAGTGCACTAACTACTACTGGTCTGGCGTCTTCGTTTATACGTCCGGCGTTGGCTGTCCGTGTTCCTTGAGCATCATCGTCGCCCGCTAGCACGGTCTCCGCAAATATCTGACATCCCTGAATTTGACGACTTCAGCATGTCTTCCTTCTCTCGCCTCCAATTAGCAGCTGCATTGATTGGTGAGCGGACTAGCCCACGATCGTATTGACTGAAGTCGTAGACGACTGCGTTCCGCGAAACAGAATATGACAACGATGACTCTGACCCGAACACACCGCACCGATCAGCTCACGACAGTGCCATCTTCGCTCATCTCCGTCGCAACAATGGTCCTCGCCGAGGAACAGCCTCGAGAGCAAGCACGGACTACCTAGGCGTCGCTTTACCGAGTGAGGCGGGAAGCGTGGGTGGTAGAGAGTCCGTCCTTGGCGGAAGGGAATCTGTTCTTGACGGAAGAAGATCAAGGAGCTCTGTTGATGCGTTGCAAAATCCGTTTGGCCGCGATTCCACGTACGAAGGGATGCTTGGAGAAGATGAGGGGAGCGAAGAGATGGAAGTCGACCTGACATCGTGGGGGCTGGATTCTTTACTACCAGCCGACAGGAATTCCAAGGACTCGAAGGGTGCGCGCAGGAAGAGCAAACCCGACCCTCTCAAATTCTCCAGCGAGCGTCCATCGGGGTTGAGATCAGAGCCCGGACGTCGAATCAGTGGTGCGCGGACGATGAGCATGGGGAACTTCAGTGAATTTGACGGGGCCGCAGACGCGGATAGCAAATCGGCACTGACAGTCCTCGGAGGACGACGCTTCTCTGTCGGCGCACCTATCGATTTGCCTCCACCGAAGACACCTACTGAACAGCGTCCGCCCCGCGGCCGTATAGCGTCCTCTCATGCAGTTCTCGAAGATATCACTGGAAGTCGCCAACCACATTTTGTTCCCTTCCCCATTGGCGAGTCCGAGCGTTCGGACTCTCCAAGGATGACAAGTGACAGAACCTCCACCGGGCGACCGCTGTCTCGCGAAACCGAGCCCATGGTCAATCCTTACGCCCATAACCCGACATACTCTACTGCTAGTTCGCAGGATACGCTCAACCAGGACCTGCCGAATCCCTTCGCTGTCAGGCCTCCTTCCCCAGATCGCACTTCTAGGTTCGACCCCAAGGCGCGAGCGCGTTCCACATCTTATGGTTCAGTAAGCGGCGTGCTTGCTCCTGGTGCCGACGGAGGAGAATCTAACCCCTTCGCTTTGCGGCCGCCATCACCGAGCCGCACTTCGCGGTTCGACCCCAAGGTTCGCGCTCGCACTGTGTCAAATGCTTCGTTGGGCACACAGATGCTCCTTGATCGACAAGACGCCAGCGACGGAGGCTCGCCTCCCCCGCGTTCGCGGCCATACTCACGACTAGAGCTCATGCGCCCGAAGGTGCTCATCATGCCCAGCCCACTGCAGTCTGCCCCAGCGGCGCCGGCTCAGCCATGGAATAGTGCAATGGAGGGCTTCCAGTTGCATGCCTCCGACGCAGCGCCACTACCACCCGGTGCACGCGCCGCTTCGCGACCGATGTCGATGATGGATCCTTCAGACGGACTTGCTGCGTCTAACTTGTTCACGCCCAACCCACGGGCCAGCCTTACATTATCTCAGCTCACTTTCCGTAATACGCTCATGGTGGATGGCCAGCGGGACCCCGCATACGCTGACATTGAAAGCCATCTGCATCGCGCCACTCAGGATGGCCAGCAGATAGAGCCCGAGCCCGAGCCGGAACCAGAGCCGGAACCTGTACCGCAGACAGCTCCTGAGGTCGTCACAGATCCAAATATTCGCTCGAAGCGCCCTCCGGGCAAGCTGTACGGGAAGAGCCTAATCGATGCCATCGAGGCGCGCAAAGCGGAGATGCGTGGCAAGCAGCGGTATGTGACTCTAAGTCTACTGATCTATGTGCGTCTAATGAATGTTTCGTGCAGGGTATTCACCGGAGATCAGCGGCCATCCATGATGGCACGGCCAACGCTGGGTCGAGCCAGCACCCTCATCGACCCAGAATCCTTGACACAGCGCCCACAATCGCGTCACATGGAAGGGTTCCGGTCACAGCCCAACCTCATCAGACGCAACTCCGGCAGTGCGCAGCCATTGCTGAACTTCGATAGTGAAACTTCTTGGCCGCCGCAGCCGCGGCCCACTCTGGTTTCCGACGCCGTTCATCCGGGAAGTAAGCGGTCTGTTTTTGGTGTAGACACACTATGGGAGAGGGAACTCGCAAAATTACACGACATTGAGGAACAGGAGCGTGTTGCGGCCGAGCAGGAGGCAAGGAGGCGAGCGGAGGAAGAGGAACGTAATGCTAAGCATGGGAAGAAAGGCAGGGGCAAGAAGAAGAGTAAGCAGAAGGGCAAAATGGAGGCGTCCGATGTGGCGAGCACAATGGTGCTTGCTTCCACCTCCGACCTTGCCCTCGATGCTACCCCAGATATGCCTGATCCGAGACCGTCTCTGGTCCTCCCGGAGATTGAGCGGGTGTCAGGCGCCAGACTCGCTCCGCCATCCCCTGCTGTGGACGATCTGACAGAGGAAGGGAGTTCGTCCAACGAAGCTCCGCTGCAGCAGAGGCAAAGCATGTTAAAAGACGTCCAGGCCGATGAGTGGATCACTGACTTGACCGAGGAGGATGGTCGAGGCCATCGGCGGACGACAAGTTCCGTCTCAAGACCTGCGAACCACACCCTAGTATCGCCTGTTGCTCCGCGATTGGTTGGACGGGAGGACAACGACGATTCGAGTGAAGATGACCTGCCCCTGGTTGCGACAATAGGTCGTGCCGCACACAGGATGGCCCGTACACAGGGCTCGGATGACGAGTCAGAAGAAGAGAAACCTCTCTCTACTCTCCTGCAGGACAAGGTGAAACTGCAGCTCCCTCCGATGAGCACGAGCGGCGGCCTCTTTCCTGAAAGCGCTGCCAAGAGTCAGAATGAAGATGACGAGGACAACAAGCCACTGGGACTCCGTGCTTCTCGGGTCATGGACTCAGCACAGATGATGGGTTCTCCGAGTCAGATCGAGGACACGGAAGACGATCAACCACTCGCGTTTCATCCGGAGCAGATGCGCCGAACTCAATATTTTATGGCTCAGCAACAGCAACAGCAACAGCAGATGATGATGCAAGCACAAGCTGCCTCGTTCCATCAGTCCATGATCTTTGGAACGCCGTCGATGATGGCGTCTGGCTTCTTCGCCCCGGCCATCCCTCCGGCGATGATGATGATGCCTCCTCAGCTCTCGACAACACCGCCGCCTTTGCAAGAGGCAGCAAAATTCGGTCGAGTTGACAAATGGAGGCATGATGTGGCAGTTGAGGGAGAGCCTTAGCATTGCCCAGCATTAGTTGGTGAAGTTATCGGACACGTTTTTCTCTCTCCTCGCATTCGTTTACAAGCAACGGGACTATCGAATACCCAATCGCGTCAAATGTCCATGTCATATTCCGCTAGTCCGCGCATAAGATAGTATGAAATAATTGAGTACAAGGAGGATAGAATGTCCAGTATTAATGATCGTGAGACTACAAACATGAGGTGCCCTGAATGCTATGGTATCCACCAACTGAAAAGCTATGTTGTGCAAGAAAGCGAAAGCAAAAACGAACGGCATAAGCAGGAGATCCTTTTGTCATCCCCGGTTCACCTCTGGATTGGTCAAGAAAAGTTTTCGCTTTGGAACGGTAACGATCGACACGTCTCGCCGACTCATTTCTTCTTCGATTCTATGTTGTCGAGTATCTTCGTCCTCCTCGTCCTCCTCCTCAACTTCAGTGGTGCCGTGACCATGCGACGTTGCGTAATCATCAAGACCCACAGACATAGTAGTCCTGAAGGGTGGCTGATGGTGCTGATAGGGGCCGCGATTTTCGACGCAGGGAACCTCCAGTCCGACAGTTGATGTTGCTCGCGATGGACTGGCATTGCTGGGTGAATGTTGTGGATGGGTGGGCACGCCGCGCAAGCGAGCTATCACTGCGGACAGTACGGACTTCCGCGGCTTACCGCACCACGAGAGAGCTATGAGGAAGATGTAAAATACTACGGTGCCAATCAGGAAGATGATGAATCCCGCAAGCGGGGCGCGTAAGTAGAGCGCGACTAGGGATAGGATACACAGTCCAAGCAGCAGGATATGGAATAGGATGTGTAGGATGCCATCCACTGTACTTGGCATTTCGGGATAGATGTGAACTTGTTCGGCCGGCGTCATCAGTCCGCTTGTGCTCGTCATGTCCAGAGCCGTGGTTCCAGGTGTACTAGGATCTACAGCTCTATGATTGACAAGTGCGTAGTCGCCCAGTCCCTACAGTATAACGATCAATGTAAAATTCATGGCCCGAAAAACTCAGTTCGCACCAATTGGGGCATGCTGCGTCGTCCTTCAAACCAGCTCATATCACTAAGGTTCCGAGGTCCCCCAGATGAACGAGGATCGGAAAAGGCGGCTAGACTATTGCCACTAGCACGCCGAGTACGAACTGGGCGATTCGTGACTTCGAACGATCTTGACGGTGAAGAGGCACCAGTACTGTCTACGCCGCTATCGCTGGAACGACGACCGGCGAAGGGCAAAGAAGACAGTCCACCCCATGATCGGACACGTTGTCGGGATTCCAACGGCCTTGCCTCTGAAGAGCGAGCGTCCCCGTTTCGCCCGTCAGGGCTTCCTGCACGTCCTGGATACAGAACCTCCTTCTCTGCGGTCTCCGCCGAGTCCATGCGGAGTCGACCATTCCTCTGCTTTTCTTCTTTGACGGCATTTGGAGGGCTCGAGAGATGCTTGTAGCATATCTTGAACGCATACAAAATGGGCAGCAGTCCATAGAAAGCTATGAATAAGGCAAGGCCCGCTCTGCCATGTGGTGTCTTCAAGACCGTTGATGAATTAGATGAGCGCTTCATTAGGGTAGACGTGACTGTGGCAGAAGTGAACGACGTGACGAGACCAGCAATGCCCAATCCGTAGGCAGCAAGACCGAGGATAATCGAAGAGTAGAGCAATGTAGCATGGCCCTTCGTATTCGCCGCATTGACAGAAGATGATGATAGACGCGCAAAGATTACGGCCGCTATAACCACAGCGATCGAAATTGGGGAGAGGGCTCTGTGGATAACGGAAGTATCATATCGTGTCGTCGACGTAGGTGATGTAGGAGATGCGGAGCCAGTAGTGGTCGGCGAAGGGCCATAGGTAGACGTTTGAGTCGCTTTCGGGCTGAGCGGGGAGGCGCAAGCAGTCATATATTCGATCGTGACTCCTTGTCCTGTGGCATTCGGGCCGCCCACTAGCTCGCCGGAAACATAACCAGACCAAGTTTCGTTCGAATAAGTCAATTGGGCGTTATACGCCCTGAGTATCCACACTTCAGATAAATAGTTTCCAGACGCGTCAACGCCGCCGAAGATGATGGTGTCCGAGCCTTTACTACGAGGCGAACCAACCAGTGTCTCCTGATATGAGAGGCCGACTGCACCTGAACGAGGCGTGGGGTATGCTGGTGTACCACCCGTTGTTCCTGGATCACCGGCGGGTAACACCCGGCTCCATTCGCCTGTCCAAGCATCATAATGAGACTACTATCAGTGCCAGTATCATGTAGTTCGCACCTGTATCTATTCTCAGAACATCCTATACAGAAATGAGCAGTTATACAGCAATTCTGGCAACGATACGTATAAGGCGTGCTTACCACTTCACCCCTCTGCAAACCGCCATCATCCGACCACAGTGATGTGTCAAAAAGACCGAGCAGCAAGAAAATCTGCTCTGTGAAGTCGGAAGAATTCTGATTAAAATCTGGCACAACCGTCCCTCCCAGACGGGGTGCGGGGCAGTCACTGGCAGTACTAGAGGTATCTTCTTGCGTGTTGATGATGTACGCATCTTGTTCAGCGCAAGATGCGCTGGGAGTAAACGGGACAGACGCATCGCATCCACCGATGGCTGCAATTTGCTGTGCTGTTTGAGAAATAACCGCTCCTGCGGCGCCAACTTTCGATGGAAGATTAGAATTGGGGAGTGAGATGTTCTCCCAACTTCCATAACTTCCATTCGGGTTATTCGACGACAACACCCCAGTGACAGTCAGACGCCAGATGTTCGACAGAGGAAAGACAGTTGTCCCGTCGGTACCACCGGCAACGTAGAATGAGTTGTTTGGATATGGTGAATTCGCGACCGTAACGGCCATTGTACGGGTGTCAATCCCGCCAACGGCACCATACAGTCCTGATGGACCTCCAGGGGATATATTCACTGGGGACCAGAACGTGCTGGTATAATCAAATTCCTGGAGACTTGGTTATCATGGTTGCTCATGTGGGAGACAGAAAGTCTCATACCCAAACGTCAGAGAGTGCTTCGCCATTCGTTCCATTACCTCCGATGATGATGTGCGCAGAACGACTGAAGCAGGTTTGAGTATTTGCTACAGCAGAAGGCATCAGGAACGCACTAGCTAGAAGCAAGGTCATAGCCGCTTATAGCAGCACTTCGCGCAGGAGGGGTACTCGTGAGGCCATCGGGAGGATCCGGGCTTGTCCATTCCATAGAATCCAAGTTCAATCTGTCGCAAGCACCAGGAGTTGCAGATGAACGTAAAAACTGTCAATATGATCGACATACAGATAGGTCCTCGACTGTTTGATTCCTTGCGCTGACTCTCCGCCGAAGATCAGAAGAGTTCGGGTAGCTTCGTTGTAGCCAATAGAGGCATCTATCAGCCCAGGTGGTGCTGACTGTCCTGTGAGATAGTTCGTCAAGTTGATCCATTGCAGCGGGGGTACCGGGCCACTAGTCGATATGCGTTGAGCATGGGAGACAGACCACAGAAGAAATGAGGACAAGATCCAAGGTGTGTAGACGTTGAAACATCGCCGAGAACAAATCATCTTCCAGATACGAGAGAACCTTGGTGCGCCCGCGCTCACAATGAGCAGGGAGGATGAACGTCGAAACCAGTGTCTGGATAATTGGCTGTACCACCGTGTCGCCGAGTTCACAGCGCGGGAAGGAGACCGGCGCTAGCGATCACACGCGCCACAGCAGCGCACACGCCCCTTCTGAGCCCGCTACGTTCTGCTTGTTCGTCCATGTTGTACTTGCGACGTCGTAGAACGCATCCCAGAGCAATGTGCGCAGGCACTAAGCGCACTTCAAGTCTCAACTTTCTCGCAGCAGCACTGGTACGATCAGATCCGTGCACCTGCCTTTTCCGCAGTACAGGATCTAGTCGGAGGCTATGGTGAGCCCGTCATGCCGCCTATCCCGACCTCGCCCGTCCACTGAGGATCACGTTCGTGACCACAACATCGTTTGTGGTTTTTTAAGGGAGCATTGTCTCCTCGGGCCTCTTGGACATAGCTCAGCAGTCTTTGCCAACATATGAGCGGATCTGCCAGATGAGCGAATTTCAATTTCAACTGTCAGCTGCGGCGTGAGCGGTTTGCTGTTTATGAAGCCAACCTGCCTTCTATGTTGAAACTGACTATGTCTTTTGGCCGCTTACCCTATGTTTTTGCTGGTTGTTTGGCCGCAGTATGCAATTCACGACACGATCCGAGCCATTACCGCACTCACATAGGTGCCAGGTCGAATAAGGAAGCACGCAATTCGGACGTGTTGCGATATACTTCAAATTCTTGCATCTCTAGCCGTGCCACTATCATATTTTCGCGTATGTCAACTCGGCGGTCCTCTAGAGCCGGAGGTCAGTCGATTGGTCGCTCATGGAATGTTGACATGGCTGAAGCAGAACACTCCGTATTCCCGCATGTGGCACACGCTGTTGGATGATGTCTTCCCAATTGAACCAAATGGTGACGGAACATATCTTCTGTGACATCGTCCGGCGCCAGTCTCTCTTTTACGTTTTAGGTTCGCAATTCTTGTATCATTCTTCATCGTTCGGGCTTTGCTGGTGAGCAAGGCCTATCGCACTAAATGAATTATCTTCATGATTATCGCGATACTATTCCTGAAGTGAGCAAACGCATAGCACAGGAATATATTTTCATCATTCCAAGGCAGCTAGAGTCAATATCCGGCGTGATTTCCTTTCGATGGAACGGCCAATCGTTGCAGTGGATTTATCTGATGTTCATAATTCATCAATAACTCCAGATCCGGATGAAACACAGCGGTCAGATGGGTGATAGCTTGATTGCCATATTAACAACCATCAATCCGACTAGTTGCAGGTCAAGGGCATGACTGTTTCGGAAGGTACTCGAATGCAATGACACGGATCTGTTACAGTGCCCCGACGCAAGTATATACTGCCTCAGCCATATCCTGCATGCCGCTGCAACGATACAAGGGACACGGAGTTGACTATGTAACGGGTACAGTCCTGTCCATTTTACGTTTTGACATCTGATTGCTTCACAAGCATCGTGTAGAATATCTCGGCATCAGATCTGGGGATCTCAAAATATGTAAAACATGACTAGCGGAGGCATCGCTAATCGGCAGTGACTATCTCTCTCAGTCTGATACGTCCTCGGTCGCTGCTCCCGGAGAGAAGTAAAGAAATATGCTCGGGAGTTCGCTCCTCGAGCTGTCAATAAAGTCTGAACCAGATCGACAGTTTACAGGCTCACGGGTGTGTTCTGAGCAAGTGGTAAGAGCAATCATCCGGATCGAATGAGGATAGCATCCGGGGGTTGGACTATTTGTGGCGTGGGAATGCAGAACGCGTTTGGTGACACGGTGCCAGGGATCTCAAGCACTCCTCGAACTTGATCTGTGCAGATCAACTACGTTAGCATCGACCTTGGTACAAATACGTAACTATTTTGTTTCTTGCTAGAATGATGGTCTCCACGGATCTGCCGTATTTCTAGCTCGGAGATCACGTCGCAATGATCGGTGGCGCGTCAGCAACAACCACATCGCTGGACTCATAGCATTCCGCTGAACAGGTTACGGACAAATTGGTAAGTGAGTTGCATCCTCATCCGGAAACACGTATACGGACCTTTAGGTCACGTACACGTGCAATGTGGCGTTCCCGAACCGTTGAAAATCTGTCCAGAAACTAGCCATGCAAAGTGTAAATTTTCGCAGGTAATGATCTCTCACGCGGTCTGTATTGAACTTGTCGATCGTTACTGACCCCACGTTCATTTACCCTTTTATAAAGATGACTCACATTTGCAATGAGATGGTTTAAAGCTCCATATTGATCGAGCTCAAAATCTTGGGCGCCTGGAAATGATCCCTCCGGCAGAGCGCTTCCGCGGATCTTGTAAAGACAATTAACTGCATGAGTCACTTCCATAGAGGCTTTGACTCTGTGGAAGGTAGAGTTTCTGGTACCGCAACATGTGGAAAGATTTCGTGATTAGTGGCGCTTCGGAGACTTGCCCGTTGCTCAATGATACATGACTGTTCGCCACATTATATCTTATCGGGCAACTTCATTACTTTCATTTCTGCTCTACACTGCTAATCGGACTGGCAAAATTGCCGTTCTCTAAAGACTGGTTTGCAGAATTAGCCAGTGTGGCGCACATCGAGAACCGTCCTCAGACTCGGCCTCCAGGCTGCAGTGGCACGGGGATTTAGGTGTGCACCAGTGCCGAGTAACACACGGAGGGACGGACTCATTTACCAACCGTTGGCTAGGCAATCTGCCGCTGTGTCATAAGTCTCAGTGCTGCATGGCCTTTGCCTGGAGGGCTTGAGACAGATTTCGATGGAGAGGACTCAGTTCCGGTGATTATCTAGCTCTCGTACAGCGACTGGAAGCTCAGACATACCAGCGTCGAGGCTTCAACTCAGCACTCATAATTGGCTGAAATTCAGTGTGGCGTCCAATTGGTGTCACGCGCTATCATGGACCCTCAAACACACACACACTGGGAAAGTCCATCGCATCCCCCGCGCCCGTCCGAGACGCCCCGCGCTCTCTCCTGCTCCCTGATGATATGTCTGACGTTTCCGACTACATGCCACCTATGGATATGCCGTCTTGGGCGCGACCTCACATGGCATAGCAAGGTCTGTCGCAAAACCTGCTGAATACAGTTGTACTAGGCCGGGCGCCCCAGCTGATTTTGCGGTCTGATTCGTCCAGTGCATGCTCATGCGCCGACGCCAGGTAGCTGGTGTTGCTGGAGTCACCGCTATGTCCAGTTCGCCGCTGAGGACGCCCGGAAGGATGAGCAGTATAAAACTTCAGAATAAACTGGATGCTGGGCAAGTTGAGGAGAAGCAGCTCGAGCAGTCGCAGAGGAGATGACCGAGTGAGCCTTTCTATTCACTCTTCTCACATTGTTTCAAGTGGCTCATGATACTCCATTTGCAAACCAATGTTCGAATCCCGTACAACGCTGCCGCGGTCGTTGACGCGCTACCAGCAATTACCCTCCACAATGGAAAGCTGAATACGCGAACCCGGCAGGCGGTAATTGGGTTTGCACTTTTGTAGAAGGAGGAAAGGTATGTGGATGGATGGGGCACGAAGCAGCCATGGAGAAGCACTTCCGCGAACGTCATTGGAGTAAACTGTAAGCACTGGTTCTGAATTTTCCCTTCAGAGCATGGCAACTGACGGTTTCGTCGCGATAGCGCTTTCAAATGTATCATATGCAGAGAAAAGTACGCATATCCGACGAAAAACAAGTTAGATGCCCATATTAGAATGCAGTATGTTCTCCCATTTTTCTTGTCAATATGTTGCTGTGGACTGACCATCGAACGATACAGTTCGGGGGTTTGTAATTTGTGTGGCCAAAAATTCAACGGTCCAGAACAAAGGTACCAACATGCCGTGCAGCAACATGGTTTCCTCCCGAACGCTTGAAGACGCGAGCTATTCGTCAATATCAACGTCTGCCGTCAACGCTCGAGCCGATTGCATTCAAGAACATTACAAGCTCCCGCCGATAATAGTCGCCCAACTCCAATTCTTCAAGCTCCTGTTGTGAAGTATCATCTCAATATTTGGACAGTATCGTTATTCTCTATTTACTGACTACCATCATGTTCGTATAATCCTGTATCACACTGGTCATGTAACATACACCCCTCTGATAATATATGCGCACATCTCTTAGGAACGCTCGCAGTTAGGCATATCATCTCGGCACCCTCCAAATTGTAGGGCCAATGTCCCGAATTATTACCAACAATCAAGTCAGGATGATGGACGCTATCACCACACCTCAGATTGATCGTTTCAGCCTATGCCGAAAGTCTGCCGGAACATTCCGATGGGTACTGAGACATAGGAACAGTAGTTGACAGCAATAAGAACAATAACGCAAGGGCAACCGAGATCCCTCGGCAGGCTTGAAAGATAACAACGTCCGTTTTTGTGGCGGAGAGATTGGTACTTGGCAGGTTAGATATGACGATGCGATCAGCCAAATTTTCGTGCCTTTGAGAAGGCACGTTGTCCAACGTGTAGATACTTGTCTCATATTTTCCATCGCAAGTCATACGATGCAATGGTCCAGCGCTAGCAAGCTTGAGGGCCATCCCTATGAATTGCAGGGTCTCGCAGCTCTAGCCGTGATGGGTCTACAAGCTTCGAGTCATTCACTATCACACAGTCATATTCACCAGGCAGATTCCAAAACGAAGAGGAGCCGCCGATAGTTCTAGAGTCCTCCTCTGGTAGGTGCTCGGAACTTAAAGCGTATTTCGCGATGATGAGGTGACCGGGGTCCTGAAGTCTTCAGCGCCCGCCGATCGTTCAGGATGAGATTCTTACCCAATGCGACTCCCTATGGGTTTCACGGTCTGCCCCAGCGCCTGGATTTGCGTTCTCTTCCGCCACCTCTCTTCTCGCGATTGTCAACGAATTCTGGGTTTCAACTTTATAGCTGAGATATCTCATTCAAATTGTAATTGGCAGCCGAGCTCGGAATCTCTGAACCGGCATAAACAATGTAGCAACCGACCGCCAGGAACATCGCGCAGTGCACCAGAGCGCAGGAGCGCCCTTTGTGCCCCCTTCTTGTTGCTGTTCCTGCTTCATGTCCTCGAGCCCGATGTAGCCGTCCCCTGCAGTCTTAATCGTCGCCAGTCTACACGAAAATAGGGTCGCAGAAATGCTTAGCGAACTATATAGGGTCGCACATGCGTCCTGAGCGTCAGCGGTTCATAGGCGCTGCTTCAAGCGGTATTACGGTTCCATTCATACTTCTCGCAAATTTTTGCCGCTCAAGTCAATACGCGTGAAGCCCAGGAGCGGCGCGTGTAAGGTTCACGCGCTCAAAATAGGCAGAGCTAGTGGTTTAGCCGGCCGTCGGTATGCGCCTGTGGGTCCCACTGATGCTGTCGGACTATGCGACCGGCACCCGAAGCCCCTTGTCTTTTATTCCCGCAGACACGCGTATCACGATGAGCGCTCACATTCAGATACTCCCGCGAACGTAGATCCATGTTGCAATGTCCTCCGTATTCTAAGAATTTGAAGCTCCGGATCAGATATTTCAGGTGCGTCTATCGTCTGGCTTCTCAGAAATCCTGTGTAATCACCAACGTCTGTGGACCCACCAAGAGCTTTATAAGAGTGAGCTTTCGATCGTCATCATTATTCCCCCATCTCATTCTTCTTCTTCTTCCATCGCGCATACTATCCGCTCCCTTAGGGTCTGCTCTACATATCAAAGTCGTAACATGACACCGTCCACGCCATGCTCAGCTCCTTTCGTCGGAAGACATAGGTTAGTAAACCGTGTGGCGCAGTGTGGCGCACCTCTCTTGCTCAAATTGAGCCTTTGTTTGTGCAATGTTCTCTCCAAATGGCTTAATTACCATTTCTCCGTGTGGCATGCTGCATCAAGCACTCCTTTCATCATACGCTGACGCCATATTTCCAACTCCCACAGTCTGTCGTATACGACAGTACCTCATGCCTCGTGTACCTATACACGCTCACGTGAGACGTCCTCTCGGAGCGCTTCGTCGGACAATTGGAAGTCAAGTCTCGTTTTGCCTCCCATCGTTTCGTCGACTCCGGATGAATCTTCTACCGCTCGGAGGCCTGAAGAGTATGCTCGGGCAGTACGCGCCACGTACGTTTCGACGCAGGATTGTATAGCGTGTCCGTGCTCATACATCTATCAGGCGTGGTCCCTCTACACGGTCGGTGGGCGGGACCGTCGCGCCCCTGAGGTTTGCCACCTATTTGAATTGAAGCTGATAAGCTGATATCAACCACGTCTCGACGTTGCAGGCCTCAGATCCCTTCCAGGACCATGTCTGATCCTCATCTTGCCGCCCGACCGCCAGCATCCGAAACGCAACGACCACTGTCCGTCTACGAGTCACCGACGGCCACATACATGTGGCCTCGCTTTGACCCGTCGTCCCAAGGCGTGTCTACTACCCGACCGTTGATCTACGTGAAGTACAAACCGGGCCCCACGTCTTCCGACGAACGCGAGGAAGGCCCTTCTGGGTACCGCGGACGGAGCGCGAGCAGTGTTAGCGAAGGTTCGACCAGTAACCCAAGGAAGAGGGGCTCATCAGCGGAGACGGGATCTGAGTAGGCCACTTCTAATGGAGCCACCTCAGTTGTCATTGAAGTCCATGATCTAGGTCCACCCCTCCTAGTCCTTCAGACAGGTTTCTCAAACATCGGAGGTAGGTAGCACGCTTTACATTCTTGATTTGAGCTAAATGTTCGTCGAAAGATTGGCACCTCCCGAGCAGCCCTCCCACGTGGTAGAAACTACCGTCAAAGCTACTACTAGAGACCACGTGGCGGATACTACTGTCAGATCTACTGGGCTCTCTCCCGCAGTCTTCACCAACCAACGGGGACAGAGAAGCGAAACAGACCTGGATAAAAGTTTCCACAGACTAGATATCGAGACTGACGAGAGCGAAGAGGAGAGCGACGAATTGACAGATCAAGGGCAAGCATCGTCGACTGATCAGGGTGACCATGCGTCCGACGTTCTTCGTGGGAGCAATCGAACTATGACACGCAATGCTACCCAGGATCGGCGAATCAGGGAGGAGTGGCTGCGGTACGCGGTGCCAGCAAAGCCTTCCAAAGAAGGTGCACAATATACATGCCTGTGGATGGTGAACAACGATTTCGGCCTTCCATGCCCCTGCGAATATACGTCTAAGCGGCACCTCGTGAAACGTCACATCGAGTCTTTGCACTTGCTTTACAGGTGGGTATAGTTATAATTGTATATCGGTCTTTCTAAAGGGACCTTCACAGGCCTTGCAAGTGCACCATCTGCGGGAAGGGTTTCGCGCAAAAGAGTAACCTTGAGACCCATATGAACACACAGTACGCTACATTTCTTGTGGTCCCGGATAGCTCGAATAACGGTTCCTTCTAGTACCGGAGCAACCCCGCATAAATGTCCGTACCCCAACTGCAACGAGGCATTCAAGGATCCTGCCAGACGACATCGCCACATGAAGGCAGTGCACCAACACGTCTCGTCTAGAAGGAAAAAGCAGCCTGCAAAGGGGGGCTCTGCCCCGTCATGACAGGCAATGAGGCTGATACGGATAACTTATTGTGGTGTCGCATGATCTCCCTGCCGTTGCACGGCGGTGCTGAGGTAAAAATCCGATGGCTCATGGCTTCGGTCCTTCGAGAACTTTTTGTCTTTGTTAATTCCGAATCCGCGGAGGCGCCAGTGAGCGCCCGCACTTCTTTCGCGGGCCATCGGCTCTGTGTATACCCTTGTGACATACTACTATGTAGACACGTATATTCTGATGCTTTGCTCTCCGCATTTCTCATCATTCTTCAAGTGTAGTTATCTGTGTAATATTTCGAATTCGGCCCGCAATTTTCGCTTTGCAATGTCGCTGTCATCGGCCCTTGGGTCATGCGTCGGTCATATTGACATCGTTCCGTGATGCAGACGGAGATGCTAAAGCGTCGGCGGTGATGCATAATGCCTCAGCCTCATCTTTCTCCTCCGACCAGTCTACCTATCTACACGCCCTCTCCGCCATCCGCATTTCGCCCACCGCCACCGTACTTCTACAAGCCGCTGTCCGTCATAGTTATAGCACGCGAGATATAAATGGTACCCAAAAAAATATCAGTCACACATGACCGCGATCGTCGAGCGCGCGCGGCGGAAGCCTATCGCGGGACGTAGGCGCCCAACTGGCCGTGACGTCTCCGACACCGCGGCAAGTGCAGGTAGGAGCTCCTTGCTGAAACACTCTCAATGCCTTCTCAACAACCACAGCTTGGCAGCCTTGCTGTACAGGCACCATTATTGACCCCCAAGACCGTGCATGTTACACCGTCAACATGTCATGATCTGTCTCTGTTCAAAGGTATCGCTGTTGTTCCTCCACCTTGCGACAAGGGTCGTGAACTGATCGCATGACTGCTCTAACCCTTCTTTGATGTTATTTCATAGATCTGCTCAATGAATATCGGAAGCTGGACGACTCGATCACGATGCGTCTGAACCGCACGACGGCGCAATTCCGTGATCGAGATCGAATGGGTTTGGGAGGAAAGGGGAACGTGGAAGACCAGGCGTGTGCGCAGATTTGGCGAGAACTTGTTGGTACGTTGAACATGAAGCCTTTCAGCATTCGTCCCATGCTAAATGCGCATAATTGAATCGCTTGATAAAGCCAACTGGAAGCGCCGAACTGAAATCGTGGAGTATTGCGTGAGCGTCGTGGATAAATCCATGGACGAGAAGCGCAGCTCGCTTGCGACTGGAGAATATGACCCTGCCTCGCAACGGCAAATACAGGGTGCCTTGTTCGCGGAGGAAGTCAAGGCGGGTTTGCAGCATCGGCCATGTCGGTCATCGTCTAGACTAACTTACGGAACAGCGCAATCAAGTTCATAACGAGCTTACGGTGGAAACGATCGTGCGCCGGAGATCTCTGGACGGTGAGTGAGTTGCCGCCTCATCAATCACTGTTGAGCTGACATGTGTGCATGATCCAGCATTCCGCTCTCGATGTAAATATTTCGAGCCGCCCTTCTCAGAAGCGGATGCGCGCAAGTGGTGGGATGCAGCGCAAGCGGGTCGATAGTGTCGAGGTCGTTGACGGTGCCCATGTAAGTGTTCCGTTGCTGTAAATCGGGATCAAGCATATGATCAAAATCGTGATTTCGGTGATCCAGGGTTTCGAGAACCCAGATTGCTTCTCGCCGGGCGCTGATGCCGCGAGGTAACGGAGCAAGTAAGCATTCACGATTCAGGACACATCCATTTGTAAGCTTGACGATCTACCGGCGCTCGTACGTGCTGCAGCGTACCGGCGGTGTTAGTCAAGGACGCACGTACAATAGCGGCACAATGCGTAGACTGGACGGAGCCTCGGTACCCGATCCTATGTCGTATGCTGTTCATTGGCGCCTTAATCTCAATAGCTGGGCCCATCGATTGTCAATCGGCTTCTGTGCGCGCATGAGGTGTTCAGAGCTTGTGTGGCGTTCGAGTCTGGTTCTGCTTTGTTTCCGTTACACCCATCGTATACTTTCGGTATCCTATTGCACATCTACGCCAAGATGATCTGCCGGCGTTCACGTCGATGGCACTCGGTGTGCCTTCTTGCCGCGTTGCCAACCCCACTGCACATCAGCTAGTGCTGGGCGCGTTAGATGACCGTTGTTCGGTCGCAGGAAGAGATCTGCAATGCCTCATTCGTGCGCGTAATGGGGTGGCCCGGGTCCCAGATGCTATATTGTGCCCGAAAGGGAAAGGCTCCTGCCGTACGTAATCGCCGCGGATTGCGCGACACATTGCACGCGACGGCACCTGAATGGCTCGAAGCATTCAATGGCATCTCCTTCACTCTGATACATCATGACCGTCCTACCCGCATCCGCACTGACTCTCGGTCTTTGCGTCGGCCTCGCTGCTGCGGCTTACCAGCAGCCTCTCCTTGCTCACACGGTGCCTGCTGCAGTTGCGGATGATGTTAAGGTTCCAGTGACTCTCGGCGTCATGAGTCGCTGCCCAGACGCATTGCTATGTGAATCCGTGTTCGACCGTGTATTGAGTCGGGTCTCGGAGAAGGTCAATCTGACCTTATCTTTCATTGGATCGTAAGTGTGAAGTCGGATTCCCGCCTTGCATGGTCTCGGCGCTTTTCGACGACTGCGCCTGATGCGCTTGAACAGCATCGACTCGTCGGAGCCCGATTTCGGCGTAACTTGCAAGCATGGCCCAGACGAGTGCGCGGGCAACGTGCATGAGCTATGCGCTATGAAGCATGCATCCGCGCTTCAATTCTGGGAGTTTGTCCAATGCGAGAATTACCAGGGACGAGACAAGATTGGTCTGCCTGAGACCGCCTTGCAATGCGCCAAAACTGCGAACATTGACTGGGAGGACAGTGGAGTAGGCGCCTGCGCAGGTCTTGACGGGAGCGGGAAAGCAGCGGAAGGGGTGCAGCTCCTACAGGACAGTGTCAAGGCAAGCCAGGCGATGGGCATCAAGTGAGCATCATCGAAGTGCACGATTGTGTTTGCTGAGTCGAATGAACCTGCAGGAACAGCTGTACCGTTCTGATCAATGGCAAACAAGTCTGCATTCACGACGGTACATGGAAGGAATGCGAGGTACGAAGCACATCATGATATTCCATGACTATTTGTGCTCAGGAGTGCCCCAGAACGGTCATACGGCCCACGACTTCATCAGACAAATCAATGAGGAGTATCAGAAGCTCAACGAGGACAGCAACAGCGACGGCGAAGACTGAGTAGTACCGGTATTGTTTGACGAACATATGGCGGATAGGGAACGCTATGTATTTGCACATTCAGTAACCCAGTATGAGTTCGTATACAATGATGACCAAATTCAGTCCAATGAGAGGTACTGCATATTTTCAGTTCGAGGTATTCTCTGATCGTTTGGACCGATACTCACTTCGCATCAATGTCCGTACCGCGCTGATAAGATTGATGAGCCGGGCTTTCATGGACACCTCCTGTCCACTTTGATATCCTGGCTGGTCATATGCGGCGGCATATGGCTGGGAAAATCCTGCAGCTACTGTTTGAGGTTGTGTTGATGACCAGCCGACTGGGACAAGTGGTTTGAGCTGCCGAACCCCGATGGCGACGTACATCACGTACTGCGCGCTAAAAAGCGGTCCTCACTGAGGACAGCCATGGCGTTGATGAGGAGAACAGCGACATAGAGAATCGTGCCGAGAGTCAAAGCCATGAGTCGCAGTGTCTACGAGATGTAGTACCAGAGACGTGTCCTCGCGATCGAGCGCGTCCCTACTACGCGTGCCGTGGGAACTTGGATGTGTATTCTCGGTCGCGGCTTTGGCACCGGCGTCTTCAGCAGTTCAGCTCCTCACATTTGGACCATGCAGTCTTTGGGAATCGGTTTGCGGCGTGGTGCGGACAGGATCTATCGCGCATTACAGCACGACTTGAGCTATTTACAGTGACAACCAGTCTGAGGACCGTGCAATCCCATCATGTCGCGAACAGTTCTCGAGTCCTGCTTTGGGAGGCTCGTCGATGGTACGCCTTCCATAATCCGTTCTGCGGTATGCATACAACCGATTGCAATTTCAGCATGGCTGGAGCCAATTGGATAGTATCCAATCTCAAACCTCAGCTCCGCAAGGACAATACCCCAAAGGAGCTTGCTGCTGCTAAGAAGGCAGTGGCAAAGCAGGGGCTCCTGAGCCCTTTTGAGTCTCTACCAGAGATTGCGGAGGGAGCTGTGTCGCCAAAGAAAAAGAAGAAATATACAGAGGTTTGTAGTCCGTCCTGGTGCTACTGCGGTCCCTCTTGACGACTGGCTCGGCATACAGCACAAGTATTCGACGGCAAATTTCAAGATCTCACATCGCAAGCTCAACCAACTGGGAAGACAGATCGCTGGAAAGCCCATCGATGCCGCTATCTTGCAAATGCAGTTCAGCGAGAAGCGTGCTAGTAAGCGTATCAAGAGCATGTTGGCTGTTGCCAAGGATCACGCGACAAAACTGAAAGGGCTTGATGAGAAGAAGCTCATCGTAGGTGCGTAGCCGTGTCCTCCAGGCTCAATGGATCGAAATGTTAATGATAAATCCCACTATGCCAGCGGAAGCCTGGGTGTCGAAGGGTCCAAAAGTTCTCAAGCGCTTGGAAACAAAAGCACGAGGCAGATTTGGTATCAGAGAACATCCAGACTCAAGGATGCATGTTGTTCTCAAGGAGGGCAAGACGAGACTGCAGCTAGCTGAGGAGGAACGGGCTAGGAAGCTGCGGAGGATTGTGTCGGCGGGGGTCACGAGAGAAGACGTTCCTCTCCGGAATCCCAGCTCTTCGTGGCAGTGGTAGAGCAGATCTGTCTCCATTCTACCTACATGGATGATTTATCCGTTCCATTGCTTCGCTCAACTTTTGTGGCTTGTGGGTGTCGACAACCGTGATGCAACTACTATATATAGACTGCCGTGATCTCCGATCGCGTACCACGTCTGCAGCTGCGCAAGCAGCGTGTTCTGACAACGACACCATGGTCCGCCGTTGGCGATGCCGACTTTCGCTCCTCCTCTCCGGTCTGCTGTCCTTAGGCTTTGCTTCTGCTGAAAACTCGTTCGAAAATACTGCCATTGTGCGAACTGTAGAGCTCGGAGGATCGCTCGTGCAAGTGTCTACGACATACGCAGTGAAAGCGTTGGAGGATGACGCGAGACTGTATAAATTGGCCCTCGGGAAGAGAGAGCATGAGAGGACAAGCTGGCTAGAGGCGAGGATCAAGGGTCAGGCTGCCACACTGCCTCTGGAGGATGCGGGATATGACCCTGAGAGGTACGCTGCACGTCATAAGTGGCGGACTCGTCAACGCTGACTCCGCGCAAGTGGTATATATTTCTACTCAGTAGAGCTGCCTACGCCTTTGAAGATGAACGAGACCGCAAATGTGGTCGTGGACACTGTTGAGACGCATGCCACATATCCCTGGCCAGAGCAGGCGTCGCAAAAGGACGGTCAATCGTTGAAGTCTGAGCGAGAGCTGTTTGTCCTTAGCCCGTATGCAACTGCTGTGGAGAGGATCAAGTTCAGGTGTGTTGGGCGCGCCATGCTGGTGACGCGACGGCTGATGCATATGCCAGGTCTCCCTCGCCCACCGTCCATTCGTACACGGACCCGGGCAATATGGACGAGTTCACCATGGAGGCACCAGTGACAAAGTCGGGTGCTACAATCACATATGGGCCGTACCACAATGTCCCGGTGACTGCTTCTAAAGAGTTCCTTCAGAACAAGCAGAAGACCGTCGCCGTGCATTACAGTTACGAGTCTCCAGTCCTTGAGGTTACTGAGTATCATCGGGCGGCTGAGATCAGCCATTGGGGTGCAAACCTGAATATCGAGGACAAGATCAGTCTGCACAATGCCGGGCCCAGGTACGTTGCGCATGGCCGGTTCATCTTGGCTCGTTCTGATCCCTTCCATATTGATTCAGTCTGAAGGGACACTTCTCGCGGCTTGAATATCAAGCTTCGAACTTCTACGGGCGTCCTCCCCCCCATATCATCCCGGGCTTGAGTTTGCAGCTGCCCGCTGGCATTCATTCGGCATACTACTATGACCTTATCGGCAATGTTTCCACATCCCGACTGCGCACCGCGCTCTCTCCAATCAAAGGCATGCAGAGCAATCAATTCAGTCTGCTGGAGCTCCGTCCTCGCTATCCCCTCATGGGTGGCTGGAACTACAGCTTCACGCTTGGCTGGGACTCCCCATTGGAGGATTATGCGGGGTATGACCAAACTACCGGCAATTATGTGGTCGCCATCCCTCTCATGACCGTGTTCCCCGGTGCGGTCGTGGACGAGGCTGAGATCAAGATCATTATGCCCGAGGGCGCTACGTCAGTCTGGATCGTGCCTCCGAGTGGTTCGGCGCTAATTCGTAGTATGTAGGGACGTCGACTTCTTCCCTCCTTTGTCTCCTATCGAGAGCTACGTCGTGACCCATGTCACCTATCTTGACACAGTAGGCCGACCTGCCGTGGTTCTCAAGTACAGACAGCTCACTCCCAGGCACGCTGGCACGATCTACGTGAGTGCTTTGGGCTGAGGACTCACTGACGATCGTCCTAACTGAAAGATACAGGTTACGTACAAAGTACCTCTCTCGGCCCACTTGAAGAAGCCAATGGCCGTTGCAGCTGCGTTCATGGGACTTTTCGTGCTAGGGTTCGTGATAAAACGCATGGATATCCGGATCCAAAAGAAATAGCCTACCGGTGATGTTGTAATCCTTTGAACGGCATGATACTATTTGGTGCTTGCATAGCACTCCCACTGCTGAATGTGACGAAGTGAGATATCAGATCATCTGTAACAAATTGTCCCCAAGGAGAGTGATACGCACTGAGCGAACGTCGCAAGTAGCTTATTCCCTGATCCTGTGCATGAATACGACACTCCGATCATCGTCGTGAGTAGAAGAAGCTGTCGTCGCACTTTGCAGCATGTTTTGCATGGTTCTGGACTTCATGGCGCTAGAATAATCCTTCATGTCACTCTTCAAGTTCTCGGCTAACGATACGTGCTATTTCCAGAATTATCGCGCCTCTCCGACGAGGATTTCGTCCATGTGTTCCTTTGTACGCGGGAACGACGTCAATTATGACCCATGGCATGATGGCATGACTGATAGTGCAATGGTTCCAATATGACGGGGTGGTACTGTCAAGTTCGGGTATTCTCCATCTAGCGGTTTCAGCGCAGCCCGCCCGCAGCCCGCCCGAATGAGCAGGCGAGGAACGCGATCCAGTGCGATACCATCAATAACAAATTCACAGCTAGTCAGTGAACAGTATTGATAGGCGTACCAACGAACATTTCACGACAACAGAAGCGCAGAAATCTTGACGTGAGAAATAACGGCACAGATGGTACATTGTCTGCATGTAGATGTCTCAGACGGGCCGCACATTGTCCCCGAACGCTATCCCATACTTGTTCGGGCCGAATGGTCTTGCCTGACAGCTTCGTCTGGCGTGCTCCAGGCAGGCGCGCAATCATACCGTGAAACCCGCGAGGGCGTCAATGCTGCGCCTGAAGCACGGTACTTAACGGCAGAACTCGCCAGGGATGCTTCGGAGGAGCAATTCCGACACGATCAGTACGTGAAGGCTTCCGTATACGGCTAGATGAGCAATGTTCTGCACGATGCATTGTCTTGCTTCTAGCCGATAGCGGATCGTTAGCGTGCACGTTTGCGGCAGGCAAAGTCCACAGACGCGGGAGGATGCGCACATGCGGGTCTTGGAAGTCGCCAGGCCGTGTCCAGCCTCCGCTGCGAAGTGGTCTCACACCCAGACGATCTGTGGGCGCCGCTTTGGAGCACGAAACAAACAGAGACGTGCGTCGTCTGGGTACGAGACCAAGACGCCTCCTTTACCATCCCGCGTTATGGCTGGAAGCATTGGAATACATGTCCGTTAATGTCTACCTACTGGTGTGGATGCGTGGTGTGATTTCCCTGACAATTGTCGACCAGATCATCTTTTCTCGAATTGGGCCGCTTTTTTCTTGCTGCACCATCTGCACGGATCTGCGCACAGCACGTCCAGTAATGCTTGATGGATATTCATGAGAAATCCTGGGAGGATAAGCGTCTGTCGCTTGTATCTGAAAGACAAAGGTCGATCTCCGCACTCCCATACCTTCTCCGCCTGTGACATTGCCGATTGCAACTTCGGGTGCAGACGCTGTGAAATTGATACTGTACGTTCCGGAGGTTGATGGGAAGCCTGAGACCCCTGGGACGCAAAGTCTAGCTCCTCTGGTGAACGACTGTTGACTTGGGGCGATTAATACGCGTGAGTTCGCGTGCCGCTTTGATGTCGGGCAAACAGCTCACAATAACACGCTTGTGGCGCTGGGTCACGAGGTGCCACAATTTGAACAATATCATTGATGACGGGCCACCGGCCACCATGTGCCAACCTGCGCTTATTTCTATGCTAGAGCCTTGATATATATGCCCCCGTTCATGCCTCTCTGTACATAGCATTCATTCCTCAACTGTTATGGACAAGTTCGTCACTGTCGTCAAACCTTCCGTCGGCCCTGCAAGATCGCAAGTAGAGAAGCGAAAATCCTCAACGTATCGATACAATCCGTACGACATCCATAATGAGCCAGACAGAAGAGTCAACGGCAAAAGCACGAAGGAGAAAACTAAAGAGTGGGTATCATGATACTACTCCGACAATGGTGTTCTTGACAATGTGCAGGTTCGTCGCGCCTCTATTGAAGGACGGTGCAAAACCATCATCGGCTGCCCTGACGAAACATCTGCTGAGCACCCTGACGGACAGCAACAACCCAATTACTCACTCGGACATCTATGAACGCTCAGGTCGGTCCCAGAGTCTTCGCTTGCTTGAGGTTGTTCATCTCATGTACTGGCTATGCTAGATCATATTTCGTCCGCAGCATCTGGTCATCAGCGCTCTGAACGTCGTATGAATCAAAAAACCTACTGGGACTCGAGGAAGGAGAAGCTTGCTCAGCAATTACCGGAGAAGCCCATGGCACGCGAATGCAACGTCTTGCGCAATGTCCGTGTTTACATCGACGGGTACTTGGCTGGCACAACGGACATCGAGATGAAGCGCATAGTTACCTTGGCCGGTGGACGAGTTCTGTAAGTGGCGTGTGGCCTGTATGGATGTGCAGTATGGGTTGACCGAGATGAAACTGTCAAGGTATACCGCATCAGGGGCCACGCACATCCTCACCTCGCAGCAGTTGAGCGGGTCTAAGACGCATAAGCTGTTGACAACTCGTAAAAGAGTGAAGGCACATGTAGTAAAGCCGGAGTGGATAACGGACAGCATCCAGGCTGGGAGGCGACTACCAGAACGCGAATACTCTGCGATCAAAGATATGACCTGCAAGAACCTCTTTGATATGTTTCAGGCACAAGGGTCGACGCAAACAATTGACGGTCCAAAAGAGTGTTGATTTATCGCTAATTAAATTGGACTTCACTGGTTGTGTTGAAATGCTTCTACGCTGCGATACTTCGAGCGGACGTTTTAGTCGTATGCGGGCTGTTGGCAATACAGACTCAGATGTGCTATTCGAAAGTCGAATTCTGTGCGACAATGGTGCTGCTTCTCAGATATAAGGCGAATAAACACAGGTATAGCCGACAATTAATTGAAGGCTGAACGTTGAACGTTGACGTTGCAAGTTGAACCTGCAGGCGACACGGTGTATGATATAGAGTCTGAGCACGTTGCGCGACGTTGTCCACTGGCGCCCACCAACTTAGTGACCTACCATAAATGGCATGCGTCTGCTTACGTGATGCCCTACGTATTGATACTTATAGCCCCTGGGTGCATTGATTGAAAGTCATAGTCTTGTCGGTGCATACTCCTTGGGTTTACTCTACCTCTATCTCTAGTTTGATACCACTCTCCTTTCCCAGCCACAGTAATCGATACAACTATTAACTCCCGACAATGCATCTGCCGTTCACGCCTAACCACGTCCACCTCATCTCAGCCTGCTACCCACCATCCGCAGCCCTCCCCAGCGCTGGCCCCGAATACCTGCCCAATTCTCAAGAACTGTCTCGTCTGACATACTATGCGTCCAATCGGTCTGGGAAAATAAACAAAGTAGCCAGTGAGCTCGAGAAACGGGTGAGGACGGATTGCCGTAAGGCACAGGGAGGCAACATTCGTTGTCGCGCGTACGTTTCCTGCTTCTTCCTGCATAACGAGAAACGGGAGAGTAATTATTTACAGATCACTCCTTATTACTCTGTACATATTTAAAGCGCTAGCGAACGAATGCCGGCGTGATATCTCTCTCCTCACCGGGTCCCTCCTCTCCGCGGTCAACATCACCTTGTCCGGGCTGCTATCAGACTTGGAAGCGGCAGCAAGAGCGGCAACCGTGGTACGTTTCACGTAGGTTATCAGGAAACGACCCATGGTGATGCTGCCACAGTTCACGGCATGGACGACGTATACGGATGGCCATCTCATCGGCGTGGATAGAAATGTCACCCAAAACTACATGTCCTGCCTTCAACATTTCGCCTCCATGGCCATGAAGCAGATAGATGATCGGGAAAACAGAAACCGGTATGTGCCTTCCAAGGTGCCTTGGGGATTTTGCTCACAGACTCGCAGTACGCGTCTCCTGGGCCTGACCTCTCTCACAGCTGTCGTTCATTCGGAGGCTTTGTTTCACCAATCTACTCAATTTAATCTCCAAGTCTCCACCATTATGCCGGCTTTGCTCACATCAATACTAGAAGTAGATCTTGCTACATTGAATTTTGAGTATGTGTTTACTCGATTTTCGACGAAACGCGGTGCTAACTGTCCACGACAGGGCCGGCCGAATCAATGAAGAACCAAAATTTGCATTCCTGGACGATTTTCGAACGAGACCAGCGCTCGAAAGACGCGCTGCATCTATCCATCTCCACGTTGATGGGGAGAACGGTCCATCATCCGCGGACGTGGTGAACACATCCCTTCACGCGCTGTCGTCCCTGTTCGCCCATTCGGTAGGCATCCAAGCCTCTGTTCTCATGTCAGCTGTGCTGGCCTTCTTTGATGACTCTGGAGGATGGAGTGCGGACCAACACTGCCGCTGGATTGCTGCGAAAGCAGCTGAATGGACACAGTATCAGTACCGATACGCCGTGCCAACCCGATTGGTCGAATGTTTAGTCGAAGGACAGGACGTGGCGGAGCCTACCGTTCGGCATATTACACTTGCGGCAATGATTACCATGGTGTTCACCTCCCGGACTCCCCTGGTGAACTTATCGACATCAGATATGATTTCGAGCCTCATCTCACTGATATTCCGACGGGTGTCCATCAACGTCGATGACCCCCTGCTTCCTATGATAGTCGAGTGCATTGCGTCGTTGGGCACGCATGTCTACTACGCTGACCAAATACAAGACCTCGCTGGCGACGTGATCGGCCGTATTATACTTGTCGAATCAAGCGGGGTTCCTGGCATTGGGAAGAGCGATAGCGAGCGGGCTCGCTCACAAGCACTACGATGCCTGCTAGCTTGCTTGCTGGGACTCATGCATTCCGCGGATTTGCACGAAGACTCAAACGAGGATGTCATGGCTCCGGAATCCCAGACGGGAGGCACGGGCGCTGAGTTGCCTGCACCGCGCGAAATGCATGTCCGCCCGTCACGACGGACGAAGATCTCCCCAGAGATGTGGCATGATACATTAGTGCTGCTCTGCGACCGTGACTACGCCGTACGAGCAGACTACGCCACCGCATTGATCTCCTACTTGCAGAAGGAGATACTCAAGCTGGGTGGCGATAACACGGACGCGGATGGCATCAAACGCCCTCGACCACTGGCGGAGAGTCCATCGGAACAAGCAAGCAATATGATCGCCATGACTTACGGCGACGCTACGACCCGCTTCCTCAATGCATTACACGCGTACCTATATATCCTTGCCACATCTTCAAACATGAGCTTGTACTGCGCCGAGCCTTTGACATCGGAGCCTTCGATAATCGGCTTAGGCTCTGGCAATCAGGAGGAGGGCGCGGCCGCTCATGAACAGGAGCAACCTCGGTCGCAAAGCAGGCGTTCGACGACAGTGTCTCCGCGCTCGCGGAAGGCGTCTATCGTACTGCGTGCTATTCAGAACATGCCAAAGACACTGTCTGAGTCCGCCCCTCCTGCTGCATCATGGTCCGACTATGGCAATATTTTGGCCGTGCTCGTCACGATGCAGGAGAGCCTGCCAATCCGCGGGTTGCTGATAGGCGTCCCGATGCTGTTGGTTCTGGGCGAGGTGTTCCAGTCCGCAGACCTCGGATCCGCTACGGCGGCCCACAATCACGCCGCCCAGCAGATTGTTGCCAGGGTGTGGTCGGCGATTGGGAGAGTGTGGAGTTGCGCGGAAGTCGTGCAGCGAGCCGATGAGGTAGGAGTTACCGTATTTGCGAACTCGTGCGAGGTTTGAAGTGTTCATGATGCAGGTCGTCGCTGATATTCCATCCAACTCGCTTTTGCCGAGTCCTCCTCCTTTGAAGTCGGGCACTCTACCTCTGCCGCAACATCCCGTTCCAATTCCATCTTTAATGGATTCGCTCCCTGTTCTCGATCAAAAATCGATATGCAGATCCCTTGCGTCTAGTCAGAACGTGGTTGAAATGATCGGCCTGGATTCAGAGGCCTTGTTTCGCCACTTGACTGCTCCTTGGAACGCGGAGAATGCCTTCAAGGATTGTAAGTCCTTCCATCGGCCAGGTCTGCAGTAGAGCTCATCCCAATCTCGAAACAGCGATAGAAGCGAACACGAGCTATGAGTCGCTCACACGAGACGGCCTGTCGCCCTTGGTCAAAGTTGCGCCAACGCTGATGCACATCGACAACGTCTCTATGCAGAGCCTCGCGCGCTCAGCACGTGGCGTAGGAGTCACCGACTTGCGAGACGCTCTCGAAGGGCGCAGCAGCATCTCGAACCCGAACCTCACCAACAGAGCTCCTTCGATTTCTACTCTCGACCACGCCTCAACGTCCGCACATCCGGACGGAATGCATAAATTAACGCCGGTGAAGTCGCGCCCGCAGCGTAGCAAGCTCGCTGGCCCTGGCGAAGTCCGCGACGTGCTCAACAAGCTGGGGATCGGCAAACAGCACGGCGCAACTCATTTGAAGTCATCCTTTCCCACGCTGCAGAAGGCCGAATCACGGTAAGTTCATGACAATTGTAGGTTGAGGACGTAGACTGACAGCGTTTTCCAGGACGGCTTTTACACCGCCGTACAAAGCCTAAACATTGCATATTGCTCTTACTCTAGTAACATGCTATTCGATCTTGATGTCCGCGTTCCTCTGACTAAGCTAGATGGTTCCACTCTTTGATTTCTCAGGACAGTCTATGGACTAGTATCCATATCCATGTATCTATGCAGCTGTATCAGTGACACCCTACCATTAGGTCACAGTTTATAATACTCGTTATATTTCCCATCGTAACGAGTATTATCTGAGGGCCTATCGTTGCCTGTGCGTAGAGGCGACGCGTCTCCGCGCCTCCTCCTCTCTTCCTCGCCAATAAGCTATCTCACTTTGTGCCTTTGGGTGACTCGTGGGGCCGCGCTGTGGACGAGCGTCAGCCTGCGCAAATCAGGGAAGACACAAAAGGCTTACACTCAGTCCCTGCAGCAGCACTTCGTACAATGTTGACTGTGATGAAGCTTTCCGGACAGCATCACCCATCTTGTCCGTGTGGGTGGCAATGAGCTTGGTGAGCTCTTGCCGCAGCCGCAGTAGGCTGTACAAACCGTTAAACATGACTTTACAATGTCGATGATGGGCTTACTTTGAAAAGATCATTGTCTCTTCCGGCTGTTCGGTTAACGCTATGAAAGAATTGAAAGTCACAGCATAACGGCGGCAGATCTACGTTCAACTGAGCACCGAAATGTGTATCAATAGTATGTGGCATGTCTTACGTTGGATACGGCGGTATCGGTCGTAACGACACCTCTACGGAAGTATCCGGACGTCGCTCCGTCCGCCAGCTTCTTCACAGAATCGATGTGCTCGGCCATCAACTTCTGGAAGACGGGCCACATCTGCAGCCGGATCGTGAAGATGAAAGTTTCGAGTGGGCTGCAGTTTCGCTTCTGGACTTCTTTCATGACGTCTTCTGTCATACGGATCATTGTGAGCAGTGGGATGACAGGTGGCGCTGGCTCGAGGATAGAGTTGATGAATGTCTGGCATGGATGAAGGGTGAGCGTCCTTCGTTGCGCATTGGAGAATGGCCTAACCTGACAATACTCCAGCACCGGATCCATGATCTGCTTCCAGATAGCATGCAATGCAGCTTCGTCTTCCTTCGTAGAGCTATCTCCTGCAGCGGCCGACATCACGCTGGCGATGCTATTGACGCGTTGAAGAGGGGTGAGGTTGAGCTCGGAGTCCGCGTTAGACAAGGTGTCATCGTAGTCACCGGCCATTGGAAACAGGAGTGACGTGGGAGACTGCAAGGAAACACTCGACTGCTTGGAATGCATGGTATGCCCATGTTCCTGTGCGAAAAAGTTGTTGACGAAAGTGAACTCTGCGGTCGCGTTGTCCATGAGGACCAGTAGCATCGAGCGCAGCAACGCTTCGATGGGCTCTTGCTGTACTACGGTGAGCATCGTGCTGATACGGCACAGCAACAAAAACTTACATATGTCTTGTCCTCGGCCAAGTACGTAAGAGCGACTCCTGGCCCATCTATCCGAGCATATGCAAGCCTATCAACTTGGGTTTCCATATCTTCCGGATCTTCACCAACATTTGAAGCAATCGGTTCTGTCTTCTCGACTATTCTCGCCTGGAGCATGAGCCGTGAGCGGGGCATCAATACCGATAAACAAGTATTGACGTCACCTTGAGGTATCCTAGACTACGTATATACCGCCGGAATCCAGTTTCATAATAGGTACGCGCAGAACCAACGTAAGCTCTTTGTACTTCGCTCGCTACGCTAGTAGCATGCCGCTGGAGGAAGACGAAGAGGGGCCTATATTTCATGAATACAGACGTCTGCAAAACTTGCATGTTCGTGGTCATGCTGGCTCGTATAGGTTGTAGGAGAGAGAGGAAAAATGTGCGTAATTTGGTGGCTGCCTGTGGTTTGGGACGAGTATTTATAACGTACATCCATAAGACATAGGCCGAACAGACTTACGACAATCCGGAGTCCTTCCGCTACTTCAGCGAGATCTCTGGCAGCCTTGACTCTCGACCTGATCTTCAGGGCGTCCAACTTGCGCTCAAACTCGCCAATTGCAGAAATCCAGGGCTCGCCAACAGGCGTGTCCAGGATCAGTGTCGTCACTTGCGGTGGAATGCATAAGTCAACAAGCAGACTTGAGAGCGGCTTCTCAATCCTCTACAGCGTGGATGAGATACTAGCTTTCCATGTTGTCGAGTCCGACGCACTCACTTTGCGACTCTTCAACCTATTCTCAATGTCTCGACTGCGATCCTGCAGCGTAGATATTTGCCCGGAGACTGCAGACAGATCTTTCTGGAACGTGGAAAGAAATTGCTCCAGAGAATCAAGCAAGTTCACGCTGGCCTGAACAGAAGGCAGAGATTAGTCGCCACTAGAAGACAGTCACGCAGAGGTCCTGTTACTTGAACCTGATCGTGCAGGTCAACGAATTCTTGCGCACGTCCGCCATCTTCTGGCATCATCGTTAGTGTGCTCCTGTATGCGGATATATGCGTGCGGATGTCCTCACAAGGAAAGCTATTGCTCTGAGAAGAGATACTCTGCAAGTCGACCTGCGACTTCTCGGTAGATGCAGCTAAATCTGCTGTTCGCCGGTCAATCAGACAGCGGAAGGGGAATAGTAGTTCTTACCATTTGCGCTCATTTTTCAATATATAAACAAGCGACTTTTCCGAGTAGCATTCACAAAACAGGATATTGGAGCCTCGACAGCTAGCTGCGAAGGATGTGGCCGGTGGCGGTGACGGTCCAAGTCCATTAACGCCCGGCGATCGAAATGGCCGCGTGCCAAACTCATCTGTAGCTACGCTCCGCAAGCTGAAGGACATCGATGCCCCTAGCGAACAGTCCAACAATAAATTCACTATCATCGAATCAATGCTGGAACAACTGCCACCTACTGCTCCTAGTACTCACATTATCATAATCAACTTTCTGACAGACCATGTACAGGACGATCCGGGTGCTACTGGCAGGCTGACGCCGGCTACTGGATGTATATAGCAGTGACCGATAAATACCAGCATGTGCAGACCCGCTGGCAGCATGCGTCAGGTTTTCGATATCAGCATCCGCTCAAGAAGATTTTTCAGTACACCGATACTTTGATGCCTCGAGACTGAAGTGCAATGGAGACTTCATGATGCAGATCCTACAAAGGGATGCACTAATAACTATTGCGTGGCACGAGCGCCGATAATAATCCGTGTATGTGAAGTCCGCGGGAAGACAATATTACAATGCGACGACGACATAAGCTAGCCACTACGACAATGGGTTGAGGGCGTTCTGCAAAGAGTAACTAGTTTCAGAAATAGGAATGTACTGATCGCGAGGCAGGATTTCCTGCAGCTCAAGTTCGTCCTCGCTCTCAGCACCAAGGACGACACACTGACTCCAGTCAAAGTGAGAATAGTTGGTCAACGAGACCCGTGCTGCATCTGCCAGGTCAGGGCGCGTCAATCCAAGCAGTCGAATCCACCGCTTGCTGACCATCCACTGCGCGATGCCCACGGGAGGAGTGACGACGCCGTCCTTCCAGGGACCGATGCGGCGTTCCCGACGCCCGGACCCGCGCTTTGGCTTCGTGCTCTTGCCTGCCTGGTCCTCCGCGTCGAGAGTCGCGTAGAATCGTTGCAAGCGCAGGCTGCGCCACGGGAGACCTCGGATCTGCAGCACTTGCCCTTTGCCACAGACTTGGCCTGTCGCAGGATCGATGTCGTCCTCCTCATCAGATTCTTCGGATGACATGCATTCCTGCTGCAGGGCACTGTCGAAGGTCTGATGTGAGAAGATGGCCAGCTTCTCTCGTGCCTCAATGCGGTTAGCCAACTTCTGCAAAAGGCAATAAACTCCAGCGGACAGGAATCAATAAATTGAAAGAACGCACCAGCTTCTTCCGGCCAAGCCTTCGAGATTTCTTCGCCTTCTGATTTTCCCTTTGCTTCAGGTGCGATGCGGCCGCTGAATCCTGTTGTGCCTTGAACTTCTGACGTAAAGTCGTGAACGCCTGATCGAACACGGAATCCAGGTTCTTCTTCGTGAAGTCCTTCTCTGGTACCAACTCGTAAAGATTGCGGTTAGCCTTGAGGTCGGCGATAACCCACTTCTTCATCTCCGCATTATGTGAGGACTGCTTAGGTGTCTTAGACCAGACGAAGCGCACAGGTTCCTCTGGACCCAGACGCTGACTTTCCTTGTGACTGCTCGGAAGCTCCTTGTCATTGTCGAGCTTCATCATGCGCAAGAGATGAGTGCGCATGGCATGCTGTCAGAATGATAGTCAGCGCGAGGTCCTGATTACCCTAGCAGGCACGTACATGAATGGTCAGACAGCGTCCGTCATGCCCATTGGTGCGCTTACGAGAACGCCTGTCAGCGTGCGCCCTCGAACTATCGCTATCTTCGCCGTCGCAGTCCTCGTTCCCATTGCCTCCCAATGCAGAAATGGCTCGTTTGTGATGCGAAGGCATAATAGACCGTTCCTCAACGGTAGGCTCAGATGGCTGAGACACGGGAGTGGCTGGTGTGAGGAGTTGAAGGGGAGAATGTCGGATATCGTCTGGAATCTGCAGGACGTTATGTATAGTTATTTGCGGTGTCAGAGGTTGCGAGGAGGGTCCTTCAATATATGTCCGCGACCTGTAGTCCCCAGGTCTCTGGAGCAGATAGTTGGGTTCTGCTGGTGATGATATGCTGCTTGAGTACGATGGTGCGCGAAGATCGATCTCAGGTGGTCGCGGAGTGTGATACTGATGAGCTATCTGTAACTGGGGAGAGCTGGAATTGAGAGCGGGACTGTTATTGCATGATGATAATGGCGTAAGGGGCGACACGGGTAACGGTGTTGTGCGATTCTCCATGACAGGGGTCCTTGGAGCAGGTAAAGGATCACGGACAAACTCTGCAGCTCCTGGCAGTCTTCTCACTTGAGGCGAACGAACGTTTGTTGGAAAGGCAGGTATTCCGGGCACGTCTGGACCAGCAATCCGTCCGAGACGTGCGTCTGCTGATTGCAGGCCTTGCTCGGGAGATTGCGCAGACGCCGCGTGCAAGCTGAACGAGGCTTTCAACAACGACAACTCCTGCCGCATCTCCCACATCTGTTTCTCCATCTCCGCTTGCTGTTGAACGATCCTTTCCTCTTGCTCTTGTTCCCATGCTCTCCGACGCTTGTGCTCAAGCTCAATGGCATCCCTGTTCGCATGTAGAACACGCAGAATTTCATGCAGCGGGTTTACTGGACGTGAAACAGATGCACATGACCTTCAAGTGATGAGTATCAGCAAAACGGCATTCAAATATGGCCACACTCACTGCTGGTCTGGTGGTTGCGGAGGCCTTGGAGGAGGTTCTAATACAGCAAGTTCCAGCTCGCTTCGTGCGTACGGTCGGTGCTGCACCTCGATGACGGGCGTTGCGACGCTCTGCGGCGAACGCACATATGCAGGTCTATGCCGACGAGTTGGGACGACGTTCGGATTGAGTGCATTGGAGAGCTCGCTGGACATGGCCACAGCCGCGCCATGCGAGAGTCGAGAGAGTTCAAGCGAGATTCAGCCCCGATTCCGATCAGACGCAAGCAAGCGCCCGTCACGTGCATCTGCCTGTAATTGCGAGACGCGAGACGCGTCAGCTTCAGCTTTGCCTTAGCCCTACCAGCCACCGTCACGCATCCCCGAACACCAACATGCAGACAGACATGGAGCAGCTTCTTCAGCAGGCGGGAGGGCGCGGAGGAGGACATGAAGCTACCGTGCCAGACAAGTGCGCGTTCAGAACAGCTCTATGTGTCGTAAGTTCTAACATTAGTGTTCATTCAGCGGAGAGACCATCCATATTTCCTCGCTTGCACTTCTAAAGGTACGTAGACTAGATGGCATGTCAGAACATTCCTTCTGAAGCTCGTTGCATGACGCAGATGCTCAAGCATGGCCGAGCAGGTGTTCCTATGGAGGTCATGGGACTGATGCTTGGAGAGTTTGTGGATGAATACACTGTCCAGGTAGTCGACGTGTTTGCCATGCCGCAGTCAGGAACATCAGTGTCCGTCGAGTCAGTTGACCACGTATTCCAGGCCAGGATGGTTGATATGTTGAAGCAAACAGGGAGGCACGTACCATTTGCATGCATCCGAGACTGATCTCATGATTGTGCGTGAAGGTCCGAGATGGTGGTCGGGTGGTACCACTCACACCCAGGTTTCGGATGTTGGCTTTCCAGCGTTGACATCAATACACAGCAGGTGAGGCCGTCTGTAATACCGGCCGCCCTTCAAACTGACGACCTGTTGTGTAGTCGTTCGAGCAGATAGATACTCGCTGCATCGCCGTTGTCGTTGATCCGATACAATCGGTCAAGGGCAAGGTCGTCATCGATGCCTTCCGTCTGATTAATCCCGCCACCGTCCTACAGGGCCAGGAGCCACGGCAGACAACATCCAACATTGGTCACATCAACAAACCCTCAATACAGGCGCTTATTCACGGCCTGAATCGCCACTATTACTCAATTGCCGTCAAGTACCGTAAGACAGATCTCGAGCAGGCCATGCTCATGAATCTGCACAAGCGTAATTGGACAGAAGGGCTTACATTGCGTGACTTCAAGTCGCACAAGGAGGCAAACGAGAAGGCGATCAAGGTGCGTGGGACATTCAGATGACTACGGACATCCCTGTGAACGATATCTCGCTGTAGTCAATGCTCTCCTTATCAGAGGCCTACAACAAGTCCGTGCAAGAAGAATCCACATTAACGCCTGATCAGCTGAAGACACGGCACGTGGGCAAGCAAGATCCTAAACGGCACTTGGAGGAGCAGGTGGAGAAAGCTATGGGAGACCAGGTCGTTCAAAATCTTGGCACAATGCTTCTCGCTGAGCTGTAGAATGTTGCTCCTATCCATATCCCACGCTTTCTTTTGCGCGTCGCGACCGGCACTGGTGACCGCTACTCAGGTGTCCCATCGATAGTGAGGGCAGAGCTCACGACGGCAAGTCCCAGGTCTCATGGTACAGAGGACTTTGAATGGTTGTATTTTGTAGTGCGCGAGGTCGCGGTACCATATCAATGTTGTTGTACCCCCATAAGCTTTAGTACTTCGCGCTTGGGTCCGCTTGGATGGTCGTCGACTCCGGTCCCTTCAAATCTTCCATTTGAAGGTCTCGCCGGTATAACATGACTATATTTCACCGCGTGCGCCACGGCTTGGCAATGGCAATGACCAGCAGCGACACTACCTAACGTGGGCAGCTCTGAACCGATGCTTCTGGGAACGAACGAAACTTATGTCAGGTGTGCAAGCATAGCACCTCCGCTGTTTGATCACACCTTCTGACTCGAGGAACTCCTCACTTGGCTATAGCTGTAAGTATATCCGCTGACTGATGCTCGACTCGTGTGACGCACATTGCTATATCTGATGGCGCCGAATGTCTTATTGATTTCGTCCGTTAGGCCTGCGAGAAGCTGCCTTTGGTGTGAGAGCTTGCCTGAACGCAATTGCGTGGCGAGCACTCTCGGCCCCCGTACGACTGACACCTTGATTGCTGCACTAAATACACACTGGTTAGACTGCCTAGACAAACACCTTTCTTTACCGCCTCGCTGCAGATGCTGTCATAGCAGTAGATTCGACGAGGAGCGGGTCATTGCCGAAACGCCCATCATCAACTTCCCCGAGAATGAACATGAGCTTCACGGGCAGTCGTTGGAGAAGAAGTATCTGCACGATGGATTACTGTGAGCATTATCTACCTTTTTCTAGTTGTCGATGGATTAAAGAGGCTACTGCCACTGCGCTACAATGTGGCTCCGCGGTTCGCGCAGCGCTTGTATGTACTTCCGCGTGGAGACCCGAGTTTCTGCTAGAACCGGTACATGCCTTCTTCTCTATCGCCTTACGTTAAAAGCTCATGGAGTATTACAAACTCCGGCGAGGATGTGCTTAAGAGGGAACGAGCAGGCGTATCCAAAGTGAGCGCATCAGAGCTTCCACGGCTTATTTTGCAAGGCTCACAATTGCCGTCAGCCTGCTCTTGCTGGCACTTGAACGTTGTGAGGATAGAATTTCCATTTAGCTCATGAACATGCGGGCTCACGAACACGTGTCTTTCTGCAGCTCACGATGTCTGCGTCAGAGAAAGCGGTGCAGCTACGTTCGTTGGTCCGCATGCTCACTGATGCATCGGAAGTCATGATCAAGGAATGGGAGGCTCAGGAAGAGTCCCTGGCCGCCATTTCCGATGCTTCCCTTCCTTCACCGGAAATGTACGAAGCGCGCCGTGTCATCACCGGTGCTTATGGGATGGTCACGGATCTAGTGCAAGAACCAGCTAGCCGCCTCTCCGAGATCACTTGTTCATTCTTCACCGCGCGAGCACTGCACATCGCTGTAGAGGCTCGCGTGGCCGATGTTATCGCAGAGGCAAACCCTGCTGAGGGAATGTCTGCAGTTGCCATCGGCAAGAGAGTCGGAATCGATGCGCAGAAGTTGAGTGAGTGATTCCTCTTGGTGATTTAAAAAAACAGCATTAACATGCTTTCTCAGCACGGGTAATGCGTACTCTCTGTACTGTCCACATCTTCACCGAGGTCAAGGATGGCTATTTCGCCAACAATCGCACTAGCCAATGTCTAGTTGGTGATCAATATCTGCGATGTTGGCTGCTCTTACAGTGAGTGCCGGGTGTAGTTTTGAAGTGAATCCGCTGACCCATAACTTGCAGCGCCATGGAAATGTACACCGCGTCGGACAAACTGAAGTCATTGTTATTCGACCCTGCCAAAACGTATTCCACATCCAACCGTGTCTCTGCGTGGCAGGAAGCCATCGATGATCACTTCACCGTTTGGGAATATCTAGAACAGCAAATCCAACAACCTGATGGTAGTATCAAACCGAACCCGTCACTCGAGATCTGGGCTCTTGGAATGGTGGGAGGTGGTCATGCTTTCGCGAATGGAATGTATGCAGGTATGTGATCGTGCATCATCGGACTAGAATTACTTGCTCAAAAGCGCATAGACTACCCTTGGGAAGCTCTTGGCTCGAGTACCATCGTGGATGTTGGCGGAGGAGCTGGTGAGTAGAGAAGTCTGGAACTGTATACTTGAGCTACACTGACTTGAATTGTTTCTCTCCAGGCGGCACCAGTCTCGATTTGGCGAAGAAATTCCCGAACCTTAAGTTCGTCGTCGAGGACCGTGCGTCCACTATCAAGCAGGCTGAGTCCATTTGGATGCGCGAGTACCCAGAGGCGCTGCAAACGGGCCGAGTACGGCTCTTGACTCACAATTTCTTCGCGGAGCAGCCAATCAAGCGAGCTGACGTCTACTTCATGCGATACATTCTGTGGGTGTACTGTTTCAAGTTGGCAATTGCAAATATTCTTGACATCTTTCTTCCACAGACATGATTGGCCGGACGATAACTGCGTAACCATCCTCACCCACATCCGTAAGGCGATGGGCCCAAACTCCATCATTCTGATCGCCGATCAAATCATCCATACGACCGTGGGTTCGCCTCGACTGAAAGCAGCGCCGCCTCCACTTCCGCCGAACTATGGATACGCGAGCCAGTTCGGCAACCACCACGACCTGACCATGATGGCATGCCACAATGGGATGGAGCGTACTCCTGAGATGCTTGATGCTTTGGCGGCGCGGGCAGGGCTGAGGGTGGCGAAGATATGGGAATGCCGCGGTCTCATCGCGATTGCGGAATTGAAGAGGGATGACGGCGCTTGATCAGTTTATAACCAAGTAACATCTACAGTAACGAGTGTAATTGCAGCGATAGCAGTTGCCGGCTTGGAGTGTGAACATTAATCGCCGTTGGTTGTCCATTCGTAGTTTCAAAGGCAAAAACAAAGCTTCCTTAAGAAACTACCGATCCGTTTCTCAGAGAGAGAGACGGTCGTTGCTATGCAAATCATATTGAACGGTGCTGTGTGGGAGGCTCCAAGAAGTGCCATCACATAGTTTCACCCTCCATAGGAACCTGATATTGATAGTGACACGTTTAATAATTACAGAAGACGGGCTTCTGCTCTGACACGTCTCATTTGATCTCCCATGAACACTACGTGCATCATTTTGAGGAACCTCCACGGGAGAACCTGCCAGCTGAACTCGCACATGCGCGTGTTTTATTCGAACGTGGTTCACTGCTGGATATGGAATTGCGTTACATGGAGCACAGTGAACTGAATATGCCTCCAGCGCAATGGTGGTCGTAGTGGTGAGTGTTCATCGCTCTGTGACACACTGGAGGCACAGAGATCCAACTAAGAATCGGCTCGGTATGGTGTTACCCGGCACTGTGTGAATTGTCGCGGCGCGAACGTGTGGCATCAAACTCGAGCTTTTGCATTTGAGAACCGTTATAGGCTTACAGCGCAGCGCCAACAAGGTTGGTCTTGCCGCCACGGGAATAGACTTCTACTCATCGTCCAGAAGACTTGCTGTAATCTTGAGCAAAGAGGACGCTCGGACACCAAGAATCGGTAGCTAAAGCGGTTCAGTCCTCAACGGAGGACCCGGAAGGAAACGAAGTCGCCTATGAACACGGAAAAGCGTATCCGCTCGGAACCGACCACCCTTCTAATAGGCCGAACGCTCCGACAACGTCACTTCACATCGTGCTAAGCTTTCGGCCATTACGCTGAAAAACACACTTCATATTCGCCAAAATGGTTCTGCCATGCAGCCAAAAGCCACCATCACAATTGCTGGATAAGGCGCGACAGCAATAAGCGACGAACGCGCGGGTGCCAGCATTCTCGCATCCTGCCGAGAGACGTCATTTAGCTGACGTACGTCCCAAGTCAGCGAGCTGATAAGGAGGACAGAGTTAGCATCCTTCAGCCGCAGGGTGGGGCGTGTCCACCTTGTGTCCGTCTTCTGTAGGGACTAAGGTGTTTTCATCAAGGTGCCATACAAGGTTTGGTCCGTTCCCCTCTGTCGCGTCTCCTCGTTCTCATGAATTTCATCCATTGTTGGATAGTTCTTTGCCGTCTAAGCATCGTGATCGTCAGGCAGAAACCCTATGAAGCAAGTGAACATTCCATTATGAGCTTGTATTCAGCGACGAAGCACGAAGCGCTTTCACGTGTACGTACTTTCCCGGACTCACGAATCCCTTTTGTGATACAGTCACGCTGACCTAAAAACAACGCTTGCATCAGTAGGTCATCCGCGATCCTCACTTCGTGCCTGGCAGGAAGTCATACATGCCAGGCGCGTGTCCGCTACGCGAGTTCACCTTGCAGCCCACTCTTCACGGTCCCGATAGCCAGCGATCAACATGCGCCTCTCTCCTTTTGTTGTCTTAGTGCGGACCGTTTTTCGTCGCAGTTAACATTTGAAGCGCTTCAACGCACTCGGCATGACAGCAGAGAGGCCGCCGAACGAGATTGCTATCACAATTCATGTCATCACCCGCAGTCTGGTGACCTCCATTCGGAGGCAAACGCGCTTCCTAACTTCCAGCATTGGCGCATCGAAGGGCTGGTGTGATCACAGGGTGTGGCCGTGCCGGTGACAGAGTCCCAGAGGTCGCGCGCTCGAGTAAATTGTAAACGAGGGAACGGAGCCGCGATGACATCGTTGCAAAATTCCCTGCGGTCTCGGCCCATATTGATTCCCTTGTTCGCAGCTGCACATTTCATCTGGTGACGCATGCGTGTTGCGAAACCTGCCGAATGCCCGGCTCGAAGATCCTCGTGATGTCCGCGATTTGAGGGCTGTCGGCGGAGGTGGGATCGCCCGTTGCCTTGGACCACCTTAGGCACAAGTACGGTGGACTTGTCCAGTTCACGAGGCGTCCGGGGCACGCGTCATCTTGTGGCGGTTTGAATACAATGGGGACGTACCAAGTTGTAGGACTGGCTTTTGGTCCTTGCTACTGGTGTGCAGGGAACCAGCCCTGGCGTGCGAGAGCCAGAGGAACTGTCATTGCCATAGTCACTCAGATTGTGCAAGGCGCCGAGCATCAAGTTCGCAAGCAACCGTATCAGCGAAGAACATGCAGTGATCAGTACGTGGTTCTCCAGCCAGTGTTTCAAGAACCACAGCCCTTCCTCCAACAACCGCACGGGCACCACTGCGATCATCCCTTGCGTAGATGGGGTTTCAGAGGACGGCTGCCATTGCGTCCGGTTTTTCGCGGACCCTCGACATAACATCAAAATTCTACGTGCCAAATACGCCGAAAGATGCAGGATCATGCCAAATACCCAGTCCTTTTAAAATTCGCCGCACGCCTGTAATAGTGTCCCTCGTTGATCGTGCTGAGCGGCCGCCGGCTTAAGATAGGGATGAGACCCATCATCTTTGCGCGCCGGATCGCCTTGCCAACACGGCGCTGATTTCGCCAGGTAAGCTTGGTCTCTGAACGGCGCTTGATCTTGCCCATCTCGGTGACAAATTCTGAGAGGAGGGACGTGTTCATACACTCGTCGAGTGGGTCGAGCTCGAGCTGGTAAAAGACGTCGAGTTCGCGAGATTCGCGAGCATCTGGACCGAGGAGCGGCCGCTTGGCCATACGTTGCTTCCTGACGCGTTGATTGTACGTGAACGAGGCGGGCTTGACGAACTGTGGGGGGGGGGGGGTTAGTGAGGTGCCAAGGTAGAGTCCAGAGGATAGCGCGCACCCTGCCCGACCGGAAACCCTTGAGGTTTGGATTCCCTCTGATGACCGGGTCCAACAGTTCTTGATCTGTAGATATATTACTGTCAGATATTGCCAGACTTGAGGTGAGATGGGTCGGCGCACCTCGGACGCTGGGCGCGTTGCCCTCCTTCGCGAGGAGTTCTGACAATTCACCGAGAGACTCGCCAGCAACAGACGTAGAATTTAGCCGACTTGCGATAGTTATGACAGGGCTCCTCCAACGCGAAGGAGCCTGACATTGGCGGACGGCAGCGCGTATGGAATTGGTAAGAGAGAACATTTGATCGTTTAAAACTAGGGTCAGGGTCCGCAGTGAGTTGTTCGCAATGATGAGGGCTGTGAGACAAGGGTGATGAGAACAGAGCGGGATCGCAGGAGAGAAGGGCGGTACCAAGGCTTCCGAGTGTATCAGAAGGACGGAATGCAGGGCAGGTGACCACGCGTGGGATGCGGATGTACTGCTCGTTATCGCAGCGGACGTCAGGGAAGAAGTCGATGGCAATGTTGGTCCCGAATATGCGGGGAGGAGAGGATGTCTGCCGAGGTCTGCAGCGAGGGCGGTGGATACAGGTTTCTCCCAGCGCGCGGACCCCGGGGAGTGCGTTGGAATGCAGACGGCGCTGACTCAGTGCGCGGACAGTCCGCGGCGGGCGAAACTCCAATCAGCATTCAGCTCGTGCCTGCGTCACTTCATTCTCTGGTCCACAGCAGGCATCGCGTGGGCAGGGATGCGAGCAGAGCGTGGGGAGAACTTGTCGCGAATAAATAATTGTGGGAATACGCAGAATTACCCGAAAAGGCAGGAAGCAGTAGTGTGTGAAATGCGGGTGCCGAGGCCCCTCTGCTAGATTTGACGATGGTCCGTCCCCGCTCTGGTCACCAACCCTCCTCACCTCGTATCCAGCTTGCACACATCGCCTATCGCATGTCTATGTCGCCCTGAACATCACCCAAACTCTCCTCTGCCGCCTCCGTCTCTTCCCCTCTGATACCTCTCCATCGTTTACCCACCCCCGCCCGCTCTGATACGGCCACCGTAGGTTCTGTCTCGTTCTCGGACTCGCCTTCTCCGACAGTAGCACCCATCCCAGGGCCTACATGTCCTCCGACTCGAGCCTCGCGCGCCGCCAACCCCCCAGCCCTCTTGTCTTCTCTCCCGAAGCCGTTCTGCCCCCCATCCAGTCCCACTCGCATTCCAGCAGCAATGCCACCACGAGCGCCTCTGGTTCCGGTACAAACACCGTCTCCATGCCCTTCGTGAGACGCCATGTTACGCGTCGGCTCAAAGCTGCAAAGGCAGAGTGCGATAAGGAGCTTGCCCGCGTCGTTAATTCCATCACCGCGTTCTTCGAGGAGCGCCTCAGAGACGGCGATCATGAGGCAGAGTCCGAACGTGAACAGCGCGAGCGTGGCCGGGATCGCGAGTCCTCTACAGCCGAGCCGGAACCTCTGCGTGAGCCCTTTTTTCTTCAGCCAGCGGAGCTCAGGTCCGCCCTTCTCCAGACGGACAATGTGAGCGTGAGCTCTGACGGTGGCTATGAGGCTGAGCCGGAGGGAAGTTCTCATAGCCGACAACGTGCGTTCCCCGATGAAGATCAAGCAAGCCAACACGCGCTGACCGGCGGGCCTCCGTCGCCCGGGCTTCTCACAGCGTCGGTATGCTCCACCAGCCCCGCCTCTCTTCGCAGGCATCCCACCCTTCCGCGGGATCGGTCCCTCACAAACCTTGCCGCACCGAGCACCGGGACGTCCAGTCCTGTTCTGAGTGCAACGACCAGCCCTACCCCTCCTCCTGAACTTATCAGCAGTCCGCGCAAGCAGGGTGCTGCTGTAGGACCGGCGAGGGAATGGAGCGGCCAAACACTTGCCAACCGCAGGTTATCTCGCACAATCCACATCTCCACTCGCGCGACTCGTTCCACTGCCAGCTCTCGATCGACCTCCCGCTCACGATCGCCGCTTCCACGCCCACACACAGAACAGTCGAACACCCGGCGTTCATCGCGTATCCTCGTAGATGACCCTATCGATCCGATCATGTCGACGCTCTATGAGATCATCGGTGTAGCCCAGGATGTGCAGGATATGTCGTTGAGCCAGCTCACGGCACAGCCGAAGGTGTGCGAGCAGCTCGTGCAGCGTGTGCAAAACATCGGTAAAGTGTGGGATGAGCATCCGGACTGGCATGGGCGCAATTGGTACGTGCAGGTGCTGCTCGCGATCGCGAGCTTGAGCCGAGTGGTGGAATGGTGGGAGGCGGAGAAACAGTTCTGGAACTTCGACGATAACGATGATGAGCAGGAGGAGTCGCTCACGTTCGTCTTGAAGCCGGCGGAGGAGGAGCCCGCAGCGCCGACACCATCTTTGCGGCAAGAGCAGGCAGGGGGTGGGCAGACGAAGGAGGACGACAGTAGGTTACGGATGTCGCGGACGATGAGTCAGCAGCGTCGTTCGCGAGACGAGGTTCCCAAGGATTTGTCGATAACTCCGCATAAGGAACAGGAGCACCCCGCGGTCACTTCGAAGTTTTCTGACAACACGGAGTCTGCTCGGGTATTGGCTACTGAGCGGTTACGGTTGCAGGCGGAGACCGCCCAGAACCAGAACATCGTATTGGAACTTAGTCTCGATGGTGACCATTTCATCTGGATTAACTATGCCTGGCGTAACGTCGTCGGGTACGTGAGAATTGCACTATAGTCACAATTGACAGGCAAACTGACTTGATATCTGGTCTCAATGCAGGAGTGACCCGGATGGTCTCATTGGTACTCGTGTGTCGAGGCTGCTCGCACCTTCCGATTGGCATGTCTTCCGTGACGCGTCGCGGCGTCTCCTGGAAGATGACTCCCGTACCGTCGAGGCTCGATTCAAACTCAAGGTCTCCGAGCCCGAAATAGACTCGTCACCAAGCAATGTTCTGTACCAGCAGATGGAGGGCAAGGGTATGCTCATGATCGACCGAGAAGATGGTACACCCACGCATACAATGTGGGTTGTCAAGCCAGTCGGAGTGCCGGAGTATCTGCAGGCGCCTCCGTCCATCCTGCTCGAGTCTGGGGAGATCGGCGAGGAGCTGCCGGCTGCTGAAGCAGGGCAGGTGGGTTTCGGTGAACGGCGTCCAAGCGAGCCTGTCACACCCTTCCCGTTCGCACAGCCGATCAATACGGCGCCTATCTTGTGCCGTATATGCGAATGCACGGTCCCGTCGTGGTTCTTTGAGAAGCACAACGAGACATGCGCGGAGACGCACCGGCTCGAAGCCGAGATTGGTGAATGCAACGAATCGATCGCGGAATTGCGCAATACCATAAGGGATCTGCAGGCTGCGCTAGACCGTTCGTCACCCATAAACGCACCGGAATACCGTGGAATGCCAATATTCCAGACGTCGACGTCTCCTGGCTCATCGTCGCCATTGCAGAAGCTCCGTGCCCCGATCAAGTTGAAGAAGATGACACTCAAGAAATTCCAACGACACGTGCTTGAGCAGCTCGAGGACATTTTGCAGCTTGCGAGCGAGGTGTCGATCCCGGTGCTGAAGGAAGAGGAATCGTCAGAACCGATCGAACGACAGCGCATGCTTTCGCCCGAGTCTGAGCGGAAGATGTCACAGGTGCGGCGGTGGGTTAAGCCCCAGATTGAGGATGCGGCCCTCACGCAGCTCATCGAGGACGCGGAGCGTGTTATGCGGCAGAAGATCGACAATGTGGTGCGCATGCAGAATACCATCAGGTATTCGGAGAAGGTACGGCAAGAGTGGGAGGAGCGGGTTGCGCAAACGTTGTCGCAGATGGAAGATGTGGACGAGGAGGAGGAAGAAGAGGAGGGTGAAGAGGAGGAGGAGGGCGGAGAGGATGGCGACCATTCCAGTAATACATCGGAATACGCGTTCGGTGCTGGTCAAACGACCTCTCCGGAACCGACGCCGTTGGCTTCCGCATCCCCGATACTATTTCCTACTGGGCGAGTCCGGAGTGCGAGCATCACGACTTCATCTACTCCCAGCTTGCCGCTTGCCCCAGTTGCCCCTGTTCCAGCATACCCTATGCCGACGTTCCAAACTCGTTCGTCTACTCCATCTTCTGTTTCTTCTCCCCTTGCATTGGCCCAACCGATTATTGCTCCGGATACCTCGGAAGACATGCTTCCTCCGATGGACCTTAACGAGGGTCACAGTCATTCGACAGTACGGCAGAAACCATCCCTCGGTGCCTTGGAACCTAGACTACTGGTCACTCCTCCCCTATCACCCCTTGTGTCACCCGAGGACGCTTCATCCACGCACCAAAGACGCGGGGGACGGCGGCGGCATTCAACCGCGGCACAACCCATTATTAGCCCCACCAATTCTATATCCAGTACGCCGCTGTCTCCGCGTTTACCCTCTGTCGCGCCGTTGTCGAGATCGACCCCTACGTCCATCAAGGACTTTGAGATCATCAAGCCCATCAGCAAGGGCGCATTTGGGTCCGTCTTCCTCGCGAGAAAGAAAGCGACGGGTGACTACTTTGCGATCAAGGTGTTGAAGAAGGCGGACATGATCGCGAAGAATCAGATCACGAATGTGAAGGCGGAGCGCATGATCCTCATGAAGCAGGCCGAGTCGCCATTTGTCGCCAAGCTCTATTTCACTTTCCAGAGCAAGGAGAATTTGTATCTAGTCATGGAGTACCTCAATGGTGGTGATTGTGCCGCCCTCATCAAGTCTCTCGGTTCGTTACCGGAGGAGTGGACGCGCAACTACATAGCAGAGGTTGTTCTTGGCTTAGAGTATCTGCATGAACGTGGTATAGTACATCGGTATGTCCTTCATTTGAGTCGGCTTATCTGTCATTTCTCACCTGAGTTTCGTATAGTGACCTAAAGCCGGATAATTTGCTAATCGACCAGCATGGTCACCTCAAACTCACCGATTTTGGCCTAAGTAGGATCGGTCTGCTGGGTCGTCAAACACGCGATTCTCAGCTCTCTTTCGACCGCGGCCTACGTACCCGCTCAAGGTACAGTCCGGGATCTCGACCACCGTCGATCGATTCCGCATATATGTCCTCTTCTCCGATGTTTCCATCCGAACTGCACCTGGGAGGTTCGTACTTCAGCCAGAGGACAAACTCGGTTCCTCGCCTAGGGTCGTCGCCTTATGTGTCCGTTTCAGATGATGTTAGCGAATCTAGTGGGTCGGAATCCTTGCAAGGGTCTGGGCTCTTTCCCCTTCGGAGGACGGCTAGCAGGAACCTTAATCACAACGAATCTCCCTTGCAGTCGTTCGCGACAGAACTCACGACCGATCTCCGCTCACATCCTACTCCTGGTGGCACGCCCCCTGGCGAACAGAAGGTCGTCGGCACGCCTGACTATCTTGCGCCGGAAACAATTCTTGGTCTCCGAGGGGATGATGCAGCCGTCGATTGGGTAAGTGCATTTTCTAATCAATCCATGTACTCCTCTGTTCACTCTCTATTTGTAGTGGGCATTGGGTGTGATCACGTACGAGTTCTTGTACGGTATTCCTCCCTTCCACAACGATACACCTGAGAAGGTGTTCGAGAACATCCTCTCCGGACATATCGACTGGCATGAAGAATATCTCGAAATCTCCCCGAACGCCAAGGATTTCATTCAACGGCTACTGACACTGGATCCGACGGAACGCTTAGGTGCCAATGGCGCCGACGAAGTTAAGGCTCATCCGTTCTTCAATGGCATCGACTGGGATAAGGTCACGACTACCGAAGCGGCATTCATTCCACAGGTGACAGATCCAGAGTCGACGGATTACTTCGATCCGCGAGGAGCCGTGCTGCAATTATTCCACGAGCCTGAGCAGCCAACTTCGACTGGAGCTCATGTCTCTGAAAGTCCTCCTACAGCAGCGGAGGCGATAGACTCGTCAATTGTATCAGCGCCTGCCTCCGTTACCACCCATGAGGAGCCGGATGGCGACTTCGGATCTTTCAGCTTCAAGAACCTCCCTGTCTTGAAGCAGGCCAATGATGATGTGATCCGTAAGATGAAGACGGATCAGATGGTACCGCTTGCCCACACGCTTTCTGAGCCGACGAACGTCCATGCTCGGAGGAAGAGCATATCAGCACGTGTGAATTCCAGGAAGCCATCGAACGTGACGATCTCGACTGATACTGTGAGCAAGCCGTCGACTACGAATCCACCGTCGCCCGCTACATCGACATCATCAATTGCATCGTCAATGTCACGCGGGCCTCCCACCCCTGGCAGTACGGCAGGCAACCACGTACGGAAGCCGTCGGAGTATGGTACCGTGGAGCGTTTCAAGCTCAATCACTTGGAAGGCGATGTCTTGCGACGGAATTCCATGCCCAGTCGGCTGAGAACTGCCTCAGTGTCGACCACAGGCGAAAGCTGTGTTTCATCGGACGCGTCATGGCCGACGACGACACAGCTGCCTCTCCAGTATGAGCTGGGCAGCCCGCCATCATCGGTTGCTTCAATAGATCTGAAGAAGGCACCGGACCCCAGTGATCGCGCTGTCACTTGTTTGTTGGCTGAAGATAATCCGATCACTGCAAAGATCATCGAGACGTTACTCATTCGTCTTGGATGTCGGTGTGTTGTGGTGGCGGACGGCTCTGAGGCGATTAGCGTCGCTATGGGTGACATCAGTTAGTCTAGTTCTCTTGAACTCAACGTACCGTTGCTAATTGATATTCATTACAGAGTTTGATTGTATCCTGATGGACCTTCATATGCCTATACGTGAGTACTCACTTAAGTTGAAGGGGTCGCTTTAAGCTGACCTTGTCATGCAGTTGATGGCGAAGGAGCTGCGCGATACATCAAAAACACCAACAACAAGAACCAACACACGCCAATCGTCGCTGTCAGTGCCTATAGTGGATCGGATTCGTTCGATGTCAACAAGGACCTGTTTGCGGCGTATATCTCGAAGCCGGTGCAGAAGGCGGACCTATTGACTGTGATGCGGCAGCTAGGGTTCAAAACGTCGACCGTCCAAGGGCAAGCGCGTCCGCATGGCCATGGACAGACTTCAAAAGTCACCATGGCTCGATAACATCTACTTATGAATCATGATTTTTCCGTTCGTGCATTTCTGCTGATTAACACTGCCTCTCGTTCTCTCTATATCCTCCGGTGAACTGCTCCGTTCGGTTTCTCCCATACATGCATGCCCACACATCATTCACCACGCCTACTACTGTCATTAACATCATACTGCATATCATCAGCATCATTCCCCCGCATCCCACCTCGCTGCATATCATCTCTTCATTGTACTTAGGCTAGAGTTACTTGTGTCACTAAATATCAGGCACAACCTCGCTGGATTCCTTGACACATGTTGTGGAGATGTTCCATCGTAAGTTAGCGAACATGCATAAAAATATTTTTCCGACGGGGAAGTCAACAGAAACTCTGGAGAAATATAAAGAGAAACTCCTTCCCTTATCAGACAAATAGTTTCAGCTACTTATTCCAGACGAAACGTTGCAAGCAGAAACATATTATACAGATTTTCTACTGGTTTTCCTATAGAAAAATAATTATATGCATGCTGACGATGAGCTCATGCAATGTCCGCCGCTTGCGGTAGCTCGCAGCCTCGCACTGCCCTGCTCGTAGTCGAACTTCAATTGACGTTAGTCGAGAGCAATGTACGCATAATCGCCGCTCGGGCGTCTCGCCCGCTGACTTCGTGTGAGGTGTGTCGAACGACTCAGATACTCGTCTGTTTTCTAGGACATCGTTCTCCTGCCTCTGCTTGTCAGTCTCCTATAAGTGCGAAGCAGCTGAACTTTTAGTCGGCGGCGGTCTGCAAGTACCACGCAATGGCAGCTCCTTGGACGGAATATCCGTACGCATCTGCAAATCCATACAGGGCGCCCCCTGATCCACCCGACGGTAAGTGACCGACGCTCGTCCCGCACATTGCTCGACTCAAGCGCATGTCTGCTGTCATAGCAGAATGGGAACAAGGTCCATACCCGATCACGTATGATGGGCATCAAGGCATGCCGCAGCCGCATATTCCGCGACCGACAGTGCCTGGATTCCCCTCGCCGGGACCTGGTGGCTTCATCGAACCCATCACACCCGTCGCACCACCGGACGCGAACAGCTACGCCTATTATGCGTCGCCTCCTTTTCGGAGATCGTCCCTTCCGTACTATGAAAGCGACCCGCCATATCCAACTGCTGGTGTACCTCAGCCGAACAACGGCGATTACTTTTCTTTCCCTGAACCGCAGATACCATATGCGCACTCCGCCCCGCCTGCGCCTCCTCCCGCTCGTCGCAGGCCAAGCGTCGACCAGCCACCGCTCCCGCCTAAACCACGAGCGCACGCCGCGCACAGACATAGTTCTACTCATGTTGACAGCTCTGATAGTGACGTTCCGTCAAGGCTTCCTACTCCGAGCTCGGAGAAGCCCCCGCTGCCACCCAAACCGCCTGAGGTCGACCCAGAGCTCCAGCGAGCGCTTGATCTCTCGCTGCACTCCGAGAGACAGCGACGCGAGACACAGGCTAAAGAGGATGCCGAACTCGCTCGTGCCTTGCGTGAGTCTCTGTACACCGCGGAGACCCCTCTAGTAATCCGCACACACGCCTCTTCACACGAGCTTCCGGCTCATAGTGATTATTCCCCCGAGTCCATCGTTGCAAGCCCTGTTCAGTCGTCGACTCCTTTGCCCATTTCTTCGCCCCCACCCTCGAGCTATCATGCACGCAAGCTTTCACCCTCGCACTCGCACTCGCATTTACATTCACACTCACACTCGCATTCACGCGCTAGTCCCCATTCTGCCTCCGTCGCGCAGAACCTTGTTCCATCCACTTCAGGCGAATGGCCAGCGCCCGACGCAGGCCATGCACACCTCATGCACCCGACGATACCGGAACTCGAGCTCCCAGAAGAGCCTGCGGAAGAGCGGGCAAGGCATCGTCATCGTGACAGCATCGCGCACTCTAATTCCAGTCATGCACATCCTCATCTATCGATGCCCGTCCCGCAGTCTGCCCCGCCGAGCGCGACGTCGCTGGCGCCGCCCGCAATGCCGCACATGGCACATTCCGTACCTGACGCGAAACACGCGCACGCGGCTGCAACGCACATGTTGCGGAGCGTGTCTGCCGACCCGAGCATACCGTCGCGATCGCAAAGTATGGCGTCTGATGCATCATCGAGTTCCTCTACCAGTAGGCACCGTCATCCGCGACATCAATCGAGTCGGAAGGACTCGTCCTCGTTGAATGACAAGGCTCCGCCCGTCCCTGCGAAGGATCTGGAGGTGCCTGATCCGTGCGGTGCACTTGGTGTGCACCAACATATCCCTCAAGAGTTGCTTCGCGGTGTTTGTAAGTCATGTGTTCCTTTGACTTTGCTTCTCTATGGCTTACCTTTACTTCCAGCCATGGGATTCGGAGCCGCTCCTATCACCTCCTCGAGAGAGCCCATGCATGGTACAATACCGACCGTGATCTCCCTTCCCTGGGAGGAGCAGAAGCCGTTTTACATCCAAGGGCCGGATTGGCGCAGTCTGCTGAAGCTCATGGCGCGCCTGAGCTCAACACAAGTGGAGCCGTCCGTGGAAGCTATCAGAAAGACTAAAGGCGAAATGAGACTCCGTGTCGTAGTATCGTTTGTGAGAGTATGCTGATGTTGTTATTCTGCTTCGATGGCGAGACATTGACGGCGAGGACCAATAGGTGCATAGCTCATCATCCCACTGGCGTACAGTGTTCTACATGACGATTGACCGTCCTGTGCCCCTGAACGCCTCCAATTCTTCGCGATACCGCAGTGGTGATACCACTGTGCTGCCGTATTCCTATACTCTGACTCCGCCGCCTCCGCTTCTGCAGGATGGTGCCGACGCGCCAATGTCCAAGTACTACACCATCCCGAGCATTCCGGGTAACCTTTACCCCACGCTGCCGGTGACGTTCCCCGATCTGGCCACATATCTAGCGTCGGCGCTCGAGGCCTCTCGCGATGCCGTCCATGAGTCGCCTGGACTGCGCCGGCTGGCGAAACTCATTGACACACTGTACCCTGCTAATCATCCGAATGGCCCGGCGGAGGAGGAAGATGAGAAGATGGGGATGCGGCAGAAACTGAAGAACCTCGTTGGCTTTGGACAGAAGGTCTCGAGGAACAGGAATGAGGAGACTTATGATCTGGTGACGCCTTTTATCGCCGATGAATTCGGAAGATGAAGGACATGTATGCAGCTGCCCATCGGCGGCATTCACGTCGTATCAAGACATGCATTGCTACTCTTCCGGAGTGCTAGCTAACTTATTGTGTGATGCCTATCTATTCAATGTGTACACCAGCTTCTGCGCCGTCCGTCATCCAGTAATGAAACAAAACGAACGTATCTGAGAACGAGACGCATCACGAAATTACGTTCAATTTCGCCATGAGTGTTTTCAGCGTATGCAACAAAACGCTGCTGTCTGAGTAAGTCGCCTGCTGTTCGTCCAAATGCCGCTTCAGGCTGTTGAAAAGCATGTAGAACTGCCGAGACTGGATCACGGGCCACGGTACAATCATTGATTTCCCACCATGCAATTGACTGATGAAATTCGAGGCCCGTTCGAGTTGCTGGAACTTCAGACTGAATCTGTGAGGAAGGGCAGGCCGGTCAAGACATAATAAACTTCATCATACGCATGTGACATACTCCTTGACAATTTGTGCTTTGTCGGAGTCGGCGACATCCTACATTTTGACGTGACGGTTATATTGCGGCGGGATTCATACATCACTGGTCTCTTACTTTGATAATGATCACAAGCGCCGATTGGAACAAGCTCGGATTCGCTGCAGGGTCGAGAACGGAAGATGACGATTGAACTGATTTGAACAATCCGGCCATATCGCGCGACAAAGCGAAATTGTGTCTGAATAATACCTATGGAACAAGAAACAGCTGGGTGAACTTGAATCGAACAGCCGATGTGTTACGATGCGTACCAAATTTGATATTGCAGTACTGAATAACACAAGCAAGGTATCTTCTTGCACCGAACGTTCAATGCTATGGACACCTACAACGCGCGGTGAGCGATAGAAGCCAGGAGATGTCTGTGCAATACCCTCGAAGTCAAGAGCCACAATGATCATATCATCAAGAGGTGCAACAGACATCCATACACCTTCCGTCGTTCGCATCGTTGAGCAAGCAAATGAAGTGTCCAGCAGGTGGTTCAAAGCGAAGCTCTTTCCTACTGATTGTTCGCCTGACGAATAATCGACATACTGGTTCGTCAGTTAGTAATAAATATAAATCATTGAATGCGCACCCATTGACGACACAACCTTCACCGGCTGTGAATCGACGATTGGTTCAACTCTGATTCTCTATGCCGACCAGAGAACGTACCTTTGAAGCGATGTGAGACTGAAATAGAGACTCATACCAACCAAACGACAAATTGTCGATGATGGTGGCGGCATCTGCCCTGAGGAGGGATCGCTCTTGTTCTGCGGAGAACACCCCATCCCTGAGAGGGATGAAACGGTTGTCTCGTGTGATCGCCAGATGAATCGGAATAAGACAAAGCAGATCCACAAGCCATTCTCCTGCCCTGAACGCGGAGATGTCTTGAATGACATTGTTCGCAAATGTTTCATAGTCGACGGCTTTCACAGTGGTCATGCTGAGTTTGTCACCAGTTGGTTTGCGAGTGGTCCTCTCAAACGTTTGCACGAGATCAGTGAAGTAGGCAGCGTAGTTGTCATGATTGTCGCGAGCAACGAAACATAGGGAACGGAGGTACCTTTGGGCTGACGACGTAATGGTCTTCCTTTGGACCGCAGGAAGCACTGGGAACCTGGTCCAGACATCGGCATGGCAATCAATGAATAAGTTCTGATTGACACTTTCATTATTTACGGTGCGGGATCCGTTCTGCCCCACTTCATGGAAGGCGAATTCCGTCGTGTTGTGGGTGATGTCCAGAACGATTGAATGACAAAGGCGGGCGTCCTGCTTAACACCGACGACATGGACATGAGATCGCTTTCCAAAGGACGTGATTATAGTCCTGGTCGGGTCAATGTCAGGAAGTCGGATGGAGATGCCTTCCGTCGACCCGAAAGTTGACCAATGGTAAGCGCGCATTGAGAGCCTGTCGCCAGTATTGTTGATTGTTAAAAGACAGAGTCCATCCGGAGACGAGAGGATTATGTTCGGGGGATTCTGCAACTGCAGGGATGCTAGTCTGATTCAAACGTCAATCTGATACACAGCAAAGTAATAGGACAGCAACGCACCGGAATTGTTGAGTCACAAATGAGAAGATCCGTGCTCGAGAGGCGTAGTCTACCAGAACAATCTCCTCATTTCCGCACACAAAGGCCATATGGTTGATGATGACGGATCCGTCATACCAAGGACGAAGGTCGACGGGACTTCCCATGCTCTGCAACGATGCGAAATTTTCGTCGAATGCCAGAATGTGAAGCTGAGGACGTTGTTCTACTTGGTCACGAAATAGACAACTCGGACATCAACGAGGCAATCATACCTTCGACGTATCAGCGCTCAACACGGCGAGCATACGCTTCTGCTCATCGAATGCAAACATGCAATTACTGCCAACCTTCTCACGATGCAGGATCTTCTTATAGGAGGAACGGCTCAGAGCACCTTGCATGGTATGAGACGCCTCGAGAAAGGTTTTGATTGCACCATGATTGTCATCCACTATGAGGAGGCACTTGTCGTTTTGCAACAATTGTACATGTCTGTATGGTATTTTCCCGTCGGTTTCCAGGGAAACAGGATCGTTTAACTCACATGATGCGTTGTTCCACCGGCAGCTCAAACCATGATGAGGACTTATAGTGGAGTTTAGGAGTGGGAACGAACAATCCATTGAGCTGCATTTGTTGCTGATCATCCGCTGTGAGGAAGAACGGATTGATCCTGTAGCGCAATCGAGCGTCCATCCTAATCTCACGGTGACCTAGAAGACGATATGATACATTCCAGAGGTTATCTGTGAAAAATTGTCAATCGGCGGAGGATCTGCGCGATACATCACCACATACATTTCGATAGCTTCTGCACGTCTGTGATGAAAAGGGTTTCACTAAAAGAGAGACGTGACTACTAATGGAAATCTGGAATTAACGCGCTTACGTGGTCTTTTCCAGCAGAAGCTTGTCTTTCAATGTGCCCAGCAATGTCGAACGAGCATTCGCATGATCCTTTTGCTTCTTCGCATCGGCTTCTACCTTGATATGGACCTTGCACGCTTCTTCCTGGATTTGCCAGATACGTGCAACTACGGTATTCACCTCCTTAGGAATGGCTCGATGAAACCATTCAAGGGCGTCCTGCTTAACTTCGGCACAAGCATCGTGGAGAAGCACGTTGCGATGAACAATGTCGGTCAATGATGATAGAAATTTTGCATCGTCAGTTTTGGCTATACAATTCAGAGCGTCGATGAGCTGCTGGCGAAATGCTCTGCTTGAAAGCAGGAAGAATCCGATAAAGCTCGGCAAGCCCTGCCAAGTGGGCGAGTTTTTTGACTGCGAATCAAATTCCTTGAGCAATTCGGCAGCCGTCTTCGTATTTTCCGACGATAAAAATGAACTTATCAGCTTCTTGGCCTGCGACATCTCAACATCTTTGCGTCCAGCGAGCATGATGTCTAAGAGCATGATTCGCTCCTTTCGCACTTGGAATGGTTGCGACTTGATGCTGAAGGTCACAGGATCTTCAAGCTTATGTAATACCAGCAGGATCTTCGGGTAGAGTGAGGCAAGATGCTCGAGAAGTACATCTAAAACAAGTGTCAGAGTAAGCGGCAAGACTTCGCAACTAATATTCTGCTTACCGTCTCTTACTTCCCTTTCATATCTAACCTCAAATTGTTGATCATCAGATAGGCTTTCAGAAGTCGCATCAGGTAACGATAGATCACCAGGGGGAGGAGTTGTTACACACCAGAAGTTCTTGCGTATGGCGTTAAGAACGAAGCCGTGCACTGCTTGTCGCAACACTGGAGTCTCATTTTCCAATTGTACACGCATCTTTTCGACCCGTTTGTTCGTGAAATCCTTTTCGGTAAGATCCGAAGCGTGAATGCTCTCCAAATACGTTGAGCATGCTCTGGGGGCACGTTTTTGCAACCCATGGCTCATCAGGATTTCCAAAGCTTCGGCTGACAGGTCCATGCTCAGCTGCAATGATTCCGTCTCTCTGTGGATTGCGCGCGTCAACAATGTATAGGAAATAATACGCCAAGACGTACATGATGTTGCTTAGTCTGAGTGGCTGTACATCCTCCGATAGCTGGTGTTGCTTTTGCTGCATAGGAATATATTCAATCTGCAAGACACCCTGCCTAGTTTCGCCTGGGATCAACGGTGGTTCCAACCTGGCCGCATCAATCAATGCTGCATAACGAGGGTCAGAGTACTGAGGTGCAGGAAGACTGATCTACAACAATTTGGATAGGACATTTGAGCATGCGACATCCAATTGCACAGTCGACGGAGCCTACCGTAAAACCGGATCGTGCGGTTACGCCCTCCCTTTGTTTGTGCGTCTCTGCAACCTGCCAGATAATCTTGGTGGCATCATCATCCGAAATCAATGCCACGATCTGGTCCGCAACTCTCGTTAGATACCTGTTCATCAAATTTTCGGATTCTGCGGCCGTCACGGACACTAATAAGATACAAGTATACCTCATGAAGGTCATACGATTGTGGCGGACTGTGGATATCGGGTTTGTCTCCCAGGTCGTATCTTCGGGCCAGAAGATTGCGTATATGATACCATGATCTTGGTCAGATACGGATTCACGCAATAAGTATAGACCGGAACGCAGGTGAGGGCGCAATGGTTGTCCAGCAGCAGGATTCGGGAGCCGCAGCAGATCAGCCCTGAATACATCTATTCAGAGCCGTTGTTGTAGGGCAGTCACAGACACGTACGTCTTCCCATTTACGACGTTTCTGTCCTTCAGGAAGCGAACAATCTCTTCTTTACTTCCATACAAACCGATGGGCTTCACGATCAAGTTGTCGAGCGCCGCGAAATCAACTTTCATCAACGAAGCATATGCTCCTGGTTGAAGATCGTTGATAAGCCGCCCAAGCGATTGTTGATCAATGATAATCTTGTCCACTAACAAAATAGTGATGAGGTGACGATTCAGCATGGGAGAATATAGGGATTACCGAGCCCACTGCTCCCTTGCTCGGTGATGAGGTCAAGGATCCTGTACATTCCCCGAATAGAGGTAATGAGGTCTAACTCCGATGGTTCGTCGACAAGCACTCTATCGTCTGTAGCGGTCTGCACGATATCTGGTATCACTTAGTCCTAGCTCGGCTAATCACAAAATAAACGGCGAATGACATACTCATGCCGGCGACGTCACCAAAGTCGTGATATTGCTCGCCGGTTGCAGTTTTGGAAAGAGCCTCGCTCATAGTCGAAGACACACAGCGACGGAAGCGGAAAGCAAGACGTTCGCTAACGACTTGCTTGTGAACTGGGACGCCACTGGATGCTCGTTCAACCTGGGAGAACAACCTGCGACTGAGGGATCATCGATCAGGTCTCAAAGTTGGGGTTTCTGCTTTTATCCTCTCGCCAGCGTGCTGAGTAACTCTAATCGTTATCTCATGATAAATGTCTGGCAATAAATTTCATCCCAATCCCTCCGAGGTTGCGATTGTGATCCCGAAGCGAGTGACTATCGATGTCCGAGTCTTTTCCTGTAAAGGGAATAAACGAACGCTGCTCGCAGATGAAATACGTTTACTGAGAACTGAGAATACCCTTTCAAGCTGCACACTCTCAAAATTCCTGCGATCCGGGTTGAACGTTGAACGTTTGAACATCAGGTGCCCGTTAGAGGAAGCTGGATTGCGCGGCACTTCTGGTTTCTTGCCGAGACGACGGGCCTGGAGGCCGGGGCACATCAGTCACCTCGTGCCCGATAGAACCTCACGGTCGCCTTCCGTACCAGCCATAAGTAGCGTGTATCAGGGGAAGCAGGGAGGCGTGCACTCCGTCATGTACCGAAAAGACTGCGCAGTAGGGTGCGGCACAGGTCTGCCAGTCAACTGCACACGTCGTCGACGGCTGCAGCCCTCCATCGATCCCTTACGTCGGTCACCACTTGAAGAGGAGGTCACCGCGCACGACAAATTACAATCCGACTCTGTAGAGCAGAGGTGTGTTTCGGCAACTTTCGGGTCCTCGACTGAGATGCCGGACTGGTCGAGTAGAGTACTTATGAGGAGTAGCTAGTAGATCCCGAGACTAGAATTACGCTGAGAGACGAAGGCGACGCAATAAAAAAACTAGTTCACTTCGGCGGCGCAGTGAGTCGAGAACTAATCAAGTGAACAGATGAGAAACAGTAGAGAGTAATGATTCAGGGCACCAACCGGATCAGGTATGTTATCGCATTATCTGATAAGCCGACCGGGCAGTTGCAGATGCCGAGCCACTTCATCATCGCGTTCCGTCGCGGCTGTTCTGCATTACAAAAGCCTGCGACTCTAATGGACAATCCTCCGCAGCCTCCACCACCATGAGCACCCTCCGCAAGCTCAAGGCATACGTCCTAGGCGGCGACTCGGACCAGTCCGCTGAGCTCAAGGCCGCCGACATCCCCGTGTCCGACGCGGACTGCAGGACCTGCGGCATCCCGTGCGACGCAGGTGCGTAGCCGCGCTCGCGCACGATGCCCTGTTGACCGTGTATAGGGCACGATGAATATCCATCAAGGTTCGATGTAGACATGGAGTCGCAGATGCTTGGCTCCGTAAAGCCCTACCACCGCCAGGTGTGATATTCTGCTCCCCTCGTTTCGTAAAGAACTCTGATATTCTATCGCGCAGCTCGTCATATCCACCGGGAAATCAGACTGGGAAAAAGAGGTGACGGAAGCTGATGGCACCCTCGCATTCTACCTCGATGCCGCGCACGGCGATGCTCCGAAAAAGGGGAAGAAGCCGCCGCCATCCGGCAGCGAGAACGCGGTCCCAGGCGTGTACGACTCGTCCGCGACGAGAAAGGTGACCATTCTGAATGGCAGCCACAACACCGTCTGCGAGGACCCGATGCAGGACACAGTGCTCGTCTTCCCTGACTACAAGGTGGTCACGGAAGTCATGTGCTCGGAGGAGGGAGCGAAGCAGCTGTGGAAGTCCCTTGAGCGGGACGGGCCTGCCCCTGCAGAAGGCAGCCAGGTGAAGACATGGGTGCTGCCGTATAATTGCGTGATCACCATCTGTGAGTGCATTTTATCCGCAGACGTCATCAATGTCTGAACTTGTAGCCCATTATCAGGCTCCCACAAGCGAAGGGACAACCGCTGCGGGATCGCCGCCCCAAAGTTAGCGCACAGTGTGTAGACATGACGTCCATTTTCTCCTTCTAGATACTAAAATTGGATGCGCAGCTTTCCAGGAATCCCTCGAGCGCGCAGGCTGGGAAGTGCACACGCAGCTCGAGGACCCATCGTTTTCCAGCACCGCGTTCGAAGACACCCCCGGCACGCCCGCAGAGAAGGACACCGAGTTCCGCCGCCGCCTCGAGGCCGTCGACTCCGCCGACCAGAAGCGCATGCTCATCATCCGCAATTCTCACATGGGCGGGCACAAGTTCGCCGGCAACGTCATTGTGAGGTCTATTGGCAGGTCTTCCGCGTTGACTATACTGAGTTTGGCCGCTTTATTGCAGATCAATACTCCTCAGGGCTCGTGTGTCTGGTACGGGCGCGTTACGCCGCACGAGGTGGACGCGATCGTGAAGGAGACGGTCATTGGTGGGAAGATCCTCCCGCCTCTGCTACGGGGCGGCATCAACCTCTCTCGTCCTGGCGCTGCGACGCTGCACGATTGGTAACGTCATATACCGACTTCCCTCTTGTACACGTACAACAGACTAGAGATATATATATCGCTCGGGGTCGTTTGCACGGCAGACAGCATCGCAGATGCAGCACTCTCATGCTGAACCTCAGATCCCAACATAGCTGAAGCGAGTGATACGAGAATTCGTCAGGATCGCGGGCGCCCGCGTGTAACGTTACACACTACAAAAATTGTACAATACATGCAATTAATTGCGGCCGAAAGACATATCTCATGCTGTACACGTAACTAGGAGCACAGGCATGCACGCCGTCTACTTCGACCTCGCAGACGTTCGCAAAGTCTACCAGGCAGCGGATCACGGACGTGAATAAAGTTACTGACACATGAAGGGACGTTAGGACGTGAACAATGGCAAAATGGGGCATATGAAGGGTTACGGGTAAAAAAAAAAATTGATAGTAAACCGCGCGGATCGTAGTCGTGTGGTGATACCTGATACGTGGCTCTTAGTGGTAGTAACGCCAGAGCAGCTGGTCCATATGGTAAGGGAACTGATACTGACTTTGATGCTCGGGAATGTCGTTCGATCGAAACATTGAGTTTGAGGCTGGACCAGATCCAGAACAAGACGAAACGTGGTGAAGAAAGGTGTGATGAAAGATGGAAGCAGGAGCATTGCGGAGACGAATGGAGGCGATCACAGACGCAGGTCCTCGTCAAACTCGTCGAGCTGGTTGTCGTTCCTTCTCCGTGCATAACGGCCCGCAGGCGTCTCATCCGCCGGGTCGTCTTCAACCTCCTCTTCCTCCTCGCGTGGCGATACCGCCTGCGATTCCATGTTCTGCGCCTCCGCAAGCATGCCAGCTGCGGCCGGCATGACCGACTCGCCGTGATACGTGAACCCACGGAAGTTCTCCTGCACGCTGCTCGTCAGCGGGCTCTCCGCTGTATCGCGCTTCTTCTTCTTCTTGCTCGCGATCTCGATCCCCGCGGGCGCGGATGGTACAGGTGCTGCGGGGAGGCGATCGCTCCCGAGAGGGCCATTGGGCGTGTGCAGTGAGCCTGCGGTGAGGCTCTGCGAGAGCGCGACCCAGTCCCCCGACGGGTCCTCATCGTCGAGGTTCATGATCTCGTCGGGGCCCGCGTCGCGCACGTCTGCGGAGGTGAACTCCGGATCAAAGTTGGCGACGGACTCGTCGGATTCGACGCTCGGCTTGAACGGCGGTGTGACTTGCTTGAGCGCAAGCGCCTTCCAGTCGATCGTCTTGAAGAACGGGTGCTCCTTGAGCTCCTCTGCATCTCGTTGAGCGCCGAGTCGGTGCCTCGGATTCCGGTTCAAGAGCTGATGCGAGCGTTAGCAATGCATATCGAACATGAATCCGAACGCTACTCACCCCCTTCACAAACTGTTTTCCATCCTCACCGATGACACCTCTTGGGAATCGAATCTTCCCAAAACATATGTTCTTGTACATCTGTTGGGTATCCTCCGCATAGAATGGACTCCATCCACAGCACATCTCGAACAACAGGACACCTAAGCTCCAGAAATCAACGAGCTTCGAGTAGCCATGCTCGTCGAGCAATACTTCTGGCGCGAGGTACTCTGTTGTGCCACAGAACGTGTTTGTTAGCTCGTCCGATCGCAGATCCGGTTTCGAAAGACCGAAATCGCAGAGTGCGACGTGCCCTGTCGCATCTAGCAGAATATTCTCTGGCTTGAGATCTCTGTTGGCGAGGGAGGTTGGTCCCTGTAACGAAGCAACCTAGCAGAAACACCCACCGATACACAATGTCATATTTATGGAGGTGCTCCAGCGCCAAGACTAGTTCTGCAATATAGAATCTTGCCCGCTCCTCGCTGAATCTTGTTTCTCTTTGGAGATGCCAGAATAGCTCTCCTCCACTCTTGAAGTCGGTGATGAGGTACAGATCTGTATCTGTCTGGAAGCTGAACTTCAGGCCGACCAGGAACGGGCTGTCGAGCGAACGCTGGAGGATCTTGCGCTCGCCGATGGTGTGCGCAACTTCCTTCTTCGCGATGATCTCACGCTTCGAGAGTACCTTCATCGCGTATATGCGTTTCGTGTCCTTCTTGCGGACCTGGAAGACCTTTCCGAACGTACCGCGACCAATGAGTTTGAGGAACTCGAAGTCGCGCGGGGTGAGGGCACGCTTGGTCTATTGCGGTGCGGGACCGACGGGGGAAGGCCACAATTACAGTGCGGGGCATCAGATCAACGACGGGGGAGAAGCGCAGAAGCATAGTGAAATGAGCGGACGGGCGCTTAATATGGGTCATGTGCGTACCTTGTTCGCCTCGAACGTGACCTGGATGCGGATTTCCCCACTCACCGGCTCATTGTCGAATGGAAGCAGCCTGGCCACAGCGGAGATAGTGGCGAACGAGCGCGTTGGGGACGGACATTGGGGGAAGCAAGGAAAATTGAGACAGAGCAGCATCAGTCAGCATTTGTCGCGACGCCCGAACAGCGCGGACGGAGCTCACTTGTACCACTGGTCCACTTCGTGGTCGTGTCTGAGTACAGGCTTGATCTGCGTGGTGCCCAGGAACCCCGGGTCGCTCACAGACCGGTCGTACACGTTGACCGTGATCATAGACATATCTGATGTAACATCGCTTTCGAAAGGATGTGAGGGTACAGCGAGAGGAGGACATGCAGGCACTCACAAGGTCACCTCGTGCTTCCACACCGGATTCTGAGCTGATATGCGCGAGCCAAACAATCCGTTCGCTACACCGCTTGGCTTGAGCGCACCGTTATGTGAGGTTGGCGAGCCTGCTGTGCCGCCATGGGCAGAGCTACTCCTGCCAGCAAGTGCACCGAGCGCAGAAATAGCTGTAGACGAACTCGTGCGCGAGACGGTTGGGACACCCTTGACCTCCGAAGCCATCTCGTCGGTCGGCTCGCGGCTGACAAACTCGTTTTGCTCGAACTGGACAACGACGTACGGCCGCGATTGCGACGAGCGCACGTTGAGCCCACGGGCTTCGATGAGCTTGACGTGTATTTGACCCTGAGACGGGGTGGCCGCGCTCATGGATGCTGCGCTATTCGCGGCATGTGCGAGTGCGGTGGTGCCGGCAGAGAGAGACGAAGATGCGGACGAAGCGGGAGAGGGCTGTGCAGAAGACTGCTGAGAGACCTCGAGGCGTTTGGGGGGTGGCGGCTGCTGCATACTGAAGATGGGCGCATGAAGCGAGAGACTGGTGGTGGGCTGAGCAGCGGGCGTGCCGCCAGGGGTAAGGGGAGCAGAGGAAAGATGGGAAGGTTCAGGCGGGTTTGCTCGCGGAAGCGATATGGCGGGCGAGGCGGAGCTTGACGGAGCGAGGATATGGGTTGGGGTGCTGAGCAGCTGGTGATGGTAGGCAGGAACGTGGGCTGCCGGAGAAGGGAGTGAATGCTGCTGCTGGGAGCGAGGCTGCTGGAGAGACGCAGAAAGGTCGTCCGTGGAAAGAGCGTCGAATGGGTTCCGGCGCTCTTTGCCATCTGGGCCTGCCTTCGGCGTGAGATCGGCAGGCGTAGATGGCCAGAACTTGAGCATCTTGTGCGCAGATGCGAGGACGAGGGCGGAGAGCGAGGAAGATGCAGAAGACGGTGGTGGAGGTGGTGGTGTTGTTACAGATGGCAAGGGAGTTGGATGTGCAGAGTATTGGGCTGAGAGCCGGTCGGCTGCGGTCGGCTCGAGCAAGTCTCCACTGGCCATCCGCGCGCTGCCCCCCACTACGCAATTGTTCCAAGTACTTCCACTGTTCTTTTGATGCTCCTCGTGTGCCCTCCTTGACTCATTTTGCACCCTCAATCATATTCAGCCCACGAAAATGCTTTTCGCCATCGTCTACCCATACGCGGTCTAGCCTCAGCTCGACTCACCCCCTCCCATCCCGCCGTTCCGCCACAGCCGCCGCCTGCTCCGCCAGGTTGTCTCTCCCCCACCGCAGTCCGCGGAGCACCGCCCCAATCACCAGCCCCAGCCCCAACGCCCGTTGCGCCGTCTTCCATGGCAGTCGGTCTGTCCAGTCCGGTCAGCACAGCGTTACACGTAGAGCCGAGCGTCTAATAAACGGGGGACGAGGTACGGAATATGGAAGCGAGAGATAGCGGGGGCAAATTTGAAGAATGGGTAATCAGAATCGATAGCAGCGACCAAAGCCACCGAGGTGAGCATCGATACCCAGCCTCGAGCCCAAGCCCAAGCCTTCGACAAATGCGATACGGAGAACTTACACACGACGGAGAACACGCTCGCGGTCCCCATCGCCGCGATGACCTCTTGTGCCTCTTTCGCTAGCCCGTCAACGCGTTCGCACCCCTCCTCGAGTGCGACCCACACGCCCGCCGTCGCTCCCAGCCGCGCGGCCTCCTTTCCCGATTCTTTCATTCCCGCCATCAACACCCGGTAGTTCTTTGTCTTGTTGTAGAAATACCACCCGCGCACTGTCGTCGGCGGCCGGTGCACGTTCTCGGCGAGGAACTGCAGTGCGGCAGTGCGGGCACCGCGTCGTAGGCCGATCATCGCGCCGAGAAGGAGTGCTGAGCCCGGGAGGATGAACAGCCGCGGAGGGATAGTGAGGTGGATGCTTGGCTTGGGTGGTGTGCCATCTGTGTCGGTGCTGTTGGTGGTTGTGTCTGGTGAAGATTGCATCAAAGACGAGGACTTGCTCTGCAGCCACCGGGAAGCGCATTCTTTCGCATGAAAGCCAGATCTGGCAGGTTGCACGATCGGGCGATCTCGAGGCTATGTCTGCCCCTGATCTCTTCCTTGCGTGATCACTGCAGATCTACTAGCTTCGGCATTATGTTACAGCAACAAGCAACTTTATTTTCTTCTTCGCAGTCATTCGGACGCGCCATCCTTGCTGTTGCGGCCGGTCAGTACCCTCCCCTGGTCACGGCTCGACACATTGGCGACAACCCGCTTTTGTCTTCTGGCACTACATAGATCTCGAAGGAAGGTCAGAAGCTATTCATGACTCGCTCCAGCAACGCTTGACTTTCATCTCCGTCATACATACCTGTCGCAGAACTTCGGTGAGTGACCCTTTGTGTCCCATGGTTCGCTTCTTCCTCCACGCCATGCTTGACATCGTGGGCAATCATTCTGCCCAGGTGGCATTCTGTTACATTTGATTTGTGTTCCCACCTCCCTGCTACCAGCACTTTATCATGCACCACTGCGATTCCTCTGACATAGAACCTCTATACAGACTCCAAACGATGGCCGCTCCGCTAGACGACATCCATCCGCTTTCTTGGTACCGACCACGTACGTTTCAGACTTGCTTTCTACTGCATGCTCGTTCTGCGCCGTGGCGTCATCGATCTGGAGGCTCTAGATCGATGAAGCCCCGGCGGGGAGCGCAGCAGTCAGTCCGAGTCCTGCTGTCGAAGCCCCATGGCTGCATTCAGTGCTCTGAAAGGCACTGGCGCCACCTCAGGCCTACATACGGTGACCGTCGGAGCCATGCAGCATGGAAGATGAGTTTATTGGGCATCCGTTGGCGCCGCCTCGGATAGATAAAAGACGCAGCTGGCACTGCCTGTAGACGTGCCTTGGTGACTGTCGGAGTGTTGAAAGCATAGCCAGTGGAGCCATGCAGGGTGGAGGTTGGGTTCATGGGGGATCCGTGACTCTCTTGATGCTCCGGAATTGTACTTGCTAGGCTTTTGATGTAATGTCACACCTTACAGATTAATAGACAGGATGTACGAATTGTCACAAACTTATTGAACATCATGCGCAGGCTCTGACGATGAACAGTAATGATGCTAACGTTCCGATGGGGGATTTCGAACGACTTCACAGCGTGAAAGCCGGGTATAGTAGATATTTTATTGTACGGCGGAGACCATAACATCGTCACAGTTCAGCATCAGGCAGTGGGAAAAAATCCGAGCGTTCAGTGAGCGCGAAGTCGCGAAAGCTACATCACGACGTATTGACGGGAAGAGTTTTCTGGGCGAGAACCCTTCTTCATCACCGGCGAATCTGCGGTGGATGACGGCATCGCGACCCTCACGGTATTCGGTGCATTCTGCCGGTGGATGTCTTAATTTATGATGATGCTGAATACCTGAAGGATTGGAATGTACAAGCAAGCAAGAGGGACTCTGCTGAGACTCGAGAGCAACTTCTACGAACTTCATTGTGGCGCCCACAATGGTCAACTAGTGCACCTTCCGCGACCGCGAATACCATACAACCACGTAGCCTCATGTACATACGGCGAACAAGCTATAAGCATCTCACAACTGACCAGCAGTGCTCTATGCACGGCTCTGAGAGAGAGAGCTTTGGCCGCTGCCGTGCAGACGATGGCCTCGTTTGGCCCCTGCAAGCAAAAGAATACACAAACAAACTCGGGACAAATTTGTTTTCCTTCGTTTTCAGCTATGTGAGGGTGTTTGAGACATACACTCGATACGTACTCTTCCCTCCGCACCCCGCATCCCCGCCATCGATGTATGTTGAGCAACTCGAGGGCGCCGCCGCCCACCGCGCGCGGCGAGGTGGCCTGGTCCGTGCGTGCCCAGCATCAATTCACACGGATGACATAAGCCCGCTCTGTGGCTCGACTCGTTTCCGTCCATCTCCAACGCCACTGCGCTGCCCTCCCGCTGGCCCCCAGACGAAAGCGGCATTCGACAATGGCGCAACAGCCTCCTCAGACGGTCATACCGCCTGACATGATGCAGCCGCCCCCGCCGTCAATGCATGCGGTCAACTCGTACTATCCCGATAGCTCGACGGACATCACGGGTGGTCTGCCTATGAACTTGGACTCGCTTCGGGATGGTCCACCGGGCACAAAGCCCTTCTATCCATACTCCACGCTCATACGGTGCGTTGGAAGTGAAGAATGGCCGTGGAAGAGACTCATTTGATGCCACTCATCAGATACGCGATCAAGGGTGCGCCGAATCAGAAGCTGCTGCTGGAGGACATTTACTACGCTATCGAATCGAGAGTGAGTTATCTCTTGAGTGTGTCGCGTTCCCATACTGACTTATGCGTCTAGTTCCCTTATTTCAGGACAGCTCCACCAGGATGGAAGGTGAGTTTACGATCCCACTACGTCGAGCCGATCCAACATGAACGTCGCCGATTCTCTCAATTAGAATTCTGTCCGACACAATTTATCGTTGAACCCATGCTTCGAGAAAGTACCGCGCCCTCTGACGGACCGTGGGAAGGGCTCATACTGGACAGTCAACGACAACGTCGATCCTCGAACGGGGGTGCATCGTGTGCGAAAGAAGAAGAACAAGGGCGGGAGTGGCAAGGGGCGGGCGAGTAGGCTCGAAGAGGATATTGACTACCATCCTCCGACCGAAGAGCAACCTTTCGATCCGAACTTTGTGCCACCGTCTATACGGCCAGTGGAGGAAGGCCCCAGCGCGCAGCCTCCTGTATACCCTCCCCCTCACTATCCGTACGTCCTCTCTGCTGTTAATTCAACTGCCACTGACTGGCACACGTAGATTTGATCCCTCGTTCGCCGTGATGCCTCCACCAGGCCAAATTCCTCCAGATCAGATACGTTTCCCGCCGCCACCCCTTTTCCCTCCCGACGAGCAGTTCGAGTTGGACGAGCGTGGCAACGTCAATTGGCACGCTGCCTGGCTCAAGGAGCTCGCGCAGCTGCAGCATATGACGGAGGAGCAGCAGAAGGCGGGTGCGGATCAGGAATGGTACAGGATGATGCTCTTTCGCGTGCGCAGTGCCATGATGGCACCGCCGATGAACCCTGGGGAGCCCGTCCCTGGTGCGCCGCCGCATCCGATGCAGGGCCAGCCGCCAAACCCTGTAGATGTCCCGAGGGAGCCGTGATGGAGGATGGGATGGTTGGTGCTGACGTGTCTGCTGGCGAGGGTAGTCTGCGGGACAGAGCTCACCGGTTGGAGGCTATGTTCTCTTTTCGCATACTACTATATCTTCACACTTTGGTTTCTGGACGTACCGCTCTGATGGTAATGCGACATTGGTCATTTTATCTGCACAACATCTTGCTGGCTCTAAGATGGGACGTTGCGTGATGTGCATCATGCAGCGGATAATGGTTAATGGGCCACAAGCCTCTTGCCGCCCGACGTGGCCTGTGGCCCAGCGCGATCAGTTCTGATCAGTTGTAGCGAGGCGCCATAGTACTATAGACACGAGGTTGGCACTGAGTCCGACTTCGAGCTCACCATCAGGATTCATCGAAGCTTCGCAGACCAGATCCTATCTCGCGCTTTTCATCAGTCTGTCACAGACATCGTTTCTCAATCATGACTTCACACTTCTACGAAGTTGCACTCTTTGGAGAGTTCTTCTCCAGGGATCTGTCAGGTCTGGTAGCTGCATTCTCATGTTCGGCTATGACTGAGCAGTATTCGTCACATAGCTATCATGAATCGAATCACTCTCCACAGCGAATCCGCACATCAGATGCATGCGCGGGAGCTGGTGTACGAGCCATACGATGCTCAGCACCAGAGAGACCTGGGCAGCGAGCCGGTCCTGCTTCGAGCACGTAAGGAGTTGTTGGAGCCTGACGCGAAATGGCGAGTTGTTACAATTGCACTTGCGGTGACTGACCTTAGCTTACGTCCCGGATGATCCAGGACGCTATACTCGTACCTCAAGCCCGAGTCTGTGCGCGTGCATCCTGAGGCGACAGTAAGACCGTGGGCCACCCTTCAGGTGGTAGGTAATGCCCTCAATTTCGCATCAGCTCTGGGATACATGTGCGCGGTATTTTCACTTGACTCTGTATCGCTTGTTCACGTTCCGAACGGACAGCCGGAGATCGCAAATGTACAAGCGTGGTTACGTTTTTCGACGAGGATTGCTGGTCATCCAGATGTTACAACAAGAGCAGGTGTGTTTGCTGTCCTTGATTTCGTTCTTTTTAGTCTCTCCTCATGATGGCACATCGTAGGTCGATCCGAAAACACAAAAACCGCTTCCTGCACATGTCGATACGTTGTGGGAAGTAGAAGTAAAGACCGCCGCCCCAGTCAAAAACACTCAAGAAACTCCGCTGAAGAACTACGTGGACGCAGTCCTCGAGGTGCAGCTACTCATGAAGGGCCTGCTCGATCTCAGACGACAGGATGTATGATCATCCTCGAACAAGTCATTGGTCTATATGCAAGGCGCAATATACAGAAACAAAACAGTCGCACAGGAGCTCTATCCGTCATCGTTTTGTTCTTCCTCGCTCGAGTCGCCCCAATCGACCTCCTCGTCATCACCATCCGCGAAACCAGGTAGTGCGCTGGCTGCTCTAGGGTCTCGGAGCGCGCCTGCCTGGCGGAGCTGTTCAAGCAACGTCGCTATGTCTTCTGGCTCTGCCTGGAACTCATCGTCCGTCTCGCCTTCGGCATCCTCGTCGCATAGCCCATCGTCATACGCTTCGTCGTCTCCCAAAGTGTTAGCATTTCCCGGCGGGCCAGAGTTCGGTTCACGCTGTGTATCTGCGTCGTCGTCACTGCCAGCATACCCGCCGAGCAAGTCGAGCACGTTCTGCTCCTCCTTCTCCCTGCCGTCTTCATCGTCACTCCCGTAGCCAGTCAACAATCCTGTGATGGCTTTCTTGCCGGCCTTTGCACTGAGCTTCCGCCTCTTCGGCTGAGGTTCCTCATCGCCATGGAGAACAATGCCTTGATGATCGACTATAGTCCCGTGGAATATGCCATCCTCCCAGACCTCTATGGTCGGAAACTCTACAAAGTTCTTGTGCTTCAGGTTGGCTCCGAGGGACTGCGAGGGATCAAGTTTGTAGTAGCCTTCGCAAATAATGTGACCAGGGCGTGGAGCGCCGTAACCCGTGCGTGTTTTCAGAGATGACAGAGGGTCAAGCGGTGTGCGCATCACACAAGTTGGCGGCATGAAAGCGTCAGGGACATCTACGTCAGGAAAGACAAGCGAATGTATCCACGACGGAAGAGGGTCAGCCTTCTTGGATTTCCCTCGCTCGTTCATTTGATCTTGCAAGAGTGAAAGCAGAGATTTTTCAAGCGCATTGCGGTGTGTCAACAACGTGAAGGGTGGACTGGACGCTTGGGAGGAAGGAGCTAACGGGTCTCGAGGAGGGTGGAACCTGAACTCAACAGTAAGGAGGGCAGTCCGGTTTCTGCAGATGATCCATGGCATTCATGAAGTTCTCGTATGTACAATGAAGAACTAGTGCGTACTTGAAATCCCATGTCGACTGGTTGAGTATTCGTCTTTCCATACCATTCGGCAGCAGTTCCATCTCAATGTCCCGGAAGTCGAGTGACATCTTCAGCACCTCACGCTTCGATCTGAGTTTGCCACCACCAGCGGGTCCTCCCCTCATCCCACGCCCCCGACCGCGGCTCCTCATCGGAGTGGCCCGAACGCGCCCAACCTCTTGGGTACTCGCCGTGTATCTGCCCTGCACAATCTCCCGCCCCCAGTCGCCAACTCTCCTTCCCACATCCTCCAGGAATGTGTAGTCGCTCATGAGCGCCATGTAGCCATATTGGTTCATGGGAACATAGGCTGCCTTGTTCCTCACCCCGGAGCACCCCTCATCGCGGGTCTTGTGAGCTGTCGAGCATAGCAGAGAGCATGTCCGAATGGAGCAGCGGGGACAGGTATAGACTGCAGGTTTGGTTGAACAGATAGCACAGAATGGAGATTGCAACGAAACAGCGCTAGTAGTCGCCTGCTCCTCTGGTGAAGGATCATCTTTTGCCGACATGGACACTTGCTATGCTACGAAGGACTTAGAGGGAGAAAGATGCAAGCCGTGCGTGCGGAGAGTCTAAGAGATGCGATCAGAAGAAATGCGTCGCACGTGATGTCACTCATTCAACGCTGAGGCCTGACTTGCTTTCCCGCGAAGAATGCACAAGTAATGTATATATCGGAGAGCTGTGAACTCAACGTAGAGACCAAGAAAGAGTTGATACAGTATGTAATCTATGGCGCAAGCTTGCGGTGATGAGAGTGTGGTAGTCAATAACACGGCCCGATCAAATGTCATCCATGCCGAAATCAAGCTCGACTTTCTCTCCCGGCTTGAAGGCAGGAAGCCCTAAGAAATTCAACATGACTTGGAGTGAACCAGATAGTCAAACATAAGGTGACCAACGAACCTCGATAAGGACAGCTTGAGCAACGGAATGCATCCCCCAAGTAACAATTTCCGCAACTGCTGGTTGCTTTGGGAGTGGCAGCGGCTGCAGCGATCAGCCGATCCTTCTCGCTCTGAGATACCTCCATTGTCTGCCCGCTCTCAGAGCCATCCAGTATCACCACCTTGCTCCTCGCCAGCTCCTCCGCCTCCAGTTCCGCCAACCCGCACGTGCAGCCCTTACAGGCCTTCTTCTTCCGAGGTGCTCCCGAGGACACAGGCTCACATGTAGCTGGACGCTGGCGGTCGGCCTCCGTCAGAAGACTCTCCGCATCGATAGTGGGCGTAGATGGTGCATGCAGCGTCCAGAGTGCTTTCTTAGACGCTTTGTCGGTCTTCCGCCGGAGAGGGAGGGATGTGATTGGAGCTCCCTGCAGGGAGACACTCGCAGAATGTGCAGGCTTTTGTGCAATAAGCGACCCATCCGGTGCGGCGGTAGACAGTATTGTGAAGCCGGCAAGGATGAGGTTGGAAGGAAGGCTGGGAAGGGCAGAGGAGAGATGAAGAATGTGCAGCGTTCCCAGGGGCTCCAGCGCCGCAAGCAACTGCGCCAATAGTTCGGACAACCTGGATGCCAGAGCATCATACTCTGATGGCGACAAAGCAACATATACGGAAGAGAAGCTAGAGGGCGTCAGCGTCGTAGCTGCCAATGATTGCGAGTGAATATGTCAGCTACGAGATTCGGGGGTGATGGTGTTGCCGCACACACCTCTATCCAGTATCCTGTCCACCATGTATCTTTCTACATATCTTGTCTCCTGGAGACTAATAACGAGCGACTGGTACTTCCCATCCTCTGCTGTCACAGGGGAACCTATGGCGAGAGCGGGGCCCTTCATAGGCACAGCGGCGATCACTGGCTGGTCATTCGTCACAACGGGTGAAGCGTAAATCGCTGTGGGTGCCATTTTGTGGATGTCTGCGAAGGAAGTGGGGGTTGACGGAAGAAGGAAAGTGGGGATTTACGGAGGTCTTGCGAGTGGGGAAATGGTGAGATGGAGTTGGAGTTGCTTAGTGAGGCGATTTCGATCCATCGAGCAAACAATTTCCGGACGCCCGGCGGCAAAGAGTCATCATGTTGTCACACTTCGCGATGTCACGCAATCAGTCACGCCTGATCGCGTCTGTGGCGGTGAGTAACGCGCTGGGCCAATCAAAAGCAGGCAAAATGTAGGTCTGAGCGTAAAGTGTGTGCTGAAAAGTTGACTCCAAAGTGTCTCATTAAAGAATACAGAGAAAGTATAAATCACAGCTTCCACACTTGATCCCGTCTAAAGCCCAACGAACCAAGTACTCCGCCTACTGTGCCCTGTGAAAAGTTCTTCCCATACGGACCAGCTATGGAGGAGATCATGCTATCCGAGAGTCAGCCACCAACACCAAAGCACCTAGAAGCACGCACGGCTCCGGCCCGCAAACTAGGAAAAGGATTTTCCTATCCACGTCCTTGTCGGACGCCCGCTTGGAATCAGAACGGAAAAAGAATGGCCACCAGCTTTGTGTTTTTGGTTCTCCATAGACAGCTTGTTCGACAGCGGTCTTTTCAATTCTCCCCAAATGGAGATTCGACGATGAAACAAGGGGATGTTCTGGACCGTCTAGCGAATCGACGAACAGACCAACTTTAAGACGATCCGAGTGCTTTTGAGCTGCCAAAAGTAAGGGCTCGAGCATGTCCGGCGGTGGCAATTCAATGGGGTTTGGCGAGGAGTGCAGAAGAGTGAACTTTGTCTTCGAGGCTTGCGCTGGATTCTTCAGCATCATTGCATGCAGCAACTGGTAGAATGGGGTAACACCGGTGCCTCCAGAGATCTGATACGGCCGGAAGGCCATATGTAGCTATCCAGACGCTCTCGAAACAAGTCATGACGCACCATGACAACCTCGTCCCATGTTTCGTCTTTCCATATCCACGTCTTCACCGGTCCTCGTATCTCGATCTTATCTCCGACTTGCTTTGAATGCAGCCACCGACCAACTTCACCCTTTGCATATCTCTTGATCCATAACCGCATTTTCCCCTCCTCATCTATTCCAGTGAGGGGCGTGTAGGGTCTCTCGACCTGTATATCGTCATCTTTGACGTAGATGGACCAGATCGGAGCAAATGTGGTCTGCTCTAGTGACTGTATGCATTGCGATGGCACAGCCAACGTCATCAGGCGGAAGTCCGAGTCGGCACAGAGTTTGCTTTCAGTGAGCGTAGCAGGAATGAAGTGAGTCGGAGATAGGAGCGCATTGGTGTACGTCGGTGCTCCTCGTGGAGCATCAGGCCAGAAGAAGTAGTAGGAGATTATTGCAGCCCCAGCAGCGAGACCACCGTAGATAAGAGGTCTCCTCCCCGTCCCCGCAGCCGGTGCAGAGTATGATCTGAATTGTGATAGACCATTTGCGCGGCTAGTAAGATACTGACAGGCCTTGCGGTGGCATACATTGTGAAGGCGACGGTGGCCTATCGAGATCATCCTCAGGCTTGTCCCGACGTTGAGTTCCCTTTTAGGCACGGACGCGGTCACGTGCTGTAACGAGTTCAAGTTGCAGACGTCGAACGCTCGGAGCAAGCCCTTTTCCCGCTCGTACCATACTCTAGGCTCGTTTAATGTCTTGACTCTGACTCAGGGACACATTCTATTTATTCTTCATCTTACGATTTTTACGACCATGAAACGTTCTTACGACTATAGTTTTGTAGACGACACAGACGACACTACCGCAACTATCAACCACTCCTTGGACAGACTTAGCGCGACGCCGGCGACGCATACGACTGATGGCTTCTACACTGGGTCACAATGCCATTCCTTGCTGCACTCTGGACTCTCTGGTACACCCACTCTCCAACTTCGGGTCCCTCTCCTGCCAGTAGCAGGTCCTGCCGACATTGATTCTGATTTCCAATCCAACGCTGGCGATATCGGTCTCCTGCAGTCCCATCTACAGGCGAGCAGCCTGCAGAAGCTCGCTTCTACTCATGGCCAGTCTACATCCCAACTGACGGGACTCGGGATCTGCTACGATGATCCCTCATTCCCTGCCGTTCTTCAGGATGTCCCAGATAGATGCGAAATCGTGATGGATACACGAGAAGAAATCACTGGAAACCCTACACGAACGTTGAGCCTTGATAAGACATGTCATATACACTCTCCAAAATTTGATTTATTGGAAGAGCTCTTGCAGACGAGTAATGGCAATGCCTATTCTGAATATCCCAGCCAGGACTTCATGGCGCATGCACCCTCCCTACTTTTTGCTTCGATCTCATCTCTTCCGTCGCTCTTATATCCAAGTAGTTCCGAGGACAGCTCAACTGCAAACATCAAGACGAGGTCACCGAAGGAAGATTATCAAGACCTGCTGGAGTCTCCGACGACGAATGCCAGTCATTGGCCGCCTATCTGTGAGCCTGTTGTCGGGATATACGCTGATGTCAATTTGCGCGAGGTCGCCACAAGACACGACCTCCCACAGCTCGCAATTGACCCTGCGATACTCATAGGCGACTCGAATTTCGCAATCAAGACAGAGCAACCTGAGGTCGACACTCTTGCAGACGTGCTGCGGTCTACCACTGATTGTTCTCCTGCTCTTGTCGCTCCGAGTGCGGTGCAGCTTGGAAGTCCCGACTTCTCCAAGGAAGCTATTGACGCTATAGTGGCTGTCCTCTCTCGCAAGCGCGAGGAAGACGCTGCGGAAGAGCCAAATTCCATTGCGCAGATGTCTGCTCTATCTGTTGCGCAACCTCAATCTTTGATCTTGACACCGGTAGTGGGCTTGCCCCAACCAATGAACGCCCCATTCGGTGAAATTCTCGTTGTTCCACCACCACCGCCATTGTTCACTGCTCAAGGCTTTGTACCGACCCAGCATGATGGCCGCGTACCTTTAGGAGAGATATTCGTACCCCAGGTCCAAGCCACACCTCCTCAACCAAATGCTCAGACCGTCGACCACGGAAGTCCGGTGCTCAATGCACACCTAGGAATTGAGCTAGATGATCTTCGCCAGCGCGCCGACGGCTTCAGGGCACGTAATCCTGGACGCGATATTGACAAGAACTGGCTGCAGTGTTTTGCTGGGCGGCTCTCTTCGCGTGGCGAATTGATTGACGACTATCGGTGCTATGTCAATGGGTGTTCCCAGACTAATAGGAGGAGAGACCATATCCTCGTCCATGTCGGCTCACATGTGGAGTATCGGCCATTTACGTGCAGCCATTGGTATGGTCTCTTGTGGATGCAAAACGTTTGAGCTGACCTCTGCCTTCCATGTCCGTACAGCGGAATGCGCTTCTTGCGCAAGAACGAATGCAAGAGGCATGAGTCGAGTCATGGAGGACTGAAACCATATCATTGCGAGTTGTGTGGACAAGGTCGTAGCTTCGTGCGACAGGATCTCCTGAAGAGACATATGCGCGTGACACACGGTGTGCAGTCAGCCCCGGCGGACCGGCGCAAACGGCTGAAAGTGGAGGAGGGCGGGTACTGGCCGTAGACCAGGTGACATTGGTGTAGAGCTTTTGCATGTATGCATCAACGGAGGCCGATACCATCGTACATTTCGCATAATCAATATGCCGTCATATCACGGAAAGAATTGCATTGTGTGATACAACAGGACACCTGTGCCCGTGGATATGCCATAAAGCAAAATACATGCAAGTCACGACCATACACGAGAGATCCATGCGAGTGAGGGAACGGACGAAAGGGAGTGCATCGAGGGCTATAGCAGGCTCAGCAATAAATAGCGAAGCAAGATGAACGTTACCGCAATCACTGTGGGAAACTTGCACCGCTCCAATCCTCTTCTTCCTGCATCAGCAACGGGTCAAAAACTTCAGCGCCTGCCTCGATACCCTGAAATCGGAACGCCCCTGCAGGTAACGACCGAGTACTGTCGCGTCTGAAGGTTCTCCGGAGCGGTCTTGTCGGTCTACTTTGTGCAGTTGATGCATTAGGCGACTGGACGAGGCTTTCCGATGTATTATCTTCACCGGGAGACCGATCCACTGTATTTGAGAAACTTCGTCCTTCCTCGATCTCCTCGAGCACGACAAGCTTGCGCTTCCTCGTTGATGATGGTGATGGTGCGAAAGAAGAGTTGGGGTTTGTTGCATAGTCCAAAGAATATACATCTCTGAGTGTATCATGCGCAGAACGGAAAGGAAGTGATTGAGTGAATGGCAATCTGGGCTTTGCAGGAGAGACGGTGGGGGAGACGGGGGCAGATGTCGCATATCCTTCGGTGGCACCTAGAAGGTTAAAAGACGCGTAACTTTCGTCAGTTCTACGTGTCGATACATTACATCCGTAAACATCTTACTCTTTCTTACCCTAGAAGCCATGCTTCTGAGGCGTGCCCTCAGGTCTGGGTCGAGACTAATTGACGACTACGTGAACCCACTGCCACTCACTTCGCCATTAGACGACTATTTACCCAGTACTTTCATTGAAGTTCAAGTCCTGACCGGGGCCAAGCTGCTCGTCGGTGAATGGGCGTTTGGTCACATGACACGCGTCGAGGAGACGTAATGTGGCACGACTCAGCGTGCACGCTGCAGGAACACTCCTGTCCTGGGTCCTTCTCGGCGTGCAACTCGCATCGCTCATGTATACTGGCCCACTTGCTCATTCTTCATGATGGACGACACCCATGTGTCTCCCTACATGCCTCTCCGCGGCGAAGGCTATTGCGCTATGCGCGGATCCTGTGGGTCTAAGGATTGGTTCGGGAAACCTCTCCCATGTCCCTACGATGGTTCAGCGTCCAAGGCAAGTTTGCCATTCGCGCACATATTATGTACTGATTGGCGAACAGGACGATGTGGACCGTGACCTTCTTGTGTCGCTCTGCGGTGCAGAGTTTGCAGAAGGACCTGCTTGCTGTACGACGGATCAGTTGGAGACCATGCGTGACAACCTCGGAGTAGCAGAGAACATTATTTCGTCTTGCCCTGCGTGTCGCAACAACTTCCGCAATTTCTGGTGCAGCTTCACATGCTCGCCGAACCAGGCTACGTTTCTGAATGTCACCTCCACTCAGCGATCTCGCACAGGCCAAGAGGCTGTCGAGTCAGTAGACTTCTTCGTTTCGGAAGACTTCGGTCGCGGTTTCTTCAACAGCTGCAAGGACATCAAAATGGGCAGCACGAATGGATATGCAATGGACCTCATTGGGGGAGGTGCGAAGAACTATAGCGCCTTCCTGAAGTTTATGGGTGACGTGAAGGATATGGGCAGTCCATTCCAGATCAACTATCCTTCATCACCTGTAGGAGACATGGGGTCATTGGACGCGATACCACGTAATTGTGCCGACAATGATCTGGAAAGTCGATGCACATGCATTGATTGTCCTGATGTATGTCAGGCCCTTCCATCCATACCTGCACCAGGGTCAGAGCCAACATGTCATGTTGGCTTGATCTCATGCCTGACATTCGCTTTGGTTGTCCTCTACTCGTTGGCAGTGGTCTCGTTCCTGCTTGGGTATGCTTGGCAATTCGGCATTCAAAAGCGGAAGTCATACGAACGCATGGCACTCTCAGCGGATGCTGCGTCAGAATATATCGTTTCTCCGCGCGCACATACACGCGGTCTCGTAGGCGCATCATCACTTGGACAGAATCTCGACGGGGAAGAGTCGACGGGTACCCAAACCGACTCGCGCAACCTCGGCCGCGGAGCATCATTACTGGACCCCCTTGAAACAGTACAGCCACGGCAATATCGATTGAACAACGTGCTCCGTCGCGCATTCTACCGCCTTGGCCTGTTCACGGCTTCCAATCCTTCATTGACGTTTGCACTCGTTTTCGCTGTAGTAGGGCTGCTTAACCTAGGATGGAAGTATTTTGAGGTCGAGACAGACCCTGTCAGGTTATGGGTCGCCCCAAATTCAGAAAGCAAATTGCAGAAGGAATACTTTGACGAGCATTTTGGACCTTTCTACCGCACGGAACAGATCTTCGTCACATCGTCAGCATCATCGTTCGATCTCGCACCGACTGCGGAGACCTCCTTAGGCAAGGGCAAGCCATCAGTACTCTCATGGAGACATTTGAAGTACTGGTCTGACGTCGAGGCAGGCATCCGTGCGCTTAGCTCCTGGCCGAATGGCTATACTCTCGAAGATGTATGCTTCAAACCTGCAGGACCCGATGGTCATTGCGTAGTGCAGTCAGTTCTTGCATGGTTCGGGAACGACCTGGACGCGTACGACCCAGACACGTGGTCATCTCATCTTCTTGAATGCGCCAATTCTCCCGTGGAATGTTTACCTGACTTCCAGCAACCTCTTGCGCCTCAATACGTGCTCGGCGGAGTACCTGGACAAGACGAATCAAAGGAGTACCTGGATGCAGAGGCGCTTGTCATCACTTACGTCGTGTCCGACTCACTAAATCCAGAAGTACAGGCGCGCGCTATGGAGTGGGAGAGGACGCTACGAGACTATCTGCAAGTTCTCAGTAAACGAGCTCCCGTCGAGGCAGGGCTTGAGATTGCGTGGTCCACCGGCGTCTCACTCGAAGAGGAGATCAACAAGAGCACGAACACGGACATCAAGATTGTCGTCCTGTCATATCTTGCCATGTTCTTCTATGTATCTTTCACCCTGGGACATGGTTCTTCCATGCGTCCCGAAGAGGGCGTCTGGGCCTCGTTTACGGAATGGTTAGGCAATCTGTCGAGGTTTTTCAAGCGAGAACAGGTGTCCCTCTCGTCCTTGTCAATCGACTCACGCAATACCCCGCGTCTCTTTCCCCGGCTGCCACGCAGCTTATTTATCGATTCAAAGTTCACGTTGGGTTTGTTTGGGATTTTCCTCGTCCTGTTATCCATTTCTACCTCGGTCGGATTTTTCTCTTGGGTAGGCGTGAAAGTTACGCTCATCATTGCCGAGGTTATACCATTCCTGGTGCTTGCAGTCGGCGTCGACAATGTCTTCATTCTTGTTCACGAGCTGGACCGTCAGAACATACTTCACGGACCTAATGCCGCCAACACGACGCAAGATATTGCATCCCCCATGTCGCCGACACAATCGCGGAGTCGTTCGCAGTTTGATTCGATGCACTCTCACGAGGACTCGATTGACGCGGTCTCGACCCCATTATATCTGTCTGCGGAGGAGCGTGTTGCACGTGCATTGGCCAAGATGGGCCCATCCATCCTACTGAGTTCTGTAACGGAAACAGTAGCGTTCGCGTTAGGCGCACTGGTCCCAATGCCTGCGGTACGCAACTTCGCGCTGTATGCTGCTGGAAGTGTTCTGTTGAACGCTAGCCTGCAAATTACGGTGTTTGTTAGCGCACTCGTCATCGATCTGAAACGCGTTGAGGTAAGCCTTGTTATATACTGCTGGGAACTTGCTGATGTCATTTTTACAGTCGAGTCGTGTCGACTGCTTCCCTTGTATTCGATTGCCTTCTCGCATCGCTCTTCCCGATGAGCATGTCAACGGCAGCGGTCTGGGCAGGATCGGTCGGTTCATACGTCGGTATTACGCTCCATTCCTCCTGCGGCCTGTCGTCAAAGGCGCCGTCTTGCTGACATTCATGGGCATTCTTTTCGCGTCCATTATTTCCATGCAACATATTGGGCTGGGCTTCGGTGAGCGACCTAATATACTATCTGGTTCCTCTGTTGACAGTTTACGTGCAGATCAGCGTCTGGCACTACCATCAGAGTCCTACCTGATCCCATATTTCGACAACCTGGATGCTTATCTGGACATTGGACCACCTGTTTACTTTGTTGTTCACGACGTAGACGTGGAATATCGGCCAGGACAGCAGGAACTCTGCGGTCGCTTCACCACGTGCAAGGATCATTCAGTTGCCAGCATCCTAGAAGCCGAGCGCCAACGGAAAGAGGTTTCATTTATCGCAGAGCCTGCCGCTTCATGGATAGACGATTTCTTCAACTGGCTCGACCCTGCGCATGAGAAGTGCTGTCGCGTTCGGAAACGCAACCCCGATATCTTCTGCAGTGATAGAGATTCCCCCAGATTATGCCAGATGTGCTATGAAGACCATGATCCAGCGTGGAACATCACGATGACTGGCTTGCCCCAGGGTGAAGAGTTCATGCGGTACCTGAACCAGTGGCTCATCTCACCGACTACGGAGGACTGCTCCCTTGCAGGAAAGGCATCGTTTGGCGCGGCGTTGTCACTTTCTCCCGATCGCGACGAAGTCATCGCGTCCCATTTCCGCACGTTCCATACACCATTGAAGTCCCAGGCCGACTTCATCAACTCCTTCTCGGCAGCTCATCGTATAGCCGACGATTTGTCCAAGGAGAGTGGGATGACGGTCTTCCCGTACTCGCTGCACTACGTCTTCTTCGACCAGTATGCGCACATCGTTGCCATCACGGAGCAAATCCTCGGTCTTGGTCTGGCAGCTGTGTTGCTGGTCACTGCGCTGTTGCTTGGCTCATGGAGAACAGGAACGATCGTGACAGGTGTTGTGGCCCTCACAGTGACCAGTGTCATGGGCATCATGGGTGTGTGGGGCATCATGCTGAACGCGATCAGCCTCGTCAACCTGGTCATATCTCTCGGCATCGCAGTCGAGTTCTGTGCACATGTGGCGCGCGCATTCATGAGCTCGGGCTCGGGCCTGCCAGTAGACCATCCTGCGGGACAGAAGGAACGCAATGAGCGGATGTATACGGCACTGATCGATGTTGGCCCATCGGTGAGTTGATTAGTGTTGCCTAGCCCAAGGCGATGCATTGATTCTTTTTCCTAAGGTTCTGTCCGGTATCACTTTCACCAAGCTCATTGGCATGTGCGTTTTGGCTCTCACCCGATCACGATTCCTGGAGGTCCGTAGCGCACTCGTCCTAGGCAAAGACGTCACTAATCTCTTGTGTCTGGAAGATCTACTACTTCCGCATGTGGATCACGTTGATTATCTCTGGCGCCTTGCACGGATTGGTGCTGCTCCCCGTCATCCTCAGCATAGCTGGAGGGCCTGGATTTCCTCTCCAGGAAGCTGATGAAGAGTGGATGTCTCATGCAATCAGACATGATTACGAGTATACGTGAGTGTTCCTATCTTCTCTATCTGCTAAAGGTACCTGAGCCTTTTTACAGGCCATTCCTTGCTGATGATGACTCAATGACCAGCGATTGAAGGAAATACCCCCTTCGCGCAGATTGTACAGATATGTATCATGTATAGTAGCCACTTACTGAACATTGTAGTGGACAATATTACATGCGAATTTTGGGAAATCATAACAGCATAGCAAAATGGAACACAAGAGCAAGCAATATAGTGTCCTAATCTCTGGGCGACCTCGACCTGCTATCTCTGATGTCGTCGCGGCTGTGGCTCCTCTTTCCCCGGCTAGGAGAGCGACTACGGCTCCGGCTCCGCGAATACCGCGAATATGACGAGTATGACAACGAACGGGAGCGAGATCGGGGTGTGAGAGACCTTGTGCGTGAACGACTGGAGCGTACAGAATAACTTCTGGAGCGAGAACGTCTCCTATAGCCTGTTCCTCCTCGCTCGTAACTGGGTGATCTCCTTCTGGGAGCCAGACGATCTCCTCTTCGAATAGGCGAACGGGACCTGGATCGCGAGTAAGGTCGGTATGTGTCTCTTGGAGGAGGGCCCCCTCTGCGGCCGTATCCTCTTCCACGATAGTCATTGTAACGCGAGCCGCGTCCGTACCGTCGTGGTGGCGAACGCGAAGGCGATCGAGAGCGAGATAGGGACCTTAGTCGTTCGCGACCGTAGCGGCCGCGAGGAGGTGGGCGAGGAGAACGCGAGCGCGAGCGAACTGGGAGCTCAGATAGTTCAACTTTGAGAATTGCACCGTCAAGCTGGCCTCCATCCATGTGCGACGCGGCTTTGTGTGCGGACTCGGCATCCGCATATTCGAGGGCGGCCTTCCCTCTGTTTTGTCCGGCTAGAGATCCCATCAGCTGTATTTTCGAGTGACATGAATACTTATACATACACTTCCCAAAGAGCGGGAGGTCTACTTTGATGATATCGCCGTAGAAGCCAAATATTGTGCGCAAGTGCGACTCAACTACATTGCGAGTGAGGCTGGTGACGATGACCACTTTTGCGTGCGTCTTGTCGCCGTCATGTCCATTCTCCATGTCGACATCGTCATCGTGCAGGGGACGGGGTGAAATTGAGCGTCCTCTCTGCGACATTGCTGTAACTTGCGAACGTCGTCGACAACAGTGTGGAAGCAGCGTTAAAGCGGTGGTGTCACACATCGCTTGTCACACGTTGGAAATGAACATGAGATTGAGATCGGTGACTAATTTCCTCCAGCCACTGCTGTGGCGGAAAGTACTACTTACTCTTTACTCACTGCCCGCAATCAAATGGCAGACGAGGCTAAGGCTCCCAGTTCTAATGCTACCAAGCCCAGGAAGCGGTTTATCGGTAGCAAATCTGCAAAGCCATCCAAGCCGGGCGTAACGCCTATTGTCGCGAACCAAATACCCCAGGACATCTTGAACGATGCTCAGCTGAATGCAGCAATCAAGCAGCTGCCGTCTAACTACTCGTTCGAGATCCACAAGACAGTACATCATATACGGAAGAACAATGCTAAAATGGTCGCATTGCAGATGCCTGAGGGCCTGCAGATGTTCGCGTGCACGATAGCGGACATTATCGAACGGTACGCAGGTGCTGCTCGTCTGTTTGCCCACGGTGCTGTAATCCAACTAATGCGATGAATAGATTCACGAATGCGCTAACTGTGATCATGGGTGACGTCACGTATGGTGCGTGCTGCGTCGATGACTACACAGCAGTCGCCTTGGGATGCGATATGCTCGTGCACTATGGACATAGCTGTCTGGGTGAGTAGTATACTTCGTTGAAGATATGTAGGCCTCTAATGATTTACATTCAGTCCCGATTGACCAGACGACCATCAAGACTTTATACGTCTTCGTTGAAATCGCCATCGACTTATCTCATCTTGTCCAAACAATTCGTCTTAACTTCCCAAATGACCGCAGACGCTTTCATGAGGCGCTGTTGGACTCAGACGAAACAGATAGTCAGATACCTGCTGGTCGCCCCTTGACTGCCGGTCACTACTTGCGCATTGAGGGGCCATCTCCCGCGAAGTTGTCCGATGAGAAGGTACTGACCACAGCGACGCACCAGACACAAGAGCTTCCATACGAGCTGACCCGTCTGGCACTGGTGTCGACCATACAGTTTGTGGCTGCACTATCACGACTGAAAGATGACTTGACCACAGAGGTCCCCGATTACGAACCGCTGCGTCGACCCGCAGGGATGATTGAGGGACTTGAGGCGGGAAGCGACGAGAGTTCTGTCGGTCAGCCAAGGCTATGGACAGGAAGGTACGACGCCACCATTCCCCGATCAAAGCCTCTTTCGCCAGGCGAGATCCTCGGATGCACGGCCCCGACGCTCGGCGATGTCGACGCATTAATGTCAGTGCCTCCGGCCAGTTGCGTCTTTGTGTTGGATGCTGACTGATTGCTCGGACCTACAGCTATCTTGGTGATGGGCGCTTTCACCTTGAGTCCATCATGATTGCCAACCCCACCGTACCGGCGTTCAGATACGATCCTTACTCGAAGAAGCTTACTCGGGAACGATACAATCAAACGGAGATGCGCACCGTACGCGACGAGGCCGTTCGAGCCGCTCGCAGAAGCATCGATGTACTCGCTTCGTCTCCTAAAACAAATGGCGGCACAAGTTTTGTCATCCCTGCAAAGGAGCCTCCGCTCTGGGGTGTCGTGCTGGGTACGCTCGGCCGCCAAGGTAGCTTCAAGCAGTTGCAGGCGATCACACATCAACTCAGCACATCCCGCACATCTATTCCATATATGCCGATCCTCCTCTCCGAGCTTTCACCTGCCAAGCTTGCCCTCTTCAATCCGCATATCTCAGCCTTCGTGCAGACATCGTGTCCACGGTTGTCCATCGATTGGGGATATGCCTTCGATCGGCCACTGCTGACGCCGTACGAAACAGCAGTGGCTGTCGGAAAGGCAGTGGGTTGGATGGACGGACCTTCGGGAGATGAGGCGGTCAGGCGGGATGGAAAGGGAGGGGGTTATCCTATGGACTTCTATGCAGCAGGAAGTCCGTGGGCTGCAGCGAGAACGAAGGCGACATACTAGCTCAGCATGTAAAAAGCGATGGCTTTAAGGCGAGGTTATATTCGCCACCCGCATGTCATCGCTGTAATGCTATAATGCTACATGATTGCAAGAATATCGATAAACTACATTTGGACAAATGGTCATAATCATACCCTACACTCAACAAGGTGAGTATGGTACCAACAGCATGACCAATTTCAAACGTACCCAAAGGCATACTCGACTTCATCTACTCCCCCACCTGCTTGGAATGGACCGGATGATTCCCTGGGCATCGGTCCCAATTCCTGTTCATCGTCTTCAGTTTCGTCGACAATGGCACTGCTCTCATCCAGCTCAAACGGTAGCACGGGTCGGAGGCCACTTCCAGAACTCGATCGGCGTCCCCCATGGGGGGAATTCGCTAGCGCTGCCATGGTTTTGGGACTCATATGCTACGGGTATTCGTTTAGTCGCCAGTCACGCCCGATAGAGCGTAACTCACCTCCCAGTTATTCCGGTTCTCATCAGGAATATCGCGATCATCGCGTCCAACATCCAAGCGTGCCTCGTCGCCGAGCTCGCCGATGGAAACAATACTTTCACTGTCACTGATGCCATCGGCGATGTCTGCGGCAAATTCGGGAAGCCTGTGCCATGCAGATGTACCCCCGAATAGCGGTCCCTGGGAAGGCTGGTCATCGGACCAGCCAAGGTCAGACAAATACTCTTCGTATTCCTCTTCGAAGGCGATGTCTTCGGTGATATACGGCAAGAAGATGGACGGATCGGGGGCTTGCGCTCGCAGCGGCGGGAACACGTCAGCGTCGGTCGTGTTCGGTGTTCCCACAGGGCGAATGAGACCGGACAGCTCAGGCCCAGGGTGCAACCCCTCGAGATGGTGTGAAATACTTGCAGCACGTCTATGAGTCCCCGGCTGATGTGCCGCAGCTGCACCGTATCTCGTCGTGTTGTCTGAGTAACTTCAGCATCTGCCTCATTGTCATCACCCGTGATGACTCACAAAACTTAACCAAATGCCGGAGCGCCTGTTCCTGCGCCTATTCAACGCAGTATGTAGCATTTCATTGCCAAGATGAGTGAGCATTCACATACCTGCGCATCCATCACATCATCCACCTCGATGCCCAAGAGCCATTCATCTCTCAGGTCCGGTCTGCAATTCAGATAGATCGCAGTGATGACCTGCATGTTCGCTGACGGGCCGGTTGTATTAATAGAGCGCCCACGTCAGCCTCACGGCAACGGCTTACATTGACGCCATTTCCGTCCGCAGAATGGCACTTGACTCTTAATCAGTTTCAGGACATGCAGCTGCAGCACGGGATGCTGCACTTTCAGTATGCGCTTCAGCACCGCCTGGCAACACAGTCAGCCTGGGCTAGACTCGGCGATCCGAGATAACTCACCGAGCTCTTGTATTGCACTAACATCCTGATTCGATGTGATCGATGTTTCGATAACTTCTGCATGATCTTCGCAAAGTTGATAATGGAGAAGAAGTTGCGCCACGAGAACTCGGTTAGAAGATCGACCTCCTCGTCATGCACCATGCCATTTGGCAAGATTGTAGTCCGAGTAATCGTCTGGCGGGGTGGTTTCAGCATGTGATCTTCTGGCCCTGCAGGCTGAGGATTCTTGGAGAAGTTCGTCTGGCAATACCGAAAGAAACTGTTCACATGAGTGATATGGATGATCGAGATACCTTTAGCATAAACCCTACTTGTTTTCAGGCGAGTCTGCCTTCGACACGAGGGTCTGCGAGACCTCCTGCAGACCAAACATCTTGAGTATCAGAAGTAAGCAGTTCGTGTCAAGCAATTGCTGTCCCAGATGATGAAACTTCATCGCATCTACGATGTCATAGCTAAGCTCTGCATATAAAATGTATCCAAGGAAAAAACCTACGAGACACCTTGAACCATTTGAGGGTGAGTAGCAGAATCGCAGAAACTGCTTTCGATGTGATCTCTCGGTGCCGAGTCACATCGATTTCATCCAGAGTCGGTGGAGGAGCAGAGGGTTGCTCAAGAGCTGCAGAGACGTCCGGTTACTCACGAATAATTGTTTCAACTATTCGAGCTCACGGGATGGCATGCCAGGAGGGAATCCAGCAGAAGATGCAGATTGAGATTGCACACCAGGAGCAGCCGATACCGTTGCGAGCAAAAGCTTCAATAGAACGAGAACCCATCCTGAAAGGACGGGCAGCACAGCGCTCTGCAAATGATATCAATACCGCGGTACATCTATGCTGCACGATGGCAACGCCTACATAGATCTGCTCTACTCTCTTCAGCCGCAGGAGGTCTTCCTTCCGCTCTTGTGCCTTCCTCTTTTCGGAACTTGACTCAGCTTTCGTCATTGCTGCTTCCACCTCCGAAATCTTGGCATCAAGAATAGTGACATCCGGCAACGTCTCCGTGGTCTCGTCTTCTGGTGAGAGCTATAAAGGACCGTCAGTAAAATTTGGACTAACAAGTATCGAGCACAGTGCGCTCACCGTGGGTGCAAGTTTGGGTTCGACAATGGGACCTGACCCGGGCATGTGTTCCAGTCCGCTCTCCGCAGTCATGCACTCTTCCCGTGTCTTCCACATCTGCCACAGTTCAAGACTGACATACATATGCCGTGTGTACAGCTTGTCTGCCTCGTCGATCGCGAACGGCACTAAGCGCGAGCCGTTGTAGCCCGCCTGACTGCGCGAAAACGGAAACAAAAATGGACGACTCTGATCCGTTTGAAACTGCTGCTTCTTCGGCTTCGGTGATGGAGGTGGAGACGGCGCGGGCGTGGCAGGCTGCGGCATGGACCTGAAACCACTCCCCTGCTGTAATGAATGGAAGGGAAGACCCTGAGACCCGGGTCCCATGCCCGACTGCTGTGACTCGACGTCGTCATGGTCATAATGGTGCCTGACGGGTATGGGCGAGTATGCCTGCGCAAGTTTGGATGTGACAACGGGCACGGAAACAGGCGCGATGACAGGCGCAGGCGTGAATGTCGGATACTTGACAGATATTTCCTGCCGGAATGCCTCGATATCGAGGGGCGACGCCTTGATCGGAATGGCTACTGCCGCGTGAGAGGCGTGCGGGCTGCGACACACGGCATGAGGACGGAGACGCACCTTCCTCTTGCACCGGGGGCAGCCCGGCGAGTTCTCGGGCAAGTTTCTTCACACGTGCAAGCTCTCGGATGCCGCCACAGCATGCAAGGATCGTCTTCCACAGTACTAGGAGAAGCTGGCGGGAAATGAGATAAGGGTAGCTGTGAGTGCAGGGTCCAAACCTTCTTCACGGGATAGCCCTTGGCGCTCTTGTCGCGCAACCCGGCCACCACGTTGAAGAGATAAACGGGCAAGGGAGGGTCTAAGCTCACTGCGTTGAGTGAATGGGCGCAGTCAGCGGCAGACGATGGGGGCTGTGCATGATGCCGGGGCACTTACTCAACTCGTCGGCAAAGTCATCATGACTCTTGAAAACCTCTACCATGTGATATAGCATTCCCAGGTAGACAGAAAGCTCAGTCGTGACTTCCTCCATGAAATCCATCTTTTCCTGCTCGGATATATTGAACCGCTTAGCTTCTGCTTCAGAGAGGCTGCTGTGCGAGCGAAAGTAGCATGTCAGCTGGCAATTGGTCCGACAAAGAGATGTCGGGGCACCATAACAAGTCATGTTTTGCGCTCGCAATCTTGATGGCCTCGACAATGTTACTGATGCCATTGGCATCGCGCACGAGTTTGCAGTTCTCCACAATCCAGTGCAGCTGATGCTCAGGTGATGACGTCTCGGCAAAAGTGCCTGCGGAATGCAGTGTTTGTAATTATTGCCTAGTTGGTCACGCAAGACAATATGCCAACCTTGGAGAACGTAAAGGAGTCTCCGGGCGTTCGTAAAGCGGATCTCCGCATCACGGTGCTCCAAGCTCTCAAGCAGCACCTCTATGTGGACCCTGCGCTGTGCAGGAGAACTCTCGATCCACACTGGGCAAAAAACACAATTACATGAGGCAGGTGGCCAGGAAGGGTGCAGAGACGTACCTCCCTGGAAGGAACCTTCCCATGCCTTGAGGTTCTCTGCGACCTGGGGCATCTCCACATACGAGTAGAACTCCTCAATCTCGTTAAGGACAGTGTCCTCATCATCATACTTGAAGTCATAATAGGACTGCTACTCCTCACGGGCGTCAAGGAGAGATGGGTGGGAGAGCACAGCAGACGTGCCTTTGGCTTTGGCGCAGAACCGACCATGGCCTTGAGCTGGCCGAGTGTGATAGAGTCAAGCCCCATCTGGGAGGAGGAGGCATCGCTGTTGTCGAGGCCGTTGTTGCTCATGTAGGACGGCAGCTGGGGATAAACCATGCCGGCAGAGATGGAGGACGACACGAGCTCGTTACGGCGAACGCGCGAGTGGTCACATTGTCGCGAACCGCGGCACTACACGTGCACCTACCCCGCTGTCTCTCTCCACTCCTAGCCCGTAGATAAAACTTTATACACCCGCTAGCTATAGCAGGAGCAGCGCGCCTGCAACAGATCATCCGGACTGCGGGCGAGAGTATTACGCTGTATTACGCTTGGAATATTTGTGCGCGTGGGTCATGCATGGCCGGAGCGCAGCCGTGGCGCGCTTACATAAGCAATACATAAGGCTGCCCGTCGCAATTTCTTCTTCCAAGCCACCACGACTTGGCCCCTCACCAGGATCGACCCCTCCCGTCGATCCATCGTTACTTTTCCCCCATCCCCCTCCTCCCCTCCGACGACAGCGACGACGTCGAAAGCAGAGGGCGTCCTTCTCGCACCCAAAGAGTACTCTTCCTGGTCTGAAAGTAGCTCCCAAGGCACCGCCCCTCACCCGCCCTAGCTATCTCGCCCTCGTCGAGCATCCGAAAAGGCACGCCTTCGCTGCGCGTTTGCCACAAACTGAATTGCTATCGCACGTCATTGTCGACCAATTCCTGCCCTTTCAGTTCTTCACGACCTACCTTACGACAGTCCTCTATCTCTCGTCTTCCACCCGCCACCACCGCAGCCTCGCACAGGACTGCAGTTGCGGCTCGCCCATCCCCTCTTAATTGCAGATGCCAGTTCCCGTATCGCTTTGCTCAAAGCAACCAGCGCACCCGGTAATCAAGATCAATCAATCTGTTCAGCCCAGCCAGCAGCCATCTGTCTTCCAGCACTTGACTCATACTCTTCCTCGTCCTCCTCGTGGTCCCCCGCCTGCATTTGCATCTAGAGAGGAGTGGATTAGCTCCCTTCCATCTTGGAGAAGGAATAAGCCGCGCCGTATCTGGGAGGAGGACCCGTCGCATTACTACAATTCCGGCCGTCAGGGTTTTGAAGAAGGGTTGGCCGTCGCGGGCAACGCTACGGTCATTAAAGGAACGCCCGCGCAAGCGTGCATCCCGCCCGTCTCTCCCCTGATTGCTGGTGCGACTGGCCGTCCTCCATCCTCGCCCTCCGCCGACATGCACACCGCCCGTGACGGAGACATCGACTATGGAATGAGTATATACTCCGCGCGTGAGTACAGCTGGCAATGCGATGATCGCTCTCAAACAAGCAACGTTTCGCCGATAACCAATGCAGAATACGACGACATGGACGTCGAGAGGAGTTCCGAGAAGGCCATGTCTTACCAGGGCTATGACACTGATACCCCCGACTCTTTTTGCCGAGATGAGTCTAGCGCTGCATACTCTGCGGGGCTATACGAGCACGGAACGTTTTCTCCTGTGCTCGACGACATGTCGCCGGAGCCGATCAACCCCGGTTTCAGTCCCATCGGGCCCGCTACTCCGTTCGCTGACTACGTCGACAAGGCGGTCGCTGCACAATATCATCCAGCATTCGAGTTCGCACATCCCATAGACGTGACTCGCGATGTGAGCTACATGTACACGGACGAAGGCTGTAGTGGCCATTGCCATCAGTGTCAGACCTATGGCCCGGTGATGGAGGCTTTACCTGCTCCCGCTCCGGAGCCTGTTGTCACACCTACTGCCACCGCGGCCTACAAGAAACTGGCTGAGCCTCTTTCTGCATGGCTTGCTTCCTACGTCTGGAAGGTGTGTACGACTGGCATGAGCCTGCCATCCGCTTACGCTCAACCGAGGTTGGTCTTCCTGTATGTTCTCTGATCGAAAGAAAATTTACACGTACTCCTGAGCAGGGCATTTGTTAAACATTATTCAAGCACCCCACCGAGTCACCTAGCTAGCGCTACGCACTCGATGCTGCTGTCTACCTTGTTGCAGCCATCCGCTATTTTCTTGGCGACGAGGTTCATCATCCGTCTGCCGGTGTTCTTTGGCCCTGTCAATCTGAATCGTGAAGAGCATGCCAAGGAGATTCGCTTCCGGAACGAGCTCTTGGGCGAGCCTCATATGAGCCACGACAGGGACGCAATTGAGTCGTACGCTCCATTCCGTCTGATCCTTCTCGGGTGCATGCTGGCGAACAAGTGGCTGGATGATCATACTTTTTCAAACAAGACATGGTGAGTTGCATCCTGTGAGAGAATTGTATGCTGGTAGGCTGACATAATGTTCCAGGCATACGATTTCCAACGTTCCCGTTCAGTCATTGAACAAGCTGGAAGCCCTTGCATTGGACATATTCCGGTACAATTTGTCCATATCTGTGCAAGACTGGAACGACTGGCTCTCTAAGTTGCTCGCGTATCACTCTTCGTTAAACTCCTTGACCTGTCCTCAGCCTATCTCTCGGCCGTCGACGAGCCCACACACGATCATACGCAAGGCCATTGAGATGCTCCATGAAGTGCGCATGGTTTCTCCTACATGCCGCTGCTGCGACGAGGAGACATGTTCCACTGCTCCGCCGGAGCCTATCTTCGTCAACCTTGAAGACCGCAAGAAAGACACGCAGGAGGCGGCCCGTCCATACGAGGAGACCGTCGACGTGTTGGAGATTGATTTGGACGAAGATGGCCCGTTGAGAGAGGAGTATCTACCTCGGCGTCGCGTCAGCAGCGCTAGCACTTCGCGCCATACGGAACTTCGCAACAGGGCCGTCGAGTCCGGCAGGCTACTCCCTCCTCCGGCGAAATGGAGTCCCGCTGCGGACGAGCCCATCGTTCGCGACCACGCTCGTGCACCTAGGCAGTACCTTGCACCACAGCCAGTTGCTCACATGCCTGTACCGCATGCATTCCTTGCCGCGCCGCCGACATTCCACCAAGTCGTGGATTCCCATCACCCTGCGTGGCAATACGGTCCATATGTGCCAAAGCAGGAGCATATCGCCATGCAAGAGCATGCTGTTCCCGCGCAGATGTACCATGTTCAGCCTCCCTACGTCGCATACGAGTATGGCTACCCCGCTATTCAGACCCACTCGCGCTCGCAGTCGCTCTCGTACAATCAGGCGGTTGCCGAGCAAGCCCAGGGTCGTCATCCCGCGTATTCGCAGATCGGATATGACCATGCCTATAGCGACGTCCGCTTCTCCGAGGACCATATGGGCGCGGTTCCTCCGCATCCGGTTATTTCCCGCTGGGCCCCGGCAGATCTCTATCCTGCTCTCTACGACCGTCCATTTGATTACTATCAGAGGCCACTGAAAGTGTGAGATCACACTGATATGTTAGATCCGCGACAGAAACGATAGATCGTCGCCCGCGCGCGCAGATTCCGCTGTATGAAGATGCGGAGGCCGTCCATCGCTCTTCATCGCTCTTTATTCTAGTCCCTTCGGCTGCCGACACCTTGTAATCTATACGCCTGCTCGGGTCGTTCCCGCGCCAGCGCGGGGCGGCTCGTTCTTCGCTCTCTTCGCCTACGGTAGTCTGAATTGCCTCCCTGTGTGGATTCCTTCCGTTTCGTGGTTTGCTACGTCGTCTTTTCCATTGTGTTTGTCCTTGGGCTCTCCCATCATCCGATGACATATCCATCCCGTCTCCCGGAATTGTCTCACAGTACCCTCGTCCTGGGCTTCATCATCGACATCATCATCGCATTCCGTATATATTCGTCCACCCTTTCAGACTGGGTTCGAGGGCATGGCGGTCAGCACCGACTTATGTCTTGGCAGCATACAAGAGGACTGCCGCCGATTGCGGGCCGCCATAGTATGGTTAGCATGTTCACTGGACGCTTCCCTCGGTATCATTGTGTCCGTCAGAAACTCGTTGTGTACAGCCTTTCACTCTGGTATTTGACGATCCGATCCCCTAATGTTTTTACGCCGCTTCTTCTGCCCTTGATGTTTTTACGTACTGTCGTCGCCTCACACATCGTAGTACAAAGCACAAAAACAGCAGAAAATTCATAAAACCCCACAATGCCTAACCTTCTCAGACACTCTCCGTTACCTTTCCGAAGTTCCAGATTTTGTCCACCCCTTCTTTCCGCCTCCTGCGAAGCTATCCTTTCACTCCGCCCCTTTACACGCTTCGTACCCACTTACTTACCCGCTTGTGTCTCTGGGACATCAAAGCTGCTCTTGCTTGTATATGTCGCTCATAAATGGAGACTACTTACGCCGTGTAACCGACCTAGGGTGATGAGTGCCGCATGGGAGTGAACGTTATTCTCAACAGTGCAAGACAGAACAGTGAGTTGCAGAGCAAACACAACGTATATAGCTACATGATCAATGAGGACTTCTAATTCCTTCTGACGTTCGTCCAATTACAGATGCACAACGATGAACGGAACCTATAGCAGAACAATTCAATAATCTAAGCTTTGACCGCCTATTCATGATACATACCTCGACATCCTCGCCTTCCTCATCCGAGACCATAACCTCGACGATAAGGTGCTTGATATGTGGCGGAATCGGTTTCTTGCTGACGTGTTCGACAAGTTTGCTGAACTTCATAGGCAGCCGCTCCTCGCTCTGTGACACTTCATTAGCGGAAGACAGGGTCTGCAGGTTTGTACGCACCTTCTTCTTGCCGACGAACGAGCTCCACAGCATACTAACGCCTTGACTGACCATAGTGATCTCGAGCTTGTGCTCCCTCTTAAACCACTCCATGATGTCCTTAAGCGTCGGGTCACCGTGAAACTCGAAACGGTCCCAGAGAGTCCACTCCGTGTTACCATACTTGTGCTTCTGCGGGGGAAGCGGCTCCGAGAAGCCAAAGAACGGCAGTGCAAGGTTCACGAATCCGTTCCTGTACTTTTCTAGTTCTTTCTTGCCGTCAATGATCTAGTGAGAGCATAATGAATCAACGATCGTATAACATGAGCGATAGGACAGACCTTGTACAGCTCCAAGCACACCAACCCAGTGATCAACGAGGTCGTGGTGGCAATCGCAGGGATGATCTTTCCAGCAATCTGCTTAGTTGTGTGCCGATCAGCAACCGGAATCTTGTAGTTCATTGCCCGCAGGTTTGACGCAGCGGTAATGAAGTCAATGTGGAAATTGGTATCGTCGTCCTTCTCGAACTCAACGGGGTTGAGACGGTATCCCACAAGAGAGGATGGCGAGGGCAGCTTCCTCATCAACTCTCCTAGATCGGTCGAGTCTTCGGAAACCTCAGTATCGCTCGTACTTCACCTGACAATGATCATTCATACCTGTACTACCATCCTGCTGAACAGGTTCGTTCTCGGTCACCTGAATCTTGACATTGCTCTTAGGCGTGAATTCAGGCACCATGACCTCATCTGCAATCTTCTTAAAGAGCGCTGGATCAGATTCTCCACGTAAACCATAGTTGTATGCGTGCAGGTTGGCCGCAGCAATGATAAATTGCAGGTGAATAGGCTACGTTACGCTCTTTCAGTATGTCAAACCATCCAAAGAGTGCGTGGATGCTTACGTCGTTCGGATCGAAGGTCAATGCGTCGGGCGCCCTCTTCGGGCCACTCCAGAATGGCTGTCCAGTGCTCGTCACCGCGTCCTTCGGCAGGCTGTACAGCAGCTGGCGGATGGAGTTGTTATACTTCTCCTCGAATTGCAAGCGCGCCCACATAATGCACTCCTCAAACGTCAGCGGCTTGTTGGTCACCAAGTACGAGACGATCTGCTCGATCTGCTCCTTCTGCTGGCCGGAATATTTGAGCGTGTTTTCTAGGTAGTTCGGCTCAGACAGGTACGAGTTGACCGCCTGCGCCGGCTTGACAAACATGTTGTCAAACTCGGTCCTGGCCCACTGTATGCGCAATGAGGATAATGTCAGACGGCTCTACCACGTGCTGGGAGAAATGCGCTGACCTCGATCGTGTGCTGGATGGCGTTTGGGAAGTTCTTAACCGTGCAGGACGGCGTCTCCTTCTCCGGCGGGTCTTGAGAAGACGAGTATGACTCTGTCAAGTGGGGCACGACCACTTGCGTGTTGCCCTTTGTGCCCAATGTGCCTGACTCGAGCAGAGGTTTCAAGTAGAATACGCAACGCTGGTCCATATATAGCCCTAGGGAGAGGCTCAGCACAAGGTGTTACAAGAAAGCGTCTCGCGACACTCACGGGCCTTGACATTGTCCAACGCATTGGTCACGCCATCAATGCCAGCAAAGAAATCCGAGTCGTAGATGTCTGAAAACAAATCAGAACCATGTCCCTAACGATGTAGCACCCAGACGTACTCTCAGTGTCTGGGCCGACTGGCTCCTGATTGCTGCTAATCTTGCCCCTCAAGTCTGCGTTCATATCAATCACAGCAGCAGCAGCCACCTCCGACTTAAATTTGCCTAAGTCCTTCGGCCTGAATAAGAACTGGCGGTTCAAGTTACTCTTCTCAATTGTGTCCAAGTCCGTGACGTGTATAGCGCCCCCCGGGCCTGACGCGAGACCCATCATGCCCCAATTCTTCAACATCTCACAGCCTATTGCGCCAGCCCCGACGAGGAATTGGCGGTGGTTTCCGATCTTTTCCTGGAAGCTCCTACCGAAGACGACGATCTGGCCATCATACCGCGAACCAATTGGCTGACAATCCTCCTCAGTCGGCAGCGTGTCTGGGAGGGACTCGAGCGAGTCGAAGTACAAGTGCTGCACCATTGGCGTGAATTTGGCGGAACACGCCTTGAGCACCTCTTGCGCGACGAAACCTCCGACGACGGCCGCCACGGGCGTCACGTCGCCAATAGCCTGGTATGCCAGCTCTGTGACGGGTTTCTCGTTGATGTCAGCGTCAATATTCTTCGCAAGTGCAACAAGGGTAGCAGCATCTTCAGCGTTTCTCGGACGCGGCAGTCGTTGATATTGCGCCTGAAACTCGTGCAGAGCCTGGAAACCGGCGTGCAGAGAGGCAGGATGGTCCCATTTGGAAGTATCAGTCATGAAGAGCTCAGCGTTCTTCAATGAGTCCCGAAGGCTTTTCTACAAATTCGCTCAGCACGTATCACATCGATTAGTATACTCAACGTACAAATTCAAGGATTTTGGGCATCTTGACCTGTGTGAAGATCCCTCCAGCCTTGTATTCGCTGAGGTTCGAGGTATCACCTATTGTGAAGGTATATGGTCCCTTGACAGCAACTTTGCGGGGTTCGCATCCATTCAACTCAGTCATACCCTGTACTTCGGTGAAAGTGACAAAGTCGCCATCTTCAAGCCCATGACGCGTCTCATCAAGGCATGTTACAAGGCCTTCCGTGTCCTGAAATTAGCTGTCAAGACTGCATCAAGTCAGGTAGAGTGCCTTGCACGAACTCGGTCAACGGAAACAATCATGCCAGTTAGTGGCTGCTCGCCAGTAGGATCCACGCAAGTGAATCTCGAGCCGAAGTCGTTGAATACGGAACTGATGGGACATCAGATATCAAGCCATCCAGGGATGCAATACAGACATACCCGAACAAACCCCGTGTCTCGGCAGAGATGAAGTGGACGCCATTTGCACGAGTCCAATCGTTGATTTCCAATTGCTCATGCAGGCTTACTCCGCACAATACCACGACCTAGCAGCAAGTGAGCACAAGACGACAATGATCGCATGCATCACGCTCACTTGGAAGCCCTTCACCATGTCAACGGTGATCTCCTTGCCGGGCTGTCCACCGAGGTTGCGCACGGGAACATACGCGTTGAGCTCGGCCAGGCGCGGCACTGCAGCCTCAGCACGAGGCCGGCCAATGTCCTCCTCACGCAGGAAGAACTATGTGATGTGTAAAAATCGACCTTGAATGCATGAAAGCGAGCCACAAACCTGACTGCTGAGGTCTTGGATTGTTACTGGCTCGGGATCGTAGATCGTAACAGACTTGACCCCAGCCAGTACAACGTTCTTGGCTGTGTAACGGCTCAGGAACGACGCGTCTGTGAATCGCGATATACGCACCAATCTCAACACCAAGACCCTTCACCCCGACGATCAGGATATTGGATGCAGCCATGCGCTTCATAGCTGGAGGATGACGTCGATAACTGCTGCGACCGTCTTCGACGTGCTCTCTTACCTTCATGGCCGAGAACGTAGCTAAAAAGGCCATCTATGTGAGCCCATCCCATCATGATCGGTAATGCTCGGACACTTACAGCTGACGAGAGTACAAGCCCTCGTCAATTGCAGCCTCATCGATGTCCATCGCGGAGCCGAGGTTCGCGGCAGCCATTACGAATATACAACAACCAGTGTTCTAGATGAGAGGAAAGAAAGCCAGACGGAGTAGAGCAGTAGCACGCAGCGAAAGGCAAGTACACACGCGCTTTTATTACGCGAGTACGCGTCCAAAGATGACCAAGCGGGCGCTCGGTGTCCCAGAATGGCAGTTATGCCGACCCTTCGGGCGCTCCAGGAATTTCGGACTTGTGTTGATTTTGCACATGAAGTACGTCGCCCTCCTCAGCGGCGGCAAGGACAGCTGCTACAACCTCCTCCACTGCCAACGCAATGGCCACGACCTCGTCGCCGCTGCATCTCTTGGTCCCGAACAAGGCAAAGGTATGCGCGAGTTTCTGCAATCTCGTGCTAGACCATAACCGATCGCGTTCATGCAGAGGAAATCGACTCATATCTCTTCCAGACCGTAGGACAGGATGCGATCGAATTTGTCGCCCATGCCCTAGATGTTCCTCTATACAGGAAAAACATTCTTGGCGCAGCTGTAGAGCAAGGATCAGAGTACGGAGGCAGGCATCCCGAAGAGAGCAGCGGTGTACCTGGAGATGAGACCGAGGACCTGCACGCCCTCCTGTCTGCGGTCAAAGTAATATATAGCATTTCGGTATATGCTTCTCGAGTCTGAATATCTGGGCCGTCTAGGCGGAGCATCCCGACATCCAGGGCGTCGCCATAGGTGCGATCCTATCCAATTACCAGCGTGTTCGCATGGAACATGTGTAAGAGTTCTACCTATTCACTGAGTTTCATACAGATCGCTCAATCTGCGCTGCTACAGATGCCGACGTCTTGGTCTCACTCCGTTATGCTACCTTTGGCAACGAGACCAGATCGAGCTTCTCTCGGAGATGATCGAGGCAGGCATGGAAGCAGTTCTCATCAAGGTGGCTGGTGTCGGACTCAAGCCTGAGCACCTCGGGAAGACTCTCGTCGAGATGCGACCGACGTTACTCAGTCTGGTAAACAGCTTGCCATGTATGCAATGCATATGAGCTCATTGTCTGACAGCACGAGCTGTACGGTTCTCACATCTGCGGAGAGGGTGGCGAATACGAGACGCTCACCTTGGACTGTCCTCTGTTCAAGCAGCGCATTCAGCTGTAAGAATGACGTCACAGCCCGTTTCATTATATTGACTGCGAGATTCAGAGTTGAGACGGAGACGGTAATACATTCCGACAACGACTTTGCCGTGGTCGCGTATCTGCGCATCAAAGATGCAGTCCTCAAGCCTAAATACAACCAGGTCCCTCCGAACCCCGTCATTCCTCCCCTTCTGACTCCTGACTTTGAGGCACTGCGTGATGCTGTCGCAGCGTCGTTGTCAACTTCGTCAGCAAGCACCACGACACTCCTTGCTAACACAGTAGAGTCTGTCGCTCCTCCTGGGATCGATGACAATGGTTCCTCCAGCCGTCAAATCGGCCGTTGGGTAGCAATTACGAACATCACGAGTTCTTCCTCGGTCGAAAATCCAGAGTTCTCAGTAGAGGACGAGGTGCGCGTATGCTTCCAAGAGCTGCAAGGTCCTAAACCCTCACACCATCCCTGTATATTGTTCGCTATTGACTCTCTCTCGCTCCTTTAGCCCAACTCTCCCAATATTCCCTTAAGCTAGCCAATTGCTCCATCATCAACATCTTCCTATCCTCCATGGACTACTTCGTTGCCGTGAACGGCGTATACGCGACCTATTTCGGGACAAGTCCGCCTGCCCGCGCGTGCGTCGCGATCGACCTGCCTCCGCACACGCGCGTCATGCTCGACTGCGTCGCGTTTGCAGAGGACAAGCCTGCGGACCGCCAGGCACTGCACGTCCAAGGCCTGAGCTACTGGGCGCCAGCGAATATTGGGCCGTACTCGCAGGCAATCATCGTATGTAGTCGTTGATGCATGCTATTCGCTTGATAGGTTAAGGTTTTATCATAGGTCGACGAGCGTGTCTTCATTTCAGGCCAGATCGGACTCTTACCCAGCAGCCTTACACTTCCCGCCCCAGTCTCACTATCGACCGAGACCGCACTGTCGTTCCAGCACGTCGAGCGGATCGTCAGCACTCTCAAGAATAACTCGGGCGGCGGCTGGGAGGGACACGGTCAAGCAAACTTGTACTGGCTCGCTCATGCAAGTGACGTGCCTCACGTAAAGAAAGCGTCGGCATTGTTCAGCAAAGTGTGTTTTCTTCCTCCCCTGAGCCAGAACAAGTCATGATTCTCAGTAATGCGCGGCATAACAGGTTGCCTCCGCACCGACTTTGTTCTTGGTCGTCTCTGCCCTCCCCAAAGGAGCACTTGTCGAGAAACAAGTCCTCCTGCATACGGGGCAGTACCTCTTGCCGGACGAGGAAGACGAGCTGACCATGAGTTCGATCACGCCTGGATTCTATCAAGGCCAGTAGCTTTCATCCCTTCGACACCAAAGTATTGACTGACTAGAATTGTCATGCAGGAGATCACGAAGGCGAGGACGGCGCGGGTCTTCACTGGGAGGCATCAGTCTTCAGTGAGACGACGGCCTCAGTGGCAATGATCTGCGTCCGAGGGGATGCGCACAGTGCTGTCCCAGGGCTGCATAACGTTACTGAGGTCAACCAAGTACTGTCTCGCGCTCTGTCCATCCGGCTCTTCTACCAACCATCCAGGACGTCGTCATGTACGTGTCTCATTCGTTCTCCGCCATATCCTCATACTCAGCCGTAAAGTCCAGTCGCCGACATTTTTTCGACGCTATTCGCACCTCACGAACGTCCACCTGTGACTTACATCCCCTGCCGACACATCTCGACACGCGACCACGATGACTGGGACTACGCTATGGTAATAATCGGTGCCTAGTGCCACTGTGCTACATCGAACTTCATTATTGAATACAAACAAACACACCAATGTAACGATATGCATACATACAAAGCCAGAAGTTGTACACGCCTGCTGACAGGTCCGTCCATGTGAGCTTACGGCCCGCCTTCCTCCTGCAAGACTCTGAGCTCAGCGAGTCGTCTTCGCATCTCCTTCTCTGTCCGGGTTGGCGGGACTCGTCGAGCGAAGGCGGCACCACACTAGAAATGGCAAGTTGAGCCAGTGGCAGCAGTTTCGAACAAGGTAAAGCACGCACTAATGCACAGAACCCGCCAAACCGCAGTACCCACGCGACACCATTCTTGCCATAGTACGTCGTATGATGTGCCGGGTCGTTATCCACATCCGCATCGACGATATGGAAAATCGCACTCGACACCAACGCGATCTGCCTCATCGTCAGCATTCCCTCACAGTATCATCATGCATGCGGCAACTCACGACGAACTGCGGGATGACAATAGCGAGGTTGTGGATACCCAAAATCGTTCCTCCTGCGACAAGTTCGGCCCCATCAGCTATCGCCTCGGTATTGTTCGGATCGAAAGAGCGACGACGTTGGAGCAGTGGTGCATGTTCATGTTGAACATCGCTCCTACGGCGTTCCGCAGGCGTCGACATCCTGCGATTGTGCGAAGGGCGCCGAGCCCATTCTCTGGCTAATGCAGCTCCGTCAACGGCGTGTTCATGTTCGCGCTCCTTCAGGAACTATCAAGATGATCTGCCTCAGTCTCGCATCGCAGGAAACGAGGGTCTAACCCACCTCCATGATGATCGCGAAGGGCACCCAACACGCCACCGCCCAGCAAATCCCCACCAAGCTGACCGCAATCACGGCCTGCCCAACACACGCGTGTGAGACAAAGTTGCTTCCCTGGCAGCATGGACTCCACGCACCTGCCACACTTTCGTGATGAAGAAGGTCGAGAACGTGATCAGCGCAAAGAGGATCATGGCGCCCGTCCAGATGTTCCTCAGAAAGAACGGCATTAGAGGCAACCTGAGCGGCCTTCCCCGACGCGCAGCCTCAGCACGCCAGAAACGCACTGTATCGCGCAGTCTCGAGAGTTCCGCGTCTTCGTCTTCGTCGCCTTCGTGCGCGAGCAGGCGGGTGTCGCGGCGGGTCAGACTCGGGAGCGTTGCACCTGCAATGACGGCGACTGCACGGAAGTTCTATCAGAATGAGTTGAGTAGGCACTTCGGGACGGACTTGCCGATGCTATAGATCAACATCGCAAATTCTCCCATTCGAGTCGCGTCGTCGTTGTCCGGGTCTCGTTGGAGCTCGTATGCCATGACTTGACCAATATACGTAGTCCTATCCTAGCAGATGAGCTTTCGTGCATTTCGTATAAAACCAAAGAACACTTGCGCATAGAAGAGGAAAGGAAACCTGAAAGAGGGGGCGATGTCAACAACGGTCCCAGTGCGAGAGACAGCCGCTATGTGCTCACCACCCCATGAACGCAAACACTTGAACGTAGCAAACCCGCCTGATGGGTTTGGGCAGGTGAATGATAGCAGTGTAGATGTTGTCCAGAATGTCTCGCAATGTGTTGCTGCTGCAGAGATTGACAGCCCTGTGATATGCAGCGAATTAAGCTGAACATACCCCTTCTCGAATCGCCTTTGCTCCCTCTCCTTTTCTACCTGCGTGAGGCACGTAATCCAGACCGTGATGACCAGTATGGTCATGCTGACGACGCAGAACTTGCGGAACTGATCGCCGCCGAGCAGACGTAAAACGGGCATGTTCGCGAGCGGAAGGAAGCCTACACATAGGTTTATCGCAGAACGGCGAGATGGAAGCAATAGTCATACCGAAGCCGTAGCCCACGATGTTACCGGCATTGATCATCTTGCTGTGCCAGGCGTTGCCTGCATTTAGCTGTTCCGGAGGAGTTACATCGAGCAGCAGATTTCTCAGGGATGCTTGAAGTGCATTCAGAGCAAAGTCAAGGAGGTAGAAGGAGACAATAGCCAAGCCGATTGCAGTGTTCTGAACCTGTTGTGTAAAGCGTTCATCAAAGCGCTGTAGCGGTGCTAGTGCAGACGCCTTACTCACGGACTGTGTCCACTTTGGATCCCAGCTGCCTGCTCCTCCGCCGACAATGTCAACCAGGAATGCTGCTATACTCTGGCAATACGCCAATGTAACGGTGGAGATGACAAGGACAATGGTGGAGAGCACGATCCAGTATCTCCGGCGATACTTGGATATTGATGCATCAGATATCGCACCTGACGCATTTAGTGAGTAACTCAAGACGTTCGAGAGACAGCCACACTCACCTATAACAGGTTGCGCAATCAAACCGCTGATCGGTCCGGCAAGCCACACCAAGCTGGTCAGTGTCTCTGACAGCCCGAGAGATAGCAGGAACGGAGTCCCATATCTAAGACGACGTCACCTGTTCAGCAACCAGACCGTGGATCATGCATAGCACATACCCAAGTTCGACCGTCCAAGCAACCTGGGATCCAGCCATGGCTATACTCAAGTTAATGAGATCAAGAGTAGACATCCTCCGTCCCGACAGCTCCTCATCGGGGCTGTCCGAAAGCCTCTTCTTTCCATTCGGCTGCCCCGATCCATTCGCATTAGACGTCTCTTCCTCAGAAGGCTCACCCTGAGCGGACTGCATGCGAGCGCGCTTGCCGTTCCGCGACGGCCATGCTATCTGCGTCGTCGGGTCCGGGTCTGCATCTGCAGTATCTGGGAAGGTCATGTCGCGGTGATGCTCAGATATGAGCTACGATGGTGGTAAACGACAGACGAAGTGGACACGGTATAAGTCGGTATAAGAATGGGGATGGAAGGTGGCCTGTTGGCCGTGTGGACCGGATGCAGACTCGGTGCAGTGTAATTAAGTGGCATTTGCCGAGCGACCACGGTCATTAGACCGATTGACGCCCGTGCCTCGCTCGCAATTACGACCTCCTATGAGCCCACCAACTCAATTCGCGAGCCTGAAAAACGTGCGCCTCAGATAACGCATCGTTCTGGCATGAGCAGGCATGCAAGTCGCTTTCATTTGTTGGGTCGCAAGCGTCAATCAGCCCGAGGCGTCGCGAATTCATCCGTTTGTGCCCCACTTGCGGATTCTCAAGCTCCGAGCGTACGAGACGAGGATGCCTGGGACAATCGAATGCACCAACATCTCCGATTGCTGGAAACCCTGCATGAAACATACGTGGGAAGCCAGTAGCTTATCATCCTCAACACGCCGATGATTGCTTATGTATCATTACTCCGGGTAAGACTGACGGTAAGAAAACCAAGGCGTGATCAATATTGTTGTGATCACAACGTTGGGGACCATATGTACGACATGGCCCTCTTGTGTGCGGTTGATATAGTCTCTCATATACTCCGCCACCACCGGTCCACAACGCGACCATCAAGCGCGTCATGTCACATAACCTCCGTCTGTGACAACTCGCGAATGTGACTATCTCCTACTATACCCATTCGGCTGTATGAGCCTGTAGCGATTGCAGCTGCAAGCTCTACTTCAATGTCCCTTGAGTTTACTTTCGGTCGTCCAAGAGAGATTCACAGCAGTGCAAGATTTCCCGAGGAATCCTGCATCGAATATGCCATTGTACTGATTGCATGATTTGAACAAGTTTAGCGATGTATGCATGATCCAGGACTGACATTGACAGTGAGCAGTTGCACAGCGACAGACGATACGTAGCAGACCAAACAAGAATACACGACATACAGGCCGATACCTTCTGTCCGCCAAGATACACAACAGTCCGTACACAGCAGGCCAATCCCTATCGGACAGTGGCGTTTATAGATGCATTTCTCCGGTGACCGCCTGCGGTCGAATGTGTGTCGGAGCTCGACTTGTGAGATGAAAGCAGACTGAAGGGTAAACGGCGCGTATGCGTGCTGGTAGAAGAGGAGGGCGGTGTGACCGAAGATGTCACGGTAGACGGAGTGATAGTACGGGTGCGCTCGATAGGCTGTTCTTCAAGTGGCGGCGAAGGGAACTTGGCGTATTCACTAGAAGGTCCGATGAAAGACTCCTGAGACAAGTAGTCTTCCCGTCGGCGAAGAGTTGGTCGCGAGGACCCCTGTGTGGGTGTTGAGACGGCAGACTCGAGCGAGCGCGATGGTGATGTAGGAGGGGTAGACTGCTGCAGCGTCGCAGGGCTGGTGCCTGATCGATGTCGTAGTACATCCTGCGTGGGCGGTGATGCGTTATGTGGAGACGGAGAAGGCTGTGGACTACTGCGGAGTTGGGCAGCAGAAGCTGACGGCCGAAGCCATCGTCGCGGAGCAACAGACCCTACCGTCATCAGCGAGTTGAGCGGCTTGACATTATCTCCGTTGGGGGCGGTCGCTGCTGAAGCCGGGGAACCGGTTTGCGAATGGGTATCAGTAGAGGCGGTGGTCGCACTTCCGCTGCGTTGCCGCATTTTGTACTTCTCCATCGCGTCCGCGTCCCTCTCTCGCATACGGCTAGCGATCGGGGACAAGGCGGATGCAGGAATGGGATTAGGTGCCAGCGTGGTCGCAGTGGAGTTCATCTGCGGTGAAGGTGAAGACGAAGAGCCGGTGGACGGCTGGGCAGGTGAATATGATCCGGACGGCAATTGAGAAGGTTTCCGTGATGGGGACAATGAGGACGCGATCGAGGTATGGCTCCGTATTGACTGCACGCCACCATTGTCACTGTCAGATGTTGTTGTCGTGCGACTCGTACCGGACCCACTTCGCATGCGAGAATTCCGGTTCGCATAGTTGGACGACCGTGAAGGAGGAGCGCTCAGCTGATCATATACTGAGCCCCATTCATTGCCTCTTGCAGCAGCTTGAGCATACACGTTGCGGCGGGCTTTCTTGTTGAGCTCATATTGGGCCCGCGCCGTATCCTGCAGAGTGTCTCTTGTGCTTGTCCTAGATAATTGAAGTTAGCATGGCCGCCGTATGGGCTCAGAGGAAACGGCATACGAATAGGCATAATCCGACGGAGTAAAACCCTCGTTGTTCCGCGCCAGATATTGGCAACCCCGCTCGATGAGAAGTTGCACAATCTGCCACATGATCAGCGCTGATACTCGAATCGGCAATCATCATACGTACCGGTATGTGCCCCCAAGCGCTAGCACTGCGACAAGGTTGGTACCCCCACTACTCAGACGTGTGGGACGACTCACTAATGAAGTGGGGTATTGCCGTCGTTATCTGCAAGATCATAATCTGCCCCAAGATCACACAACATCTGTTCAAACGTGTCAGAACCCCACATTTCATTTGTCGTGAAGGGAAGCGTGGACATACCCGCACTAGCTCCTCATTGCCTCTCTGTGCTGCCACATGTAATGCCGTCTTTCCATCTACATTCGCCCAATCGAGGATGTCCGGATAGCGGTCGTAGTATAATCGCGCCATTCTTAGTGTGGCGCTCAAGAACTCATGCTCGCTGGGGCCCGATGAGTATGGACTTGTGATGGGAGGCCGTGCGTCGGCCAAGAGGATGAGAATCGTGTTGTTATCCGAATCCTAGAGACGTCAGACACAATAGGCATGCATTTGGAGCAGCGCTAACCTTGCTGTATTCCCGATCATCATGTCCGCTACTCAAGAGGAACTCAAAGGTCTCTTCATGACCCAACACCGCCGCCCATGCCAAGGAGGTGTAGCGTTTGTTCATAGGGTCGGGATTCCTCATATCCGTCCTCTTAATGAGCCTCTTGACCAAAAAGAGGTTATTCTCTACCCGAGATACTTCAGAACTCCATAGCATGCCAGTAGTCAGTGAACACACCCTTGACTGCCCGTCGAAGCCTGGCGGTAGCGTCTTTCTCGGCCATGGTGGTAGCAGCGGTGCAAAGTCAGCGTGGGATCGGCCGCAGCTACAGAGGCTGGATGTGAGAAGACAAAAGGCGGGGGAACCGCGTTGCACAGCAAACACAGCACAGGGCAGGGGAAGGCATAATAGGATGAAGATCGCCACGTGATCGTCCCGGACGTCACGGCCACGGCTACGAATCCGAGGATGGAATATGTCTCACGCCGCCTCTCATTTGCCATTTGATCCCGCGCGCTCTTCCATCTTCTCTTCTCTCGAGCTCACACCTTCGGCGCCCAAACGACTTCTCACCTCCATTCCTAATATCTGCCAAAATGCCAAAGGTCGTCTCTCGTTCCGCTGTCTCCTCATCGACCGACGGTCAGTCATATCCACGGCGCCGTTTCAATCTCTAGCGCGCTGAAGGTTGATGCTTGTTAGCCCAGCCCACTGCATCGTCCGTCGCGGCGCTGCGTGTTTACTGTGCGACGGTTCACCAGTCGGTAGCCGGCCATGACTAACCGCCCTTGCTTCTCTTCGGCGCAGACTGTATTTGCGGGGAGTTTATCGTATGTGGCTCGGCATCCGCTCCCATCGGCTTCGGCTGTTGCTGATACATCGTCCTTCAGCTCGTTATGGACAAGAGTCTCGCTTCCCTACCGCGGCGGAAGACTGACGGCGCTGTTATGATTCGGTGTCAAGACAGCGAGCTCGGGAAGGCCCGTGTTTTCAAATTGAATGCAACGGCCAAGGACCCGGTGCTGTTAGAGCGGTGGGCTGCCTGCGTTGGGATACAGTGTGAAATGTGCTCATCGTTCCGTTGATGCTTAGCGCGAATGGCTATGAACGGCAGTTCAAGTTCCACTGCCCAAGGTGCAATCTACCAGTGGCATATCAGACCACGCCTCCGCCAGCCAAGTCGGGGCGAGTCCTGTACATCATCAAGGGTGCCCTGAGCCAAGTGCAAGGTCAGGTCCCTCCGGACGCATTCGAAGATGAACGCTTGGCAGAGTCTTGAGGCGCAATGTTCGCACTCGCGTCGCGGAGACCTTTGCCATATAATCCTTCTTTGCTTGAACAGGCTGTACACTACGTATCACTCATCTGCATGACTGGCAGAAGCTCATGCATTCTCATGTTCGGAAGTAATGTACAGATGTGGATAAATGAACAATGCTCGCCAATAACAACACGACATTTCGTGTCATGGCCCACACAACACTGTAGAAGCATTCATTATGAAATTGCATAATTCCTGGAAAGTTTCGAGTCAGTATCGACTATTTGCCACAGCAATGGTTGCGAGAGGGATGCCATTCTCAGATACCGTTGTAGAAGGTTATTCAGGACATCGATGCGAAGCACGACGTTCATACAGTGTGAATGATAATTGTCATCGCAGAATGGAAAGCGAAAGACATGGATGATCAATGATAATAAACTCACCATCAAAGCTGCCACGCATCTCGACAGAAGCAATCCGATATGCGGCGAACACAAACTTCGCCAATTTAGTCATGTTTGGAGAACGGCTTACCATTTCTTCACGTCCTAGGCGATGAGAAATCAATAACACGTTGACAAGCAAGATAGAATGCATGGAAGGGTCGGCTAGTCTCAGATACCGTTGTAGAGTAATTGTAAGTTCAACACGCGTGAGCGTTCGTATGTTTGGGAATAACGATTGCATCATCGAGCATGAACTGGCATTTCAAACTCACCTTAGCCATCCTTGCTCTTGGTAGAGCATATTACAGGGAAGATGCCTCACATTGCAACCAATTCCAGGGATCAGCGATGGATGAGGATGGAGAGCAAGGCAGAGAAAGAGAAGGTAGAAAACCTGAAGACGGCCGCAAATTTCTTCTTTCTTTACACTTGTTTTGAGACTGATTGCACGATCGAGCAAACAGACGCGCATAGTGACACACGTTCCGTTCCGCGCATCTCGTATGCCACCAACTTCGCGGCTCTGTACTGCGTTTCCTGTTTCTCATACCTGCGTTGCAGCTTGCCTCGGACTTCGCTTTTCAATATGTACGGACGTCCTTGTAGCGATGCCACGCGGCGATAGATCTGGAGGCGTCATGCTGAACTCTGCCGGTGCAGACGCGAATTGAAACGTTCAAGGCGGCGACGTAAACGTTCAAAATGGCTATGGCTTCGATCCACCCACCCACTCGCTCGTCACCGTGACGCCGCCAAAGTCCGATATTGCATCGCGATCAATGACGCCTTTACTGGGATCATAGTCAATCCCCGCGCGATCGTACAACAATGCTCTCCGCTTGGTATTGCGTATACCGTTATCGCAAGTGTCATCATCAGTTTACAAGCTAGGTACCCTGTTCAGCTTATGACGTACGGCATGTTGCATTCAAGATCTTAAGCAGCTTGTGATGGCTGAGCGCCTGGCGTTTGAATGGACAAGGCTAGAGCATGGGATGAACCAAGTAGTACGAGGGAGGATGATGGACTTATGGAGAGGGCCGGCCCAAGTCGCCGGAACTGAGTCTTCTAGTCGGGTATCATAGGTGCTGCTCTCACACACTGTACATGTATACCATCATTTCAGATGCTACTCTTTCCTGCCGCCGTTCTGTCTGAAGTCGACTGAGCAAAGCAAGCAAGTACTTTCGTAAATGCATGTGAGCGCTTGCGAGGTGAAGGTGCTTCGATCTATCGCCCACGTGGGCTGCGGTCACGATGGCGCTGTCGCGGCGCCGTTCTCGCGACTCGGTCTCCTCCCAACAGAGTCGGACGGCGTCTTGTCCGCTTCGAGCACCATGGACCTCCCATCTGCACGCGAGATAGAGCTCGAGACGCTCCTGCGGGAGCGAGACGCACAGGTCGCGGAGCTGACGGTGAGCAAATCTGTCCAACATCCACACGCCGATGCTTCGCCTCTCGCTTACCGGACTGACCTTCTCCTCCGCGTGTTCCAGGATGAGGTCACGCACCTGCGCCAATATTTGTCTACCCAGCCTGCACCATCCACCACCGACCCTATCTCCTTGCCTCCCGCGCTGATATCCCTGCTCCTGCCCCACATCAACGACCATGCAGGGAGCGCCACAGCAACGTCAAGCTCCGTCACCACCGCCCTCACGCACCGCGCAAAGGTATTGCAGGAGGAGAATGACGAACTCTACGAGCTGCTCAAGGTTGGCGAGACGGGCAGGCTGAAGGAGGACGTCCGCGCCCTGCGTCGCGTCGTGCAAAAGCTGGAGGGAGCGCTCAAGGGTGCGTCTAGCGCGTGTGCCAACAGGCGTCCCAATGATACCACCTTGCATTGCAGAATCACATCAGGTTATTGCATCCCTGTCGTGAGTACATCGTCAGTTAATCCGGCGTGGTACTGAAAAAGCCCCTAGCGGTGAGCTGGACAAGTCTCATGAGGCGATCATGGCGCAGGGGCGCCCCTCGAGCGTCGTCAAAGCTCACTCACATTCCCAATCACCTGCACCGACGCGCAACATGTACCAGCAACCCCCTCACTTATCCTCTGCGACGAATGGCTCTGCGAAGCTCCCTCCCACTGGGCCACGTGCCCACAAAAAGCCACGTCTCTCCGAATCGCACACGGCTCCTGCACTTGCGAGTGCACCCCTCCACGGTGCATCCAAACCAAACCACGCCCAAGCCGCGTCCTCCACCCAAGGAGAAAAGCGCAGCAGACGAGAGTCCGTTGATCGAAGGGCCCTGGCTGTCATTGACGAGGACCGCAAACCGCGGTCACCTGATCAGGAGCGCGAGCGAGAGAGGCCGCGCGAGAGCGACAGAGAGCGGGCCAGGGAGCGAGAAAAGGACCGCGACCGTGTGCGAGAGCGCGAGCGGGGCAGGGACAAGGATAGGGAACGGGCGCGCGAGCGGGATCGTGACCGCGATCGCCCCTCCAGGCGCAATGGTGGGGGCCGTGGGGGAGGAGGAGGGGGTGGGGGAGCGCGGCGCGGCGGGCGAGGCCACACTGGCGCTTCGTACGACAGCGCGGATCGGACGTTGGCGGAAAGAATGGGACTGTAACGGGACTTTGCGGTTTTCCTCTGGATAGGACAGGATGTGTCTGTGTAGTCCCCTCAACGCCTAGTTGTATACGGTACGACTTCTCCCCTAGAACGTCACTCTCCGCACCGCGCGCACGTCTAACTTATTCGTATTTTGCTCATCCACAGTTGTATTCATATTCTGTCCATTCGCGCTCTCGTACTGCTTTGCATGCAAAATTCGTATCGTATATCTATTCCGGATGGCCCCGTGCGACTGACCGCTTTCTTGCTGGTCTGTATCTAGACTCTGTGTGTTTCCCCATCATGCATCAAAGTTGTCTTTGCAATGCGCATACGCATCGTGTCTTTGGTGCCTGCACCGCATTCCACGGGGCCTCGATCAAGAATGAGCCTGCAGCTGGCGCGGTGTGCGAAACTGATCGCCTGAAGGATCGTCGCGCTGCTGCTGCTGGAGCAGACTGGACCGTGCCCATGCCCATTATTCATCGAGGCCCCGCTCTTCGCCCGCCGTAGCACCCAGAGCGGCTGTCTAAGCACATATACACACACGCAAAACCACTGATACGGATCGCCACTGCAAATTCGGAGATACGTCCTACTGTACGCTAGCTCGCTCCGATTCGCTGATTCGCTGCCGCCGCCGGGGAGAGTCAGAGTCCGTGGCAGCACGGTACAGTATGTACATAGCGTACGTGCACCTGCCTGCTTGCAATGCCCGGCGCCACAGCCGTTTTGTGCTGCCCGAGGCGAACACTGTACGATGTCGGAGCGGGAGCGCGTGGAGAGGACGTCGGGCCCATCAACCCGCCGATGCATTTTGGTTGATTGACTACTCGGAAGCTTGATCGCGTCAGCTCACTGATCAGTTCTGGGAAGACGTCAGCGCCGCTTATGCAGGGTGTGGCACCAGTCCGAGCCCATTGCCCTCGGGAGAGTGCCTCGACTCGTTAGGGCTCTGCGTTTCAGGTCGAGCCTGCGGCCCCGACCAATCATTGAATGATGAGCCCGGGTGTCGACCCTTGCAAAGCCCTGACGTTCTGTAGCTGTAACGTGTCTGGAACGCGACGTAATTGCACGTTTATGCATTGACACTGCGGCGGTACATGCCTGTTCCGGATGGACCGGTACCAGGTACTGAATATTTACATGAGTAAGGTAAGGTGTAAGGGTACAGGAGGTCTGGTGCGATCAGTCCTGTCTGTATTCCATTTTGTACAGTATACATCGAGGGGAGTGTAGTCGCTTATCGGAACATTAGACAATGAGCGTACGATTGGATCGAGAGCTATGGAGAGGCGCACAATTCATGGTGCACCGCAACGACGAGCAAATGAGAGAGCAAGGAGATGCAAAGACAGAGAGCGTGGGGAGACGTTTGAACGACTGATGTGACAGGGAGAAAACGATCTAAAGTACAGAATAGCGCAATACACGCGGTAACCAGAGTTAGCACAGTCGTATAATAGGTGCGAACGAATGGCAGAGACGGATTGTCTGCAAAGGTAGTAGAATGACACAGGAGCGTCCGCGTCCATTCCGGGCGCTTCCAAGATGGGTCGCCGCTGCCATTTACAGGGGGTTGCAGCATGCCCACGATAAGGCGGCGTCCATTGAGTATAATGCATCATCGACGGCCGCATGCAGGATGTCAGCGTGTGAGATGGTGTGACAAAGCGCCGGAGGCAGGTGTGCCCCAAAAGAATCATCGTGCATGCACGGAAGAGGGAAAGGCATAGTGCGCCGCAGCGTGTGGGCGCGTCAAGGTCATGGCGCAGTCGAGCGCGAGCCACTGTAAGCGCAAATGCTCGATGAGCGGACGCCGTTGGGGTTAGACAGCCGCACGAGCCCACCTGGTGCGCTTGTACGGCGAGATCAGTGCGATGCGCGACGCCGGGTTGAGATCGGGGATGCGGATCTGCGGATGTGTGGGCGAGGTGTGCAGGACGGAGCGCTTTGCGCCGGGGGAGGCGAGCGCGAAGGATGGGATGGGCGGCACGGGCGGTGGAGGAGACGCGACCATGGGTGCCGGGGGTGGTGAGCGCGAGCGCGAGCGCGGACTGTGCGCTCCGACGATGGAGGGCGAGCGGCGATGGCCGCGCCTTGGTGAGCTCGGGGAGTTTGTGATGGCGGGCGATGCGGAGTGGGACGCGTTCTCGTGCCTGCGGGTGCCGAACTCGTCTCCGTCGATCCACAACTCGGATTGGGCCTTGTAGCTGAGGATGTGTGGCTCGTCGGGCCTGACGGTCATTTTCTTCAGGAGTGGCGAGCCGACGAGGCGGGGAGGGATGGGCGGCTCGCTCGGGTGGGCGGGGACATGAAGACGATTGCGGGATGTACGCCTGGGGAGGACAGGAGGCGAGGAGAGCGGAGCTGGAGCCATACGGGGAGAGGGCATGCGGGGCGGGGGCGGGAGGGAGGTGACAGAGGCAGACATCGGAGAGGGCAGGCTAAGTAAATAGTGTGGGCCATCCGGGCGGAAGCTTTATATTTTGAAGCCCCGTGGAGGCAGACACGATCGGGGCGGCACAGGGCGTGCTCGGAAAGGAAACATGTCTGAGCAGGGCACGGACCAATCATTAGTAAGCGCCTGCACGTCCGCTCGCCGTGGATCGCCTCCCGAATCGTCCTTATCGCGATCCTGGCCCGATTTCCTTCTCCGCCCGGCTCGACATCCTTCTCCCTTCACTCTCCGTCCAATCCCGCCCGCGCCCCGCCCGATTGTGCCCAAAAATAATCGACTCGCCCGACAATTTCGCCCTCGTCGACGCAGCGCGCGAGCTAGTCGCCAACATCGGACCGGTCGGCGTGTCCCTGTGTGTTAGAGCGATGCGCCCGTTATGAACCTGCGTCGGAGGCTTACGTCTTCCGAGCACGGCCGTTAGTTCATACTCGGAAACGGCTCCGGTGATGGTCGAACGACATTCTGCGCAGCAATCATTTCCACGCGCACGGTGCTTACGCCTCGCGACGAGAATTTCATTGACGAAGGTGCGGCCACGTCAACCAGTACAAATTCTCGTCGAACATGTGCGGGCACAAGTCGGCGCTCTTTTCCCCTTACAGAGAGAAGATCACATTATCGCTGATGGCGGGGATCCCAAGCATTCTCCTGGTCCGCCTCTAACCATCTTTGGTATTCTCACTGCATTCATCTGATCGTTGCCAGTCTCGGTAAACGATCCTCTGACGGGCCCTATGTTATTAACTCTTCTCGGACGATGTGGCCTGACCAACTCCTCCTCCGGAGCTTCGTTGAGTCGCCCCTAAATAGCTCAGTAATGAAATGCCGCATCGTCGAGGCATGGTGCGCAAGAACGTTCTCACACCCTCCGAGGAGATGCTCGATTTTCAAACACTTGCAGCTCAAATCCCGCTTCTTTAGTCGCCCAAGAATGGAGGGGACACCAAGCTCAGACTCCGCCCCGCCGAGTCGTCGCCCAGCCTAACTTCGTATCCCCGATGTCTCTCGGAATCAACGCGTCGCGACTTGACCTTGATCAGCGCCCCCACGTGTGGCCTTTTGCTTGGCATCCTCTAGTGCTTCGCAGTGCCTTTTACTCACGAAATACACACGAGCCACTGAGTGCCGAACTCAAGTGACTCATTGCTTCGCGATGTGTAAGAAGCCAAGACGAGCTGGGGGACCTCCGCCCATCAACATAGTCACCCTGGTCCTGCTGACTATGCCCATGATTAGTCTGGCATCGTCTCTAGTTCGATGTCCGCGATCGAGGTGAGTGTGTCATAATTACGTCCAAATTGGGACTGATGCTCAGCCGAGGCGAGCATACAAGCTACTACTCGTAAATCCGGTGGGATCGGCGCATCGCTGAAGCAGCGCATCGGCTCTGTTAGGGCGGCCGGATGCCATATATAGCTAGAAATACCGTCCACTGCCATCGTCCACGCTAGAAGTGTTTGCAGAGTTATTGGGACTGCGCGATTACGTGCTGGCCCCTGTCCTCGGACCTCAAGCCACTGCAGAGCAGAGCTATGTATAGAGGAAACACTTGCGCTCCAAGCTTATGACCACACGATCAGTCACACCGACCGTCTGTTGCATAAGGATCGACTCGTGCGGCGCGCACCTCCAACCACAACAGGTAAGTCCGGGCTAAACTGTAACTAACAGCTTCAAACAGCCCCTAATGCCACCAGCCACCGGGCAAATTCATAATGGTCCGCCCCTAGTCGCGTCCTGTGCAGCAGTGTAAGCTTCTGTGGCAGCCGCACTGGTTCCGCCCGCCCTCTATCTATCCTATCGTTCTTCCGCTCCCTGGTGGCAGCACCCCTTTCGCATTGCCATTCTCAGCATGCTTTCCCTACTCCGTTCGCCCGCTCTCGCGCTTTGCGCTCTTCCGCTCCTTGCTTCATGCGTGCCGCTGGACGAGCCCGCGGCGATTCCGCGGATGCAACACGACATGGCGATAGTCACGGAGACGCTCACTTCCACCATCCTGGCGACTGGAGCGGGAACGGGCTATGCTACTGCTGCTGCTGCTGCGAATACGGCTTCTGTTGGCGCTTTGCCGGTCTCTTCGAGTGCGACTGCCACTTCGAGCTTGGTCTCTTCTGGTGCCGCGTTTACGTCTGGTACGGAGGCAATCCTATTTCTTCCGCCTGGAGGTCCGGTATCCGCGACTTCCTCTTCCTCGGTCGCCTCTAGTGAAGCTATCACGCCGAGTCAAAGCGGGTCCTCTAGCGCATCCGTGTCTTCTGTGCAGCCAAGTACCTCCCCTACGGCTCCTGCTCCTGTGGCAACCGTGACTCCCCAGATGATGGCTTATTACCCCGACTGGGCAGCCCCGGCATTTCCTCCGGAGAAGGTCGACTTCGGACGCTTTGACTGGATTGACTTTGCGTTTGCCGTTCCGGACGAGAACTTCAACCTGACTTGGGACGGATCTAGCGAGGCGCCGGATCTCCTCACGCGCCTGGTGGCTGCCGCTCACAACAGTGGTACGAAGGTCAAGTTGAGTGTCGGCGGCTGGACTGGCAGCCAGTGCGTTCGCTTCCTATCGAGTATGTTCGCGCGATTGATAGTCTGACGTGCAGGTACTTCTCTCCCGCTGTTTCGGACGACCAGAGCAGACAGACGTTGGTAAGTAACATCTTCGCAACGTACACCCAGTTCAACCTGGACGGCATCGACATCGATTGGGAGTACCCTGGTCAAGACGGGAATGCAGGGAACCAGGTTAGCCCGAACGACACGGCGAACTTCCTTTCTTTTCTGCAGCTTCTGCGTGCGACGCTCCCTGCCACCGCCAAGCTAAGCGCCGCCGTGCAAACCGTGCCCTTCGCAGACGCCCAGGGCGACCCGCTCGGCAACGTCTCGCAGTTCGCGGAAGTGCTCGACTGGGTGCTCATCATGAACTACGATGCGTGGGGTTGTACGTGCTTACCTCCGTCCTCTCACGCGCGCGTCGCGCGTCGCGTCTCCCGAAATAGCTGACACGTATGTTTTGCGCAGCGTCGAGCACTCCTGGGCCCAACGCGCCCCTAAGCGACGCCTGCCAAAACTCGACGCAGGCTAGCGCGAACGCTGTCGCGGCGCTCGAGGCGTGGACGGACGCGGGCTTCCCTGCGTCGCAGCTCGTGCTGGGCGTCCCGTCATACGGGTACATATCCAAGTCGCGCGCCACGCGTCTGCGCGAGCGCAGAAGCCGGCACGCGCGCTCGCGGCACTCGCATCTCCCGAAACGGATGCAGTCCCTCCTTTCTGATGAAGCGCAGAACTCGGCGCCGCCGGGCACGCCGCCGATTTATGCGATGAATGGGGATGGGGGGACGCAGAATGGGCAGGTTCAGTTCCGCGCGCTCGTCGCGCAGGGGGTGCTGCAGTATGCGCCGCCTGATGTGCTCGATGGCAATGATGGTGCGGCGCCGACGAGCTTGGACGTTGTGGGCACGGAGTTTGATAGTTTGTATGATGGCTGGGGTGGGTTCACGCGGTATTGGGATAACTGCTCGAGCACGCCGTTTTTGCGCTCCGAGAATGCTGGACAGGTGGTCACGTATGACGATCCGCTCTCGTTGGGGCTGAAGGCCGCGTTTGCGAGGGAGAGCGGCATGTTGGGCGTGAATATGTTTGATGTCAGTGGCGATACGGATCAGTGGGACTTGACGGATGCGCTCCGGAAGGGTCTGGGATTTGGTTGATGTTGGCTTGCTAGCATGTGTTTCGTCGGCGCATTGTAGTTGTGCCTGCTTTCAATTAAGCTGTTGCTTTGGAATCGTGTCCATCACCTGCATCCATAAACTCCTATGGAGTCACCACGCGAACGACGTTGCTGTTGTTGCGCGTTAATTGCATAGTTGATCAGAGGATCCCCCCGTAGGCGATCGCGGGGCCACGGGCGCGTATTTGCGTGCTCCAACTTGGTCGTGACCAAACACCGCGAACAATGTTTGCTTCATATTTGCTTCATATTCGACTTTATCTCATCTCCGGATTCATCGCAGTTCGATATTGTTCTCTGAAATATCTTGCGTTGTGTGCATCTCGCCCTGTCCGTTCTCCCAATACCACTGGACCAGAAGGAATTCTCCAAGGAGCGCGGAGACTTATCGTCTGCTTTCGCCTACAGGCTGGGCGCGGAACAAGGGTGAAGCTAAGGATCAAGCGGGGCACGTCTGCACCAACTTTCCCTTCTTACATATATTTTGGAGTTCAATACTACCCTAGGACAGATCGGATAGTTTTGCTTGGACAAACTCTATCCGACACTATGACTGATGACTGTCCTGCTGCCCTGCGCATAGCAGTCTTGTTCTCGTGGATGTTCGCCAAAGAGGTTCAAGGACAGGCTCTCTAGAGCACCGTTCAGATATCCCGCTTGGACTCAGCAGACGGTACTCTGCGGTCAACGCGGCTCAAGGGCGCGCTGAATCTCGCGTACGGTCTGTTTAATACTGACTTGGCGCCCGCGTTGCCATCAATCAAAGGATGATGAAGAACTTGGCGCGGGGCACATTCGAGCCAACCAGCATAGTAGTCGTCCGTCCGCTGGATGCTGTGCAGCCTGTGCCTGTCAGCGGTGAGAACGTGCCGCTGCAGGAAGTGGTGTACTTAACCGACGATGCACTCCCTCCCCGCTCTCGCCACGTTCTTCAACAATGCTTCCGCTCGTTTATACTTTCATATTTATCTTCTTGCTATCTACTGTCAAGGCATCATCGGCATGGAGCACGACACCGTACAGCCCCGCGGCCGTCCCTCTCGTCGTCCGCTCGCCCTATCTGTCCGCGTGGCTCCCTCAGGGCGGAGGAACTGCACTTAATGGTGGATGGCCTAATTTCTGGAATGGCGATGTACGTCCTGCTTCCTCAGTCGCTATCGAAAACCTCTTACGCAACAGCATCCTCTATGCAGATCCTCGGCTGGGCTGGCTTTGTGAATGTCGATGGAACATCCTACAATTTCCTGGGAGTCCCAGCTGTCGCTGACACGTCGTTTGGCAAGTCTACCCAGCAAAGTTTAATAGTAAGTTGAGTACCTTGTGGGACCAAACAGTCGTTCTCATCTTTGCACAGATGACAGCTACCAAGAGCGAGTTTGTCATGACTGCCGGAGCTGTTGATCTCACCATCACGTTCCTGACCCCCATAGAGGTAAGAACTGCCTCCTTACGGCCACGCTTTGTGTTGGCTGACTCGGCGTAGCCGGGCGATATAGTCAATATGTCCTTGCCATTTGCGTACATGGCAATGTCTGTGACGCCTACTGACAATAACAATCACTCGGTGCAAGTCTACACGGACATCAGTGCTGAATGGCTCTCAGGCAACGATAGCATGATTGTGAACTGGACGACAACTGTCGACAGCATGATCATTCATCAGTCTCAGCTGGAGAACCAGACCCTTTTCGCTGACGTGGCTGATCGTATCCAACGTGAGAGTCTCAGGATTTCCTGCAATGATGTGATACTGATGATGAGCTCAGAGGGTTCGTCATACTTTGCGGCCTTGAACGTAAGTCATCCACGTAAACTATCGTGTAATTGTCCTTAATTCTCTACGTTACCGAAGACATCCGGAACCACGTATCAGACTGGAAGAGACATCGATGTCCGCGCGCAGTTCATCAACCACAGTGTTCTTGCCAACACCCTGGACACCAACTTCCGAGGCATATCAGATGACTGGCCAGTTTTTGCACTCGCCCATGACTTCGGGTCCATTTCGAGTCCGTCAGACACGTTCGTCGTCGCTATCGGGCATGCCCGAGACCCAGCTGTCCAGTATATCACTGCAAACGGCGACATGCAGGATCGGAGCTCTCTTTTCTGGAGCCAGTATTCTACTGCAGCAGACGCAGTAAGTTGAATCATGACGTCTGAGGCGATTATTGCTTACGTTTGTTGTACGTAGATCTCTACTTTCCTTCAGGACTACCCAAACGCTGTGGCACGCGCAGCCGCATTTGATTCAAAAGTTCTCGCGGACGCGTCTAACAACGCATTCCCTCCTAATTATGCTCCCATTGTTGAGTTATCAATCAGGCAGGCATTCGGAGGCGTGGAGTATACAATTTCGAAAGACAGCTCTGGCGCGTATAATACCTCCGATGTCACAGCTTTCGTGAAAGGTACTGTCTTTCCAAACTGAAGCTGCATAGTTGACCTGATATTTGATAATTAACAGAGATCTCCAGTTCTGAGGTGAGCGACCGCAGTCCCATGCTAAGTTGTGTCGCCGAGCTCAGCGATGAGATAGCACATTAGTACTGTCGACGTCATAATGCCGATGTGGCCGACGCTTCTGTACACAAATTCGACCATTGGGAAAATGCTGCTGCTGCCACTCCTGGAGTATCAAGCGTCTGGACAGTATCCAAGTCAGTTTGCCTGCCATGACCTTGGTGAGTGCCTGCGTGATCACCACTGAGTGGATTTCGGATGCTGAGCTGGCATCGTAAATCAGGGGCTGCATATCCGAAGGCAACCGGATGGCCAACAGGTACTGTTTCCCTGTATGCTTCTGATGTCATTGAATTAATTCATTGTCTTTTAGGCGGTGACGTCGAGATGCCGATTGAAGGTGCGTCGAGAGCGAGCGACTGAGTGTGTGTGTGGGTCCTTGATCGAATGTTGAATGTAGAGACCGGCAATATGCTGATCATGACGCTCAGCTATACGCAATCCACAAAGGATACCTCGCTCGTGACTACCTACGTAAGCTTTTGTGCGGCCACTTCCCTGATTAACTTACTCATCTCCTGCAGTACAAGCTGCTCCAGCAATGGGCTTCTTATCTGAAGGACAACACACTCACCCCAGCAAACCAGAATAGCACAGATAACTTCGCAGGTCCCCTTGCTAACCAGACCAATCTTGCCATCAAAGGTATCATTGCCTTGAAGGCTATGGCTGAAATGGCTGCAGTGGTTGGGGATTCGACAACGAGCTCGAGTTATAATGTTCGTAGTGCCGTGGACGCCGGTGTGGATTCGTCTATCTAACCCGCTCCCCAGTCTACTGTGACTTCATATCTGCAACAATGGCAAGAACTGGCTACAGCACCAGCCTCGCAGCATCTCGTTCTCAACGTGCGTGACGATTGTATACATCTGCGAAACAATGCTGAAACTATCTTCAGTATGGTGATCCATCGAGGTGTGTTGTGTCCAGCCAAGGCACCCACCAAACCTATCCTGACATACGTATATGACAGTTGGGGGCTTACTTACAATATGTACGCGGATAAGCTGCTGAATACCAACATTATCCCAAGCTCAGTGTATGAGATGCGTAAGGGCAGAATTTGCTCCTCTGTGTTCTTCACTGTCTGACACTGTGGCTTTCATCCAGAAACTTCTTGGTATTCCTCAATTTTGAACGGCAGTAAGCGCAATCAATCCAATGTGCGCTAACGGAGGGCCCGGTCTGAATATTCTGAACAGGTGCTTGGGGAGTGCCGTTAGACACGCGGTACGCCTCATTGAGACACACAGAAATGCGATTACTGACACATTGGTCACAGGCATAACTATGTCCTAACAGGTTAGTCTGTTGCTCGAATGGCGTACTGCTCTGGCTGAACACGCAGCAGGATGGGAAATGTGGACAGCGGCCTTCATGACAGACTCGGCAGTGAAGGACTCGTTCATCAACTTCGTGCATTTGTATGCGTCCAACTTGCTGAACAGCGAACCATTTGGAGACTGGTACGACACCGTTGATGGAGATACCGAGTCCGGTTTTAAAGCGCGTCCGGTTGTGGGCGCTCATCTTGCCTTAGTGAGTTCTGGGATTGGCGTGGTGCGGCACTTAGAGGGTTATTCACGACGTTTGATATCGCAGCTGGCTCTGCCTTCGACTACGTCTTCGAGCTCGACGACAACCACTGCTACTAGTACGTCGTCAACAAGTACGAGTTCCAGTACTTCAAGCAAGTCTTCTTCGGCGACTACTAGCGCGGCTCTGCCGACGCACGTACTAGTGCTCACCTTGGCGGTGGCGGTGCTTCTTGGCGTTTTTGTGCCTTGCTAGGCAGCGTCTCAAAAGCTGCTTTGATCTCAGTGGATTGTTTCGTCCTTACTGGAAATGCGGTGCTGGCGCTCAGTCATACGCGCGCCTGCCAGCGTGTGGCAAGATAGCTCCTGCAGCTGTCTTTGTTACTTTATACCTTTACACAGGACCCTCTTTGGAACACTGCTATTGTGTACATCTTGGTATATTTATTATATGGTTGCCTTTCAATCCATTGGAAACGCAATTACATGTCAATGCGAACAGGGCATCATACGCAAGAGTATCCCAATGGAGTGATATATGAAACAGACACCGCCTGCAGTGCTCGGCATGAGAAGATAATATACGTTACCATCTGCCAACATCCCGACTTTGATGGCGGCGCAGTACCAAACATGCGAAACACGTGGTAAATTCCACCTCAATGTCCGTGCCGCAATGTAGCGGGGAGAGCATTCAGGTCAGTATTCCTTTCACACCGTCTTTGTACGCTTCTTGACCACTGGAGATAGGACATGCGAGGATTTCTCACATTGCCTTGTGACTCAACCTTCAAGGAAGATACATCTCCAAAGAAGACTGATCTCGCATACGAATCGATTGCGCTAGCCCTTCGGCAGTCTCATGACGGTTGTCATCTGCTAAGTCGACGTCAGCCGTGCCTTCCAGGGACGCTACCTATTTATAATGCGCTCTTGCCCGTGGTGCGATATTCACCCCACATCCCCCCCGCTTCATGATGCATCTCCACGTTTTAACCCTTCTTTCACTCTTCTACCTTCGCTCTGTGAATTCAGCGGTTACTTGGACCGCGACGCCTTTCAACCCCGCCTCCTTCCCTCTAGCGGTTCGCTCGCCCTATCTATCTGCATGGCTCCCTCAAGGCGAGGGTAACGCACTGAATGCGGTGTGGCCTCAATTCTGGACCGGCTCCGTACGTGCATTTTACGCACAACTAGGGCGCATCAATGATGACTGAATATATCATAGACTCTTGGTTGGGCAGGCTACATCAATGTGGACGGAACGTCGTATAACTTTCTAGGCGACCCCGATGTTCCAAACACGAGTGCGCAGAAAGCCACTCAGAAGAGCTCGGAGGTCAGTGCATGTCTACAGTATCCGATCAGCACATAAATGGTGCTCAATACTTCGCGCCTTACAGTTCACTAGTACCCAAAGTATATTTGTGATGACGGCAGGCGGCATTGACCTCACTGTCACTTTCCTGAGTCCTGTAGAGGTATGCTTTGTCAGCATCCCTGTTGATCAGCTTATGAATTTGTCTCTAGCCGAGCGACCTGTTGAACCAATCTCTGCCTTTCTCTTATCTCGCATTATCTGTAGCTCCAAACGACGGCGCTTCCCATTCTGTCCAGGTGTATACGGATATCAGTGCCGAATGGGTGTCTGGAGACGATAGCCTCACCGTGAACTGGACGACTACCGTCGACGTCCTGATCACACACCAGGTTCAACTGGAACAGCAGACAGTATTCGGCGAATATAGCGACCGTATCCAACGTAAGTAAAAATGTGAGCGCTGAACAACGCCGTGACTGATGCCATGTTGTGTAGAGGGTTCCGGATACTACTCGACTTTGAAGGTGCGTGGTATGATGTTCGCACGATCTCCGTGTGCTGATCGCGGGCGCGCCCGACTCAGTCTGATGGTACTACTTATCAAACGGGCCAAGACATCGTCGTCCGCGCGCAATTCATAGACAACAGCACGTTGCTCAACACTCAGGATACTGACTTCCGAGCTGTCTCAGACGACTGGCCTGTGTTCGCGCTCGCCCATGACCTTGGAAATATCTCAAGCGCGACCGACCCTATCGTATATGTAGTTGGCCATGCCCGTGATCCTGCTATTCAGTACATCATTGCGGACGATGTCATGCAGTACCGGAGCTCTTATTTCTGGAGCAACTATCCTACCGCGATCAGCGCCGTGAGTGCACTCCTGTCGCGCTCCGTGCCAGTGTGCCGACCGACATCCTTCAGATCACTACATTCATTACAGACTACAGCAATGCGTTGACTCGTGCTAACGCCCTGGATGCGCAAATTCAAGCAGACGCGGAAAGCATCTCTTCCACTTATGCAGGCCTGGTTGCTTTGTCCGTGCGACAGGCGTTCGGCGCTATCGAGTTCACAGTATCGAAGGATAGCTCTGGTGCATATAACACATCTGACCTCATGACGTTCCTCAAAGGTATGAGCTGGTCATGGACATATCCGCTGTTCTAATTTGAAATGTTTCCATAGAAATATCCAGTGACGGTGTCAGTTGTGACGGGACTAAGAATGATCATTGACGGCGGAAGCTGATACCTCTTTGTCATAGAACGTGAACACCGTGGATGTTATCTTCCCAGCATTGCCCGCTTTTCTATACACGAACCCGGTGATTGTCAAGGACCTGCTGCTTCCGTTGCTCGAATACCAGATGACTGGACAATATCCGAATACATGGGCTTGCCACGATATGGGTACGCTCACCGGGCACATGTTGTAGTCGATTCACCGACAATGCATTGACAGGTACTTCGTACCCAAACGCGACGGGACATAACGATGGTATAACAACTGCCAATGTTTGTGATCCGATTGCTGACACGGTGTACAGGTAACGATGAGAAGATGCCCATTGAAGGTGAACATCCTACCAACGATTTGCAAAATAGTGCAGCTCAATCTTTATCCAGAGAGCGGCAATATGCTGATCATGTCGCTGAGCTACGTACAACAGTCAGGCGATACATCATTCATAACATCCTACGTATGATGATGCTCTCAATCGCGGCTGAATACTTAAAGCTGACATGTCTACGATGTTCAGTACCAGTTGCTCGATCAATGGGCCAACTACCTGATCGAGAACACGCTCATCCCTGGGGATCAGATCAGCACTGACGACTTCGCGGGTGCCCTTGCCAACCAGACAAACCTTGCGATCAAAGGCATCATTGCTATCAAAGCGATGGCTGAGATGGCCGACTTGATCGGTGATACTGCCACGAGCTCGAACTACAGCGTGCGTGTTTTCAAGTTCTTCCGCCTATTATTCGCGAATGATATATTTCGTTGTGTACTATGACAGTCAATCGCGGCGGACTATGTGGAACAGTGGCAAGGGTACGCGACCGCCTCTGATGGACTGCACCTCACTCTCGCGGTATGCCTGTAACTTCATTTCTCGTTGCTAGCGGACCGCTGACAGGGCATCTCAGTATAATAATGACTCCACGTAAACTCCCGTGACTCTCAACTGCATTGATACGTCACTGAACATTATCGCTCATCGCAGATGGGGTCTATCTTACAACATGTACGCAGACAAGCTGCTGAGCACGAACCTTATCCCGGATTCTGTGTATGAGATGCGTAAGTATCTAAAAATATCGCAATTCAATTCTGCGGCCGACGGTTCTATCTTTAACTATCAGAGACATCGTGGTATCCAACTGTCGATGGTGAGTCCATTGACACACAGAGCATCTTCTGAGCTCACACAGTAACCCCATATGTGTAGAAGAATACGGAGTACCATTGGACACACGGTGAATTTTGTTATCCTCGTAGGCGACCAACAAAGTTTTGACTTGCTTGTTCAGCCATCTCTACACAAAGTCGGGTACGCGCAGCCAAGCAGTAGTGTCTGGCTGCTACTCATGCCGGCCCAGACTGGCAGTCGTGGACCGCAGCGTTCATGACCGACACGACCGTGCGCGACATGTTCGTCGACGCCGTGGAGAAGTACGCCGCAGACGGCCTCAACTCGGTGCCGCTGAGCGATTGGTACTATGCGAACGACGGCGACGTCGCGGGTTTCCAGGCTCGGCCGGTCGTTGGCGGGCATCTCGCTCTGGTGCGATTGGTCATAGCTGTCCACGTAACTTCATGACTGATTACTTTGATAGCTTGCTCTACGGTTCGCTGGCCAGCCCTAAGCGATAAGATTGCCAATCCTTCTGCTACCGCTTTTTCGTCATTTTCTTAGCGGATCTAATCACACTTGCATGTAGGATTGATGCGATATCCACGACGGTGGTTGCTGGCCTAGCAGTGGTCCTGTTGTTGTGCGGCTTGGTCCGGGGGTGAATACTACGTGAATGCAATAGGTTCCAAGGGTGTGGCGTGTAACATTTCATTGTATACATTACTGAGTGATATGATATCTATTAATTGTGCTGCATTTGCGACTTGCAACGAATATTTGGTGCTCAATTGCCTAGGCCAGTTGCGGATCGCGATCAACGCCACAAACGCGCTTGTGTGCACGATCACGTGACCGACTCGCGCGATCCGCTCAGTCGAGCTCCAAACGCCACCGTCCTGTCAGCCACGCTCGCTTTACCATTTTGCTCCTTCTCGGCCACTATTTCACTGCATCATCATCACGACCCTTAACATACATGTCAAAACGCGCCAGGAGCGTGTCTGCGTCCAGACAGCTGTCCTCTGCGATTTCCCCGCCCATGAAGAAGACCAGGCATGATGCCATTTTTTGCCGAACAAGATAGCGATGGCGGAGGCGGCGGCGAGAGCAGATAGGGATCGCCCTCTTGACAAGCTCATGAGTGCGATGAGGGAGGTCACCAGGTGTCCTCTTGAGGGAGAGTCGGTTGTCTATTGGATGCGGATGGAGGATATGCGCAGTACGCTAGCTCCGTTCTCCCCATGAAGAGCGGATTCTGATATATATGAGAAGTACATGCCTCTGCTCAGGCTAGGAACGACGGCATACCTCTCATCGCGCTGTTCGTCTTGAGCCCGCAGGACTGCATCGCTCACGACAGGGGTCACTACTTTGATTTTTGCTTTGACACGGAGTCACTGCTAACGACTTTTACGTTTCGGCAGTCCCTACTTGGCTGCAGGCGTTATAACTGCCCGTGAATGCGTGCGTGCTCAATGGAGCTGTCTCCAAACACGAAGCAGAAGATTGACGTGAGCGGCGACACTGACGTAGGACGCTGGGTGAGCACTGTAGAAATGACTGAAGATGCCTAAAGTCAGTTTACAATAAAGACATGAACCGGAATCTGTGAGTGGCACGCCGATATGATCGAACTCAGTCGACGGTATAGGAAAAAACACCATGTCGTTTGCGGTAAGCCCCACCATATTGACAAGCATTTGCTGCTTCTGATCCGGATAAGGTTGCTTCCCTGCTTCCCTGACTTCTCGTACCACTGCGGCGTGTCGGAGGCATGCAGTGAGCGACTACAGGAATGCCTGTCAGTCACCGATTTCTATCATCTCGCTACACTGTAGCAGCTAGGTATGATCACAAGTCATCGACTCAATTACTACTTAATTAGGGAGAGTGCAACATCGGGCAGCTGAACAAGCACGCCATGCTGTATAAAAAGCACTAACGAGGCGAATCACGAACGTTATTCTCTCCTCTCCGCATTGCTTTCATCGCTATGTTCACTTGCAACATTGTCCGCATTCTTCCCTTGGTCCTCGCTGCGCTTTTGATGACCGCAAATGCTGTACGCACACTAGAGCAGCCATTGAATGAGGTATGCCCTCTGCATAACGAGACCTCTCTCCGGAGATTTGACGTATTATTGTGGCATCACAGCAACTCTTGCCGACGCTATCTGACTGTGGCAAGTTCTCTAAATCCGTCGCATTCGTGCGCAGTTATAGCGCCAGCGCCAAAGACCACTTCTACACGACTGACGCCGTCGAGATGGACATTGCAGTCGACAAACAGGGCTACAAGTTCCAGGGCGACGCTGGCCGTGTTTTCTCCTACCAATTTGGGAAGACGGTCCCTCTCTACCGGATGTACAGCGTGACAGCGAAGGACCACTTCTACACCACGCTCAAGTGGGAGGCGGAAAACGCAGTAGACAGACTAAAATACACCGCAGAGGGCACTGCTGCCTTTGTCTATTCTGAACAAATCTGTGGCGGCATCCCATTCTACCGCATGTACAACGCTAACGCGACCGATCACTTCTACACGACGTCGCAGAGCCAGAGAGACAATGCCATCATCGAACACGGATATGTTGATGAGGGTATTGTGTGCTACATTCTCCCTACCTATGACTAACTTTGGGTGAGCATCCCATCGTGCCTAATTTGACCTTGTACACTGACTGATTTGTTGTTAGACAAGCATTCTTCGATGCAAAACGGCATTCTTATTTTTTGATCTCTGTGATTCATTGGAGTGGACTACAGTACATGTTGGTATCCACAAGGTTCCGTCTAAATTAGCGTGTTCCCTTTTTTTGAGGCCAGTTACCAGTATCTGCTTGGTGTTTTACAATGAGCGTGCTTGGGTCTGCAATGTGTGAACTCCACCGAAGTCTTTCATCACTTGAACCCGGCGATATAAGTAATCATTCCCCTCGTCCTCGACTCGAGAGTCGATGCTAGATGGAGTCCCGGACGAGTATCCGGATCTTGGCTGATGAGCGGCTCAGCAACTTGGCTTCCACTCCGAGTCATCCGCACGTTAGATACAATTCTCTGGGAACATCCAGTTGGACACTGAGTCGTGATCAGAGCTAGTCTACATACAGCGAGACGACCAGTTCTATACAACGTCTGCGAGCGACGGGGACCAAATTATCACCAACGCGCGACGGATTTCGCGTCTTACTACATGCTCTCTTCCGATGAATGAGCTGTGCATCGTGATCGATCTATTCTCGCCTGCCGCAATCGAATTCAGGAGGTTTCTGGTCACGGTTACAGTGCTTCTCTGCATTAGCAGAACAAGTTTTGCGTAAATTGTGAGTTTGTTTCTTGCTGACCGATTTTGGGTCTACCACATTCATTTCTTGAACTTGAAGGACACATACTTATAGATGCTTTTAATTATGGAACTGCCGGGCGAAGTCAGTCAAGAATGACGAGTCGACAATGCGAGCTCATTGCAGCGGTATCTCGAAAACTCCTGTAAGGAGTTGTTATCAAGGCTTGCGGATGGGCCACTCGCATAATGCAATGGGAGGAGTGTGGGCCGCAGATACTATAGAGATATGAGCCGTAATGCATAGGTCGACCTCGGGTTCAAAAGTGGCAACTGACTGACCATCGTATCGTGAAAGCATGGCTCGCTAGATCTAGAACTATGCGCATGCTCGTCTAGTGGGCCGAGTAACAAGCCGCGTCATTGTCTTATGAGAATGTCGGTAGCTGTGGGTTCGGCTGAGGTAATAGGACATCACAAAGAAATTGAAATATATGATCGTTTCGATGCATAATCGCAAATCTTTCGGCAAGTCCAGCAGCTCTGGATGATTGCATAGTTTCTTGAGTATGTTGATAGCTTCGAGAGGCTGAGATTACGCTCCATGCATAAGTGCCTGAAACTCAGGCGAGGAAATAAACAATCGGTATAGAGAGAGCTAGAAGTCGAATAGACCACAGAACACGACGTGTTCATATTTGACGGGCGCTGAAATGTAGACAACAAGTGAGCACACAAGAAAATGTTCGGACAATAATGGATGGCTAACGGTACTTGGACAGGAGATCGTTCGTTCGTCGGATGATAAACTTCACTACCAGGCCACCCAGCTCCTTCAGTTTCTTCTCACTCTCGGCTTTGACGGCGTCGCTAGCGTCAGCATCACGGCCTCTGATGATGAGATTCTCGAAGTTCTTTCGGAAATCATTCTTCGAGCCCAGGAAGTCGGGGTTGGCAAAGTTCAACAAAGAAAAATACTCAGATAGGTCATTCTGAAAGTCATAGACTCAATCGTCCGGAAAACATATGTTGCTGGCTAGACGAACCTGTATGGGCGTCCCAGACAAGATCACCCTGCGTTTGACGTTAAGGCCATTCAGCGTCTGGAATGTCAGAGGTTCTAATGCACTATGCATGAGCAAAGACTCGTTCGGTTTCACCCCTTGCGCTCACCTGAGTTCTTGAGCCGGTGGCCTTCGGCGCACAGCAGCAAGCCGATGGTGCAATTGGCAAGATGAGCGGACAGTGTACGCAATGTTTCGTAGGAAACAATCATGACTGTACATGGAGTACGGAATCAGCTGACAAAGGAGCGGACGGACCAAATTGACGTACCTGGTCGGGTTACGTTCCTACCGCCAGCAGCAACCCACCTCACCACTTTCTCGAACATTTCCGCCTTACCGCCCTTCCCATCAATGGCAAGCGCGGCAATAGCGTCCTTCCCAAGCCGTTTCACTTACAATGGAATGTCAGAACGTTGCGTACACTTGGATGCTCAATCGTACCTAGCTCATTGGCCCAATTCTTAACCGGGCTTGACGGACAAGCAATGATGCATTTCTCGATAGTCGGCTTTCCAGCGTGTGGCGACTTGCTAATTTGGTTTGCAGGCAGCCAAGGCCAAACGCACAGTCATTTTCAAGCGCGCTGAACAGTATGTGAAGGAATATCTTGCCAAGGAGAAGGAGGAGAAGCGGGCGGCGCGTGCCGCAGGTGACCTTTGTGTCCCGCACAGGCAAAGGTCTACTTCCTCATCCGTATCCGGGGTGTGTGTCTTAAACATGTTCAAGTTGCTTTCCGAGCAGGTAACTCACGGCAGGGCTCATGCAGTATCAACGAGCGTCGTGCACGATCACGTGACCGAATGGTTGATTTCGATCGCTGCCCGCGATCAATATGCATTCGCTCAGTCGAGCTCCAAACGCCATCGTCCTGTCAGCCATGCTCGCTTCACCATTTTGCTCCTTCTCGGCCACCATCTCACTGCATCATCACGACCCTTAACATACATGCCAACACGCGCCAGGAGCGTGTCTGTGTCCAGACAGCTGTCCTCTGCGGTTTCACCGCCCACGAAGAAGACCAGGCATGATGCCAGGTTTTTGCCGAACAAGATAGCGACGGCGGAGGCGGCGGGCAGGGTAGATCGGGACCGCCCTCTTGATAAGCTCATGAATGTGATGAGGGAGGTTACCAGGTGTCCTCCTGAGGGAGAGTCGGTCGTCTATTGGATGAGGATGGAGGATATGCGCAGTACGCTAGCTCCGCTCTCCTCATGAAGAGCGATTGCTGATATATGTGAGAAGTACATGACAATAGGGCGTTCTCTCAGGCCTCTGCTCAGGCTAGGAACGACGGCATACCTCTCATCGCGCTGTTCGTCTTGAGCCCGCAGGACTACATCGCTCACGACAGGGGTCCTAGAAGGATTGACTTCACCCTGCGTAACCTGGAATGCATCAAGGTATGCTTTCACGTGTTTGCAGATATTCTGTTGTGGACTTACTCGCATGTTCCAGGCCTCCCTCGCGAAGCTGCACATTCCCTTGTACACAAGAACGCATACACCGCGCACGGACATCCCCGCATACGTGCTGTCTCTCTTAAAGGAGTGGAATGCAACGCGGCTTTATGCGAACATCGAATACGAGGTGGACGAGCTGCGCAGGGACATTAAGGTCTGCGAGCTTGCCAAGCAAACCGGCAAGGTGGCATGCTCGTTCATCCATGACAAGTGCATCGTCCCGCCTGGGATGGTGTTGACAAAGACCGAGAAGCCATACATGGTAGTTACATCTTCTCAATCATGCCAGCACTTGCTCACAATTCCGTTAGGTGTACTCCCCCTTCCTGCGCGCCTGGATTCCTCGCCTCACCCCAACTAAAGGCGAACCTGATCCGCTTGCGTGTGAGGTTTCGCCGGCTGCCAATGCTTCGTCCATCCGCGAACACCCCGTTTACGGCAAGCTCTTCGAAGTGCCTATTCCTGACGATGTGCCGGGATTTGCGCTTGCAGGCGATGAGGAGAAGGAGAGAATGCGTACGTGCTGGCCTGCGGGTGAAGACGCTGCAAAGCAGGTGCGTGCCAACAAAGTGGTGTTATTACCCGCTAACAAGTGTCGCGTACAGATCCTGGACCGTTTCTTGCACACCAAGAGCCGGCAATCTCAGCTGGGTGCCGTAGACCCTCTGTCTGATGGCGCCGAGGTATCCGCGAAGAGTCCGACAAAGAATAGTAGAATCGGACAGTACAAGGGTGCAAGGGACAAAGTTGACGCTGATACGACTAGTCGGCTGAGGTACTACTTTGATACTGCTTTGACACGAAGTCGACGATAATGACTTTCATGTTGGGGGCAGTCCTTACTTGGCCGCAGGTGTCATATCCGCCCGTGAATGCGTGCGCGCTACAATGGAGCTGTCTTCAAACACGAAGCAGAAGATCGACGTGAGCGGCGACACTGGCGTAGGACGCTGGGTGCAAGAGCTCGGTGCGTCTGTCCTTACACACCATCGTGCTTGGCTAACTCTCACCGTGCCCTAGCCTGGCGGGACTTCTACACGCACATCCTCGCGATGTTCCCGCGAGTCTCGATGGGTCGGCCGTTCCAGGAGAAGTTTGCAGACATCAAATGGGAGGAGGACACCCGCGACGCTCACTTGCAGGCCTGGAAGGACGGACGGACGGGAGTGCCTATTGTGGATGCGGGGATGCGCCAGGCCCGCGCGATGGGCTGGATGCATAACCGCGTGAGGATGATCACAGCTTCGTATCTGGTGAAGGACCTCATGATCGATTGGCGACTTGGAGAAAAGGTCCGCCTGCGTACCCTTGTCCGTCATTGTGAAGTTGACTGTCCCATCGGATAGCATTTCATGGAGATTCTGATCGACGGCGACCTTGCGTCTAACAACGGTGGCTGGCAATGGAGCGCGAGTACCGGCGTGGACCCGATGCCCTACTTCCGAATATTCAACCCGTATACACAGAGCCAGAAGGTTTGTGCACGATCGATCATGAACTGAATGTAATTTTTAACGTGTTCCGACGGGGATCTTGTTTACAACAGGCGGATCCGACTGGAGAGTACATCCGCTACTTCGTGCCTGAGCTAGCCAAAGTGCGGGGTGTCGGTGAGTACTGCTGATTGGCGGAGGATGGCAGAAGTCTAAAATTTCGCAGACATTCATAAACCCCCGCCGTCGCTGGTGGACAAATTGGGCTACCCCAGGCCTCTGGTGAACCATGAGGAGGTGAGAGAACGGGCGATGAGGCGCTACAAGCATCCTGGGCAAGAATGATTTCGTATACTCGCGTAAAGTGGCGCGCTGCTAGTCCATGTATAGATCTTGGAGAACAATTCTAGAGCGCGGTTCGTTTCGTAAGAGATCTGGACTGATGTTAGAGGTCACGGGACATACCAAATGCGGAAGGAGGCATACCGGATATGGAAGACCTGGATCGTTCTCCATCCGCTCATCCGTGGGCCGTCTCCACTCGCGTGCGGGCCTGGACACTCGCATCGATCCTCCTCCGCATCCGACGCCATGCTCATCTGATATAAGTAACATCTCTCATCCCACACCCAATCCAAATTCTCCATCAATCCAACAACCATCACGCCCTACCCGTTCCTTATTCGTAATGACTGCTCTTTGCCTGTCTCCCATAATGTCCCCTTTCACGAACATCAATGTTGGCGACAACTCCTACCCATTCTCATTAGCACCATCTACCTCCGGTGGCATCTCGCCCGGGGGAAGCACCCAGCCTCGCTTCTTGCACTCCGGCAAAATCTCCGCTCGTGGTGTCGCTGTCCTCGCCTTCTGCAGGACCATCACTACGCCGGGCATTCATCAAATAGCGCGGCATGTGCGCGAGCTCACCATCGACTTCGAGGACGTGCGGCCAACGCAGGCAGGCCTGGAGCTCCTCGCAGAGGCCCTCGCACAGCTCACAAATCTCACCGACCTCACGCTCCTCGGCCTCCCCTCGCGCGAGACGGACGGCTGGGTCCTGCGAAACACCACCTTCTCCCTCACCCGTTTCACCACCAACCTCTCCCTCACCTCCAAAGATGTGCTCGACTTTCTCGAGCGTCAACCGCAGATCGTCGAGCTCAGCACGACCTCGCCGCCGGCGCAAGCCGTGCAGCCCATAAGCGCAGGCAAGACGTATGGGAACATCCCCTTCCCAAACAAGATCGCGCCAAACGTGCGCACGCTTGACTGCCCCGCGCCGTTCCTCCTCTCGCTCCTCTCCGCTGCCCCGCCCACGCGGCCCCTCGTCAACCTGCGCATCGATCTCAACCGGCTCAACTCCCAGGTCGAAGTCGAGGCGCTCATGGCACTGTCGACGTTCAGCTCGACGGTCCGGCGGCTCAGCCTGCGACGGAGCGTGCTCCGCACCTCGCCCATGTCGGACAGCATGGTCGCGATGAACATGGCCAACGTCATCAGCCGGGTCGCTACCAAGCGGCACTGGCAAAACCTCGAATTCCTCGAGATGCGGGATGGGCGCTACGACGCCGTGAGTATCTCCGGCCTCTCTTGTGCTTGTGCACGGCTGAATATCATCGTCGCAGTCCTCTATCCCCACCCTGGCAATGTCCATCTCGACATGCTTCCCGGCTCTGAAGACGCTGGTATGGGCGCCCTCCAGCCACCCGGCAGGTTCCACGGTGGTCACCCCCTTCATCGCCTCTATATTCTTCACGTTCTGCCGTAGCCTACGGCGGTTCATTTTCCTTGACGACGCCACAGACCAAGAGCACAAGAAGTACGTCTCGGTCGCCAAGCAGGTCGGCGGGCCGCTGCGGGAGACCGAGGTCGTGGCGGCTGAGGTGGAGGATATGTGGAGAGCCGATACAGATTCGGCATGATTCGAAAAGCGTCGCATTTGTGGTTAGTGTCAAACGTACTGTATACAGGGCGTCATACTCGTCTCCGGTTAGACTTATCTTGCATGATGGTATTATAAGCCATAAATGCCATGGTAATTGATGTTCAGACCAGTGAAGGGTATATTAGCGGCTGGTCAATCGTCCAAGTCAAAGTCCGAATCATCGTCCCGTTGCCCGCGGATGTGCTGTCTGACTACTGATTTCGCGCCATAAACAACTTCCGATGCATTCTTCTGGTCCTTCTGGATGACGCCTACGGAGAGTTATGTTGAGTCGAAGCTCAGGAAATTAAAAAATGTTACACGACGCCTGACCGGTGTTCAGCAGCCGCCACTCTAGTGTAGCCGTCTCGAACTTGTCGTTGTTGCCTAGCTCTTCAAAACCGACGAGCCTGTGCGGAGTATGAGCATACAATACAATTAGTATGAGGTAACGGCAACGCACCGATCCTTTGTCACTCCGTCTATGAAGCACACAACGCAAGGGAGGATCTTGACGCCGAGCTTCTCCACGAGCCATGGCACGTTCTCTACGAAGACGCGGATAAAGCGCGTGTTGAAATACTTCAGCGCGAGGGCCTGCAGTAAAACAGTGTATAAGATTTGGGAAGAGCATATAGGAAGTCGGCTACGCACCGCAAGATGTCTATCCATGATCTGACAGCGCTTGAAGTCGGTGTGATAGAAATGTACCACACAGCGGGGTTCATTGCTATGAAAGATAATTGAGATGGTGTATGCGCGTGACAGCCAAGGAAGACTCACGCACTCGTCCGAATGACCGCTTTCTCGTCGGTAAGCTCATCGTATCGACCGTGTCCGCTGCTCTTCATCTGCTGCAGACGGTCCATCCTGCGACATCCACCGTCAATAATTGCACGACACATATACATAGTAGTGGTGCGTTCCGGTCGACCTGGGACCTCTGACAGGACCAAAGGTATAGCTCGGTCAATCGTGGTCAACAGTCAATGCGAGCGGTCCACGGCGCATTGAAAGAAGTTTGGGGTTCCCACTCAGACCGTCACTGAGCTGGTGAGATACCCAAGACGTTCTGGCCAAGCATTGACTATGAATGCTTGGCCGTGGGGCAGACCCCGTCGAGAACACCACTGTCTAGAAGTATGCGCTGGACCTTACTCTGCTTTGAGCCGTTGGATGCCCTGCTCTCTTAACTCTGGGTTGGCACCATTCTCGATCTCCTCTTCGAGCTGCGCGAAAAGCTCCTCGTCGTCGAGGTCGGAGTGGTCGCCGTCGTCAGTGCGTTTGGAGTTGCTTGAGGAGGGTTTGGCATGGCTGATGCGGGAAGTTAGCTCGGCGACTTTCGCGTCGGTGGTCGACATGGAGATATTCTACGCTCTTCAGACAGAAGGAGAACAATATTCTTGAGTGGCTGGAAGAGAGGACTCGAGTTTTGGCTCGGGACAGCAAGTGAGAGTCGTGAATGGGCGCCAGGCAACTTCCGCGATCGGCGATCTGGAACGCAAGATAGATCTGCGGATGTCATGCCCAACAATATTCTTCCGTCTCCTCTCCTCTCTCTCCCAACCCTCGACAACCATGAAGCTCATCGGCAAACACATCGACAAGAACGGTGCAGTCCGTACGCTCCTCCCTGCATCAGCCTCCCTGCAGAGGATACTCACTCGCACTTAGGGTCACATCACTCTCCGACCAGAAGATGATGAGGATATGTGGCATCTCTACAATCTAATACAGGAGGTGCGTCGGATTGAGCACATCTCGCTCGTTCGTATGACTGAATAATATCCAGGGCGACCAAGTGCGCGCCTCGGCCGTCCGGCGGGTCCAAAACGTCTCCACGACAGGGTCCACCGGCTCGCAGCGCATCCGGCTCAACCTCACCCTCGCCGTCACCCGCGTCACCTGGTCCCCCGCCACGTCTTCTGCGCCCGGCGATGCCGGACAGCCTTCCGCTTCCACTACCAGCTCACAGGATTCCACCGCCGCGGTCGAGATCGCCGGCAGGGTGGCCGTGGAGAACCCTCAAGTCAAGAAGGGCGCGTTCCACACGCTCGAGCTCGAGGTGAATCGCGACGTGCGGATAGAGAAGGAGGGCGGGTGGGATAGTGTGGCTCTGAGTAGGATTCAGGAGAGTTGTCAGCCTGGGAGGGGGGCGGAGGTGGCGGCTGTGGTGTGTGGCGAAGGTGGACTTGATCGCTGCTCTCTCTGGCTGTTTTCTAACGGTGTCTACATGGGTAATCGTAGGAACTGCGATTTTCTGCTTGCTATCGGAACATATGACGGTCATCCTCCAGCGACTTGAAGTGCCAATCCCACGCAAGATTGCCACCAATTCGTCTGCTCACGAGAAGGTAGCACACCGCTCACTTGCACGTTTCATCTTCTGATCATTCCTACCACTCCATGACAGGGTCTCAACCGCTTCTACTCCATGCTCTACGCGTCCTTCCTCCGACACATACCCTACGCAAACCCCACTCTTCGCGCGATAGTCATAGCTTCCCCCGGTTGGGTGCGTGACTCAGTGTATGATTATATCATGGCGGAGGCCACTCGCACGGGCAACAAGGCGCTGCTTGGTGCGCGGCCGAAGTTTTTCAAGGTGCACGTGAACAGTCCACATGTGCACAGTCTGGTAGAGGTTCTGAAGAGCCCCGAGGTGCGTTTCGCTATGTTTCTGTTGATGGGCCTTCCCGTGTTGAGTTCTTGGGCTGTATGCAGATTGCGATGCAGCTGAAGGAGACAAAGTTCGCGAGGGAGGGCATCATGCTCGACAAGTGAGGATCCTTTGGTGGATCGTCGTACATCAGACACACTGAGCGCGCTCTGTCGTACAGATTCTTCAAGATGCTAGGAACGGATGAGATGCGTGCTTGGTATGGACCAGCGCAGGTCTCTCTAGCGGTCGACCGTGGTGCTGTGGGGACATTGCTCATCTCCGATGAATTGTTTCGGTTCGTTCACTGTGTTCAATTATCTCAGTTCATGTTCTTACTTTCATCTGCTCTGTAGATCTAGTGACGCGGAGACGCGCAAGAAGTACGTTGATCTGGTTGAAAGCGTTCAGGGGCGAGGCGGGGAGGTGCTCATATTTTCTAGCATGCATGAATCTGGGCAGCGTGAGTGCTTTCGTTCATCAGTGGTACTGTGTGACTCATGAGACCTACCGCCCATGGTGCAGAACTGAACCAGTTGACGGGTATTGCAGCGATCCTGACGTATCCCCTGGATGTTGAAGTGGTTGAGGCCGAGGAGCGGGAAGCGAGAGAAGAGGAGGAGAGGAGGAAGGCAGAGGAGAATGGAGAGGCTGAAGAACAGAACAGAGAGTGACCTCATAGAGAAGAGGGTCCTCGACGCATCGTTATGAACTGATCAAGGTATCAAGGAACCATTGTATCATGAGAGCACAGCTTAAACAGCTGTGTCTTTTTCATTTAGAGATAATGTATCCGGTTGTACATCTTTACACTATATTAAAAATCATGTTGTACGCTATTCGCATTTCTTCTACACTTTCGCGATCCGCTCTTCATATGCAGCCCAGCCCTCCTTTCGATACCTCTCCGCCTGCGCCTTCACATCCGCATCATTCCCCTTCCCATAGATCCCGCGCCCCACAATGATCACATCGCACCCGCTCTCCAGCACGACCTGCCTCGGCGTCCTATACTGCTGGCCCATCGCGTCGCCCTTTACGTCCAATCCCACGCCCGGCGTCAAGATCAGAAAGTCTTCCTCGCTCACGTCCTCGCCCACTCGCGCAGCGACGCCATCCATGCGGCGCATCGCAATGAACCCGATGACGAAGTCGCGGTGCGCGCGCGCCATGCGCACGGCCTGCTCTGTGTATGCGCCCGTCGCGAGGTTGCCAGCGGTGCTCATCTCGGCGAGGAGCAGCAGGCCGCGCCCGAGTGGGAGGCCGACGGAGGCGAGACCAGTGATGATGCCTGGGCCGGGGACCGGGTGGGCGTTGGTGATGTGGGACCAGGAGGAGATTTTGTGCACGCCGCTGGAGTATTGGAGGGCGACGGTGTTGCCTGAGAGGTGGGGTCAAGTGAGCACAAGGATGGCAACAATCAGGGATGAATGGACGAACCGATGTCGGCGAATTTGCGGTCCTCAAAGATAAGAAAGTCATGCTTTGCGCTGAGCTCTTTGAGGCGGTCGATCAGGGACGAGTCAAAGTCCTCGATGATGTCAATATGAGTCTATCGAGAGTCCATCTCATTGTTAACTGTGCAACAGAACAAATATGGCATGAATTTCTGCACCTTCACCAAACAGACGTATGGACCAACAATGTCGATGATTGTGAGGAAGTCTGCCCGTTTCGTGACATCGACGCTGACACAGAGGTTGCTCTTCTTCCGCTCGATGGTCTCTAGGAGCGCCTTCGCGGCAGGGTTCGATTGCCTCCGTGCTCTTTGCGCGTATGTCTGTAGGTAGGCGGACGGCATGTCGGCGTGTCTCACGACCGCGTGAACGATTGAGGAGTGTGGTGGTCGAGCTGCGCGGGCCTCTTTTGTCGGTTGCCTTCAATCATTCTTTCAGACGCTCGTCAATGAGGTAAGAATGTCTGCGATGCGGTACACACCTAGGACGATGCGCTACGCGGACGGCGATGAGCGGTGGCACCCGACTGCGTGAAGGAAAATGGCGTTCAGTAGGAGAGATCTCCCATCAATCTTGCGCGCCTTCCCCAATCCCCGATCGTGTCTGAGCGATCCGATCTTGCATTTTCTCGTTTCGCCACTTCCGCCATGTCCAGCTCCTCCAAAGTCCGTTCGCGCGAGGACGAGGAGGGCGCATCCCTCAAACGTTCTCCCAAAAGGATGAAGGTCGAAGAGGCTGCAGATGACGATGTCGTGATGGGTGTCGCCGAGAACACCAGCGGTGCTGAGCGACCAACCGTGGTCAAGGACGAGGAGCCGATGCTTCCGCCAAGTCACGCTTTCCTCGGTGTTCCACCACCGGAATACACAGAAGACGGGCTTATCCAATGTATTTTGGAGACAGACGTTGGGATCTCTGAATACGTTGGCCGAGACGTGCCCAAGATTGAAGGGATCATCAAGCAGAGGCGCGTGTATCGCCAAAGTTACATAAGTTTACGTGCTGACGCACTCTGTTCTAGATTCACTGACTTCTTGGTGTTCGAGGTAGACTTGGACGGGAACGTGATACATCTCAAGTCACTCGCCAAACCAGAGTCTTCCAAGAAGAAGGACGAATCTGGGGCGGGAGATGCTGCGCCGGAAGCAACACCAGCTCCTTCAGAACAGCTTATTTCTGACTCCACAGACAATGTAGTACCACTATCACCTCAAACGAACGTTCAACAAACTACGGAGCCGCTTCCTGGCACTGAAGGTTCGGAGAACAGAACGGATGAAACGACAAAACTTCAGGAACCTTCACCTGATAAAGAGCCGTGGCCTGAACGGTTTGATACAAGGCTTAGAGCTATTCTGTCTGAAGATGTCGTCTCCAAGGTGAAGGAGCTCTATCTAGAAGGTCAGGAATCGCCTCTCGTAAGCGACAGCGGCTGGAGAGAGCGACAAACAAAGGTATCAGAAGCAAGTGGAGACGTTGAGGGCGATGCCTCGTCATCTGCAGCCGCAGAGCCTGTGCCAGAAGAGCCTTTGAAGCAAGGCAGAGGCAAGCGCGGGAGAGACCGCGGGTCTCGTGGCGGACGCGGTGGACGTGGCGGAAGAGGTGGCGGAAGGGGCGACAGGCCAAGCTGGAGGGAAGACACGCGCAAAGTGCTCACTGATGTCTGTCTCGCCATGCCTGCTATCATCTCGTGCGAATGCTATCTGACTTGCGCACGTTCGGCTAGCCTATCGCCTCCAAGGCCACACGTACTGAGCTGCACCAAGCGATTCGTGAACTGTTTGGTGGAAAGCTCGACAGTGAGACTGATTTGAGCACGCCTGCGACGGATGAAGGATCCAGGATCGCTATCAAGTGGACAAAGAGGGGAGGCGGACGTGGCGGGGGCCGAGGTGGGCGTTCTGGTACGACTGCTGTTCATTGTCGACGACTGTGATATGTATTAACAATACGACAGGTCGAGGAGAGCGTCCCGAGCGAGGGACATACCCTCCCTACATCCACTTCACGCTCCAGAAGACCAACCGCGACACGCAGGATGCCCTCGCGAACCTCTCTCGCGTGCTGCACTGCAGCATCAAGGACCTCTCTGTCGCAGGCACCAAGGACAAGCGCGGTGTCACCGTGCAGCGCGTGTCCCTGCGTCGAGGAAATAAGTCCGTCGAGGACATCTGGAATCTCGCGAATAGCATCGGGCGCCGCTCGGTCGAGGATGTATTGACCACGAGGGGCGAGCGCGGAATTCGGGTGGCGGATTTCAACTATAGGAAGGCGAGCTTGGAGCTGGGCATGTTGAAGGGGAATGCGTTTGTTATCACGCTTAGGTATGTTCCATGGATATGGGCGGAAGGCATACTTATTTTTGCATAGAAACGTACAGGTGGACTCTATGGAGACCTTGGACCGCGCGATGAACACTATCAAGACGAAGGGCTTCATTAATTATTATGGTCGGTATTTTCTCCCCATGCCTCACTACGTTACTAACGGCTATTTACCAGGCATGCAGCGCTTCGGCACAGCGGCAATCCCGACGCACTCGATCGGTCTCGCACTTCTTAAATCTGACTGGCACAGAGCAGTGTCGCTCATCCTGCGCAAGAGGCCGGGTGAACATCCTGACGTGGAAGCTGCGCGCGATGCCTGGCTTGTCGAAGGCGACTTGGACAAGGCGCTGGAGCTCATGCCGAGGCGTGTTGTCGCCGAGCGCTGTTTACTGGAAAGCTACAAAAAGCAAGGCGGCGAGACCAGGAATGCGATGGGAGCTCTGTCTACGGTGCGCTTCCTTTGGCGCCGCTGAACGAACATTCGACTTATCCGATTGTGTGTACTCGCGCAGATTCCACGAAACTTGCGCTTGATGTACGTGCATGCGTACCAGTCATACGTCTGGAACGCTATTGTCTCCGAGCGGATTAAGGTGCACGGCGCCGAGAGACCCGTTGTAGGAGACCTGGTGTTCGACACGGACGCTTCTGACAAAGCGGAGGAGGTGGACCCTGAGGCGTTGGACACTCTTGATGCCGAGGTGCCGACGGAGGACAAGGACGCCGGTGAGCTCATTGTCTTAATGTCCGCAGACCTACCTCCTCATTGGGCTGTGCTTATCAGACAGCGCCGGGGCAATTAAGCGCAGCAAATGGTCTCGGAAGCCATGGGAGCCGCCAAAGGTCAAGACGCTGACGGCAGAGAATGTCGACAAATACTCTATTTTTGACGTGATCATGCCATTGCCTGGGAGAGATGTAGCGTACCCCGGGGGCGCGCTGGGAGATCGTTACAGGGAGTTCCTGCGAACCGATGGTCTGGATCCAGACAATTTCGTGCGCAAGCAAAAGTAAGTGATATTCGCCGTAGATCGTTGACACCGGCTCATGATACCCGCGCTATTTCAGAGAGTACAGTCTCGCAGGCTCGTACCGCAAAATCTTACATCTGCCGACAGAACTTTCCTGGTCGGTCCTACGGTACACGGACCCGGATGTCGCCCTCGCCCAGGCAGACGAAGACAAGCTGCTCGGATTCGATCCACCGCAGGTCGTGGAGGACGGCAAGTTTATGGCGCTGCAGGTGCAGCTGACCCTTGGGACGGCGGCATATGCGACGATGGCTCTGCGCGAGGTAACGAAGACGGAGACGAGCTCACGTTATCAGACTGCGTTGACGCAGGCGTCGGAGGACCAGAAATATAAGGCAGCCGCTGAGGATGATTGAGGAGGATGGGTCTGTACACCTCGTATCTTATCTAGTCTTATCTGATAAATTCGTGACAATCGAAATGCGATGGCATGTCACCACCGCGCTATTGGACCACATTTTGCTTTGTCGTACAAAATATCATGGTCCCGGCTATACATATGCTAGCGGCGGGTTCTTATCACCGCAAAGCGACAAGCTAGGTGGTGAGACACTGGCCATGTTCTGTAGTGTCATTTATTTAGCATCAATGATCGAATCTGTCGCCCCGAACCCTGCGAGTGTCCAACGGCCTTGTCTCCCGCCACTCCCTGCTTCGACTTCGCATTTTCGCTTCTCCATCGATTTCTCGACTTTGACAGTCGACTACAGTCCACTGGTATGGCTAAAATCGAACGCATTGTATTCTTGTCGCTGGTGCTCGATCTGTTCGGTAGGCTATCTATATCGTGGTAACCGCCTCGATCACCCATAATCAGCCACGTAGCCTTCACCATTCCCTTGCCTCTCTTCCCTCGCATCATTGAATGGTACACCAAGGTGAGCATGATGCAAAGGAGTGTGAGTACATGAGTTGACCGGCGACGATGGTGGTCGTGTACAGCGTGAGGCATCCGATCCCTCAGGCTTCCTCTCGCGCACGTTGCATTTCGTGTCCACTGCACGCGGTCTTCTGTACAACCCGACATCTAACCCACAGAAATGGGACGTTGTGTTGTTGGGTGAGTGCATCAGCCACGATAGACGCGACTAGTCCTAACGGATACGTAGGCGGGCTGATGGGCTCGGTCTTCTCGTGAGTGATTCACTATGGCAGACACTTGAATGCTGAAACCGATCCTCATCTAGCATGCTTCAGTGGTATGTGACACTGTTAACCAGTCTTCGATGATATCCAGGCTGAGAGTTCGCTCAGGTTTATTTCCCCTCATATTGGATCTCTGAGCGACAAGTATGGTCGTAAGAGAGTGCTTCTCATCACCATGATTGGAAACATATTGTCTGCGTTAATGTACGTGGCCCTTCTACGCATAGTTCCATTCCATGCTGAGAATATCACAGATGGGTCAAATCAACAACGTTTGTGTCATACATGCTGTCGCGTGTCGTTGGTGGCCTGAGCGAAGGCAATGTGCAACTGGCAATGTGAGTACCAGCTGCGCACGAACAACTCTGGCTGACGCAAAGCGCAGTGCTATACTGTCCGACGTCTCCACACCTGCGACGCGCGCAAAGGCTCTAGCTCACGTTGGTATCGCATTTGCCATTTGCTTCTGTATCGGCCCTCCCATCGGTGCATATTTTGCATCACGTCCTCTGCCTTCTTCGTTCACGGCCTCGGGATTTGAATTCAACGTCTATGCTGCTCCGGCTGCGCTCACTCTAGCCCTCTTAATTTTCGAGACGTTATTTTTAGCTGTGGCACTGCCAGAGACTCGAGGCAAGAGAATTCAGGTGCCGACGCCTGCTAGTGCACCACAAACCGGGAAGATGGCGGAGAAGGATAACCATGAAGCATCAGGTGCCGCTCCCAAAGCCAGTGTCGAGCAGCGCATCAGCATTCTAAAAGTGCTGCGGCGACTCCATTTCCTATTCCTGGGCGTCTTCTCCGGGGTGGAGTTCACGCTGACCTTTCTCACATTCGACCGTAAGTTCATCGATCTGCCGCAACATCATCAATGTCAGGGGATGGAGGCGGTACACTGACTGCGCATTGCAGTGTTCGACTGGAATAACAGGCAGAACGGTACGCTCATCGGCTCCATCGGCATCATCAGTGCGCTCCTCCAGGGCGGATATGTTCGCCGCGCGATCCCTAAAGTCGGCGAAGGCGCCATGGCTCGCCGTGGAATCTCGAGCTGCGCGCTCGGCCTCGTCCTTCTCACGCTCGTCCCACTGTTCGTGACGAATCGTACCACGGTAGCGGTGAGGCTCCTGCAAGGCGCCGCAGTCTGCATGGCGTTCACATCTGCGACCGTCGTCAATTCGCTCACCTCATACGCCTCCCTCCAATGCGACGACGGCGTCGACGAGGACACCGGCAAGCCCGTTGAGGAGCACCCGGAGCTGGCCAAGGGCAAGGCCCTAGGCCACTTCCGCTCATCTGGTCAGTTGGGCCGGGCCATCGGTCCATTGCTCGGTAGGTTTCCGAGATTGCAATAATAGTCATTGACAGTTCTAATAGTGGATGGCCCGCAGCTTGCGCATCCTACTGGACTTTCGGCCCGTCGGCAACATATGCCATTAGTTCCGTGGCTATGTTTGTGCTGTCGTTGAGCATGGGCAACATCGCCCGACGGAAGACTGTCTCTACACGCACCTAGCAGATTAGTCAAACGTATGTTGTCACGCCGGAGCATCCTCCGTGGATATTTACGAAGCGTAATTTTGATAGTCGTCGCCGCGTTCTATACGAAATCATTAAGCCGATGCGACTGTTAGCGGGTTTTGGAATGGGAGCACCATGCAGAAGGAGGATCTGATCCTGAAGCCGAATGTCTGATCTTATACCCGATACAGTCGGTCAAACGTACCTGGGACTAAGCTGTTCTTGACTTCTTCAGGGCTCCCACCGGACGACCACGGGACTGATCATGAGAAAAATGAGGGGTTGTTAGATGTCCGAGCAGTAGGGCATGGATAGGCTAGTAATAATGTACGAGGATCTACTATCACTGTTCTGTGGGCCAGCCAGACGAGTACGCTCGGGAAAGGACTGGAGGTGAAAAATAAAGTCCAATAGCAGTTCGTCACTAGTAACGGGTATACGTGTACTTGCGCCCCCTGCCTGCCCCATGCATTAAAGATAGCGCCATTATGAGTACACACGGCAACGCGGAACGGATTCTGTATCCAAGCCTTCCCAGTCCTATGAATACATTGAGACCCAGCAACTCACGACGAACGAGGCATGCGCATTATGACAGAGTGGAGGAGGACGATACGGATGAGAAGGACGAGTTCGCGGCCCGTCCGCGCGGCAGAAGTTCTGGGATCGGCAGGAACGTGCCTGCTTCAAGGTCCTCCGGACACGGCTGCTGTAGCTTCTCAGGCGGAACATTCGCAGATGCGCGCGAAAGCGACGCTGATAAGCGAGTTGGCGAGCGCGCTAGACTGCGTCCGCGCTGCAGCTCGATGGCGTGCGACGGGGTGAAAATCGCAGGAAGGAAAAACAGCACGCCTCTGCTACGACGGCGGCGCGGTGTCCGCTCGGGAACTTCTGAAGCGCCGAAGATAGTGGTCATCACGCGGCGACTCGCGCGGCGGACAACGTCCAGCGTCGATCGCCCGCTTGGAGGCTGCCACGATGAACTCGACACCACGTCCGCAGTAAATGAAGCATCTGATGGCGTCGGAGATGAGGACCGCGGCGCGAATGACAGGGGCAGTAGTTGCATGTCTTCCTCTTCCGTGTCGTCGGACGACTCCTCGCTGAGTACGGGTGAGGCGGGTTGAATTGGCGACGATGCGCCCGAGGAGGGCAGACCGAACCATCCGAGGTCGAGGTACCATCTTCCATCGCGCTGGACCCAGCGTGGCATCATGACTTCGTAGCCGCCGATACGCCTGAGGCGGTATTTGCGTCTTCGAGCGTGCGGCGCGAGCGCGAGACGGATCACTCCCAGAATGAAGACAACGAGCCCGATCCACATAAGGCCCTTACCCCACTTTCCAAGGAAGCCAATGAAGGCAGCGTCGTCCGCATGCCAGCTGCTGCCGTAGTAATGAGAGAAAAACGAGTGCGGCGCCTCGCCTGGCTTCGCGTTTTTCCCATACAGTGACTTCGGCAAAACGCGAACCTCGCCGCCAGGCTGCGCAAGGGTTGGCGGGTGCGTGGACGTGTACAGCCCGTACTGCGCAGATACGAACATTGGGCCTGTGCTGAACATGACGGTGGGGTAGTTGAGGACCCAGTTGTGGTCGAACTTCTTGATACCGTGAATCATCTGTTCCATGAAGGGGTGTCCTGCCTCGGAGAAGATGAGATCGTTGGAAACGCCGACGGGGATGGTCTTGGCGAGGATGACGGGGTATGTAAGGAGCGGATCGAGCGGCCGCAGGCATCCAATGTCCAGGTCGAGATAGATACCACCGTAATGATACAGAATGAAGTAGCGGATGGCGTCCGCGCGCTGGATGGGATACTTGTATCCATCAAAGGTCTCCAGGAACCATGGATAGTTTTCAGCGATGAACTCGCGTGAGCTCGCGTCGGTCCAGAGCATGTATTCGCTGGAGCACGATGAGCGGGGACGTCACCAGAGAGAGCAACGGAGCACGCACTAGTCGGGCATCATGTCTCGACAGCCCTGCGACACGTCGGCCCACTTTTCGGGGAGCGTCTCCGTCTTCCATGTCTGGTGGAGGATGCGTGGGATGCGCTCTACCTTTCCGTGCTCTGTCGCGTTCCAGGGGTCGGTCGCATTGAAGGGCACGTCGAGCTCAAGCTCGGTGATGTAGGCGTTGACATCGATGGAAAGGTAGTAGGAGATGGAAGAGAGGACGATGACGGTCCCGACGAGGACGGCAGCGAGGAGGCTGAGGAATATGTAGACCGTGCGACGTCGAAACATGGCGTGTATGGGGGGGGAGGGGGAGGGGGAAAGGAAGGTGGGCGTGCTATTCTAGATATTGCAGTGCAGACTGCTATCGTCCCGCTCTCGGCCAATTCCAAATCTTACTGCCAAGGTGTCGCGCCACCCGTTGCCTTTTATAGCATTCAAGATCCTGCGCAGTGCGCAGCCGCAGGTAGCCGCCCGCCCTGCTCCTCGGATATGTATTCAGATCACTAACAGTACATGCTTCACCACCTCGTCGCGGCCCAACCATGTCCTGTGAACACCGCGCAGCACACCGAGGCCCCTCAACCCACGCCCGCACGTCATCCCAATCCCGTTCTATCCCTTCCGCCACAGAGTGCACGTGCAGTCCGCAGCAGCGCCCTTGGCCTTGCCTGCGTTTGCCTTCCTTACTTGTAAAGGCGCTCCATTAGTCTGCCTGTCAAAGGGGTGATTTCAGGCGCCCGTGGGTCGCAGCGGCGTACTGAACACTCGGTCTGTTTCTGCCTTGAGATAGTCGAGTGAGCCTAGCAGCGCTCCATCCTCGAACTTTATGCTGATGTCCTTTAAGGCGCCCATCGCGTTCTCCCAGTCCTGGCGCGACCAGTCCTGTCCCCTTCGCCAGCCTTTGTCTTCATTCCGTCGGAGCAGAAAAACATACAATGTTGGCTGAGTGACCCGCAGCGGCTTCTTGTTATCCAAGTACTCCAGGCAGTCGCCCACGGACCAGTCCCCGAACTCCTTCCGCCGATGCCCAGGCGCGTGCTTCGATACGGTTGGCGACGATACGTCCCCCGCGCCTGTGCGAACGCGAAGCGCCAAGTCCTTCAGCACGAGCGTGAAATGGTCGATGACCTGCTGGTGGAGAGCGTCCAGTGCGTGACTGGGAATGTATTCCTCCGGATCGTCCGTGACGGGCGCGTCGTCTATGTCCATGCTGTCGTCGTCTACCTCCATCGTCTGCGTGACCGTGATTCGCTGCTTCATAGACTTGGCCGAGGGACGGTAGCTTGCGTTATGGTTGATTCCTCGGAATCTGGAAGTATCGATTCCATATCCACCAAGGAGCCTCTGCGCGAGGTCATGGCTCGTCCATTTCTGCTTGAGCTCAGTTGTGATGCAGATATTCTGGATGTCTGTAAACAGAACGAGACAGCCTCACAATCAGTCATCCATATGTAATATGTAAGTGACTGAACGGCGCACCCCATGCTTCACAGGAATTGCACAGATTGACGTCGCCGCTGAGGAGCACAACGTGTCCCTTGGTCTGGAAATACAAACAGCAGTCGCGGATGAGCATGTCGTTCCGGCGATGCTCATCCTCAGGGCCGATCTCAGTGTGCATCGTCTCCTTGCGCGCCTGCACCTTGACCGTCTTGCGCTCCTTCATCCGGTTAAGGATCCACGCCGATGCACGACTCGCGAACCAGCCCACCGAAGTGCGCTTCTTCAGACTGCGCATCAGTAGCACACCATCTCAGTCAACTCTCCCAAGGCTGATAAAGCGCAGAGCACACGCACCCGTCCAGTTCGGAGAGCATCACGCTGGGAATGATGATCGTCAGCGGCAGCTGGAGGGCCTCGACGTCCTCATCGAAGCGCCGCACGATGTCGATGTAGTCGATCAGCACATTTGTATCGAGTACCAAGAACAGCCTTTGTATGAGAAACGCATCCTGCACGTCAAGTGAGACGAGACGGGGATCGGCATGAGTGCCACTGCGACATGGTGGATCGGTGATTGACCACGCTCGTACCTCCATCTCAACGTCCTCATTAGCGGCTTCATAAATCCTCTGCAGCGTTGCATCGCTGCTCGAGGACAGTACATCATTGCTAGATGATACTAATAGAGAGATGTGATCCCTTAAAATGTCATTCCATTGATGGTTAAAACGTACGTACAGGAAACATGATGCCCAACTGGAGCCTGAGAAACAGGAGTGGCGGCCGATTGCCAACCGCCACACGTCGGCTGAACCTGTAGAACATTGCTCACAACGGACATGGCGCATATACTCACCGATCCCGTTCGAGAATCGCATCAACGCGAGATGACGGTAAGAGGACGTTGAACCTCGAGGAATGTCAGCTCGACGTCGGACATCCCGTTGTCACAAACCCGGCAGTCGCTGCCGAAAGATGATCGTGCTGCAGCACGTGACACCACGCACCACCATAAGGAGGCCACAAAACACGTTTGGATTGACAATGATTAGACAATGATACCGTGCATGTACTATGTAGGATGCGCCAAACTGGTCTGTCTGCCAAACACTACAATGCAGGATGCGCTGAAATAATAACATGAGCAATAAAAATGCAAATGTGCACGAAGGTCCTTCTATAGCTGTGACGTCCGCCGTATCGAATCGATCACGCCTATACCGCCAGCTTTTTTGTCGGCGGCGTGTCTCCCTTACCTTCTGCAGGAGTTGCATCCTCAGCCTCAGCCTTACGTTTCGTCCCCGTGGGCGGAGGAGATACCGACTTCTTTGCCTCCCCGTTTAAAGGGAGAGGCAGCAGCGGCGGTGATCGCACACTCTTCTCAGGCGTATGAGAACGACTACGACTCCTCGACACTTCATTCCGCAAGCGTATAGCGAGCGTAGACTTATTCGCAGTCGCCTCTGCATGACAGGTCGCATGATAGATCTGCATATCGAACCATAGGTTAGTGCGTTGCACTACGATGAGGAATATCTGCAACGAACCTTGTCATCTCGCTTGACAGCGTTTCGCCACACCCACTCTTCGTCGTCTTCCAGGAATTCTGACTTCAGAAGCTCCTTACAAATAGGACAGAAGATCGATTTCGCCTCATCACCAGGCGGCACGACAACGAAAAGGGCCCGCAGCTCAGCCTCACGTTTGGCCACCTCTGCGGCCGCTGCAGCACTGTTACTCGAAGTACGACCGCCGGCACGAGACTTGCCCTTTATATCAATCGCACCGTCATGTATCCAATCCTATATACAACGTCATCAGCATCGTGATCGAAACAGACGACATATAACGTACCTCAACACTGACGAACCAGCTTCGACTGTGACCGCGACCCACTGCCTGACTCGCTCTCCTATTCTGCCTAAAGTGCATGTCAAGGTGATCTTCCATCTTCTTCTTGCCCTCCGTTCCATCTGGGAAGCGAATCCCACATTGCTTACACTGTACAGGCAATCGCTGATATAGCAACTGCACAATATGCGAACGACGTCTACTCCATACCGACGTCAGCGACCCTATATTATCTATGGTGGAAAAAACGTACTTGGAAATACCCGCGCTTGTCAGCTTGATCTTATGTGAGAAGACCGCCTTGCGGTACTCTCTGGCAGCATCTTTTATAGGATCGGACGACAGCGACTTCTCCTCACTCTTAGCTGTTGCGCCCGCGCCCGTGGGCGTACCGGTCGCTGATACTACGCCGGCCTTCAGAAGCGCATTGTAGAGACTCGCAATGTTATTCACAGGAGTACCAGTCGGAGCAGGGACAGATGTAGAAGTAGGAGGAGGAACACGCGATGGCTGAGGCGCTAGCATACTCTGGAGATCGACCGGTTCAGCCTTCGGAAATCCATACGTCGACCCAGCATACGACGTCTGCTGCTGATATGGTGCTTGCTCGATAGCAGGTGGAAAACTGGGCATCTGAGGCGCTGGGATTGACGCTGGATATGACGGCTGAGCAGCGTATACCTGCGGAGACGGAGCGGGAGGGAGCTGGGGAGTAGGGGCAGTCGTTGGCTGTGCCAACGTACGCAACTGGTTCAGAATCTGACCGAGCTCATCTTGTGATACCCCTGCTTGCACGAGTTTGCGAAGCTGATGCAGATGAATATACTGACAAGCCAACCGAGAAAAACAGACTTACCTGCTGCAATATAACCACGTGGTTCTGCGCGACCTTGTCATAGGGATTTGACTGAGTCGCGCGCTCCTTCTGATTGAGGACAAACTCCAATTCACTTAATACTTGTGCGGTTGAAATCGAGGCTACGCCTTGAAAATGCCGATTTGTAGACTTGAATTCACATGATGAATGATCGCAATAACCAGAACAAAAGAAAGGAGGACTCACAGCATTCTGCGTGGATTCCCCACCCCATATTTGACGTTCAATGGCAACCTGCGGAACGACACCAAACAACTCCCGCCCATTTGGCGCACCAGTGCGCCACGTCAGTAGCATCTCTTCCATCTTGCTGCGAGTAGTCTGATCAACTTGCTCATAGGTATCAAGGAAGAGCTTGACGACGATGGGAGTGAAGTGGCGTGCATAGGGCTCATAGACATTCTTGGAGATGGCATCGAGCAGGTAGAACGCGGGCAACTTCATGGACGGAAGGACCTAACGGATAGTTTCCATAACGGGAAGAGATCATTAGTAAGCATTCCATGGGATGACAAGAAGAAAGGCGAAGAAACGGAGGCAGACAACTCGTAGTGCAGCCCAAGCGCGGGAGCAGAGTTCTCAGAGTATTGTAAGCTTGACAAGCTGAGTCTCTTTGCTCAAGCTGGCTACTACTACTCTGACTACATACATGGCGAATGTACTACTGTAGAATACTTCTTGCCCATCAATTGACGATAAGCGAGAGAAGCCTCGCTTATCCTGCGCCATCATGGCGGTACGGAGAACATGAGGACTCACCCTACGTATATGCGTCTCGATGCACTGAACCACGATATCCGCGAAACGAGAATAGTCCTGCGCAATCATCGACAAATTCTGGATTATGGGTCTAGAGTTAATCGTGAGCTCAGCCAAACGGGCCATGTAATCCCGACGGAAAATGTTGGGGTCGACATGATAGACCGGTTGCACAGGAGGAGGATAGCTGTAAGCGGCCATAGGCTGGCCGTACCCTGGCGCAGGGTAAGGCATTTGGCCAAAGGGCTGACTCTGAGGAGGTGGGTAAAGCGACATAGCACGGCAGCTTAGAGAAACCAGGAGCGTAGGACTTGGTGCGCTGCGATGTGCAATCTCAATGGGGAGGCCGAAACGTGAGGACTCGGTGGTACGATTGGTGACTGCTTGTTCGAGGGCAAAAATGGCCAGACGTTGTAGAGCAAATGCTTTCTCAGAATGCCTCACACGGCTCGCTGCCAATACAAGGACACTCGGGATGGTATGTACGGATGCACAGAGGTGCGCGCACGGAAGGTGGTGGTCGATGGTAAAGCCTTGTCAGCGTTCGATTGCGCGTTGAGTGGGGCAATGAGATACTTTACAACTCCGCTCTAATGTGCCGAACGCCGCGGCGGCGCTTGCCACAAACGCAAAACACAGACCCTTGCCCAGTCTACCGGCGTCTAACTTCCCGGAAAGGCACAGTGCCTTGCAAGGTCTGCTAACGCTCGAGCTCAACGGATTACGGCCCTGCATTCCTCAAGACTCAACGGTGAGTTGCGTACGCATTGATACAAGGATGATATTTTGCTCGCTGGTGTAGGCTGGAGTGTTGCGTGAAGTCAAAATCTGGCGAGAAGGAGATGGATTCCTTGTAGTCATAGTGGATGCACAAGCTCACATGCTGACCAGCCTTATCGTAGATGAGAGACGTCATCAAGACAGAAGAGCTCGACATCCCAGAGGGTGTTGAAGTGAACATCAGGTCTCGCCTCATCACGGTGAAGGGCCCCCGTGGTGTGCTGACGAAGAATGTCCGGCACATCGACATGGATATTCGGCTGCTGAAGGGCAAGGTCACCTTCGCCGTGTGGCAAGGTGCCAGGAAACATGTCGCTTGCCTACGGACGATCAAAAGTCTTATTAATAACATGATCATTGGCGTCACGAAGGCATGTTTCTGTGGCAAATGAACGGTTCGCGAACTTGACGAGGTTCATTTGCTACAGGGTTTCCAATACAAGATGCGCGCTGTGTATGCCCACTTCCCTATCAACTGCATCATACAGGATACCGGAGCAGCACTGGAGATTCGTAACTTCTTGGGCGAGAAGGTATGATGCAGAGCTTTGACTCTACATTGGAAAACTAATGTCTGCGTCAAGATTGTGCGACATGTCAACATGCTGGAGGGTGTTACGGTCTCAGAGTCAAAAGCGCAAAAGGACGAGCTGATCTTGGAGGGCAATGACGTTCAGAACGTCTCGCAGTCAGGTGTGATCTCAAAGGGTGCTGCAGTGTGCTTGTTTTCTGACACGCGTTGCACCAGCGGCATCCATTCAGGGTTTGTGCCGCGTACGGAACAAGGATATCCGCAAGTTCTTGGACGGTATCTACGTTTCAGAGAAGGGAACCATTTTGAAGCAGGATTGATGATTCTCTTCTCCTATGTGACTGTTTATATTGTCTCTTTGCTGCTCTAAACTCGCATGTGTCTGTTATTCACTATGACCAATATGGTTGCGTCATGTCCTTGCAGATACTACGATCCGAATTAGCGAGACATAAGGTGCTGATACTAGTGCAATAGGTGCGTCATGGAATAAACGGTATTCTGGTTCCGACCCTCTTCCGATATTCGATATAGTCTCTGCCGAAGAAGCGTATGAGGTAGCCCTCTTCCGCTGACGGCATTTTAAGAAAACAATGCTGGCAAAATGAGAGCGTTCAACGCACCTCGAATGCGATGGTCAAAGAATCTCCACAGTACAATTGCAAAACCAATAAAGGTGATGGGGTTTTGTAGGACGAGCTGTGTGCCGAGAGCCCAATAGAAGAACCCCGCGTATGATGGGTGGCGGAACCACCTGTCGACCGTGTGAACGTTCAGTGAGCCGTAGACATCAGCAATCCTTACTTACCGATATACACCATCGGTGACCAAAATATGCGTGTCAACTTTCCGCAGGGCGACGATGTGGGAGAAGCTTGACCCAGCGTGAATCATCGCGGCAGACCTGAGCATCTGACCCACTACTGCCAATATGACCCCTGGTAGGGGATGACATTCAAGGAGGCGAAAGGATGACCACGCAAAGGTACTAACCGAGAGCCGAGACGTAGGCATGTTTTTTCCACGTAGGCCGGAAGTAGAGTGTTATGAGATATTCAAAGATGGCGAAACCATGTGCCATATGATACTGTATGCCGTTCTCAAGCAAAAAAGCTGGGATGTCGCATAAAATGGCATGCAAGCATATATGGGATGATTTCCTTACAGTCGATACTACATTTATCTTTATTCCATCCCGCGGTCACGGCAAATTCACCCCAATGGAATGCTGACCATGCAGCAAGAAAGAAGCCCAGCTGATAGGTCGACCACCAGAACCGACTGAAGCCACCGACGATGCATGTCAACGCGCCGAGCGCGAAGACGTTTCCAAGCAAGAAGGAAACTGTCGATGTAGCAAGGGGCGTATTTGCTATGCGTCCGCGTGGCTTGAGTGCCGCATCCGTCGGCACGGTGTCAAGAGCATGCGCGCGAGACTGTGCACGCTGGCGAAGACGGTCTTCGAAGCTGTCTACGTCCCCTGGCTGCATAGAAGTTGGATGGATGGCGCATGGAACAAGACATATTGGGAAAAGAGCTGTGTGGCCACGTTTGTTTGACGCTGTGGACGCAGACGTCGCGGTCAACTTCAACTTCTCCATGAATTGCTCAGCCTCGCCTCGACCTTTCAACCGTGTTTGCCTCGCGTCGCCTTTGCAAACGGAGCTCGCAGACTGACCTCAAGCACTCTGTGTTTCTTGGGCGAAGGGTGATGCCCGTCCGTTCACTGCTTTCTCGGCGACATTTATTTGCACTACGGTTCCATGTTCGAAATGTGGCGCATCGGCAGCTCGCAACAGTAGCAGGCAATGACCCATCTAAGTTGCGTAACATGGCACTGGTAGCTCATATTGGTATGATAGTCTCTCCTGTGGTATGGTACTCCATCTCACCGCGTGTCAGATTCCGGAAAGACCACTTTGACGGAGTCTATACTCTTGAAGTCATCCTATTTATCCTCCGCTGGAACAGTTGACACCGGAAGCACGACTACGGATTTCATGCCAGCAGAACGCGAAAGAGGCATTACGATTCAGTCTGCCAGCATTCCCGTGAAGTGGAGAGATTGGACGTTCAATTTGATTGATACCCCTGGCCACGCGGATTTTGGCATGGAAGTCGAAAGTGCTAGTCGTGTCGTCGATGGTGCCGTCGTGCTATTGGATTCAGTTGAAGGCGTTGAGGCTCAGACAAGGGGTGTTTGGAAGCAATTGGATAGGTGAGTACCCGTTCTTCGAGGAGATGCTCTTTGTCATGACGGCATATAACGATCACGTTCGTACATTTCCATAGGTACGGCGTACGTTCGAGGCTGATGTTTCTGAATAAGCTTGATCGTGCAGGAGCATCATTCTCGAATTCAGTGAGGTCTATACTCGCAAATCGTCTACATCCCAAGCCCATGGTGTTGAGCTTGCCAGTGGCTTCATTCAACCCGGAAGACTATTCTCGAGCCGAACCCGGCGTGCAAGGTCTTGTTGATCTCGTCAAGTGGGAGGTATGGACATGGGACGAGAATGGGGAGTCAACGCGGCATCCTCTTCCGCAAAATCTTGATGAACTAGACCGCACAAGCATTCTCTCCCCATCGCACCCGCTTGTTCCTCACTTGCTGCCTGCTCGAACCGCTTTGTTGGAGAATTTGTCGATGTTCTCGGAAGATTTGATGGAAACTCTGCTGGGGCTGCCATCTATCCCGTCAGCCTACCTCAACGTAGGTGCATCAACAATCCTCCCTCATCTACGTAACGCTACGATCCGTAACGAAATTCTTCCCATCCTATGTGGTTCTGCGTTCAAGCACATCGGCACAGAGCTCGTGATGGACTACGTTGGGGAATTGTTTCCCAGCCCCGCAGACATTGTTGACACCGTTCCGACCGCAAAAGCGCCATTACGGATGCTGGCATGGAAAGTCAGCTGGGACAAGCGTAGAGGCTGGATGACCTTCGTTCGAGTCTATTCAGGTGTGAAGGATGACTTTTGTACACGCTATGTCACATTAATGCTTCATAGGGACATTAACACGCCAGAGTTCCATCCTGAACGCCACGCGGAACCAAAAAGAGAAGGTATCCAAGTTGCTGCTCTTGTATGCCTCCCAAGCGGAGGAGGTTGAATCATTATCGTTTGGGGATGTGGGTGTGATACTCGGACTTAGATACACTCGGACAGGCGATACCCTCGTCTCGACGCAACAACCCTCTGGGACGTCGTCGCTGCGAGACATTATACCGCCGCCTGCTGTCATGTCAGCATCTGTAATACCTCAGTCGCATTCGGATCTGGGGCCTCTTCAAAATGCGCTGGAATCGCTTGCGCGCACAGATCCGTCCGTACGTGTTGAAACGCAAGAGGGGCAAATTCTGGTCCATGGTCTGGGCTCTCTTCATCTTGAAATCGTTGAGAGCCGCCTCAGAGACGAGTGGAATGCACAATTCGAGACTGGCAAGCGTCGTGTGAGCTATCGCGAGGCGCTTGGCTCCGGCCACGCAACTCCTTTGGACAACACATGGACTACCGAAATCGCAGGAAAGTCGATCCCGGTGACCATCGACTTCGCTGTGAAGCCTCTTGAAGATTACGAACAGGGCGACCCACTCTGGGACGGAAACAAGGTCATCGATGCGAATGGCAAGCCCTTGCTTTCGCTTGAGGCTTACGCTGATCAAAAGGACCCTGCCGCAAACATAGCCAGCGGAATCTCCAACGCTTTGTCAAACTCGCCACATACGTCTCTAGCATTGTCACATCTCCATATTCAGGTGAAGAGTTACCGCTACCCTCAGGAAGCTGCTCCATCCTCTGTCCTTGCGGGAGCTGCTGCATCCCTGCTGAGAGAATGCATTCGAAATGCGGGGATGGGACCGCTGATGGAGCCGTATATTCGCCTGAAGATCACCATCAACGAAGAGTCCGTCGGCAAAGTGGCGAAGGATCTCACCGAGCACGGCGGCGAGGTGCTCGACTTGGCGACAGGTTCGGGCAGCGCGATAGATGCAGAGGAGGAGATGGAGCCCTACTCTGAAGACGGTGTCTACGTCCCACCGAAAGAGCTTTCTCCATCCTCTGCGAACACACCAGAAAATGACTCTTCGTCCGCACAGTACAAACGTTCGATCTTCGCTTTGGCACCCCTAAGTCGGATGCTAGACTATTCCGATCGGCTACGCGCGTTGTCAGGAGGCAATGGAACGTTCGAGATGGTGAATGCGGGCTTCAGGCAGGTCTCAGTGACGAGGAAGGTGGAAATCTTACGAGAGATTGGTCGCGCATAATGTATCTATAGTCGTCTTAGGTCCTATACGAGTTCTTGCATACTTCGGTAACGTTACAACTCTCTGGTTTCGTCTGCATCCCCGAACAAGACTGCCCCTTCGATCTCATCATCGTCTTCTATGGCTCCTCCCTGATGTCGACCGACAGATCTCAATATCTGACTAAACTGCATTATGCTGCCGTCATCACTGTCACTGTCTTCGTGCAGAGCGGGCTCGTTGAACAGCGGGACAGGTGGCAGCGTTCTCTGTCTTTGAAGGGGGGCAGGCGTGACACTCCTCTCCCTGTCGTATTCAGGTAAAAAGAGCGGCGTGCGTGCTCTCTGACCCACACCTTCGCTTGGAGCGAAACCGGGAGGTGCGATGCTTGATGCCCTTGCCCCGCCGCTGAATATGGGAGCTGGCACAGGAACCTTTGTTCCTGAGCGTAGAGGTGGATACGGCTCCACGATCACGCAGAGACACTTGCCGTGGATGTTGAAGCCATTGTACTTCAGCCGAAGGAGGAGCTTTTTTCTATCCTCCTCTTCTTCTTCAGCTAAGTCTGGCTCTGCGGGTGATCCTGCATTCGACGTAGAGTCTAAGATCTCTTGAGCTTGAGCTACTTCCTCCGCGAGGTCCATGCCTGTGAGAACGGGCTCCGTGTCTTCGTGTTTGATGGAGATTCTTGAGACACCTTCGGTCTGCGATTCATCCATGGTTATGAGGTCGGCATCCGCAAGGGCTTGAAGCGGATTTGGTGAGCCGCCTGATGATGTCGTTTTCTTAGCCGTGCTCCTGTCAGCAGCCATTTCTACGTCTTGATCCTGAAGGACTACATCGTCGTCTTCGTCTTCCTCCCTATAACCACCAGCGATGACCTTTCTGTTCCTCGCAGATCTCCGCCGAGTACCTGCTGGGGTGCTTAATACCTCAACGTCTGAATCCTGCGCATCCTCGTCACTGGAGATCGAGATTGCTTCATCCTCGTCGGAGTCTCTGGCTCGTTGCTTGCCTTTGATCTTTTGCTTTTTCGCAACGGTAGGGTTCACGCCTTTCTTCCTCGACACTCGCTTCTTTCCCTTTTGTGGAGATGGAGAAGCTGCCTCCGGTAGCGTAGCTTTGCTGGGTCGATCAGGTCCTGGCACGAAGTATCGTGTCTGTCCATAAGTGGATTTAATTCAGCCGTTGTCCAGCATAGAACAATCTCATCCACCTTGATGAGGACTGAGTGAGGGTCAGTCTCCCTGAAGAAGTAGCCAAATTGATACACATCTGCAGACGATGATCGATGAATGTGTGAGAGAAAACAGCATGAAACCGCCTACCGCCTCGATGCACGTCTACAGTGCCTCTCTTCACATTCGGTGGACCTCCAGATCGCGGCCGTGTGTCTGTCTCTTCTTTCAGCTTTGGAAGGATGCTGCAAAATCGAATGATCATGTCAGTCTGCCTTGCATAGGAAATCGTGCGCGCAACTAGAACGAACCGAGGACGCAGATCCTCCAGGACATGTTGGAGCACTCGTTCGGACATCCAATCTATGTGTCGCTCATCCAGATAAAGCTATCGAGAATCCGGTCAGTGTTCCACAGAAGCGTGCTGCGTACGTTGCCAGTGCATACGTAGAGCGGGAGCACGGTATGTTCGGATATACGCAAGTAGTACGCATTTCGAGGACCGAACCTCATCTGGCCGTGACTCTCAGCTTTGAATAGAATTAGACTGCTACTGCAATATTTGCGCAAGTGCCGTAAGGATTGATGAGGCGGGTTGTCCTGATGATTCTCTGTGGCACTCAGTCAACAGAGACAAGTTGAAGTTGCACGCGAAATGATCTGAAGCGATTCTCCGCATCAACATACGCTGGGCGACGCGCCCTTGTGACCGACCCCCGAAGGCACGCGCACAGACGCGCACGCTGTGAGACGCTGTAGCGGTTATGATTTGAACTCAATCGGTATACATTTTACAGCTATCGGTATCCGAACAAGTACATTCCTTTGATTTTCCTTCCATCACCATTCAAATATCATTGGGAGAAACACCCGGACCCGAGATGATCGCCTTGATGACGCCTTTGCCATCGGAGCTCTTTCCAGCCCGCGTTGTCTGAAATGCCTCGATGGCATCGTCGAAGGGGAACCTGGACAGGTCACGTCAGTCTCAGATCACTCGGGAGCAGGGTGCGAAATATATACCTGTGTGTGACCAGGGGCTTGAGGTCGATCTTGCCCTGGTTGACGAGGGCAATCGCGAGGGGATAGTCACCAGGCCCATACCGGAAGGAGCCCTTGAAGTTGAGCTCCTTCGTCAACAGGAGCGTGACAGGGATTGTAACATCGGGGGAACCCATGCCGACCTGCGCGCGATGATTGCTCAGCTCGCAGGGCACAGTCGCGAGATGAACTGACTCACCTGCACATAAGTTCCGCCGGCCTTCGCAATCATGATACCAGTCTGAATAGACACTTCTGCGCCGCTCGCGTCGACGACAAGGTCAATCGAGTTCGGACCGCGCTCCTCAATGCCGAGCTTCTCCGCCATTGTCTTTGCGTTCCGCTCTGAGTACTTCATGCGCGTCTCACCGGGATCGAGTGGCGGAGGGATATAAGTCTCGGTCGCAGCGTAGCTCTTTGCAAACTCCAGTCGGTCCGGCACGATGTCGACTGCGATGACGCGCCGGGCACCGAGCGCCTTCGCGACGGCCATGCAGAGAAGACCAACAGGTCCTGCACCGAAAATGACCACGCTCTGGTTCGCGCGGAGGCCGGCAATGTTGGCAACGGAGTGAACAGCTACGGAGAGAGGCTCCATCTACATATCAGGGAGTAACATTAGAGCGTATGCAAGGAATAGGGCGCATATACTGACCATAGCGCCGTCCTCGAGCGTGAGATGTTTGGGGAGCTTGTAGACAAGATCTGAAGGAATACGGTAATAGCGTGCCAATGTGCCATCATAGGGAGGTGTCGCCGCAAACTCGATATCAGGGCAGAGCTGGTTCGCTCATGGTAAGGAAAACTATGTACTGTCATTGTGAACAACTACCAACCTCGTAACGTCCGCTCTTACAGGCGTCGCAAGTGCGGCACACCGCGCCGGGCTCCATTGCAACCCGGTCACCGACCTTGATGCCGTTCGCCTTAGGACCAACTACAGCATCGCCAGTGAGATCCTGTGAGTATGCGCACGTGTGGAGAGATGCACCTTTCACAACAACACCTGACGATTCATGCCCGAGAACCTGAGACGCATGAGGCAAATAGATGACCCTTTTTAATGTAATTCACATACCATAGGCTTCTCTACGACAAACTGGCCAATGCGTCCCGCAACGAGGTAATGAACCTAATGACCAGATGAGATATGTAGTTATCACGCGAAGCAGCTTCATCTCCTTTCTTACATCAGAACCACAGATACCTCGAGGCATGTAATTGCTCAGCCTTTCTGTTGAGCAGAGTATGCAGGACAGAAGCTCACCTGTCTTCTTCACCTCAACGAGCACATCGTCGCCCGTGGCTGGGAAGTACCAGTCAGTATCGATGCTCGGATGCGGGTGATCTGTAGATCTCACCCTCGGGGATAGGCCTCTGCTCGTAGACGACATCCTCGATGCCGCGCAAGACAAAGGACGGGTTGTCCGACATTGGCTAGGTAGGCGAGCAGAGAGGAAGGATGGTGATCGAGCAGGAAGGCTTGCTGGTGTGCTAGATGTCGAGGGCTATTTGAGGGGAAGTGCGGCGCGACTCCGGACCGGGATGTGCGCCTGGGCCAAATGACGGGCATCTGATGCTCGCTGATGATTCGGTCAATAATTCCGCTGGGAGCACAACGCGCTGGCAAGCCTGGACGTGCAGCAGACGCGTACAGCAACCAATACGATGAGGACGGAGCCTGTGTCTCGGTGCTGTGATACAACATGTCCCGCGGTGGAGATTCGAGACGCATTCTCAGCGCGTTCCTTTCCTGCTACGACCTCACAATTCCCCATGCCACATAGTCAACTCTATGGCGAATCGTTTGGCATGTGAACTTCGCGTTCCAGGTCATATCTTCCCCGTTGCATAATCGGCGCTGCCATCCGCTTCCGAGACGAAAGTGCTGTATGATGTAAGAACGCATGTTGTGAGCGTGCCAAAACCGAGCAGCCTTCGCCAACGAGAAGTGGTCTCGAAGACTTTCAAGCTGACAATGATCAGCGTAGCCTGTTTCAGTATCGGGGACCGCGCGAGCGCGAAGCGGTTTGCGACGCTGTAGTAGTGCCGAATGTTGGAGGTGGCCCGCCCCTCCGCTATCGATGCAGCGATCCGTGATGAAAACGTGCTGTGCGAGCGTTACCCCGGTTTCCTATCCCCGGCCTTTGCTGGGAATTCTGTTGGAGGAAGTGTAGGGCAGGCTTCACCAAATTCTCAGCGTGCGAATATAAGAGTCTCGTTCGATTGCACCATCCCTGCAATCCTCTTTCCCTCTCACCATTCCTCACCACCTCAACCGCTGCATCAGAATGGTAGCCTCCAGCGTCCTCGGTTTCCCTCGCATTGGTGAGCTGTGCATTTTTTTAGCCTTACCAGCATTTGTTCAAGCTTGCGCAACGCGATCCGTTCAGGTGCGAACCGTGAGGTGAAGAAGGCTGTTGAGGCATACTGGGCGGGCAAGCTCTCCGCCGACGAGCTTACCAAAGCTGCTGCCGATGTCAAAAAGGCCAGTTGGGTGAGCCTCAAGGAGCGCAACGTCGACCTGATCCCCAGGTTTGTTGCGATCACATCTGTACCCCTTTTGTCCTATTGATTGTCACGCCATACAGTGGCGACTTTTCGCTCTATGATCACGTCCTCGACCACTCGGCAGCCTTTAACGTAATCCCGAAGCGCTACCTCGGCCATAACCTCTCTCCGCTCGATGTCTACTTCGCGATGGGCCGTGGCCGTCAGGCGGACGGCGTTGATGTTCCTGCTTCTGAGATGAAGAAATGGTGAGTGAACCTTATCTCAGTCTTGTATAGCCCTTTTGTGGGCATACCATGCGGATTCGCTACGAGAACGCGATGATGATCACTAATGCGCATTCATTGACAGGTTCGACTCGAACTACCACTTCGTCGTCCCCGAGTTCTCGGATGAGACCGATTTCAAGCTTAACTTCAACAAGGCTCTTGAGGAGTTCAATGAGGCTAAGGCTCTCGGTATCACCACCCGCCCCGTTGTGCTCGGCCCTGTATCCTTCCTTGTCCTCGGCAAGCCAGCCAAGGACGCGAAACCAGGCTTCCAGCCCATCTCCTTACTCCCCAAGCTGCTTCCGGTCTACAAGCAGCTCCTCGCTGATCTCAAGGCTGGTGGCGCTGAGTGGGTTCAGGTTGATGAGCCCGTCCTCGTCCTCGATTCTGCTGCATACCTCGAGAAGCAGTTCGCATCTGCATATGCCGAGCTTGCGCCTATCTCGCCCAAGATTATCCTCACGACTTACTACGGCCGCCTCGACTCTAATGTCACATTTGTCGCGAAGTTGCCGGTCGCCGGTCTCCACATCGACCTTGATCGTGGCCTGAAGCAGCTCGACGAAGTCATTGCTGCTGTGAAGCCCACGAGCATTGTCCTTTCCCTCGGTATCGTCTCTGGCCGTAACATCTGGAAGGCTGACCTCGAGGCCGGTATCGCCCTTGGCCAGAAGGCCATTTCTGCCCTCGGCGCTGAGCGTGTCATCGTCGCGACTTCCTCGTCCCTCCTCCATACCCCTGTCACGATCGCTGCTGAGAACAAGTTGACTGCCGAGCAGAAGGACTGGTTCTCGTTCGCGCTTGAGAAGGCCACCGAGGTCTCCTTGCTCGCCGCTGCCCTCTCTGGCGATGCCAGCGTCACCGCTGCCCTCCAGGCGAACAAGCAATCGATCGCCAAGCGTCGTGATTTCGAACGCACCTCGGACGATGCCGTCAGGAAGCGTGTTGCGTCAATCACCCCCGACATGCTAGAGCGCAAGAGCCCCTTCTCTGTCCGCAAAGAGGTTCAGGCCAAGGCTCTTAACCTTCCGAAGTTCCCCACAACCACCATTGGTTCCTTCCCTGTGCGTTTGACGTCAATGTTTATGGTTAGGTACTAATACCTCGCCAATAGCAAACCAAGGAGATCCGCAGTGCTCGTGCGAAGCTCAATAAGAAGGAGATTACTCCTGAGGAGTATGAGGAGTTCATCAAGAAGGAGATCGAGCACGTCGTCCGCTTCCAGGAGCGCATTGGCCTCGACCTGCTCGTGCACGGTGAGCCCGAGCGCAACGACATGGTTCAGTACTTCGGCGAGCAGCTCGAAGGCTTCGTCTTCACCCAGAATGCCTGGGTGCAGAGCTATGGCTCCCGCTATGTTCGCCCGCCCATCATCGTCTCGGATGTCAGTCGCCCCGGTCCGATGACTGTGAAGTGGAGCAAGTACGCGCAGAGCCTCACCCCGAAGCCTATGAAGGGTATGTTGACCGGACCCGTCACCATTCTCAACTGGTCCTTCCCGCGTGCGGATGTCTCTCGTGAGCTCCAGTGCATGCAGCTCGCTCTGGCTCTCCGCGACGAGGTCATTGACCTCGAGAAGGCTGGCATCAAGGCTGTTCAGGTTGACGAGCCTGCTCTTCGTGAGGGTGTAAGCAGTATGCCTTGTTATCAATCTACGTTGTCGCTCATGCATGCTATGCCTTATAGCTTCCTCTCCGCAAGGTTGACTGGGAGCCATACCTCAAGTGGGCTCTTCCCTCTTTCAAGCTCGCGACCGCCGGTGTCAGTGACAGCCTCCAGACACACTCGCACTTCTGCTACTCTGACTTTGACGACATTTTCCCGTCCATCCAAGCGCTCGATGCTGATGTCATCTCGATCGAGGCGTCGAAGAGCGACATGAAGCTGCTCAAGACATTCAAACAATACGGCTACTCGAACCAGATTGGCCCCGGTGTCTACGACATTCACTCGCCTCGCGTCCCGAGCGAGCAGGAGATCAAGGACCGTATCGCGGCTATGCTTGCGATCCTCCCCGACGATCTCCTTTTCATCAATCCTGTATGTTGTCGTTCTTTCTTGATGTCACCGACATCTGCTGACACTATCTCTATAGGACTGTGGTCTCAAGACTCGTGGTTGGAAGGAGACTGAGGTTTCCCTCGTCAACCTCGTCAACGCTGCACGCTGGGCACGTCAGACCTATGCGTAATTGCATTACCCTTGCGCTTCAACAGCGCCCGTGATGTGGTTTTGTAACTATTCAGCGCGCTCTCAACGAGATGGCGCTGTGTTCTTGACCCAGGGTAGTTGTGGCGACAATATTCCGGCCGGGAGACGCCCGGCGGAACCTCAGCGACGGTTGGTCTAGCGGGTCGGTCTGCAGAGACGAGAGGACCTGCTTGGTTAGTCGAGGCGAGGTAGTGTAGCGCAGTAGGAGTACGTATGTTCTAGGTGTCTTCGGATTTCAACAATCGCGAATGAAATGCGCTCTATGGTATTACATTTTCGTGTGCGTGTGACATACATTCCTAGGCGTATGAGATGGACGGAATGTCTATTCCCCGAAGGCTGTGAGAGCGCGACATGATAAAGCAATGAGCTGAGATGGGCTACAACGAGAACATGCAGTGGACGGCATATGAAAGAAAGCAATTGGAGTGAACCGCCGAGGAGGACAACACGGGTTGAGTTACAACAGTAGATGTTATGGAGCGAATGAGCATAGTAAATTGGTCCTACATTGGTCGTCAACGAAGTCGCGCGTAAAGCTTCAGCCCAGCAACTTGAAGTGGAGAGCGATCTTCTGGCCAGGGAAGTATTTATGTCGCCTGTCCCAGGCAATATGGACTTCCATTTCGCCTGCCATTCTCCTGACCAGAAGCCCACCTGTAGCGTTTGGTACGGAGGGCTCCATTGTGGGGCTCGTCAGAATATGGGGGACTTCGACCTGTATCTCGTGCAAACAACCGAATCTGGTGACGATTGAGTGATCTGGGCACGTATAGACACTAGCTTCCCTAATAATAGATGCATCACCGTGAGCACAGAATATTGTAAAGATCAACGGACCTGAACTTGACCCCGATCGTTGTCTCGATCTGACTCATCACGTTCTTGACGGTGGAATCAACAGGTCCTCCAGCAGGATCTGCGACGATGGAGTATTCGCCGTCAAAATTGAAGAGCACGGGACCGAAACCGTCATTCTTCAATCCCTGGCTGAACTTGAATCGAAGATATTGTGCTTGAGCAGATAGGAAGCCGAAGAACCGCTCATGCAGGCATTCGAGAAGACGAGAAATATGTTGGAATGCAGCCTGCAAATAGATGAGCTTAAGCAAGAATACTTATTCTCATCGAAACATAGACAACGCACCGGCGTAGTGTCAATAATGGCAGTGGGTTCTGGCGCTTTCCGGTGGACCTTAATCGTCACTCGACTGTTATGGTCCTCCGGATACTACGCTACGTAAGCAAACGTTCATATTTGAGGGGAATGAGTAGATATGTACCTTCAGGTCATCAAGGGGAGAATCATCGCGCCTGCGTTTCTTAGCAGATCTCGAGGAACTTCTTTTATCTGCCATAACGAGCTCCAAGACATCACGAGCGGTCATCATACGATCATCTTGCCGACGTAGATGTTTGCGGCATGCCTTGCACATATCTCGTCGCTCGTTAGGACCAATGACATTGTGGCACCATCGACTAATGCATATTCGGCGCCCTGGAGGAATCAAAACTGTACGAAAAAATAAATAAGTAAAGACCAGTCGTTGAGGCCGTTAAGATTCTCACTTATTCTAGGCAATTTCTGTTGATTACAACTGCAGTGAGTACCGTCATGTGTCGTTAACAGTCAATGCAACCCATACCTCCTGCTTCTGAGGAGCATCACATTCGGCCTGTTCAACCTGCACCATGGCCCTCCGTCTGTTTTGGAGCACACAATTCTTTTGTCGGCACGACTCGCACGGCTTCCGTTTTGTACCCGGCAACAGCAAATTATGGCAGTGACGGACGCTACATTTTGTCACAGGCTTGTCAATGGTGGAAGACTGGCGTCGACGCTTGACGAGTAACTTTTTACAAAGTGAACATCCATTAAGAGACCATTCAAACCAAATATACGTTTGCGGCCCACCAATTGTTTCGCCAAGGGTATGTCTTCCTCGTCATCACTACTACTGTCCTTCATTTCAATCTCTGATTCTCCTTCATCTGTTGACCCCTCAAGAGGAGTCAGGTCGGACAAATCGCCATCCACATCTTGTGTCGCGGAAGAGTTCGGCAAGTCGCCAAATTGTGTGATTGGTGAAGTTTGTGGAGAGGTCCGCTTTGAGGACAGCGAAGAATGTGGGGAATGGAGAGAAGACACGGTATTAGATGCGCTTGACGTTTCTTGGCTCTTGGTGAGATTGATTTCACCTGCATCGCGATCGCTATCGTGTTGGTTGTGAGACATCGTAGTGTCTGCCGCCTCATCTGAAGTTTGCTCTGCACTGGTATCCATCATGACGTCTCTATCTGCGGGTAAAGATGTATCTGCATCATTCCTAAGAGCGAAAGGGACGTCCTGCGTCTTGGACTCAGATACAGCGACAACACTTCCTTCTTGCTTCAAAGGATGCAGTGCATCCTTCATAGGCACGTCCGCAATTACAGTTGCCAGTTCTGGAACTCTGCGTACCGCTTCCTCTGCGATCGAGCCGTGTGAGAGTCCGCGCGAACTTTGAGACATTCTTCGTGCTTCACGGTGTCCCTGCAGCAACAGTTCAATGTGTCGTAGCATCTGTTCCGTTTCCATTTCTGTACTCTCTTGTTTCTTCGGATGTAGAGGTTCTGTTGTTAGCTGCATACTGCGGTCGGTGGAAGCAACAACTGATGGTAATGAGCGAGGCTGAGAACCGATACCAACTGTGCGTGACTGGGAGTAACCGAGAAGAGAGTTGTCCAATATGAGCGATACCTACAAATTAAGAAAGAGCCATACGAAGTGACGCACCCCTGCAGGAGCTAGAGAGTATGCTTGACGGGAGGTTGGGAGATAACTGTCAAGCATTGATGGACTCTGCGGGTCGTTCTAAAAAATTGAGCACCTCCACTACACGATACCGCGTAATATGTACCTCATTTGCCGAGCCCACCTCAGTAGCGGAGACGGGAGGATCGATCCGGATCGATCCGTTCGATTGTGTGTACACTCGCAATCTCGGCTATATAAAGTCAAATTCTGTCCGCTAGAACTGTTTACGTGGCACATACCTTCATAGCGGGAGTCAGCGTATCCGTCAGAGATGAGCTTAGGGACTGTACATGCGCAGGATGCAGACAGTCTGACGGCAGAGATGAGTTACTCATGCGTCTTATCGGATGGTCCGCTATTGGTTGAGTAGCTGCTTCATCTAGCGGATTTGCCGTATATATCGCGAAAGGCGCAAATGATATGTGTTTACTGCACATTTCGAAAGGGTGGCCAGGAGACAGAATTGTGCTGCATCCATGCATCTCGCAAAGTCGTATTGTTCGTTTTCTTTGATCGCTGAAATTAGCGGGTAGGATTTGCGCAGGACTGACGGGCTGCGATGACGGCTTGACCAAAATACTGGGTGAGATGACAGGAGTCGCAATAGCGGTCCAATCTGTTGGAAGAGATGATGATTGTCGCCAACGTGACACTGCAACAGAGTCTGCATGATCGGCGATGAAAGGAAGCATTGATTGTGGAGTCGGAAGCTAAAATGCAACAGAATGAGATACACGCTTCGAAATATGGGCAATTTTTACGCACCGGAGGAAAAGGATACACTGATGAACATCGTGAGGGCAATAAATGGGGCCATAAATATTCCCCGCGAGAGTTTAAGTGAGGGGTCCCAGGCGGAGGAACGTTCACAACGGGTTTCATCCGTGACTCCGGCAACGGCCCATAGTGGCTCTTCGGACGCTTCAGCGGAGCACCTATGCGCTCATTATATAGCAGGTGGATGTGAGCAGGATGTACAAACTGAGCCGCAGCATTAGCGATAAACGCTGCAAATTGCGTATCGTCAAGGTCGACAGGATTCGGAGCCGGAGGCCGCGCCATCATCGGGTTCGTGGGCTGGGCATTTCCTCGAGTTGGGGAGGCCTGGGATCGAGGCTGCCGACAAGTCGCACAGATAACCGGTTGAGGCGGTGCTACCTGGGCTGCAGGAACCTGTACCACTGCCTTGCATGAAGCACAATTGGCTAACGTCTGTATTCATGCAGATAAGCGGATGAATATCTCGCGTATCACTCTAATGGTAAACCCACCATCCTTTGATTCCTTAAGGTATGTATGTTTTGGCATACACGGCACAATTTGGACTGGTGGTCTGGTGCAAGTGCGATATTGCAACTTCCGCAGCGAGCCATTTCATGACTCGATACCGGCAAAGATGCTAGATGAAATTCATTCAGTGCATGTTCGCGCTCGATGGCATTTACAAGATGGAGTATGCAAGATATGCTTACTTTCCTTGCGCAGTGCAGACTCGCTCAGTGGGAGCCGCATCACAAAGGTGGTCATTTTCACGATAGTTCGGCGTCGACTTCCTACAGCCGCGGCTATTTTCGCCTTGACGCGCCGATTGTCGCACCGTTGGATGCCTTTTCGTGCACTCGCCGACTCCTGTTGCGAATATAGCGTTCAACAGAGCCGTATGGCTGCCGCGAGGACATGGGCACGCATCGTCAAACTGCACGTTCTCCTGTGATTGCTTTACGCAATCGCAAGGGCCGGGCGGCAATTGGCTGCCAACAGGTGTTTAGGCGAAAATTTCCAAGAATCGTAGCCGATCCGCCACCCCGCATCTAAGCGTGATCAGTGCGCCGAGGTGCTTAGTTGTTGCAGGCGGCGGTAATTCAGGTTCAGTGGCCGCAGAAGGGAAAGTGTGTGCAGGTATGTTCTGATAACAAAGTCTTTTCGCAAACTAAGTGGCATTTTCTAACGTATGTATAGCCATGGTTGAACGCGAAACGATTGCAGCTTGAGAAAGCGGCGGCGTTTTACTACTAAAAGAGGAGCTCAGCTACGACCTCGTGGCAGCGAGCGAGTCTTGAGGCGAATGGAAGTAATTTATAAGTGTGATAGGGGATACACGTATCAGCACCGGTACAGTAAGTGTATGCAACAGAACATAATGGAGGTAGCATCACTACATTGAGTGTAAAGCTACAGGACGATCGTCAGCAAAGGGTATTTAAAGGAAATGAAATCAAGTCCTGTAGATTGACGACTGAACAACATAGAAAAAGCCCGAAACACCAGCGCATATAGCCCGTTATCGCTACCTCGTTACACCGTCTTCCGAGAGTAGCTCTGCGGGAGGCACGCTCATTTCGTCCACAATTCGTATGTCGGGAAACATTGGTGTAAGCCGCGTTGATGGCATTCCGACGATTTGATCCCTTTCAACATTATCGTTCTTGATCGTCTCCTCCGCGTAGTCTATGCATTGTACCATCTGCTGGTCGGGCAACGTCTGCGTGGATTGGCATATCAACGGCGCGTCTGGCATAGAGGCGCCCTCGCCCGCTGTCGCGATGGTTGGACATTCGGGATCGGCATCGGACGGAGAATCTTCCATCGCCAGCGCCATCCGGAGGCGTTCTGTTACCTCCTTCACGCGCTTAGTTTTACGACCTCCCCAATAGATCAGGAAGCCAGCGACGATCCCAGCGAGCTGCGCGCACACATTCAGAAGGCGGGTTATCGGGGACAGTATATATAACAATACGTACGAATGACAAGGGAAGCGTTGTAGCAGTTGTCCATGCTGGCCGAATAAACCTTGAAAGCTGTGAGATGAACAGTCTGTTGGTGATTGCGAATAGATGCGTACCTGTCCATAGACCACATGCAGCCGCTGAGTAAGCATTGGAACACAGAGTTGAGATCATTCATGATGCATATCCATAGCGCAACACTATAGATGGCGCGTCAACATGTGCACAGGGTGGCAAGTCACTGTGGACGTACTCAATGGGGAATGCCTAAAGCAACGACGTAACGTCAGCTCAGAATGCAAAAATGGGGACGGCGGTGCCTACGCGATGAGTTTGTGTTCCATGCGGACGATACCAAGTCTGTGCCTGCATAAACTTAAGTTGCTCTGTGAGGAACAGTCATTGGTGGAATTCTCATCTGCGGGTGCCAAAAAGGACTGACGGTAATGCAGATCCACCTGTTCTTCATCGCTCAGCACCGGTACATAATTGGCATCGTACTTAGGATCTGGTAGATCATTCTTGTCATAAAGCGCCGGCAGGCCCGCCTTCTGCCGTAGTTTTGCTGTCTTGCGTTGATAATAGCAGATCTTGCATATACCTGCGAAACAATAATCAGACTTATCCGACGTTAGAAGCCAGAACTCAACGGCGTACGATACGTGTCGACTATGCGGAAGGGCATCAGACCGATACTTGGGAGGGAGAAAAACCCTGGTGGAATGAATGTAAAATTGTCGTAGATGCTACCAATCTAGCGGTGAAGGATAAACATACCCGTTAGGATCTGTTGACATAGTTCAATCCAGAAGTTTTGCGTGTTGTCGTTGTGTACATTGATAAAACGAGCGAGAAAAAGTACAAGTGCTGATCCCCAGAATACTGTAACAACCTGAGACTACTGCCGATCTGATGACGAACAAACTGCCGGGCTCACCAACAAGGACTCCATAGATAGTTGTGAAGGCCTGCACCAAGGAATCAGGACAAATTGATTCTCATTTCACCAGCTTGACTCACACCCAATGCTAAAAGTCAGAGTTAGCCGACCGTACACCGTATACGGTTGCAAGACATACGAGTCTTCATGAATGACCATACGCCCCGCATCACCCTCCGAAATCGGTCGCGTTTCCTCAGGACATCTTCCACATGCATATCGAGACTATCCTGGTCCCCCGCTGGCTCGGCCTTCTCTGCATCACCTCTCCGTCGTTGCCGCCTGCGCGGAAGCACAACGACTGGCTTGTGGGAGTAGAAGTCCAATGGAGGTCTGTGAGTACATGTCAAAATTTTGGTCAATTGAATGAAACAACAGCGGACAAGTTAGAAGTCAAGGAGCCAAGCTAGACCACCAAGTGTACGGATAGTACAGAGCCGCGTATCAAGTATGATTTTTGTTGTATTCCTCTATGTACACCGTAACTTTTCACGACAATGCGTTCTACAACGAGAATACACGTACATCACTATTGAATTCGCGGCATTAGTGAGGGTGGCGACCGTGGCGATTTGAGGGTCTACAGATGAGACGGTGAGATAGAAAGTCAGATCATATTGCTTAGAGTCGCACCAATCACATCCAAATGCTCTACAATATCATCTGAATGATGTTCCCCATCCCACACCTCGTCGTAGCACGAGGTATCTGACCGCGGCAAGCTCAGCGCACTTCCGACGCGCCCACGTCCCTCATCATCTCTCGGGATCAACACCTCCGTCTGCAGACCATTGAGTGAGATCATGTCGTCTTCTACACGACCGTATCCCATGTCCGAGAGAGTATGCCTGCGCCGCGGCCTTCCTTCTGTTGCTCCGGATGCAAGGAAAGGTTCGCGATCGTCCTCACTCATCATTCGAGAAGAGCTGGGTCCAGCGCGCGAAGTACGCGTCATGCTCATAATGTGCTGCGATACCTTGCCAAGAGACGGGCGACGCAGAGATGGATATACACGCCCAGGATCGTCTTGAGGCCCATCGTCTGTAGAGGAGGCGCGTACGGGAGGGTATTCGTTGAGACTCTTCAAGCCATCGGATTCATGCGACGATGCATAAACGGTATCAGGTGCAGGCTCAGAAGCAAAAGGGCGGCTTCGCGGTCGTCTAGCAGGAACTGGATTTATGGCGGAGTCCTGGAGGGTGGCATAACCGCGCTTGACCCGGACAGAGGGCATCGCAAGCGGGGCTGCACCGAACACAGGAGAATTGCAGGTGGAGGAAAGGGTGAAAACCAAAGGTTATGGTGTAGTGGGGCCTGCCATGATGACCCGACTTCACTGCGCACGCACTAAGGGGACAGCATGCCGCTCCACGTGCGATCCTCTTGGCTGGTTGGCACAGCCACTGCGCTCTACGATAGACAGAGGACACAGATGTATATTATTGAGGCTAGGATACGGTCTAAAAGTTGCTAGTATAATTTACGGATATATACCAATGACATTGCCAAATAATCATGTAGATATATCATCGAGGCCACATGCCATGTAGCCGAATCATGCCGAGGAATCTGTGGCATTCGAACCTGTTCGCGAATGATGACTTGAGGCCCACGACCTCGCCTACAGTCAGTGAAGTATTAGCTAGCGTCAAGACATGAAGAGCTGAGATACTCACGCTGTTGGCAGATGCGTCGGAGTCAATGCTCGATCTCGCAGGATTTCCATGGCGGCGTCTGAAGACACTGAGAACCCTAGGTCGAGCAATGCGGCGCATGGAGGAATTGTCCGCGTTCGCATCTGGAAGTGGCTCTGGTTCAGCGGTAAAGTCCGGCGAAATGACCGGAGTCGGGTTCTTGTGCAAGGGGAAAGGCGACTTCGCGCGATGCCTTCTCAGGTCAATTGTCGACGAACGACTCCCAGTCGCCGTAGAGTCGGAGGACGTCGCGGAATTCGTGCTTGAGGTGCGTGCTTGGAATGGCAGAAGGAGCGTTGGGGTGCTCGAGCGTTGATGATCCTCCGCTGTTTGTGTATGATGTACTCTTGGCTGGATCCACTTTGTCTTTGAGATCAACTCGCGCGCGACAGGCAGAACCGGCACCAAGGGCTGCTGAAAGGCCATCTTGATCCAGCCACGCCAGTTCCGGCCTGAAGGAATAAACTGGTCGACTAGCTCTTCGAACTTTTAAATGACTGAGTACACGGACTACAAGGAATCGACATGATGGCAGCGACGTACACTCGAAGTTTGATTGCGATACTCCAGATCTCGTGTGCGAATGCGTGCATCACGACAGAGGAACGAGTCCTCTTTCGCGATGCTAAGCAGGAGATGTAGACTGTCAAACGGGATTTAATGGGGATGCGCGGTCGACCGACGAGACAAACGATTACCTATTTACCCGCACCCGCACGAATGTTTTCTGAGACGAACGTGTCTTCATCTCGGTTGCATCGTCAACTTCCTGTTTGTTACGTGAAGATGCAGACTTGTCTCTGGAATCGCTTCCATTCTTTATGGTTTGATTCGTAAAAGAGCGCGATGGCGTCGAGACAGTAACCAACGCATCGGTGGACTTTGTCCTATGCAGCCTAGGAGCCTTCAGTGTCTCCGACCGCGTATTCCTAAGATCAGTTACGGATCTGGAAGCACCGAGCTTGCGCATTGGAGATGCAGCTAGTCTGTTTGAGTCGACGGATTTGCGAGGCGAGACATCCCACGAGGAGCGATGGACGTCATCTGGACTTTCCGGAACAACGACTATATTCGACTCTCCTTCCTCCGTCGTAGAATCAAGAAGTGGCTCGAAGCTTTGAACCTCTTCCGAGTTACTCCTATGCTTACGCGCGGGCCAGATATATTCCATAATCTTCTTGCCGACACGCGTATCGATTTGAAGTCGCATAGGATGGAACGTGATTTCAAAGTTTTCGTAGATGGTGATGCCCCCAACAGGAGGTAGCACTGTCCAATCGGCAACAACGAACAACTTTTTCTGCAGAACAAATCATCAGAGATATCCAACGGCTCGCATATACTGAGAACCCACCTTGACTAGTGGATGCGTGGCAGGTTCATCACTCTTGGACAATATTTCCGTCCATTGTGCATTTGCCGAACCATCGTATGCCTGCAAGTCTCCTACGACTAGATTGTTGACTGTGGAACTGTCCTGCTGGCTGAGCCAATAGAAGTGTATGTTGCGAACAGCAAGTTTCGCAAGGAGCTGGTCTTGATGGTCCAACATTCGCCAGGATATCTCTGATGACGAGGCATGTAGGAGCAATGCCGACTTCTTTTCAGGGTGTTCGTTCGCCTTGTCCTGTGACAGTTGGATCGCGTCGAAGATGAGGTTGAGCTCTTCAGCGAGCATCAGGATGTGTGCATCGACTTTGTAAATCTCAACCTGTCCTTCGTCTCCCGAACCTTGGAGCGTCTGCATCGCTTGTCGTCGGATCTCCAATGCATGTCTCAAGCGTGCTTGCATGTTCAGGACAACGTCAGCTGCCAGCCCCATGTTCGTGAAGTCATATTTAAACAGCAATCTCTCTAGCTTATCGGAGCGCTCCTTGAGTGCCGCGTCCGAGAAGAGGACTAGTTTGGTGACGATGTTGGAAATTGCCTGGAAATGACCATCATTTGCAGACACCGTGAATCTTGGAATGTGCAATCGGATAAGGTCCTGTACAGTGTGTTTAGTCGCAAGTTTGTTCCTCTGACGTTGTCATCCGTACTAACCGTTTGATCCTGTAGATGATCATGCTGATCATTAGAATCCTGGCTGGTTCGAGCAATAGTCGTGATCTTGTTACGCAGTCGTAGCCGATTGAACTTGTCATACTGGAACGAAGCGTCCGTCTGGGGCACAAGACGGTCGAACGCGCTGTTCTCGCATCGCAAGTCTATCAATACTTCCAAGGGAACAGACCCCTTGCCAGATTGATTCGTTACAGAGGGGGAGAATGTCTGTAGACCGGTGATGGACGCAAAATTCCTGAGAGGTATTCAGGTTTATAGTACCGTGATTGTTCAAAAGCTAATACGTGCCTGTTCATGATTTTGCCAATTACGGGGTCGTCTACATTGGCTTCATCCAAGATCGCAAACGACTTCAGCTTCCCCTGGACAGCTGTCAGCACGCAAACAGACTCCGGATCCGGGTCTGAGGTGCCTTCCCTTCGAAGAACTATCTGCGGCTTCAGCAAAAGACAGAAGTGACTTCTCCGCAGCGTAACACCCTCGGTCCATCCGTTAAGCGGATCAATGGGCTTAGCATTGTCCCATACGGAGTCCTCGGTTGTATCCACGATCGTATCCGACATGCCATCTCGGCCCAAGAAATTGCGAACAGCGATAGCAGCAGCCTGAGCGCTGGAGACCGGTCCTCGAGTCTGTCCTGGTTCTTGAAGCAAGTCCGCAAGCGCTGTCTTCGCCTGGTCTCGAATAAACTTCACAGCACTTCGCTGCATCAGCTGAAATGACACATATTTGTGCGGGTATGTCCTTACCGTGCAGCCATATGATACTCGACACTTCGTTTGGTCCGAGAGCAATAGTAATATTGCATCATAATCTATGCGAAAAGTTTCAGCTGCTGCTGAACCGCAAGATGACTGACGTACGTCGCGGACGACATGATCCAGGAAGACTTGCGGAGAATGCACTTGATACACATTATCAAACTCTGCCCATTCATCCGCAGAGACGGCATCGGTAGGCATGTCATAACTGCGGATACCGTGAGACGTTGACGCGTTCGCTGCGGAGTCCTCCTTGTGCAGATGGGACACGTAGTTGTTAAGCAATTTGATCTTCTTGCGCAGATCACTGGCGTTTCCATCGACCTGTTTATGTATAGCGATAACCATAATAACAGAAGCACCGGAGCATTCACTCACGCTACCCGGGGAGTCAAGAGATGGATCTGCATCTCGAGCACCATCATGTCTGCCAGTACTTCCCAAGCATTGCGATAGTCGTCGCTGTAGTTTCTTGATGCGCAATCCTGCCAAAGCGATTTGGATCTGAGTCACAGCTAGTCCACAGTAAGGAACACGCTTAATATCAACATTGCACAGTACTCACAGAGCTCCTTGCCCAGAGAGCATACATGCGTGTCCTCTGTACCAAATTTACTCTTTACTAGTTGAGTGGGCGAGACATCCAACAGTGTTTCCCGTGTACGCTTGAAGTATGTGAAATGTGGACAAAAAGCAGCAGACAGTAGATGAACGGTCGGTGAGGTGGAAGGCGACCAACGAGTGTCATCAAAGTCATCATAATCAATCCATACAGAGTCTGCAGGCACAGGATCGGTCTTGATTTGCGTCCTGTAGTTGCTCATGAGCGGTGCTGATTCCGTGTGGACTTGTTGCTTGAGAGGCTCAGGGAAAACAGCTAGCATCGACCGTAAATCTAAGCTTTTCATGACCACCTCTACAGCATAGAATGCTTTGTGATGAGCTGATTGCGTATTGCCCTCGGTCACATGTGCGGTCTCTTGGTCTCTCTGATGCATATCAGCCTGGAAATGATCGATCAAGGCCTTGATGCCGACGAATGGGGTGACACCATCAGCCCAAGCATCCTTGGAATTGTCTACGTAGACATGGCTGAGGAATAACTGGGCGATAGAAATGCGATATTTGAGTGTGGCCAGATGCTGTCCGAGCTTGGGAGACAGAGGTCGTTTATGGGAATAATAGGATCCTTGGCGAATAGGAAGTGATAACGTGCCATCGAACAGCGACCACCATGCCCAGAAATGCTCAAACAGTTCTGGTGACAGATGAACACTGCTGGCCTTCTGAGTTGAAAGATCCTTGTCACGGTACAACGCAGACGTCAAAGAGATAGATAAGTGAATAAAATCTGACCGGAACCCATTGTACGAGTCGTCAATGGCCTAGGCACCATTAGAGTGATTTTGGCGTAAAATCTACAAAAAGCATTCACCTTGTATTCCGGTCTTCTCTGCTTATTCTCCGGCTTAACAGAGTAGTGCGGTCGGAAATCAAAAAATCGGCAGTCGCGGTCGAAGGGTTTACCAGAGCACTTGGGGCATTCCGGGCCGCAGGAATGTTCAAGTACGCATCCGACACCGAAGCGTACACCTGAACTTAGCTTCGCGCAGACCTTGAAGTCACGAGATTGCCTAGAGCTGTATGTGAAGAAGGGAGCGGCTGAGGCGGATGGCAGATGTACATTAGTGCCCCATGTGTCTTGGACACTAAAAGCAGTATGAGAGGTTTGAAAAGCGTACGTTTGAAAGGACAGGCACTAACTTAGGGATTATGATGAGCATCGAATTGCTGACCAGTTGCACCAGCTCCTGTTGCTCGTTGGGCTGCCCGATAAGCAGGCGAGGATTTCCTTGCCAACACAGCGCGAATCCAGCTCCAGTACCACCAAGCTCATGCGGGTCACGGGAGCCTAAGGAATAATATGAATGAGAAATGAAGTTTCGAGGAGCGAGCATGTACCTTTCATGTGAAAATGCACGTCATGTTGGAAAGATACGTCAATGCGCCAATGGAAGACCAGACGTAACTAGCGAAATGATATGATGCAGGTGAGATCAGTATGTTCATCATGGAAACCTGGTCGTGTACCTTGTCCCAAAACCCAATAGGTGGGGAGGGATCTCGTGGTGCATGCGATAACGTATCAATGACACGCATGAGATCTTGCGTCGCAGGGCCGTAACTTACTCCCCACGCGAAGTCGGTCGTGTTGTCCGTGAGTACACGCAATGTCGGTAAGGCATATGTCTTCACCGGCATGATCGTCTTCGGTACGTGGATGAACAACGGAGACGCTCCGTGAACACCGCTGTTCACCTCGACTATCTCGGAAGGGAACCATTCGACTGAGGCATCACTCCCCATTTCCTCCGCTATGACTAGATCGCTATCGAAGACTAACGCCGCTGAATCATCTGCGGTACAACGTGGGACGCACAACAACGGCAAAGGATACTCTCGATACGTGAAACGCAAGGAGGCGAGGGTGAAATTGATATGGAGGGGAATCAGCAGCGAGAACTGGGTATCCTTGGGAAGGCCATTGCCAACGTCATGCAGGAAGTGGGGCACTCTTTCCACGAGAGGTGCAGGAGCAGAGAGATTCAACGACAAACTATCAAGCACTAGACGGAACAGAGGAGGGTATGCTGTCGGCGGCTTCACGGTTACTAGGCTGTCAGATGCGTCGCCGTGAAAGCGTGCCCCTGCGGTTTGATGGAAATAGCGTCTCTCGCGAGCGATCTGCGATGCTCTTGCCTTCAAAAAAGCTGATCTCCACGCAACGGAGTGAACCTGGGACAATCGCTCTCGAGCATCGCGGATAGACACTGTATGCTTCGAGGTGAAGTGGAAATCTGAGTCGATACCGTGAGGTTTCGAGGTTGGTTGTGCAGTGTCTGTTTTGGAGATTGTGGCTACCTTCGCTTGGAAAGCTTCCTCGCGTTCCTGTCTAACGCGTGCTGCCTCGAAGCCAGTCCGCCATATAATCCCAAGCTTAGATTCCATCGCTTCCTCGGCTGCTTCCACAATCAGAGACCGGATTTTGCACGATATGTTCGGCGCAATCTTCGCCTCCTCAGGTTCGGGAGCAGGAGGCTCCTCGAATCGCCCCAGCGTGACCATGCGGGCGAGATGCTTCGCACTCTTGATAGTCAAGTTGATGCTTAAAATGAGATCCGCCAGAACGAAATCGAATGGAATACGAAGGAGACCAGAATCTCCCTCGACGAGAATGGTCAAGGGGTCCTCGAGTAATGGAACAGTAATGTGCCAATCAGATAGATGAGCGAGCTCTTCCCACTCTTCCTCATGAACGCCATCACGTGTGGTCTTCACCGCGACCGCCATGATGATGTTATCCCATTTCACGTTAACTCTGTTCTCCGGTCGGTTTTGGCAGCGAAGGTACGAAATCCTGATGAACACATTGGACGACATAGGAAGCTCGCACAGAAGCTGCACGTCCTTGACATCGCACTGCACATTTAATGACAATGTAGACGGCAGCGGCTCTTCCCTATAAGGCTTGACATGAGAGGGGAACAGGGATTTCAGTGTCCGTGCAGCAAGAAGGGCATGGTAGAGGTGGACAAGTCGCAAGGAACCTCGGATTTGAGTGACAGATACATTAACGAGTAAGTCGTCCTTGATTCCGGGGACATAAAAGGTGCTCTGGCGCGTGCCGCATAGAATCACGTCTATCTCTACGTCATTGATTCGTAGGAATTCGTTAGGAGGCGAATCAGCGCTTCCATCCTCTGCACTGTAGCTATCGTCGGCAGCAAACTGAGTTGCGACAGTATCTCGGACAACGGTCCGTCGCAGAGATAGTCCTACGAGCACGCGGTTATTGGGAGTGGCGGCAGGTACAGTGGTCCCAGAAACGGCCTTGAGGATAGCCTCCGTTGGCAATGACAACCGCAACCGCTTCTGCCCTCGAGGCAGAAGGTTGCTCATACGTTCAGTATGCCTGCCGTGAACGGCACAGTAACTTGCTGCAACGCATGTATGTAGCGCTATTCCGCGAGATATTCCCAGATCCTCATTAGGTGCCAAGTCCGGTGCGGTGACGAAGACGATCAATCGCCCTATAGCGATTGCGGCAGATACTCCGAAGGGGAGTTGGTCTAAGGCATAGCGGGGAGTTGAAGGGGTAGATGTCTTGACCGCTCGCTCGGAGAGATTGACAACCCTGGCTATGGCTTTGATCACGTCTGGCTGCCATAACTCGATGGACAACACATCCGATGAACACTGCACATCAGTGAAAAACGACAACAGATCTAGAGTGATCGAGGATCCGGCCGTATCTGCCATTTCGCCAATGGCACTCCCGTGTCCGAACAGCTCTACTGCGTCAAGGGATAGGATCCTGTCTCCTGGATAGGTCGTAAATTCCGGAGATTGCTCGATCGAGTGTCTTCCGTTCATGTTGGAGCCATAGCAGACGACCACAAATGTGCTGTGCAGAGTGCACGCGAAGTCAACATCCATTTGAACGGTGGTATGATCGTAGTTTGTAGATCCGATGTGACGGTCTGGTAAGGAACGATAATGTGAATGAGCGGACGCTACAATGCCATCTGTTCGTGCTTCCAAAGCGAAGGGCCCTTTGTCGCTGTAGGATGTCGGCGAAATTAGTCTGGCGACGATAGGGCCTACCTTGAACCCAAATACGATGCGCGGCACTGAAGATATGACAGTAGGTAGCGGCGGCTTATCCGCGTCTTGCCGCTGTGGTTTCTCTCTTGCCAGCAGCGCATGGAAGACCTCCAAGCGCTGAGTAATCTGCACATCACCGAGGTCCACATGTATCCCCAGCAGCTGAGAATTGGGATCGCCGCACAAGAAAGACGAGCAGCTCAGCCAAGGTGAGGGCCACTGCGAAACGAGGGTATTTAGTTGGATCGGACCCGCTGATATGACTCGAAGATGGTCGATGACCGCTCCGTATCCTGATTGATCCAATGAGAATAGGCTTGTGGAAATATCGGCGCGGTAGACATCTGCACTCGATCCGTCATTTGATACACTCTTTGAGCCAAGCCACGCGCGATGCACAGCATTGGTATCCGGATGGCTCAGCCCCGCGTTCAGATGTAAGTCCCGCAAGGTTGCTTCGAATGTCTGCGCCACGTCCTTTTCAAGGCGCGCAGGGCAATGTCTCAACGTCAGCGTAACTATACGGACATCCACGGATTTTAACGTGGACAAACGAAGCTGTGTTACTGTCAATAACAACACAAAGCGATAAACACGAAAGCGTACGTTGGTTGCTTGGTAACCAGTTCTATGAATTTGAGCTTCCTTACGCCCCCATCCAAGACGCATGGACGCCTACGTTACAGTCAGGAGTTTATCGCAATGAAAAAGTTACAGATACACATACGGAAGACAAAGCCTCCATGAACGGCGAGCCAGGGGACATCGGGGATGACCACGTGGACCGACGTTTGTTGAAAGCCGGCGGAGTAGCAGGAGTGATCACTACGGGGCTTTCACGGCTGCTATCTGACGAGACATGTCCAGCTTTGCTCAACTTGAGTATCTTCAATAACTGCTGCACTACATCCGTTTGAACCTGCACAGAATCTACTCCCAGAGATAACTCGACACTATGAGGCTCGATGGCTCGGTGTGGATCGATCCGAACGGAGGCAGTGAAATGAGTCTTAGGAACTTTGATGAATGACCTAAATACTGGTGTAGATGAGTATAGTTCAGTCGATCGAGATGAATATTAAACTCACGTGCAGGTTCCGGAGGTAGATCTTTGAGCAGGTCGGGAGGCACAGAACCTGTGATACACTTCACACGAAGCGAGACTGAGGCGGTCACCTGCGTAGCACCCCACGCTCTGTCCCATGTGCGGCGCAGGCTGTTCGTAAGCCTTGCATTCCAGTCAGCGACGCTGTTCAAACGTTTGTGTCGGCGGTGGTCAAAGCGAGCCGTACCGGCTGGGACGACCTCGCTCGCCAATGACAAGAGAGAGACCTTGGTGTGGAGTTTGGCTTGCTTTACCGCCAATTCTAAACCAGGCAATGCTGATAGTGTGACGACGGCTGAATCGAGCTCGAAGTCGACCACATGGGTTAGCGCAGGCAGCGCCCGGATGGCCAGTCTTAGAGCAGCGACGAGGAACGTGCGCAAAGCAGGCCGCAAGTATGGGTCCAAGAGGTTGTAAGCAGAATGTATTGTGGACCAAATCAATGCTCCGGAAAGGTGCATCATCGAGATCAACCGTGAAGGGGGCAAGTCCATACGTTTACGGCTCAACGATGGCCCCAGCGAGGTCTCCTTCTCTCCATGCGCGAGCTCCAGCTTCAATCCCTGCACGACTACTGAGAACCGGCTTGCCGTGGCGGGAGAACGACGATGGTAGGAGAGCCCTATCCGCTCGACTCTCCATGTTCCGCTCCCAGTCCGGAAGTAAACGCCTTTGATAGAGCGTAAACTGATGCTTTGTATTCTTAGCCGTTTCGAGACAATCCTGACGATTGAAGGACCGACGAGAGTCCTGAACAGGAGTGACAGTGACACGATTCGGACGGCCCATATTATGATTATCGCCCAGACAGAACTGCCCGCCGGCACATCAAGGAGCAGAGCACTCAAAAATGACAGCAGCATTTTCAAATGCAAGCAGCGCGCGAAACGAGACTGTAGAGCCTGGTGTCAAGTACTTTTCACGCCGATAGACCGCAGTCGGATGAACGCTGTCTGGCAGAACGCCTGGCGAGACTTGCCAGCACGGAGACAGGAAACGTGTAGTGTGAATATTAGGCTTAAGCGGAATAGACCTCGAGCATGGGGCGTTAATAGAGGGCTGTTGACGGAGACGGACTTTTGCGTGCATGCCACGGACACGGTCGACTTTGAAGCGCCGAATCCGAGCAGTGCCACATCCCAATTCTAATATGTAGATGATCGAGCGTCGGCATGGTTCTTCTTGACCTCTACCATCACAATGAACATTATCTTCGCGTAAATCTGCTATAAGTGAGCCTAGGCTAGCGATTCTATTTTGATGCCCATCAGCGTGCGTCGGCATGATCCTATTTCCAGGCCGACACAACTTTTGGCTCAGCCACGGGGTCGGACGTAGTAGCAGAATGCATCACATCCCTTCGGCGAAGACAGTGCTGGTCATTCATCGATGTCACCACGTAAGCATACATAGTAATCATGCTGGTGAAGAAATGGTCTTCTACAGACATACAATGACGACGGGAGATGCATCAGCCACTCAAGCCTTTGGCCTAGTCCTCAGAGTCCATGTCGAGCACACTTCGACCTCACGTGTTAGACTGGTCTCGCAGCAGCATGTATTGACTCACCATTCTTCCGACTCTCTTCGCGAAGGAGTATATGCCGAAAAGGCGAAGGAGTTGCCAATGAAGCTGCCGGGATTGAAAACATGACAGCCTTCGTATGTCATTTGGTAGCGATCATATTTGTCCGCTAGCACGACCTATATGACCGAGAAAGTCAGCGAGTATTTGAGTTTTCATTCGGTAGCAGACGCACCGCCGTAGGCAGTGGGTATAAGCGGAGTGCATGGTCAAAATCAGGCAGGACGGGTTGAATAGATGTGGTGAGGGGTATAAGATGGCTCTGATCAAGTATCGATTGAACCAGCTGCTCGCGTCGGTCTATATTAGCAGAACCTTAACAAGATCCGCATCGAGCTGCCTTACATATCGTTTAAGATCATCATTCCGAACGTCGGGCTTGATGCCTACGAGATTGCGCAGCATTTTTGCCATAAGATTTTCTCGAAATATGACAATCTCTTGTTCAAAGAACTTGATGCGACAAGGATTTGTGCTGAAGTGCACCTTTGGCACCCGAGACTTCAGGCGAGACACGAAAGAGGACAACAAGGGTCTTCGAGGGAGCACAGAATTCAGGGCGACGTCGAGAGGTCCCGGAACGAAGACGAAGTGTGTCGTCCGCGTAATGAGAGGATACGATGCAATTAAGTCGGCTAATGAGTCCAGGTTATCTGCCAACAGGTTGACTAAGTGAAGTTACCAATGGCTAAACAGGGAGACGACAACCTTGGAACTTCCTAACCTCGTAACTGTTACCCTGAGGAATGCCGCGACTGCTGAAATTGCCACACAGCACCATAACCTTCGGAATGAAGCTATTTTCCATGCAATTGTCAAACATCTTCCGTAGCCCCAGGAGTGTGGCGGAATGGTCGAGCCACACGTCTGACAGCACAAAGAATCGCAAGTCTGGTAGGTCAAGGCGAACACGAGCAGCCAGATTCGTCTGAATGATGGAGATCAGCAAGCGCTTCCTTATTACCTGCAGATTCTTACATCTTCCAGCAACGTTGTCGCGCCTTTTCCGAGAAAATCAACATGTCCAAAGATTGAACTAGAACGAACAAGGTTGCTTTTGATCGTTTTCATCTCGGAAGCCGCCATGTCTTACCGTGCAGCATCTCGACTCTCACATGGAGGATGGCCAATGGCTATGACAAGAAGCGTAGCGTCCTCTGTGTAGTCCCCTTCAATGAGTGCAAAGCAACCTTCTGTGAACAATCCTTCACTGGGTTGATCCTTCGATGACAGTCAGTAGGAGTTTTGGTCACGGTCGCATATGACACGTACTAATTGTGAAAATTCCAGCTCAACAGAGCCGTCTTGGTCCTCCAAACATAGCTTCCCTTCTTTATTACGCGCAAGCATCCCGAATAGCAAAAAACGGTCGCCAGCGCGACCAAGAAGTTGTTTGGTTGATTTCAACTAGAATCTCATGTCAATAGATCAAATGATACGGTATTGTTGGCAGTCACAGTGAGCAGCCTTTCTCTATCTTTCGAGGGCAGCGTGGATGGAGAGAAATGGTCGTTCCTGAGAATAGTCTGTCTGATGATGTTGAGTCTGTTACGCATAGCCATTATTCTGGAGTCCGCAGAACCAGAGACCGTGAGAGGTACAGTAGCCCTTCGATGAAATATTTATCAATATCAGCGACATGTGGCAGGACGGAGTCCATACCTCTCAAATGTGCTCCTCTCGTTCGACCAGTGCCATGACGGCATGTCAAAAGCGTCGATGACAAACAGGTGGCTCTCAGGGTCTATTAGATCCTGTACCATCGAGTCTGAGGTACTACCTGAGCCTTGGAATGTGTCATAGACTCTTTGCAGTACATCCAACGACACCTTCATTTGCGCGTCTACCCCCCACGTCAGCTTAGAACCATTGAGACACTGGCCGCGCACCATCCTGTTTGTTGTACTCTTTCGCTATCCATTCGATAGAAAACTCCACGTCCTCATCTGCAATTTCGTGTCGATCCAGAATTTCCTCGATAAACTCTAGCGCCTCGGGTCCCAGGGAATGGCCATACTTGCGAAATACCTGTCCAAGTCGCGCTAAACAATCTAATCCGAAGGATCGAGCACGTTCATCGTACCTTTATGACAATTCTCTGCCGCGTGTCTGCCATGGCGATGAAAAGTATTTGCCCGCGACTGGAGATTGTGGTGTGAGAAGGTGCAACGCGTCGCGACGCGCCGTTCCGATCGCGTTCTTCCAAATCAGGCACATTGTGGCACGCCACTTCTCTCTTCTCTCCTTCGTTGAGCTGTCGCTCGCTTCGCGAACATTCGCTCTGTATGATTTGAGGCATCCGCCATGTATTCCACTCTTGAGGTGGATATTCAGCCAGGCGTCGGCCTCGGAATGTTTCAGCTTGGTATGCCTCAGCAGCCCTCGCATCGCTGTCGACACTGAGCATAGGAGCCCGCATGTCAGGTTCCTCGCTGTGGAATGTAATAGACCTCTTGCGCAGAATGCAACATGCATTTCCCTTGGTTGATGTCAAGTTCGACCCAGACTTCCCCGTCGCACCTGTCATTCTCCACATTCGGCCCCACGTAGACTTGCTCTTCTCCGGCCGCCATCAACGATTGCACACGATCTGCGTGAGGAAGTTGCGAGATCTCAACCCGCCAGTGAGTCTGAAGTACAAGGAGATGACACTTTCATCCAGTGAAGAGGTGCTGCGACGTGTTGGCGTCAGTCGAACGTTTGGACCGACATACCCTGGTGACGATCTGCGTTATCCGGGAGTCTTGTTCAGCTTTGAAGAGGATGGCAGAGCCGAAGGCCTCAAGGTTTCACCTGCCCAACCAAGTGATAGGATGCAGGAAGTGAAGAGAGTCATCATCACCCAGAAGAGCATAGCTGGTGAGGTCAGAGATGCCCTCGATGAAGTGGTCGAATGTACGGCGATGAATGGTGAAGTGCGTCAGGCTGTCATCAAGGTTTGTCTTCTTCTTTTTGTCAGCAAATGATCTTTTGCCTGAACATGGCTCTCTCTGAGGTGCACGAAGGCGTAGACTTATACTTCCACCCTGTGGATGCGAATTACGTGCGAATACGTATAGGTGTCAGCACTGCACAAGATTTATCATGCGACTTAGGCCCTCCTCTCCGTGTCCACTACAAGGAAGATGACAGGATGACCATCCACTCGAGAAAAGCCGGCGTCGATGATGATGCAGACACAGACTGTACGTTTCTCGTCTACCGGCAAAATGTGGATTGACACCGGAGCAGACTTCTATAATTATCTTCAACACGGCATCGATTTTCTCATCTCTGGTACAACACATGTTGTGAAGAAGATAGTGGCTCATACCAACGTGGTAGGCATCCTGGGCTAAGCGCGAGATGGCATGGGCTGACTGTTCACATTAGCCAGGGAGTCCACTCTTTCAACGATACAAGCGTTGTCCTTGGGAAATCGAGGGTAAACCTGAAGATGACGAGGACGGTATGTAGGTCAAATCTGTCGTACGATCTTGTGCTGCATGCAACCGCGTAGAGACACCGCCCCGTGTCAAGTTCCACGATCGAGTAAGTCGTACAGGATATTTGTCATTTGCAAAGGCTCACTCGATCGTTTCAGGTGGAAGAAATCAGTCATTTTCTAAGCCAAGGGGAACCACCGTCTTCTATGCTACTAGACCGGACGGACGAAGAGGATAATCTTACGTTGCCGAGCTCAAAGACGCGTACGTGAACAATAAATTTTAACCCCCCCCACAGCCTGTCGACTGACAGCATATCGGTAGGATTGCTTGGTTTTGATGGGATCATCCTCGAAGCTACGGAATCTGGTCATGTAGTGTCCGTGACTTTATTCTAGTAGACAATGTATCAACCCGACATTCCATTGTAATATTTGCATGCTGCAGAAATTGGTATAGTGCAGCTGTAAGGGTGATATTGGACGAAAGTGGTGAGAAATAACAGGTCGTTTACGAAGTCAATTGGCCGAGGGTTTGAATAAGTCCGCCCAGATCGTCCTCAGTTCCTCTAAGTCGGAAATGACGACGAGATCACTGTCGTTCGTGCCAGATGATGTATCCTTTCCAATCTCTTTCGGTTTCCCGCCCTCAACCGTGGTGAGGCCTTGCTCGCAGAAATGGACACACCTACCCCAGCCAAGCTGCCTCGCAGCGTGTACATTCATCCTGCTGTCGTCAACAAAACAACATTTCGACGGGTCCTGTACCTGGGCCTGCTGGAGAGCCTGGTACCGCGGTCAACAAATCCAAACGAGTTATGACGGACATATAGCCTACATTGTGGAAGTATTCAGGTTCTGGCTTGCAGGAAAACTCCGGGTTGGCGTAATCGCAGTAGACAAGGCCTTCTATCTGATCTTCTACGCCAAGAATGCGCAATACTCGTTGCGCGTGCTTGGGTGATAGCTGGATGAGAGAGAACAGGACAGCGTTAGAACATGTGCTGACGCACTGTCTTGTAAGCATTGGTTAAGGCCCACACGCGAGCCTTGCTGCGATCAATGTCTTCGAGGAGCTTGTGAAGCTTAGGATCACGCTGAAGCATATCCTCCAGGGGGAGGGATCCATCACACTTGCGATCGAAGTCCAACGGATCTGAGCGACACAGTTCCGTGAGTCCCGCCAGCGAGAGCAGGTCTTCTAATTGATGATCAGCCTCACCAATCTCATGATGCCGGACAAGACCACGCAGGGCAAGACCGTACTGTGTATAATACTTGTGGTGCAATTCAGACGCCTCCTCATCAGGGAACCCGAGGGACAAGAAGTAGGCTAGCAAGACCGCATGAGCATCATGAGACGGTCGCTTGGAAGTATCAAAGAGAACCATGTATGCGTTCGCCCATGGCATGGGAGATACGTGCGCTTGCAGAATACAGAGTGTTGTCGATGTCCAGCCATATAATGTAACGATCATCGTCTGCCAGTGAATAAACAGGTCGCTCGTAGTCAGCTCAATCGTGAAGCGAGACTAGGAGCATCAATCCTGACTTGAATTATCCTGTAAAGACCCCATCGCTGCAAAAGCTTAGCCTAGTGGAAGTTTAGTGCGCGGTTAAGCGCTTGTACCTCCGTGGTCAATTTAGGTAACGCTACGGCTGCTGACTAAGCAAACCGCAAGATACGCCCGTTGTCCATAGGGCCGTCAACACAGTCCCGCAATCCTCAAGACCCGACTCAGTGAGCATGCATTCTTCTTTCTGGAGGTGAAGGCCATGCACGGAGGGCTGTCGTTGTATCGCGGCGGTCGAATGACGCGGGTGGAGGGTGGATGCGGATGTGTCGATCTGGATGAACACGGCCTTCGCAGTGAGCCTCGCGTTTGTTAACTGTACTGACCCATTCTCTTGCACAGATGGCCCGCAGCAAGGAACTCGTCCCCGGCATCGGACGGCTTTCCCGACACCAAGTCTTCGAGCGCCGCGGCCTCTACAAGGGCCTTAAAAAGTCGGAGAAGCAGGCAGCACCGGAGGCTGCAACGACCAAGGAGGTCACGGTCGGCGGCGAGAAGAACGGTGAAAAGCGCGTCGTGCCTGCCGCCAAGGCTCCCCGGTTCTACCCAGCGGAGGATGTCCGTCAGCCGAAGAAAAGTCGCAAGTCGCCGAAGCCCACGAAGCTTCGTTCCTCCATCACTCCTGGCACAGTCCTCATTTTGTTGGCGGGTCGCTTCCGGGGAAAGCGAGTGGTGTTCTTGAAGCAATTGTCGAGCGGATTGCTGTTGGTGACGGGACCGTATAAGATCAACGGTGTCCCCGTTCGCCGAGTGAATCAGGCGTACGTCATTGCAACATCGACTAAGCTCGACCTCGGCGACTTCAAGGTCTGTAATTGCGCTCAATCAATGAAAGTCTTTATTTTTCATCGTAGATTGCATGTTTAGGCCGATGAGAAGATTAACGACGCATACTTCGCCAAGCCTTCTACCAAGGGCCCCCGTTCAGCAGAAGCCGAGTTCTTCTCTGAGGGTAAGCCTAAGGAGAAGGAGGCTTTCCCGGAGTCGAGGTCAAACGATCAAAAGGCGGTTGACTCTGCTGTCATTGCCGCTATCAAGAAGACCGACAGCATAAGCAAATATCTCAAGGCGAGTTGGGGTCTGTCCAAGGGTCAGTTCCCCCACCAGTTGGTCTTCTGAGGTCGCCTTGTTGGAGGTAGCTAGGTGTGAATCGCAGGCCGCAGACTTGTCGCAGTCGCATTCGCTATGATTACGATATGCCGTGTAGCTTTATATGACTTCTTTTCCTCGCTACAGATCGCGAGGTTACGCCTCGGACAGTCATCCTACCGGTGTTACGCGATGTACGTGCAGTACGAGTACTTGCGGATGCGCAGACGTTGTGCATCACTCTTCCTTAGTGCATCCCGTTAGTAGTCCTAGATTCATGAGCATAACATCCGCTCTGGAATTATTTGCTGGGATTGATTGCGAGGTTGCGCTTTTTTTGCGGTCAATGCAATGCGATCGAGCTTGCTCATTGCAGGCAGGAGGTCCAATCAAATGAAGCGCGCGACCTTGAACTTTGCCTGATGTTGTCGCTCAGGTCTGCCCGGTTGGCTCCAATCTCCCATGTGGGCCGTGCTCGGAAGCCTTTGTTTCGAACTCGTCGAACACTAGTTCATTCAGCAGTGCAAGAACTCACAAATGGCTTTCTGGACTTGGCTATTGCTCTTCCAATACCTCCCAGTCTCCCACCATATTCGACTACCGTCATACTCTTGACAGTAGCGTCTCGACTCGTCATAACTGTCCCATTCTCAGTTTGGGTCAGTGGGACAGTCAATAATGGTATTCGTCGTGTTCAATTGGATTGACAGGCAAAAGATCGCCAATGGAGAGCAGAGAATATCGTTGTACCGCAACTCAAGCGCGAGATGCAAGAGGTACATAAACAAATTCTTCAAGACATGAAAGTAGAGGGCTTCCAAGGAGATAAGGATGCAGCACTAGCTGAGGTCAAGAAAAGATTGGACGTCGCGGTACTGCAGTGTCCCTCGGTGTTCATTTAGTTGACATTGATGGATTAGTCCACAGAGCAAAAGCCGCAAGGGTGAACTGCTGAAAATCCATCATTGCACGCCTCTTCCGACGATGATCATTCCTCCATTGACCCAGCTGCCAATGTTCGTTTGCTTCAGCATGGTTTTGAACAACGCCTGCCAACCGCCGACTGTCCTCGACTCGGAGTCATTTTTTACCTTAACCTCTTTGGCTCATCCTGACCCCACTGCCGCTCTACCAATCATGATTGGACTCATCACCTTAGCAAATGTTGAGACGGCGCGCTGGTTCGTCGGGGCCGCGGCACTGCAAAGGGAAAGGCAGGTTGCGCGATGGGTCGAGCAACGGCGAGCCAAAGGCGAGGCTGTCGTGGAGCCCAGAAAAGTTGTTCAATCTGTCCTGAGATTGGCTTCCGTTTTCCGAATTCTTTTTGCAACGATGCTGCCAGGGGTGAGGCGTATTAAGCCATTTAGCATTCTCGTCAGCTGACTCTCTTTGCGTAGAGCGTTGAGATATACTGGGCTGCATCTGCTGCATTCGGGCTGGTGCAATCTTGGGTCCTTGAATGGTGGCACGCTCGCAGAACACATGTTTATCAACGATCGTCGGCTCCACTGACTTGGACCCACCGTGGACGGTAGTGAATGCGATAAGAGCCTCCTTCACTCGAATCCGTGTAGCGTGAAATACCGGTACGTTTCGACGTTTTCGTACGGGGTCTCGTATGACTACAAATGTGGTGTGAGGGAACCAGCCCTGTAATTTCTAGAGGGTGTTGGAGGCCCGTTGATGTCCTCTTGATCTAATATGACGAGTCTTCCAACAGTCTTACCCTTGTCGCCCTGTTTACAATCATTTAACTCATATAAAGCCATAGGTTGTATACAGTGATGCATGGAAGATATCCTTCAGCTCATCGCCAATCCATTATTATGCGGTCTCGAAGGGTATACAATGCAAGAAAGTGTGTCGAACACTACACGTTTGCTCTACACCGCAATTAAATACGCACTTATATATGCGGCAGAGCGCACTCTAAACGCTCTTTCCAGGACGCCCATCCCTCCTTTCTACATAGCGCCCAATCCCCAGATGCCAGGTAATCCTCGGAATCATTAGACTGAATCCCGTTACAATCGTGATCCATAGGACACCACCCCAACTCGCTATGTCCCAACGGCTATCTCCCAACGCCCACAAGGTGATTCCGATGTGCAGGAAGTCTCCTAACAGGAGTGGCTTTAGCAGCGCGCCGACGATCTTTTCTTGCAACGCTGGTTGAGAAGCGAGGTATTTACGGCATGCGGAAAGAACGAAGAAGTTGAGCAGGCCAAGAAGGCCTGCAACATGGCCTAGCTGCAGGATGGTAACGCGCGTCGCCAGCGGCATCGCATCTGGTGGTCCGCCTGCGGGCCATGGTGCTTGCTGGTCATAAGTCTGCAGTACGCGTCAGCGCGCGCTCTCGCGATACGAGGATCATGCTCACCCGCTTCGGATCGAACACCGCTCCCATGAATCCCAGCGATGTGAGCAAAGGCTCGTAGACGCCAAATACGAGCCAGTAGAACGTTGGCAGGGCAGTCGAGGGAGTCGACATGGTAGCTCGCGGTCGACTCGCGACGTAACGATGTTAAGGGGTTCGACCGGCGGATGAGGTTAACCTATGCGACTGCGCTCGAGGCTGCAACGTCGTTCTCACAACGCGTTCTTGAGTCACTCAGGGAGAATATGCGGTGCAATGTTGGCGTAGTCATGTAAGCGGTTGCATTACGAAGGCATCTCAAATGGGATTCCCATCAGCACCAATCAGCTACCAAATCACACTGCATTGCCTGCCCTGAATGGCTGAGTATATGAGTGGGAGAGCGCCTGCAAAGTTTTTCTCATCTTACATGTCGGTCCCTTTCTTACCCAGGCAATCAACTCTTTCACCACCGTTGCATTGCTAAATGGCAGGACCAAGAAGGACAAGAAGGGTCTAATGCTGGGTTTCTGTCCATAATAGGTAGTGGGACCCGCGCTTCGCTCCTTCTGACATACATGCAGCTCTCTTTGTACAATTGTTCTTACACATCCTGCATCTAAATATACTATCATCTTGCCTCGGCATAGGTTCTCTGGCATATACGCGTGCTGCTGGGCGGTTCAGCGCCGAACTTCACGGGGAAGTCAGGATCGGACGTTTATGAGACCCGACGTTGTGCGTCGACCACAATCAAATGGATGCACTTTTCTCACGGGCCTCACGACGTCGCTATGTCTCCTTGATGGGATGTAACAAAGGTATCTACGTATTTATGCGAAAGCATGGTATGCAGCCGGTGCCGGCCTGATGTCTCGAGTTATTGACAGAAATCATTTGCTGAGACCATCGCGTGCGTCGTCATAGAACCCGCGAGCTTGAAGATACCCTTCGTGTTCTCCGCGGTGCGATCGGACGGTGGAATCCACCGAGTGTCGCCAAATAGGCAGCCCAATCTGTCATATATGTCAGAACTGTCCACGGAGGGCAAGCAATTGGCACATGCATATCCGATGAGGCCATAGATGATGTCCGTGAACATGTTATTTCGCGGCGACGAACCGGCGGTGGATGCACGGAAAATGTGCCCAATGGGATCATATGTGATATGGAAGTCGCCGTTCTGCACACCTATAGTCGTGTCGCGAATGAGAACTGCTGTCCGAGAGAGTCCCAGAGCTCATTGGATACCTTTGAACAGGGCTTCCGCGACAACCTGCGGTGTTTCTCCTCCATCTGTTTCCTCGATTTTCAACGTGACCTTTGGCTTCACCCTGTTTTCTTCCTCGTAACCTGGCGAGAAGATGGTTCCAGGGAAACAGATGTGTACATCAATGTCATACAACATCAGTTCTGACTGCAAGGCCTCCGCTAAACCTACAGCAAGTGTGAATACTACCACGGGCTCGATGGCTCGGATGCTCACCTCGTATTGCGAACTTGCCGGGCGAATAGGTAGAATACCCGACAATAGAGAAGTAGCCCAAAACGGAAGAAACGAAGACGATTTTCCCTCTCTCTCGTCGGCGGACCATCCTCTTCGCGCCAGTCTATCTCCGTAGTTCACGCGAATGCAGCATAAACATTCCCCAGACCACTCACCAACGCAGAGAAGGCTTGCGTCCAGAATGTCTCTTCCATACCCGCACGCATTGCCGCCTCGTCTTGCTCAACGAAGAAACCAGGCGTAGACTTCCCCGCGCAGAGGAATAGTACGTCGGGAGAACTACCACCGTGCGGCTCGCACGCAGCCTCCAGTGCTGCCTGTGCATCAGCCTCCTTGTTCACATGGAAGGAGTAGGCTTTGAGCAGCTGTTCGGATGTCTGACGAACAGCCTGCAGTCGTTCCGTTATCGCACCTTTGCACTCCCTGCAGTGTTTGGCACGCACCTCCAAGTCTTCCAATGCCTTCTTGAGGCGGGTCTCGTTACGGGCCACAATGGAGACATGAGCTCCCTTCTTAGTCAATAGAATAGCCAGGGCAAGGCCCAAACCAGACGAGCCACCAGTGATATAGCAGTGCTAACAAAGCAGTTTAGAAGAGATACATCAGTGAAAAGACTTGAACGCAACTCGACCTCGAGAATCCCACTTGCTTCTGAAAAACATAGCTCGATTCACGGGTTAAAAAACTCTGAATGAAACAATCGCCCTCGATGGCGATGCACGGTCGTGAAGCGCTCATTGATCCGTACGTAAAATCACGTAAGCGCCTGCTTAAGCTTTCGCTGCCATTCTGACGCTGATGGTCCGTGCACGATACCTCCCCCCTGCATCTCCACCGTGGGCTGACGGCCACGCTCGCCATGTCATACTCATACGACGGCAATGAATCGCACGAGCACCACGAACAGGATGTGCCTCTACCAGATTTTCCGCCAGGGACCGCCGAGTCACCGCTCTCAGAGACATTCCTGCACGACCTCGGTATACACAAGACGCCCTCACGTACCAGCGGGCAGTTTGGTCATGACCTCTATCGCATGCAGAGCATGGTGGGCTCTGCCCTTGCTCGCCATGAAACCATATCCGATGCTGCATCGCTCGCAACCATCGATCGGCCCCCCAGTCTGGTGGAGAGGCTACCGCCATCCAAGATTTACCACCCTTATTCGCCTCCTGTACTTGCGCTCTTGATGCCCGCTTCTGTCTTTGGATGTCTGGCGAGATTGGGTCTCGAGGCACTGGTGGATTATGATGGAAAGAGCATCTTCCCATTAGCCTGGGTGCAAGTGGGTGGATGTCTTGTGATAGGGTTTGGTCTGGGTTTACGGGACCCCTTCGGTAGATTGTAGGTCGCCAGCAAGGCTTGTCTGTCTGCTCTCTGACGACAGCTAAATAGTTATGCTCCATTGTACACCGCCTTGACAACAGGTACCATATCGTGGTATAAATGTATGCATCATTATCTGACAACCTCGCAGGTTTCTGTGGATCGTTTACCACATTCTCGACATGGCAGCTGCAGGTTTTCAAAGCATGGATCAACGCCGGCCACTATCACCGCGACTGGTTGCGAGATGTGAGTTTACCAGACAGATCATTCAACTGAGACTGATACGCCCTTCGCAGGTGATTGATGGTCTGACCCAGCTGATCTTCACACTCGCCTTGTCGCTCATCTCCGTAGAGTTTGGCGCACACTTAGCATCTATCATCTCGCCCGTGTTCCCAGCGTTGCCCACGCCAAACCGCTTCATCCGCTACAGCCTCACGGTGCTCTCAGTGTTCATCTACTTTGCCACGTATCCAGCCTACTTCCGGATGCCGATGAGCTTCCGCCACCAAGCCACCTCTGCGTTGCTGTACTCCTTCCCTGGGACCTTGACACGCTACCTGCTGTCAATCGAGCTCAATCCCCGCTTCCATCTCTTCCCTGTTGGCACATTCGCGGCCAACATCCTCGGCGTAGCCTTAATCGCAATGTTCACGGTCCTGCAGAGTACCCGTGGGCCGCCGTCTCCGAATGCTTGCGACGTACTCGTCGGCCTTGTCAACGGGTATTGCGGCTGCCTGACTACGGTCAGTACTTTTGCGGCGGAGGTGGCTGCGTTGGAGAATAAGAAATCATGGTTCTACATCATGCTCAGCGTTGTTACATCACAGTGCGTGCTGCTTCTGATTCTGGGTCCTTCGTACTGGGCGGGGAATGTGAGCAATGAGATCACTTGCGTCTACTCATAGTGTTACATATTGGTTCAGACTGTTTGGGTGTCGAACGCTGGATTTTGTGTGATATATTAATGGCTCAATAGTTATGCAGCGCTTCTTCGACGTTTCAACGTTCAACTGCCAAGATGCTCCCTTTGAGTTGTCGGTTTAAACAGGGAATGGCCACAAAGCTCGTCCCGCATGGGGTAAAGATACACTCCAATGAAACGCGTCACGACGCCACCCGTTCCATGCACGCTCCGGCGATCGTCCTCTTGAGTCATTTGTGCGCCTTGGCACCAATGGCCCGGCAACGCATTACTTCCGTATGCTACACAAACTCCGTTCAACAGCCACACAAGCAATCCGAGTGAAACAACAGCCCGTCCCACAGACCCCCTGCGAGTCAGAGCAACGTGCGTGCGCACACGTCCGCGCAGCGCCACAGAAACCAAAGTAACCTATCTGAGCCACGAACATACGATGCGGAGCAATAGGAAAGGAGGGGAACGAATAAATAGAGCAGTGCGAGGAACGGGACTATGGTATGCATGCGAGATGCGGGGCGTGCACAGGTGTATCGTATATAGGACATGGGTCATGATGACGGGCAGCTCCGCTTTCGTCGGGACCGGCGGCCGATATCGAGACGAAGTGGCGCGGGAGCGTATGAGTGGATCCGGATGCATTGTAAGTGAGTTCTATGTGGAGAGCAGGCACAACCGTGTCGTCAAAGGTGATGCCCTACCGGCACGCACGTTGTCGTGCGCGGGCTGGGTCGTGTCAGATCCATGCAGCGTCGTAATAATAAGTCATGATAGGTGATGCGAGGGGAGGACTTGAAATCCCGTGGTATCTGAGAGGCGCAGGAGCCCACTCCTGTTCCGAGAGAATCCCTCACAACGGGAGGTTCTGGTTCTTCTCCCGGACGAGCGTTGCCAGCTCGTACTTGAACGCTTCTCGTGCGCGTGACCGCGACGGCATGCGTATTCTGCTCTGCCACTCTTTAATCCAGGCCCAACGCGGAATTCGCTCATCCGACAAGCTTGTTTGTTGTTGTGACGACGCTACTGATGAATTGATCCACTGACGCAGATGATTCCGTCCCAGTATGGGCGCGAGGGAGAGGATGGAGAGGAACGCGAGCTTGAGCAAAATTTGCGGCGACGTAAGAAGTGAGCGGACACTCTGTTGTGTCGGGGACGGATTTGACGCGACGGTTTGCAGAATGTCACCTATCTGACATGTTACTGCTGTCCATGGTAACGACCCGAGGAACGCTCCTAAAAGACAGTCCCAGATCGCAACGCCGCACACACCGCAAGCGATGTTGATGCCGGACCACGGTACTACTCCAATGAGCCGTAGTATCGATAGGCGTACCCAGGCCTGCTTGTGCTTGGTGGTAGAAGGATCATCCGTACTGGAATCGCCCTCGAGTGCTGATCGGGTAAGTTCTAGCGCACGCGGGAACAGCTGTGAAAGAATGGGAGCTATTGGCGTGGCAAGAAGTGTGGCGCATATGGATCCGATGGTTGTGAGCATCGTGAACAGTATTGTAGCATATGCAGGAGAAATAAGTGCGCCCGCCAGCACATTCTGCATGAACGGTCGTTACAGAGCTTTTCCTTGTGATATGATGCGTACGTACCCAGATGACACTGCCTGGTATTGACCAAGCGTGCTTCCACGTTGCCGTAATTGAGATGACGCCTAGCACATGCGCCATGGCACCAGGTCCAGTCTGGGTGTAACCCTGCAATTCCCGACCCATCTCAGCGAGGTCTGTCAGATTACGCGGCCATTGCATGGTGATGGGAAGCGTCGACATGCATAGCACCACTATCGCAGTCGACAAGGGAAAGAGTATGAGCACGAACAACACGGGAGTGTGGATCTGTAAGAGAGGACAGGGGTGAGGTAGGGCGCCGATCAGGACCGACGTCACGTACTGATAGTAGTCCGCGCAACAGCCGCCGACGCGACAGTGCCGAGGGCTTCTCTGGGAAGACATCGGCGAAGGTTGTCCGCGTCGGCGATGCGGAAAGCGGCAAGATCGTCGAGTCTGTACTGGTGCGACTGAGGAGTGGTGAGGACGGCGAAGAGAGGTCGTCGTGTCTTTGTATGATGTGGAGGCAGCGTGATAGGGCAGATACGAAGCGGCTCTGCACGACAGCCTGTGTAGGTAGTTCAGACATGACGAGGGGGCACAAGACCTCTTGAAGGGGGGGAGTTTGGGGCGGTGTGTCGATGGGAGAGGCGACGGGCGAGGGTAAGACCAGCAGAGAGTTGGACCTGCGGCGCGAACCCAGAGAGCTTAGCGTCAAGGGCGGGCGGACATTTGTCGAGCTAGCACGATGACGGTTGGGAGGAGGAGGGAGAGCGAGGGAAGCCATCAACCAGGATGTGCAAACGAGAGAACTGATGAAGAGGGCGGCTGGGCGGAGGCACACGTCCCTGGGCTCTCTTTTACGTAACAGCCCTTATGCGATCCTCGGTCCACGGGTAGCCAATCGCTCTTCGGTCCCGGCTCCTCGACGACCGCCTCATCCCTCGTGCTCCCCATCCCATCCCAGCCGCGATACGTTACATGACAAAGACCTTACCGTCGGGATCGCACACTGTCAACATCAGCATGACCAACGCCTTGATCCTTCCTCGGCGCACATAGGATCTTCCGCCTCGGCATCTCCATTCAATGATCGTCCTTCCTCCCGTGATACAAAGCACCATAGCAACACCCAAACAGTATACTAAGCGGCGCTCGCAATGCCGAAATCGGGTTTCCTGTCTCGGAGAGCATGCATATGGCATCGGACTAGTGAATAAACGCATAGAGTTACAACGGATGGCGTAGCAGCATGACGGAGACCGATCCCAGCCCTTTCGGGCAGGAAAGAGAATGAAAGCATCCAACAGTGCCCTCCCCCCTTTAGTGTCCAACCCTCCTGCTTTCCTGGATGATCGTGCCGAGCTCTTCCAGCTTGCGCTTCGAGCGCAGCAGCGTACCGAGCTTCGAGCGTACAGACTGGTCAGCACAAATGCGCATTTCAGACGCAGATCGTGGTCACATACCCGCTTTTTTGTCAGCTTCTTCGCCTTCTTGTCCTAATGTTGACGCATGGGTCAGAAAGAGCCAGCGTATGGGTCGTTCGCACGCACCTTAGAGTTCCTCAACAACTCCATAACCCGACGCTCATATGGGGAGAAGCCCGCCACCTCCCTCACGACAGAGCGGACAAACTTCGTCCGGGCAGACTGGATTCCCTTGCGCTGGCTGGGACGGACAGCCTTCGGGATGGGGGTCGTGGGGTGGCCCTTGTTCAAGCCGTAGCGGAGGTCTACATGCACAATGCACCGTCAAAGTAGATAGCTTTGTTCGTCAATTCTCCCTCTCTCTGATCAAACAGCATACGCACTGGAGCGGGCCATTATTCTTGATGTCTTGAGGAAGCTTAGCGAGCGTCGCCGTGAGCAGAACAGACCGGTGAGATAGAATTGTCGCCACGTGACAGGTATCTGGTGGCTGCTGGTCCTGTACAGTTTAGTCTAGGATATGACGTAACCTTCCCATTGCCAAACTAAGGCTGTGGAGCAGACCGGGTCCTGGTCCCGGGAAGGATATGGTCTAATGCGATTAATGCGCGTCTGTGAATGTAGGTACCAGCACAGGGCCACAGTTGCACGGGTACAGGAGGGCTTCCGCATTCTCACCAAGAATGCAGTTCACAAAGATGTATTACGAGGGCAATTGTCTAGAAAACTTGGGTCGTCTCCCCCGGTGTCGCGTTCCACTGCTTCACCACCCGGACCTTCGAGCCAGAGCCAGCAATTTGCTCCAGCAGCGCTCTGTTGATGACGCCAGGCCCTGACACATCCCGAAGTGGTTGCGCGGACACATTCGTTGTTGATTGTGGAGACCCACGCGGCGGTGTGGGTGACTGGACTGCAAGATCTGATCCAGCGTCCATCACTCTCCTGCTCCTCATATCCGGAGACGGTGCCTCCTCTTCCTCCTCTTCCTCGTCGTCATCATCTTCGCCTTCCACAGCATCCTACAGGGCTAAATGAGATATTGCCAATGTACATAATTGCCGACTCACCGGATCAAAGTCCTCCATCGGTCTGTCCTCGTCGACATCATCTTCCTCCTCATCTGCATAGTCATCGTCATCGTCGATGAACCTTCCCCTCCAGTCGACCTCATCTAGCTCATCCGGACTCCATGGCCGGAGTCGCATCCATTGCATGCGTGGTCCGCTCATCGCGCGGTCGCTTACCTTGAAGCCGTATATCTTTGGAACATATATCCTTCCGGCGGCCTTCTTCTGCCCTCCATGAGGATTCGGGTTCACAAAAGGTTGTGACTCGACTGGAGAGCCAGCCGATGCAGAAGAGTGCGGGGATCCAGAGGAACTTGTTGAGGATGGGGGTTTCCAGAACGGTGCGGGGGCGAGCTCTCGGTAGCTCTGGAAAAAGAGATGCGCGAATGTCGTCCCGAAAAATGCGCCTGGACAATGCGATAAAGCTCTTGATGTAGTATCACTCATAAGAAACCTACCATCGACGCCCTGAAAACGGCTGCTTGGCGGGGTATATATGTCGTTACAGTTCGGGCAAAACAGTTTCACGGTGTCGAGTCCAGGGTGGTCGGAGCGTCCACAGGGGACGACGCTTGTTCCATTGCAGTACACGCGTGGGCATGATCCGAATATGCCTGCCTCGTACTTGTCGACCTAAGTTACATCACATGTTAAGGAGGGGCGCTGGCAACTTGCAACGCAGCATCCGTACCATCGCTTGCAATCCCGCGCGTGTGAGGATATATCGCTGGTGTACAAGTCCGTAGAGTAGTTCTGCTGATGCCTCAACTATGGAGACATCAGGGATTTTTGATGCATCCTCGTCTGTCGCATAATTTGTTAAAGAGGGAGCATTCAACGTGCATGGAGTCATAACGTGTACCTGGTTCGACATCAAGAACCATTTCCATCGCCTCCTTCCAAAATGGAACCATGGCATTGAGGCCAGTCAAATTGAAGTCGTCTTCTATGAAGTCTTCCGCCACTTCACAGAAGTACTCATGTCCTGGCAGTGAGCAGAACCAGCTGATCCACGTTAGTGTGGACGTCGGGGTGGAAGAGCCTGCATAATTTTCATCGGTAGTGAGGTTCGATCATAGCAAATTAGACACGCTCGTCAAGGATCAAATCTTGGCTGGCGTACTGTATCCCTCCTCCTGTTCCTCCGCATCCTCCATCACCTCGTCTCCTGCGGCGCCGCTAATGACATCGTCCTCTTCGTATTCGGCCTCCGCAGGGGGGTCAGCGGGCGGCTGAGACGACCCATGCATGATTGCCCAGTGCTATGAGACAACAGATGGAAGGGATGGGCGCGTTTCCACCCTGAGTCTCAGACGAGGCTGAGTGGCTGGGTTGAAGGTGGTCGCCACGAGGCACGAAGCTAGCTCCAAATCGGGTATGAGATCTGATCACTGTGCCATTTCCTAGATAGGAAGGTCCTGTGTTCTAGCGCAGTGGAGGCTCTCGCCTGATGTGCAATGTTTACTACACCAACATGTGCTAAGAGCCGAAATGCGCTACTGGATTTTACTAGGATTCACTATACCTACTCTTGAGTCCTGTCGTTGAGCTTCCAAAAGTTAAACCCGGGAATGACTGTGAGAATGTCCTATGGCTTACTGAGCACGTGATCGCGTCTTCGACTCCAGGCGTGCGTTCGTCCGACTTCCTTGCATCCGTATCTTGCCTACGTCTCCGATTCTTGTACGAACCAGCTGCATTCGGATTCCCACGATACTTTACTCACTTTTGTACAATGTTCTCCTTGAGGTCCTCGGGTGCCCGCAGACAGATTGACCGCAAGCCAAACGAGGCCACCTCTAGAGCCTCGCCATCCTCTCCCTTTCTCCGTAGTGCCACACCTGGCTTCGACGCGAATGAATCAGTAGACGTCGATTCCTCGTTCTCCAGATCAGCACAGCGCACTCGACGTGAAGATGCACCCAGAAGCAGGCTCATCTTTGGCGCCAGATTCTCTTCTCCCAGGCAAGGCGATTCATCACCCAGTAGGGTCGTCCTGCAGCGGAGCAGATCCATAGTTCAGGATTCGGGGTCCGGAATTGTAGACAACTCCATCGCCTCCAACATCGCTCCGGACGACTTCGCGCCCCCACCACTGCCCTTTCAACACCCAAATCGCCCACCGATAGAGCAACCGACGAATTTTCAGCGTGCAAAGAACAAGTCGTTTAACAATGCTAATAATCGGCTTGAACTAGGTTGGCTTCAGCTCGTCAATGCTCTGCTGTAGGTCTACTGACCTTCACCAGTCAGAGGGAGTGAGGGCACGGTTTCCCCAAATCCAGGACTCTCGCACGAGGGGAGAAGCATGGATGCACCGCGCATACCTCACGACGGGTCTGTTGGTTACGACACACCGAATCCGTCCCAGTTCATGCCACCCCCGTATTCCAGAAGCGTATCGGTGACGAGCACGACACTCGCGCGGCAGGACGAAGATATCTCCTCCATCATGATGCGAGGGGCGACAGACCTTCGGAATGCAAGGTTCGAAGCGGAAGAACAAGTACGATATCGAGTATATGCGCATGCGTTTATAGCTAAGCAACGGTTCGTAGCGGCGGGAAATTTCTTTCTTGCACAGCCAACTAGAAACTTTGAAAGAGGAGAAAGAGGAAGCACTGAAGCGGCTCAAGGCAGTCAAGGATGCTGCCAAAAAGGGCTTGCAAACTAGTTCCGATAGGTAAAGATCATCTTTTGCCTCATCTCATCTAAGTTAACTAGCATATATGCGCAGTTTGAGCGGCATGGAGCGTGTACTGAACGAATTGAAGATACAATCTCAAACGACATTTGAGACAATCGGACAGGCACGGAACTCGCTGCCCGATATCCAAGAGCTCCGAACGATAGCCTCGGGTGTAATGAAGAGTACGTACTTAGTACCTCAGATGAGCCATTTTAAGCAATTCCTCATGTCCCTCTCTTTGTGTAGACATTGAACCCCTCTTGGACGACAAAGGACAGTTGATCAAGGTCTCGGAAACCAAGATACTTATCAGTGACTTGGAATTAGAACGCGAGAAAGGTGAGTTCGATGGCTGAGCTCAGGTTGATCGAAGCATTGAAATGCGTGTATACGCGTGTAGCGCAACAAGTTGCGGACCTCCTCCGAGACCGACTTCAGACTGTTGGCGCTGAACTCATCGACGCCAAGAATCGGATTGCAGAACTGGAAGAATCTCAAGCTTCTGATCGTCAAGCATTGTTGGCATCAACAACTAGCCTCACCAACACAAGTCAGGGTTCTTGCTCATCATCGACCACCTCTTGTACTCACCGCCGGACACAGGTCAACAATATGCTGAGCTGGCGGAAGGTATGAAGAAACAGCAAAATCAATTGTTCGACGTCCTCTCTGCCGCGGCGGATGCAGAAATGAAGTTACAGGCCTCGAATGAAGAGTACCTCTCCTATCATTTGCTCTAGACGTAGTTCATGAATTCACATCTCATCAAAGGATACAGCGTTTGATGGGACTGCTCGAGAAGAAGAATGCTATGCTAGAGGAGTTGCGGGATGTACGAGCTGAGTCAGTCCGCATTGACTTGTGATTTTCCTTCGCAGTGCTGACACGTAGCAGGAATTTGGTTTTGAACAGCCTGAGGGACGAACAAGCGGCAAGAATATCTTCTCTTGAGAAGATCCGTGTTGAGTACGTTCCCGCCCCAACGTGAAAGGATACCGTCTCACGAGGTCACAAGGGTCGACACGCTTCGCATAAAGTTGCACGACGGAGAGCTAACGATCCGTGCGCTCGAAGTATCCATAGCGGCAAAGGAAGAGCGCGCAGCCGAATTGGATCTCAGGTGAATCATACTGATGCGACATTGTTGTATGTGCTCATGTTTTTTAAGGCTGTCCGAGCAAAACGCGCAAAGTGAAGGCGATTCCGTGCAGTTACAGAAGCTCCAAGAGAACCTCAAGGCCTCTCAAATCAGGGAAGAGGTCTTGAAAACGGAAAAAGAGTCATATGTGCAAGACAAGCATGCTCTCCAGGCGAAACTGGATGAAGTGGAATGCAGGCTCGAACGAGCAAGGCATGAGAATGAGCAACGTAACGAAAAGTATGTCCTCTCATGTCAGAGGGGCTCGTCATCTAATATCATGCTACAGACTGCACGAGGCGGTCACTCGTTACCAGGTACGTCTGGATGGTCAAGGCCAAAAGCCATACTTGACGCTGTCTATAGGGCTTAGAGGAACGCTTCGAGGATCAGCTGGTCACCCTCAGAGCCGCTCGTGAATCTAACGGGGACCTGCAGGTAAGTTCTGCAGACCGAGGCATTCGCTGACGTGCTGAAGTTCGTCCAAGGAGCGCTTAATTTCAGCCGAAGCTACTTATGCGGTACAGTGACGTTATCTCAGGCCTTGTACAGTGCTCACATGATAGACAGAGGAACCTCGAAGCAGCCGTTGCTAAGCTCAATTGTGAGATTACTCTGCTCAAAGAAGAGAACTCCCACTTGCAGTCAAGGGTCAGCAGTGCCGAGTCAGAGTTGCACCGCCACGACGATTTAGCGCAAGCAACGCGGCGAGAATATGAAGAGAAGCTGCGGGCCAAGGACGATGCGCATAAGACGCTAGCGGAATTGCAAGAGAGAAGAGCCGCTCGTGCAGAATCCGAGCTTGACGGGACTCGCGCGAGAATGCAATTGGTGGAGGACAGGTTTTCTGCTGCCTCCGCAGAACTTCAGGATGTCCGCGAACAATTGGCCAGAGCCAAGTTGCCGTCACCTGCGCACTTGGAGGAGATGAATGCTCTCAAATTCGAAATCAAGTCTCTGCAAGCGGAGCAATTACGCGTTGTTGAGCGAGCGAGGACGATTGATGCCAGATACACGAACGGCGACTTAGTTCGTCACCTATTGCGTAAATATCCTTCATACACTGACTAGATACCAGACCAACGAAGAAAAGAAGTTCATTACGGGCCTTATCAAGACTTCACAAGCCGTACATGAGAAGGAACTTGTCGCCAAAGGCAACGAATTACGTCGAGTGAGTCCTGTGGATTGAGATTATTAAAGATCACTACAACCCTCCTCAGCGCGACAACGTTATCAAAGAATTACGCTCAAAGATCCACCTCTTGGAGACAACGTTGGCGAAACATCTCCAGACACAGGTGCGTATTATGTTCACGAAGTGGGACTTCACGAACGACAGCAAGCAGGCCAAGCCGAAGCAAGCTGTACCAGCTGTGGAGAACAAGTCAATGATCAACCCCGCATCCTGGATGTCTTCCGATCGGAGTAGCTCCCCACCTGCATCGGCTCACCAAGCCCCGGACAGCGACCCGCCAGTATGGGCGTTTCCATTATGCTTTACCGAGTTGTTGTTTCTGACATACTTTAGTCGATGATCGCGGACACCGCCGTTGTTACTGCTTCTGTTCAGCCGATATCGGCTCCGCATCCGGATACACTGTCCACGGTACAGACTTCCAACGCGTCAGCGCCATTGCGAGTAAATTCCATGCAATCTGCCAGTGTCACACCAAAGCAAGGTTCCAACTCGGCCATGATGACACCGCCGAGACCTTTTAATGCAGCTATATCCGGGATGACACAGCAAGCACCAGTGAAATCTGTCTTCGGAAGGCTAGCTAGAGATTCCTCGGATGAGATCCTGGACTTCGAAGATGCCCGCAAAAGCTCAATCCCTCTGGCGACTACCCTCGGCAAGAGAAACAAGACGACCGCACAAGCGAAAGACGTCAAAGCGCAGAGCGTGTCGAGGGTGGCAAAGCGTCAGGTCTGTATCAGTAGTGCGAGTCAGCGTTTGAACCACCTCACATACTCAAACAAACAGAAAACCTTGTCCCGCAAGCCTGAAATGTGCGAGAACGGTACAGCGGCAAGCGATAAGGTGAGTTCAAGGTGATAGCGTCACTTTAGCTGTTCTTCAGGACCGTCATATGCACTATAAACATCAGCATGCGGATCAAGCAGCCATAAAGACGAGATCCCGTAGGCGACGCTAATCGGGCATATCCCTACGACACAAGACGAATCACGGTGTCAACAGAACATCCGTCCACAAGGAGCGGTTTACCTTGATCTCGACGTCTCAACTGGTCTCTAGCTGGTCCTGGTTGGCTCTCTCTGGCTTGGTGGTCAACGTATTCGCAATCGGTATAACGTCTCAAATTCTCATTATATGTGTCTGCTCTGTGTGTTCACGGTAGTATTCAATGTGTATGTCAACCAATGTCAGTATTCTGCATGAACGTCTGGCAAAAGAAAACCACACGCAATGGTCAGCGATGAGTTCCTGACTCGATATACTGTCTTAAGAGAGCGGTAGCTTGTCACATCGGAGAAAGCCTACGTCCGTGAAGATAGCATACACTCTAATTACGAGGAACAATCTGACCGCAGTAGAATGAATCAGAGATGAATTCCGCCATCCTCGTCGTGCTCGTCAACACGTTCGGACTCGGTAGAAGGAGCTGGGGCATGCTGGGCCTGCAACGGTGCATCTAACACAGTGCCCTGACTCGCCCCCTCCTGTGGAAGATCATAGTGACTGCCCATGCGGATACCCTTCTCTGTCAACGCCATCTTAAGCATCCTTATTCTTTCTTGCTGCGAGCCGCTGCGAGCCATTCTCAGCATTGCTTCTAGGCATAACGGACCCGATAGATTCCCAACGACATACATGACGACTTCGTTCTCTTCCATAATCTTTATGAGCTCTGGGTCCGGAGAAGCATCTGAAGCGGCCCTAAGCTCTTCTTGCGTTCGCCTGAGGTGCGCAAGCGAGTTCTGCAGACGCGCGATTTCTGCCGCGCACATTATAACCGATCAATTGTGCCGAAGGCGTAAGCGGGGCACTAGACCTTCTGTGATGACAGCGACATCAAGCTGCACAACTTCGGCAAACGTGAAAGGCTGAGAATATCGTGGTCTGTAGTCCATGGCAAGGAACGTGAGCAAGTCAACTCCGTAAGTTGGGCGCCCAAGACTCCAGTGGCTGAAGAATTGGGGTCTCTACATGTGATCTGCAATTGTGGCCGCCCATTTCCAGGCTTCTGGCAGCCGCCCACTGTTTTTAGAGCTAACACTCTTGTTAATGCTTGTCAGACGATATACCAGACGTTAAGGGTGCACGGAGCAGATTCTCAGGCTATCAGTGGCCACTGTTAGCAATGGGGGCTTTGCGAAGAATCAAAGTACCGAGTCATCAGGTCCCCCTTCCTCAAGCTCGTATTAAACAGGAAGAGTTCAAACCCGCGCACGCGAAGATGGAAGTCAAGTTCGGGTTAGTTGTCTGCTATATGCAAAATCATCGTTTAAAATGCGAAAGTCCCCCCTCTATTTCTGCATTCCATTACTCTGAGACTGACAAATGCTTGATGGAGTTCCACATACATAGCTGTGAGGTATCGACCGACTTCTATGTCAATTAGTCTGAGTCCGGACATAAGGTGCGTGATTATAGATACAGTATGCTGAATGACCGGAGAGCGACAAGCTTTGAAGATGATGAGGGTAGGAGAAGTAGATACCAGCGACCTACACACCCAGCCTGAGCCAGTGTCAGTATCTTCCGTTGTCATTGCAGAAGGCCACACTCACTTGCGTTTGCTAGATTCATATACGACGTACGATATCGAAACTGCCGGAACCACCTACGAATGGGAACGATGAGCTGGCAAGCCATGCGAAAGTGAGGGCCTCCTGTACCTTCGCTAATGTCGGAAGTAGCCCGCGGTAGAAACCACGCCACCCGTCTCGCGCGTATGTCTTCTGCGCAACATCGAGAATGCCAGTATACCGCTGCGGGTGGCCGGAGGAGCCCGATGCTTGCAGACGCGTCCTGATCAGGTTGAGGGGATATACGCTGGTGGCACCAATGCTCCCAGAGACGCTGCCGAATGCTAGTAATGCAAGGACTCCCGGCTCCTCCTTACCCGTGGATCTCAAATAGGCCAGCTTGAGAGCCTCGAATGTACTCATGTCAATCGCTGAATATCTAGATGGATCGTTAGGGTGCGATGATTCTGAATGGCGAGTATATGCGTACGGAAAGACACCAACGAGGCCAATCTGGGACAACATGAGCAACAAGAGCATGAATGAAAGGCGCACGACTCACCGTCAAGCCACGGTAGAAAGCTCTGAACCCTCCGAGGGACCAAACCTTCTTCGCCGCAGACAGCAAGGTACGCTTATGCTGGCCCGTACTGCTCATCATTTGAGTCTATGCGGCTTTTCAGCGTGATCGCCGCACAAGTTTCTGAATGGAACACTTACTTTGAGTGTCTCGATAGGATATATGGCTGAAAGATTGAGCTACCGTTGAGTGTGTCAACTACACGAAGGACTGAAGCGCTGACTTAGTTGACTGCTGATCCCGCCTATCCCTCCTGACAGGAATCGGCTCACGCCGCTGATCTCCCGAGAGTCGTCGACATGATCCACATACTGAGCGAACATACGTTTCTATCGGCAGCACCCAGTCGGTCGAGAGATTAAAATAGCATAATCACGACTGACGGATGATTCATACACCAAGAACTTGATCGCTGACTCTGGCAGAATTTTTGCAACGGAGAGACCGTTTCCTGTCCAGAACGCCAGCACACCTCCTTCGGCATATATTCGCGCGACCGCACTGGCGATCGCCCTGACTCCCCTTACTGGCGCTTTTGAACTTAAGGAGATACCACCGAGGTCTGGTGGGCGTGTAATGAGGAATATTTTGAGACGGTCAAGCGGCGCCGTGCACGACCGTGATACTGAGGATACATGAACATTAGAACATAAGAAAAGACACGTGCGGCTCACCGGCGCCAGCAATTCCTCCCGCCAATAAGAACTTGATGGCCATAGCACCCTCGAACCACCCTGGAGGCTCTTCTTCCTCGAAGTAATCGTACTCTCCATCATCGATAACGTCCTCTACGTCCCACTCTGTACCCAGAGCATAGTCCACGGGTACCTGCGCATTTTGCAGAGGTATGGGGCTGTGGCGCCTCGTCGACATATCTTCCGCACTAAGGCTGACATCACCTACAGGAGCTCGTAGATCAGAACCCGCGGAGTACGTGTATGGTAACGAACCTTCCATGTTGACGCGGGCAGCACCTCTCGCATCGTCATCAGCAAATTGATGTGCTTGATAGTACCTGTAAATTTCGGACGGCGAGGCTTTACGAGGCATTAGAAGAAGGATGTCTCGAAATTCCGGGAACGTGATGGAATGAGCATGCGGCGAAGAGGTAAAAAAGCTCATAAACTCTGCGAGAGCAGATGGGGATAGTTCGATGCCTATCCGCGACGGGTTGAGTAGGAATTTTTGCATACTGTACGCAGAGACGTACCGGCGTTCTGTAGAGCCTGTATGAGCTCATGCGCCTCAAGGCGACCGCTGCCGTCTAGGTCGAGCTCGTCATGAAACAAATGCCATAACTCTACACCTCTTGGTTTGGATGTTCGCGTATGAATGACGTATATAGATCACACACCAGCTTCCTTAGCGTCTGTATATCTCTCGAACTCTCTCCACGGGCTTTTCCTTTGCACGAATCCGCTTGTATGCGCCCCGAGACGATAGCGAAGTTCCGCATCATACATTCGCTTCAAGTTTCTTGCTCTCTCGGGTGTGAGGTCAGGATGTGAATCCGCTACGACAGGCAGCGCATGCGCGATTGTTTCATCGTCCTCGTCGTGCGTTCCGCTCCGCTTCGGCAGCTGCGACCACAGCCTGCGAAGTCTCTCCTCCCGTCTCTCATGCCCTTCCCGTGCACGAAACTCTTTCAGGCTGTGGGGTATGAGGCGGTTTGGCGGTGAATCCGATCGTAACCTGGGAATGTAAGGACGATCGAGTGAGCCAGAAAGAGTCGCTTCGAAGAGGTCGCGGTTGGGTGGCCCGCTCTTGTTGCTCAGGCTTGCCATGCGAGTCGCAGAGTTGTCCGTCTGGTCGGCGAGCAGACGGGAGCAATGGAGGGGAGGAAGACAAATCTAGTACGTGCACATGGCGGGAATGGACGCGTTAAGCTTGCTCGAGTGGAGTTGCTGCAGAGTATGGCAAACGAACAGATTCACCTCCGCTGATTGGCTCTCGCTCGAAGGCGCTTGTATAGTATCGGATGCAAAGGTAGTCATGGATTATAAACTTGGAGCATACAACATATTACATAGTGTGCCTGCGGGACATGTCCGCGATGGTACAGTCGTGCATAGTATACAGTGTAAAAGTCCAAGTGTCCCTCAAAACCCAGTGAAAGCAATCGAATCACAATTAGTATGCGACGCGCATTGGCCGGAATGCATGCGAGATCTTGACGCGGATGCGAACACCAAAGCTTTTGACATCTCCCCAGATGCCATCGAAGGAATCGCAGTGGCGTCTGCACCGTCGACCAGTTGAACTGGATGTCCCGGATTTTGAACGAATAAAATAGTCGTGCCGCGACTTTGTCGCATACCGCGTATGCGGCCACGGCCGAGCATGCAGGTTCTCCTCGGTATTTACCGCAGTGGCTGGACCGTCTGGTAAGTATATCGTTGCAGAACTCGGATATCTCGATGATAAGGCGTCATGTGAGCTGGCATGCGGATGAGCCCTGTGAGGATAAGCCTAGCACGTCAGGTTAGAATGAGCACTTATAGCGTCAAGCAGACAGCTCACCCTGCGTTGCACACGGGATGGAAGCTCATGAGACCTTTGGTTCGAACGCTGCGCAGAGTATGCTGCTCGGCGGCGTACGGGGTGCTCTCTAGGAAGCGGAGGCGTTGGTGGACGGTAGTTCTATGCTCTTCTGTGAGCGATTGTGCGATAAATAACAGTGCAGCCACTTACATGAGGCAATGAACGTCTTCTCCGGCAAATGCTAGGAGCGAATGAGGACATTCTCCCTGCGTTGGCCTTCTGCGCTCGCGGACCGTAAAGACGATAAGGGCCGCACTGATCCACACTGTGAGTCTGCGGTAGGCGACATCTCGTTATAAGAAACGTACCGTGTGGTCAGACGCGGTCTGTCGTTCATCTTCGTTCGACTCTGACGGGCTCGTGTCCTCGTCGGACCACCGTGAATCGTCAGCGCAGTCAAAGACGAAGCCGTGGCGCTTGTCGAGGCCGATCGCCTCCGCTAATTGTTCGAACCAATCGTCCGGTAACTGCATCGGGATCCATTCATTTGGCAATGGGTTCACCGACAAAGAACAGACTACTCACCGGTGGCATTTCTTTGTTGAGGTCGGCAGACGAAAGCCGCTTTGTCATCGGACTCGAATTGGTGGGCGTAGGCGGCGGGGCATCAGGAACGTACTTTGGCACGGGTTTCCTCCAGCCCATGTTGCCACGTCGTGGGGCCATTATAGACAGCAAATAGAGCTAGCGAATAGTCGTAGTGGGTAGTCCAGGTAGTACTAGGCAGCAGAATGAAGTTGATGACGACCACTCGGTCAAATAGATACAGCGCTACTTTTGGATGGTAAGCAGGCCGTTGCAAATATGGTGCAGGCACAAGGGAGCGGAACCGCAGGACGACAGGGCGGAACGACCCTGCACTTTATAACCATCCGCAACGACCGGATTACCTGCATTCTGGAGAATAGCCGTGGCCACGCGCGGGAAAGATCCGCCAGAGGATCGGAGATGAATGTGGTGCTAGCTAGTCAGTGAAGTCCCAATTCATACAAGCCAATCATGCCAACGAGCCTTCCGGCAGCGAAAGGGCCTTGGGCGCCTTGCGGCTGCCATGCATTGATCGCTTAGAAAAAGAGGGCGGAAACCCTGTGGCCTGAGGATCACTTGTTGTTTCCTATATGTTAAAGCGACAACCTCGCCTGCACGGGGAAGCTGCTACCATGAGGACCCAAAGCAGCATAGCACGGTGATCACCGGTAGCATACGCGGTGAAGGCGCGTGGGCAGTTCTTAGACGGACCACTCCAGACCGCATCAGCTCTGTTCCGAGACGAACACAGCAGAGAGGGAGAGGCGTGCCGTGAGGAGGACCCGATACCAGACACAGGTGGGTCGAAATGCGAAACTGCCTGCAGGCGGGAGGACAACAATTTTAGTGCGAAACGCGCTCACGTGCATGGCGCGCTCATTGATAGACAGGCCACGCCGATCATAGACACGAAAGATTTTCACGACTCCATTTTATTCTTTTTATACACACGTTTGGACAAACAGTGACACTATTACAATGGTTGAAGACACACAACAACAGGATGCGCCCACATCACACCGCGAGGGGAAAGGAGGCCATCACGAAAAATACATAACATATGTCATATTTTTGTGAAGCGGCCTGAAGCCTTTCTTGAAAGCTTCAAGATTTCCCTCCACCGCCCTCGAATCCAGCTGGGTCGCGGAGTCCGAGAAGTCTAGGTCCGCCTGAGGATCGTAATGATTCTTCGCGCGGGCACAGACAATATCGGCATCTTGATCGCGGAAAGGTCAAACACGATCGCGCCTAATCAATCAAGGGCACTTACAGTACACCGGCGCCGGAATCGAGACCGATCGCGTCGAGCGGGCGTAAACGTGGCACAGCGCGAAAGACAACGCCTGGAGACCATCCGGCCTAGAAGCCTTGTGAGATAACACAGAATGGGGCACTAAAGTATGCGACGTACGTGAAGTTATTCTCGTCGTACAGGACACTATAATGGGCTGGACGCGAAGTTCCTAACAATGTGCAAAAGCGAACCAAATCGATGTCAGTAGCGCCAGTGAGAGACAAAAACAAGAAGACTTATCCAGCATGGCTTTGAAGGTACCAATCAAGTTCGAGGGGATGTGTTACCTCCTGGTCGACGACGGTGCCGGCGGGACAATTTCCACTCCTATCCGCATCTTTCTGCGCCTGCGGAAAGAACCGCACATGATGTCGCTTCCCGACGACGACCATGGTAATTGTCGGATTAATGTTCAGGTTCTTGCACGCCTCTAGATGGAGGATATCGGGAGGGTTCGAGTAAGGTCAAGTTGTCACTCACGTTTGATCAGCGGTAGTTCTGATCAAACACGAGGTTTATGTGAATATCACAAGTTGCACTTAAGCGAAACTGCGCACTCACCCTGTTCTAGAACTTGTTTGAACTGTCCTTCAGAAACACCGTCTGGCGATCACGAGAAGATCAATGACCAGTTCTAACAGATATATGAAGGAACGAACCCCGGTAAAAGATGATGCGCTTCGGCGCCCCGTTGCTCTTGCCTTCTTTTTTCGTACGATATAACATGTACATCTCCAGCATATGCTTTAGGCAGTCACCGAACGATTGATCAGCTAACAATTGTCTATCAACCATCATCATCATGCTTACCTGGCTCATTGCCTCCAAGTCCTCGATGAGTTCCTTACGCGAGGTCTGAACGCGGCAGTCAGCCACATACTTCGCCGTGTCTGAATCGACATTCGCGACGAGAGCCGTGAAGGATGGCCGACCCTCCGCACCAGGCGGAGGATGGATTACATCGGCTCTAATCCAACGTGTAAGCTAGGCAATCAAACGACTGAGCACCGAAACATACCCCATCACAATTGTCGGATTGTGAGGATCCGTCAAGATCGAAACAGAACGCGGTTCTGGGATGGTGTTGATACCGCCCAACTTGACATTGATCCTACCACAAACGTTTTACCAGACCATTCAACATTTCACCGCAACGGCTCACTTTAGACAAACATTTGCGTAATATTGAGGCTTTGCCCGAGCGCATTTGTTGCTTTTCAAACATTGCGTCGCGACGCCCATCTACAAGAGGTCTCAGCATGGACCAAGCATGGCAAATTCAAGCGTACGGTAATGTCACCAAAGCTTCACAGCGAATCAGCATTGTGATGACGACCACTGTTTTGGGACTTACTGCTTCACGGCCGTGTAAATGTCCGTACCACCTTCAGGAAGCACGACGACGAGGAGGGTGGGCGGTCCCTTGTTCTTTTGCACGCATGCCTTGCCGACATCCCTCAATTGCTATTGGTGGTTTCAACAAGACAGATCCTATAGGCAGTAAGAGTAGAACGAGCGAGATCACCCACATCGGCAATACGGCCCTGACCATACTCCCATCTGATGATGGGATCCTGCTCCTTCACAGTGATGCCTGCGAACGCCCGATGAGACTTAAAGAACGTATCCGGTCTGTGACGACGCACCGACGTCTTGACAGGCCTTGAGCAGGCCGCGCACCATGTCCTGAGCGTATTGTGTACCGAATCGTTGTTGACGCTCATAGACGACAACTACCCATCGATCAATCACGGATGGTCTGAAGAAACGCTTGTCAATCCTGAGATGGAAAAGGTCAATCATAGACAAAGGACTGTGTGGGCGCCAACGGACATGTTCCAAGCGCCATCGCGCGGTGTCTGTAGAGCAAGTGAGAACGCCGCACACATTGTAAAGCACATAGCGCGCACAATGGTAGGCTGTTTTGATCCCGCTCCATACTTCAGAGTGGGAGGAGTAAGCACGCGCGCTTGTAGGCTGAGTGGGCGGGCGTCTGGTGCGACGTGCAAGCCGAATTGCTATGACAAGCTGATGTGAGTCGTCCTTTGTAACAGATCAAAGTGCTTCGTGCTTACTCTCACGTATTCTGATTGACCATAATTCAACACCTAATGGAGCAACAAAAGCCTCAGCGCAATATTAGACTGACATGTGGTTGCAAACGCACACCGAGCGCATTGACAATGCTTTGCAGACGATCTTGAGGTTTCTTGGTGGCAAAGTCCAGCACGTCCTTCGTCTTCTCAGGCGGCACTTGTTTTCTCATAATCTGACCTTTTTCTACTCTGCAAAGCTCAAGCGGAATCAATGCACCGTTTCCGACCTGCTCAGTGAATCAGCACGATTTATCAAGAAACGCGACATCTCATACTGCACCTCTACACATATCAAGTCCGGGTATCTGAGATTGTAATTGTATGTCTGCTGGAAATACTGAGCAACGGTCATGATGCCACCTTGGTGCATCGTAAAGCTGAGAGCATTTGCGCCGGCAGTACTCAGTTTCTTGATCACTCTGGGAGTACGGGACTCTGCTTGACCGGGTGGAGTCGTGAAAACCCTGACTCCGGTCAGGAATCGCTGCAGGCGGATCCGCTCACGGTCTGGAAACCCACGAGCAGGTGACAGAATGCCAACGTTGTTCCCTCCAAAAAACGCCAGGCAAAGGTCGATAAGAGGACCTTCCTGGTACATTGTGCCAGTCGAGATGTCGACGTTGATGAGCATTTTCCCTGCTGCCGGGCGCACAGATTGAAAATAACCACGCCACAGCACGATCCCGCCTCCAATGGGTCTTTTTTCGGTGTCAGTGAAGAACGAGCGCACGTTGAATGGGTGGTTCAATGTCGGTTCCATGCGGATGACAACGTTAAGGGCCTTGTGATGTACGTTGGTTTAGTATCAAGACATGCCATGCGTTTCACGTACTGTAATTGCTGTCAGCACGGTGTTGTCGTGCGACTGTTTTCCCTCAAGGAAACGTGCCAAAACCCTGGAACAAGTGCAATGACAAGATTGCTACAGGCTGGATTGGGTAAATAAACGTACTCCGGGTTAATCGTCGCCACTTTAGTGAGACGAATCTTGTAGATTTTCGGGCCGCGTCCCCCTGGCCTTGTCGAAGCCGCAGCATCTTGAAGAGTTACATCGAACTATAGCGCATGAGCAGAAACCCAAAACATCGCTCAAAAAGCATACTTCCTGGCTTCCCGATTCACCGAACGGGAGCTCACGTGCCGCAAAGAGATTCTTCCTTCCATCATATACCGCGCGAGGAGTAAATACCTGGGGAGCCACGGATTTCTGCATGCGATCAATGAGCTGCATGTTCAACCTTGCAGGAAGTGTCTTTTCATCTGGATGAATCACTGCAGACGAGCTCAGAGTGTTTGAATCACCCGATTTTCCAGGTTACATACCGACTACCATTGCACAAGGTGGTCAGCATCAAGAAAGCGCAATTATACGCTGGACAGACACGTACCGTCATAATGGTAGATAACTTCCTCAGGAATTTTGACGAGGAAGTGGTTGGTGAACACGGGAATAGTCCTCCCAGCTGTGCCATACGCCGTCCTTCTCACGCCGATGGTGAGAACATGCCCGCTCGTGGACGGCAGCTGCCCGCTTCCAGAGCGGGGAGCCGCACCGCCACGCACGGAAGGACCGCCATGCACAGGAGGACCACCTCGAGGGCCGCCTCGGGGGCCGCCTCGACCAGTTCCGCCTCGAACAGCTCCGCGTCCTGGTTGTCCTCGAGGAGGCATGGATCAGATCGATGTTCGCGCGAGACACAATGGAGGTGGAGGTATGTTGGGAGTAGCAAATAGAGAGTAGCCGAGGTGGGAAAACGCGAAGGGGTGGGCTTTATAATTTACTAGGGCACCCATATGAGGGCCACTCGACTTCTATCGTTCTTTATCGTCTCTGGAGCAGATCGATGAGATCACGCGAGTCCGAAGTTGATATTGATTGCCAAATGGGGCTGCACGCACGCTGTCTCCGCGAAATTCTGCCGTCCTTTGTGCACACGCCATCGCGATAGCAAGTACAATAGTCTGCGTGAGACGCTCCAGTCGATCACTGGCAAGCGTCTGGCAAATGAGCTCGAGATGGGAGGCAGACAGAAAAAAGTAATTGAAAGCCTAATCAGGAATCGAACCTGGGTATGGGAAGTTGTGCAATGGTTATGGCTAATTCCCAAAAAATGATGAGGCATTACCAGGGATCGAACCTGGGTTATGGGAATAGAAAATTACTTTCAGAATCCCATGTGATACCACTACACTATAATGCCATATTAACGCCATTGGGCCATTAATTCTAATCTCTTTCAGCGGGTTCAACGAGCGCGGCATTCGCTCCCCAGCCCTGTTTTTGGTAACAGATTGGTGAGTCAATTCACAAAATGTCTGTCTTCTTACCGCTACTGCAGGGCTCGGCGGACGCTGCGCTGCTGCAAGCCCTCGCTCGCATCGGTCCTATCGTCCTACCCTCTTCGCAGGCTAACGACACGTCACTGCCGGAACATGCTGCTCGTCATGTTCTTCTTGATCAAGAGTGCACCCTCGACGACGTGACGGCTTTACTCGATGAGGGCGCGGAAAAGGTCATCCTGCCCCTCGCCCAGGCACAGGACGCCATTGGAGTTCTCCCCGCAGATCGCCTCTTGCTGCTTCTGGACGTAGGGAACGTCAGTGCTGTATCAGACAAAATACGCAATGGTGTATCAGGCGTGCTCATCAAAACCCCCTCCTTGGATGTCGACTTTGTATCCTCCGTCTCCCGCTTCTTTTCCGGGGCTTCGATCCATGTCCTCCCAACTGACATCAGCATGCCCCCGTCTCAACCTGTCATCCGCGCCCTACACGCTGCAGGTGCCTGCCTTGTCCTTCCCACGTCCCTACTTTCCTTGGCTGCCTCGTCCGAGAGTCAAATCAACGTCGCGGATGCATTCCTTTCTATCGTCAGCTCCGACCGTCCAGACGGTCTCTTCCCCACCATTATTTCTTCTTACGTAGAGGGGGGACGAACGCTGGGCCTGGTGTATTCATCCGCGGAATCGGTCAGAGAAAGTATAGTGACGGGGAAGGGTGTGTATCAGTCGCGTAAACACGGGTTGTGGCGCAAGGGTGAGACGTCCGGTGCGACGCAGGACGTTGTCAGCATTCGTCTTGACTGCGATTCCGATTCGCTCGAACTTAGCGTAATTCAGCACGGGGCAGGCTTCTGCCACTTGAACCGCACATCTTGCTTCGGGGACAGGGAGACAAAGGGCCTATTCGCCCTTGAGAGGACGCTGCAATCACGCCTTTTTTCTGCCCCCGAAGGCTCTTACACTCGCCGACTCTTCAGCGATCCTGATCTTCTTCGCGCCAAAATCATGGAGGAAGCAGACGAACTTTGCCGCGCAGAGACGAAGGAGGAGGTCGCTTTCGAAGCAGCTGACTTGTTCTACTTTGCTCTGACTCGATGCGTGGCAGCTGGAGTCTCCATTGCCGACATCGAGCACTCATTAGACAAAAAGGCGAAGAAGGTCACCCGCCGTGCAGGCAACGCGAAACCGCAATGGGCCAAAACTACACAACCTGCACGAAAGGAATCTGGATCTGTTCCAAGTCCGCAGAAAGCCCCCATCGATCCCAATGCGCCCATCGTGATGCGCTGCTTTGACTTTTCTACGGCCACGACGGACGAACGGGCTGGGCTGCTGCGCCGTCCCGTCCTAAAGTACGATGAGATGTTGGCAAAGGTTAAGCCTATCGTCGATGACGTGCGGATACGTGGTGACGTGGCGTTGCTTGAGCTGACGGCCAAATTTGACAAGGCGCAGCTCACTTCCACCGTGGTGCGCCCACCCTTCACACCCGAGTCGATGCAGATCGATCCTGCTGTACGCGATGCGATAGATGTGGCTTATGCAAACATCCACAAGTTCCACGCGGCACAGGCAGAGCAGGCTTCGATGGTGGTCGAGACGATGCCTGGCGTTGTTTGTTCGCGATTCTCGCGCCCGATAGCGCGTGTCGGACTGTATGTACCGGGAGGTACCGCTATCCTCCCTTCGACGGCTCTCATGCTCGGTATACCCGCGCAAGTAGCAGGATGCAAGGAGGTTGTGATTGCCACACCACCAAGGCAGGATGGCAGCATCTCTCCAGAAGTGATGTACGTCGCTCGTCTCGTGGGAGCGTCTGCCATCCTCAAGGCTGGCGGTGCACAAGCGGTGGCAGCGCTTGCATATGGCACACAGACCGTCCCGAAAGTGGACAAGATCTTCGGACCAGGAAACCAGTGGGTGACCGCCGCTAAGATGCTTGTGCAGAACGACACGGATGCATTGGTCTCCATCGACATGCCTGCCGGACCATCAGAAGTCCTCGTGAGTCTTCGATGCATCACGCGTGTCTCTTCATTAGACATGCTGAGCGGTGTGCTTTGTAGGTTGTCGCAGATCACACATGCAACCCGGCGTTCGTGGCGGCCGATTTGCTGTCGCAAGCGGAGCATGGCGTCGACTCGCAGGTCGTGCTGGTGGCAGTCAATCTATCGGACGAGAAGCTTGCGGAGATCGAGCGGGAGCTTGATACGCAAGCCCGTGCGCTGCCTCGCGTCCACATCGTGCGTGAATCAATCTCGAAGAGCAACATTGTGAAGGTGCACTCTGTAGAGGAGGCGATCAGGTTCAGCAACGACTACGCACCGGAGCACTTGATTCTCCACCTGGAGAATGCAAATGCGGCGGTGCCCCTCGTGGACAACGCTGGCAGTGTCTTTGTTGGCCCTTACTCGCCAGAGAGGTGCGTCTTGCGTGTGCTGTTCTTCTCGCGTCGGTCGCTTACAGGCTGTGATAGCTGTGGTGACTATGCCTCTGGAACTAACCACACTCTGCCAACGAACGGCTATGCGCGCCAATTTAGTGGTGTCAATACGCTGTCGTTCCAAAAGCACATTACTTCACAAGAAGTCAGTGCCGACGGACTGCGCAACCTGGGTCCAGTCGTTGCGACGCTCGCTGATTGTGAAGGGTTGGATGCCCACGCAAACGCAGTCCGGGTCCGTCTGCGGACTCTGTAGGCTCGTGGCCTCTCAATCTTTGCTGCGTGCTTGTAGTAGCCTAAACTGTAGTACCACACCGTACATCACACTATGATAACATGATGCATTCCAAGACAGCAGGTCGCACCCAGAATCATATCCACTCCAGACTCGATTTAAGGAGACAGTCTAGTTGGTCCTGTACAAAGCACGCCTCGCGACCTTCGCAATGAGTGGAGGGTTCGGGAAAGCGAGCTGCTCGAGGTTAAGCGCATACTAAGAGAAAAGTCAGCGGAGGTCCCCGATACGCCAATGATATGTCACCATACGAACCGGTGCAGGGACATCTGCGCCAGTGACGCGTTCCACTGGAGCATCAAGATAGTCAAACGCTTCACTCTCGATGACTTGCGCGCAGATCTCGCTGCCGACACCGAACCCAGGCCAGCCACCCTCGACCGTGACCAGGCTAGAATCGTATGAGCAAAGCTTTCACAAGAGGAAATCACTACGAGCGCACCGGTTGGTCTTCTTGATTGACGCCTTGATGGTCTCAATATCGAGCGGGCGGATGGTGCGCAAGTTGATGACCTCCGCCTTGATACCCTCTTTCGCGAGCTCTTCTGCCGCATCGAGACTGTGCGAGACCATTAAACTATGCGCGACGATAGTCACATCGGAACCCTCGCGCTCGACCTTGGCTTTGCCGATCGGAAGGACGAAGTTGTCGGACATTGCTTCGGCAGACATTGGGAAGCTATGGCCGTACATCATCTCGTTCTCGAGGAAGATGGTTGGACTGGGATCGCGAATGGCAGCCTGCAGGATTGTGTTGTTACATAAAGGGTTGTCATTACAGATAAACATATCACACACCTTCAACAGGCCTTTGCAATCCTCCGAACTCCAAGGACTGATAACCTTCAGACCTGGGATAGCGCCGTACCATGCCGCGTAGTCTTGGGAGTGTTGCGCTGCTACACCAGCTGCAGCCCCATTGGGACCGCGGAAAACAATCGGACAGTGCACACAACCACCAGACATGTAGTGCGTCTTGGCTGCCGAGTTGACGATCTGATCAATTGCTTGCATGGCGAAGTTAAACGTCATGAACTCGCAACTGTTGGGTAGTGGTCATGTCTCCGAGCACGAATACGCCTTGTGGAAGTACTCACACTGGTCGCAGATCAGCGAACGCGGCTCCGTTTGCGAGACCTGCGAAGCCCATCTCCGTAATGGGGGTATCCACGACGCGTTTCTCTCCGAACTTGTCCATCAGGCCTTTCGTGACCTTGGACATTGATTGCAATGAGAGCCAACATTCATCGAAGCACATAGACGCGTACCTTGTATGCGCCATTGTAACGCGCGACTTCCTCACCAATGATGAACACCCGGTCATCCCGCAACATCTCCTCCTCCAGCGCGGCATTGAGAGCGTCGCGGACAAGTACCTGCAGCCGATGGATCTCCAAGTGAGAACTAGAACAAATAAAAAATATGCAACAAACCGTGTGCTCGGCCTGAGAAGCGTAACCGCGAGCGAAGGGAGTCCGACGCGCCGTAACCGGAGCGCCGCGAGCGGTGTAGAGGGCAGGGGCGATGCGGGAAAGCGCGACTCGCATCGACATATGTTTTGGAGGGCGGGGGGAGAGGAGTCGAAAGAGAGTAGTGGGAACGATTGGTGAGCAGAGAAACGCCGTCGCGCAACTTTTGGGTGAGCTGGCCACGGGCGCTGGTCAGCAGAGGGGGAACGCGTGCGAAACGCGCTCGAACCATTTCTTCATCGTTCTCGTTCGACTTTCGTCGCTTGTGCAAGCTATCATCTCATGTCCGGCGCCCTGTATCGCTGAGGCAACGATGGCGAGAAAACCGGTGGTGATCATTACTGGAGCATCCAAGTGCAGCTTCCTTCGATCGGCGTACAACAGGGACATTGGCTGAACTGTTATCGCAGAGGACTCGGTCTCGCGGTTACCAAAATTTTGCTCGCGGAGTTTGGCGCAGATGTCGTTGCCTTCTCGCGTTCAGAATCCAAAGAACTCGTCGAGTTGCGCCGGTCTCACGGCGACTCACTCTTGGTTATCAAAGGCGATGTGTCAGTGCTGGATTTCTTGCTGTAGATGCCAAGCTCAATCGCCAACGCAGCACGGATGCTACTGCTGTCCATCATGCAATGGAGTCGGCACTCAACACATACGGACATATAGACGGTCTCGTTCTGAACGCAGGAGTATTGGCGCCGTTGGGTAGGATAGCTGCAGACGACATTCCGCTCGACGCATGGCAGTCGCACTTTAACGTCAACCTCTTCTCCCTCATCACGGCTATCAGAGCTACGCTCCCAGCTCTGCGCAAGAGCGAGCTGGGTGGCAGGATCGTCTTCGTTAGCTCAGGATCGGCGGTGAAGGGGACTCCGACAATGGGACCATACAATGCGAGTAAGGCTGCGATGAATAGTCTATGCAGGTGAGCTGCATAGATGAGGGTCTGTTGTGTCGTCCCTCATCTGTTGTTCAACGAGGACCTTGGCGGAAGAAGAACCAGAGGTAATATCTGTAGCCATGCGCCCTGGCACCGTCGATACGCAGGTGCGTCAGCTGCGTCATGGTCAAAGACTTACGTGCACTTAACATGTCGCTTTAATGTTGCAGATGCAAACACAGTTACGCAGTGACGCCGCCCTTACAGACAAGGTCAGGCAATCGTTCTCGGATCTGTACATTGGCAGAAGACTTCTCAAACCGGAAGATCCTGGATACGTTATTGCATCGCTCGCTCTCAAGACTCCAAAGTCTTTGAGTGGACAGTTCATCAGTTGGGATGCCGACGTATGCGCGAATTTCCGGCGCCCGACGTAGAGGCGAATACTGAGGCATGGACGTTGTACGTTTGAGAACATATCAAACCAATGTAGAATGTGTTATAGTGCAAGTGAACTGGCCGACGCGACCTGCCTGTTGTTCCAAATCGCCTGTGTGCAAAGTTCGGACTCGTCCCGGGTACCGCGTGGTACTCGGGATGTCGCTGTCTGCTTCTAGTTCTAACGGCGGATGAATGCGCTTCGATGGCGTGTGCTCTGAACGTCATAACGATTCATTAAGACTGTTCTTCGTAGAAGTTTCACCTTGCACCTTGATGGGATGCAGATGTGATTGACAGCATCCAAGTATACGGGTCCGATTGCGTCTAGTATCATGCCCACAGCTGCGCGGAGGTTTCCTTCCCCCAGGTTGAACTACAGACGGTAAGTCCTCCGTCCAGTCAGCAAGTCTAGGTTGTCCGCCATTTTGGATCTGTATTGCAGCATTTCTACAGGTGCCAATGCCTCGCCGTATTGACGTGCATCACCACATCTTCCCTAAAACTCTCAGCAAAAGTGCACAAAGCGAGTCTGTCGGCTTCAAAACTCCAGAGGAAAATCTGCCATGGTCACCGGAGCTCAGCTTGAAAGCGATGGACTCGTTGGGCGTCGACGTTGCCATACTCTCGCTCCCCGCTGGGCTACCCCCAGGACCCAGTGGCCCTGAGAATCGTAAGGCGGCAAGAGAGTTTAATATCATGGCGGCACAGATCTGCAAGGAGTATCCTGAGAGATTCGGGTTCTTCGCCTCGCTGCCTATCCCGAGCGATGCTCAGGGCGAGTCTATATGCACTTTCTAGGCGTACATGTTTTCATAGTTCCGCCAACAGCTGCGGTTATGGAACTGACGTACGCTCTGGATGTGCTGCGTGCAGATGGCGTGGCATTGGCGTCTTCCTACGGTGAAGGAGCCGCCGCGAGTGAGTTACCTTCGCCGCTGATCCCTGTTTGTGAATTGACATATCGTAGCGTATATTGGTGATGACAGTTACGATGCTGTTTGGGAAGAGCTTGACAGGAGAGGCACTGTGGTATTCCTGCACGGAACGCAGACGCCCTCTTCGACGCCGTACCCGCATCCGTTTCTTGGTATTCCGATTACAGAGGTACTCCGCTCACATTCCGCCCCGTTATCTCCGTCTGACGGTAGATGCGCCTTCGGCTAGGTCCCAAATGAGACATTCAAAGCTGCGGCCCACTTGGTGGTGACAGGTAAGAAGAGGCGGTGGAGCAACGTGAAGATCATCCTCGCACATTTAGGTGGAAGTCTAACATCCCTTGCTCCACGCGTCGCTCGTTTGTCACACTACATGGGTTGCGAGTTGGCGCCGAGCGAGATTCTCGAGGACTTTGGCAGCTTCTACTTCGACACCGCTTTGAGCGCTCATGAAACTACCCTCTCCGCAGTCGAGAGCTTCGCGATGCCCGGCCATGTCTTATTCGGAACCGACTTTCCAGGTGAGGGCGCATACATTCATAATCGTGCTACTATGATCTAACGGGATCCCACGTTGCTTCAGCCGTCAGCGTGGATGTCGCGAGATATTACACCGAGAATGTGGAGAAATACTACAAGGATCGTCCGACTAAACTTAATGAGACCGCAGCCAAACTTTTCAATAAAATCGACATCCGTGACGAGCAAGGGTGATCGACGGCAATAACCATTGTAGAAAGGTTATTCAACTCCGTAAGTCGGGGACCTTGTGTTTTCACTTTCCAGTACACTTAGCCCCGCGAATTGCAACCTTGCAGCTGTTGTAAGACCGAGCATTAGCAGTTTCTACATGGAAGAATTAGCAGTATATATTCTACGAGCAGGTATTAGCGATAGCAAATCAACGATAGCAACATCTACAAAGCGCGCAACCTTTCTCATGCGCCGCGCATGGCACAAGATCAACAGCTGCCTAGTCAATCCAAGCTTGGAAGCGTATCCATCATGATGAAGCATTCTCAGTCTGGAGCAACCACTTAAAGATCTCCTTCTGCCCTGGCGTGCCAGACAGCATCGCCTGACCGTGACGCCCATTCGGGTTGTACCAGAGGCCTTTGCGAATGCCGTGCGCCGTGAGGTAACGTTTCACACGCTGCAATCAAGCTGCATTCAGCCGCCGGATCATGATCGAGAATGTGGTGCACACACCTCAGCATTCACAATCACGTCTTTGCCACCGAGGAAAAATTTAGTCTTGAAAGGATCGCGCGCATTCGGGATCTCCTCGTGCCACAGCGAGTTCGCATACCAGTCGAAGTGACGCTGCAAGAAGTTCGCGACACCAAGCTCACAACCGACGAAGTACTTGATGACCAGCTCCATGCCCTGCAACGAAACACCTTGAGCAAAAGCAATGCACTGATGTGATAAAACCTACCGTTGTGCAAGGACGATATATAAAGTTGTAGCAAAGATCTAAGATTTCGAGTCTGTCAGATTTCATCCCAGCAAAGCCCGTGCTCATCATACGCACCACCCTCCCACGAGCAAAAGGTGACCGGGTCGATGAAGCACGACCGAGTAACCATAGATGGGTGGTGCTTGAGCATCCACGCATGAGCAAAGGACCCACTAGCATCGGATGTGATTCAGTGCAATGCAAAATCATACTTCGATTGAGACTCACTTAGAATGACTGAGCATAGTCACGCCCATGGGGACTTCCTCTCCCTTCTCACCGCTCGTTACTGCCTCCTGTTCGTCCTTCTCCCACTTTGCCCAACCGAGCACATCCAGCAATCCCGCCAGCGTCCTAGCCATATCACGACGGCCCATCGGCCGAAGATAGCGTGGATGGAAGATTTGCTGGCTGACGTACGGCTGAAGAGGCACGAGGACAGGGTGATCAGGCACCATGGAGAAGAGTTTGTTGAGGAAACGATTATACTGTGTCACCCCAAGCCCAAGGCCATGGAGGAAGACTACAGGACGCGGGCCTGTCAAAGGATCCCAGGCTGCTGGGACGCGGAGCATATACCTGCTAATGTTATAGCTTGCACGACATCAGAGATAGTGGGACACACGCACTCTAGGCCATGGTAAGTCCCATATTTCACGCCCCACTTCCCAGCTAATCTCCTACGCAAGATGAAGTTGCTGATCGCGATGCCAACGTACCAGAAGAACGGTCGCCAGACAACATTCACAGGGTCAAGAGTGAGAAGGAGCGGCCGCACGGATGCATTTGAGCCTTCTGGAATTTTGCACCCAGCGCGTGCCTCAAGGAGCTGACAGACCTCTTTCAGAGCGACCTGGTGCGCGGGCGGTAGGTCGTCAAACGAGGTGTAAGCGGCGTTGAAGATCGACCAGTATAACCACGTATACATCTCATGCTTGTGGATCGCAGAGAAGGGTGCCTTGTTGAACCTGGACAAGCATGAGTATCGTCGCCGTATGGACATGGCGCAAGACTGACCAGGTCCTGAGGTTGTTGCGAAAGTCAGCTGCCCTAGGATCGTCATACTGAAGAGTAATAATCTCCTCCGCTGGGCTGCCGGGCCGGTCTACATCCAACGATTCCTCGTCAAAGCCATCTTCAGGCAAGTCAGCCAAGCCCGACTGCAGGACACGCGTGAAAGCCTTCTGGAGTTCGCTGAGCTTGTTTGGCGGAAGAGAATGTGGGCCAGTGATGAAACTGGTGAGATTGTAGTGATACACACTGAAGAAAACCTGAAAAGTATGATTGGGGTCAGCGCTTGCACGAGTGCTCGGCGTTGCGGTCAGCAGATCTGACCTCACAGAGCGCGGCAGCAAAGAGCGCACGCCCGCACCATGCGAATGTCCAGATGTTGCCCGATCGAAGAGCGTAGATCACATATGCCCAGGAGAGCGGTATCACAGACCAGAGGGGAATCACGGCCACGAAGAGGACGATGTAGAATGACAGGTCACGGCGGCGAGCTGGCGGCAGCTGTTCCGAGATGTCAGTGACGGTATTTTGCTGTTTTTTGGTTTCCATTATGCGGCGAGAGCTGTATGTAAAGACAGGAAAGGCCACCGAGTCGCGAGGTACTGCACACGACCCGAGCGAGCCAGCGCGGAGATGTGGGGGAGCGACGGCCGACAATGAGGGGACGACCGGCTCAGGTCGCGTCGGTGGCAGACAACCGCCCATAACGGTCCATCGCCAAGAATAGCTAGCGATCAATCTGCCATGTGGCCATCTCTTTCTATGGGCGCTCCCGGATCAATACGCGGTTTATGACGCTGGGTCACGTGATGTTTCACCGTGCTCTATCAATTCGGCCGACAGATTCCATTTTTCAACGCTGTCCTCGAGCTGCAGGTGAAGCATCCGACCTCGTCTTCCTCGCCCTTCTCATAGTCTCTCATGTTGCGCAACGCCCTCTCAGCGGCGGTTCGCCCCGTCGTCCAAGCTGTACGTGTTTACGTCCGTACATCGCGTTCCGGGTCTCACCGCACATCGCGTTAGAGATCCGCCACCACACTCTCGGCTGGCTTTCCCAGGGTTTCCAAGAGGGTATACAGTACCTCTTTGACATCATTGGACCGTGTACTGAATCTCCGGTGTAGCTGCCTACCAAGTATGGTGGTGTCTACACTGTACGTATGAAGGAGTCTGGTAGAATTCATCGGATAACTCAGGCATTCTCTAGGTTACCCTGATCCCCGGTGATGGTATTGGTAACGAAATTACCGATTCCGTCAAGGAGATTTTCGAGTATGTCAATGCTCCCATTGAGTGGGAGCAGTACAATGTCTCTGGCGTGTCCTCCGCGGGCGAGGAACTCTTCGTACAGGCTGTGGACAGCTTGAGACGCAACCGGGTCGGTCTCAAAGGTGAGTTTTCGTTTGTGAAGGGCCCATCCCCCTCCATCTGATCTCTGCTACATCGAAGGTATTCTCTTCACCCCCATCTCGCAGAGTGGCCACGTTTCGTGGAACGTCGCCATGCGCCAGCAGCTTGATATCTACGCCTCCGTCGTGCTTTGCAAGTCTCTTCCGGGCTTCCCCACTCGCCACAATAATGTCGACTTCGCCATCATCCGTGAGAACACCGAGGGCGAGTATTCAGGCCTCGAGCACCAGAGCTACCCTGGCGTCGTCGAGAGCTTGAAGGTGTCCACTCGCGTGAAGGCCGACCGTATCGCCCGTTTCGCGTTTGATTTCGCGCTCAAGAACGGCCGCAAGGTGAGTTTGATACCTGACACTGACTAATGTCGAAATTGAATTGAAGGAACTTCTACATCTCTCGTGTAGAAAGTCACGTGCGTGCATAAGGCCAACATTATGAAACTCGGTGATGGTCTCTTCCTCAACACTTTCCGCCAGGTCGCGGAGGAGTACAAGTCTTCTGGAATTGTGCACAATGACATGATCGTCGACAACACGTACGCAGGACACGCTCGTCTGCCTAGGGCACTTTTCGTTAAGTTCTCCGCTCTAGGTCGATGCAGCTGGTCGCGCGGCCCGGTCAATTCGACGTGATGGTCATGCCCAATCTGTACGGTGCAATTGTTTCGAACATTGGTGCCGCCCTCGTCGGTGGCCCGGGTATCGTCCCTGGTTGTAACGTCGGTCGTGTAAGTATCTCGACTAGAATGCACTGCAGCAGCACCTGCCCATTCATTCACACGTCTCAACCTTCAGGAATACGCGCTCTTTGAGCCTGGATGCCGTCATGTTGCCAAGGACATCATGGGTACTAACCGTGCCAACCCTGCCGCTATGATCCTAAGCGCAACCATGATGCTCAGGCATCTGGGGTATGTTACTTATCATGAATATTTTCCACTAGACTGATTTATCAAAGTCTGGATGACCTTGCAAACAACATCGCGAGCGCGACCTTCGATGTTATCAATGGCGGCCAGGTCCGCACTGCCGACATGGGTGGTAAGTCTCATCGTCTCAGATTTTGAAGAGAATCAGCCTTCACTCTGTGCTCTTCCATTTCTCTACAGGTGCTGCGACGACCTCCGAGTTCACCGCAGCTATCATCAAAAACCTCCAATAGTTGTTTCTTTTCGGCATGGACAATAGTGATAGAAGAGATAGGCATGGTGCGAGAGCAGCGAGGACAGTAGTCCCTTCGCTACATGTTATACATTGTTAATGCGATGACATGCATGTGGGATGTCAGAGAGCATCCTTCATGGCACGTCGTCGAAGTTGAGATCAACGTCGTCAAAGGTATGGTCTGCATCGAGGGCTGCTTCATACTCCTCCAGCGACATGCTATTTTGCTTCTTGCTTGGCCGATCTTCTACCTCGGGCGCTGGTAGATTTACCTGAGCGCCCAGCTTATCTTCACTCACGGGCTCGACTTTGACAAGATCTTGGACGCCATCTGAGAGCTTCTTCTTGACGTCCGCAGTCAGGCCACCGACATTGCGCAGCCCTAGGATCGTCGAGCATCTCACGTCGCCGCGCTTGCCCCATCCATCTACATCGGGGCGAAGATCGGCGTAGAGCGCATAACCTTTGCGGTTCAGCTCGGCAGGCGTGTAGCTTGCTGCCAGAAGGCGTAGCGCACCAAGAACGTGCGGTGCGGTCTGCCTCAGCGAGCGCTTGATGTATGAGAATGGGGACGTGGGCGCGACGGGCACGCTTGAAGAGAGGGCGCGCCAACTGCCGGAAGCCGTCTGGTATAGAGGGCTGTGGGAAGTGAGTGGGTGAGTGGGTGATAGATCGACTGGGCGGCCGAAGGGTCATTTCGAGAAACGGCGACTTACACACTACATTAGCGGTTGCAATGCGGAGACGAGGTGTGCGAAGCAAAGCATTTACGTTAAAGCAGCACTCATTGTGATTTGTAGAGGAGCAGGACTAACCGTCGGCCCATGAGGTCCACATACGGCTGGGAGCCGTTCATGCTCGCCTCCACGCCCTTACCCTTGTCCTTGTCGAAGATTCCACGAGAGACGCCCTTCGTAATAGCATTCATCTCCGTGTACACGGATGCTGCGAATTGAAATTGAGCATATGGGCATGCAGTGCCGAGCACTGCATGGGGCTGTGCACTACCAAGATCGGCACAGACGTACCTATGCTCAGGGCCTCCTGACGCTGGAATCCCAGTCGTTCGGCCACGACGAAAGCCCATGCCATCATGATCGGGGCGCGGTTCACAACCGTGTACTTCGTCTGGAGGACCTGGCGTACCAAGGAAAGACGTATGAAATGCGTCAGCCCATGGTCCATCACACAGCCCACCAACGCATTCCCGAGCAGTGGGAAGTTCATTAGCATGCATGAGGGGGCCGTCTTCAGTCTGGACCCGAACAGAATACGCACCTCTTCGTCGAGAACTTCATCGAACTCCAGGCTGCCATACTGCTCGCCCTCATCTTGGAGCCGGTCTGGAAGGAACTCGTTGAGATCATCATCTCTCTTGCGCTTCTTCTTGGGTCGCTGTACCCATGCGCGGAACAAACGAAGGCGTGAAGTACGTCAGAGCGCTCAATTTCGGTAAGGATATGATGGAAAATTTCCAATGACACACCTCCGCTTGAGCAAAAGATGTACTTGATCCTGCAGCGTTCGGCGTGCTGTCGTGAGCACTGCTCGAGGATGCTTGCAGTTTGGCCCTGAAGCCCGATTTGCGGATCGCCGCTAGCACGAGCTTCCGAAGGTCCTTTTCGTCCACTCCCGAGGCTTTCAACTGAAAGTCATTTAACTGAGCGAGTGCCGAAGGGGTGTTGTACGTCTTGTAGCTGTGACGGTGTCAGCAAACCAATGAGCAGATCGATGAGCCGACCACTGACATGTTCCCTGCCACAGCCATCGCTTTCGTTGCGGGCACGTTGTGATTTGTGAGCATTTTGAGAAATGCAGGCAGCGAAATCTTTGCCTCCATGCTGCAGCGCCCGAAACTTGAGTGATATGTGAGCGGGATGGACGGACGCCTTGTCGAGTAGGAGTCAATTATGGAGAGTTTAATGATTAGGCGCGACGACGCGTACTATAGCTAAATAAAATGAAAACACGATCGCGCGCAACAGATCCCGGCAATCAGGGCTCTATTGTCGCCTATTTGCACAGTCTCCCAGAAAGGCAATCAACGCTTCCTCCCTTCCATCCGCCGACCGCCGCCCAGCAGGCCCGCCATGATCACGTACATCCTCCTCGTCTCGCGCCAGGGTCGGTGCTGGCATTTGTGCTGATTCAATAGTGGCTGAGTGATGATGCTTTATAGGCAAGGTACGCCTGGCGAAATGGTTCACGACGATGCCGCAGAAGACCAAGGCTAAGATCATCAAAGACGTCACGCAGCTCGTCCTCGGTCGGCGGACGCGCATGTGTAACTTCCTCGAATACAAAGGTGCGCATTTCTTGCGACTTTTGTGACGATCGAGGACCAACTGTGGCACTCTCATGGCAGACACGAAAGTTGTATATCGCCGATATGCCTCGCTGTTCTTCGTCTGCGGGATCGCTTCGGGGGATAATGAACTGATAACGCTGGAGATCATACATCGATACGTCGAGGTGCTGGATCGATACTTTGGGAATGTGCGTATGCCGCTTCGGCTCTCTGTAACCGTGCTCATAAACAACTTGCTCCAGGTCTGTGAACTCGACCTGTATGGAATGAGTATTGCATCCCTGGAGACCCTATTGACCATTTCCTCAGCATCTTCAACTTCCAGAAAGCTTATGCAGTGGGTGGCATGCTGGTTTGATCATAACGAATTGTATTCATCCGCAAGACACAGATACTCGACGAGCTCATCATCGCAGGAGAGCTCCAGGAATCATCGAAGAAATCTGTCCTCCGGGTGGTCAGTATCCAATTTCTTTTTCTGTGGCAACACATTTCTTAACCTCACGATGCATTACCGAACAATTATTGCAGGTAACACAATCTGACAGCATAGAAGAACAAGAGAACAGCGAGGACACAATGGCTAGGTTGGGAAGCCTCGGTTCGAGGGGGCCGTAGACAGGGTATACCTTGCATGATTTTTGTCTTTCTTTGGCGGAGCCTGGCTGCGTCCGTTATTTTTGTGGACAGTGATCGTACAAGTACTCATATTAATCTCATATACTTGTTTCCCTTTCCATCTGTCTCTGAGAATCTGCCTCACCCCGACATCACGATCATATTGAATCTCTCGCAATACCGTGCTCAATCGGTGCAAAGTCATCGATGGTAGCATTTCCAGGAATAATTGCTTCGAGCAAATCTAAATGTTATGGTATATCGTCACGCTAGCAAAGTCCCCTTCCGACCTTACCACAGCCAATAGAACCATCCACCGTGTTCTCGTTCATCGTACATCATCCATATATTCCTGAGGAGTTCAGCTGACAATCGTCGACGTTGACGTCTTCGGCGGAGGCTTGGGACGATTCAGGACATGCCACCGCACCAAATCCAGCGTCGCCACTGAGTCCTCCACCGAACTATGTCCCACTGTTCCTCCGCCACTCTGGATCGTCTGGCCCAAAAATTCTTTCACTCTGCATACAGAACAATCATCAGCCGACCGAACTCACGCCTTCTTGTAGAAGGTAACAAGATCCTCACAATGCCCTCAATGCCCTCCGATACGGCGGGCCCGCCGAATGCGGAAACAGCGCTACCGTATCCACACACCGGTAATGCACCATGCGCAATGTCTTCAAGTCGTTTTCGAGCGCGTGCCCGATCACGACTGTTTCCGAGCTGATGAGCGTGTCGAGCGAACGCCGAATGCTCGCGAGCGGGAGCAGTGCGCTGGCGTGTGCCTCTGGAGTGATGCCCGAGAAGCGCGTATTGAAATCACTTATGGGCAAAGCGAAGCGTTAGGGTCGATAATTAATATGAATGAATAGTAGGAACAAACATGACCTCGACGCCGTCGTCCATGCGGACGAGCTCGTCGAACACTTCTTTTCCTGTCGCGTCCACCACGGAGACTCGCGCAACGCGCATCCCGCCGGTCGTGTACACCATCTCGCAGTCGAGCGCGACGACATCGAGCGCTGTGTCCGTGCGTGAGCTACCTTCTACCTCCTCATCTGAGTTGTCTCGTGATGGCGAATCGGGGGATGTTGAGTCTGCAGCCGATGAGAAAGGAGGGCGGGTGAAGGAGAACGGATGCCGGAGGTGGAGGTCCTCTGGCGCAGTCTCGTAGAATACGTGGAATCCGCGCTCACACCCCTCACTATCCGCCGGCCGCTCGCAGCATGTATACAACCGACGTTTCTCACCTGCAATCCGTATGAGCTCAGTACACAAATGGCCTGACATGGCACTTACCATTCGCTTTCGTCGTGAGCGCTTTCCCCCAGTGGAACACGCACTCGTCCGCCTCCCCCTTAGGCTTCACCTTGAACGCTTGGCCACACCGTTCGCAAGTTTTTACCACGCCAACCTCGCTGGGGCGCGTGCCGCCCGGTCCCGGGGGAATTTCGACGACGTAGCCCCAGCGGCGCATCTCTTCCATGGTGAGCATGTACGGCTCAAGCTGGGCGGCGGTGAGTCGGAGCGCTGCAAGTTTTTTGCGCGTGTCCGCACGTGCGGCGATCTCGCCTTCGGTGCCAACGGAGGGGTGCGATGCGTTGTCGGGGAAGGGGCGCCGCTTGAGCGAGGCGATGGAGGAGATGACAGCCTGATGGAGTACGACGCCAGTGCTGCAATTCGTCAGGTTGCTCTGCTGTAATGTGAGGAGGGAAGGGAACGTACGTTGCGGTAAGTGTGCTTGGTGGAGGACTTGTATACCTCTTCTTCTTGCCGAAGAGCGTGCTCGGAGGCGAGAGTGGGATTTGTAGAAAGAATCTTCTCGTATAAAACGACGAAATGGTCGTAAAGTGACTTGAGCATGGCCTATGAAGAAATCAAAAATGATGGGAAGAAATTGCGTGACAATAGCCGGGCGCACCTGGCGGACGGGGAGAGGAACTATCGACTGTGCGGGGTTGATGCGAAGGAGCGGTACTCCCGTCTGTACGTACATGAGCGTCTGCGTTGTTTGTGCCACAAATATGAGCTACTTGCCGAGGTATGTGTGGCAGTAGGGACGGCAATTGGCCTTCTGATCGGCCCTGTTCTCTGAAGCTTTCTGGGCGGTTCACTAGAGCTGCTTCCATTGCTCGGATTAGCAATGAGTTGTTGGGAGAGGGATCGCTTCGCAGGTATCGCGTTAATGCTTCTCTGAGTGTGGGAGGAGGTGGATGCAATGGCCGACGACTGCTTAGGCGTATCTTTCGGGAGATCGACGGGGATGTGAACGGTGGGTGGCTCGACGAGGCCTAGCTGGTGGCTAAATATGCAGTTCTGCCGCTTGCAGTTCTGTCTGTCCGGGCAGGGGAGTTTGTTGAAGAGGCGGAGGTCGGAGGGGAACATGGTGCGGGACCGAAGGAAAGAGAGATGCAGAGACGCTCGACGCGTTATGTGCGCCTGTTGTTCGTCGATCGCGCGACGCGTGCGGGGCAAAAGAGAGCGGCAGCGACAGCAGAGCAGTCTCCCCTAGGCAGATCTAGGCAGACAACTCCTTCTCTTAAAGGTCTGCTTCAAAACGCGCCTGTCAGACCGTAGCACAGACATTCAAACGTGTGTCGCCTCGATTAGGAAATGCCGAGACATGTCGCACGGATTTCTCCGGACGGTGGCGCGAGCTCATAGCACAGAAGAGACCTCCCTTGCGATGTCTGCAGGACATAAAATGAGTATTATTAACGTTCATGCTGGTTCGCCATGATTTTTTGAAGAGACGAATAGGCTTCCTCACCTTATATTGATACAAAGGCTACCCAACACCCTGCAAAGCTGCTGAATATGACATATGAGTTTAAAATGTAGAGAACGGCATACAGTTGTTAATTTATAAAGGCTCAATTAAAATTTGGACGTTTTATGCAGAGTTGGGAGCTTACGTAACTCCGAAAGCGCATCCTATCTACGGTCGGGGAGTGGCAGCAGAGGCTTGGCGTAGCGGCAGGCCTCCCACGTCGACCTTGCGTTCGTTTTCTCCCAGGCCTGTACGCCCGCCATGTCCGCCAACGGCCACCTCAAACATCGCAGACCCAGCCTCAAATCAAGCAGCAACGTCCTACGTAAGTCCCTCCAGCACATCGAGTGAGTTCACTTCAGCGCCGACGCCCATCATCTCGCTCAAACGCCTTATGACAGAACAGATCCCACCCACCATCTCGCAGGGCCTTTCAGGCCCCAGACGTACGTACATTTCATTTAGCGACGTTCGTCCTGCATTGACACCTCCCAGCCCGCTCAACGCGCAGTTCTCCCCCGTTGGCTCGCCAAATGATGCCGCTCCGTGGAGCGTTGCATCTGAGGGCCTCTGGGCCGACATCAAATCTAACCGTTGGGTGGTTGTCCCATGTATGCGCTGTTCTTGATGTCTCTACAGTCCACCTGACGCGTTTCACCGTCAGCATCCTCCTTCAAAATTTTGCTCATCGTTTTCGTCCTTTGGTCCAACTGGGAGGTTATCACGCCCTTCGTCGTGCCAGGCCTCCCCAACCCCTTTGCGCCTCTCCTCTTTATCTCACATCCCGTTCCGCCCTCGCCCACCACCCTCTCCACCCCTGAGCATCCGCGCTATGCCAAGGGCTATCTCGACCTCGTATTCATCGCGTACTACATCGTCTTCTGGTCGTTCTTTCGCCAGGTTGTCACTCTGTACCTCTGCCGATCCATTGCCAATTTTTTTGGCATCAAGAAGGAGGCGAAGCTCGCGAGATTTGGTGAGCAGGGCTATGCGATGGTGTATTTCGCCATTATGGGCGCCTGGGGAGCGGTGAGTTCTGTTTATGTGTATGCTTGCAAAGACTGGAAGCCAATACTGTCGCAGCGGATCATGTCTCAGCTCCCGACGTGGTGGTATCGCACAGAGTACTTCTGGATTGGTGCGTAACGACGCGAATATTCGTCTTCTGTTGTTCTCAACTCCGGCAGACTATCCACATTGGGAGATGACGCCGGAACTGAAACGGTACTATCTCATGCAAGCTGCCTACTGGTGTCAGCAGCTCATTGTCCTCCTACTCAATCTGGAGAAGCCGCGCAAAGACTATTACGAGCTGGTTGCACATCATTTTGTCACGCTCTGGCTTATTGGGTGCGTATTTGTATGAGTGGAAATGACGCAGCTCACACAAGTACAGATGGAGCTACTTGATTAACTTGACCTTGATCGGGAACGCAGTGTATGTCAGCATGGACATCCCAGATACATTCCTCGCGGTATGCACTACTTTCTTGCCTTTCCTGTGCTCTCTTCAACTCATCTTCTCTGTCGTAATAATCGCCACACGCAGTTTTCGAAGCTCATGAACTACATCCAGTATACACGCACCAAGGTCGTCTCGTATGGCGTGTTCATCGCCGTCTGGACGTACGTATACGCGTCCACTTCGCAGGAAGAGCATCGCGGCCTGATAGCATGTGAATTCAGGTACTTCCGTCACTGGCTCAATCTAGTCATCCTGTACTCGGTGTGGACGGAGTTCGACCTCATGCCGTGCGTGCCTATTGCAAGCCTCATACTTTCGGACAGTCACGCTGATCGTGCATTCACTTTCTCTTTACCAATGCAATGCCACCCACATCATCGTCGTGACAAACGCTGTGGTTCGTGTTGCTGCATACAGTGAGACGTCCAAGCGTTGGTCACCGAAGGATGGCGTATGGCTGGTGTGGTGGATGAAGTACCAGGTGTTCACGCCGATCCTGCTCCTGCTGTTCCTCAATATCTTCTGGTATATACTCATGCTCCGCATCGGGCTCAGGTGCGTCGCTTCTTTCCCCTCGCATCTAATCACATTCTCAGCTGACAACGTCTTTTACGGCAGAGTGCTGCAGTCGGAGGAGGCTTCGAAGGTGGGCGACGAGCGCTCCGACGATGAGGACGACGACGAGGACGATTGAATATGGGACTCCGCTCGGGATTGCAGACTATTTGGTCATTTGGATTTGGATAGAGGCTTCGATAATCTTACAGTCCTAATGGAGGAAAACTCGTTCGATACGAGCAGAGTGTAGCGTTATATTCTGTTGGACTGTTCCTCGCATGAAATGTATGCGCGACTCGTGTCGCACAGGCTGGATCTATGGGCCCGTCGTGCTTTCCAACATTACTGACTGGCTCGAGTGGTACAGACCTTGGCGTCGGAGGATGTAGAATGCCGCAGTGCACGGGAACGTTCAGATATCAGTTCCGACAACGTTGTTCAAGAATATATTCAAGCAGGTCCGTCTTTCCTATTGAGACATTCTTAGGTATATCATGCCCAGCTCAAAAAATACCACTAGTACCGTTCAACGCACAAAGTCGCGTTGAATTACATGTCGAACCCGTTCCACGTCACGTCATCGTTCCCAGGCTGCGCGTCCGCATCAACGGGCATCACACCCTCGAGGTCAGACATATCCGAGTCTTCCTCCCAAGCCTTGAACTCGACCTTCGGGTTTGAGCTAGTCGTGCGGTTGGGCCAGCGCTTCTCGCGCTGCACGTCCAGCGGGTCGCCGGACGCCATCGAACGCAGCACGGCCATGGTGTACTGTGCGCAGTCAATGATGAGCTCTACAGCTACGGTACTCAGTAGAGATGGGAGACTTACGTGCGCGTCGTTTCCCGCGTTATGCAGATATTCGGTGGGTAACTGGAGCAGCCTGCACCCACGCTCAAGCGAGCGCTTGTTTCCGCCCGACTCGCCCTCGAGCGCGGCGAACAATTCGGCTGTGTCGATGATGTAGATACCCGACGTGGGTGCCTGGTCTGGCAGGAGGTACTCGAATTCCGTGAGGGCCTGGATGGTGTCTGAGCGCAGGTATCTGATCGAACGCGGTGTCAGTCGAGATGAGAGCGAGGCAGAAACATTCATACTTGATGTCTTGCTTGTTGTCGTGGAAGATGAGGAAAAGCGGGCCTGCTTGGCGGTGTGTCTCGATGAGGTCGAGGATCCGTTTCCGGAATGTTTTCTTGTCCACCTCTTCGCTTTCTCCGAAGCCAAATTTCTGATGCACGCACGGTCAATCAGTGCTCCTGCACAATGCGTAAGTATGCGCACTTACGTCACGATTGTCATCGACATATGTGCCGTTGAAGAAGCCTCTATGTTCACGGATGGTCAAGTGACCTTCCTCCGTGATTTCGTTCTGCTCGTCTTCATTGCCCTCCCAACGAACGAGGCTCCACCCAAACTCGGTGAGAACATGGTGGTCGCGTTCCCAGGCCTCAAAGTCCATCGCACACCACGTCCCGACACGCTCAGCCCAGAAGGTGCGGATCCTCTCGAAGTTCAGCCGGCGATTGGTAAGGAGAGAAGGAGCAAATTTTAGCTTCTTGTTGTTTTTGTCGATCGTCTGGTATAACATAAGTGTTAGCGGAAAAGTATTGATGTACGATGGCAGATCCGTGGAACAGTCCATAAGATGAGGAGTCTGCTAGAGTACCTTGATCGCCTTCTTGAGGACCGAAGCTTCCCTGTAGACACATGGAGAACAGTTGGCAAGCTCGCTTGGCCGGATCATCCAATCCGATGCCGGAAGTGGTATCAATGAATCTGTCAGGCCCACGGCGTGCAGCCAGTACCGCATATATTCGATTTGCGCAGAGGACATCAGCAGTCGCATTTCTCCGTTTGCGAACGTGCCTATAGAGCATAATGTCAAAGAACGCGTTACCGATGTGAGAGGCTGATATCGCGTACCGAGATACATCTCGATTCCGTCCACTCCCTGCTCTCGAAGAGGGTGGTCAGGATGTACGAGGGCATCATAGGAGATCAGTGCTTTCAGCGGGCCGATGTCCTCCTTGTTCGGAAGCGCTTGGTGCCTGTCGAGCATGCCAACCCGCAACGTCCACAGATGCGATTAGATTCTCTATCGGGTGGGTGATAGTACACAAATAGGATACATGCCACTCGAAGAAAATATCCGTAAACCTGAAGTATCCGGTCACCCCTGCCGTCATTACTGGTACGTGATATCAAACAGGCCGCTGAGCGAGGGTATGCGTTCCAGGTCGGCAGAGGGAGCGGATGCAGACAGAGAGGCGGAGCGCTGGGCACGACAGAGAAGACGCGTCAGTCACGCGTCAGTCACATTTCCCAAATGAGGGCGACGCGTCAAGTTGACATTCGTGTCGACCGTATGGTCAGCCCGGCCACCTCTCCTTTACAGTGATACCTTTGACAGTCTCCTCCTCCTCTCGCTGAGACACCAGACCTCTACGCGTTGTGTAAGTCCACATTTAAATTTCACGATAGGCGCGCTCACTTGCACCAACAACTACTCCCACTTGAGGACGGCAGTAGTGCCAAGAACGCAGAAATGGCACAGACAGTGCAAAAGAACAGACGACGCCAGCCTGCGTCGGAGCAGAACAGCTCAGACGCGACACCGCCTGCTGCACGGAAGAAGGGACGCCCAACCACAGCGCGGAAAAGCACAGGAGGACGGCAGCCTCCTCCAGCGCCCCGCCGCTCGAGTGGCGCAGGTGGTGGCGGAGGAGGAGGAGGAGGAGGAGGAGGGGCAGTGGGCGCGCAGGGGGGGCCTCGTAGTGCGTCGATGTTGTACCTCTTGACCTCAACACGGCCGTCACTGATAGTCTGTGTCGTGACGTTCAGAGAGGAGATTCCGACCAGGCACTGTCGCGTTGCGCGAAATAAGAAAATATCAGAAAAGCACAGAACTGCTCATCCGCAAGCTGCCGTTTGCACGAGTTGTACGTTCGCGCCTTGTGGCCACAATGTCTGCGGAGCCACTCACGGTGTCACTCGTCTCATTTAGGTCCGAGAGATCGCGTTGGACATGATCACAGACACGGTGGATTACGGCCACAGTGGCCTGCGATGGCAAAGCTCAGCCATTCTGGCATTGCAAGAGGCAACGGAGGCGTACCTCGTCCACCTCTTCGAGGATGCGTGCGTGTCCATCGCTCCGCTCCCGATTCAGGTTGCACTGAGACCGTGTCTACAGGAACCTCTGTGCGATACACGCGAAGCGCGTGACCCTGATGCAGCGCGACATCCAGCTCGCGCGTCGGATACGCGGTCCCTGGGGCGGGATGGCGTGATGCCCGCATCATATGACCACCTATACTTGCGCTATCTGACTGCATGCGATCTACTGTCTCTCGGAGCTGTACTTCTACGACTACAATCGCTTTCTCGCCGTTCGCCGGCGGACTCTAACATACTCAATAATAACTCGTTCAGTGAAGCAGCCGGAGTTAGGTTTCGCCTTGTCTTCACGGGCTGAAGAAGAGTTCACCGCGAGGCTGAGATACTCGTATGTGCTGGTGGTCTACCGTGCTATAATGCTTCCTCTCCTGGCAGGGCGTGCCACGCGCCCCGCTATGGGAACGCCAGCCATACATTCCCAAGCAAGGCTTCACATGCCCTTGGATACCGGCATAAACGACTATCAAGACCACGCGGTGAGAGAATAGGCTTTGTGAAAGCCAATGTCACTGATACCACGGCGGACGTTCCCAGAGGCCTCGCAGACGTTGTCCTATCGTCCCTCTGAGGCATGCGCTCGTATGCCTGCGAAGCAGCGTGTGTGCGGTGCGTTCGCACTTGACGTCGGACAACAAGTTCGCGAGCTTCCTAAGGAGCCTGGACGCCGGGGTGCAACCCCGGGGAATGCCTGTCTGCATGATAGAAGGCGTCGTGAGACTGGCAGACTCGCCGACTGTCTGGTGTCTGGAGACGGCTGCAGGTCCACATGGTGTGATGCGGTGGTTCGTTCGTCGTGGCCAGGCTGCTTCTTCGTCGGAATGCAGCAGGGGGGGCCCTTCGGAGTTGCTAGCGAAAAAAAAACGCGAGCAGTGAGAGCGCTGGAGAGGAGGGAATTGAGCGACTTGAGACCGGTCCATGAGTGCTGCTTGAGGAAGCTCGACAATGAACTGATATGATTTTTACGTACGTGTTCGTCTCGATTCAATCGAGCGTGGAACGTGTGCAGCGCGGAGCCGTTACGAACGTTGGCATTGGCAACGCACTACGTGGTCCGTCTTGTGCCATGAAAAGCACAGACGTGCAACGGAGCCGCCAACATTGGAATTTGGCACACGCCGCAGCAGCCGCACGATCTGAATGATGGAAGCGTGTAATACAGAAGTAGCGAACGTATCTCGCTCGCTCGAGGTGTTGTTCAGGTGATCATCTTTGTGGGAGGATGACAGTCCCGAATCGTTATACGAAATATTCGTATTTCATCGACTTTGACACGTTGGCGCAGTCTAAACACCGAATAAGACCAATGTACATTGACATTCCATTCATGCGAACGAAGGACGTTGACTTCAAATTGTTATTCATAACGCAACGACAGGTCATTACATGTTTATGTACATTGTACACCGGTCGTCACTTCCCCCCGCGCCACACCCTGGGGCCACAGCTGCCAGCAATGTTCAAACGTCGCGAATTCGGCAGCATTCACGAGACGGGCTGTGCAAGCGGTCCCGCAGGAAGCATGAGTAAGCCCAACGATCGTCGACTCGCCAAACGGTACGAACCTTGGACGCAGAAGCAGAAGAAACGGCGTCCTCCACCACACATTCCATTCGCGAACCGCGCCCACGCACAGCGTGACACGACGAGCGGCCATCCCGCCACAGATGGAATGTGGAACTGCACATACACCCCCCCCCCTGCACGATGCGAGAAAGTTACCGATTCTATGGTGTGCTGGCTGCCGAAATCACGGAGAATCAGATGAACCGAGCGCAGACGCGTCGCGACACGTCCTCGGAAGGCGCTTGCCAGTGGCCAGTGGGGTATAGCACTACCCTTCCGCAGTCGCGAAATCACGAGGAACTGACGAATAATCAGACGAGGCGCCGTCGAAGTCACGATCGACGCCCGTCGACCCATTGACATCGGTGTATTGCACGTCAAAAAAGACGCTTCGCTTCAATGAGGAATGATTCTAACTAACCAAGTCGAAGCGAGCAGGACCAGCGCGAACCATGAATGCATGAAACACGGAGACGTACCACACACCTAGGATAAAATTGGAACGCTCCGGATCCACTAAATGAACCGATCCGTAGTGATGCACCCAGGAAGCAAACAGAGCAAAGACGACGACGGTGGCCACGCTTTGAGTCTTCCATTACACTTTGCGTGCGGGAGAGAGGCGCGGCCTGCCGTGGATGCATGCACGAGCTTCAAATTCGCGGTTACCTCGGCACGGTCCTCGTCTCCGAATGTGATCATGCAAATGACTATTCACGGGTCGTCGCGCGTGGGAGGTCCATGCTCGCACGATGCGTGCAAGTTCTGACGTCGTTGCGGGGTTGCGGCATGTACGCCAACAGTGACGCCAACTGTGAAAAGCTAACAAGCTCAGCCATCGTTGGCTCGGACAAGTACAGTCATCTGGAGTTTGCATCACAGTCGATTGAATAGGCGTGCTTAGTAGAGGCGGGTAGCGCACCTCACGCTGTTGAACACAGCTTATGGGCGCTGGATCACTGCGTTTCGTCTGCAGCATACAAGCGGTAAACCTTACACGCTGCGGCTTCACTTTCAATACCGTGTGCTTGCGGTTCTTTGTCATGCGTGCTGTGATATTCCTCTGAAACGCGTCTGCATCTCTTGACCCCAAAGATGGAATGGACTATCCGCGATACCTATACACATTCAAGCTGACGACGGTGTCGTCAGCATGGGGTCCATGGAATGGACTCACGCTATGGCCTGGCCATCGCATCCGTCTTCGTCCTCGTCCCCTGTATGAGCTGCTGGATTTCACGCGGACCAGCCACTAGACGTCTGACGCGTCCATGCCGGGGCTGTGGCTGAACGCTGTCATTCGCCGGGGCCCGCGATGCTGATTATCAGTGTGGCCACTGATTGGAACCCGGTTTGCGGTGCACGCGTTTCCAAAGACGGTCAACAGTTTGGCTGATGACAAGATGCGCAGAAGGACGTTACGTGATTCGTCGCTTGGCCGCCTTTGTGCCACGGAATGAACGATGAACGTGCATTCCAGCTCGTTCTCTGTCGCGATCAATGACGTGCTGGGTGGTGAGTTGGAGACGTCACATAATATGGACTGATAGCGGCTGCTCCTTTCTGTGGGCTCCTGATGGTCTCCTGAACCGGATCGCGCGGGGAGTTCGGCGAGTGAGTCGAGTGTCAGCAACACAATCACGGCCGTCAAACAAACGGGGAAGAATGTCCGACGAGGAGCGAGCCAACAACTTGGCGTTTCAGGCGGTGACGCCATATTGGACGAGATGCTTCCGTGCGTCCGAGCCGGGCGGTGGGACAGTCTGTCGGAGTGGGATCGGTGCGGAAGGTGGGGGAAATGCGATGTTGAGAGGGCGTTGGCGTCAAGACAAGCACGTTCGCCCGTACGTTGAGACGATTAGGCCAGCGATGACTGCCGCGAAGAAGGCTCGTCGTCGGTCGATCGGGGGATATCTGAAGGCAGGCACATGACGGAGCTAACCGCATCGGCAAGCAGCGGGAGAAGAGTGTCGGTGGCAGCGGGATAAATGGGAAGACGATTGGCGAAGACGGCGTGGGTAAATATAAAGTCTTCGTAAAGGCGTTCATATAAAAGGGGAATGATGACAGATTTGCAGGGATAGGCGTGATTAAAAATAGTACGCGAGTGGGAGCGCAGTGGATGGAGGAAGCCTGGCAGATGGACTGCAGAGGACTGCATGGGCAGCACAGGATCGATGCCAGTGAGCGTGTGTGGCTGACTCGAAACAGCCAAGCGGTGGCCACATCCGCGGTGGGGCGGGAGGAGCGTCTCGGACGGGCGGCCGGTGGTGAAGTGAACGTGCATGATGCGAACTGGGCCATCCTCGGATCGATTCGCAGCGTCGTCACTGCTGTTCCCAGTGCGCGAGCCTCCGCCGAGCCTCGGTCCACATCGCATCCGCCTGGCTCAAATGTTCCCAGCCGTCCTCTTCTGATCCATCCCTCGCCTCCATCCTCCGCCCAAGCTGTCTCTTCTCCTCGCCTCCGCTGCATATCTACCCCTCACGTCTTCCCCTGCTTCTACATAACCGGCTTTGACGTCTTCGGCTCCCTCTCATGCGCCGCCTCACCACCGCCCTCTTCGCCCGCCGCGACAAGGTTAAGGACAAGGACAGAGACTCTCGCTCCGACACCCCCGACGACCTCTCCCAGTCCACCCACACCACTGAGCGCACCGACCACTACCCAAACGGTGATCCGCGCACAAAACACAGCAAGCTCGCCTCCCCGATCCTTACCAGGCCAAAGTCCCGCTTCTTCCTAACCCTCGTCCGCAAGCCCCTCCCCGCCGGCGGCTCCTCCTCCTCCTCTTCCAGCGTCGCGCCCTCCACCCCAGAAGACGACGTCGCCCCCGCTCCCGCTGTCTATGATACCCCCACCGTTCTGACCACCCAAGACAGCGACGATGACAATGACGACGACGACGACGACGACAAGCCACTCACCCCTGCGCCCCCGCCCCCGCGCACCCGCATCGCCCAGGCCCAGCACATGCCCGCTATCGCTGCGCCTCTATTGCCGCCGCCCACTACAACTCCCGCATTGGCTACTGCGACCATCACGTCCCCTCCTCATATGCACGCACAGCAGGTCGTCACTCAGACCACCAGGAGTCCTCCGGTGTCTCCAGCTGCTTACGCTCGAGCTCTTGCGCAGGCTGCCCTCGCTCCCGCCTTCTCGGCCCCGCCTCTCCTGCCTGTGCAGCACCTCCCGCTCTTCCCGCGTTCTGTAAATCCCACTCGCGCCCTCGCCACATCTCCATCGCATGCTCCCCTCCTCCGCCAGCTCGCACACCGGCACGTCCTCGCTCGTCTCTCGCCAGAACGCCTTTCCCCCGCCGATGAGCGATGCCTCGCCCCCTTCGCAGGGCGGTCGCGCAGGCCCGATCCCAAGCCGAGCGCGGACGCGAAACTGACGCTAGACTCGCCGGCCACGGTCAGCGTGCGCGGTGTCATGCCCATGAGCGAGGGGCTCCGTCGGTGGGTCATGCGCCCGTGCTTCGAGGACCGCTTCGTCGTGTACGTCCCCTCCACGGACAGCGTAAAGTGCATGTCTGTCTCGGGCACAGGCCTCGGCGTTGCTGCGCTCGAGTACAGCGAGGCGCTGGAGGCGCTCGCAGGGCTCGGCGAGGATGACGATCAGCGATTCCACGCCGAGGATCTGTACCAGAATAGCACGCCAGCGGAGGACAAAAAACGACAGGCGCAGTCCGGTGCCACGCTTCCTTTCCCTCGCGCCGAACCTGGCTCCAGCTCTGCTCAAACACGAGCGCAGACGCAGGACCAGGCATTCCCAGTGTGGGCCGCGCTGATGGGCGAGGAACTAGACACCGTTCTCTCGCCGACACTCAGTGTCACTACGAGCTCCACGTCGCTTGCGAGTTCGGGCCCGCCGACGCCGACGTCGCCGCCTGGCGGGGAGCCTCCATCTGTTCTTAGTGGCGGAAAGGCAGCGATCGGCCAGCAGGGATCAGGTGAGCCGTGCTTCTCGCTGTGTGTCCTTTCCGGGCACGTTCAGGTCTTTTGCTACCCCCGGAGGCTGGGTGTGCATTTCCTTCACCTTCACATCGACCACTCGCCGGCCTGCTGCCGTGCGGCTCCTTCACCTCGTCTCGACTGCGCGCGCGGTGCGAGCCGATCCTTTCTATTCTTCTATTCATTCTTGACTCGCTTGCCCCCTTGATGATGGCAATGTTGCTGACGCTGAACTGCGTGTGCTGTGAACGCTCGCCTTCTTCTGCAGGTACGTCGCCCCGCGTGCAGACGCAGCCACACAAGGCCCAACCATCGCCCCTGCGTATAGAGCAGAACATGATTCTCCCTAACCCCTACTCGCCCGTCAAGTCGCCCTCAAAGTCTGCATCGGACATGCCAGCGCCTACCCCGTCACCCGCACCGACGAACACGAGCGCGAGCACGTCGACCGCGACGATCACGCCTGCTACTGTCACCTCGCAGGCTCCGGGGAAGGCGCCAGCACCGCAGAAGCTCGGGGTGCGCTTCGCGGAGGACGAGCGGCCCGAGCGCAACGATAATGTGCCGCTGGGGTACGTCCAGCGGATCAAGCAGAAGCGCTTGGAAAAGCAGCGCTTCCTCGCTGAGGAGCGCGCGCGCAGGGCACAGGAGGAGCAGCGCCGGGCGGAGCGCGCACGCATGGAGGAGGAGCAGCGGAAGCGGATGGAGAAAGAGAAAGAACGGAGAGAGTACGAGGAGGAGAGGATGAGGAGGATGTATGCGGAGGAACTGACGGCAGCGAGGAATAGACGGGAGGGCATGCGATTCGTGCCGCCGACCGTGGCGGGGGTGACGCCGGGTGGAGATTATGGTGGTTCGAGGGGGAGGAGGGAGAGCGTTGGGGCGGGGAGGGGAAGAGAGACGACGAGGGACGAGTCGTACAAGCGGCCGGTGTACGACGAGAGGAGGCAGAGCGAGCCTACACCTGTGGGTGCACGGAACGGCTCACCCGCGTCGTCGATGCACCACCTCTCTGTCCCAGGCGCGCGGAACTCGTCACCAGCACCGAGCGGGAGCGGCAGCCAGAAATCGTCGTCGCACCAGTCACATTCACATTCGCCCCTCGCGCCGCCACCGACCCTCGGTCAGTCCGCACGCTCGTCATCTGCGCCGGACGTCCGCCCACGCGAGCGTAGTGGGAGCGCGACCACTCCACAGGCGCAGCGCGCGTCGATGGCGGGTGATGGCAGGGACCGTGCAGCGTCGCTCTCGGCGAACCCGTGGATGGGTGGCGCTCCGATGAATATGGGGATGGCCATGGGCATGCCGATGGGGATGAACATGAATCGGATGAGCATGAACATGGGCATGATGAACGTCTCGCCGATGCAGATGGTCGTCCCGATGGCGGTGCCCGTCCCCGTCCCCGTTGCGGCATATGGCATGCCGATGGGCATGGAGCCGCTTATCCCGCCGACGCCGCCGTTCGTGATGCAGCAGTTTGGGTATCGCCCGCCGTCGTCGCAGAGCAAGCGCAGCCATGAGCACAGCAGCCAGGGTCAAAGCCAGCGGAGGTCGCACAGCTCGTCGCCGACGCCGCCTCGTGCGCCGGAGCCCCAGTCATCACATCAGCAGCACCAACATCAGCAGCAGCAGCAACAATCGCGCTCGCAGAGCTCATCGCCGAGTGCTAAGCGCGCGGCAAGGGAGACGTTCCCGCCGAGCGCGAGCAAGGGCGCGGTGCGTGCGAGTCAGGGCCAACTTGCAGAGCAGACGTCACCATCGTCGCGGTCCCCGCGCGAATATACCCAGATGCGTCGTTCGAGCGTTGATGGCGACTTGCACCGGATGTCGCAGGTGTACCCCTCCATCGCTGCTGGAGGCCGCAGCGAGCGCGAGCTCAGTAGGGATCGCGACGAGCGGCGGAGCACGCGGTCGTCGTCTGCGGTGCCGGGGCGCTCGTCGAACCACCATTCGTCGATGCCGACGGTGCCAGCGTCCCACCAGTCGGCGACGTCGGCGTCGAGGCCGACGATCGTCTCCGAGCATAACTCGTGGGCGCGGCCGTCGTCTGGATTTCAGATCCTCAGCAGACCGTCGCAGTCGAGGAGACAGACGGTCATTTCATGACATTGGCTAGACGCGCTCGGATGGCTTCTCGCGATCGCGATTTTTTATGTTGTTCGATTGGGATGGATGAGATGTGTATGTGCATCGCGTTTATTTGTTCCGCTGCATTTGTTCACTATCCACTTTGGACGCCACGTTCGTTCCGTTGCCACTTTGCACACACTCTCTCTCGTTCCATGCCTGCCTCGTTCACATATAATGTTCACGCTTTGCAGCCTGTCTCTTCACACCCTCTTTTTTCTCTCGCGCTTCATCGGTCACGACGAACACGTATATTAAAACCCGTAGTTTACGTGCTTTGGGACTCGGCGCCATCGTGTACTACACTCAACTTGCATACCTCGTAGCTACCTGCATTCATACAGACTATATTCGTACTTTTGTCCCGCCCAATCCTGCATAGCGGACTTGACCGTCTGACCCGTTTACAATGGCCACATGATGTTTGTTGCATGCTTCGTATGTCCGAGGCCGTTGTTGCATTCACCGCACGGATGGCTTGCTTGCGTTCGTTCGTGCTGGTTTCTTCTGTATGGACGACGGTTGGAAGGCTTTTTTGCTGCGGCTGCGGCTGCGGAGTCACTGAGGAGGAGTGCGTATCATATCTCTCGTTTATACTGTACATCTTCTCAATCACTGAAAAACGTTTCGTGAATGTCAAATGCTTAATATCCAGATTTCACGCGCTGAGGGATATCGTACACCGGATGCTATTAATTGTCCGGCTAGATACAAGTTGGCTACGATACATCGGTCAAGCAGTCCAACGCAAGAGGCGTTATCATATACAGTAGCAATCTATCGCCGTTAATGACATGTCGTGAGATACTCACGCATCCGCACGAGCACCTAGGGAGACGTGAACCGGGTCGTACGGCTCAGAAGCCAAATCCAACTTTTCCGTGGTAGGCACCAGAGTGCGCCCAGCCATATCCGGGCGGACGTACGAGCGGTCCTTGCCATCCTTGCGGCCACGCCTCGTGAAGAACAGCGCAGCCAGGACGACGTATCCCAAGCCCATGACGCCGACGACTGCGATCAGGGCAATCGTCACCGGGCGCATCGACGCGTGCGTGGACGCGTAGTCCGTCGCGAGATCACCGATGAGTGACCGGCTGAAGTTCGTCACGGTCGATGTGGCCCGAGCTTGCCAGGTGTTGCTGGGGGTGCCGCTGCCGGTGGGCAGGGCGTTCCCGGATACGCGGGGGACTTGCTCGGCGGTGGGCTGGACGCCGACGGAGATCCCGCAGCGCGTTAGGCATTCTTGAGAGCCGAATGCGACGTCGTCTGGGATCTGCGAAGTCGAGGAGGATGAGATGTGTTGATAGTGAAGGGAGGGACAAGGTGTTAGCACACCTTCTCTGCCAGCCATCCGACTTCTTCCACACCAATCTCGCCGAGGGATGCCGCGACGATTGACGGAGGCAAGCCGAAGACTGGAACGACGGGATGAGAGGGGCGCTTCGCTGAACTACGAGGTGATTACTCACGGCTCTGGGCAGCTAGCAGAGTACCAGGATCTTCAGAGTTCAGAGCCGCTATTGGGCATTGCCATGAAAGTTAGGTATCATGTAAGAGTAGCAGCTCGGAAATACTCACAAACAAACTGTACGGGCTCGCAGTTATCGTTGAACTGGAAGTGAATCGAGCCCTGAGATCGAGTCGATGAGAATCATGAAGCGCCCATACAAAAACCGCAACCATACCTGAGGCAAAATCATCCCCTGTCCAGCTGTGACGTTGTTGATGATGAAGCGAGAACCCGTCTCCGTGAGCATGCCATTCTGTATCGACCCGTTGACTTGGTACAGGAATTCAGCTGCACGAGGGTGTGTATGAGGCGTGTTCATGCCACAAGGCCCCAGGAAGCCGGCGAGCAAGGCGATCCCTGATAGTGCCAACCACTATTCAGACACGCGCCACAGCTTCGAAGATAGAATTAGACGTACCATTTCCTACTAGAGCAGGGAAATCAGAGACGGATGCAAGGACTAGGTGGCCAGCTGCGCCTGGGACGACGCCAGAGGACGGCGGGTTGAAAAAGTCGAAAAGAAACTGTACAGAAATTCAGCCCAGTTCAGTACATTCCGAAGAGGTCAGTGATAATGCTATTTACCTCTGAGTCTTGAGGAAGATCTGCGACTCGGTCCACATGATCTGGTGCCACATCGAGCTCAGCGATCAGTGACGCGGTCGCGGTAGTTTGAGCGAGGGCCCCCGTCGCGACAAGGACCGAAGATAGCAGCAAGGAAGCCAACATGAGTAGTAGGGAACTCTGCTACAGAAAAGGCGACAAGAGCTAGGACGGTGGGATGCCCTTGGGCGGGGGTGAGAAACGCTGCACTAGCCGCCTCATTTTATACATGAGCAGACTTCCCCTCCTGTTTCATAGGCTGAGCTTCGGGTACCGAGGACCAGTGATCGGAGTATGTAATGACAGAGCGGGCATAAAGGGCACCACAGAAAGAAGCTCCACTTGATTGGTCGCGCACTGCGCCTACGCTCTTAGATCTGGGCGGGAATATCGCCGTGAAAGACAAGTTTCAGCAGGTCGTTTCGAATAAGACGATCTCTCTCGTTTATTGTGCAGCGCACAAGCACCGCATTCCGACAAATATAGACTGTTTTGTGATGAGACAGCAGGACAGAGTCTGATTGGCTAAGATAACGAGATCATCGCACAAAAGGGGTGGCCGGGTGGAGAGTGCATCAAACGTGGACGAGCGCTGATGCTGGGTATCACCCGAGGGCGAGGCGCGCGTCACCGAGCTCGAAGATCATGAATGTTGAACGTCGTTGAACAGGAGTGACGCAAACCGCATTTGTTCAACGATTTGCCAAAACCTTGCAGCGAATACTGTGCAATCTTTGCCGGAACGTAAAGGATAACCCTTTGCCATCCTGCGACACGTGCACTCAGAAGAACCGAGGTCCCCGAGCTCGTCTTGTTTGATAATAAATGCACTGTCATGGGCGTAGAGCAAGTCGGTTTGCATTCCCCGTCGACCAATAGTGGAGTTCCACGATGCTGTGCAAGGGGCCCTAGTTCTGAAGATGAAACAATGGCTGGAGCCATCTTCAAGGAACTACGTATCCCATTGAGCGTCGAAGCGGTGTGCAATTAGTACAGACAACGCACCTCGTTCTCAGCAATGCATGTGACCGCGGCCGTTATGATTCAGTCTTCCTGCACATTCAAGGCACCGGACTCGGACCTTTCCCTTTCTCCTTCCTCTCCGTAGTCTTCCGCCACCGTGGGAGCCGCCTCTCAAAATTCTCTACAAGACGCGCGACATAGTCTTCAGGAACTCCCGTCCACTGTGCCGCACGCTTGATGACTGTCTCATATTGCTCGGGTAGCGGTCTGGCGGCGTCCTGTGTTTTGTAGATGCGAATCTCCTGTCCGGGGCGAAGACTCATCCCGTCGTCGCTGATAAGTGTGGGTCTCAGCGGCTTCAAGTCAGATCTCTGTGCAGAAGCCTCTTCCGAGGCCATTCGCGTGGATCTTCGTTCGAGAGGGAAAGAGTCAATTTCTGCATTTCGCCCTGATCACTAATCAGCTTCGCTGACAACCCGAAATCATTGCGCGTTAATCCTCACCCGCTGACAGATTCTCGCGAGGTAGTAACGCTCTTTCGCAAAAGTCAAGAAATTGGTCGAGCGTTGAGTCATCCATGTCAAGGACAGACCTTCAGCGGCATCAGCGGTCAGTGATGACATTACACACATTTAGGTACTCACAATTCAGTTGTCTCGCTGAATGGAACATCCTTGTTGGGATTCTTGTTTTGCTCCTCAACGCGCGCAAGATACTCATCGAGTCGCGGCAGCGCACATGCTGGATCGTCTCTCTCAAGAGGCAGTCTACAACACTTCACTCATCAGTCACGAATTCTTGCGTGCCATACAATGGAACCCCACCTTTCTCTGCCATCAAGGCCATACACTAACTTCAGGACAACTATCACGACTGCAATGAGGGAAACCTCTTTGATAGCGTCATCATATTTTTGCCATTGCCGCTCTGTGTGACTCTCATTTGCGGAATGCGCGAACAGCGGTCGATTTAACACCAACGGCACAGAGAGCGCCTTCGCCATCTGCTTGGAAAGCTGATATAGTGTGGCTGATGCAAAAGTTAGCACGCTGGACTCAGAACGACATAGATAGATTGAACTTACGTGTTCCGCATAGAGCACGAACTGCTCGCCAGAGCATCGGAAGCGCATTCATCTCCGGAGTATACACAGAATAGCGGGAAAACATGAGTTTGGCCAGTTTTGAAGTCAGCGCGTGTAATTTGGAAGGCGTGGGCGGATGCTAGTATACAATTAGTTTGAGATAAGGACTTCAGAGAATCATGCTTACAAAGGGAGACAAAGCGCCGGCAGTATGTTTTGTGAGATGCGAAGTGAGGCTCGCAGGGAGGAGGCGGCGAGCCTCCAGATAGGGCAATTCGTACGTTTCAATCAACCTGCATGTTTAACGTCTGGAAATGCCCCTTCTGGATAGGACTTCGCGTACCTGATGAAGTCCATGTACATAACGGGGAGACGCAAGGTCCAGCATGCGACCATCAGCACAGCGATATTGCTGGCTGGCGCGTCGTATGATCTTTGAGAAACTTTCTTCGCTGCTGGTTTGACAGAGAGACGCGGCCTTGAAATATCTTCAAATTCGTCTTCATGTGAGGGCGTCACCGAATTTTCTTTCATTAACTCCTTCATCACTGGGTCTTCCTCTAATTCTTCATCCTCGCTTGAAGATTCTGATGAAAAGGAAGGAGGCTCCCACGTCTCAAACTCGATTTCGGTATGCTTTTGATCACTTGATTCGCCACCACCATCATTAGCGTCCTTCGGTGGGTTCATTTCACCGTCACTAGCGATTTGTGTCCTTGAGTTGGCAAGCCTCTCCTCTTGAGCATAATGGAAAGGCTCAGCAGGTGGTGGATTAGGTAAAAGGCTTAGATGTAGAGCCCAGGTGTCCCTGCAAACGATCTGCGTTACGTGAGTGTTGACGAGAACCGAGAGAGAGAGTTCCCACACGGACTTGCCTCATACTCTGGTGGCAAATGCCATGCCTTCTTAAGTGCAACAATCTGCATTCTCAGAATAAGCTGCAGACACTGGAAGTAATGAAACCGTGCGCGTTCGCCGTGGTACGCTGCTGAAGCATCAGCAACCATTCTCTTCGAGTCTCGACGCGGACATACTGACGTTTAGAATTGGCTTGGCCCAGGTTGTCTTTCCGTTCCCGCTGACTAGTAATCTGTCTCTTGCGTAGTTCATGCGTGCCTGTCCAATCTTCGATCTCATTATTTTCACTTCTGTAGTTCTACAGCAGGTTTAGGTGCAACAACCTTGAACAAGATTGCCGGATGTATACCTGTAGAACATGCCCTTCACGGCAGAAGATAAGCCCGCTGGATGGTTGTTTGTGCCATCGCTTCGAGCCACATACAGAACAACGATTTCGAGACGACATGGATGTTCGATGATGGGGATGTCGAGTTGAGTAACGTCGAGCGAGGCATGGCAAGAATTTCGCCGAATGAGGAAGGATCTGTAGATAATCGCGTGGCCGCTCGATCTCCATCCAATCAGATCGCTTGCTGCGAAATCGCGTCCATGCTTTGATCGACAGATCAATTCGCTGTTACGGACGTGGACAATCTCGCTTGGACGAACCTTACCGCTCTCTTGCCATCCGCTCCATGATTTTCAATTACTAGACCCCGAATAATTACTATCGCCGCAGGGCTCTTGGTGTCTCAACTTCCTGCAAAGAACTCGCGGCCGCTGCACGGTCGCGCATAGTCCCGATGCAGCTCTCTCTCTTCTTCCTCCTGGCTACTCTGATAGCATGCGTGGCAGCGTAAGTCGGCTCTTTTTTCTCAGTCCAGCTCTCCACGCTTACCATTAATGTTATTTGCAACACGGCAGGTGGACTAAGGTACGTATTCATTGCGGGCGATTGAAAGCGCTTCTAACGCATGCGATTCGCGTACAGGATGACTACGAAATCTTCGACCTTGTGAGCGCCGTTGAGGCATCGGAAGGTTACTGTTTCACGATGTGAATGCTGTCGCAATGTCTAAGCTATCGTCGCATTCAGGGAAGGGTACTACTTTCTATTCGTGGCTCGGAGTGCCATCAACTGCCTCTACGGGTGAGATTGCCAAAGCCTACCGCAAAAAGAGCATTCAACTCCAGTAAGTGCCGCCCAAGGTGCGATAACCTACTGGTCTGACGTGTTGCTCGTGAAAGTCCAGACAAGAATCCAAACGACAAGAAAGCTCACGAGCGCTTTGCGAGGCTCGGTATTGTCTCGTCGATTCTGAGAAATACAGAGAAGCGCGAACGGTACAGCCATTGATAGCATATTAGTGTTATACGCTAATCGCGGCCTAGTCAGATATGACTTTTTCTACAAGAATGGCGTGCCGAAATGGAGAGGCACTGGATACTACTATTTGCGGTTCCGTCCCGGATTGGGGGCACGTAGCTGTTCAGCAAGCATCGAGGTCATTGGGAAACTGACACCGTTGGCTTTGCAGACTGTTCTCACATTCTTGATCATCGTCACGTCAACATTGCACTACGTGATACAAGGCCTCAACTACAAGCGCGATCTCAAGAGAATCAACTTTATTGCGGAACAAGCACGTATAGCCGCTTGGGGGACAAAGCTGATCCCAACATCCGAGGGACAGAGGAAGGTTCGTGCTAATTAAAGATCAGGCACAGCGCTGCAGGTGTTTAACTGTGATGTCTATTATAGGTAAAGGTCAACCTCGGCGGCCCGCCGCGACTTGATGAAGATGGCAATGTGGTAGCTGGGAAGATGGTTGATATGGTCGTGGAAGGCCATGATGTCTACATCGTGAGCAACCCCAGCACCTGTGATCGAGTTCACGTCTGATAGTCGCCTCTCAGCTGGAACCCGATGGGAATCTGCTGCCTGTGGACAGCAACACTGCCATCCCGCCGTCGCTGAAAAGGACATGGTTCATTTCCCTCATGATCAGGCTATACGAGCGCATGACCGCAGGCAAGAATGCCGCATCAGGCGATAACACTAAGGCAACGACAGATGCGGATCTTGAGGACAGCGACGATGCTTCCGCGAGTGCTTCTGATATCCCTGGCAGTGGGGCAGCGACTCCGAAAGAAGGGACCGTATCTGGAGCGAAGAAAGGAAGAGCCGCTGCAGCTGAGTTGGCCGGGGGAAGGAGAAGGAAGGCAGTGAGAAAGAGGTGATTCGTTGATCATCTGCAGGTTGTTAGCTTCGGAACTCGCTCATTTTGACATCTTCCTTGCATGAGAGGTTTGTGCCTGTAATGAGAGATTTCTACCATACATGAAACGTACTATCAGCAGACAGGTCCACGAAACGTAAAAGTTGCGCGCGCCGCACGCGTAAAACGCCAAGTTTATGGTCATTTAATTTCACGGCTGCTCCGAATGAAGGATGCACCGAGGGACACAGCTCTCGATTGTGAAGCGGATGTTTGCGGGTGTGATACTGCATTAACGATAAGCAGGAATCTGTAAAAAAATGGCGGGCCTACGATAGGGCGAGACGCAAACAGGGTCGGGGTGAGGGGTCGAGTCACGGCAATATTCGAGCCAGGATAGCGCGTCGATAGCACGGTGCAAACAGCCGCAAACTCAGCGGGATCTAATCGAGCGGTTCTCCGGTCCCTCCACTTTCTTCAGTTTCTTCCATCTCCTCAGTTTCTTCCATCTCTTCCTCCACACCCTCCGCAACGATGCCCTACCGCCCGGATCTGCTAGCCCCATTCCTCGCTCTTCCCCAGGGAGACAAGTACCAGGCTGAGTGTATGCTCGTCTCATCGCCGACACGCATCGCGGTCAACGTGACTCACATTTGCGTGCAGACGTTTGGATTGATGGAGATGGCGGTCTCCGTTGCAAGACCACAGTCAGTACTACTTGTTCAGAGCGTCTCTATGAACTGCTGCTGATCTTTTCATACAGACCGTCACCAAGAAGGTGACCGACATTGGCCAGCTTCGTATCTGGGACTTCGACGGGTCCTCTACCAATCAAGCCCCTGGAACGGACTCTGATGTCTACCTCCGTCCTGCGGCAATTTTCAAAGACCCTTTCCGCGGCGGTGACAACATCCTCGTCCTGGCTGAGTGCTACAACAACGATGGCACCCCTAATAAGACGAACTACCGTCACCACGCCAAGAAGGTGATGGACCTTGCTAAAGATCAGGTCCCTTGGTTCGGTCTCGAGCAGGAATACACCCTTTTTGACATGGATGGCACTCCCTTCGGCTGGCCCAAAGGTGGTTTCCCCGGTCCCCAGGGCCCTTATTATTGCGGCGCCGGTATGTTCCTAATCATGTATGGTTCTCGGTGGGAAGCTAATAGGGCGCCCATCACCGATTCTCAGGTGCGGGCAAGGTTTTCGCTCGTGACCTCATCGAGGCCCACTACCGCGCCTGTCTGTACGCGGGCGTGAACATCTCCGGTATCAACGCGGAGGTCATGCCCTCCCAGTGGGAGTTCCAGGTTGGCCCGTGCGAGGGCATTTCCATGGGTGACCACCTAACGATGGCGCGATATCTGCTCATCCGCATTGCCGAGCAATGGGACATCAAGGTGTCCTTCCACCCCAAGCCCCTCGCGGGTGACTGGAATGGTGCGGGCTGCCACACGAATTTCTCCACCAAGGCCATGCGTGAGCCCGGAGGCATGAAGTACATCGAGGATGCGATCGAGAAGCTGAGCAAACGTCACTCGGAGCATATTGCTGTATACGGCGAGGACAATGATCTCCGTCTCACTGGTCGTCACGAGACTGGCCACATCGGCACTTTCACCTCTGGCGTTGCCAACCGTGGTGCATCTATCCGTATCCCCAGACACGTCGGTGCACAAGGCTACGGTTACCTAGAGGACAGGCGCCCCGCTTCCAACATTGGTATGCGCAGTCGTTTCCTTGTCATGATATGTGGTGTGATTGATTAATGTGCTTTTTCAGACCCCTACAGGGTTACTGCCATTATTGTGGAGACCACCTGCCTCGACAAGTAGATGTCACAGCAAAAGACAATTAGAAGGAAGTCGTAATCGCGGATGGTTTACCTCACTATACGCATCCTTTCATGTTGGCTTAGGGAAGGTTGGTCTCGTGATGTTGTCATCTAGTGTTCATCCACTACGATTATGTGTTTCGGTCCTCGTCTCGCATATATATATACTACATTGTGAAATAGTGGTATCTGTTCAAAGCTACAACGACAGCGGAGGCACCTCATAAAGGCGAGAAGGATTAAAAAAACGACAGTTTGCGAACGTTAGATACTCGGGATGGATACACATAGCACGAAGGAGCAGTCATTCAGTATGGCGCATGTACGATGCTCGAACGGCTTCGAAGCTCTCGCGACGGCGTACCGATTGATGCCCTTGTGGGTCTCTTCAAGCTCTTCTTGTTGACAGCGAGGACATTGTTCTGCAATGCGACGATCTGTCAAGACAGAGTCAGCTGAGATGACACCAATTGTTGAGATGTCACTGAGACGCACAATTTCCTTGTCATCACCGAACTTGAAGTTGTCTTGGACAACGTAGTCTTCATATCTACGTCGGGCATAAGCCTGGGAATTTGCTAAAAGCTGCCGATGCTGCTCACTTCTTTATCTCATACTTGTCTAGCTGACCTCTCTTGACCTTCGCAAAGTCCCAAGCGATGACGTACTGCCCTGTCGAGGTCACAATGGCATTCTCCTCTTGGCCTTCTCCCATGTTGAACCTGTATACCGCATTGTGAGCAGCGATGGATCAGGACATTTTTGATCGTTTGGCTCACCTAGCAGGTGTGAATGAGATACTGTGGTCCATATAGGCAACATGTTCAGCACGGAGCTGCAGCCGCCGGGGTATGGGCTTTGCGTTCGCAGGAAAGCTGCGATCGAAGCCTAGGCTCCCAGTGTACCGTCCTTCCCCAATTAATGTATCAATGAGCAGCAAGTATGTCTTCGTCGTCGCAACGATCCACCGTCCGCTCGCGGTGACGTCGATACCGGTGATCGGGTCGCCTAGCGGCGGCAGCGCCGTCTTTGCATTCTTTCCAATCGAGTCAAAGAGCCGAATATCACCCTTCTCGCTTGCCACCGCCAGTTTGCCAGAGTCTGTCGTCGCGACGCCCGAGAACTGGTTCTTGCTGACGTACTGCTTGAACTGACTGTCGACCATTTTGTTCCCGGACATGCGCGGGTCGATGCGGAAGAGCGCGTTGTGCGACGCGCCGACGATGGTCTGTTCCGGGGTCATCTGCGCGAACTTGCTGTCGGGCGCGATGTGGTTGACACGAACGTCCTCGTGCACTTTCCACTCCTCGACAATTTTCCCGCGCTCGATGTCGAGGCTGAAGAGGGAGTTTGGCTCTTGGGGGTTCATAAGAATCATCTTTGTATCTTGATCGTGCAACATGACCTATAATCTTGTGAGCTTCCTGTGAGAATAGATTCCGAATATTCACGCTTACATGCTTGGGCTGGAATTCCTTCACTTTACCTGTCGATAGGTTGCTAATTGTCGCATGATACTTGACCTGATTATCGTTCGCGTGGCTGAAGACACCAATCTTATTGCCGCGGACGACATATGATCGATCGCCTTTGTAGCCGACCGTCAGTTGAGAGTTGCGTTCGCCGCGGGCAAGTGGAGGAGGCGCTTCTTCGTCTCCTTCAGGCTCCGGTTCTGGCTCAGACTCATCTTCACTCTGGTCTGCGAAACCATTAGTCAGCGCGTCATGGCCGTAGTGCTGGGAAGACTTGCCTAGCTCGGCCTCCACGTCGTGCTCTTCACCCTCTTCATCCTCGACGTCACGCATTTCAACATCTTCTAGATTCGAACTCATGACATAGGCTTGTTCATCGGACTGGATAGATTTGAGTTAACGTTCAAGATTCAATTCTGCGCGGAATTACCACATACCTTGGCCTTCTCCCATGAATATTGATTCAGAAATTCCCACAATGCAACTGTAAATGCCTTCTGGAAGTTCTCGAAAGCCTCCTCGCTCTCGAATCTGAGACACCAACTACTTTGCAGACCATCATCGCTGATGTGGTTCCAGGTGATTGATTGCACCTTCGATGACCATCGATGATTCATGTCAGATGAGATCTGATGTGCGAGCAGCTGGCCCTGTTCGCTCGCTGCGACTACCCAATATGCGAATGGACCAGCTGCCGGATTCTGCACAATCTGTGCAGTAACGTCCGCCTGCTTGACGAAATACCCATGCTCCCGATCCCAAAGATGAAGCTCCGCACGTTCAGAGATAAGTGTTGGAAGACCAGTATCAAGTTTCGGAGTGGATGCCGGAGGCTGCACGACAGTGGGAGGACTTGAGGCCGGGCTCATTGCCGAGGTGTCTTGCACGGCTTGCGTGACGGAGATATCGGTCGTAGAAACTGTCGCTTCCCCCGAGGCTGTCGACACAGCTGTTGCCTTCTTCTGTGTTGTCGACTTTGCTTTCGTCTTCGTCGCAGGCGGTCTTGCAGACAATGGGTCAACGGGCCTATTGCCAGAAGACTAGCTGACTCACTTGTATATGAACTCCGCTAAGTCCGCATCCGTAGTATCGTCGGCGCTCTTCTTGTACTTGCGTTCGTACATTGCCCGGTACATGCAGGTCTCGAAAAATGCTCGCGTTGGCTCATTCGTACCGGATGCCACAAACTCGTAGGATTCATCGATATCTCCTTCAAGATCTCGCCATATGAAGCTTGGACCGTCCTCGCCAGTGGAACTGCGGAACTCCAGCTCTTCACTGATCAGGAATACTCTTTCCTCATCGGCTGAGGATCCATTAGCGAGAGGCAGGGATAGGTTTCCGCAACGCACTTTCGTCCTCGTCCTCCAGCAGTTCCTGGTCTCCTTCTTCAAAAACGCGTGTGATCACGAGTTGGAAGTTGTGCTCAAGTGATGGCACTCGGCGGATTGTGGCCATGGCATCATTGTAGCTGAATTGCAAAGCAGGTTAACTGAAGACATATGACACCGTACTGACAACGCACATGCATTCCCGAGCACCACGGATGGTCCCAGATCGGACGAGGTATAGCTGTCCTTCAGAGATTTTCACGACCTCAGCCGCGTTGGGATCATCTGAGATAGCGGGTCAGGGGCAGAACGTTTGAGTGGCTTCAGCAGCGCACGCACGCCAGACTTTGCCTAAGACTGCGCCGCATTGAGTACCATGACTTGTGTATGCGATGAGCAGGATTGAACTTACGACTCCTGAAGATATTCATATTTGACGGTTGGAGGTTGGTTAAAGGGATGCGACGCGTGACAATCGCGCATGTGACGATCTGTGTCGCGAACGGTCACATCAGACTTTATGTTCGCGTCGTCGAGCGCCTATTCATAATTCAGCAGTAATTCGCGAAATGGACTTGCATAGGTTGACCACACCCCCCTCCTCGCCTCCTGCTGGTATGTTTTTGCAGGGGTGCGCTTAGACTTAGTATCTGATATCTGATATCCCTCCTTGCAGGGCAGCGGTCCAGAAGCCATTTGCCGTCTACTCCGGAACGTGAAGGCAACAACTCACTCGGCAAGCCGTCAACCCCTCGTCACGGAGAGGCGGTGAGTGCATGTTATCGCTCAAAAATACTACAATGAGCTTCCATGGTTCCTTCTGGCTCTACCTGTCACTGATCATTATGACAATATAGACCAATGCCAGTAATGCCACTTTAACATCGTCGACTGTGACCCTCTCAGCGTCACTGGCTTCCAGTACACTTCTGACATCCTCTTCTTTCGATACATTTTCATCATTTGCTGCGCTTCATAGAAAGGTTGTCATTCGTGCGGATCCTTCTGTAAACACTTGCTTTGATCCCGCCGACAAAGAACTGTATGACCTCTGGTCGCCGAAAAGGTGGTGCGGAGACTACTAGCTCTTTGCATGATTTTGTCCTGTTTTATCGGCGGCCACTGTCCGCTCAGGGAAGGAGCCCTTGCAGCGGATGCGTTTTCTTGTTGTCCTCTAAAAGCATTCATTCTCAAGCCATCGTATTTGGCATGGAATACCACTCGCTTCTCAATCAATTTCAACATGCATAGTAACTGCATTGCGTCTCTCATGTCGCGCAGATAGCAAGATCCTCATACCGCTTTCATGTATTGTCAACAAAGAACAACAGACACCGAAGACAGATGAAGAGCAGACATGAGCTGCAACGGGGAAATCACTGACCATTCATGCGTGTGAGTCTATCATGTCCTCGGGTAATCAAGTGATGCGCTATGGGCTCACGATATACGCAGCTGATGGGTTGTTCTCGATTTCTGCGTGATGACTCTTACTTGCGGTGGCAAAAAGTAGCCGCTGAACAGTGATTCAAAGACAAGCATCCCAGCGCATTTGATCGTTCAGCATGTGCGGGACGGCGGGAATAGTGGGATTTACCGTCACAGGAAGATCACGCTCGTAGAAAACGCTCGTCAACGATAGGCTCCGGAAACCCCCATCCGAATGTGTAAGGGTTTTCGAACTGACATCCCTCGGTTCTTTCGTTCAGCATGACTTGACAACAATGGTCGCACCGCTTACAGGTGCGACATGACATGGGCAGTTAATTTCTGCGCATAGCGTCGGGCGCTTTTCCCGTTCGCTGCAGCGGTTGACATCTAGTCAAAGCGCTTCCATGTGGACCTTGGTCCGGGACGGTTGTCAGCAAAAACCGCAAATGCCAGACATTCTGGACACTTGCACAGACGGTACCTATGGCGTCTGGAACGACACCTTCAATATAATGCAGTGATGGCCGTGCAGTCTTGAATGGCTGCAGAGTTGAACAGTGTTAGCTCAACGCTATATATGCGCGATAATATTATATATCACATATTAATGAGGTCCGTGAAATTCGTCTACCAAACAGAAGCACATAAGCATGAACGTTCGCCCCGGAAAAGGTGAGCAATTACATTCCTATCTGACTGCGTTGACTGCGAGCGAACGATGATGCGTGTCACTGATCATGGAAAGCTGTTGTAGTATCTTGCGCGCGACGGACAATCTAATGCTCACTGTGAAGTGATGCGTCGAGACGTTGGCTGTAGCCTCCTTCGCAAAGAACTCCATGGGCAGCCTGCGGAAATCCCTTCTCGGCGTCAGCTCCCATCTCTGTGTGGAGTATGCCATCTCACCTGGAGCCATCCTCCGTCTTGACTATGACATTGCTTGAGATCTTCTGCCTTCAAGTCATACAAAGAAGTTGCACGGATAGCCTGCTGCTCCTTTGACACAATCATCTTGGGATGGTGGCTTGAACAAGCTCCATGTCTTGGCATCATTAACATTAGAGGCATGCAACACCATCTCCGGCTTTACTCCGATATGGAGAGGGGCTAACGGAAATAGCGTTCAACGGTGTGAAGTTCAGCGCTTTCTCCATCGCTGTCATTCTGACTTACTTACGACCCAGGTTCCGTAGGGGGTACTGGTCTAGCCAGAACGCGTCATGGTGCCCACGAGGAAACCGACCCAACGCAATTGTAAATACATATTGCACTGCATTCTTATTGCTCGTCACGGGCTCCTCAACGCACCCCAGCCTGTCAGACTTGACGAATATCGAAATCATCCTAGAAAACCTGGACAACACGCTCTCCCCAAGCGTCTCGTCCAGCGTTCTGGTCCACAGCGGCTCTGTAAATGAACACGCTGAGACCATCCTCCGGGCCGAGATCAAGCGCCTCACCTCATCAAAGGCAGCGCGACCGTCATCTGTATAAGCTGACCACGGTAAGACTGACATTGAAACGTCATTGATTGACTCCGAAGACAGGTCGGACATTCAGCGGCGCGCTCGCCGACCTAGACGCATTGTTCTTCACATTGAACCTCGTTTCCAATATCCACGTAGCGAGCGGTACCTTTGGTACTCATCGAGTCGGTAAACCGACTACGCCGACTGTTTGACTTCAAGGTACAGTCCCTGCCCAGTGTTCCATTTATTCCCAACCCTATCGGGCTATGCTCTCCCACGCAACGTCGTAGGAAGTGGATATTACACGCATATACAACAAAAAGAGCCTGATCCTCATTGTGCTTGGAGCGCGCTGGGTTTCCATCAACTGCAGATGGAGATCCACGTCATGGACAAGTCAGACAACCACTGCCTCGTTGCGTGCCTCGGCAACGAGAAGAATGCATTTTCGCCACCGTCCCGCTCGTCTGACATCCTGGGCCACCTAGGCCCATATTACGATGACATCTACATTGGTACCATCCACTGCACGTAAACAGACGTTGGCAGGGAGTCCTTGTCCTTTCCATTTTCTTTGGGATGCATGGCTGGAAACGCTCACGATGAGTGTCTGTCGGAGTGTGGGGGATGTCATTTGAGTTGCCGTGAAATGGTCAAAGCCTCACGTAACTTTATATCATGTACATTAAAATGGTCAGAATGTGAAGAACACTGCAATCCTTGTCCGACGTATGGTCGCATGTACATGTGAGCTTTGGCAGTGTCAGCCTCGAAGAAGCTCGAACTAAAGAGGCTCTGACCTTACTCACCACAACGATGCCCGTAATGTAATCCAATGTATAGGACGTGCCACCTAACCGAACTATTCTATACGAGCCTGCAACGCAAACAGGCTCGACGACGTTAGTAATACAAGGGAGTGACGGCGAGCCAAGCGCATCGTTCTTCATGAAGGAGCGTCGGATGTGGGTGTATGTATGCTACAGTTACGTGTATAAAGTCTATGGAAGTGAGCGGTGACGAGCAAAATATCAAATCAGTCACTAGGACGGGATTATAGCAATGCATAGGGAAATGACATGGGGAACATAGCGTCATGAAAGTCATGGTCTGTCATATATCGTCCGCACTGTCCGGGTCATCGTCATATCCACCCAGGACTCGGCTTTGATGCCAGCAGGCCAGCCCCTGGTTGTCTCGTAGCCGCGCGCCCGCGCTCCGAGGGAAGAATGCGCTGCTGCATGCTCGTGGGAGAAATCGCCGTCTGCGATGCTGCTGAATCCACTGCTGTATTGATCCCTCTCAAGCTCCGCTTCGTTTCCATACTCGCAAAGCCCGAATCCTTCGACCGTGCCCGTCCGGCCGAGCGGAGCTTGTCATGATCATCCATTTCTGCAATCTCTTGCAGTGTGTTGACGCTCCGTATGGACGAGCTGCTCGCACCACTGCTGAACCCGCGGACGTGCAGGCTGATCGCGGACATCCGCGACTGGCGCTGCCGCAGCTCGTCGTTGCACAGCTTGTACAGCTCATCCAGTTCGAGATAACATGCCTCGTCTCGCAACTCCAGCAGGGCATCCAGCCGCGACGATGAATTGCTGGCAAGCTGCACGGCTCGCGGTAGTACGGCAGGATGCTCCGGAGTAGACGGTGGCGTTCGGAGGTACGAAATGATATGCGCGTATCTGTTGTTGTTGCATGTCATTAGAGGCAGTGGACAGAAGGATGGGCAACGATCGCACTTACGGCGCACTTGGCCGGTCTAGAAAGATGTGTATTGTCGCTGGGGGTTGCGACGTGGGTATTACACCGGTCGACTTGAGGTGATGGTGGAAGATAGAATTGAACGAGCTCTCATTTTCACTGACATCAGAGATGGTCGAGAGCGTGGAGTCGCGCATGCCAGTGCGTGGAGGGAAAAGATCCTGTAAATACGAAGCCAGATATGAAGGACGTGAGACGAGAGTGCTCATAGTCGTGCGATGCGTGATAGTGCTTGTCTCAAGAGACACAATGGTCTTCGACGGGTCGACGGGTCCTGCAGGCAGGGGTCCGAGGAGGATGGGTTGAAATGGCGGCTGTGGTGGCGAGGAACTCAGATTCAGCGGCAATGCAGGTACGGGAGGCGAGTACTCTGATGGCGCTGGGGAACGCATCTTAAGAGACGGTCGCAGAGAGACTGGCTCGACCACGGTGATTTCAGACCCTTCTGATTCCGGCATCAAAGGAGGGGCACGCGTCGGATGGGGTGGCGTTTTTGAGCGCACAGCGTCAAAAGACTCAACGTCGGGAATGGGAGGAAGAGGCGGGCTCTTGGATCTGGCCGGAGCTCGTTCACTGGATACCGTTCGAACGCCGTAGTTGGCATCGTCTTCATGGACACGGAACGGAGAGAAGGGTCGCGTGGCAGATGGCGAGAGAGCGTCTTGCGGCGTCCTCACGATCGTCGCGCCCGCACCCAGCACACCAGAGCGCTGCTGAGCGAGAATGTCCAAACCATTCGCGAAACGAGGCTCAGATATGCGTACAGGCTTAGAGGGTGCATAAGGAGCATGAGCGGGATTGGTGTCCTTGGAGGAGGTCGTGCGGGACAGCCAGGCCCGCGGCGTCGAAAGCGAGCCACCCCGCTGCCTTGTGGGTGGGCTCATCGGCGGAGACATGGGACGGTAGTCGTCAGAGGAGACAGTGGGTTGAGAACGAGGAGAACGTGCACGCTGAACCTGCATTGTGTTGAAGAGCCAGGCCAGGCGGATCGTGAGGCGGGGAGGTTATTAACAAAAGAGCATGTAGAGACGCGGCTCAAGTACAATGGACGCAAAACAAAAAACGCGTGCCACCCGCACGGCAACCAGAACACGTGCCTTATTTGGTCTCCCCGTCCTTATTGCGTCCCGTGGCTCTCCGCTCTTCATCCTCAGCCACAATGCGCCTTCCCCCGGACGCTTGCCCCCTCTTCACCACTCAGACCACCGTCCCTGCTACTGCCAGGTTCCAGCTCGCCCTCCCCTATGTCCTCGCCCCCGTCTCTCCTGCCCTCGCAGCGCTCCATGCCGGCCGGGCTCGAAACCAGCTTCCCGCCGAGCCGACCTTGAGGCTAACGCATTGTGCGGCATGCGGCGCGTCGTATCTCGACGGAGGGGGGTCCATCAGATCTGTGCGCTCTCGTAAGAAGCGGATGACTGCTGACGGCAAGCGCGAGCCTAAGCGATTCATGCGCATGTCCTGCGGAGTCTGCGGCTATCGCGAAGACACGCCCGTCGAGCACAGCGGCGCCTCTGCATTCCCGCCGCTTACGGAACGGAGAGACGCTGCCGGGCTGCATTCTGCAACAGAGGCACAGAATTTTGCATCCACTTCAATACAAGTTGCTGCTGTCAGCGCGTCGTCCGCCATACCTTCACAGCCTAATCAACCTGAGGCCCTCGCATGTCCATCACCAACGACACAGAAGACCACAAATCCGGCCTCCCCCGCAGACACCGTTCCGTCTGTGCCCTATCAGCGTCCACGCTTGCATTTTGCCCCGTCCTCTAGGCCTTCACCAAAACCTTCACCAGTCTCAAGCGTCATGCAGGCATCATCGACTGCTACGGCTCGCACGAAAGCACGGGCAAAAAAGCCCGTCGGCCTGCAGGCGGTTTTGGCGCGGAATAGAGAGAAACAGGAGCAAGAGAAAAAAGCGGCGCAGCAGCAGGGACTCTCTTCATTCCTGCAGGAGCTCGGTTAGCTTCGCTGAATAGTGCGGGAATAAAGGCCACCTGGCATCACCTCGCTGCATGCTTCGGCCATGTGCGTGGGCTCTCCGCGGTACATCCCAGACACGGTCCCATTTGTGATGCTGCACATCGCTATGGAAGGAAAACACATCACACCAAACTGGATTTTGATGGCATACTGTGCAGGCAACAACAGGCCCATCGTGTCTGGGGTGATCTTAAAGTGATTGACTCGCTTCATGACCGGTGTGATTCTTCATCAGCAAATTATTGACCGAGCTCAGTCGCTTCATCGCTGGGCATGGCACACATCTGCATGTTCCTTTATGTAAAAATCGAATGTTTCCATACCACATATCCTGTAGTCCGCAGCTACTCACGCTATACATCGCTTCCCTCGGCATGCACTTTTATCACAAATCACCTTGCATATTTTGTCATGAGGCTTGTATTATGAGGAGCATCAGCGTCGTGAGGACATCTACGAAACATACAGCCTTCGGAGTACAACGGCACGCAACAACATGATGACAGCACGGGCCATGAGTGCGCGAACCGTGGAACGAGAGAGAGCAGTAGGTGGCGAAGGCGATGCCGAACAGGCCACAGACGGCGTGAGAAAAGAACAACAAGCATAGCCAACATCATCGCGCGTATCGTACATCAACCGCGGCCCCACGTTGTAACAACAGGGCAAAGGAACGAGGAGAAAAGGAATACATCACATTTCGTAAGATTATTTCCGCTGAGCGTACGGGTTGACGCTGTAGACCTTGATGACAGGTGGGCTCTTCGTGAGGTCGGCGGTGACAATGACCTGTACAATCGCGCATCAGTCTACCACGGCAGTGGACAACGCACATAGTACTTACAGGAACGGTCTCGAGCTCGCGGATTTCCTGGATCTTGTGGCCGGAAGGCGTAGTCCTGAGACCCTCGAACGAGGGAGCAACCTTGGACTTCGAGAGTAGTCTCTGTTTGGAGATTTCTTCCTCCTCCTGCTCACGATCTGCGCGTCCAAGCACAATCTCATCCTCTTCGGTGTCGTCCTCGTCGAACAAAGCCTTTTCATCATGCACAGAGCGCGACACAACCTCCATCTTGACAGCGTGCTGCTCAGCGTTCTGCTTGACCTTCTTCAGGTGCTCGTCATCACTATTCTCCGCGAGCCAGGTGATCACATCACGGTTAGACCAGTAAATCTGCAGAGTATGAGTGTGTTCGTCGTAGACATGATTCTGCATGAACGATCGTCAGACAACGAGATACGACATATTCCGCATGTGTACTCACGTCAATGGGCATCTGGTCGACATGCACCCGCTTTTCGATGCCGAACTCCGGGATGAGAACGTCGAATGCAGCATCTAGCACGCCCACGACCTTGGCTTCACGGATGACAGGTCCAAAGCGTTGCGTCAAATCGGAGATGAGAATGCACAGGTAAAGGTGAGTGGACTGCTCTTGCGCCAACTTCGCAGAATCTCTCTTGCTATGTTTGGATTACAGTATAAGCACGGGGGGAAAAGCAAAAGGCATGCGAGAGGCATACGCACATGTTGCACTGCTGAGCGACTTTAGCAACAGCATCCCGATCCATGGTGAACTTTGGCTCAGATCCACCCTGCAGAATAGAATCGAGTTGACGGTGGACGAGAATATCCGCATAGCGTCGAATTGGAGATGTGAAATGTGTGTACAACGGAACATTGAGCGCCCAGTGACCATACTTGGCGATGTCGAGCATGCCCGCGCAAAAGTATTTGGCCGCCGAGGAGGCTTTGCGCAGGAACAGTTCCAGGATACTGCGAGCTACAGGGTCATTTACCGCCTCAAGAGACTTGAACAACGATGCCGAGGAGGATGTATCTATATTGTAACCCATCCGTTCGGCGCGTTCGGCGAAGGCGGCCTGTGGATTATGAGAATGAGTTATGTCGAGAATGCGGAAGCGACTCACAATGCGGCGGTCAATGGGAGGGTCATGACGACGAAGCAATGCTTGTTCAGAGAAATGCACAGCGACTTGCTGTGCGACCGCAATGTTAGTGAGCAACATGAACTGTGACATCATATTAGCGATGAAATATAATATTACCAATGTATAGCATACCTCCTCCACCAAGTGATGCGCCTCGTGGCGTTCATACTGCCAGCAATCAACGGGCATACCATTGTCGTCAAGCTTGAACGACAGCCTGAGGGACTCCGTCCTGATGCAGCTACTCTGATAACGACGCGTACGCAGCTGCTTGGCGATATCATGAAGAATTTGGATGTCTTGCGCGATATCTCTGATACTATGTTCGGACTCAGTTTTAATATCAACTGATTGGCCATCAATCATGGCTTGCGCATCCTGATAGCTCAATTTGGCGGCCGACCTGATGGAGAGTCAACAGCGAGCGGCCTAATGACGTCTGGAAAACTCACTTGATGACCGTCTTGCCAAACCACTTCTTCACGACCCTCGCGTCCTTATTGACAGTGAAGATCACCGAGAAGGCCAAACGTTCCTGCCCTGGGACGAGACTGCACAACTGCTCGTTAAGTGCAGGTGGCAGCATGGGCACAGCACGTTGAACGAGATAGACACTCGTAGCTCGCTTACGAGCGTCGCGGTCCAGAGCTGTGTTCGGTTTGACGAAGTACGACACATCCGCGACATGAACGCCGATGTCGTACGTGCCATCGTCGTTCACCTTCGCAGACAGAGCGTCATCCAGATCCCTGCTTTTATCGGGGTCAATGGTGAAAATCCTTTCATCGCGCAAATCTTTTCGGATCTCTAACTCTCGATCCGGTGCACTGATCAATATATTAACAACCACCTGATGTTTGATGCGGAGGCGATAGACTCACCTCCATGGGATGGGGGGGAGGCACTTCATCACATTCTCACTGAAATCTTCCGTAGGGAAGTTGCAGTCCTTCAACAGAGCACTTGTCTCTACTTCGATGTCCCCAATGGGGCCGAGCTCTTCAACCAACGTGCCGAATGGATGGAGCGAGCTGATAGGCTAGATAACGAGGTTAGGTGGTATACATCTCAAAAACCTGCAAACGCACGTGGCGCTTGATACAAGCGACAAATAGTTTGTTCGCATAAGCTTCTGAATTTTGCACGAAGTCTGGCGGTGCCTGCTCAGTAGGAATAGCAATGAGAGGGACTCGTTTGTCCGTAGGCTTGAACCAGACGATCTTCGGGCGCTCAATAGGACGCCTGGGTTCATCGCCACGGTCACCTTCTCTTTCACGTCGCTCAGCCTCCTGCTTTTCCTTTGTAGCAGCAGAAGACGGACGCAAGAGACCGAGAGTGCCAGAGAACAATTGACCAGGCATGCGTTCGACAACCGCGACGACATGTCCTGCAAATTGAGGCTTGATCTCGTCCGTGACTCTGCGATGCAGTGAATAAGTTCACAGTGGAACATCGCAGACGACATATCAACTTACTCCTCATCCTCGAACAACATCAACCCTTGGCCTTCCACCTCTACATCATCTTTCTTCTTGTCATTCTTCCTGCCCGCAGCGCCCTTGACATCGTATGCTGAGTTCTCCTCCTTCTTTCTCTTTTTCTCTTCCTTCTCCTTCTTGGTTCCCCATACTTCGTCGACATCCAGAAGCTCGACAGCGACGATATCACCTTCCAGAGCCCGGTTGCGGTCCTTCGAACCGCAGATGTAGATATCGGCATCGAGAACTTCTGTCGCGACGTATGCATCGGACCGATTACGTTTGTTGACGCGTAGGATACCGACGACAAGCTTGCCGGCAGCAAGGAGCGGTGGCAAAGAGGCTTGCGGTAGGTAAGGAGCGAACAGCGACTTGCGCTGAGGTTGATTAGACTGCTGCTGGAGTTGTGACTGGAATTGCTGTTGCTGCTGCTGAAGCAAATTAATACCGCCAAGACCCAGACCCATCATGTTGGCCGCCATCATGTTAGGGAGCATGTTAGGGAAGCTGAAGGAAGCCATCTTCTGGTGGTGGCCACCCGCAGCAGCTCTGAATTGCTGAAGGCTGTTCAGCTGAGCTTGAGCTTGAGCAAGGTCGGCAGCGAAGTTATTGCCCGATTGTATGCTGCCAACTCCACCATCTACGATCCATGGTCAAAAATCTATGAAAGATAGCGACAGCGAGAAACATACTGATGCGCCAGCTAGAATCAGAACGAGAGTGGCCACCAGTGACGTTGGCGGGCGGGGTGAATCCATCGTCGAAGCCGTCGGCACTCTGCGAAAACCCCAAGGCTCCAAGCCCAGGTTGACTGCCGGACTTGTTGAGAACGTTGACACTGTGGCGCCTACCGTGTCCGCGTGGGACACCCGAAGGCTGGCCGTCCAAGCCCATGCCGAGACTACCGAGACTACCGAATTGGCCCATGGCTGCTTGAGGACCGTTGAACGGATTCATACCCATCCCCATGCTAACGGTGCTGTGGACGCGACGATGCACGTTGGGACGTCCAGGAGCAAGACCCGGCGTTTGGAACGACAGCACCTGATTGGAGGCAAGCTGATGTTGATAGAGCGCTGCCTGTTGCTGTTGCAGCGCCTCGATCTGATTCTGTATGGCAATCTATGCGGGAGAAGTTTGGTCAACGCTCCGAGTATCTGCACGATGTAAACTGACCTGTTCCGCCATAATGCCGGATATTTCAGATCCGCTCTCATTCTTCCTCTGGTGGACGTCCGCGGAGAAGTCGACGTTGTAATTCTGTTGTGATTGCTGCGGGAACTGGAAACCAACATCTTCTTCATTGATCGGAGGTCCCATGGTGGTGTTCACGCCTTGACTGGGACGACGCCGAGCACCAAACAAAAAGTTAGGTGCAAGCTGAGGGCGGCCAGAAGACCCCATCATATCGCCTTGATCCTGCTGTGCGGCGAGTGCAGCAAAGCGGGGAGCGGTAAAGCTCTGTGACAGTGAACGACGAGGATGGCCGGACTGATAGACGCTCTCCTGGATCTCCCCCTCCTCAGACGGGTAGTGAACCTGTCCATCCTCTATGTCTTCCATCATGGAGCCGAGATTGGGGGAATACGAGTTGAAACCGGGGTTCGACGCCGTACCCAACGATGCCGCCTTGCGATGCCTCGGAGGCTGCTCTGCACCGATTCCCGGATAGGCGGCCGCGCCTGGGTAGAACACAGGCGCATTGGGAGGTAAGGTAGAGCCCTGAGCATTGGAAGAAGCCATGGAGGCTGCGATAGATGCGGTAGCTGCCGGAGACTGGTTAGGAGGCGACGTCGTCTTCAAGTCGGCGATGACCCTCTGGAGAGAAGAGAGCGCGTCGCTGGAATCTGAGGCCGAGGGAGGCGCAGGAGAGGCAGATTGCTGCTTCTGCTGAGCGGCAATAGTATCCTTGGGCTTGTTGCTGGCCTGACGACCGCCCTGAGCAGTAGAAGAAGATCCCTTGCGATGACCTCCCGAGCGCCCACTACCTCCACCCTGAGGCTTGCCACGTTGTTCCACCTTCTTGCCCTCGGTGCCCTTCTTGGTAGAATCGGAGCCGGATTCGCCAGCCGTGGGAGGATTTGAAGGGCCTCTCTTCACGCTCTTGTTGCTGGACCTGGAAGAAGGCCTCGGGGTACTAGCATTTCCGGCACTGACGGACGCGGCGCGCGAGGTGCCCCTCTTCCTGCCTGCACCATTTTGAGGCCCGCCGTTCGAAGAGGACTTCTTCTCGTCCTTCTTGGGAGGATTCTGCTGGGTCTGAGTCTGCGGATTGGTTTCGTCGGTCATGTCGTTCGTGATGTTACAGCTGAGTGATCCTAGTTTCGTTGCTTATGATATGTTTTCGGCTTTTCACTTTCTGGCGTACGAACTGTGGAGACTAGAGATTGGTCAGGTGTACGTACTGCGCAGGGATAAAGATGATCGTGCGCACCAGAGTTTTGGCAAAGAGGATAGTAGAGTAAGAAGCTTTGCCCTGTAGGGCGAGTGGGGAATTATGGGAGTGAGTGCCTGGACGAGGCGGGAGGGGCAGGGAAGGGTGATGCTTGTTGTCGCGAAAGAGCGATCGCCAGCGAGCGCGACGTGATATACTAAGCTGGCGAGGCAGCGCAGGTTTCCCACGCTTACCCGCTGCGCCGGAACCAAAACCATGTCTTCCCCATCACACGCAGATATCGCCACTATTCCAAGACTCTCTAAATCTATAATTGCGGTAGGAGCAAGAATCTGCTAACGACACCCGACTACTCCTACGACGGCGAGATCATGCAAAGCGTGAGTTGTAAGGAGATTATTATAGGCTGTCCTTATTTACGAGTGGGTAAAAGGTCTCTCAGTACCAGCTCATGCCTTCAACAGCTTGTCGATGATGGCCGTAGTGTATTCTTTGGTCGACGCCTTTCCACCCAGATCACCAGTGATTGTCTTGCCCTCGGCAATGGTCTGGGACGATCATCAGCTTTGAGAACAGGTAAATGACCGGCGAACTACTCACACTCAGGGCCGCCTTTTCGATTTTGGCCGCGAAGCTATCGAGATTCATGTGCCTGAGGAACAAAAGGAAGAAGCTCGCATCCAGAACGTAACCATGTAAAGTTAGAACGTACCGAAGCATCATAAGTGACGACAATAGAAGCGCAGTGGGGTTAGCCAATCCCTTGCCTGCGACCATGAGTATGCATGGGAATAGATAGCCACGTGGAGTACGTACCAGCAATATCGGGCGCGGAACCGTGCACGGCCTCGAAGATAGACGCGTCCTTTTACGATGAATGAGCTCAATCATTCGAGCATGCATACCACTGAAAACCTACGCGTCCAATGTTGCCGGAGGGAGTCAAGCCCAGTCCACCAATAAGACCGGCACACATGTCCGAGAGAATATCACCGTACAAATTGGGCATCACCATGACGCGGTCGGCGTAGGGCTTGGGGTTTTGGACAATCTGCACGCGCATCAGCGCATGCCCATGACTACATTCCGCATACGCAAACCTGCAGGCAGACACGATCTAGCAGATCCTCGTCGTAGTTGATGTTGGGGAACTCCCCTGCGACTTGGCGACACGCAGATAAGAACATTCCATCGGACATTTTCCTGCAGAAAACGTCGATGTCAAGCATGATTCGTCAAGCATGGCCTTGGTACCGACATGATGTTGGCCTTATGGACGGCTGTGACCCGCGCTCTGCCCTGAGACTGGGCGTATTGGAACGCATAACGCGCCACGCGTTCAGAGGCCTCCCAAGTGATGAGCTTGATTGACTGAACAACGCCATCGACGATCTAAAGCTTGCAACATTAGACTGCTACAGCAAGACCTTTTTTCCGCCCACTTACCTCGTGTTCGATGCCAGAATACTCCCCCTCGGTGTTCTCACGAATCAATACGGTGTCAACATCATCATATGGCGTCTTGAAACCCTTGATGGAGACACAGGGACGGACGTTCGCGAAAAGGTTGAAGGTTCTCCGCAAGGTCAAGTTCAGCGAGACATGGCCCTTTCCAACTGAATGCGGTGCATGTCAAACTACGGCAATGCAGAAGAAGCGGGATTATACAGACTCGGTGTCGCGAGAGGACCTGGCCTATAGTAAGCGCACGCTCCGTGAAAGTGCAAACCACGCACCCTTCAAGGCAACAGTGTTCTTCTTGACGGAGTGGATGGCTTCGTCAGGAATCACGGTCTTTCCCGCCTTGAAGATTGGTGCAACGCTGACTTCTTCCCACTCAATGGGGACCTGGAGTGCGCATTATTTCCACTGAAAGTAGGCATAGAAGAATGTTGCACACTTTGGCGGCAGTATAGATGTCCTTCACGGACTGGCTGATTTCCGGGCCGATACCTGGAAAGCAACGTGAATTGTTGGCAAATGCCCATGTGTTATGGCAACTCACCGTCACCCGGAATCAGTGTCACCGTGTATTTACCCTATCAATTCGTTGAGGCCAGCTATTTGGCGGTATATCTGATTTCGACTCACGTTGCTCCCCTTCTTGCCAGCAAAAGCCGCGGTCGGCGAAGCAGATGCATACCGACGGAAAGCCTGGTGACAATGTCCCCGTATGAAGGTGCTGTTTAAAAAAGCGAGCATTGCACAGAAGCGTACCTGGGTTGGTGCTGCGACCCGCGCACCACGAGTACCACGAGCAATCGTACGGGATGCCAGCATTTTCACGAGATGAGATGGCAGGAACGACGAGCAGCGTTGAAGAAGACCAAGCCGAAACAACACCGAAAGTCGAATTTCGGATACCACGTGACTTATGATGTAGACGATACAGTTACGGATCAAATAGCGTGTCAAGCCGCCTATGGCCGAACGCATCTATGCAGGAAATTCCACAAACATTGTTACACATTACAAAGTCCGTTACAAGGTATGAAAGGAAATAGAATACAACGAGAGCATAGCCAGAGTCCCAAGTCTATCCGCTGAGTAAACCATTGAGCTGTTGTCGGTATTGTTCCAGGGCCCGTTCTGTCTCCTCCTCATCCACCTTGTTTTGTACAGACTGTGAATAGGCAGCATTAGCAGTATTCGTAAAATCTTCAGACATCCACTCACAGGAAGTTCTGTCTGGACAGTGCCTGCCTGACCAAGCTTGCCATTCGTCAAGTCATAGAGCACCTTGTCCACCTCTTCGTCGGCTTCTTCCTCTATCTCCTCTTCGTCGTCCATCTCTAGCGTATCATCTAGCATTTCCTCCATAATCCCAGCCTGTGGCGTGTCAGCACCATTAATGGCCGCCAGCATAAGGGATAGAGCACACACCTTAGTCATCTCCATGCTCATCTCGCGCATCGCCTGACTGATTTGCGGTAACCTGACGAGAGCGTTCGATAGCTTCATGATTTCTGTAGACTTCTGTAGTGACCCTGTCACTTTGATCATGGCTTCACAAACTCGCATGTCAGAATTTTTGGTTCAATAGTTCGCATACGCACGCACCCATTTGCTGTGATAGTTGGTGGCCAATGGAGCCCAACCTCGCCTTGCTCACCGACAGGCGGTCCTTCTGCCGGGTACTCCTGACGACCTCCTTTGCCAGTATTCGGGCAGACTTGACATCGCCCTTAGTAGCGAGCTGCTTCACAGTCTGTCTAGCCTTGTTCGTGGCGATATCGAGCTATAGCAAGATCGGCATCCGCTTCATGCATGAGACGAGCCAATCGGACCTGCCTAATTTCCCTGTCGAGCACCCGCTGTTCCTGACGCAGTTTCGTTTGCCATTGCCGCACTCGTTCCTCTGGCGTCGGTCCGTAGAGGAACCTGTTAATGCTCTGCATAGCGGCGCAAGTCGGTGCAAGTCCTAGGATGGCGGCATGGGCGAGGAAAGTGACACACAGTCACGTCCCACGTGCTCGATCGTCAACGATCGACTTGCATCGCGCTTGACGATCTCCGTTACAGGTCAGTCCAGCGATGGCAGCCTCACGCCGCTGCTGCACTACATAAACCGAAATAAGGACTCTGTCTGTCCCCATCCTCTTTGCTCTCGACGGTCTGGTACCGCCACTCTTGCTATCTTCACGCCGGTCGTCCCCCACTTTCGTCATCTTGTTCATCTTCATCGCATACAAGCGAGCATGTCTTCCTTTGCAGTGCCTCTTGTGTTGGCAACTCTAGTCTTCGGAGATCTTACCCCTACCGCTCCTGGTCCGGGGGAGCGCTTCATCGCTGGGTCTAACTGCACTATCGAGTGGGACGCCGATACTAGTGGGACATGGACGAATGTTACCATCGGTACGCGTTGAATCTTTCTTGTCAATATCTCAATGCTATACGGAGGTCCTCTGACAGCTTTGATGTCCGGCGCCAACGACAACATGACGTTCGTCGCTCCTGTGGCCTCCTCACTCGACGGTACCAATGCGAGCTTGTCGCCTTATTTATGGACGTGCCCACAAGTGGATCCTTATTCTTCCATATACTTCTATCAGGTACAATTATATCCTTCTTTTGAGGTTGCGGCTGACAAGGTGGCATAGTTCACGAATGGCAATGACATCACCGACTCAAAATGGACTACTCGTTTCACGGTGAGCATTTATCTATGAAGATTATGACTTTACACTCATGGACGCAAGATTGCCTCGCCGTCCAATTCGAGCGTGCCACCTCAATACCCTCAGCAATCGAACGGTGATCCAATTCCATGGGGAGTCGGCGTTATGGTGTCATCTTACAACGAGACCGATTCATCGGCTAAGTTCTCTACTAGCAATGCTACCTCTAGCGCTAGCAGAGCTCCCAACACCGCCTGGAGCGCGAATTCTACCACTGCTGCATCTGATCCTGGCGAGACTGGTGGTCAAGATCCTGCTGCTGGGAATTCTGGCGATCCTGAAGGGGCTTCTGCGATCCAGAATGTCAAGGCTAGCCAGGATCACGACGCAAACAGGGACTCGGCGAGTACCTTCTCTGCAGATCCCGATGAATCAACTGGTACTATGAGTGTTACGAAGACTCGGCATCGCAGTCATTCTACGGAAGCCACCCCCGCTCAGGACACCAGCACTGCGGATCTAGACTCTCACGACTCTGCGGATACCAGTCACGGAGGGTCCGACTCGTCTTCTGATCATCACTCGGATGGTGCAAATGCAGACTCGGATGACGGGAATGACAGGGACGACGGGGATGACGGGGATGACGGGGTCGCCGATCAATCCACGATGACCAGCTTGTTCGCGTCCTCCTCACACATGCGGAAGGGCCAGGGTACCAAGACTGCTTCGCCCAGCGATAGCTCTATGGACCACGCTAGCTCGACTGGCACGCTCGCGCCTACGATCGCCCTTCCTTCCAAGCACGAACGGGTCGCACAGACTCCCGCTGCCTCTGCTCCTGCTACTCCATCTGCGACAAGCAGCAGCATTCCTTCCTCACAGCCTACTGGGGTTCTGGATGGAAAAGGTGGCGTCAAATTGGCGAATAGTGCTGGTCGTCGTCTTTGTGCTCCGGAAGCTCCGGTCTGGATTTGTGGCCTGCTCGTTGCTGCTTTCGTACTGTGATGATGCAATTGTATACTTACAGGATACCTTAATGAATTACTCTTGCGATGAACTACGCTGCGATCGGCTCCAGATCGACCAAGTCACTTGCGAATGAACGGTCCAATCTCGGGCGAGACATTAATGCATCCGACCGAACACAGAAGTGAAATGAGACAGTAATGTCTTTAGGACCACACAGGGAGCAACTACGTACAGTTTGGACCGAGACTAGGCTAACCGTTCGAGGACGTAGGCTCCGCGGATAAATGCAGTATAGAGGGATCAGGCGCTGCTTTCAGTACATGCAAATCTTGTAACGTTAGTATGAACGGTGCATGGTCGCTGTGGCCTCGCTCCGTGCTATCTTCGAAATACGTCGAGTCGACTACAGAGTCCATCAGCGACCGTTCAACAAGGGCGTAATCGACCCTGGCGCAGTCTGCGCCCTGCGGCTTGCCCTTGGCGAACCAGCTGAACGCAGGGCGATCTCCATGCAGCGCCCGATAGACATCAACGAGGTCGAGGCCAGGTATGAACTCGTCGTTGAACTCCTTCCGTGCCAGCGAATGAGGATGCTCCGTGCGTAACCGGGGGACGCAATCCCGCTTCGTGAGCGAAATGTTGAAATCACCAGTCAGCACGAGACGGAGGCCCCTCTCCTGCATTGCCCGGCATTCTTGCAGAAGCAGCCGGTTGAACTCGCGTTTGCGCTCGTTGCGGGTCTTCGGAGCGCTCTTGAGTGTCAGATCTCTCCACATGTACTCGCTCCCATTAAGGGCATAAACATTGACCAACGCCCAGCCGCTTTTCATCTCGAGGATGAGAACACGGCCTTCGGCGTCCCAGTCTACCTCCCGTGCGATGGCCACCCGTTCCCGGTCTTTGACGTACGTCACGACGCCAAAATGGCGCTGCCCGGTTTTAGCCTGATTGAGGGCGGTGTACATCGAATATTTCGGCCCACCCTTTCTGTGGTAGTTGGCGGCATTATGCAAAGCCGAGATCCACGCCTTATCCGTTTGCCGCGCACGCACCTCCTGCAAGCAGACGAAGTCAGGAAGGTCGTGCCGGATGAGAAGGTCGCGTAGGAGCGAGAGCCGAGTACCGGGAGCGACGGAGGTTCCGACTTTTCGAGGCGGCAGCTGCAGGAACGGGACAGGCGTTTCTACGTTCCAGGACAGGATCCTTGTCAAATTCGCTTGAGGGCCTGGTATAGGCTCGGGAGGAGGAGGGATTGTGCGTGTCTTCTTCGGGGCCGCAGTGTCTGAGCCGGATGAACTAGCAGGATCGCTCCGAGGACGTTTGCTCATGTCGCGGGATGTTGGGATAATGGAGTCTCCGAAGGGCGATGCTTGTGCCGATGCTCCTCGACTAATTACCAGTAGCGATTGATGGAGAAGTTGCAGGCGGCGTTGTCGAAAAAAGTGAACGAAGTTGATGCATGGGACAGTTCGGCGATCTCAGTCACGTGTCAAACATATTGCAACTCCACACTAGTATTGGGACAGACAACAACCTGCGCAAGCTACACGCAAGTGGATCGCAAAGTCCACACAGTGAATACATTAAGCTAGCGAACAGCAGAGTAGTCTAGGAATTTATGGAACAGATAGTACATGCCTGTAGTGCTGCGATTTAGCCTTCTTTATCACCCTACAACCCCCCACCCCTCAGAGAACAGGACTACTACGAATTTGGTTGACGAGCGACTCCCAATAACTCCAATCTGAGCCGTCGAGGCCTGGAAGGGGATCATTACCCATGATCGGCGATGTTGCGGGTATCCACCCGGATAAATCAGCTAAACCAGGCGTACCCCATGGCAAGCGACTCGTCGCACCCGCTGAGTCGTCCGTAGGTCCTCCGCTGAAGATATTGCACCACTGATCCAGCAACGTCTGCGCCGTTGACTCGGAATCCACATCACCGCCGGGAGGGCTGCCGGTGCCTGATTGCGAGCCGCTTTCGACGGCTTGCATATGGTGCGGGATCGCTGGGGGACGAGCAGGTGGATGAGCATAACCAGCAGTAGGGACAGGGGTGATCGATAATGAGGGGACGTTGGACAATACCGGACCGGCGGTAGAAGACGGGATAACTTGATGATTAGGAGCAAAAGTGACCTGCTTGGAAGGTGACTCGAGCGGGTTGGCCGAAACGTTGACCCTCTTGTGGTTGGAAGTCGAGTCGGACCCCGCTGCACCTGCCATCTGCATCGATCGATCCTTCAGGAACTGGATGATGTTGACCTCCCTCCTTGTAGTCTCATCCAGTTCCTTCTGGTCGTGGTTCTTGAGAAACGTATCCAAGACGGCATGCATGGAATCTGCATCGTTGCCTCGCGGGTACAGAACAAGGTAGATGCCACTGACCATGGCTGCTTGGAATTCACGGTATGCGCTTGCGATAGGATCGCGCGCCTCCTTGGTAGTGGTTGCCAGGAATGCTCGTCGAATGCGATAGTCTGTTAGTGCAGACTCAAAGCATGCTTTCCGCGAGCGAAGATAGCGATCAGATCCAAGTCGACGGAGCAGATACGGGCGGTGTAGAGATATCCTCACAAAAAGGATTTCCGTCACCAGCAGAAATCGATGGACGGGAATGTAAGGGTGGGACTGATCTAATGATATATCGGGATCGACCGCATAGTAGGAGGGAAGTGAGCGCATGAACTTCAACAGTTCATCGTCGAGAGCCAGCACATCGGAGTAATGGCTTGCTGATCGTACTTGCTGAAAATGATGCGACATGCGTCCCATTATGCCAGCAAGAGTATGTCGGAGAATCATGAATGTGGACAGCGTAGGGGTCGTGAGCGGAAGCGGTTGGCGTAGGTCAGACGTTGCAAAATCATCAACGTTGGACGGCGGTAATGTGGAGGTGTATACATCCTGGATAGCAATAGGTCGTCCCAATACCAAAGCTATGGACCGGTCGGCATGGTATAGATGCGACCTATTTATGCAAGTTAGGAGGTTCAATCCGAGTAGAATCCGAAGGGCTTACCATATCCGTCGGCGCTTTTCTACCTGGACGAGGTCCATGCCCTGAAACATGAGGTGAGAGAGGTTGGGTGGAAGAATGATTTGTAACGTACCATGTCGGCGCCATCGCGATGTAGGCCCAAGGCTTGAGCGGTCCTGACGGCTGCACCCAGCTGATTCCAGGACTCCGTCATCCTCCGGTCGAGGATGAGAAATCGAGCGCTCTGAATATATATATATCAATGTGACTCGTTTGCACGCCTCCATCGCCCACTTACCAGCATGCGTGTCAGCACCATCTCGAAACAATCAGGCTGGATGGCCGCAGCAATTATCAGGGCTCGTCGCGCTAGCAAGATCGGTCAATGTCAGTGGGAATCAGACACAGGGGAATGGCTTACACGACCAATAATAACGCGACGATGTTACTTTCCGCGTCCTTTCATCGCCTCCAACGTGCTCAGGAGCCAATCGGATAGAAATAGCAAGGACAACGAATAACAGAGGGAGGAAACGTATGTTGTTCGGATTGAGCATCATCCCTTCTGCACAGATGGCAGCGTATGAGGCGCGAAAGTCGCGCTCCGGGATGGGGTAGCGCGTCCAATTACTTCAGTGATCATCGACTTAGGTCAGTAGACCGGGCCTCCTGATAGAGCTGACGGTACATACACAGCAGAGAAATAATGATCCACAAGGCGAGTGGACAGATGGCGGGGAGGAAGCTCGTTGATTAACTCCGGGACTTTCGTTGGGGAAAATCCGTAGTCAGAGATGAGCAACTTGAGCTTGTCTGCAGCATTTTGTGGTTCTAGCGTCGAAAGAAGTCTCGACTCTGGATGAAATATGTCAGCAGGGAGTTGATTGATCGATATTGAGTCTCCAGCGGATAGCTTCTCCACATGTTGCAGCTGTGGACATGATTAGCACGATCATCTATGACGCGCTGGTGTTCATACCTGCTCCAAAACAACAGGCGCAGCAACACTTCCAGAGGCGCTCTTCCCGAACCACCTGCCGCTTTCAAACATGCCTCCACATGGGTCTTCTTCTTCCGGTTGCGACCGATTCCCATCTTCCAACCCTGGAGAAATCGATCGTCTGCGGTCACTGCTGAAATCAGGGGATCCAGATGTGTGACCTTGCACCCAGTATTGCGGAAGTGCTGTCTCCACAATGTGTTCGAGGCGAGCTAAACGGACGTGAATGTCCTGGTCGGTCTTCCCAGGGGTGTAAGCCTTGCAGAGCTCCGGTACTTTACGAGCGATGCACTGTATGGTTGATGAGCTAAGCCAGGGAGCAGGAACAGACGGTGAGCAAAGGGCATACATGAGAGCAAGGAACTTGTCTGTCGCACTGTGTGATTTGCTCGGAGTGAGTGTCCAATCAATGGAAGCAGATTTATGAGAATTACCTTTTGCTTACGACGGTGGCATTCACCGCATGAGTAGCTTGGACGGTATCAGCGATCTGCGATATATCCGACCGATTGTCCACGTACCTGACTCTCGTCCGAGGCTTTTTGCTTAATCTCAACTCCTCCTCCTCAGCCTTTCTCCTCACGCCGTTGGAGGGTCCGGGCGTGCTCTCGGGGGTCATATGTGCACCGTTCTTGGACGGCATCGAGGTGGCATGCAATGATTACAGAGGGGCGGCGGGGGGGGGGGACGGAGTGGAGAGGAGAGGTCTATAAGGCAACCGGAAAGATGAGTGGACGGCTTGAAGCTTCGTCAGGAGAATGGTGGCTGAAAACCAATCGCAGCGCGGCTTTACCGTGACTAGACCCGGTCCGACCCCACCCGGTCACGTGCTCTCCCCCATGATTGGCCGTGTCCGTTCGCGTTACTCAACGCTCTCACAAGTCACATATTCTTCTACTCATAGGACCCTGCATTACTACCCATATTAGCGATGGAGGAGCCCCGGTGGAAGAAAATTAAGCTCTCCCTCGAGCGTCCTTACAAAGACGATGATGGCGAGCCTATCCCCGTCCTGCTCGACATCACCCCAGACGGGAAACACGTCTATGAACCGTATGTTAGTCCCTGTGCTATGTGAAATACGCGCCAACCAGCCGTAGGAAGGAAGATTCGACCGCAAAGGTCGGAGAGAATTTGCGCAAGATTTTTTTGGAACGCGGGCTTGACTTCTTCGACAAAAAGCCACAGGACCGTGAAAAGATTCAGTCTGACCACAATGCTGAGCCTGAGCAGGAGGGTGAGCAGGAGGACAAGCATGGCCTTCAACATCCTATGACTCCGGAGGAGCTGTTCAAGATGAGAATGGAAGTGATGCCCCAATTACAGTGAGTTTGTAGCCACAACATACTATGAAGTATATCAAACTGAAATATCCTACAGCATTGCTCTCGGGGAGATGTCTCAAGCACGGGATTTACTGTCGCTACTGCTGGCCTCCACTATGCCACTGCAGACCACATCACAACCGCAGCTGCAGACGCCGCCATCCTCACAATTGCCACCCTCAGCTTTGACCGCTACTGTTGTGACTAAGCCCCCATCGATTCTCTCCGTTCAAGCTTTTAATTCACAGCTCGTCGGCGGCGGAAAGGACAGGTCCCTGAGAAGGGCGGCCGACTTGTTCAAATCCGCCGCTGAGAATATGGAATCTGGCCGAATGCGAAGTGACAGGTATTGGGTGGACGCTCTCAAGATTAGAAGAGGAAATTGGGGTCTGATACCTGCTCCACTTCCTCTCGGCTCCGCAACCGGGCAGGGTGCAGACAAGACATCGAAGGACTTCCTCGTGTCGTTCGGCTTAGAAGAATGTACGTGTATTCGTTTTATTCTGGGAATCATAGCTTACCAATCCTCTCAGCGCCCTCCATTTTGCGCCGAAGAGCCATAGGACGAATTCCTACCCTGGATTCCGACCAGACCGAGCTCGAATTTCCCCTACGTCAATACACGCGCTTGCAGGTCGCCATCTCCGCCGTAGACGCGGACGGCTTTCGACGCATGGCTCACAACACCGTGCCGCAATTTGACGAGTCCACGCTTGAGGGTTCACTGCGAGCTGCGCAAGCAGAAATTGTCGAGCAGGAGATTTTCTCGGTACTAATCAGGGAGGCTAGCAGCTTGCAAACAGCCTCAGCACAGGTATCCGAGCGGCTGATTGTGATCGAAGCCGCCCAAGGGATAGAACTACGGTTTGAATTGGTAGGCGGGTTCTTCCGATCAGGTATCACAAGCCATCTCACTCTCGTCAGGTTGATGACCACCAAGCGCAAAAAGGCAGCAGCAGCAGCAGCGAGTCGGCAAAATGCGATCTAATTTACGCATCCCTTCACGTTCTTCTGCTTCGTGCGCATGCTGTGCTCAAAGCCGAACGCTTGAAGCGCACCGGTGTCTCTCGGGTACCGGGGGTGCAGCATCCGTTCCAGCCGCCCCCCATATTGCAACCGGTGATCGACATGCTGCAATACCAGGTATTCTGTGATCACATATACGCGGAGATTGACAGAAAGGTACGTGCATTGCAACACGCGGGGGTACCAACGAGGCAGCACTTCGAGGCGGTCGGCGGCAGTGGAGAAGAATTCCTAAAGCACTTTAGTGAGAATAAACCAAGGCCGATTGGCGGAGAGGCCCTGATTCGCATAGATGATTGGCAAGTCGTGTTTTTTTGCTTCCGGCAACAAGTTCAGCCTCCTTATTCTCTGCAAGGCATACGCTCCGGTTTACGTTTGTGTCTCCATCTATCCTCGTTGCACATCTACCTCAGGCGACGCTGGGCATTGCGTCAATACCGCAGCTATCTCAGCTTCTCGCGGACGAAGTAGGAGGATGCATCCTTAAAAGGATATGTGATATCGGCACAGAACGTTGCGCCGGCGTTGACGGGACATGGTTCGTGGACCTGTTAACCGGACGTAGCGTAGGGAGATGGGAAGGTTGCGTGCTGTAAGCCCGTGCATGCGAATGGTGCGGCTCAACTTTACTGACTATTTCCCGCAGAAACTTCCGTGTCACGTTCTCGGACGAATCCCTCCTCTGCACAGCCTCTAGTCTTGACCGCATGAATAGTCATCTCTCAAGTAATACAGTGACGTATTGCGCAATAGAACAGCCCGGGAAGACCCTGTTCGCATGGATAGCAGATGTCATAGACATTGCATTGTCGAAGCAGCCTATTGCTATAAAGCCTTGTAAGTTCTTCTCAAGGCTGGTCTTTCGCGGCGTGCTTAGCTAGTATTGCAAACAGAGAAGTCGACATGGCAGAAATCATGACACTCCTGTTGCAGGCCTATTTGCCTGCATTGCTGGATTGATCACAAGTCGTCCTTACAGATTAGGGAAGTACGGCGATAGCGACAGTACTCAGTACGAAGGTTATGAGGATAGCATCGAATGTCGTAGATGATGCTTCAGAAAGCATACAAATGCAAGGCGTGATAACGAAAGAAAGGTATGCGCATCTACTCTTCGTCCTCCTCTGGCTTTTCCTCCGCAGGCGCACCAGCCTGGAAGGCCTCGATTTTGGCCTGGATCCTGGCCTTGCGCTCCGCAAGGGTGAGCTTGGGAGACCTGTGCTTTTTGCTCTCTGCCGCCCAGTCTTTGGTCTTCTCGGTGGGCTTGAACGAGGGGTCTTCCCGGATCGCAGCATAGGCGTTCGTGTAGATCTCCTCGATGTCCTCAGAGCCAACACCGTCAGCAAGATAGGTCGAAAACTGCTTCTTAAACCTATGTGGACGTATGAAGTTGAGAATGAATTTCAGGATCTAGCAGTGTGAACACGTACCTCTCGTCATCTTCCTCCTCCAGCGATTCCATGTACTCTGCGACATGACCGCCGAAAATGTACTTCTTCAAAACTTCGGAGTCCAACTCCTTTGTCTCGGCGTCGTAGCCGGGGAAACGCTTCTCGCTGTGGGGAATGTAGATTCCACCGTCACTTGCACCCTTGAGCGCACCGAAGACACGCGAACCAGTCGACGTGCGCTTCAGACCGACGTCGAGGTAACACTTGAAAGGTCGTGGAGCGTCCTCATCGTCAAGGGTCTCCGTCATCGAGATAGTGCCGTCGGGCTCCGTTACACCCTGGTACTTGTCGGCGAGGCCGAGCTTCGTCAGAGCGCGACGTGCGCACAGAAGGCCAGTCGCGTAGGCTTGTTAGGAATTGTACGTTTGGTAAAGATGGCAACACTGTACGAGAGAATCACGTACCGGCAGTCCAGTTCGTGAGACCATGGTTAATGCCGTATCTCGGCAGTTCTCGTGAGCGAGCAGCGCACAGAACGAAGTCACCCTGGATGCGTGCGTAGACGATCTGGCAGATGACCTCCTTGTTGGTGAAGCGGACCACCAGGCGGTACTTGGGGGCGTTACTATTCGCAGCAACTTTAAACACAACCCTTTGAACAAAGGAGACGCGCACGTACTATTTGTTTTTGGCCTGGGTGACAAGTCGTTTGCGGGCGTAGTCTGTGTAGAGATCAATTATGCATTCGACATGCCGAGAAAGCGACGAACTGACAGTCAGTCTTGCCCTCTCTCCGGCGACGGTATTTGACTTGGAACCGCGAGTAATAAGCGTCCGACTTGACGTTCTTGACGAATGGCATCTGCAAATAACTGTAAGTTGTACTGGTCTAAGCAGCATCCGATGTCAGCGCGATGAATCCATCATGCCGTCCTTTCGACGGCTGAGAACTCAGTATCCATAGAGATTCATAGGACACCATAGACATGCTCTGACGCGTTGAGAGGGTGATACTCACCTTGAGGGAGATATGGGGACCTTGACGGCGACGATGTGCACAGTCCACACAGGATGCTCCAATCCGGGGAACCTGCTTACGTAAACGGCCTGTTCAGGAAAGGGCAACTTGACATAAGCACTTGCTCGTCTTGTTGCTGAGTCCTGACCTCCACTGTCCTCGCTCGTCTTGTCCTTTGTTCTCAGCGCTCGACTACTACTTCCCGTTTGGCATCTTTTCTGAAGCAAAAGCTCGTCTCAGACATGGATCCATACTCTGCGCAGAACTACTACCAACAGTACCAGCAGCAGCAATCTGCCGATGTCAACCCTTACCACCAGCCGTATCAGGGCCCGATGTACCCTATCCCAGGAGCGTCGACGTCGGCCCACAGCGCCCCCGTACCTGCCAATGCGTACGAATATGATGTCGGAATCCTAGCTCAGCAGAGTGTGTACGTTCCGGGCGCCATGATCGATAAACGTGGGGGTGCGGGCGGCAAGCTAGCCAAGGGGGGCAAGCGGACGACTGTGTTGCGGAAGGGCGCAGGAAAGGTCTGGGAGGATCAGACCCTGTTGGAATGGAATCCTTGTGAGTGCCATTTGCTGATCCTTCGCTATCCGGACGATGTGCTGACGTTGCACGCAGCTTGGTTCCGCTTGTTCGTGGGTGATCTTAGCAATGATGTGTCGGATGATGTTCTGTCAAACGCATTCAACAAGTATGCATCCTTTCAGAAGGCTAGAGTGATCCGTGACAGGCTCAGCGGGAAGGTGAGCAAGGATACTTTGCATTTTAGAGTCTCACTTGCTGATAGCTTCGCAGGCAAAGTTCGGCTTTGTCGCATTCTCAGACCCAGAGGACTTCCTCAAGGCATGGAAGGAGATGGACGGTACGTCGACCACATGGTACCACATGATGTATCAAATCTGACCTTGCTTCAGGCAAGTATGTTGGCAACAGGCCTATCAAGCTCAAGAAAGCAGATAACAACATCAACCCGGTAGAGATTGGTCATCGAAAGGCTCGTCAGCTCGAGAAGGAGCTGAAGCAGAACAGGCACAAGCCATACTGAATTGTTCAATCTCGGGAGGCCATCGTCGATCACAGAGGAGTACGTTAGTTTGCTACCAAGATTTAGTTCGGACTCACATTCCTTGTTCCATCATACCTTTGTACGCTACGTACGCTAAAGAAGCGCATACATGTGACGGTTCGTATATTCCTCATCATCGTTTGATCACGTATTACGTGTACCTGTACTTGCACAGGTTGATTCGCGCGCGCACTCTGCACGATGTGCACCACTGACCAAGCGAACGTTTCTCCGGTGAGCGAGTGTGTCTCACTTCGCATGCAGGCAATGGTTGTCAGTGCACACTTGTAGCGCAGGCAGGTGCAAAATGCCTCCACACGGCAATGTCGAGAACATCATAAAGATTCAGCTTGTTGACCGTACAGGCGATGAATATGGCATTCACCAGCGCTTTTCCAAGAAGTTAGCACATGGCGGAACTACGAACTAGCTTTTCCGGAGTTCGCGAGCATTGTAAAGAGACCCTGAACTCCAGCGCCTGCCACGCCCTTCAGACCATTACTCACATTTTTTGCGGTGTTGATCCCACGAGCGATGCTTTCGATGCCATTTGCAGCGAGGTTCCAACCTATCACCGGTGAATCAGGACGAGGGGCACTCCCCGCAGATATCATCATGGCGGCCTTAACCGTGTCGAGCTCGTTCAGTATTTCCACACCCACTGAGCGCGCCCAGACGATGGGCTCGGCGGTGGCACTGTAGAGCTTGTGCAGCTTGTCGCATGCGGACAGAATTTTGTGGTTCTCGAAGTATCGTTCGCGCGCGTAGGGCGCGAGCGCCGTGTATGAGCCTGTTAGGGGAAGAGTTATGATATGGTCATGGGGAGGAGATGCGTACAGCACGTACCAATATCGCCACCGTATGTCACGGCATTGTTGATGCAGTGGGAGAGAGCCTGAACGTCTGCGAGGCCCATGTTGAGGCCCTGTCCCGCCAATGGGTGGATTGTATGTGCAGCGTCACCGATCAGCACCGTGCGCGCGCCGTTGCCCTCTCCAATGTAAGAATCAGCATGAGTGAGACGCAATGGGAACGACGCAATGGTGTCCGACTGGATAGACGTCACGAACGGTGGCAGAACCTCTGAGTCTTCCGGAGGCACTCCAGCGCCGGCCATCTGTGCCATTGTCGAGACCGAATAGGCAGAATGGGGATCGATGTGATGCGACTGCTCGCGCCAGCTGATCTCCGCTGCGAGCTCCTTCAGCGTGATGGATGCGCCAGCCTCCTGGGCCTCGAGGATGCGCTTGTGGAGGTACCGCATGGACACGTCGGGCAAGCGGAATGCAGCGTTGACCATGATCGCGAGGACAGCAGGGTCGCACGCCATGAGGGCTTTGGCAAGATGGGGCTTCGTGGACCAGACGAGAGAGGAGGCGGTGGGGGATAGTGGGAGGAAGGCGATAGGCCCAGTAGGGAGGAAGCGCTGGTATGCGACCGTGTTGGGAGGCTCGAGAGGTGTGCGCATGGGATGGTTGAGCGTGGCAACGATAGCTTGGGTGTCGTATGCCCAGCCGTACGACTGAGTACCTGCGTATGAGCGTACGGGCGAGTTGAAACCATCGGCGCCAACCTGTTCTACATATGAGATTAAGACATAATGTACGCCGCTGAGCACGTACAAGCAGTCTAGCACGGAGGACGCGTCCATCCGAGAGTTGAACCAATGGCCATCCGCCGCCCTCTCTCTCCTCTCTCTGAATGGACTGTACCTTCACCTTGTCAAAGAGCTGTATCATTGGCATACTGGAGAGATGTCGGAGGAGACCGCGTTGTAAATTTAGATTCTCTATCAAGCGCGCCATCTCCTGAGGTGCATCTAACCCGGCATACACGATCTCTGACGCAGAGAATGTGATTCGGGCATCAGATATCCCGTCCCACACCTATTATCTGTATGATTAAACTGGAGGAAGATCTGAACACTTCGCATGCTTACTTGCAGTTCTTCAATCGGCATAGTACGTTCAAGGTCAATATAAGACCATGCGCCGATGTCTGCATCACCACAGGTTGTGAGCATGGTGCTTGAATTAGAGATAGAGACGTGCCCTTTAGAAATGCTTCAGAGGCGTTTGTGATAGAGCTGACGCGGTTGGAGAAGCCGCCGGGAGCAGGTGCCCATTCCCTGATCTTCGAGAGGTCGCCAGCCTCAACAAGAGCAATGCTCAAAGACTCGTGTATTTGACGTGACGAGCCTAAGCAGCGTTACAGACGAAGAAGCTGTCGCATGGCAAGCCGCTGCGTACCAAGTGCACTGGCAAGAGCAAGTCCGGCTGGGCCTCCTCCGACAATGACAATGTCGCACTCCTCAGGGCCTGACGAGATGGTGGAGAGTGACCGCAGTGTCTGAGCCCAGCGGCCCCTTGAAGCAAGCAAGCAAGCTCTGGATTTAGCGGCAGAGCTCAACATATTGGTCGAATTTGCTGTTTATTGCGCATCTTGCACTCAGAACAGCGTCGCGATCGTCACGAGATCACGGACGTCACCCCGTTCCAACGCTGTGATTGGCTCTTCAGACAAGCTCCGTGCCATTCACTCACTCATAAAACAACCACTTCAAAGTCGCCCTCACCGCTCGCTGAATCTATTGCATTCTCTCGACGATGAACATTGACGAGCTCTTCAAGGTATTCATCGTTCGCCACCGTGCCGCCGACGCGCCTGACTCTGCGACAGGTGCCAAAGCTCCCTGCAGGGAGTAAGAAAAGGCGCATGCCGGACAATCCAAGTCCGGAGATACTAAAGCGCATGCGCATGGACGTTGAAGACTCATCGATTCCAGAAGTCCCACCACAAAATCGCACAGGCAAGGGCAAGGCGCGTGCCGTGACAGTGCATGACGAGGAGGAAGAGGAAGAGGCGACGGAAGCAGACTTTGCCCCCGGAGGTGACGCGGACTACTTCGCGGAAGAAGACGAGGAGGGACGGTTCTTTGGTGGTGGTTTGACCAATCAACAGAAGGATATCTTGAATATTTTTGACAGAGATGGGGGCGAGGAAGCACGAGAAGACGTGAGTGTTTCAGTCTCCTGTGCGTTGGGTATTGACAGTGCTGTCTAGTTGGAAGAACTTTCACTTCCAGGTGTACGCAGGCTGCTTCTGCGGTTTGAGCGTGCAGCCAATAGGAACCAAGACCAGAGGTCTAAATACCCAGACGACCCGACAAAGTGTGTTTGATTGTAACGTTTGTACTCGTGCAATTCCTCACAGCGCTGCCTGCAGATTCATTGACTCAGAAGCAGACCTCGACGCTGCCATTGAAGCTCTCCTCCCGCTCGCCCAGGTCCCGACCATCGCCTACCCTGAGCTCGTCAAAACTGGTGCTCTCGCGCGACTAGTCGGGTTGCTCAGTCATGAAAACGCAGACATCGCCATCGACATAGTGGGAGTCGTGCACGAGCTGACGGACGAGGAGGTAGGCAATGAGAACGAGGAGGAGGAGGAAGGCGAGGGTTCTAGGGAAGAGGCCCTGAAGATGCTCATTGAGGGCCTGGTAGGTCTGTCTTGTGTGCATCTACGCAGCAGTACGTGCTAATGGACCCTCTCGAACAGATGGAGAACTCGATATTCGAGCTGCTGGTGGACAATCTGGGTCGTCTGAACGAAGAAGAAGAGTCGGATAAACAGGGCGTTTTCCACATCCTGGGTGCGTTGCGATACATTGTCTCTGTGCGTTGTCGCTCATACGGGAGGTTACAGGAATATTTGAAAATATCATCGGGTTCAATGCCGATTTTGCGCCTCAGTTGGTCGCGAAGACCTCGATTATAAAATGGCTACTTAATCGGATACAGTCAAAGACCCATGACGAGAACCGCGGCTATGCGGCAGAGCTATTGTCCATCCTGCTACAGAACAATCGGGCGAATCGTTTGGAGCTCGGCAAGCAAGATGGCGTTGAGGCCATCTTAAAAGTGCTATCTGTGTGTTATTCTGCTTCCACACGCCGGAACTAGCTTGTGCTCATATGATGTCTGCCAAATTAGCAATATCGGCGAAAAGATCCAGTGGACCCAGATGAGACGGAGTTCATGGAAAACGTCTTCGATTCATTATGCTCCGCACTTGCTGAGCCCGAGATTAAGGAGCTCTTCCTGAAAAGCGAGGGTGTGGACCTGATGGTGCTCATGATGAAGTACGTGGCTGATTAATCGCTACCGGGTATGTGCCGACGTATATGCAAACGTGCAGGGAGAAGATGCAGTCACGATCACGGTCTATCAAGGTGCTTGACTATGCGATGTCAGGTCCAGCAGGGACGGAAGCTTGCGAAGTCTTTGTCGAAGCACTCGGATTGAAGACGCTATTCTCTGCGTTCATGGGCAAGGTCGACCGTTCATCATGTTATCCGTGTTCAGTTGTTCACCCATCTATTGACAGACGTCGAGGAAGCACAAGCATGCGTCTGCACCAGCCTCGGAGGATGCCTCGCATACGCTTGGCATTATCTCCTCGCTCTTGTCTAATCTACCTTCAGACTCGCCTGCTCGCATCCGTCTCCTCGCAAAATTTGTCGAGAATCAATACGAGAAACCGGAGAAGCTCCTTGAGATCAGGGATGCGGCACAGGGCCGATTAAAGCAGGTTGAGAAGGAGATCGAGGCAGAAAAGAAGGTTAGCATGGCCATCACATTTGTAACGATTCGATTCGAGAATGCTAATAACCTATTACAGGAGTTGATCGACGGAGGCGAAGAGATCGGTCCAGAAGAAGAGGACCTGTTCTACCTCCGGCGACTCGATGGCGGCTTGTTCACGTTGCAAACGGTGGACTACATTCTTGCATGGATTGTCATGGAAGACGACGGCGTAAGACTTGATCTTCTACTGCCCCGCACCCCACGCTGACGCTCGACGTTTTCTCTCAGATCCGAGCACACGTGCAGCAAATGCTCAAGCGGAAAAACAATTCCCTCAAGGACATCATCGGCACACTGCAGATCTACCACGACAACATCAACGAGGAGGACACGGGTGGCGAGGAGGACGGCGCGTTGTCCCGCAAGGAGATCCTGCGGAATCTAATAGCATTCCTCGAGGGATGCTGACGATACTACCACAATACTCTTGCATGATCGGATGCTGCAGTCTCCTCAGAGAACCACGAGGATTACGAGAACAGGTGTAAATATTGCGGTGGGTATCAGGAGATAGCAAGGAGAGCGGCGGATGACAGGAGCATGTCCAGGGCGCCCTTTGTCTTGACGAGCTCTCTCTGGAAACGGAGCTCGGCTGTTACCTTCTTCCGAAGACGGGCAAAGAGGATGTCAATGAGTGGAGACTGGCCCAGGATTGGTGTGTACATGTCTGGCAACAACGGATGATCAGCCAAATCGCGCTCTATTTATCCCATAGCAATTGTTCTGACCAATTACAAGACTAGCAACGTCGCAGACCATTTCCCCGAACCGTGGGTCGGTGATATGCTTGAGCAGAAGACGGAGAACGGGCTCGAGCATCACATCGTCACGCCCGGCAAGCGCTGTGCGCAAACCGTCACGATGGATGAGCTCTTGGATCACGGAAAAGGTGGTTGTTGGAGGGACTTGCTGTGGGGACGAATAGAATGGGTGTGAACGGTGAGCGGCGCAGAACAATCGCCGAAGCACATACCTTGTCAAGCACGGCATCTAAGGCTGCTGTGTACTTGAAATTCTTTAGCATCTTGTCATAATCTCTCAGCCTCTTCTTTCGTCTGCTCTCCACCTTGAACTCGTCCACATCGCCGACGGGTTTTGACTTTGTCTTGTCCTGTACCCGGCCCTGTCCTATTGAAGGCAATGTGCCGCCGAGTAGAGATTCAAATGCACCCGCTTTGAGGGCTGCATTGGATAGAAGATCGTTTGAGGCTGTCTCGGACACCTTGGGTTGCCGGCGGCGTACGGAGAGGGTGCCGTCCGTCATGCCTGCAGCAATGTGTGTCTCGTCGGGCTACATAACGTGTTCAGCGACTAACATTAAGGACGGGTGCGACTGCACGTACCGAGATCGCAAGGCAAAGGATAGGTGCAGGGTACCGCATAGTATGCACGACCTTGTACGTGCTCACGTCGTACACCTTCACCATTTGGTCGAGTCCGCCGGTCAATAGTCTGCTCGCATTCGAGTCAAACGTCATGGCCGTCACAGTCTTTTGGTGGTTCGACAGAGCGCGCGTACACCGCCCTCCTGCGACGAGATCCCAAACTCGCAGAATGGGCCCTGCGGAGGAGAGGGCGACCGTACCCGAGGGAAACATGAGGACCTGTTCCACCGGCGCAGCATTCCGGCCCCCTCCTTCTCCAGACGGCCCGCCCATCACCATTTCACAATCTCCTGTTCTAGAGTCGAATAACCGCATGGATGCATCATAGGAGCCTGTCAGTATGAGATGCGGATTGGAGGCGTGCACTTGGCCAGTGCGGACGTAGTCCGTGTGCTCGGTGAAGGTGCAGATAGCTTCCTGAGAGGGGACATCCCACAGCTTGACGGTTGTGTCGTCGGAGCAGGAGAGCACTTGGGTATGGTTGAGGGGAGAGAATTTGGTGACATGGACAGGCTGTTTGTGTGAATCGAGGGTACGCAGAATCGCGCGAGAGTTGATGTCGAACACCTAGGAAGCACACTGTTCAGTCATCAGTTCGAGCGTGGACTAACCTGTGGCCAAAAAATGACCCTGAAGCAGGATCGCACTTCACTAACCTGTATGAGACCACTGTCGTCTCCCGCCACAACGAGCTTGCCGTCTCCTCTGATACAACCACTGCGCGCTACGTCCTTGAACCTCGCGATTGTCTTTGTCACCTTCTGTGTCCTTGGGGCATATATCTGCACCCGAGTTGCAGCGGTGACTGCATATCTGTGCGGCTTTGATGGCGAAAAGTGCACAGAGGTGACTGGCGCGTATTCCTTGATGAATACGGGGTTCTTGAACTGCCTCCAATACCGCGACTCAACGTTGTGCTTCGCGGGTGCTGGTCGCGGGTGTTTCGCGACCACGAGCGGCTGGTAGTCTGTCATGGCCAGCTCAGACAGAAAATATGGCCGAGCTGAGCAGGCGGGTATGCGAGTTTGACCGGTCCCAAAATAGATGTCGAGTTTTTCGACGCGGGCACGTGCGCGTGATAAGAAGATCGATTGAGTCCCTTTTTCTCGATCCTACAATTTAAAGCTACAATTCTGGTCACGCCGCCATCCCCTTCTGTCTCTTCCTCGCCCCTAGCACTTCCCGCGCGCCTCTCGCTCCTCTCTCCAGCATAAAAATCAAGATGTTGTTGTACACGGATATCATCAGCACGGATGAGATGTTCTCCGACGCCTTCCCCATGTACGTACCCCCATCCCCCGCCACGACTCCCAGCTGATGTGTCGCATAGCAAGGAGGTCGACGACATCGCGTACGAGGTGGATTGTTTGATGATAACGGTCAAGGCTGGTGCCGATGTCGACATTGGTGCGTCTCCTTCTCGCTTCTCGGTTCAATTCGGACCTGCTCACATAAACCTAGGTGCCAACCCGTCCTCGGAGGAGCAGGAAGAGGCGATCGAGGACGGCGCGACTCAAGTCAACAACATCGTTTACTCCTTCCGTCTCCAGTCGACGCAGTTCGACAAGAAGTCCTATCTCACCTACCTCAAGGTGCGTGCGTCAATCAACCAATCGTACTGCGAAACATCTGGCGCTGACTTCTCCTTCGCAGGGTTACATGAAGGCGGTGAAGGCTGAGCTCCAGAAGTCGAATCCTGGTCGGGTTGAGGCATTTGAGAAGGGTGCACAGGCGTTCGCGAAGAAGATTGTCGCCAACTTCAAGGACTACGAATTTGTAAGTCTGTTATGCACACAAACGCCGTGCGATGCCGATGTTTTGTTTGCAGTACACCGGCGAGTCCATGAACCCCGATGGCATGGTTGCCCTTCTGAATTACCGCGAGGATGGTATTACACGTGCGTATTCTCGCCAGCCATCTGCTTTGATATGCTAACGTTCATCCTCTGCAGCGTACTTCACCTTCTGGAAGGACGGTCTTAAGGAGGTCAAACTTTAGATTTGCTCAAGTTCTCCTTGCTTCCTCGTAGTTTGCCTTTCCTTCTTCTCTTTTCTCGTCGGCGTTGGTGTTGCCTTCACAATGTACCAATCTATCATGAAGCAGAAGTGGAAAGATCGAATACGGCTGTATTCTCATCACAACCCATACTCAATTGATGGACACTGAACAAGCATTCAGATCGGTCGAGAATCACATAATACAAAGCCATAACCAGCCAATATCCGAAGATCGAGCAAGATTTCTTCACAGCTCATCATGGTGTTCGTGCGCCTCCGCCTGTGTGGCGTTTTCGATGGCCACCTTGGAATCGAGAGGGTTGCGTGCATTCTCTTCAACGAAGGCAATGAGGCTCTCCAGAGAGCGGTCGCCGTTGTAGTCGATGAAGTCGCGCGAACCAGCCTTTTTGAACTTGAGCGTCGGGAAGCCGTTGACACGGAAGGGAACAGAGGGAGGGAGGTCGTTCTCCTGGGCCTCCATCTTTGCACTGTAAAATCACGCTCAACAAATGATTTGGTTCAGATAGAAGGAAAAACATACATGACCAAACGATCCTTGACGTCCGCATAGCGGTCACCGAGGGAGTCCCATGTGGGCTTGAGGCGCTTGCAGTGGCCACACCTACGATGCACACTCTAAGGCTGAGAAGTGGCTAGCTGGAGTTGGATATGTACGCACCAGCTGGCATAGAACTCAACGAAGACGTCCTTGTCATCATCAAAGACGACCTCGTCAAACTGCTTGCCGACAAGGTTGAAGACGCCCTCGTCTTGCGACGCAGGAATCGGCTGACTCTTCAGCTGTGGCTCGAGTTTCCCCTCCACATACTGCGCAAGCATGCTGTCCAGCCCCTGCTCGGAAAGCTGCTTGTCCTGGTCATACGGGTACTTGAGCTGCTTGTGGATATCCTGGACGACGAACGCAGGCCACTTCGGCTCGACGAGATTCAGCGCCTTGGCGTGGTCGCCGAACTTGACCGCGTCGATCCACACGAAGTTCACGCCGTTCTTATACTTCTGCGCAACGGGCCTGACCATGGCGATCTGCGCTTCGAGCTCCGAGTCGCTCGGGTCGACGAAGAGGTACGCGAGGGACTTCCCGCTCTGCGCGTACATCTGGTAGTTCTCCGTGCTGACCTCGTCGATGATGGGGATGGCGAGCTCCTTGATCCAGTTCTCGATGTCCTTGACCTTGGCGGAGCCAGCCGGATAAGGGTATTCGGTCTGCGGCTCGTCGAAGGCGCGGTAGAGAACGATAGCTGGGGGCTCGACGCCGGCCTCCTCGGCGAGCGACTTGTCAGTCGTCGAGCCGAAAAGGTAATCATCGCGGTGCTTGTTCGCTGTCGCGGTGAACTCGGGGCCAGGGGCATCAGTTGTAGAAGGGAGGAATACGAGCGCAACAATCTTGTCGGCCTTGATGAAGTCCTTGTAGTTCTCGGGCGTTACCTCAGTGACTGCTGGGAGCGATTGCCTGAAGAGCCGCGCATAAGAGGAAGTGCTGAAGAAGGCATACAGCGTCGACGTACTTGATCATGTAGCTGATGATTCCATCTGTCTTGCGAGGTCCGGTATAGTCAGAGTAGTCACCATGTCGATACACCCTCATTGTGCTATATCATGTCACTCAGTGCTTGCTGTTCGTGCGATTTTGTTGGTCACGTACGGGTAGCCTTGGATGCCATTTGCCTGGCAAAGGTCGGCCTGGTCGACACAGTCCACCTTGGCAAGCTTGATGCCATTCTCCTTGAGCGCAGCTGCAGCTTCCTCATAGTGAGGAGCAAGAGCCTTGCAGTGACCGCACCTTCACCAAAGAGCAGGCAATGATGGGTTACAGCTTTACGAGAGCGAGCAGGCCCAATACTCACCATGGTGCGAAGAACTCGACCAAAATTAGCGGGTCGGGATTGACAATCGAATCAAAGTTCTCTGAAGTGAGGTTGATCACGTCCGAGTCGGCGAGGACTGCAGAAACGAGCGCAATCACGGTCGCGGACTTGAACAGACTAAAAAGTCGCATCTTTCAGCGATGGGGAGGGAGAATGCGTAGTCCGCCACGGTAATCTCGGGCGATTATATGGCTGCAGCAGCGAGGTGACGTGTCACTACAAAATGAAATAAGCAATACTTCTAATCATAAAGAGGCGCTGTCGCATAGAGTTGGCATGAGATTAGAAAGCAAAATGCTTCCCTTCCCCGGTCGCCGAGTCTGTAGGTGATACTGGCCGCGTTGACCTCAAACATGCAGCCAATTATTCGATATTCATTATCTATTAATATTGCAGGCAGGGTACCACCATGGACTAGAGCGCGTAACAGACCCCCGACAAACTATCTGGTCCTATAAACAGCGCACAGGGTGTCATTAGAATAGAGGCTACTATGTAGGTATCGGCGGTCTGCAGGCCCCGCACATCATAGCAGTCCGAGGTCAAAATCGCTCCCTTTTTGTCGCCCTCCTCCATACCGTTTCGGCGCCCGATTGAACGGCCGCGGCGGAGGGAAGTCAGACACAGGGAAGGAATGCATGCCTGTCATCGGCGGCGGGTCAGGAACTAGAACCGACAACAATCAGCGCAAGACACCTACAAAGTATAAAACTCTAACTCACTCTTCCGACGGCTCGGTGCCGCAGATCCGTTCCCATTGACCATGGGAGGAGCGGATGATGTCAAAACAGCGGACAACGCAGACGACGCAGACGCAAAAGTAGACGATGTTCGGCCTGCTGCGATCGAAGGCGGCGGAGCACCTGGTGATGACACCGTCCGTGGTCTTACAGGCGGGGGTCCAGGCGGGGGTGGAGGGGGTGCAGAGGGCATGCTGGGATGCCGAGCTGGAGATGGGCCAGGAGGAGGAGGCGGTGGTGCCGCAGGTGCAGCAGGAGCATGTCGCGCTGGAGGAGGTGCAGGCGGGGCAGGGGTATGCCGTGCAGGAGGCGGTCCCGGAGGTGTTGGAGGCGGAGAAGGCGTTTCTCGGCGCGCTTCCTCTGTCAGTGATTTCACTCGAGTTGGAGGCGGAGGAGGGGCAGCAACGCTGATCGGCCTTCGCGCGGGCGGCGGCGGAGGAACAGCACGCCCTAGGGCAGCGGAATGTGCGTGAGCAGCCATACTGGAAGGTCTTGCGGGGGGCGGAGGAGGGACTCTTCCTGTGTGCGGGTGTGGGACCTTACGATGTGGTATCGCAGGAGGTGCTGCAGACGAGGGAGGCCGCGGGATGTCGGGAACTGAGCGAAGAGATGTGGCAGAGGAGCTTCGAGCCGGTAGGGCTGGAGGCGCAAGGGATGGCGTGCCATTCGTGTGAGAATGAGGTCTACGAGGGGGCGCTGGGGGCGCTGGTGTATGTACAGGCGGCGCTGGGGCAGATCTCGCTGGTAAACTAGGCGCAGGGCGGCTTGTGGGAGCTGGGGGAGGTGGGGCGGGCGGTCGTGCTGGTGCGGGTCTATTGGGCGGGACCGGAGGTGCAGGGTGAGCAAATGCCGGCGGTGCTGGCGGTGGTATTGGAGGCGCAGGAGATGCGCCGTTGCGTTTGGGTATCGACGGCGGTTTTCCTAGTGTCGGAGGTTTGCCTGTAAAGCCATGATACGGTGATGTTAGCACACGGCTGTCTAGGTAACGATAAGTGAGCTCTGCGCACCTGTACTGCTTTGGCCGACATGCTTCAACTTTGGCATGCCACCAGCGAATAGAGCACCCAGCTGGGGAGGGCCTCCCGCCAACGGGAGCACCGGCGCGGACGACGCCCCTCCTGCATTTGTAGACCTCCCTCCTGCACCTCCCCCCTTGGGTGCCTCAATAATAGGAGCGCTGCGATCATGTGTCTGAGCGGGCTTGAGCCTCTTCCCGGCCTGAATTTGCTTGAGCAGCTCAGACGATGCCATGTCTGCGGAGAGAGTGTGGTGGCGAGAGGTAAGTTGTGCAGGTCAGGCTGTGCGACCTGAACCGCGCGAACGGAAGGCTCGTCATCAACCACTGCGGCGTCGATCGGACAGTGGCTCTAATAATTGCTTGCTCTCACTGTCTCTCGTCGCACTTAAAATCGGGACCCCTGCCGCTTACATACATACACGGCGGAATCATGGGCTCATGCCCCCGGTGATACGGTGACTCGCGACGGAATTGTTCTGCATCCGGCTTCTAGTACAAGGGATCTCTGTCCGAGCACTGCCTTTATTCTGCCTAGCATCATTTTTTTCTCACTGGCGATCAACAGGAGTTTTCCATGTTTTTCTTCTTTATTGCTGGTGACTCACAGTGTGATCTGCATTCTGAAATCCTGCGAGCTGTATGACCAAAATGTATTCTACTAGCAGCGCACTTCACTCGGGTTTGTCGGCGAGACCCCTTGTACCATCCTCCTTGCTCAGTCCTAGAGAACTCCGAACGGGGAAGTCCCAGACGCAGAATCTCCTGGCTCCAACCTCTGGTGGTTTGCTCAATCTACCTCATCGATGTGATGTCAACGTAGCGTCCTTCTGTCTTCACCGAAACTGACTCTGAAGATGTTTGATAGGAAGATCGGGTGTTCGGTATCCTGCGGCTCAAACGCTAGATTATTTTCTCCTACATCGTATTTCGGTTCAACGGTTCTCGGCCATTCAGTATGTCTCCGGATAGAGGAGATGTTCTCAATGATTCTAGCCCTAGGCTGATCACTCCTAGGACGGTTCTTCTTTTGGCTTGCAATCATTGGTAAAATCCTGGATCCTTGTCTTTGCTGATGATGATTTTGATAGCAAATTCTGAACACAGAGATTCTATCAATTGATGACTCAGAGCCCTAGATGGCCCGTTTCTGGTACTGCTCTCGTTTTGGATTGGGTATCCTCGGTGGACCTTGCTTCTGGGCATCTTCAGTAGAAGTTCCGTGTCTGCATTCCAGGCTTGTTCCGCGTGCTGATGAGGATGTGAGTATATATGTCGCTGCCGTTCCGCCAATCTTATTTCAGCCTACTGTCGTAGTTCAGCATCGATGGAGACTGCCTCTGTGACGAGGATGGCGCTCGCAAGAGGAGATAAAATGCGGTGAAGAACTTCCTCAGATTTCAGGCTCTCAGCTCCAAGAAAGCTCGAACATCTTCATAAGTTACACACGAGCTCATCCTTGTTCACTCTGTCGACTTGTTGTTGACTTTCCCAGCCAGCCCGCTGCGTGGCTGGGAGTTCGGGAGTCGCCCGCTCTCTAGAAGATGGCTCCATGGGGCCAAACCGATGGCCTGTCCCATTGTAGCCGCGCCCTATTATATACACGCGTGCTACTATTCTCCCACGCTGGTGGTGCAGGTCGCACCGGGGCCTCTCGCATCTGTGCTCCGCACCCAGATTCCAACACACCCCCTCGACCTAGCCACTGCTGCATCTATCCCATTGTGGGCCACACGCCTGTACTGCACTCCCTGTCCCCAGCGATGCCGGTCTCCATTCCATGTGCTTCCCTGCCTACCTCAGTCCGTATGCCAGTCCCGGCACCCCCTGATCTTGGGTCCCAGTCTCCGTACCGTATGCATCCTGTACGTGCCCATTTTCAGTGACTTCCTATAGTGCCCCCACACACTCGTTGCTCGCTCGGTCTGCACGCCAGTCCCGACGCTCCTTGGCTTCAGGTCTCAGTCTCCGTTCCATGCAAGCGCATCGCTTGGCTTTTCTTCAGCACTCCACGTGCTGTGGCTGTGCCACTTCGTCGGACTGCCAGCCTGTCTCGCTCAGCATCTGCTCGACCAGCCCTTTGACACCCTGCTCTGCCCTCGCCTCGCTGGTAGGCCTGCCTCACACAGTGCCCGCCCCCTGCATCTGATGTCTTGTATCACTGCAGCGGCACCCCACGGTCAACCCTCTGGCCCTCACCCTCCTGCCCTGGACCTCCTGATCCCACCTCTGCCTGGTCGCACCTGTCCCTCAGCTGCTCTGCAGCCTTCACACCTCAGTGACCTGCCTCAGCTCCCAGCCCTTGACCTGCTAACTGGATCACTCACCAGTCAGCATCATGGTCCCCAGCAGGAACCTCGTAGTGGTGGTTCTCGTCGATTGCGGTGAGTGCCTCTTGGTCAATGGTGATTGATTTGTGTTGACTTTCCCAGCCAGCCCGCTGCATGGCTGGAAGTTCGAGAGTCGCCTGCTCTCTTGAAGATGGCTCCACGGGGCCAAACTGATGGCCTGTCCCATTGTAGCCATGCCCTATTATATACACGCACACTACTATTCTCCCATGCCAGTGGCACAGGTCGCACTGGGGCCTCTCGCATCTGTGCTCTGCACCCAGATTCCAACACTTGTCTATTCCATGACTAATCCTATCAACGCCAACTTCAACAAACGACTCAACAAGATTGTTACTGGCAGGACAGGCATGGTCGTCAAGCCCAATGAGCTCGAGTCCGCAATCTAGCGTCCCGCCAACAAAGCCTAGTATGTTCCCAGCACCAGCGTGTCTGAGCTCACGGCCGAGCTGGCCTACGGCATCATCCAGAACCACCCATTCATGGATGTAGTGGTTTCTTTATCGCAGTTCAGCTAGGCTTGAGTTTTGACTCGCTGACAGGCTTCGCAACCTGATATATATTATTGAATATTGTCCCTGGCTGAGGGTCAATAGAACTTCCTAAGGATCATTTTCTTTGTTTTGCCAATCAATCGCTGAGTGTCCTGCTAGCTAGTCATCATAATGGATTCATATGACTTCCTCTCATATCACAGTTTTTTTGCGCCACAAGCCTTAAGTGCCAAGAACTTTAGTTTATCCACCCATATACCATATACAGCATGTACCACTATGCCTCCACATGTATATCTTAGTATACCCACACCACTCGGACATCTCTCGGACATGTACCAGTCACGTGACCCTACGTCATAGTGACATCATAGGTCTGGACTCTCTGGACATTCCTAGACTTAGACAGACTCCACTAGGCTCGAGCATGCCATAGCACGCCATAATGATATATTAGTACGAATCTAGGGTATGCAGGATCCTACACTCGATACCAGGGGCCTTACCCCACTTGTATATATACTGGCTCGAGCTGAGGCCTACACCTCAGTTTCGAGTTGATCTTTACTCCTCCAAACTTACCAGAGAACCCTGACGGGTCAGGTGAGAGCGGACTCAAGGAGTTCTTGAGATCCTTCACATAACTCGAAACTACTCTCTCCAGTCTGTGGGCACCGATCGACGCCTCAGACTGCTATATCACTGTCGATCACTTCCATCTCATCGTGCTCGCCCAGAGCTTCTTTCCACTTTCCTCGAGCTTAGCTGTGTCCTGCTGAACCACCTCGGTGAAGCAAATATGCAGACTGTTAGTCAGGATACATAGGCCCTAAATCAGCCTCCTGCGAAAGTGGGTGACATACTACTGTCCCAAACCTTGCTGAGACCCCAGGTGTAAAGGGGACTTTCTAGTCAACCTAGTGGGTAAAAACTAATAGGGCCGTTACGATGGCCGGAGAGCCTGACGATGACAAAATGTGCTAGGGGAAAGGGATGCAGTACTCCTTAAAAGGGTGCCACTATCGAGGATTCATCACAGCTAAAGTGCATCGGTGGACCTCTGAAGCGCGGAACTGCTAGTCCATATAAAATATTCTAGGCCTAGCTGCCTTGCATCAGGATGTTATTACTATCTATCAATGGTAGGGGGTGGTCTGCTGTCACAAAGCACCAAAGCACTTAACCCAATTAAGGGCAAGTCTGCTTTTGTGACCTGCACAAATGATCCCACATAAAAAGCCTGCCACAAGGGCTAGGCTGAGGACGTGCGCAGTGGTATGCAGTCTAGAAAAGGGGCTCAAAGGGCCCTTAGCCTTATGCTCACAACTAGGGGGGTGAATTGGCTGTTTAGGTCGCATACAATAGGATAATGAATCTAAGGTTCTCCCTTAGATCCTCATGGGCTTATATACATGTAGGGCAGGGCCCCTGGCACTGTGCTACTGTGAGACCTCAGATACCTACATGTGAACATATTGCCAGAACTGGTAATGGTTCTGGACTTTGTCATAGCAACTATCTACAATGGCCGTGGATACGCCGAGGTAATCCTATCTAATCCAATGAGATAAATGCCTGTAAGTGGGCCCACTGTTGAGGGGCCAATGGGTGATGGCCAACAGGGCACATCACAATGGTTGCAACATCAGATGAGAGGATCTTGTCCAAACTCAGAACAATGAGTGTGATGATCAGTCTTCATCTGGATAGGGTTGTGAGAAGATCTAGCCTATTCTGTACCTGGCTATACTGTATGCCGGTTGGTAGGGGGATCCTCTGTTGTGGTACCTTCCTATTGGTTTAGGCGGCAAAGTGGTGCCACTATCTTGAGTGGCGAATTGGGTGCTTGCTAGCTTGATGGTCCAATGAGTTCCTTTCTGGGCAAGTGACCTGGTGTCACGTGACCAACTCCTGACATCTTTCAAATAGGGCAAGTGGCCAGTGTCACGTGACTGGGTGGCTGAATCATGGGCGCTTGGTGGTCATGTGGTAGACACAGTAATATCTGCAATGTATGTGGTGGTATTGTGCTGTTTGTCCAAGTATCCACTTTGTGAGACCAATATGAAGGTTGACGTCCGAATAACCACTCAAATGAGGACTTTAATGGTGCAAAAAGAAAGGTGCCACTTAATACTGTGACATCTGCTTATGACAGCGCACCTGGATCAGTTGAAACAAGCATATAGATTACGCATATAAAGGGCTAGCAGATAACAAGGGAGAACCTTCTGCGACTCTACAGGAAGCTGTGAATCAGCAATACTTCTGGATCACATCAGCGTGACCTGCAAACCTTGAGTAGCGAGGGACTAAACCTACTTGCTCAGTGCTAAAGCGACACCAGTCACGTATTCAACCCCTGCGCTGTTCTGACTTACTTAGGGGTTTAGTTACCAGTACATACGTAGACACATAGTCATTTGATGCGAGATGAACTCTCAGAAAGCTCTGCTGGAATGGCAGGTGGACCAAGGTTACATCCCTTCAGAGGTAGTTGGACACTAGTGGTAAAATAATCAAAGACCACAAAGACCCCTCTGTGACTGCGAACTGCATCATGCAGGACTCCGTAGTAACTAAACCTACTAGAAGTAGCAGGACTTTAAAGCTGCATCTGGTCCATCACTGGGCTTGGTGAAGAACAGGTCATCAAACTCTCGACCGGATAAATGACTTCGAAGATGTCTCAACACTTGCAACAACCCTGTTCTGAACATGCCATGGAGGTAGCACTCCAAAACCCAGAACCATCCCAGACTGGGTCTCCATGACCAGAATCCTCAGAGGCAGGAACCTCCATCATCTCCACTCACGCTCCAACTCCCCAGTACTACTCCGACATGGGAATGGAACACTCCATTCTAGGAAGAAGATCCCCCTCTCATCGCTTGCAAGAAGAATTCAAGCAGCTCTACCTTAACAAATCCAGCAAGGGAAGAGCTTTTCAGCAATGGGCATATGATATCCAAGCCCAATGCTATGATGAGGAAGAACGGAAGAGGTACTGTACTGAGCAGGTAGAACAGCCAGCTGCATGGAGTGGCAGTCCGGGGCGAGAATTTTGTGTGGTCCAGTCACAGCAACACACTGACTGAATATCAATCCATGACCTTCTCGGATATAAGATGCACATACTACTATTCACATTCTGGGGCTCACACCACCAACGGAGGAGACTCCCAGATACTGGAACTGACCAGTGGATATGCGGAGGGCATATCAGCATCTCCAAACTGACTACAATCATCTTCATCAAGAGGTCGCAAACCTGACCAAGACAGTCAAGGAGGAGAGAGTGGCGAGGCTCACAGCTGATGAAGCTCAAAAGCAACTACTGGATGACCTGATTGAGAAAAAAAGTTAAAGGAAGAGGCCCTCACAGAGCTCCAAGCTCGAAAGGATGAACTCGACGCAGCCCAGCAGATGAGGCAGCATTTCCAAACAGTTGACCAAAATGAGGCCAACTACAAGTCACTCATAGAGACATTGGAGATGCAGCTGGAGGCTGAAAAATGGGAGTTTGAAGAGTGAAGACTTTTCAGCATCGAGCAGCATACAAGAATAGATGAGCTCGAACAACGATAAAAGGCTCTTGAGCGAAGACCTCCTCCCATACCAATCTGTCCCCAGACTCAGAAAGCAAGGAATCCCATGCCACTAGAATCATTGTACAAAGAAGAAATAATCACCCTCATGGCACGGAGAATCACTGACCCAGATCCTACCTCACGCACATGCATGAGGCCTCGCACTGAGGCAAAAAAGGATCTGAAACAAACCAGCATTCTAGACTGGGCAACAGGAGTTGAGGGTTCTTCGACCTTCAATAGGGCACATCAGTCAAACACTCAGCAGCCTGGTCAAAGGATTGCCACACCCCCAATCTCTCTGGCATATTCAGTATACCTTGGTGATGACCATGACGACGAGTTCAAGGACGTCCACTACGCGTTTCCTCTGAAGCAAGAAGTACTCACTCCGGACAGGAACCAGAGGTCCATGGCTCCTCAATCAGCATCCTCGGATGAACAACACCCTCAAACTTTCTGAGGACCGAAGGTCAATCTATCCGAGGCATTCGACAGCACCAAGGCAAAGGCAAAGGCTTGGCTCACCGACATCATGAACTACATTGTCATGAAACTTAGCAAATTTGGCGATGAACAAGCTAAAGTTTGGTGGGCCATCTTCTATATATTGTATGCAGAAGTCACATTGACCATTGGAAGTCCTCACTACTAGAAAGGATGGATGGTGGTGAAATCATGTATGCCACACTTTCAGACTTCGTCAGGGACTTCAAGAAAATGTACTACCCTGCGAACCCAGAATTGGAAGGACAATGCATGCTGCACACATTATAGCAGTGTTATACACCTTGGGAGGAATTCGACACCAAATGGGAACATTGAGTCAAGGTCTCGGGGTACAAGGACAAGCAACTGCTGCTTCAGCTCCTTCACAATGCCATGTGAAAGGAGCTGTGCGACAAAATCTGGACATCGGAGGGCATCAGCCAGGATGTCAACAGCTACAGCCTCTGGAAGGAGGTTGCAGCTCAGCTTGACCTGCAGCAACAGCAGCAGTGGGCTGCCACCTATGAGGACTGAAAGGGCAAGGGCAAGAATTCTGACTCCAACACTCGACAGGTCACAGTTGAAGGTTCGGCAATGGTGCCAGTAACGGCAAACACGGTAAGAACAACAAGGTCGCTCGTCAAGAATGTGGACAAGGCAGAAAGGTTCATTCCTCACAAGGACACTGTTGGGGTAGAGAATGAGCACGACAAGCTCAGGAAATGCGGAACCTGTGGTAAATTGAGGAATGAGGGTGGGTCGTGCACAGATATATGGCACACCCACTACTACGACATAAAGGGGCAGTGCTGGCACAAAAAGGATGCCCAGCCTGCAGCTCAGGTTGTATCAGTAGAAGAAACTGAGGCCATACGAGCATTCAAGGCAGCTGTTGCAGCCAACCCTGCTCTGCTCAACCAGGTGGGGTTTCAGTATGGCAAGGCATAAGTACGCATGTCTTGCTAGAAAAGGAGAATACTGGGAGTCCCTTGATGATGGAGGCACAAAAGCCTGAGAAGGGTCTTGAGATAACTGGCTCCACTCAAGGTGAGGCCCCAGGGAGTGTCGTGTTGATGGTGGTGGAGGCAAAGCCTGAGAAGCGCCATCAGACCATACCTGAAAACACCCCAGAGGGATGTGGGCAGGAGGGCCTAAGCACAGAAGAGGAAAATCGTAGTACTCCTGTCGCAGATGACAGCACACCACCACCCCCTATCAGCTCTTGATTTTCTATTCTTTCATCACTCGCATGTACTTCTAGCACTACGTCAGACAATATAGGTGCAAGTAGTGGCACTCACACTATATCTTTAAATGTGGGGTCTCGGGATGACAAGGCAGAATCCTCTGATCGAGCTCGGCAGGCTCAAGAAGCAGCTGTGCTTAATTTCATGAAACCTTTTATTTCTTCATCTTTGAACACTGACAGTTTGCAGGTTGCGGCTTCCACCTCCGAGCGTACACAGAAGAAGCACAGGAAAACAACTTGCATGTATATCTAGACCATTCGCAAGCCATTGTACCCTCACGTCAGTCAGACGGAGCAGCAGGATATGATTTGCATTTAGCGAAACAATGTACTATAGGACCCCATTCTCGCAGACTTGTGCATACTGGCCTGAAGTTGATGATACCAAGAGGATGCTATGGACGCATCGCTCCATGCTCAGGTCTGGCTGTAAAAAGGGGAATAGACATAGGAGCCAGAGTAATAGACTCAGACTACACAGGACGAGTCAAAATACTCCTAATCAATACCCTTGATACCCCGTTCGAGATAGAGTATGGCGATCACATTGCCTAGCTCATCTTAGAATGAAACGATACCCCCATTATGTCACAGATTTTCGCCACGAAGTCCGCACGTGACTTTTCTCACACCACAGATCACGTGCTTCACCAATATCTCACGCCACTCAGCCACAGACGCGACACGTAGAGATCAGGTGATAGTCCACATCACATGTTATGGTCCAGACCCGTGGATGATACGGTCGGACCTGTCTATTCCAGAATACAATAGAGGCACCCATTTGGGAACAAAGGGAACAAGGACTATTGTTATGCATCGGCCTTCCGCTTCCTATTAGTTTAGCCAGAAGCCTAGATAGGTACGATGTTCACACCGGAGAACAAAAGGGAAACCAAGATAGGCACGATGTGCACACGCATTACTGCGGCAACCATCGATCTTCCCACTTATTGTTCTACTTCCGGACATCCTATTGTTTCATGTACGGCCATTTGCTTATACCCGTAGATAGGTAGCTTAGGTAAGATAGCCTGCTGTACGTGTATATAAGACCAGCCATGTAGGGGACGAAACCTCAGATTGTTTCTCCTCGTCTACTACCCATAGCACTCACTGACCTCACCAGCTCCTTCATATATCTCTCACCCTTTCCTGCGTCTGCCACATCGACCAGTAAGTCAACAGGCTCTTGCGCCACATAGGGTTCAGGGGGATACTTTTGAATCAGGGGGATCAGGGCGGCACGTTCCACGTGACTGTCCCTTTTTAGTCTTTTTGATCTCTTGTCCGGTGTTACTGTGACATTAGAAACAATCTGACATTTTCTGCGCCCCTGCTTAGTGTCTAACACAAGCAGCCACGTATTTTCAGTGCAAGCAGTTTCAGCCGTAGCGCGCGGCTTTTTTGACACACATTCCAATCTGATCTCTATCCGGCGTGAGCCTCAGCAAGACTCTGAGCTGCCCACAGCCTCAAAGTGCAAGGCCACCCCCAGGATCGACCTCGACGCCCACTACAAGCATCAGGAAACCAACAAGAAGTGTGGAAGGCTCCTCACACTTGTGTCACTAGGTGCATCATCCACAGACAGGCAGCGAGCAGCAGCTAGAGTTGTAGATACCACACACATCATAAAGCGCAGAATCATCCGCAAGCCACACGATCACACCCCACTGCTCGAACACTACAAGCCCAGAAAAGGACGTCTTATCACTGGTAGTCACAAGCCGGCACTGCCCCCAGAGCTTATAACCTCCAACGCCGTTCCCCCCATCATTGTTGCTCCACAGCCAGTGCGACCCCTTCCCAACTTCGTTAAGGTCAACACACATGCACGACCCATTCGCCCTCTTCCATCCAAAGTCAGGCCCACCCTCCACATCGAAACACTCAAGAAGCAGGTCTCCGCTACCCGCTTCAGACTACAACCGATATTAGGAGCGTTCTGGGAGAGAATTGATCAGGACAAACGAAAAAAGGTACAACTCCTCGCATTGGAGTTAGACAAAGTCTGCGCAGACCTCTACACGGGAACTCATGAATACACCTTCGTCGACAAACAGGTCATCAACACGTGCTGCCTGGAAATAGGAAGGATCAACTTCAAGGAGATAGGGAAGCAGCAGAGGTTAGACAAGATCGTCAGGGAAATTGGGAAAGTCAAGGACAAGCAGTACCTAGGCTTCATTTTCAATTAGTTTAACTACATCTATATCACAATGGAAGGAGCCGATCGTGCATATGCATCCACGTTCAGGCAAAGAATGGATGATATTCTGCATACAAACGTCGAGTCAGCACATGATGGAAGCACCCCACGCGCCTCGCAGCGCAATTCACCAGAACCTGCACTAGGACCGCAGGATTCTGCATCGCAAGTTGGAGGACCAGCATCCCCAACCCCATCACTCTTACCCGCCTATGTACCCCCCATCTGGGAATTCGACGGACACCAGTTCAAGCATCTAGAAGATGCGCTCAGACAGTCCGCTTCCGGAGAAGTCCCGGACCACATCCGCGAATGGGTTATTGTGGCGATGAAGCTCACGGTCAGTACCGAAGTCGCCAAGATCTACAATGTGCTCAGAAACAAAATGTACGAGCACAAGAAAGCCTTCGAGTCGCTGATCCAAAACAACAAGAGCGAACACCGACTCAAGGAGGGAATGCTCCAGACGGAGATCGGGAAGCTCAAGGATAGGATCCTTGCGCAAGATGCGCATATGACAGTTTTGAACGACAAGCTCACGGGAACCCAGGCGACAATGCTCGATACAGGCAAAGAAATGATGGAAATCAAGGCAGCTAACGTCAAGCTGCGACATGAGCTAGCTTCGCTCAAAGCAAGCGGCGTCACTATGATGCAAGGTCAAACATCCGGCATGGTCCAATCGCACAAGCCACGCATCAAAATTGCTGAACCTCTACACTACTCGGGCAAAGGAAGTCTGGAGGACTGGCTCCAACAACTCGGTATATGGATGCGGTGGAACGAGATCAACGACGATGAACACAAGATTACCATGGCCTTACTGCACTTGGAAGGTGGCACGTTCACATACATGTCTGAATATGCGACCAGAGCAGCAGCACAGCAGGCACTTGGCACATGGGAAGACTTCGTCAACATTCTCAAAGTGAACTACAGGACCCTCGACCCAGACAAGGATGTGCAGCAGCATTTGAAGGATATCTGCAGCAAGACATATCCCACAATGGTATCCTTCGCAGAACAGTTCCGTCAATGGGTCACTAAGACCAACTTAGGGCACACTGCACTCATCGGTTACATCGCTGAACACCGAAGCAAGGACGTACGCCAGGCAATGGTCACATGAGACAGCCTAGGAATTTCCAACCCCATCACATGGCCGGAATACCTCGACCTGTGCCTTCAACTGGAGTCCAAGTTCAGAGCCGACAAAGCAGGACAACGCGAAATGGTTACAACATCATCATCATCGGCACCACGGGCCCCGAAAGACCCCAACGCAATGGTCGTGGATTGAGTATCCACCCTCACCAAGGAACAAGAAGGATGGCTGGAGAAGAAGCTGTGTGTACGATGTGGGAAACACCCCTTCATTTTTAAACAGCGATGCCCAGACCCCAAGTACAAAGGCAAATTCGAAATGCCGAAGTGGGGCCAAGCAGCAAGGGCAATTTCTTCAAACGCGGCCTCAGACATCTCCGACGACAGCAAGGCGAGATATGAAGCAGTTTGTGCTTTCATCGCCAGCTACGACGTGAAGGGAAAGGAAAAGGAGGCAGAATCGGAACCAGCTGTCGAAGCAGCTAGGATCACGGAGGTAGAAGATAATGAGGATTTTCTTCGGCGGGTTCTCTGAGGTCTGGCCAGAGTTCCCATAGACACTGTAATAGTACCTACTTGCTCTCGCATGTACCAGTATCAAGTTTTTTATACATCGCATTTACTGGTTCATCAAAACACGCAATCGATTTACCTGTTCACCTCAAACAGGGAGTAAGGGAAGTCCAGACTGAGGCGCTCCTCGATTCAGGAGCATATTCTTGCTACATCAA